GAAAAAAAAAATATGAGCGCTCTCACCAACGATGGCTCGAGTGCCATTCAACAAACAGTTTCAGTCTCGGACTCGCATTCCCATAGCAGCTACGTGTGTTTGAGTAGGCATTTGGAGGAGTATACGGTTGAACAATTTGATGAGTGTTATAAAATTGCGGAAAGTGTGGATATTATCATTCGGAATAGATTCAAGACGGTGGCATTACAATTTCCCGACGACTTGTTGATGGATGCTTCTTTGGTATCTTTTCAATTGAAAAATCATTATCGTCGAAGAATGGAAAGAGATCAATCCAATGATGATACCATGAAAAGAACAAATGAAAGTAATCATGAAGAGCCTCCTGTCGGGGATATTGAGGATTTCAATACTCATTCAACGCTATCGTTGCTTTCTCAGCTTTCTATAAATTCAGAATATACGAAACAGCATCATCTAGGAAATGATTCGAATCACTTGAGAGTATATATATTAGGAGATACCTCGTATGGAAGTTGCTGTGTGGATGAGGTTGGAGCACAACATATTTTGGCAGATTTTATTATTCATTACGGAAATGCTTGTCTTCAACCGTATGTTTCACTTAATTCAATTAATAATTATAATTATCGTAATAATCCAATTACGCAATTTTGCTATTTATAGAGTCAAGCGAACACCAGTTTTTCACGTTTTTGGAGTCAATTATAAATTGGATGCAAACGAATGTGCAAAAGCATTGAACAATTTTGTGGAAGAAACTCCTGAGGGAGAAGTAATTGTTATTTATGACTTGGTAAATTATGAGAGAATTAAGAAAGACCTGATACCGCTCGTACAGTCACCAAGAGTTGTGTTTTCAAAATTATTCGAGTCCAGAGTACTTCAGAACATATCAGGGAACACCACCACAGAAATTTCTGAGAATGAAACCAAAATTAGTAACCAAATATTTCCAAAACCAAGTGAGAAGGCAAGATTCTTTTTTATTGGAGAGTTAGGATCTTTTATCACTCAATTCATGATGGAATATAATACTCACTCGTTTAAGGTTTATTCTGGCTACAAAAACAAGATTGAAAATGATAGCATGTCAGGTATATCAAGAACATTGGCAAGAAGATTTGCCCTCGTACAAAAAAAGCAAAGGAGGCTCAAGTTTTTGGAATTTTAGTGGCTACAGTATCTGTTGAGAATTATTTGAAAATGGTGGAATATGTGAAACGTCTCATCATCGACAACAATAGAAAATTCTATCTATTTTTCGTAGGAAAATTGAATGTGCCCAAGCTGGCTAATTTTATGGAGATTGACATGTTTGTCCTTATTGGATGCTCCCAGAACTCGCTTATTGAATCTCGAGAATATGTGAAACCAATCATCACTCCTTTCGAACTAGAATTAGCGTTGAAATATGGCAAAGAATGGACAGGTTACTATCAATTGGATTTCAATAGACTTTTCGAGGATGAAAATCATGAGTCTCATACTCCAGTACTACAAGATGACACAGAGTCATATTCTGTCTCATTAATTTCAGGTTCTGTTTACAGAGTTGGAAAATCAACAGCATCTTCACAAGAAATCCTCAAGAGCAAAGACGATGGTAAATCTCTTGTCCTACAAGAACAACAACAACGTCAGCTTGTTCAATCTCAATACACTCCCTCCATGCTCTTTTTGAAAAACAGAACCTACAAAGGTTTAGGCCAAGATGCAGACGAAGACCACCAGAATGAGGGTGACAATCCTCCAGCGACCTATGCCACTATTGAACAAGGACGAAGTGGAATTGCATCCTCCTATTCTGACGAAAGACATTGAGGAAAGACATTGAACTCGAAACCACATTCCCCTTTATAAAACTTTACAGCTGATCTGCGTTCTTTACGTCACACTTTTGCATTGAATTCATCATTATAATTTTTGCTCGATTTGTCCTTTCATCCTCTTGAGAACTGAGAACCAAACAAAATGTCAAAAAAACGCACCAAATCTCTGCCTCCCCAACAAGTCTCGACCACCGTCACATCCTCAGCAACACCATCTGCCTCATCAGGGGTCTCTTCACCATCCGTACCGAAAGATGTCTCATCATCCTCTCACGTCAATCCTTCTTCTCACATGATCACTCACTCTCTCACAACCTTCTCATCAAGTTCCTCGGATCAGCCACCACCAATTCAGCAATCAACTCCTTCTAATTTTCTCTTCTCTTCACCCTCTTCTCCCATTCCGATCCAAAACTCTCAATCTATTGCCACTACTGGTAGGACCTCATCTCCAGGCTCATCCGGACAACCTTCTAACGTGAATTTCATTATTGCATCATCATCTCCTGCTGGCATAACGGTTGTACCTAACGCTTCTCCGAAAGGAGGAGAAGTAGCACTCTCTTCTTCTTCTTCATTAACGACCTCGGATTCTTCATTGATGATTCATTCTCCTCTATTGAATCAACAACAAGTTCCTGAAACGACAACCATGACGACGACTCCCTCTCCTCAAAAAATTATTTATTCATTCTCTCAACAACAACTGCCAACGACGACGTCGAGTGGTTACAAGAATGTGACACCACCTTCTGCATTTTCTTCAGCTTCTTTAGATGCAATTTTGAAAAATGCAACGACCGAGATGAAACAAATGATGACAACTCATTTACCAATGATTGCAAAACCTCTAACTTTTAATGATTTACCCAATGATTTAATTCATTACATTATTTGCTTTTTAGAACTGAAAGATTTTTTATCTTGCAGACTCACGAATCGAGTGTTTCACATTTTAGCAGAAAATGAATGGCAACGTCATTACAGAGCTGTCTGGGAAGTTCCACATCGATTGGTATTTTGGGATATTGATACACCCATGCATCAAACATCAAGACAATCTCTTTTTGTACAAACCTCACCTTGCTTGCATTCAACTAAAAATCATCAGAATGAAGACATGATGATAGCTTCAAGATTTTCTCGAATTCACCATCAATATAATGGAAATATGGTGACTTGGAGTCAAAGAAAGACCATGTTCTTCTCAACACCAGGTTCCATTTCCACCACATCCATTCTTGATTATAACAATCCATGGAAGGATTTATTTATTGAAAGGTATCGAATCATTCACGACGGGAATAATGCTTCAAGCAAGAGAAAACTTGGAATTTTCTCTTCGCGACAAACATCTAGTGAAGATTACGTAGAAAAAGGTTACCGTTGTGTGTATCGTAATGAATACAGCAAAGCCATTCATTACTTTGAAAAGGCCATCTCCCTTAGTAAGGAAGGATGTGCTCGAGCTTGGGAAGGCCTCGCCAAGATTTGTTGGATCAGAGATTTACCTCAATATGTGATTGTGTATGCCGAGGAGGCGTTGAAAAACAATCCAGTGAATCCAGGAGAATTGTTTTTCATCAGAGGAAAGGCTCTTTTAAAGCTGAATCGAATTGTGGAAGCTTTGCCTGATTTGACCAAAGCTGTGAATTTTCTAACGATGAGTCCTGTCAATTATCACTTGTTTTTAAAGATTAGTGAAGTCTATTATGAGAGGATGATGTGTCATATTGAATTAGGCAATATTGATCAAGCGTTGGCAGATGGTGAAACTATAATGACCACTGACAAGTGCTTTGAAACGGATTGTTTTTTCAAGGCTGCCAAAATCCTCTTTGAAAAGCAACAATACGAGGATGCCGAAAAATTTATGACCAATTCCTATGTGAAAAAAACACCTGACTATTACTTACTCTATTTACAAATCAAAAGTGCGAATGGATCTTATCAAGAAGCATTAGAATATTTGAAAAAGTTTGAAGAATTGGAAGCAAAGAAAAGATCCAATACAATTAACAACTCGGCAACGGCCTTAACAAAAGAATCTCTGATAGAGATTGGAATTGTGTTACTCATGAATGATTGCATCAATGAAGCGGTCGAGTATTTCACTAAAGGAGCTCTTCTAAGAAGTGCTGCCTCTCAAACCAATAATACTGCATCTCCACCAAACTCCAGTAGTAGCGATGATCTCATCTTTAATTCACTAATGAGAAGGTCTTCTCTTTCTTTTGCTTTTTCTTCCCACAAAATTATTGACGAAGAGGCGACACAGAGGGCCAAACTCTTTGTGATTGATGCTGCGACAAGACAAAAAAAAGAGTATTCGAGCTATTTTGGAACTGACCTAAAGGGAGATTCGTATTTTGATATTCACATGGCTTGGTCCTATTACTATTATCTTTTAGCCATGCTTTATTATTGTAGAAACACCATTACATTCAATGGAGCTGAAAAAGGAAGATATTCTGCCTCGTTTTCAACAAGGTCAACTGCAACTCAGCTCATGTCCTTAACGTCGCAGAATAATGAAGAACTGGGATCTTCACGATTGATATTGCTAATCAAAGGACAGAAAAATTACATTTATCAACAAAGAAAATTGACCATTCGATTTGTTAACGAACATTTAGAAAATGATTTGAAACATTCGATTACAAACCTCACAAGATCCATTACTCTAAATCCAACGCTGTGTGAAGGATTTTACTATCGTTCACTTATGAAATGTTTCTTACAAATTGATAACCATCTCATGTCCATATGCTCCTCACCCATGTTTGGATCAACACTTACTCAAAACGGAATAGTTTCATTCTTGATTGAAAAATTTAAGAAAAAGAAGTCACCTCAAAAAGATGCTATCACAGGATATAAGAAACACAAAAAGATGCACAAAAACATTTCTGACAAAATTAATGTTGTCACTCATATGAGAGAGGCCTTGAATGACTGTGAAAACGCGTTTACTCTCATTACCATGGAATTGAGAATCAATACTGTTGATGAACTCGAAGAAATTGACTTTAAATCAAATAACGATATCTCCACTATTGATTTATCAACAAAATCAAGGAAGCATACAGAGCTTTTGGTTGATATTTTACTGCTACGAGCTTTTCTTTTCTATTGCTTTGGAAAGAGTGCAGAATGTGCTGAATGCACAAATTTGGCATGTTATTTGTGTAATTCAGTTTCTACCTCTTCAACACCAAGCGAGAACGTAGAGACGACTACTTCTCATTCCAATACTACTTCATCCATAAGTGATGTGACGCCATCAGAAACAACAACAACAGAAGGAAACTCTCAACAAGAAAATGATCACATCATGTTAGAAAATATTACTTTTGAGAGACAATTATTGGCCGGTCAAGGACTCTTTGCTCTCAATGAAGATTTTGAAGCTCTTAAAGAAATGCATCCTCGCTTCCTCACGATGAGAAATGATGCCATCCAACGACATGTCGATCAACTCATCATGAACTTTATCATTGAGCCAGAGTATAGTTATATTTCCCAACAATTAGATTACATGCTCGTCATTATTCATTCTCAGCTCTTACAAAAGGATTTACAAAACAACTCGAGTTCTGATAAGCTGTGAGATTTAAACTCTAGAACTGTTTTAGTAAAACATTGTTGATCATTTAACATCAGCATCTGTCTGTGGTGGTAGGTTAGGTTCACAATACAGATCTTGCCAGAGATCTTCATAAAATACTCGACAAAATAATGATGAGAATGGGCTTTTGATGTGCAGGAGTGCATTGAGATTCATATGTTTTTATATATATATAATTATATATTTAATCATTTTCAATGGTGTGCACAAGGATGAACCTTTGCAAAGTTTTCTCTCAAAAAAATGAGTTCAGTAATTTCGAGAGGGAAGAAATTTTCTCCTCGACCAGAGAAGAAGGGACGAAATTTACAGCAAATTGAAGAGCAATTCCGAATGCTCGATGAGAAGGAGAAGAGAATCAATGAATATTATGATGAACGAAAATTGAATGTGGGAAGGCCGAGCGAGGATGAGGAATTATCGTTCATTCTAACGACCTCAGCAAATGTTAATCTACATACATCAAACTTTTGGGATGTGATTAAGGAGAAACAAGAAACAACTTCAAACAAATATCATGGGATGAAATCAAAAGAGAAAATCATGAAAAAATCGAGAAAATTAATTGAAGTGCCCGATACTCTTGTACATTATCGTTCTCCTCTGCACATTCATCAAGTAGAGAAAAAGAAAGCCTTTCTTAAGACATCAACGCCTCCAAACGAAACGAAACCTGTCAGCAATGTAAATTTATCAGATCACCTGCAAGACGAAAGCATAAATTCCGAAGGTATCTCTCTAATGGACAGAACTGCGCTTGAAGAAGTAGATCGCTCCCAAGAAAGTAGCACAATCCCGAGCCCAGTATTTAAAGTTACAAGCCCATCGAGCGACCTGAATCACAAGTTAGGGGAAGTGTTTTCGTTTGAAATTCGAGTGCATCAGCTTGCAGAGCATTCAAATACACTGTTCGAAGTTAAGATTTATGACGAGCATATGCCCATTGAGCGAGTGACACTGATGAAAGATTTAAGAATCAACAGAGACGCATTCATAATTTTCACGGAGCCCAATATGATAAAATTTAACGCCTTAACTCTGCCTTGGGTTGAAAGCCCTGAAGACCTAATTAATCAAACGTAAGTAACACTTTCCATCAGTTATATCGATTTCAATTACTTCAAAAGTTTGGTGGTAGAAGTACAAGGCACTTATCCGTCGAGAACTCGAGTAGCCAAAAGTTCGATCAAATTCTCACATAAATCTCAGCCAACTCATCATGAAAAACCTAAAATTCAAATACCACCTCTTCGAGATGTATCCTTTTCTCGATCCAGAAGTCCATCTCCAACTCAACGAGAGAAGTCAAATAGAAGTCTCCTCGACGTTGCTCTACCTTATTCCGTCTCACCTGCCCGAACCAATGAAGAAGAGCTTAAACGTTCTCTGAGTTGTCAAGCCATTCAACCACCTCCTTCGAATACTACTCCACCTGTCGAAGAAGAAGAAGATGCCGTTCAAAGGAAACTCGAAAGAATGAATAGCATTGAAGGACCTCTTTCTCCAAGTTCACAACGATATCGAGAACTTCAATTCATGCGAGAAAATATGAAGCTCAACTTGAAGTTGCATCAAAAGTTGTTGAGCTGAGTTAATGAACGCCATTAATGGCGTTGCCACTACAAATTAGAAATTGCTTGTATTTTTTGTCCGACTCGAAAACCACCTTTTTACGAATTACGATTAATGGGTGTTGTTGGACCAACAACCACAATGAAAGAAAGGTGCCCACGAATTAACAGAATTAAACAGAATTAAACAGAATTAAACAGAATTAAACAGAATTAAACAGAATTAAACAGAATTGAACATTAATTGCTGTGAGCGAGAGCAGACACCACAACACGTTGAGGAACCTCGACAACTTTTCGAGAACCAAGGAGCTCGGTTACATTTTGGGAAGATAGATCCTTGTTATTCCGTGTTGATGATGGTCCAAAGCGGCCAGTTTGTACCAAATGTTCATTCGGGCGTTCTTCTTCCACCGCTATTACACGCCAGACCAAGAAAAAAATAAACGATCGTCAAATCCCGCCCGCAACTTACAAAGGCGACTTTGGAGAGAGATTTACAGCTAAATTGAGTGTTTCTGAAGAGTGGTTTGCTTCCTATGAAGGAGTACCATCATCTGTAACAACGTTCATCATCAGCAGAAACATCGCAACGGAATCTAATTTCGTTCAAGGGTTTGCCCAAACAAATAGTAGTAACAACGTTTTTAGAAGATTTGGGCTATCTTTCCCTAGAGCCTCATCACTAACATATTCAAATTCGGAATATATCACAACAACCTAGGCTCATCATTGCAAAACATAATTAATGGGAGTTACCGTGTCGGCCTGTACCGTTGTCAAAAAAGACATGGTAGAGGACCCCTCACCAGTTTCATTTTCTCCTTCTTCTTCTCCAGCAAAAAAACGAAAGAGTAATCCAACATTCCAATACCCTCGTTCGCCTTCGAAAAAGGACAGTATCAAACAAGAAAAAGACAAATCTGCCTATGCCGCCTCGGGCTCTTTTGAATCCAAACGCCCGCCTCCTCTCATTCTAGAACACAACAACAATGGATCCCACCAAGGAGATTCAAAAAGCACAAGCTCAACATCTTCAAAAACACAACCAATTAATTCTTCCATCAACAACCACAATATCAGCAGTATGAGAAACTCGCTAGATTTCTCAGTAATTTCAACAGCCTCCACCACCTCCGCCATTGTAGATAATATCCAAAATGATGACATCCCTCCCGTTATTTCCACTAAGAATAACATTAACCAGCTACTATCATACACCTCATCGAATGCTTCCCTTAAAAGCACAACTTCGAACCAGGCTAAAAGTAGAAACAGGCCGCACTATCTAAGCAACTTGAGCAGTCCAGTCACTAAATCTGCCGTTTCACCCTATGGAACATTGGGTGGTAATCTTTCTGTTCCTCCGAAAGCTGAAACAAGGAACAAAAGCGAAAATGCAATTAATGTCCCCACCAATTCTTTAAAAATCGATCAAGTCGCAAGAGGAAAAAGTGATCAAAATATTCCTTCAACTGGCTCGCTCTCTAAGAAATCTCCAACAATTAACAAGGCACCTTCTCCCCGAAAAACTAAAGGTTTGTCTCCAAGAGAGAACAATCTTTCCGACAAAAAACTGCCTCATTCCTCAACAACCACCAAGCTTTCTAATTCAGACCCAATGCAGGAGCTAAAGAAGCAACTAGAGGATTCTGTTTTCAAATTTAATTCCCGTCTCACCAACAAAGACAAGCAGCTTTTACCTCAGCCAAACAACATTAAGAGAAGACATTCCCTATTTGCTGGGACGCCCAACTCGCCGAGTCTTTTGAATGAAATCAAACAAAATGAAAAATCAGAACCCAGCTCAACACCTCCAATATTTCCTTTTAACCCTAATTTCACTTTTGGAATGTCACTTCATGCTCCTGAAAAACAGGAGCGACGGCATTCTGAATTTTCAGCCATGGATAAACAAAAATCGTTTGAACCCATTGCTTCTCCCCAACCTACTTCAATGCTGCAGGTAAAAACAGCTCCAAGAAGAAGAATGAGTATTGCCGGAGCATCTCCATCCCATCATGTTGAAATGACCACAACAGCCCAACTAGGAAGAGACATCCACGGAAGAAAAACTATTAATCAATATACAATTATCAAAAAACTTGGAAAGGGATCATTTGGATCGGTTAAACTGGGAAGAAGCTCAAAAACTGGAGAACTTGTTGCAATTAAGGTGATTAACAAATCCTTAATTAACAACATTAAGCGAAAATATAAGGCTCCAGGACAGCAGCAAAACAGTCAAATTAACAAAATCAAACATGAAATTGCCATTTTGAAAAAGCTTGATCATCCAAACATTGTTCGTTTGTTAGAGGTAATTGATGATCCAATGAATGACAAAATATGCTTGGTTTTTGAATACATTGATGGGGGAGAGTTAATGAAACTAAACGATGACGGAATTTTAGAGGCAGGCCAAAAACCATTCTCTGAAGATGAAGCTCGATTCTATTTCCGACAACTGTTAAACGGGTTAGAATATTTACATCACAACAGAGTTGTACATAGAGATATTAAGCCATCAAATATTCTTCTCACAAAATCACGTGAGGTAAAACTATCAGATTTTGGTGTCAGCAAGTTGTTGGAGGATGATGAGGAAGACTCGCTCGATGATTCACAAGGTACCCCTGCATTTTTGCCTCCTGAAGCATGTTATAAGGGCAAAATTCAAGGGAAGTTGGCAGATATTTGGGCTCTTGGAGTCACGTTATATTGTATGGTGTTTGGAACTCTTCCTTTCAAATCTGACGAAGCAGGAGCATCAAAATTGCTATACCTGTATTATGTCATCCAACATGAAGAACCTCACATTCCGGAAACAGCAAGCAAAGAGCTCAAAGATATTATTACGAGAATGCTTGACAAAAATCCAAAAACAAGAATCACCATGGACGAGCTACAAGAACATCCTTGGGTGACAATGGATGAACCTTCAAGCCACACAGCTGCAGAAAATCCAGGCTTAATGTTAAAATCTCAATCCAACACTCTTGGAGAACAAGCTCCAATGCTGGGAGATGAAGTTCGAAGTTACAAGCATCATACACAGCTTAGAAAGATGCACTCCACTCGAAGAGTGGTGGTTGATTCTAAAGATATTGACAATGCTCTTTCAGCGAAGGAATATTCTCCAGACAATCTCAAACGTAACAATTCAAACAAAATCAAAAGAGCAGAATCCAAACAAGGAGAAGAAAAGATATCCCTTATCCGAAGAAGAAGCAGCAGACTGTTTTCTATCGAGGTCAACTCTCCTGAGAATGAAGTGGTGCCTGTCATTGAGAATTCCGTGAACATAAAGAGAGAATAAAGAGAGAGCTCTCTTGCAATAAATTATTGTTTTAATGACGCCACAGCCTTCATGTGATAAGAATCAATTCCATTAATAATATCATTGCAGAGATGTGAGTTGAGTTGAAGGATTTGTTGCTGATGACTTTGTCGTCTTTGAGCTTGAATTCTTCGTAACTCCTCCAGTCGCTTTTTGTTGCTCTCGGCCTTATCTTTATATTCTCTACACAACAGCTCCATTGCTTCCTTCTCTTTTTGAGCATCAGTGATCATAGCTTCAGCTCGAGCAATCTTTTCTAGATGTTGTTGTTGCATCTTATCAATTCTTTCTGAGATATTTGTGATTTGTTTCTCCTTCTGCTTCTTCATATTTTCCATTTCAGCAATTTCTGTTTCCATATTTTCAATTGTTTCTTGTTTGCCCTTTATGAGCTTTCCTATATCCTTCTTTTTGTTCTTGAGTTCTTCGACTTGCTCGCCAAGTACGATAGATTTAGAGAGTATCTTAATGAGTTCTTCGGCATTCTTAATATGATCGACCGTGAGAGTTTGAAGTTGTTCCTCTAATTCTCGTAACTCGTCGGTTGTTGTTTGAATACATCTCCGTAAGACCAATATTTTCTTTTTGAGCTCTTCAGGGTTTGAGACGATTTGTGACTTTAGAGTTTTGTTTTCTTTTGTCAGAGCTTCTAAATGTTGTTCTGCTCCTTCCAATTGTTTGGACAAATTCTCATTCTCTGTTTGTACAATATTTATATTGTTCTGTATCTCAATATCCTTGACACTTATTTCTTGAATAGCTTGTGTCATAGCTCTGACTTTCTCTGCTAATATCTTTAACTTAGATTCATTAGATCGTTCCTCTTCAAGATAGGATTGAAGTGCAATGTTGTCTTTTTCAACGTTCAATCGAAGTTCTTCTTTTTCTGTCTCGAGTGTGTCATATTCCGTAATAATTTCATTGTACGAGTCGATGATTTCTTCTCTGAACTTTGCTAAATTGAGGAATGCAAATAATGCCAACCTAAACCTCTTAGAGTTTGGTTTGACAATATCTGTGATTGAGAAATCATGAAGTCTTGCTGTAATCAATACTTTTTGTCTGTTGATGAAAGAGGATTACGAATAGAGGATAAAGCCAATTAATTACAGATACATGACCATATAATCAACAACTAATCTTAAGAATGTTCAAATACGTCTCTCCATGAACTTACATTTTCTTGAATAATTCGATGAATTCAACGGCATGAGAATATGCCTCAGGATTTTCTCGGATCTGTACAGGTGCATCAGTGCTATTCAAATATTCCTTGTTTCGTGTTTTTATATCATTCATGGAAGTGTCCAATAGCTTTTCCATACAGCTTCCGAGTATTTTACAAACCACATCCGGAGAAGGATTATTCAAATCCTCAGTACTCAATGATGGAACTCCCATTTCTCCCAAAGATGCAAGAAGTGTAGGAATATTCACCGTAGGAATATTATAGCTAGCGGCTGTTCCGTTATTGTTTGATCCTCCAACCATAGTGATGTTCAAATTTTGGCTCGATCCATATTTCTTCATTTTTTTTAAAGTTGTGTTTTGGTTAACGAATTTTGGCGGGCTATTTATTTGTCATCACTTATAACCCGCCAAAATAATTCGTTAACTGAATAGTATATATAAGGCCAATGACACTAAACAAAGTGATCAACACAAGCACTCCTAAGGTGAGGGAACCATTGGGAAGAAAACCCATCTCTAATTCCTCGAGGGCTGTTGTGTGGGATTCAATTAGTCATTCATTATAATGGTCATGTGTTTTGTTTGATAAAAATGATGAGATGAGAATTGAATTGAATGATCATTTAGGATATATAATATTATTATTATTGTAAGAAGTGATACGTACCGAGATTAAAGAGAATAGGTGTTTGTTGAATGGAAACCTGGAAGGATGGAGCCTCTCGCTCTGCACGAACAATGAGAAATCTCTTATGAATCCAATGATGATCATCATCATCGGCACTGCTTTCTGGTTCTTTGAGATCAAAAGTCATCTTCTCAATATTCAACAAACGTCGTCTAGGTTTCAGAGAATGATCATCATCAAGTTCCGATAAGGAATGAATGATTTTGAGAGAGAACATGGCAGGACAATACGCAGGATAGGAAACACGTACTTCATATTTACGATGGGAGAGCAAGCCATTCAATTCATAAATTCGATCCATGCCTTGCCAATACTCATCATCACTGCGAAAATAGATGCTCTCTGAAAGTATTTCTTGTCCTGGATGTAAGACGGCTCTCACTTTGACAAGGTTTTCAGATTTCAAGGAGTGTTTCTGTATATTGCGTTCTTTCGAGAGAGGATCGTTTCCATCAATTTCAAACTGAATTCGATTCCGAGAGGTTTTTGACACTACATCATCATCTTGGCCCTCTATCCGAGCTGTATTCATGAACAATAACAACATAAATATCATCTCCGAATGTAGCAATACAAGTAACATTGCATTCCTCACTTTTTTGGTCTTCATTTCCTTCCTGTTATTAACAAGATCTAAAAAGAACATTTTTTACAATCACAAAGAAAATCATCATCATCACCAACAACACGAAAACTTTTATCAAAAAATGTCTCGATTTTTCTCTTTCGTGGTTGGTTTAGGATTAGGAATTTATATTGGTGATCGTTATGACGTGAAACAGTTGTGGGCACAAATCGGAGATCCAGACAAGGTGGTACAGTACATGAAAGAAGAAGAACAAAAATATAGAAAAAAGAAAGAATGATCATAACAGATCGTGGATTTAATCAGAATAATTTGCCTTTTTTAGATATCAAGGTTTTTTTCTGTGATGTTGGTTATAGTATCATAATGTCAATAATTATGACAAATTTAAAACGAGTTTAGAAATTAAACAATTTATTGTGGTTTGTGAATCAAATGTTGTTCACTTCCAACTCAAATTCTAAAAGCAACTGGAAGTTTTATTTTCAGTTTAAATAAATTACAAAAAAAAATGCAGCAAACCTTCCATTCGGCATTTCACCCGGCCGAAGATGATGATTATCTACTTGATGTCGAGGATGTAGCCCCATCGGTCATTGCAAAATTGAAAGAGAAACACCTTACAATGAAAAGTATTAAATCAATGAAACTTTCCGAGTTGTCCAGTTATATCGGAGAGCCCATGGACACATGCAGCAAAATTATGAAATATGTGAAAGGAGATACTTCTTTGATCAGAAATAAATTATTGTTGCAAAACAAGAAGGCAACGCAAGATTTGGGAGGAGGAAACAATACGACGACGTTGTCGTCATCATCTTCGGGATTACTCTCACAACATTTATCAACGTTAGCTTTGCTAGAACGAGAATGTGATCCGACAAGGTGTATCAAAACTTTTTGCAAAGATCTGGATGATGCGTTAGGAGGATATGGTGTTAGAACTGGTGTCATAACTGATATTTGTGGAGTACCAGGAATTGGTAAAACTCAAATAGCAATTCAACTCGCAGTCGATGTTCAGATGCCAGCAATATTTGGTGGTATTGGTGGTGAATGTCTCTATATTGACACTGAAGGAAGTTTTACCATTGAGAGGACAAAAGAAATTGCTGAAAGTTTTGTAAGTCACTTGCATGGAATTGCATCCAAACAAGGAGACAAAGACATTACGAAAAAAGATGCCATGATGGAAGCTCTGAAAGATTTTAACGTGGAAAAGATATTAGGAGGTATTTATTATTACCGAGCTGTGACATTGAGTGAATTTGTTGGTTTGATACTTGTTCTACCAGAAATTCTTAAATGGAGAAACAAAATTAAGCTGGTTGTCATTGATAGTATTGCTTTCCATTTGAGAAAATCAAGCAGTGATGACACCATGAAAGATGAAGTTAAGAAATCCATAGGACCATCCTTGAGCTCTCTCGCTAAAGATTTTGACTTGGCCGTTGTAACAACAAACCAAGTAACAACTAAGTTTGTGAAGAAAGATGATTCCTCAAGAAATGTACATTATTTTGCTCCCTCCCTCAATCATTTATGGATTAATCATGTAACCTGCAGCATTTTCTTAGAGTTTGTCAATTCTAACCGAGTAGCTCGAATTGTGAAGGGACCTTCTGGGAAAGAACGAACCATACCTTTCAGGATTACCAAAGCTGGCTTTAGAGGAGTTCTACCTACGTCTGCCCAAAAATCTCTCATAGCTGTCGAAACAGAAACTCACACTCTTACAACTGAATACAACGAGCCTGAAGATGCAAGCAACCTTAAAAGAAAGAGAAAATAACGCCCAAGCTAACGTGCACCGACTTTCATGTACATAAATATTGAGTTTTTACAATTTTTTAATTCAAGATACAATGCACATTACATTTCGATTACTTTGGATAACTTTTGAATTCTGTTCAACAAGTGATCACCTTGCTTGATAGTTTGTTGATATAGTGCATTTTTCTCATCAGTTCGACTTGATTCAATCACACCAGAGACCTTATCAATTTTGGCGTTCAATTTATCTGCAGAAATGAATCTGGAAAGCTCATTATCTAAGAACTCTGGAGATAATCCAAATTGTTCTGCCATTGCCTCTAATGTCACACTCTTATATGCCTGCAAGAATTGTGAATAGGCACGTACTCTCATTTCTCTCGAGAAATAACGGACATGTTTGGATAAGTAACGATCCTTGATTAATTGATTATCCATCAAATCTACAAGTGACACCAAAAACAAATTGTACTGGCAGTTATAGAAGGAATTCACAAACTTTTCAGCAATTGGCAGCTTGTGAATCACTGATAATACATCAGAAGACTCCAAAATATTCTTCTTCATCTCAGGTCGACCAAGTGAGAATGTACAGACTACAATTGAGTAGAAAATAAATTGTTCAAATGTCATGATTTCACTTGATGAGAAGGTTGAGATTGAATCCAAGAAAAGTTTTGCGGCTTTTGCAAAGTTTCTTATGGTCATAAGATGAACGCCCTCATAGACCTTCAATCGATTTCTTCTTTCCCAATCTCCTCCTTCAACAATCATGCTATTAGCTCTTTCAAGATTTCTCTTCACGATATCCTTGTCATCGAATGCAAATCCTACACGAAGAAGTGCAAACAAAATGTCAAGTTTTTGTCCCAAAGCAACAGTTTTTGTTTCTGTTTCTCTATATGCAGAAAGAGTGTTTTCCTTGTCTCCAATAGAGTAGTAATATTGTGCTTTGGTAAGAAGAGCTTCTCTCACTTCATTTTCACCAAGGTTTTTCTGGGCATCTTCGATTTTTTCGTTTAATTCTTGGATTTTTTTTTGATTTGACTCTTTCAAGGAGTTAATAAATGTTGGATCGGCTTTGAAATAGTCAGGAAGTTGTTGAACGAGCACATTTTCATAGTAAGGTCCCATTTCTGTTCGTGTTGATAGAAGTTGTACACAATTTTTGAAAATTCATCATAAGATTAATATTTGTATAAATCACGACCAAGTCCAACCATCATCCAAATTTCAAGATGATGATTCACGGTATGCCAATAAAAAAGCAAGATTAATCATTGATGATGGTTACATTACATCCGATCCGATCATTATGTATACAACAAAAAACATTATTACACTCTACGAATGATCACTACATGTACTTTACATACCCTTCTCTTTGACAATATCCAATATTTCCTGCACGAGAACATTCTTGTTTACCTTAGGGAAATCATTACTCAATAGGAATTTCTTCTCTGCTAAGACAAGCAAATGACTCACTGGTTCAACTTCTTCCATTTTTTTAGATTGAGAAATTTGACTTTCAATTTTATTTTTAGCGTGACATTTCCTCATCATGAAACAGTGGTTATTGTTTCGAATGAAAAGTAACAAGCTGAATGATTAATTATTGAAAGTTTTTCTCTCTCTGCACTATCGTTTGACGGGTGTCTTGGAGGGCTTCTTTTCTGCAACTATTTGTTCCAACTCTGCAATTCTGGATTCGAGTTCTGAAATTCTGCTTTGAGTCATTTCCTCAATTTCCTTTTTAATGGGTTCTAACTGTTTAAGGATTTGAGGGTGTGGTGGTTGCTTCTTTTGTTCTGCTGATTGTGGTGCTTCTTCTTTTGTGACTTGCTGTTCATTTGTTGGTCTTTGTTCTGTAGAAAGTGGGGGAGACACAGATTTACCATTGTTCTCCAATCGGGGAGTGGCCTGAGGTGTTGTGGTATTTTGTTTTGCTTTCTCTTCAGCCAAAACTTGTTGTTGCTTCTTTTCTTGGAATTCTTGTTGGGTCATTGCCTTCCCCAAACTGAGCATTTCGAATGGTTTTGGAAGAATTAATTGTGATGGAGATGGCACAATCGTGACAGAAGCCGTTTGCTTTGGACAGAAAACATATTGGTACATTTTGTAGTGACGATAAAATCTGCATTGCGAACAAATAAAAACTGATTCACCTTCCTCACTCATTTCAAATACTTACGTGTTGTAAATGTATTCCGAAATTTTCTTCACGTCGTCCACATGGAACACCTCAATACTGAAGGGAGGTCTATGTACACTATATTTTGTTACTAGCTGTTTGAAATGAACAAAACTGTCGTAAAGAGAAATATCATTATTCGAAGTGTCCTTATGAATTTCCTTGACAATTGTAAATAAGGCTGAAATCTTCTCGAGAGTAAATCTGTTTCTCATGCAGAACATGATCGTATACATGAGTAGATCCGAAAGAATTTGATATTGTTTAACCGACAAGTTCGGGTAGAGCTCATACAAATCCAAAACTTCATTCATATTTCTATTGTGATTTCAATGACATCATTAATATTGCAATCCCGAAAATGTATTATTGTTATGGCAAAACAGCATTATTTATTTTCCATGATGTTCTCGCGGCAATGATGATGTCCACGACCACGTAAAAACTTACTGTTTCAAATCCTCAACACTCGATACATTTGAAAGTATGGATTGTATCTGATCGGCTGTAATGTCTTGCCACAGCATTTTTTTGGCGGTTTTGAATCATGTATGAAATTTTCATAAAATAAATTTACAAATATAATGGGGAGAATTTGTAGAGGTGGATGATGGTTAGTGATGATGAAAATATTTGTAATCAAACAAATAAGCTCTTAGGTGTTCGTATAATTTAAATAATAATAATAATAATAATTGAGAAGAAAATAGAGTCACCTAGTCATTAGAGGGAGCATTGGAAGACGAGCCAGGTTGTCCAGAAGGTTGAAGAGCAGTTCCCGATGTTAATGAGGAACCAGCTGCTGATGATCGTGTTTGAATCTGCTCATTTACCAAATTATCGGAAAAGTATTCGGGTTTGTGAATCTCAATGCCGTAATCTTTCAAAGATTGAGCCAAATCTTCTGTTGCTAGAACATATCGGGGTTCTTTTCCCTGTTGTTTTGGTGTTCTTCTTGTACAAAAGAGATGAGACTCTTTACATATTTCGGAAAGAAATTTATATGCTGACAAGGAAACTAATCGAAGAATTCGTTTGTCTGTTGTTTTAAATCCGCTTTGTTGTAAGTAGTAGGCAATGATTTCATCCGGAATCTATGATGGCCATCAAGACACCATCAATTGTGTTTGTGATTTCGGAATAAATATATTTGATACAGTTGTGTGGATAATACCAAACCTACCGCCGGATTGAAATCTTGCATCGAGTCAAGAAATTCTTGCAAATCTTCTTTTGTTGTGGGTTGATCCGATGATGACATTTTTTTGTTGTAGAAAAGAAAAATTTTCAATCCACAATTACCAACAACAAACCCGATGAGACCATGCACGAATTTAAACTAATTGTTGATGAATTTAATTTTTATTGAGTTTAGATGTTTGAAGGGAAGAGGAAAACTCTCACAGTTTGAGCAATAGCAGAAGGTGGCAATTGTGGGTTGAATTTAGCTCTGACAGCACCAGAGTTTCCGTGTGGTCTGGTGATCTTACCCCAAACAACTCTGTATCCCTTGTATGTGTTTGAACCAGAGGTCAAGGAGTTTTCACCCTTATAGAGGTAAGCAACTCTCTTTCCGACGTAGAATTGAGCAGCCTTGGAACTGGTGACACCTTCGAGTTGGAGGAGACTGGTATTTTCGTATTGTCTAACCTTTGATCTCTTGAAGCCCAAAACGCGAGCTCTGACCCAAAGTCTGCTTTCCTTTCTCTTTCCTTGGAAATTGACTCCCTTACGCTTGGTTTGAGTTGCTGTTTGTGTTGAAGTAACCATGGTTAATGGGGGATGTAGTTGTGGCTATTTTTTTTCGACAAATTTTTTAATAAATTTTAGTCAACCAATAACGATAGTTTACAATGCCTGTTATTGATACAAGCATTTTCAGACATTTTCACGAGAAAGGATCTAGGATATGGTGCATCCCTTTTACTGTTGGTTCTTTCTTTCCTTCATCTTCTCCTCCAAGTTATACATGGCCATCAGAAGCATCGAACTTTTCATTTCTCTTTGAAGCTTTTCGTGTTCATCTTCATTTTGCGTTGCATTTTTGTCTTTTCTCATCTTTTCTTGGATCATTTCATACTTGGCCACTTCTTTTTCGATAATCTCCGCTGCAAGCTCCATATTTTGTTCAGTTTTATAGTCCAAGACTTTTCCTTCCAATAGCCATTTAATCTTGTCGGAAGGCAATAATTCATTGAATCCCCTAATGATCCCGATATATCATGAAGAAAATATTTCGTTTAAAAGAAGTCGTTGGTTGCATCAAGCACAAGAACGAATATCAGAATGATATTTTCAAAATGAACAACCCATATTTAAGGTTAAGAATCATGATCAATCCCATCCAAGCAAGAACAACCTACATTTTTTTTGATTAAGCCTCTCTTCTCTCATATCTTGTTTGTGGAATTGATCATCAGAAAGTATTTGTTGAATTGTTGCCGCCATTCAAATTTCGCAACGGAAAAAAATCATGAAAAGCAAACGAATCATTACCGATGACGACGACGACGATGAGGAAGAAGAGAATATATTTTCAAAATTCGGACAGTCCTCATCCTCTTCTTCATTGACCTCATCCTCTGCTCCTTCCTTCTCTTCCAATAATTTCATCATCACGAATACGAACACCGCTTGGTTCAAACGATCGGAGGAGAGAATGACCTCTTCTTCTTCATCTCCACAGAGCACCGCCATCACTGATAGTTCGATTCAAACAAAATTAAAACGATTGTCCATCCATGAGCAACATGATGAGCCTCAGCATGAAAAGTTCGCTCATTCACTTTCATCTATTTCACATCTTGGTCAGACATCGCAACTGCTCTCATCTTCCAGTCATCAACCAGCGAAACTAGAATCAGAGAAGGATAGAAAGAAGCGATATAATGCCCTCATTAGAGCTGCCAGAGATTTGGAAAAGAAGAAAGAACATCCTTCTTTGTTTTTACACATGTATGAGGAAGCTTATTCTTTGTTTAGTGTTGACAGTAAGCTATTGGGAAAAATTCAAAAGTATAAAAGTATGCTTGGTGACAACAATTCGCAATACTTGCTGCTGTCAACATCTTCCGCAACAATTAACAACGGTAATGTCACGAATGTCATCAAACAGGAACATCACACTTCAGCAACAATTGATATTGAAACAGATCCAAACGGTACAGAAAAAAACAATTTATTGCAATCTTTGAACAATGACACGCCATCGGTTCATACAACAAATAGTGACAAACTGGAATCTTCATTTATTGATTCATCTGTCATGCAGTCTCCACAATCAGGAAGAGTGAAGAAGCGATTCAAAAAACTTGACAATGGATTTATTTTCGACACAAAGGCAGATCTCTATCTTTTGATGGACCAAAAAGCAAAACAAGAGCGAAGAATACCTTTTAAACTTGCAGCCTTGATTTATGATAAACTTTATGACTATCAGAGAGAGGCAATTTTGTGGTATTGGAACAAACACAAGTCCATTCAAAATAAGATCCAAGGAGGTATTTTGGCAGATGACATGGTAAGTGTGAAGTTGTATTTTACAATATATATAAAAAACGAATTGTCAACCTTAATAGGGATTGGGAAAGACAGCAACAACCATTGCATTTATTTCTGGCCTTTTTGCAGGAAATAGTGTAAAATATGTCATGATTGCAATGCCTGTAAGCTTGATTGAAAATTGGAGAAAAGAATTTACAAAATGGAGTGAGGGTGACTTTAACATTTTCGTCTTTCACTCTTTAACAAAGAACCAGAGATTGGATATTCTTTCACAATTCCGAGAAGAGGGAGGAGTTTTATTAACCACCTATGTAAGTGTCAGTGATTCATTGAGGTTCACCATTTCCTGTCATGACAATGCGTTCATTATGATACATACAAATAGGGAACGATTTCTTCACAAATTAAATTATTTGTGGAACACTTTGTGGACAAGAACTATGAGTTTGATTACATCTTTCTCGATGAAGGTCACAAACTCAAAAATCCAAACACTCTCCTCTCCAAATGTTTGCATCAACTTCCAACATCCATGTGTCGATACGTCATTTCAGGAACACCTGTTCAAAACAATCTTCTCGAAATGCATGCTCTCTTAGATTGGATCTTTAAGGGAAGTCTTCTTGGAAATCGTGCAACATTTAGAGAAGAATTTGAAAAGAAAATTTTGAGAGCCAATGAAAAAGACGCTACAAGTTTTGAGAAGAAATTAGGAATTGAAATTTTGAAACGTTTCAGAGAGTTGATTGGACCTCACTTGTTGAGAAGAGAAAAGTCACAAGTGTTAGGAATACAGAGAGCGTCCTTGTCCAACTCAAACTCTCCTTCCACAACACGAGTCTCTTCAACATCTTCAACAATCAGCTCTTCAATATTGTCTCAAGAGAAGAGAATTGGAAAAAAGAATGATCTTGTGGTATGGATTAAATCCACAGATTATCAACTTCAACTCTATAGAGATTTTCTCAAGAGTGAGGATGTGAGTGATGTCATTAATCGATCTACATCTCCATTAGCAGGTAGGTCAATTCTTTCAATTTCTTATATAATTTCTTATCAATTTCTTGTAATGCCAACCGGACATTCATAGCCATTACCATTTTAAAACAAATCTGTTCACATCCTGATTTACTTCCCAACAATGAAAGAAAATCATTGAATGTTCAAGAAATGATTTCCATGAGTGGCAAAATGATTTTTCTCAAATCATTGGTTGAGAAATTGTATAAGGAAAATGAAAAGTGTCTCATCTTTAGTCAAAGTACTAAAATGTTGGACATGATTGCATCCATGTTAAAATTCATCAATATTTCATATACCAGAATTGATGGAAGTATTAACAGCCCAAAGGAAAGACAACGTCGTGTGGATGCGTACAATGCTCCAAATTCTCCTTACTTTTGCTTTTTATTGACCTCGCAGACTGGAAGTGTTGGATTGACACTTACGGCAGGTATGTTTTGCATGCACTTAAAACATTTATTCTTATATTAATCATACACACGAAATATTATTATATTATATTTATTATGTTAATCGTATATCAAATGTCAACACTCAATGATCACTATGACAGCAACAAGAGCAATTATTTTCGATCCAAGTTGGAATCCTTGTAATGACAATCAAGCAGCAGATCGATGCTATCGTATTGGACAATTGAAAGATGTCGTAATTTATCGATTAATTTCTTGCTCTACAATTGAGGAAAAAGTTTATAGAAAACAAGTATTCAAAGATGCCATTTTCAGATCAACAACTACTGAAAAAGAAAATCAATATCGTTATTTCACACATTCAGAATTGAGAGAACTCTTTTCACTTCCACAAAATCCAAATATTTCTGAAACCCAATTACAATTAGAATCGATTCACAAAGCATCAAATAATCATTATAGCGAAAAACTCAAACAACATCTTGATACTGTAAAAAGACAAAACAAACACATCATTACTGGATTTAGTAATCATGACTTGTTATATTCAAAACAAGCAGATGATGTTCAATATGGAGCTGAAGATGATTTACAAATATCCATTCTTGCAGACGACTCTGCCAGAGCTCTTCATGAAGAATCCATCCATTCGAGTCGAAATTCTTCAACAATTCCAACAACAAGGAATCATCGATCAAAAAGAAAGGTGACGACACTTTTCGACGAGGAAAGAGTAGGTTCTTCTATGAATGGTCGAACCAAAGAGTATGCTTCTTCCACAAAAGTAGTTGGTCTTTCTCCACCACCTTCTGAATTTTCATTCCTTTCCGAAAAGGAAAATATCGCAAACAACCCAAATTTTTTACAACATGGAGTTCCAAAAATCATTAATTCAAGTACAATTCCAAATGACAACTCGTCTGCATCATCAATGACAACTACTCGTACAACTGGAAACAACAAGAAAAATCTCCCAACTATGTCATCATCATCAACAATTTCTAAAACCTTCTCAACTCCTCCTCGATCTTTAAGAAGGAATCATTTAACAGAAAATAAGAGAATGGATTATGAGCTTAGTCCTTCTCCAACGAGTGGAGATGTAAATGATGTGAATGACCACTCAATGATGATGAGTCCTCCAACTTTGATTCCTGTCCATTCCAACGTTGAAGTTTCACATCACTCGAAAACAACAAGAACATCTGACACGAGTGAGAGTGGTGACAAGAATTCTTCGTTTGAAAAGATTCAACGAAGACTTTCTTCCTTCTTTGGACTTATTGATGAAGAAGATGAAAATTATGAACCATCTGATGATGAGGAAGAGCAAGTGTTGAAGGCAGTGAAGGAAGTGGAGGATTCCAAGACAATTAAGAATCATGAGGATGATGAATATCCAATTGTGGATCTGAAACAAGATCATTCTTTGAATGCAAAGACATTATTTGTGGATGATGTTGCTGAACAGGATGGTGGTGACGATGAAGATGAATACGAAGAGGAAGACAATACATTTGATGATGATGATGAGGGTTTTATATGTGACGATGAAGATGAATACAATGAAGAAGATGATGATCCAACCATGAAGATTACTCCAATGAAACCACCACCATCATTGGATCGTGATGATGATGACTGTTACAAGGAAAGTAGTGGTGACAATGTGGATGGAATAATGTTATTCTCACCTATGACTGCTACTCATGATCACACAAACCATGAAGAAAGAGCAGAACAAAAAGAGGATTACATGATGATGAGTCCACCACCTATTCATGATTCTTCCTGTCGAGAAGGTGCTATTGCTGAGATGGCGGCTTCCATTCATGATGATTTATCAACTTCTCAACATCAGGAATATTCACATGAGTATTTGAGCTTGTTAAGAGAAGCTAGAAATGTAGAATTGAGTGGTGATTTACTTTATGCCATTCACTTGTATATGAATGCTTTAGAGCTGTGTGATGGAGATATTAATTTGCATTGTAAAATTAATTACTTGGCGAATACTCTGAGATTTAATGATCATGGAATGGAATGGAAGTAAGAATGATTGGAATTAATTTTTGGTTTTTATTTGCAACGATTGACAACGAAGAGGTTGCTGCCAACGAATCTACTGAACGAGCAGCAACGTGGAGATGTTGGCCAGATTTACAACATCGAGTCGAATAAAGGCAACCAGTGAGATCGCAACGATGATCATTGCTGCAGGAGCAACCAAGTTTTCATGTGATTAATAAGTAATTGTTTGCTTTTATTTACTCTTCAGCCTTTCCGAATGTAGCAAAACTGAATGGACGGAAGAGAGAACCAGTTCCCTTAAAGAATTTGTTTTGGAATTCGACCCAAGTCAATCTGATGGTGTGCAAGAAGGCAGACAAGGATTCCATGAGCAACAAGACACCAATGGTCATACCAAACCAAATTGAGAAGATGAAGAAGAGACCAACACCACTGTGAACAACAGCATCTTCGGCGACCTTGCTGGATTCCAACATGTTAAGTGCCAAGCCAATAGTCATTTGCCAGAAAACTTCAGCAAGCTGGGCGTGAGCAAGAGACAAAGCCCACAAACGCAAATATGAAGCAGTGTTAGACACAGTACCCAAAACGTACTCAATGGTGTGAATAAGTTGCTTAATGAACAATTCAGAGAATGGTTCAATTTCTTCGTGATGTTGAGGTTCTCTGTGATGAGCCAATTGGTCTGTACCGTCTGTTCCTTCCAAAATTGCAACATGATGGGCTTCATCACTGTTAGAGTTAACAGCTTCAGCGTCTTCAGCTTTTCTTGGCTTGAACTTTCTCTTTTGCTTGCAGTATTCAACGATTGGCTTTGGAATGAGGAGAATTGGAATACAAATAACAGCGATCAATAAAAGACCAATTTGAGCATATGCTTGAGCAGATTTGGCTGCTTCAACATCACCACCACTGTAGAACATTGGTGGTTGAGACATCTTCCATGGACTCAAGAAGAAGTCGGTCATCATTGGCAAAATTTGAGGTGGATCAAACTTTCCAACATAAATAGGATCAAACCAGTTGACGCACCACTTGTAAATAATCAAGAAGCACATGTAACCGAATGTGGACCACAAAATAAGAACCTCAGGAATAAATTCAAGGAAAATGTCAAGGAAATGTCCAAAGTGAATCATGTTAGCTAAAGCAAAGAAGAGACCAATGGACATGTGGCCTACACCGAAAATGACGGCCATTTTCATCTTCAAAGAGTTGTAATAGAGAAGCTTGTTGGATGTGTGGAACCAAGCAGGGTCAACACCGAATGGATAGGTGACATCTGGAATCTTTTCACCAATATGTCCATTCCATTGGTATCCAGACTTGAAAATGTCAACAGCCAAGCCCAAACCATCATTGTAGAGGAAACCAGTGTAAATCGAGAAGATACCCATGAGCAAGAGAATATATCTACCAGCAAATACCATGCTAAACAACTCGCTGCTTTCAGCAACTGGCTTCAACTTCTTTTCAAAGATAACCATGGCAAAGCTGAACAAGGTCAACAAAATACCGTGACCAAAATCACCGAACATGACAGCGAAAAGGAATGGGAAGAGAATAGTAGAGGCTACAGCAGGGTTCACTTCCTTATAATCAGGAATACCATAGGAATTGATAATGTTCTGGAAGACCTCTGTAAATCTGTTGGTTTCAAAGAATGTTGGTGGTGTTTCGTTCGTTTGGATAATATCGCAAATGGATGGAACTTGAGCATTGGAGCCTAATCTTGCTTCTTCCATTTCTCTCTTCACATTTTCAACGTTTTTCTCAGCACACCAACCAATTGCAACAACGGAACCCTTAATGTCATAGTTAAATAAATTGAGAGTGTGGAAAATTGCCTTCTCCTTGTGTACCCTCTCTTTCCATCTTGGAAGGTTGACCGAAATCTTGCTCAAAATGTCAGTAACTCTTGACTTGGTGCTTTCAATAGTGGTTTCCAATTCACCAATCTTTTGTTCTACAGATCTCTTTGTACCAGCAATGTCTTGTTCTGGGAAGTCGTGAATAGAAGCTCCCAAAGCTTCACAGACTTTCTTGACCTTTTCCTTGGCAGCAGAAGCACCAAAGAAGACTGCGAAAACGTTCTTTTCAATCATCTTACCAGACTTTTGGTCAAATAATGGAACTGGAATCTCAGCAAATCTTGGCACGACGTTACCACGAGTACTACGATAGATAAGCAACAAGAATGATGGAATCTTCTCACGTGGAATAACTCCAGTCATATAACCCAGACTAGAACCTCTGGAGCCAGCCAACATTCCAGCTTCGCTATCATCACTGTAGCTCTCCTCATCACCTTTGAAGAATTGAGAAGCCAAGTTGATGACATAGCTGAACTCCTCTGCCTTGTTCTTTTCGGCAATCATTTGGTCGAGATTTCCAGACAAATCACGGAGTTCCTTCTCGTAATTAGAGAAGTCCTTTTCGTAGCTATCCAAAATGTTTCCGTATTCATTGGTTTCCTCATCATCACCTGGGAAGTTCTCACCGCTTGCGAAGGTAACTTCAGATTTGAGAATTTGTTCATCAAAATAACGAATAATTCTGTCCAACTCTTCGCAACGCTTTACTTCATTGGCGTATTGTCTCTGGAAAGCGTTTAAATGAGAAGACAAATCTTTAAATTCAACATAGCCTAACTCTCCCAATCGTTCCACTGTTTGGTGAGCGGCTTCTCTTTGCATGGTCATCTCAAGGAGGACCATATTCTCACTTCTCCACATTTTCAAAAAGAATGCTGTTGTAGGAAGGAAGTGATGGCAATATTTTTTTTGAGATATTTTTTAAAAATTTTTATGATTTTTTATGATTTTTTTTAAAAATTTACTATCATCACCCATTTGTCGAATAAGCCAAAAGCGACGATGAGGAACAATGATGCTGCGAATAATTCAAATATTGGTTGAAATACCACAAATTTGATAAAGAATGGAAATATTTGCATGGTTGTCAACATTTACAAACCTATTATACTAGGTGATGATGATGATCTTCATTTTCTCAGCAGCCAATCTCCCGATGGAATTGGTTGGAGTTGTGGATTGCTGTCTCGAATTGCAATGTTTTGCAAAGTTCTATGATAAACGAAACAAGGAATGGGAGGAGATTGAGATTGTATTGGGGGCTTATGCACTGTTTGTTGCATATTATTATCATCATACTCCGTTTTTGAAATTGGATAGGCTTCAACAATGGCCCGATCGTATTCTGAATGGTATCATTCAATATATGAGAACACCATCATCATTGAAATCAACAATATCTTGAACCTGATCAAAGGTCAACGTACCTTCTGGATATTCCTCAATTTCATCAGCAAATTTCAGTAGTTTTTCGAAATTCTCACCTTCGGGTTCACTCACAGATATAATGTAACCATAGATCCGATCGTTCGGATTGTCATTTAGAATTGCAATGGGATCTTTGTTCGAAGAATTTTCGTTATCATCAAAAATATATTTCCGAGAAGAAGCAACACTTACACTTATGAAAGAACAATTGGGCCTTTTCAATATATCCGAATTGGGCATGTACTTGATAACCTTGAGGATTGTTGAATGGATGAGTCCATGGTGCTCCGCTGGTATCGTCTGGCCTCAAGGTTCCATACACAAACATCTTTGATATTGCTTGATGAAACATTTTATTGTGAATGGTGACCAGAAGATCAGATCTTTAATTGAAGACACTTTGAAACTTTTATTGAAATTAATTTACTAACAGTCACTCTTCTTGTGCGAAGGTTGAAGTGGAAAACGAAGCAACTGATTGGTTGGGTTGATTCACATTAACAGGTATTTCCAAATACTTATCTGTAATGGTCATTTCTGTTTTTACCTCAGAATTTTGTGGAATAAGGTGGTTAATTTCCATATTATGGTCGTCATTACTCTGCGAGGTCATGGATGACACTGGAGATACTGACAAACCAGTGCTAGCTGGCTGTTGCAAGAAATTTGATGCCTTCGAGGTTGTAATTGGCGTCATTGAAGATGGAGATGTTGATTGAGGAGAAACAGTATATGACATGTCACTGTACATGACTCTATTCTGTTTTGAGGATCGCTCTGAATGATGTTCGTTGGGCATGAGCACCGCTAAAATCTCATCTCCAATATCAGAATATTTGATTAACACTTCGAGAATGAGGATGACACGAGCTAGAGAGGGCCTTTGTGTTGGATTCTTCTTCAACATGGATTGAATCAGAGCAATCAAGAGGTTCTCATTGGTTCTTGAACAGAGTGCCTTGGGAGCAGTTGAGCTAGGAGTGTGAACAACAACGGTTGAGCCAGTTTGTCGATTAGCTTGAGAGTCAAGGTTGTGTTGATGCATAAGGACAGTTCTCTCGCTGTTTGCATCATGTTCCCCACTTGTTGAGGTTGAAGGAGACAACTCAGAACCCGTCTGTGGTACTGCGGTGTGAAGGATGAGAATTGCTTCACTCTTGAGAAGACTCATGTGAATTTTGGATGCAATAATTTGATGAGCCAAAGTCTCGTTGAGTGCAACACTTTCATCAAGCGATAGCATTCCAAAATCATGTCTTGTAAATGACATGGTTTGTTTCTCAGAATGGCTGTTGTTGGTACTAACATTGTTAACCACCACTGTGTTTGTTGTGACACTTGATCGGTTAGATTGAGATGGTTCTACAAAGGGAGGTTTTTGGGGAACATTGAGTGGCCCCATCTTTAAGAAACTTTCTCTTGTAATAAGCTGATAGAAAACACATCCCAATCTGAAAATATCATCCTTTTGATCCAAGTAGCTTTCGATATCTCCACAATAGATGGTTGAGTTGTTTGATGAAATTTCATTCAAAGCCATTTGCTTTCTGAAAGAGGAGTGTGAGGTTGGAACTGAATATGAGACATCTTCAAAATCTTGCCCAGGCCTTTTGTTCTTATTCTGAGAATAAGTATCCATAACTTTTCTATTCTTAATGACATAGTCATTTGTTGTAAAGTCCCAAGGTTTAAACCAATCGGTTAGTTTAACATTCAAATTGGATTGAAAATCCTCTTCAAGAATGGATGTTGAATCTTCTAGAGCCCTAATGATTAGCGATTTGAGTTGAGAGTTGCTTCCTGATTGACTAGCAGTGTTATTCTCGCTCATTTTTGAAGATGATGGCATCATTTTGTTCTTTCCATACTTGGAGAGCTCCTTTTTGATATAATTGTCAATGATTGGTATTTCACTGAATTTTTCTTCCATTATTCTACCATATTTGAAGCTTGAAGATGTAGAAGGAGTATTGCCACCATCATTTCTCTGTTGAGACTTTTTGTGTTTCTCATATTTCTCATCTGAATTATAACTCAACAGAATCTTCTCTGGTTTCAAAGTGGGAAAAACAATGCCTCTTTCATGCAAGTGATTCAAACCTCTTGCACTTTGCAAAGCAATATCCAAAACCTCAATGTAGTTGATGTACTTATTTTTCTTGATGGATTGTTCAATTTTCCTTTCTAAATTACCTCCATTCATGAATGGCAACTCAATGAATATTTCATACTTGTTGGCAAGATATCTTCGAATGGTATAATCAGAGAAAGTCATTACATTGTCATGCTTGTCAAACAGAATACCACTCTCAATACCTGATCCAATCTCAAACAAATCTGCCTTAGAAATATTGGCAAGCTGTTTCAATGCGCACATTCTGTTTGCTTTCACCTTTACAGCTTTGTAGAGCCTTCCATTATGATTATCGGCTATCTTTTTGAGAACCAAGTATCTAATTCCTAGTACGTATGTTTTAACACGTTTCTCAAAGCCATAATGGTCTTCTTGAGACGTCACACTGAGGAGCAAAAACTTCATAAGCATTTCAATTTCATTTCCTCTTCTGAGACGAATTCTTTTTTCCATCCATTCAACCATTCTAATGACTTGATCTTCGACAAAGGAGTCCAAAGTGGTATAGTCTTTGTATTTCTTCTTTACCTCTTGGAAAATTTGATTCAAGTTATTCACAAAATACCACTCCTCTTCCAATGTGACCATGAAGGTTTTGTCATAGAGTTCATAGTTTTGTTCAGTGTACAAATGCTTGGCGTATGTCGCAATGAAGATGGCGAATACTAATCTTTCATTGATTTCGATTTGATTGGGCTCTCCTTGGATCAGAGACTGCAACACACTCATCTTGCTCAATGGAATGTCAAAAAGGAAAGAAAGGATTTGCTGAACATTTCTAGGAATGATTTTCTGCCTCAATTTCATTTTGACATTTCTAAAGTCAAATCTTTTAAGACAAGCTTCAATGACCTGACAAGTGATTTGGTTAGATTCAAAATGATCAATCAAGAACTCTATTTGTCTCAGCTCATTTTCACTACCAATAGGTTGCGTAAGACAATATCCATTCACATTGAGACTATTGAACAGAAGTTTCAATGAATGGAGTAATCCAGCAGATTGAGTTGGTTCAGAAGGAGCTTCTATTTGATTCATGATCACTCCTTGTGACTCATCCATATTTCCATCAGTCATTAAGGCATTCTCTGATACCTCAATTGTCTTGGGTTTGACAGCACTAAACCTTAAATTACCACCATACGAAATCTCCTTCAACAATTCATGGAATATTTCTCTGACTTTCTGCTTTCTAAACTGAGCCAACTCTGCTCCATGCATTTCAATATAAGGAACATAATATTCAAGAGCTTTCTTGAGACCTTCTCTCTTTGACACCACTCTTTCAGTAGCAGGAAGGGAAGTGGCAGTTCTGAGAATGACTGAATGGTGAGTGGCAGCTCCACCTCCGCTAGAGTATGATGAGGAGGCCACCGATCCTCTTGGTTGCTCTAAAACCGCCATTCCATTCTGTGAAAACGCTTCTTTGTCAATATCCTTATTTTGTGAGCCAGTTGGTGTATTGATATTTCCGCTACCGGGAGTTGTTGAGGTATTGTTGTTATTGACATTGTTCGAAGCAATGGAAGGTCTTAAAGAATAGCTTTGATTTCCATCCATGTTGTCTGTGCTCAACAAGGAATGTCTTCTTTCCACAGCACTTCTTCGGCTATTGAAAGTGGGGCAAGAAGATTCGACACCGACCAACACCAACGCAATCGTTCCTCCTTGTTTGGCTTTATACAATTTCTCATATAATATATCAATTTGGTTGAAACTATTTCGAACACAAACATTATAGACAATAAGAAATCCGTCACACTCTTTGAGACATTGATCTATAATGTTCACAAATTGATCATAAATATCATAGAAGAACAATTCCAATTCATAGTGTTGACCTTGGTATTCAAAGAGTTGTTTCATGGATTGACTTTCTGAAACTCTTCTTTCAGATTGATCATTCATTGGTGAAGTAAATGACGAGGAGGCAGCATTGTTGACTACTCCTACTTGTTGTGAAGGAGAGGAACCAAAATTAGGAGGTACCATGTTATCCATTAAGAATTCAGCTGCTATAAGAGATTCATGAATATCCTCACCAAGAATTGCAATCTTGTAAGATTTCACATGTTGGATGGATTTTCTTGGAACCTCTTTCTGATCGATCATGTTGTTGCTCTCTGCAGACTCCACCAATTTAGGAGTGTTGGATGTCTTTGGAGAGGAGAAATTGAACCATCTCTGATAGAATGACAATTCTTCTTTCAACACCTTTGGTTCATCTAGTAATGAGAAAGTAGTATGACCTTCCCCTTTGGTGTTTAGAGGATGATCCTTGTTGGAAGTTGTGGTTGTAAATGCTTTCTTTGGACTCTCTTCCTCAATGAGAATGACTTCTTCTTGAGGTTGATTGGAGGTTCGAGGAGGTGTTGTCTTTCGTTCTGCAACATTCACTGTATTTGAGGATGTAATAATAATGGGAGGAGAAGAAGGAAGACGTTGTTGGAGAGGTTCTTCATCATTGTCGATTGGATCTCCACTTGAATGTATTAAACTATTGGACGATTCAATTTTGTTTTTGCTTATATTGGAACTAGTGACTTCAGAAGTGAGTGGCTTTCCAAAGTCAATAATGTCATCGTCTTCGATTTCAAACTTGGTGAGATGAATACTGTCACGAATTCCTTGAGGTCGTGGAACGCCCAAAGACGAAGAGGATGTTTGCTTGTTCTTTTTGTTCTTATTATTCTTTTTGGGAGATTTTGTTGGATTTTGGTTGCGAGTCGAAGCGAATAATCGTTGCATCAGAGAAGTATGGGCCTTAGTCTTTTCGGATTGTTGAAGGAATTGTTGTTGAGAAGTGTTATTGTTGGAGCTATTGCCTCGCGAGCTTGTTTTGCGAATGACAGTTGGAGTTGCATCGTCACGGTTGTCATTACCGTCCTCATCATCTTCCTCTTCTTCGTATTCGTCACCATCCACATATTCACCATCTTCCTCTTCTTCATATTCATCTTCATCATATTCATCGTCGTCATTGCCATCAGTATCAACCAATTCGACTTGTGAGTCTTCTTCTTGGTCTTCCACGTCAGCAACCTTGTTGATGAGCTTGGTGTTGCTGTCTGGTAAGGTTTGTTGTTCTTCTGACATTTTAATTTTGGTGATAAGATGAATCGAACAGACGAATCGGTTAATATTCTGTTAATATTTAAAAGGTTGACTTCATTGGTTGGACAGTGATGAGGGTTATTCATACTTTTTTGGAATGATAGATGAACATCAGAAAGTACTTTTGAGTATTACAAGTAAATTCTTAAACTGATCATTTAACAAAAATAGAAAGAATGGAAGAATATTTATTGCTTTCTTGCAACAACATCCTTGAATAAAGCGAAAATATCTCCATGAATATAGTCATTGTCTACAATATTCAACAAGTACCATTCGTCGGAGATGGATTTGAGCAGTTTGTGAGCATTTGAATTCTCGTCATACAACGACAACCAATGAGTATCAAGAATGTGGAATGCTTCATCTTTCCAAACCAAGAAAGCATTACTATCAACAACGGTTGGTTGAAGAATTTGTTGACCTGGGAACACCCCCCAAGTGACTGCATTGACATAGGTACTATCTTCCCTAATGTTTGATCTGGCTTTTCCATCCTTGGCCAAAGCTTGATAGGTAATCATTGGGTACTTTTCAGCAACGACCTTTTCCAAGACATCCAATTGAGCTGGAGAAATGAAACATTCAACGTAGGCCTTTTGATAAACATAGCCATTCTTTGGTCCCCAACCAACATTCTTGTCAGAGGATGGGACACCGTTCACTTTAGGTTGTGAGTTTGTTGTCAAAAATCCATGCTTGTTGAGGAATACCAATTGGTCCTTAATAATATTGGTCTCTGGAGATGTATGTTGTTCATTCCATGGAAGGAATGGAATCTTTCCTTCAATAAAGTTCACAAAAACATTTGAAATGGATTCAATGCTATCGTGTTCCTTTCCCCAAGCTGTAATTTGATTTTCCTTGTCACCAAACTTTCTTCTGTAGAAATAGGCAATTTCTTCTCCCAATTCTCCAAATGCAGGAGATCTAGAGTCACTCCAACGACCATTAGGAAATTCATCCCAATGTTGAGTACGGTCAATGTAGGACTTGACACGATTAGACCAAAAGATTGGACGAACTTCTTCTGTTAAACGCTTAGCGTTTGCAGGTTTGACCCAAGGTAAAGATCTTGGAATACTCTCCTTTGGACAGAGTTCCAGACCTTCTAAAATTGATTCTGTACTCTTTTCCAAGTTGAGAGTATAAAAATGGAGACCACGAATACCATTGTTTAACAATGCTCTGCACATGGTAATGCACAATTTGATACCGTAGGCCTTAACCTCATTGTCATCTTCCAAATTGAGTTTTGACATTTCTTCCTTCATTTCCTCAGGAATTCTAGTTTTACAGAAGGAAGTCATTCTTTGCCAGGATGAATGGTTGTTGATTGGCATAATACCAGGAATAATTGGACATTTGATACCAATTTCTCTAGCATCCTTGACGAATTTCAAGAATTGTTGCCAGTCATAGAACAATTGTGTAATGACAAAATCAGCACCAGCATCATACTTTTCTTTTAAAAAGTGCAAATCCTTTTCGTAATCTCCATCAGGGTGACCTTCGGAATATCCAGCACAAGAAACACCAAAGTAGTCGCCATGCTTGTTTCTAATGTAAGTAATTAGATCCTTTGCGTGAGTGAAACCGCCATCGGTCTGTTCCCATTCTTCTGTTCCGAGCGGTGGATCTGTTCGTGAAGCGAGAGAAAAAGAGTGTGAAATTGTGTGAATTCGGTCATTAATTTGGAAAGTTGGACATTTAAATTTTTAACACGGAAACGTGTTTGAGTGATTTGAATTCAACACGGAACAGAAAGATCGTGTGAAAGATTGTGTGTTGTAATTATAATTAGGATTCACACAACAGCGTGATTGCGGAGTAAGTGGTTCCCATAAATATCAACATATAACGTCATCATCATAGTATTCAACACAAAGGTTCAACATTATTGTACACAAGTAAAAGTGTGATGAATCCGCCATGAGGATCATCATTAATTATTATGTTCAACACGCATATACACACAAAAAAGATTTTCTTTCATATTCATAAGCAATTCACTTACCTCCTCTTAAAGCTAAAATATTTGAAATACCCAAATCTTTGGCTGTTTGAATAGCCTTGTCCAACTCCTCAACCTTCATATTGGTGCAAGTCATGTGTATTTGAGTTTCAACACCAATCATATTCTGTGCGGTGGCTCCAATTTCAATGGTCTTACCAGCAGTGCTTCCTCCAGCACCCCAAGTAATATCAATGAACAACGGAGCAAATTTAGTCATACGTTGCAAACGTTGATATAAATTCTCAACACCCGCATCGGTCTTGGGTGGAAAATACTCAAACGAGTAGAAAGTCTTGTTCTCCTCGATGCACTGATTAATCTTATCAATAATTTTCATTTTTTTTTCTTCAGTTTCAGAAGAATCGCTGAACGATCAGCAATTGCAGCACTTTCCATTCGCTTTTTCGCTTTGAGACTTTTCCGAATTCTCACTCAAGGCAGAAAAGGGGCAGGCAACCCAGTGTATTCAGTGGATTCAATGGAAATTTTGTAAGTTTCGTTTGAAGAACCGATGAAAATCAGGAAGATCGGAAAGGTCACAGGACGAACCTCTCGGACCGAAAGAAGGAAGATTAAAAGATTTCCCACGTGTCCAACACAATGCAATAAATTGGCTCGTTCCTACCACAACCTTTCTATAGTGAGACCAAAGATTCTTATTTACTCCATGTTTCTAATTCAAGAAGGAAGTCGGTTCATCATCAATCACACCTTCTTGCTCTTCGTTTGATGAAAAATTTAAAAATTAAAAAAATGAGCAATCGCAGAGAGAGTCTGCGAAACACAGCTCAAGGATCGGCCTCATCACCAAGAGGTTCTTCCAATTTATCAACAGGCTCATCATCATCACGATATAACGAACCCGAAACAGAGGAAGATATTTTAAATTCAGTATCCAAAATTTATTTTCAAGATGTTCAGGGCAGCAATGAAATGACATCACCCACCAAAGGTGTCTCATCATCAGCAATGATGAATAATGGCATTGATCTTGTGGAATTTGTACTCACCCAACCTACTCTTGATTTGAGTGATGAGGCCTCCATACTGACAGAGCTAAACAAACAGGAAAAGGTTTTGGGTGTCGTCAATAATAGACTCGGTAAAACTGTGATGAATAATTATAACTCTTTTGTGGAAGGAATGACAAACGTGCAGGAAGTTGGTGCCGATCTCAACATGACATCATTAATGTGCAAGAATGGTCGGAAACGATTAAAGAAGGCTCACGAGAATCTCGTTCATGGCGGTTTGATGATTGTTGCATTATATCGAAAGAAGAAAAGTTTAAAGGTAATTATTCTTTTAATTCATTCATATTGAACATCTCCGCTATGGATATACAAACCAACACGACATACATTAATTTAAAAATCACAGACTTTGGAATACTACTTGGGAAGAATCAAAGAAATAGTTGACAAGGATAAGGAAATGAATCAATTGTTGGAAGAAGGAAATTTCCCGAGCGCTATTGCACTCATGTTGGAGCACCGACAATCTGTTGTCAGTATGAACCAATTTACTTGTGTTCAACAATTGGATAGAAACATTAAGAATGTATATCAAAGAATGGAACAGAAGATGAAAGAATCGTTGTTATCTGTTTGTGCCCAATTCGATCCAATCGCTTATGAAAGAATTCTAATAGCGTAAGTATTTAATCAATATTATCCAATGAAGTTAATAACATTCTGCAAAGTTCTAAAGAATTATCATCAGGCGAGATAAGTGTTGACATCAAGAAGAACTACAACGATGCCGTAGAGCAACTGTTGCGAGAAGTTGTTTTGTCATTCGCTATGCAAAGCCCCAAGGCCCAAAATATTGAAAGCATTGTCAAGTAGGTTTCAAATTGATTTTGATAGATAGCTCATGATGTACATTTTCTGAACTGATAGAATGGATTATGCAAATCTATGTAAAAAAATTCACTTCGATCATGTGCTCGCTTCCTTGTTGAGAGCATTGAGTACAGTCAGCGATATTATGTACAATTATTATCAAATGTATTGCTGGCATTTACAAAAGGAAAAAGACAAAGATGAAACATTGAAAGCATATGATTTCTCTATAACAAAAACAAACTTAAATCAATTCAGAAAGACTCTTTGGGACAACATTCAAAAAAAGATTTCTATATTTTTGAGCTCTTGTGACTTGTCACACTTTAAAATTGACAAATTCCTTCAAGTTTTTCACTCAATTAATATGGTATGTAAAGCGTTAAGTACTTTTCTTTTAATAATACTGTTTAAAAAGATTTGCCATCTCGGAGAGGAATTTAGTGAGAGCGACTCATACCATTTGAAGGGTGCTCTTAAAACTAAAAGCAGATCATATTTTGTCCACTATCATAAGGACATTTTAGAGAATATTAAGACCATGGTTGAAAATGAAAATTGGCAACAATTAGAATCTGTTAGCTTCAGTGTGAATGACATTCCGGAATTCAGGTCCAAGTCAAATAATGCACTTGATAGCATTGAAAATATTTATGAAGAATATTCAAAGAAAGTTCGAGGATTCTTAAAGTCTAATGACAGAGATAGCAATCCTTTCAAGTTAGCCTTCGAAAAGGGATCCTTCCTATTGACAACAACTTCTGAAGAGGAAGAAGAAACTGTTGATGATGGGTCATCTGAATCGTCAGAGTCATCCGAAGATGAAGATGATGATTTTATTAAAAAGAAAGATACCAAGCCAAAGAAGAAAAAGGAAAAGACGTTGAGGTCTATACCAATATTTCCATGACCATGTTGCGAAGAATTGGAGTTTACATTCAAGCCATGGAGATCATTCAACCAATTGGTCTTGATATTTTCTTCGCTTTTACCACTCTCTACAAATTTTATGTATGTAGACTTTTGATGAAAATTGTGAAATGCTAACATTTTCAATAGTTATACACAGTGTATACATTGTTTGCTAACATTTCTTCAAATACAGTGAGTTCCACTACGATTAACTTGGAAGAAGCTTTCACATATCCAGAACATGATACTAAAGTATCCGAGGCATTACAAAAAACTTTTAAGACGATCAGAGAGGAGTTGAACAGGTGTGTGAAAGAGGCTACAAATGGAGAGGTGACCTTTTTCAAGATACCACAAGTTTCTCAAATGATAAACATCAAACAACCACCATTTTTTGGCCTTTATGAAAGAGCAATTGCCGCAGAAAGTTTAACACATCTTTTTAACGCTATTGAAAAGATTACAGAAAAAAGAATGATGGAGTTAATACCAAAGAAATCAAGAGCGTATGTGACGCAGTTTTTAAAATCCATGAAAACAGCTACCGAAGAAGTGAAAGAGAGTATTTATGGAAGAACTGTCAAATACTTACTATTTGACTTTCCCTACATGGAAAAATATCCTGACAAGATTGCCAACTGCAAATATCAAATTCAAGTTCTAGGTGACCAATGCAACAAATTTGTCTTCGAATTGAGAGATGATATTAAGAAATTTTTCTCCATCAAATTACAAACCATGGATGATAGATTACCAGAACATTCCATTCATGCTCTTTGGGATGTAGCCATCAAGTATGTGGTGGATTTACTTGTCGAAGGCTTTGCAAGGGTCAAGAAATGTAATAATGAAGGCAGAGTGTTAATGCAATTAGATTTGCAAACATTGACCACTGAATTGCAGAAAATGATACCTGCATCGTTAATAGAAGAACACAAGGGCTATGTTCCTCATGTAGCCGTTGCCCGAAGCTACATTTCAGCTTATTATGAACAAAGCGAATCAGATCTGTTAGAATGGGTCAAGAAAAATGTACACAACTTTACAGTTAAACAGTTAGTAGCAATTGCCAACAATGGTATTGGTGCCAACATGAAAAAGAATGACCTCAAACAATTGACCTCACAAATAGAACAGCTTGCCACATCACTGAAAATGCAGAAGGAGCACAACGAGCTTATTGAAAATTCAAGCGACGAGAGTTTGATGAATAATTTCTCGAATGGAACAGGCTCTGGTGATCCAATTGCATCGATTGGAAGCGCAATTCCTGCAATGCATAAGGAGGAGCAGAGCACAATATCCATGATCAGATCAGGATCGTTTGCATCAACCAAAGAACTCCTTTCATCTCTCACCAGAAGCACTAGCTCTACCACTATCTCTAAAGATTCAACAGCATCAAGAGCCAGTACTGATACCATGCACAATCCAATTAACATTACCTTAACAAACCACTCCCCATCCACATCCAGGACCAGCATTGATGCTGCTTCACGACCAAGTTTGGACAAGCCAAAGGACACTCTCGTTTCAACAACAACTGATAAGATGAAAAACTTTTTACAAGGAAGTATGAACTATTTGAAACGAAATCCAACAAACACTCCCCCAAATAATAAATAATTTTAAACTATTTAATTCAATTACCAATCTAAATCAATATGAGACCCGTCACAAAATGGAGGTTTTTTGGTTCTTTTGCCTGTGTTGTGTTACATTCATTTGTTATTAATAATATAAATTCAAAATATTGAAGACTGTTCTTTTGCTATTTCCTCCTGCTACTTACAGCAACATATTGAATATCCTCCGCTATTAAAATTATTAACTGTAAATTCTTTAGGTTCCCATCCTTTAATTTCATCACTATTTCTGCATGTTCCATCACAAAAAGCTCCTCCCTCTAATTTACTAAATCCACACGTGCAATAACTGTATGGCACTCCGACTTCTAAAACAATTCTTTTATAACATGGCATTGCAATATTTGGCTTGTTTGGAATCCGGTGAGTGATTTCAGTGTTAGTAGTAGTATTCATTGATGAATCTCCGATTTGATGATTTATGTTTTTGCAGCAACTGCCTTGATCTTTGGCTAGGCTCAGATTGCTTTCATTTGTTGGTGGTGAAGAATCCGTCATTTTTGTGTGAAATTGTTTTTGATCTCGATGAGCTTTACAAAAAGAAAGGTTCATTCATTGCATTGCCTCCATCAAGATCATACGAAAGAGACAAAATTATTACTTGCCTCAGTTAGATCATGCCATCTCAGACTTTTCCAAAAGCATTTCTCTCAAAGTCAGCATCATGAGATCTTTCTGATATACGTAAGAAAAGGCAACAAACAGAGGAAGTCATGAAAAGTCCATCAGTCCATTTTGTAAAACAGGATTTTTGATTCATTACCGTCTGCTCAGTAACGACTTGACGTTCGGCAATTAATCGTTTCGTCATGCGCTGAGAAGTGTTGGCAAAGCCTATGAACATGACAATTGTATCCCTTGGAAGGAAATTGAGAAGAAACCCCTTAGATCACCTTCAAACAAATTACTTTTCAAGGTCCATTGAAGGGTGAATATTACAATATTTATTCAAACTCGGTTATTTTGAAATAACATCTTTGTTTGAATTCAAATAAGTTAATAAGTATAATACAAGCATTGTGTTTGAAGATCTCTTCGCCCATGAGTAAGATGGGTAAGATGATACATTATTTTGAATTATCGCAAGAGAGCTCTCAAGGGTTCATTGTGACTCATCGACGTCGGGGACAAATGATGGAAATGTGGAGGATTTGTTGGAGGGGTTATGACAATGGCCACTTCGCATACACTTTTTCTCGATCCTTTACGAATTGGAAATATGGGAGAAGTATCGACACGCACCGATCCTTCCCATGAGATTAATCGATCAATCTCATCCTCGTTGGCATCCACTGGGAAAACTCGATAAGGCATGGATTTGGATCGTTTATGGAAATTCTCTTTGAACGATTTCTTTACAATCTCAAGAGGGGAAGAATTCGTCCGGAGCATGGGCAACTTGTTCTTCTTCAACTCGAGCGAATGAGTGGAACGTTTCCTTAATTCTTCTTCTCTTGAGGGACAGAAGGCTTTTGGAATATCCGAGTCATCCTCACTACTACTCAAAGCATGGATCTCTCTGCGATTCTTCCTTCTTGTTGGAGGATAGTGTATTGGTTTGGACTGCTTAAACCCCATGATGATGATGACTCAACACTCTCAAATCTCAAACCTTCCGTTGTTGAAGAAGCCCCGAGTAACAGCTTTGCTCTCTCTGGGAGATAAAGAACAATCAACAGAAACTCAAAAGCTCTGCAAGGATAGCGATTGAGCGATTTTTTAAGGTAATTCTGAAGCGAGTTTATGGATTATTAAAAAGGAAAGTACTTTTGTGAGAGCACCCTGTATTCTTCCACATCACCGAGAAGGGATTTGACTGCCTTTTAAAGATCTGTGTTCGGCTTCTAAAAGAGCTACTCAACAAAAGCCAAACGAACGGCGAGCGAAAAGTGGTCGGAGGCATGGATTGAGTTTGGAATGAAGTGTTGCTGTTTCGAGAGCTTAACGTTCGTCTCTTGGAGATGAACCTTTGAAGTTTCATGTGTGTGTTCCAGATTATCTCTGGAGGTTTCAATACTGGCCACGGAAAGGTTCGAAATTCCAGGTGTGTGAGGAGGATGGTGGTGGCCATGATGAAGAGGGCTCTGCTCTTCTTGTCCTTGGTGAATCTCGTGAGGTGTCGGTATGGATAACAAAGCACAGAGTTGGATGGTCTTTCGAAATAAGGATGAGGAGCAGGATGGTAATAATGCATCATGTTCACCATCATCACCACTGAAACCTTTCAATTTCTTCAATGCCTGCTTCCTTACCATAATGTAATCTAAGGAGGAAATGAATTTTGGAGTAAAGGTTGTGTAATAGAGTTCATGGTTGGACCATCGAGAATGGACTTTCATTTCCTCAATGTGTTTCTGCATGGAAAGAGTTGAAGAAAAAGTACCATTCGTACTCTTGGTTAAAGTGGTGGTCGTCGTGTGGAGCTTATCTTCTTCTTCATTGGATGTGAATGTACAATTTGAATATTCAGTGTATACCGAATGCAATAATGGATAATGTAAATGAATATGGTTCACACATTGTCGAATGTTTTCGAGTCTCTTCACTTGTTGATCGAAATAGTAGCGTTCAAATAGCGTCTCATTAAGAGTGTCAATAGGAGGAAGCACCACTTGTGAAGAAGAGTCGACTGGTTGTTGTGTGAAGGAGAATCGATCTCTCTGAATAAATTCTTCTTTGCATTTCTCTGTTGCCCATTCAACAATGGGAAAGTAAGGAACGAGAGGATCTTTTTCAATGTCATACATTTCATCGCTGCTGCTGCCAGATGCCATACGCTCACTTTGGTTAAATGCATCCCAAAATTTCTTTCCATTTTCATCTAAGGCAATTCCATTTTCATCATTGTCGCCACCACAACCATATTGAGGATTTCTTGTGGTGAGTAAAATATAAGGTAAATCATTCGGTGAAGTATTGAAATCTCCTGTCAACACCAATTCAAACACATTCTCAGAAGAATCATTAAATTCCTTAAAGAGTTCATTCATTTCATGCAAGAGTATCAATTCTTGTCTCACTCTCACCGCATTACTTTCAGGTCTCCAATACAAGTGAGTATTCGATAAGATGATTCCACGACGATCTTTGGTGGATTCATTGGCAACACATTGCAAGACTGCTAATAAGGTAATATTTCCACTTTGATTCATTTCACACTGTTCGAGAATGGTCATTGGAGGCAAACAAGTTGCACCGTTCATATTGATTGGATCATGAGGATTGCAAGAATTCTCGCCAATGGTTGTTGTGTGGAGGTTGTTGTTGTGTGGATCCAAATGCTCATTTGTCCTCGGAGTCATCAATTCCAACGACTGCAATCGATAATCCACCACTTTCGATTTCAATAAATGAAACTTGTCCTTTTTATATCCAATCACAAGTCCATAAGGCATGGGACGATGATTTTTTTCAAAATTAAATTGAGGACTGTAGAGTGTGGAATAACCCAATTTTTGTAATTCCATTTCCCAAAATGAATCGTAAAAGTCAACTTCCTGTAATGAAATGATATCCATATTTAAATAAGCAATTTCATTCAAGAGTTTGTTTTTTCGGAAGGACCAACGGGCTTGTTCGGGAGTGAGATAGCTCTGTGTGCCTCTTCGATTACAAAGACTTTGAGCGAGTAGGTTGTAACTCAAAATGGAAATTGGAGAAGAGGTTGTTCTTGTTTTGGAAGAAGAGGATTCGGAATGGGGTGTTGATTGTGGCGATGGGGAAAGACAAGATGATAACCATTGACGAGGATATCCCGAGTAGTGATGATGATGAGAGTTTTGGTTGAAAGAGGTCATTTTGTTTTTTTTTCTTTGATGTAGTTGACATTCAAACTTGAGAATGAATTTGAACGATTTTGAAATTGAAACAAGAAGGTCAGAGTTGAATCTTGAATTGAATATTATATATTCATCCAACCTGAAATATGTTGAATTCGTACGAACAACTAATGATCAACTATAAAAAAAATTCCGAATTTTGTTTGACGTGTAATACATCGATGGATCAAATTTTTCAACAAACCAAAGAATACTTTGAAGGTTGGTTTAAAAGACAATTTATCGTTCCAATATTTTGATATCAATGAATGGCTTTAAATTTCTTTACTCTTGATGGAACATCTTGATGAACAACATGTTTACCAAATTCCGAACAATGGATTTTTATATTAATTTTGATGATTAAAATTCTTGATCATCATCATCATCAGAATTGGAATCTATTAAAGAAAAGATTCAAAGTACCATCAAGGAGCTAGATGAACCTCTTGCTATCTTGCAAGGCTTACTTCAAAAAATTCATCAAAACAAGCCAAATTTCTCGGATCACGTGAAAGAACTTTGCAAAGCAGCAGATCCATATATTTCACAGTGTGCAGAAAGTTTGGCCAAATTATCAGCTTGCACTCCAGTGGGTGGATATTACAAGTATTATAATATGTGGCAATACAGATTGTCAAACCTTTGTTCAGTGATTGCTTTAAAGCATTTCATCACCAAAGATTTGGAAAACGATATTGATCATGCTCTCATTACGAAGGAGGAGACTGAAAAGTTGTTAGGAATTGATAAATTGGAAAATTTCCAACTTCCATTGGAGGATTATTTGTAAGTGGAATAAGTTTGCAACATCATTTCGTCAACAATTATTTTGTGTAATCGTTGAAATTGCTGTGATGTAATATACTTCACATGCATGATCACATTCACATTGATTAGATATGGACTATGCAATTTATTTTCTGAATTGAACAGATATAGTGTAAACTGTGTTATTCGATTGGATTTTGCAAAGCCATTCATTATCAAAGAATTTCTCACTCAAATCTATGACGGTTTTAAATTATTGAACTTGAAGAATGATTCATTAAGAAAGAGATTTGATGCCATTAAATACGACGTGAAAAAATGTGAAGAAATAATTTATGACTTGTCCATTCGTGGTCTTAATCCTCAAGGAAAATCTGTAAATCTTTCTGTCAATCCTATTGTGAGCAATTTGGATGAAAAAGATGAAATGCAACAAGATTTGTAAAAACAAATGAACGTGGATTCAATCCACATGATTTATTATTGCTAGATCGTAGCAACAATTTGTATCTTCATTCACATCAGTCAGGTCAATCAGTAGCAATCTCTGTACATCTAAAGTCTGAGAACAAGAGCAGTGAGAGGAGGTATTTTGGTGTTTTACAAGGAATGAATCTGATGGGAATATGATTCACGAGTCACGCACCTGTTTCAGAAAGTCATGCCATATTCGTAATCAAACATCCATTCTTTCATGATTAAAAGTGATTGTCTCGTTTCTTCTTGGAATTTCCAGTCGTTAATTTGGAAACAATTTTCGAAAAGAAACTATATGATCGTGGCTTCTCTGGCGTTGGTGCTTCATCATCATCATTATATTGCGATTGAGAAATGAGCATGGCTTCAATTCGTGAGAGTGATTTGTGACTCTTGTTTGATGTTTTCAAAGCAACAAATCCTTCGGATGCTTGTGGATTCTGTTCTTGTTCTCTTTTGTGTTCACTATCCGTGCGACAATGTTTGAAATATTGACTTCGAAGACTTTTTCGTGAGTTGTTGTTGTTGTTGGTTGTGTGGTCGACCACAACTCCATTCCATGAAGTTTTACCACTCGATCGATATGACACGGTGTTGTAATGTCGATTATTTTGAACAAATGTATTGGCTTGTTGAGAGCAACTTGTGGAATAATTTGTTGTTGTTGTCATAGTTGTGTTTGTTGAAAATGATGGAGCTGCGGAGGTGGTGGGTGTGGAAGGGGAAGTCACATCAATGAGAATCACTTCCATGAGTGTGGGAGGTTGGTTCTGTTGTTGAGTTTGTATCATTTGAGTGATCAGGTGAGTGATTTCAAGACTGAGAGTTTTCTTTTTTGAAAAGTGAATTGGCTTAACGAAAAGTCTTTGCGGTTTTTATTTGAAAGGATTTAAATGTCACTTCCGAATCATTTGGAGATGTATGATGGAAGGTTTCTCTGTTTGGAGTATTGCTTGTTGATGAATCGTGATGGAAATGATCATTGCAATTGGCAACTGATGCACTAATTGGGCCATTATCGGCGGAAGGACATGTCTGACTCTCAAACCCTTTTGGCAACGTACAAAAAGACCACTCACAACTTGGTGTGACTTATTGGGTTTGTATTATTACATGTATTATTTACATCAATTCTTCCAATGCATTTTCAAATTCTTCTTCACAGCTCTTCTCAAAAAGCCATCCATTGCAAATCTTTGATTCTCTCACTTCTTTTGGGAAATATTTAAAAGCACTCCAATGCCGTAAATAATATTCATGTAAATCCAATGAAGATTCATTCACTCCAAATGTCTCTTTTTCAAATTTCACTAAATTCCATATAAATCCTGGATTGGGTCGAATGCATGGTCTTTGTTTTGATAAATAATTCAAACTATTGTGCAAATTCATTCTCAAATGATGCAATCGAAGGAAGGAAAGAACAACCGTTGAAGAGCAAGAGACTCCTCCCTGACAATGAATCAAAAGACAACCCTTTTGAACAAAACATTCTTGAATAAAAGACAAAGCTTGAGGAAAAGGTGTATGCAATAATTGATTTTCATACAAAACATCGGAATGTGAAGTGTTTGAAGAGAACGGACATGTCGAGTTTCAATTTCTTTTGCAACGTTGAGAATGTGAGTGATTTGTTTGAGTTAAACAGGACAAGTCATTTTCTGTGGCGAAGAAAGATAAAGAAAGGGATGAGAGTGAACAGTGATGGCGATGATGAATCGATCAATGCCAATTGTTTCTTGAGAGCATCCGAATAGACAAGAACGAGATCTGCTGGGGAAAAGTTTTCTTCGAGAACATCATTGTCGTTGAACATTTTTTCCAAATCTGTCGATCAATGATGATCTTGCATTCTTGTTGTGCTTTAAGAAGGCTGCTTCACAGAAATTCACCACCAAAGAAGTGCATTCTTAAAAATTGATAATTTATCAAAGAGACAAATTGAATATAACTTATTGAATGTGTTGACTTTCTTGATAGGTTGGGGTTGCACTGAATCGTTGATAGCCCTTAATGACCTTGTTAATGGCATCAAGCATGTCCTTTTCTGAGACAGTCTTTCTTCTGGCTCTAATGGCAAACATACCAGCTTCTGTACATACAGATCTAATTTCAGCACCTGTTGAGTTTGGACATAAACGAGCTAAAAGTTCAAATCTGATATCTTTTTCAACGTTCATGTTCTTAGTGTGAATTCTAAAGATGTTAGTTCGAGCTTCAAGGTCAGGAAGACCAAACTCAATTTTACGATCCAATCTACCTGGACGCATCAATGCAGGATCCAAAATATCAGGTCTGTTTGTAGCCATGAGTACCTTAATGTTTCCACGAGCTTCGAAGCCATCCAATTGATTGACAATTTCGAGCATAGTTCTTTGAACTTCATTGTCACCACCAGCACCATCGTCAAAACGGGTACCACCGATAGCATCGACTTCATCAAAGAAAATAATACAAGCTTTACGTTGTCTGGCCATTTGGAACAGCTCTCTAACCATACGAGCACCTTCACCGACATACTTTTGAACTAATTCTGAACCAATCACACGAATAAATGTTGCATCCGTTCTGTTGGCGACAGCTCTTGCAAGAAGGGTCTATTCATGGATATAAAATTTAAGAAAAAAGGTTTTTCAAAAATCAGAAAAGATTGAATGGATTGCATCATAAATGTCCAATAGTTGAAAGTCAATTCTGAGAAACTAAGTGACTTACCTTTCCTGTACCTGGAGGTCCGTATAATAAGACACCCTTTGGAGGATCAATGTGAAGTTGTTCAAATCTTTCAGGATGAAGAAGCGGCGTCTCAACAACCTCACGAATTTGGTCAATTTGCTCCTTGGATCCTCCAACATCATTGTAAGTTACATCTGGTTTTTCTTCTACAGTCATCATTGTTACACTGGCATCAATTTTAGGTGGCAGAGGAATTTTGATTTGATATTTTGTACGATCCACACCAATACGCATTCCTTCTTCGATATCTGTTGGGGCTACATTTTCTCCCAATCCTACCACATATTTTGCAATTTGACGAACGTTGATCAAATACTTTGGTTCTTCCTCGTCATCATCGATAATTTTTGTACATCTAGCAACTTGTAATGGCATTTCATGTTGAAGTGTTGCTTTGTCTTGTTGAATATCCCAAAGACTTGGGTTTGCTAATCCTGTTTCCGATTCTTTTACACCACACAATTCGTTCACTTCTTGAACCATTTTTTTGAGAGATTCCTCTGTGTCTTTTCTGTGTTGTTGTTGTTGGTATTGTTGATTGAAAAATGTATTGAATTGTATAGAAAGTTAAGATTGATCAAGAAAGAATCCGAAGAGTAGGACGTGTCGGATTAAAATATGTTTCAAGTCAAAGTTAATTATGAAATACGACACAAGAATGAATCATTCCAACAATAAGATTGATACACGACTCGCTTGATCTTCCGCTTCGTAAATTTAAATCCAACACTTACATCTTTGTAAAATAAGCTCCTTGGCCATATCGTTTGATCAGTTTAATTTCTTCCGCATCCAATGGATTAATTGGTGCGTCTTTCTTCTCCTCATCATTGTCTTTTGCTGGCTTCTCTGGAGTTTTGTTATCCGATGTTGATTGCTGTTGTTGTTTTTGCTCTTGTTGGGACATTTGTATTTTTTTTCAAGTGTTTGTCTAAAAATAAAAGGCTTTCCGCTGTCAAAAAGTTGGCTCAAGAAATGTTTTTTAATTGAGGTGCTATTGAATTTTCATTCGTACTGAACGTTTTCATGCTCAAACGAGTCAAGTATTTGCTCCAACTCTTCACTAGGCATAAACACTTCAGTTCCGTATGTCACACCACCATGTGTTGATGACATCTGCATGTTGGATTCAAAGTGCTGGGAATGGTTTTCCATCTCAACGAATGAAGCAGGAAGCTGACAGTTTGCACTCACAACATGGTTCGAAATAAAAGGTTGTGAATTGGCAGTCTCCATGTTGATACTGTTACATATTTGAGCGAGTAGCTCAGACACAGAAGGATCATTCAATGAAACGTTTCCAGCGTTAGCAGCAGAATTGGGAATTATTTGTTGCTGGTGCGAAGGGAATAAAAGTGGTGGTGGTTGTGAAGTGGAATGTGTATCACCAAAAGAGGGTGACGGAGATGAAAATGACGAGGATGAAGAGGAGGACGAAGTGGTATATGATGAAGGTAGTTCTTCAAATCTGGTTGTAGAAGTATGTACAGGAATTGAGGTGAGAGTGTTTGTTAGAATGGGTTGCAAGTGAGAGGGTGGGGTTGTCACTGAAGTCTGTGATGCCAACTCTTCTAGTGAGTTGATACTTTTGGTGAATTTCCCTTCAATGACTTCTTCTTGTTCTTTCATAATGATAGAACAAAACTTCAATACTCTTCCATAGCGAGTTGCTAATATTCTCAAAGCCCTTAAACCCTTAGCCACATATTCATAATAATCAATTCCATCGGATCCATTCACACGTTTTCCGACTCGTATCATTCGTATTATGGATAAATGCACTTTGCAAGCACCTGCAACAACACTTGCCAAAGCTACAGGTACCATGGGAAAAGTTGGTTTCATTGTTTCATCAATAATTTTGTTTGCTGAGACTTCAATAAGATGTCCTCTAATTCCTGCTTCTATCAGAATTCTCATTCTAGATCCGTGATAAACCATAGCATCTGTAATAGAGGATAACTCTCGTTGTTCTGGAGTGAAAGAAAATGTTTGATTGTGAAGCGTAAGGAACGAACAAACACTGTCCAATAATCCTAGGTAACTTATGACGTTTTGAGAGGTAATTTGTTGTCGAGCGATCGTCATGTACTCGTCAGGCATTTGTCGTCCTGTAGCATATCTATAAATTAGAGAAAGTCTATTGCACATAAAGTGGTCATCATCTGTGGAATGAAAGTTTTGAGAATCAATACTCAACTTGGTGACTGTTTTCCACTTGTCCAAGTTCTTGACTTCTTGCGAAAGAGCTTCATGGTCCAACAATGCCTTATCATTAAAATAGTGATCTACAGTGTTAAGATAAAATCTTGCTCGGCTGTCATCTCCTTCGCCTGCAAAATAGTAAGAAAGGTAATTGAATGTGCATACCACAAAAAAGTCGTCATACTTGTCAAATAAAGATGACAATAGTTGTTTTGAAATGTTAATATCTTCAACGGCTCTTTCTTTTCGACCAAACCTTTGTTCCACTAGGGCTTGTATCGAGAAAACCAAGGCCATGAGCTCTGTATTTTGTTGTTGACTATCATTGAACAAGAAGTCTTCAAAAACTTTCTTGGCAACAACAGGATGTCCAGTAGAAATAATGTTGTAGTATGTATCAATGGTGTTTCTTTTCAAGAATTGTTTGTATAATGAATAGTTTTCAGATAATAAGTTATTTAAGGTTGTAGGAATTAGTGAAGTGAGACGCTTTCGTAATTCTAAATCTTGATCTCCGTTTGATACTGGATAAGGATCTTTCCTTTGTGCATATCGTTGTCTTATTAAATCAATTTGAGGGGAACATGTGGTAGATTTGCCTGCTGTTGAAATAACAGTGTCTGTGGTTGTTGATGTAGTGGGAATGCTTGGTTGAAATGATGTGATAGTTTTAGAATCCAGTCCCTGTTCAGGCTTTTTCTTCTTGTTTTTTCCTCCACGAATTCTTCCCTTCTTTTTGGGAATGTTGTAAATGCACTCTCGACCTCTCAGTAAGCATTCGCTGCAAATGGGCAGTTTCTGAAATAAACACAAGACATGTGTTGGTGTTTGTGAAAGCACGTCAATACTGAACACTTACCTTATCACACTGTGCATCAAGATGGAATTTGAAGTTTGATAAAATTTGATGGATGACAATCTTGCGGATAGATACATACCTTTTTGTGCATACATCTACAGCTCGAACAAGCGATAGGATGGTAAGAAGCATTTGGGTCCCTTGGCTCGTCATCATTGTCAAAATGATGATCTTCTGAAGGAGGTGACGTGGAACTGTTGTTATGGTTGTAGTTGTAGTTCATTTCAATATTCTTTGTGACAGTCTATAATCTCTCAACTGCTCGAACAGTTGAAATCAACAAATTGCAGAACTTGTAGTTGAAACCAAAGTTAAAAGTGTACGTAAAATAAACTCCGACAGCAGAGTTTGAGATAGGAGGATTATTTGTTGTGCGAGGAGGAAATTTGTCGTACACAGCCGACACTGTTCAGTTTAGTAAACCACTAAAACACTTGAACACCAAAAACCACACAGTCCGAGTAAATATTCTCTCTCTCTAATATTTTCTTCCGTGATGATGATGAAAAAAAGGAGTAAGCCTGAAAAACGGTTGAAACGAACGGCTCTCAGCGCGCTCAAATGGGCTTCTATTTTTTTTGTGTGGATGCTCTGTTAAAGATGTGGTTGTAAAGAAAAGTCCAACAACATTTCAAATTGAATGACGATGGAACACTTGCTGTTGTCTATGGTGGTTTGGTAGCGTGTGAGTTGACTCATTGAGAATGGAAGGTGAAATTTCATTCAAAAGGTCGGAAATGGCAAAAGATTATTTGAGGATTCTTTTTTGAAATGGTTGTTTGATACTTGTTGGATTCATGTAAAGATCTTAAGTATGAGTTCCGTCCACACGAACGCAAGTAGGTTCTGTTGGGTATTGTTTTTGAACATGGCAAGGAAGGATTGTATCTCCTTTGCTCTGTGGTTATAATATCAAAATCATCAACAAAAGCTTCTGAGCTGAATCAAAAAGTTCCTGAAATTTCTCGCCTAACAGATACCCGCCATTTCAAATTCGAAACGTTAAAAAAATAATGCATCACGAAAAGAGGCTTTCCGATGTGGTCGAGGGAACAACTTCATCGCTTCTCCACAAGCCCACTCCTTCATCATCAACCAGTCATAAACAAAAACGAGAATATACGGAACATGTTGCTCTTTCCAAAGAATTATTCTTACTGAGTGATAAAACATTCACACAACAATTTTCAAAGTTATATGAACATCGTATCAAAACACTCAAACCTCCATTGTTGAAGAAGATTTCCAAACTCTATCCGAAGGCCACACACGCCAAATCCATGTTAGATCTTTCCATGGGGGTGGAATATACGGTAGTTGGTACTCTCTACAAAGAAATGAAATTGAAACCAAACATTTTGAGAGAATTCACATTGGATAAAACAGCATCGGAAGTTGCACAAATCGAGAATCGAAATAATTATGTATCCAATGATGATTATTTAATCCTTGAAGATGTCAATGGTTCAAGATGCAATGTGATATTTGAAGGAAAGCAATCCGAAAAGAACAAAATAATGACAAACCAATTAGTGACAGGAATCGTGGCTGGCTTGTTTGGAGAAATCGACAGTAATGGAACTTTTATTGCAAGAGATATTGTTTTCAACGATATGGCACCACAAAATGCTCTTGTTTCCAACTCAAAAGATGCTTATTTGGCTGTTTTATCAGGTATATGTGTTGGCCACCCAAAATTTGATGCGGTTGCCACCCAATTAGCTTTTGATTTTATCACTGGATTGGCAACTAGTGGAGCATTAGTGAATAATGTTGTGGCCAAGATATCTCGAGTTATTATTGCAGGAAATGTGGTAATTGCACCAGAGGATCAAGGAAAGCTGTTTGATGTTCGAGGATCCTTGAGACCGAAAGAATTAAGCTCAATTGCCGAGTTCATGAGGACTTTTGATATTTTAGTTGAACAACTTGCTTCAAACGTAGATGTTGACATTTTGCCTGGCTCTAATGATCCATCTAATGTTACAATTCCACAACAACCTATTCATCCTTACATGTTTCCAAAAAGTGCATCGTATTCTACTTGTCATCTAGTCACTAATCCTCACATCATTAGAGAGAACCATGTAGAGTAAGTATTAGATATTTAACATTTTCTCGTTATTGATTGACGAATTCACAGCGTGGTCGTCACATCAGGTCAAACTGTAGAGGATGTTGAAAAATATTCTGTCTATAATTCAAGATTAGACATAATGGAAAATATGTTGAAATGGGGACATTTAGCTCCAACATCCCCAGATACAATGAGTAAGTGGAAACTTTGGTCTTCACGATTTGAGTAACCATGCTTATTATTTAGGATGCTATCCTTTCCAGCAGGTAGATCCTTTCATTATCAAGAATACACCTCACGTTTTTGTGTGCGGAAATTGCTCAAAGTTTGAAACAAAATTGCTGGAATTTGAGCATGCTCGAACCCGATTAGTTTGTGTTCCTGAGTTTGTGACGCAGCCCACCATTGTTCTCATTAATTTGCGAACTCTTGGTTGTTTCCCCGTGAACTTCTCTACAGAACATGTGATCTAAGTCATTGTTGGACTGAAATTTTGAATCAACCCTTTTTTCATGATTTTGTTGTCAACAAGAATCAACGAATTCAATTAAAATATTACGATGAGGATCACTTGAAGAGACAACACGTGTTTGTTGAAATTGTAAAAAAAGCAAAAAAATGACGCTGTTCGGAATTTGGCAAAGGAAAGCCTCGATTACTCCGTCATCATATTCTTTGTATTGTATTGTGATGATGATGATTTCCGTGGCCTCTCTAGTCATTGTGGTGCAACAATGTGGCGCTGCTGAGCTTAACTCTGTCGAAAGAACTACCTACGGTGTTGGCCCTGGTTTACTTGAAAAATATATTCAAAAATCGGAACAACAACAATTTCAATGTTTACAATCAAAAGAAATGATCAGTTTTGATTCCGTAAATGACAATTATTGCGATTGTAAGGATGGAAGCGACGAACCTGGAACAAGCGCCTGTAGCAATGCAGTGTTATCTTTCAACTCTGATACAAAATTCTATTGCAAAAACAAATATTTCAAGCCACAGTACATCTCTCATAGCAAAGTGAATGAGTAAGTAATACTGTCACTCGGTTATAGAATGTGGTAATGAATTGCAATGTTCTGTCATTTGCCATATTCTAGCGGTGTGTGTGATTGTTGTGATGGCTCAGACGAAAACTTTGCCTCTACATTTGGTGAGGCCTCTATGAATGTTTGTGAGGATACATGTAAGGAATTGGGCAAGGAAATTGTCGCCTCTTTACAGAATGAAATTAATGCAATGAAATCGGCCATGAATTCTGTTGCTGCTGACATTGAATATGGAAAATCAAAGATTTCCGAATTTGAAAATCAACAAAAAGATTTAACTCAATCAATTGCAGACAAAGAAAAATTATTAGAGGAGCTTAAAACTAAAAAAGATGAAGCCGAAAAAGTGGAGCAATTAGAAAAAGATTTGCTGAGAGCAAAGAAGAAGAAAGAATGGGAAGAACAACAAGATCAACAACCAAAGGAAGCTCCACAAACTCCACCTTCAGAAGCAAGTAGCACTGAATCTGAGGCTACCGCTCAGGATAACCAAGCTGAACCTCCTCAACCACCCCCTCAACCAATGTTTGTTGACGATGAAGAAATAATCAACTTTAAATTACCAGGTAAGTCAAATTTCTCAGCAAATCTGTTATTATATAAGCTAGATATGTATTCAATTTTTACTCGACCCTTGCAATGCATTCGTCACACAACTTCGTTATTTAAATTATATTATTATCATCACATTTACGATATTAATGCTCTTGAATTATTTAAAAAAGCTGCTGAGGAAGTAAGAAATCAATACAATCAATTGAACAATGAATTGTCCAATGTGAGAAATTCCTTGAATGAAGTTCAAAAGAAATTGAGTTATAATTATGGAAAAAACAAAGAATTTTACAAGCTGAGCGAACCATGTTTTGAGATTCAACAAAAACAGTATTCATATGAAGTTTGTCCATACAATAAGGCCAACCAAAAGGAGAACTACTCTTCAACCCTTCTGGGAAATTTCAAAGAATTTAATAGTGCTACCAACATTATGACTTTTGAGGATGGTCAACATTGCTGGAAAGTGGGAGCAAGAAAAGCCATTCTCAAACTGAAATGTGGTGCCTCTAACAAGTTAGTCAAAGTGGACGAGCCCTCCACATGCGAATATCACTTGGAAATGGAAACTCCATATGCATGCTCGTTCGATCTTTTGAAGAGCAAGGAAGCTGAGCTTGCAGCATTGCAATAATTAAGTACTTAGCCCGCTCACACGTGTTTTCTGATTGTCACAATCTGACAGGTGGATTCGTTTGACAATTTGTTCCATCTCATTCAAAAATATTGTACCAGAAATTAAAAAATATTTCACACCACCATCTGTTGTTTTGAATTTGAACGATCCAAATCTCATTCTTAATCATCATGGAGATCTCTATTTTGCATTGTATCCAAATTATATTTCGGGTCCACAAACCAATCAACTCAAACATCCAGTCAGAGGACCATTTGTGGATGGAGAAAAGAAGATGAAAGGTCTTGATGCAACCATTGATTATATTAGTAAACATGAAAAAGTCTATGCTCCTTGGAGAATTCAAGCATCATCAGTGGTGTTTGGAGACAAGATCCACCAAAATAACCAACCAAGCACTGTGAATGTCAAACTGTCATCTCTTTCAACGAAACAACTGAAAGTATTCAAATGGAATCTATTGATCTACTTGAAGCGTTCCGATGGTGATGATCAAGCGGTTTGTCCATACGTTATTTATACGAGCAATGAAACCTTTTCATACTCAAAGACCCATTTCACAGGAAATGACATCAAGACAAAAAAAAAGAACACGTCACACTGAAGAACATGATTACAACAATGAAAGCGATGAAGACTATGAAGAACCACCATCGTACGATGAGGATCCATCTGATGAAGATTACTCTATTGAGACTGATGAGGAGATCGCCACACCAAGCAATCCATCTCCCTCTCGAAGATTGACTCGAAGCACTTCCAAATCATCATCATGTACAGACTCTTCTTCAAAAGACTTGTGTAGCAGTGACAACACCAATGGTTCAAACCAATGCATGACTTCAGAAAGTCCATCAAAGAAAAACAAGACTTCAAATCCTTCCACGCCAGAAAGGAACATTGGATTAAGTCATGAAGAAAGATCATGGCAGTTGTTCATCGAGGAAGAGATCGATCTAATCAAGAAAGATTTGAAACACTAAAACCTGATACTAGTGACAAATCTTGTTTGGGAAAAGAAATGTTCAATGTGATACAATTAATGATCAGAGACCAATTAGACAAGGAAAATGTGAAACCACTTTTAAGGGTTCACTTCAAGCAAGTGTCAATCTTTTGAGACGAATTGAACAATTGAAAGATCTACAAGAGTTGAACGATGACCTTTTTTCTGTCATTGTGGTCTTTGTAAGAAAGTTGACGGGCGAGGAGGTTATGGATTTTTTGGGAAGTTTTTTTAAAACCACATCTCGAGATGACAATTAGAATCCCAGCTGAGATTCAGTGTACATATACAACAACAACTGGTTGAATTTCTTTGCTTTCTCTATGAGTTCCATCTATAGTATGATGTTGAACATATTGTAATCCTAAATACCATGTTATATGATACATCATCGTTTCATGAATACAAATCCATGGCATGATCATACCAAGTTTGAAATTGACAATCGAGCTTTTCAATGCGCTCAATCAGACATCTTTCAACAAGATGTGATCATCAGCATTTTCAAATTTTGAAAAAGTGAAATTGCAAGTAAACGATGCAATCTCAAAAGAACTTTCAAAATATTTTGAAAAAAAAATTAAAAAAAATGTTCCATCGTCAACCCCAGAAACATGTTACAACCTCGTCCTCCTCGTCCTCCTCCTCATCGGACACTCAAACAAAGATGATCCATGAACCCAATTACACTCTCCAATTCTCAGAACCTGTTTGGAGTTCATCTCCTGAATTTCCATCCACCTTACGATCACAATTGAAAACAAGTCCACCAAAATGTTCCATCACTGTGGATCGAGAAGGAGCAGGAACACTCACACTCGCTTCCAAAAACGACTCACAAAAACAACACAAACATTCCATTACTGGCTTTATATATGATAGCGAGACCATTCCGACATTCAGGGCATCGGTTATTATGAATTTCAAAAATGCAAATCTCATTCGTCATCATGGAGATCTCTATTTTGCATTGTATCCAAATTATATTTCGGGTCCACAAACAACTCAACTCAAAATTCCTGTCAGAGGACCATTTGTGGATGGAGAAAAGAAGATGAAAGGCCTTAATGCCACCATTGACTACATTGATGATCATGAAAGAGACTATGCTCCTTGGAGAATTAAAGGAATATCGGTGGTATTTGGAGAATTAATCGATGAAAATAACAAAACAATCACTGTGAGCGTTTCCTTGCCAAATCTTCCAAGAAATCAACTGAAAGTATTCAAGTGGAATTTATTAATTTATTTGAATAAGCCAGACTCAGATGGGGTGTGCCCATATGCCATTTATACAAGCTCTGAAACATTTTCATATTCGAAGAGACATTTCACAGAAAATGATGTGAAGGCAAAGAAGAAAAAAGGCACAAAAAGAAAACAACACGATGAAAATTATGAAGAATCATCAGATATAGAAGACAATGAAGAATTCGATGACAGTAATGAAGATGAAGACTCTGATACTGATGATGAACGCTATTTACCCAATAAGCGTTCTAAATCTTCTTCTTTGAGATCTACTCGAAACGGTTCAAACTCATTGCCTTCTCCTTCGAAAGAAAGTAGTTCACTTCAGAAAGCCAAAAGTACAGAAACTTCTGATCTGGCTCCTTTAGAAACACATCACATGCGAGCGAAAGAGTTCTTGAAAGAAACTATGATTGAAAATACCATGAAAGAGTTTAAAAAGATAATGTCTGAAGGTAGCGACAAGAAATGCATGTCACAAGAAAATTTCACATTATTACAGCTGATGTTAAGAGAAATGTTGAGGCAAGGAAAAGCGGTGATAAATCCTTTCAAAACTGAGTTTCAAAATTTACTAAAAATCCCAACAGAAGAAGCTTTAAGAAAGATTGAACAATTGAAAGGATTAGAGGATATTAATGACAATATGTTTTCTATGATTGTAATTTTTCTACATGATTTAGCTTCCAAGAATGAGTTAAGAAAGCAGGTCGAAAACACTGTGGAGTTTATACTTAAATAATGTTTGATCCTTTATTTGAATTACTCGGCATAATATTGCTTTTAAAAGCATAATATCTTGGGATGTCCCAGTTATAGTGACCTGACAGAGTTGTCTTGTGGAGTCAATAACAATATACTGTCTGACGTGTCTGCTGTCCTCATTGGTCCTACATGGATTCAAGCAGAGAAGATCTTGTATAAGGAATTCCATACTTTTGACACAGCATTTCGGAAACCATTCTTCCAGATTCAAAAATGGTTGGCAAACCACTTCCAGGTGAAGTATGGGCACCTGTCAAGTAAAGTCCCTCCAACTCATTGAACTTATTTCTAGGCCTCATGCTTAACATTTGTAGCAGATTATGTGACAAGGAAAAAACTGAGCCGTTGAACACATTGTGTTGTGATTGCCATTCGATAGGAGTAATAATTTTTTCTGCTTCAATATGATTTCTCAAATCCTCAAAACCAACTCTTGTTTCCAAATGTTTGAGAACAAGTTCACGAGTTTTCTGAATAGTTGTTGGATTGGTCCAATCAATTTTTCCTTGACTGTCAATGAGATTGGGAATTGGAACTAGCACGTAAAGTCCTGATTTTCCTTTTGGTGACACGGTCTTGTCATTGACACATGAATTTCTCACGTAAATTGACAAATCGTCAGTTATATATCCCTCTGAAATTGCTTTCAAATTAGCTGAATAATCATCCGCAAATGAGATAGTATGATGTTGAATTTCTGGATATTCCTTATCTAAGGCAAGATACATCATGAAGGTTGAACATGAGAATTTCTTCTTAACAATTTTGCTAGGTTTCCATTGTCTCAATAGATTTTCTGCATTTGGAATTAAATGATGAACTGCGTAGGGAAAGTCAGCATTGAGAATAACCTCATCAAAATAGTATTCATTTTCTTCTTTTCCTTCTTCCATCACCTTGACTCCTTTAACTTGTCTCGAATTTTGATCAATGATTAATTGTTTCACAGGTGTACCCAATTTGATGTGAGCTCCATTCTCAGAAGCAGCAACAGCCATGGTTCGAGGAATTTCAGAAAGTCCTCCTTCCACATGATAAACTCCGAATGCATGTTCCACAAATGGTATGATTCCATAATACGCTGGACACGTGAAAGGACTCATACCCAAATATTTGGCTTGAAAACTAAATGATAGTTTGCTCAAAGGATTTTGGTAAAAGTCACTCAACATGTGATGCAATGATTTTTGGAACTGCATGTAAGGCAGTGCCTTTAACGCGTCCATACAAACCACATCACTATGAGAGGAATAGGCCTTTTGAAGAAGTGGTATTAAACGTTCATATCTCTTTGTTTCCCATTCAGACCATCGTTGATAGCCTTCCACATCTTCGGGAACGACTCTCTTCAATTCTTGCAACATTTTGTCTCTTTGTGAAAAGTCATAACAATCCATATGTGTGTCCTTATTAAATTGCAAACGATACATGGGATCCAATCTTTGAAATTTCATATAATGTTCACTTTTCTTTCCCGAGTCTTGAAAGACCTTATCCAAAACGAATTTCATCATGAGGAAGGTGGGACCCAAATCAAACTTGGAGTGTCCAACCTGAAGTGAACTCGTTCGTCCTCCAATTGTTGGGGATTTTTCGAAAAGAGTCACGTTGAAACCTTTGGCTGAGAGAATCATGGCAGTCGAAAGACCTCCTACAGGTAGGTGTGTTAAAGGTCGTCGTTCATCATCGTTCAAGAGGAATAACAATTGAATTCATTACCATATTTAAAAAACAATCAATGAATTCGGGTGAGAATGATCTCATTATTATCATAAACCTCTCGCATACACACTTACCTGGGCCTCCACCAACAATACCAATACGAGCTGGGGACATGATGATGATGATAGGATTCTATGAGGAAATAATGAGCTCACTCAATGATGATGAATGTGTTTTTTCAATGGTGGGATGTGCAAAACATGCTGTTTGTGGAAAGGAAGAAGAGAACAATCGGTTCAAGTACAGCAGAATTCAAGTGGGGTCGTTGAAGAGGTTCAGAATTTTTCATGTTTGGAGTGTATCTGGTTAAATCTCCGTGATATTCAAAGCGACACGTTTTTCCAAATCTTGCAATACACACACCATATTTTGACCCTAATTTATATTTCCTTCTCTCTTGCGTATTCATTCAACAAGAACTTTTCAGTATATATATTGGGAATTGAATTCAAAAAAGAAAAATGTCATCTTGTGGCAGCTATTCTCTGGCCAACAAAAAATTTGGTTTCATCGGAACAGGAGCTATGAATGGCTCCATCATTCGTAGTATTATTCAGCAGTCCAATCCAATGATTCAACCACAACAAGTATTTGCCTACGATCCAAATGTTGAATTTTTAAACAAAATTGTGCAAGAAACAAACATTCAAAAATGTTCCAATAATGATGAAATGATTCATACGTGTGATGTGATTATTCTTGGAGTGAAACCTCAAAGTTTAGAGAGTGTCTTGAAAGAAGCCTCAACAGCCTTTGGTAAAAAGAAATCTGACTTGTTGTTAATCAGTATTGCTGCAGGATATAAAATTTCAACCATTTACGAACATTTGGCACAAATTGCTCAAACGAATGAGAGAACATTGGATGAATTTTTCAGTGTGATTCGAGTGGCAAGAGTAATGCCAAATATTTGCTGTACTGTTGAAGAATCTGCAAGTGCTTTTGTACTTGGAAAACCTCCTTTTGGAGCTTCAAAACACATCACTCTGGATACTATGGAAAATGATCGATCTGTTGTGCATATGATCTTCTCAATGATTGGTGAATGTGTGAGTTTGAGTGATGAGAGCTATTTGGATGCTGTGACAGGACTTTCAGGTAGTGGTCCAGCCTTTGCATTCATGTTCATTGAAGCCTTAGCAGAGGCAGGTGTCTATTGTGGATTAGGGAGAGAAACAAGCAATATTTTGGCAGCTCAGACCGTGTTGGGTGCTGCCAAGATGGTTTTAAAGGAGAAGGTTTCTCCTGCAGTACTGAAAGATAGAGTCGTTTCTCCTTCAGGTATGTATGAGATTGTTCTTTTCGCAACAATGTTTCATCTTTCTCTTCAACAAAATCATCACCTTCTTTTCAACAAATTGCCAGGCACAACATCTAGGGGAGTTTTAGCTTTAGGTAAGTGGAGATGTGTTTTTTGAAAGGAACAAAGAGGCTTACTTGATGATTCTTCTCAGAGGAAGGAAGTTTCAGAGGTACCGTGATGAAAGCAGTGATTGCTGCCACCGAAAGGAGCATTGAATTGGGAAAGCCATCAAAACTCTAATATTCTGAATTAAAGGTTGATGATGATAATATTGTTAATTAATTTATTCCTCCGTACACTTTAATTCATAATTCTAGTAGAGCTAATGATGTCGGCGGAGTAAATAATACTACAACGAGGAGCAGTGAGAGAAGAAGGTGGATGGAGGTGATGATGATGAAAGACACGTGCTACCAATTATTAATAATTAAAAACCACCAGTTTGTTCGACGAGCACATCAATAACATCCTGATCATCCATATCTAATTCCTCAGCCGTTTCCTTTCCATCAATTCTGTTTCCGTCAAAAACAAAACGAACAGAGGCTGCGCTGAGACCTTGTCTCTTGCAATAAGCTTCCATCAACTTCTTCAAAGGTGTGCTTTTCTTGATCTTGAAAAAGACTTCCACTCCGTCCTATTGAATCGAGTTAGATGATGTAAATTTATGATAATTCGCCATCATTATCATCAAAAACTGTACTTACTTGACTCACGACTTTAACATTGATGTGTTGTTCCTTGCCTTCGGCTTTAACGTCTCCTTTGGTGTCTTCTGCGCTCATATTTTTTGAATGAACAAAAATGTTTTCTGCAAAATTTTCTGTTGGGATTAAACTATTTTTGCTTCCTTCAAACAGAAGAAATTTGTTGGATGACGAAATATTTTGTAATTTGTTTTAGACAGATCGATAAGGTTGAACAATGTTCTTGGATGGTTTTTATTTCAAATCTTCACGTTTGTAGGCGAGAGGAGGAGGGTACAAAAGCATCTCTTTGAATTCGTGGAGAGCCTGAACACCTCTTACTTCCTTTCCGAGAAGAGGCATTTGGATGACATGAAAATCTTCGTAGAGCTCGAAGATTTGTTTCAAATACTTTGATTGAATACTTTTTCTTGCTTCACAAATTTCACATGGCTCTTTCTTGGTATCTTTGAGAACAAGTTGATTTACAACAATATTGTGGGAGTCAATGTTGAAATTCGTCAATTCTTGGACCAATCTTTCAGTTTCATAAACGGACAAAAATTCTGGAATGCACACACACACGAATGTTGTCTTTTTAGGATCTTGGAATTGCTTTGTTATTTGGTCGACATTGTCCTGAAACTTGTGCAATTTCTCTTCGAGTTGTTGTGGATTTGTAGAGTCAGCTGAGCCTCCAAATAATGATCCAAATTGAGTGAACATCTTTCCAATGTTTGATCCCAAAATATTTCCAAGAGTACTTTTCATAACATTCGGTAAGGCCAATAATCTGAGAGTGTGACCAGTAGGTGCAGTATCAAAAACAACCACATCAAAGTTCATGTTATTCACTTGTCGTAGAATATGAACAAAACTTTCAACCTCATCAAGACCAGGCAAGTTTGTGGAAAGATTCTTCATTAAATTTTTCAAGATACCTCCTTCCTCAGTTTCTCCACTTCCATCATCCAACAAACCAGAAAGCATGGATTTTGAATCACTTGGATCAATTTCAACACAATATAAATTATCAAAGCCATTTACAAGAGTCGGATCCTTGCTAAACTTTTGAGCAAAAGCATCGGACAAGTTGTGTGCAGGATCTGTACTAATCAACAATACATTCTTTCTACATTGAGCCAAGAGCATGGCAATGGAACTGCTGATGGTTGTTTTTCCGACACCTCCTTTTCCACCTACAAAAATCCATTGCAATGATTTTTCATCTAATAAATTTTGAATGGTAGGTTCGAGGCTTAAATCTTCATTCTCATCAAATTCTTCATCATCACTCAATACTAAATCATCAGCGTTGTGTTTTGAGAGCATTTTTTTTTGTCGGAATTTTTATCGGAATGGATGATCATCCTTGCCGATAAGGGTGACGTTGCACCTCACAATCAATGGATTAATGTTCATTCGTCATTCATTGTGTATATATGGAATGCACTGATACTTCTTCAAAAAGTGTGAGGGAGTTTATTGTGAAAAATTGTTTCACTTTCCTCCGCAACAACTAGTTGAATTTTGAGATCCTTTCTTTTTGCTGTCACCATTAAGACCATCATCGGTTTTTGGCATGTCTTTAACAAGTTTGTCAATATTAATTATACCAGAATCCGCCTTCTCATCCTTGTTGTCACTTGAATATTGGATAACTTTTTGATGAAAATTTAATACTTGTTCCACAATCATTTTGACAGCCTTATCCATGTTTGTCTTTTCTTTCACTGAAATTTCAACCCAACCAGCAAACTTATGTTTGGTACAATATTCATCCAGCTGCGATGGTTTGAAATTTAGTTTATCATTCTTGGGTAAATCAATCTTATTACCCACAAGAATGCATGGAATTGGAATGTCATCAGCTTCATTTTCATGAAGAGCAGGAAGAAACACCTTCGAATCAATGTCTTCTTTCCAATCCTTTGTGTGCTCGAATGTGTTCGGATTTGTGACGTCATACATAACCACGGCTACAACAGCATCTCTGTAGAATACCGATGTCATGGCTAGGTACAAAATGTAAGCAACAACAGATAGTTTCAATGAAACTTACTTCCGAATCTATGAAAAGGATAGGTTCTGTTAAAACTTGCATGTCGTAATAAATCTTACCTTTCTTGGCCTGCAATATCCTGTTGTGGATGTCACAAATGGTAATGAAATGAAGAATAATTCAAAATTATTTCGTTTGAATGAAATCTCACAAAATCGAATCACATACCCAAAACTATGATATTTCAGATCGCTCACTCTATTTCAAACCAAAATTTTGAAACACTTACTTGCAAATTAAAACAAGTATTTTCATCATAATCATATTCTTTGAATGAGAAATCAACTCCTAAAGTCGATTTGTACGAGCTTGTAAAATAATTATTGACATATTGTTGGATGAACGCGCTGCATAATTATGATCATCATCAATTATATAATTCATAGAAAACACCATGAAATGACAAATGATGAACAACGTTTAAAAACTCAATTCCAACCGGCAATCAAAATACTCTACGTTTTCCCACATGTTGAATCTCCAACAAAAATAATTTTATACATGTACTTTGCTTTGGACATATTTACAAAATAAATAATTATAAATTCCGACACGACACTGAACACACGACAATGAATTTCGTTGTTTCCGTTTTGCTGGCGTTTTTTTTTAAAAAAAAATTAAAAAAATCTTGTTCCTTTTTCCTTGAAGTGTTTGGTCGCCCTCGATGAGATATGTTTACAAACTCCCACAGCGAGTAGCGAAACTAGTTTGAAGAAACAGTGGAATGCAATAAGGAATTCCACCCAGTTTCAAACTTGGCATTGAAAGGCTTTTCGTTGTTCCATTGGACAACAATGTGACACTGAACATTACAACATTCGAACTGTTTCAAATCCAATTCCCGAATGACTTCCAGTGAGGAGAAAAGTTTTATTCAGGAATGATGATTCCAGCAATAATGAAAGGATCATGGTTGGTTGAAAAATCTTCCAATCATCTGAGAGTGATCATTCCAATCTGAGGTAAGGTTACCATTTGGATGAAATATTAATTTGTTGATAATACGAGGGTGCTGCTTAAATGAAGATAAAAGATCTTCATACGAACTTGTTTCAAAAATTACATCAATCTTATCATCGTAACGATAGCATTCGTTCATATAGTAATAGCCAACAGTAGAATACAAGTATTCAAATTTGGGCGAGGGATGGTCTAGACTTGAACAAATTTCAGAAAGAATCGATGAAATGCTTACTCGATTTTCATCAATCCATTTCTTTGTTGAATTATCAAAATATTCTTCATGTGAAATGATTGATAATTCTCTGAAAACTACGCGATGGACATTCAAACTTATGGCCCATTGTAAATATTGTTCAATTAGTTCCACATTAGAAATTCCTTGTTTTGATAGAATGCACGAATTTTTGACAACCCCAAATATATTTGGTAACACATTTCTTACTATATGTTCATAGTTTGTGTTAGATCTTATTGGTTGTGACTTTTCAAATCTCATTATCGCTTGGTTTGTGGCTTCATCAAAATGTTGTCTACTTAATTCTATTCTGTCAAATTTAGGAACACTATTGTGAAAATAATTCTCGACCACGTTTTCATGCAAGGTGAAACCACTTCCATTCGAATATAAAACTCTTTCGTCAAACAATGAAGGATATTGTGAAAGAAGTTGGCACAATCGTTCCAGCCAAATCGGTTCACTGGTCGCTTCCAATCCAGATAATGACAGTCCCATATTCAATGACCCGACTGTTTTTTGAATGGTGTCCAATAGTTGAAACACTCGTTCTAGTCCATTGAAATATTGATCATAATTTCGAATTCTTTTTGAGGGTGAAGAGTTTTTCTTCGATTTGGAATTTTCCAAATGTTTTCGTTGCAAGTTTTCAGAACAAAATTGACAATTCGCATTGCAAATGGTTGCAAAGGCAAAAGGAGTGAAAGTGAGTCCATTCCGAAACAACAAGGATGATGTTGAGGAGCTCAAAACCAATTTCCTCTCTTCACTACTATTGATAAATTCATACAAGTTCACTTGTGTTGTTTTTTCGATTTCAAATAATTGAGATTTCAATGTTCGGATATTGTGTAGATCGGTATCATTCTGAGCGGTGATGATTTGATTTCTGTATGGATGATGATAGAAAAATTTTGAACTTTTTAACACCAACGACTCTTCCTCCTCACGTTGCCACAAGTGTTGAAAAGAACGATCAATGGTTTTAATCTCTCTGGTAAACAATAACCAATCCCTATTTTTCCGAATCGTTCTTAATAGTACCTTCCGCATGACAGAATTAATTCGGGAAGGAAATAAATTTCTGCTTTACCTAATTTTTTGCAAGTCGTTGTATGAATTTTGAAGCGAACAAAATATCATCCAATCCTCCGTTCAAAAAGAGCTTTCAATGGCACTAAAAACAGAGATTGTCATCAATGATTACTGTTTCTCAAAGGTGTTAAGTGGTGTTTTGTTAATTTTGTAAAGAACCGAGAATGGCTGCTTCGAGCTCACATGTTTTGATTTTTCTTTAGCAAAACCGACTCACGTCACAGCAATTAAGGACATAAAATGCCAACCTGCAAAAACTGTCCAAGCAAAAATGACTTGTTTTTGAGTCGGACAAAAAAACCCAGCGAGTCCTCTTAAGTGTATGTTGTGCGTTGCTTGAGAACGCCAAAGGGTCCAAGATGTGGACCAAATAAATCCACACACCTGTCATTTAAAAACGAGAAGACGACAACTTTGCAAAAACTTCACCCCTTTCCTTTTTGGAAAATATGTCAACCATCCATGTTGCCTTCTTGGTTCTTCAGCCACAAACCAACACTTTGTTGGTGCACCAAATTTTCTAAACAAAAGACATTTATCAAACAAGTCCCATCACTTTCAACAAGCATCGTCATCATGGGCAACAAGAATTCTTCTTCAACAGCATCATCACACTCTTCTCCTCCTCGAATGCAACATCATCCTCGACAACATCAAAACGGAACTAGTTCAAAAGTCCTTCCTTCGTGCACCATTTCGAGTATGCCAGAAATACAAACTTTTGATCATGTCGATCACCAGAAATGTTCTCTTTCGGATTCGTTAGAATTAACACACTTGTTCACTCTAGGGCAAAATGATAAAGGACAATTAGGAAGACTTGTATTCAAAGAAGACTCTGGCGAACAATACGCCATGGGTCCAGTTTTGGAATTGTATCACAACATGAGTGATTTTTCGCAACACAACATTTCACAAGAGTTGGATTCAAAAATTCTCAAAGACATCAAGCTTGTGGCATCAGGAAGATCACATCTCTTACTCGTCACACATTCAAACAAGTTGTTTGGTTTAGGATTTAACAATTATAGCCAAATTGGTTTTCCAGAACATGAACAATATATCACTCGACTGAGAGAAATACCTCTCCCAGAAAAAGTGTCCACCATAGACCATGTCGCAGCAGGTTGGTTTCATTCCATCGTTGTATGTGATAAGAATAAGGTGTACTGTAGTGGACATTCCTACTTTGATCAGACATTTGCTGTGAAAACTGAAAGTAGTTTTCGACGAGTCACGAAATTAGATTTCTTGCAACGAGAAGACTCACGAATAACCACAGCAAGTGCATCTACTTTTAGTTCCAGCTTACTTGTAGATAATTGGAAGATTTATGCATGTGGAGAAATGAACGCCAATGCAAATTCAACCAATTTCCTTGTTCCTGGATGTGAAATTTTCAAGAAAGAGTCCATCAAGTACTTTAAACACGCCGATAAGGGACTCGTAGTTCTCACTCAAGAGGGTAATTTATACTTTGCGAATAAGGAAAAGCCCTTCTACTTGCTTCAACAAAATGTTTTTTCCATCACGCCATCTCACATGTATGAGACTGTTTTCCTACTTAAGAATAATTCTAATGTGTTAACAGAGTGTAATTTGGGACCTTTCAATACTCGATCCAATGTCAGTATTGCACCCTTCGTAGAAAAATATGGGCTGCATAATATTCAAATATTTGCTGGATATTGTTTCTATTATATGGTTGTCAATAGAAAGAAGGTATATAGTATTAATGGTAGCGAATTTAAGGAAATTTTGAATCTCGAAGGAATTTCTACGAGTGTCAGTATCACGGAAATTGTCGCAACATCCGATTGTTCTTATTTCATCTTTGAGAATACCAAATCTACAGCCTCAGAAAAATTAATGAAATCACGACTCATTCAGAATGAGAAATTTGTGGATATAAGCATCACAACGTCATCGCCGTACTTGGAGTGAATAAAACGAATTCGTTAACGCTTCGAAATTCACTTGTTTTGTCCATCTTGATCCTGGCCCAATACTTTGAGGATGTATTGAATCACTCGATCGTTACTACTGAGAGTTAACTCCAAGTGACCCAAATCTTTGAACTTTTTAGCAAAGCTTGTTTCAGGGTGATACTTTCTTAACTCTTTGTAATGTCTGAGTATACATTGCTTGGGAATCACTCTATCATCGTCAGCATAAACAATGTAGATGGGAATGTTGAGCTTGTCATAGTAATCGAAAAAGTCAAAAGGTTTTTTAGATCCATAGACTTTCTTATTGATTTCTGGTCCATAATCATATGCTAAAAATCGTCCACTTGTACTCATTTGAATGAGATGCTCCACGACTTTGACTGAGGTTGCATTGAATGTATGGTAAACTAAATTATGGACATATTGGAACGGATTGTTTTGAGTTTTACCTCCTAACACAAGAGCACTGGCAAAAGCAGAGAATAGTGATCTCGTTGCCTTGTGATTGTTGATGTCTTGGATAAGTTTTGCAACTAGAATTTTCATTGTTTTTGATGTAAATCCAAAATAATTCCAGAATGGTAGTTTTCGAATGAGAGGAACTGTAAATGATAGGTAGTACAGTAAGGTTGGAATCTTTTGATGATTTCCAGCAGGAGAAAGCAGTATTGCCTTGTCAATATAATGTTCTTGATTGTGAGCTTTGCACCAAGACATGTAAGCCAGGATACAAGCGGCACCCATTGAATGAGCCACAACAACCAACTTGAAATTACTAGTCCCCAATTCTTTCTTTTTGATATCTCGTATTTTCTTAACAAAGCTTTTCACATCATAGAATGCATGCTCATTGATACTGAAATCCCAGTATTCTCTGGAAGTAACATTTTCTCGAGCATGTTTCAAGTGGCATTTGGCCAATCCATAACCTCTCAAGTTACCAAGAAATACATCATATCCATTGGCGGCACATGCTAAGCCGACATTTGGACTGCTGCCAATCCATGTAAAACCGCTATCTAAAATTCCATGTTGAAAGTAAACAGCTGTTTTGCTTTGAGCGTTGGGAATTCTGTTCAACTCCACTTTGTAGCCATCTTCTGTTGAACAAATGTAACTCTTTGATTTGAAACCATTGTCAATAATGACCTGACTTATGGATCTGTCGTCAATACCTCTTGTAGAGAGGAAATTAGAAAGTCTGAAAAGTAAAACACATTCCTTAATGGTTTTGAAATAATCTCTCATCTTGAATCGAATAAATAATCTTGCAGATTTTGCTAATAAATCAATACATTCAAAAACTGTGTCTATTAAATCCTCAAATAAACCTGTGGATTTCTTTTCATATAAATGTACTTTATCCGCTTCAATAGATGCTTTTTTAGAGTTAATTGGAGATTTAAACAAACTTGGTAAGTAAATAATTAGCATGATAAACCACATAAACATTTCACCAATGAAATTCAGAATTCTTGCTCCAAGCCTCTTTTCTTCATAAATTAGCTTGATATCTTCTCTCACGTCATCTTCAAAGTCGTAATCGAAATTAGCATCCAAATTTTCATAGTCCGTCCACTCGGAATCTACCATGCTTGCGGTACTACTCTCCACAGGAGGATACTCTGAAATAACATTGGCTCCACTACTTTCCACTTGTGTAGGAGTCACACAGCTTGTTGACAAGGTGTTCGGAGAAATTAAATGTCCAACACCGGATATCTTTTTCAATTTCAATGAGGATTCCAATATTTTTCGAAATGAATTCTTGCCAATCATAACGTGAGAAGATGTGGATGTGGGAAATAAGTTAGTAGTAGGTATTGGGTGCTGTTGTAAAATTGATCCAGTGTCAATGGTTGGGCTTGTATCGTCTTCTTTTGTCACATTCAATGAAAAACTATTTTTTCGAACGTTTGTGTTGATCAAATGGTCTGATTTATCAAACCGTACTTTCTTTTTTTCAGTTAGATGTTTTATATTGATGCTATCATTGCCGTGGTCTTCCGAAAAGGTATTTTGCCCAGTTAGAGACATTTCGTCATCATACCTTCCGAATATTCCGACTCCAACAGAAGAATCGTCATCATTAGATAATTTTGACATATCAAGATGAACTAAAGAGGCTGCAGAAGCAACTCTTTTCGGAAAGGCTTTTTGTTGCGCTAATAGTGTTTCATCATACCGACCTGGACGATGAAACACATACAATATAAAACTCACTAATAAATGAAGAAGATATCCAAACAATAAAAGTAATTCTCTAATCAACGTTTTCGAATATTCCGATGCAATATAAATTAAAGCATCTAGCAGTCTCACCAGTAGCCATGTTGATTTCTGATGTTTGTTGCTGTTTGGTGCTACTTCAATACTCTGATGATTGATAATATTTGTAAAATCATGATAATGATGGTGTACAGTCGGAGAGGACAATACAGAAGAATGATCGGAAGTTATGGAATTTGAACGAACGCGTGGAGGCATTTTTTTAATTCTCTTGTAATCTTCCAATGCCTCTTCGTGACTGCAAACGCCACAGACTCTTCTGTATAACAAGAAGAATGCAGATTTTGAGTCCTCCATTAGAATTCCAGCTGAATTCGGTGTTCATGTCCCTTAAATTCGCTTACGAATGATGAATGCTCAATTCTTCTCCTAACCCATGAATCGATGAATGAAAAAATGAATGTTCCAGTTTACGTGCGATTGATCGATCTGAATGATCATCCCAGAAGTAGTAGTAGTGGTGGCAATCTCAGCGGATCATCATTTCAAAACAATAATAATTATTCAAAATTGCAAGAGCGAATGAGAAAGAAGAAGCTTGATCAAAAAGCCTTTTCTTTGAATTTTGAACTCACGGGTACTTTGGGAATGTACAAGAATCCGATGCACAATAATGAAGGTTTTGACTTTCCATGGGATGTTAGAGTCAGCATTGCTTGTAATTGTATCATCATTAGTGATTATGGTAATAACCGATTACAAGTATTTGATGCAAAGACAAAAGAATTCAAAACAACTCTGAAATTCTCTACCGAGATTGATTGCCCTGCCAGTTTGTGCATAGAACAAGATTATGATGGACGAGATCGTGAGGCTCTACTTTTTGAATATGCTTTAACAGACGGAAATCGATACATTTGTAAATATGACTTTGAAAACCTTCTGAATAATTCAATGAAACAAGAGGTCACTCAAGAGTTATGGAAATCAAGCATATGTCACTGTCCTGCTGGAATAGCTGTTTGGAAAAAGACCCAACAATTACAGGATAGAATTGTTCTCGTATGTGATTATGACGATAGTGCTATCTATTTATTCAAATCTTGTTCTGGAGAATTTATTCAAACAGTTGAGTTGGATTCTCCTCTATTCAAAGTAGTTCATCCATTAGGAATTGATATTAGTGCAGAAGGATTGGTGTTTATTAGTCAAGGCTCTCCAAACAGCACAATTTTGATATTAAGGTATGATTACAAAACTGAGAAATGGTTAGTTTCGCAAGAAATCTCCGAAGCCAATGAACATTTTAAAATTCCAAGAGGCCTCGTTTTTGACAACATGTCCAAAAATTTGTTGGTTTGTGCAAGTGAAAGTAATACCATTCATGTGTTAACAGAGGATGGTAAATTCTGTAAAATGTTTGGACATGACAAGAAAGGTCAAGATGGCCTAGAGAATCCTGATGGAATATGGTTGAATAGCCAGACTGGAGAGCTATATGTATGTGATTATTCCAACCACAGAGTCCAAATTTTCAAATAATGAATGTCATCTCCATTGTTCACTTGCCTCGTCTGCACGTCCAATTCAACAACTTCATCACTCTAATTTTGAAAGTTATTCACAAAAGCTAATCTTCCAAGACCAAGTGAAAATCTTTAATAGTTGGCAATTTTGTAGTGAAAAGGGTTATGAAATTGACATAAAAAGGCCTATGCATTTGGTCAATAGATAGATTTATCACAAACCACCTTTATTAGTCGAACATCTTGAAGTTTTGGCAATTTGACTATTCTGAACAGTTTGTTGTGAGAGATTAGACCATTCACGGCTGTCATTCCTGCGCACACGACCAATGCAACGACACACTGTTGGAATACTTTTGAGTTTGTTCGCAAAATCTATTCTTCCAAGATCAAGTGAAAATCTTTCATAGTTGGCATTTTCGAATTGAAAATGATTGTGAAATTGACATAAAAAAAAGTTCCTTATCCAATTTAGTTCAACAGAAATAACATTGACCACCTTTAATGATCAACTATGGATCGAACACATGTAGGTACGATTTAGCCATGTACTACTAGTATTATTGAAGTTTAACTTTCCCAAAATTTACCATTCATTGCTAATTGTTCACACAACAAAAAGAAAACAAAGTACTGATGTCAAGTACCAACTTTCACTCCATCACCTCACAAGAACCAACGTCATCATCATGTCGTAAGAATCAAAAAACAAAACAAGAAACAAGAAAGACTTGTCATGGTATTCAAAAACCATCCTACACTTCTCCATTGACCTTTGTACCTTACCAATTTAAAAAATCACAGAGAAATCATTCGCCTTGTATTTTCGCTGTCTTTCGAAGAGCAAGGAAGATTACCACTCAACCGTACGAACAAGTGTTATTGGATGTCATGGTGATGAAAGAAGAACATTCCATTCAGACAAGATCTCCACCACCTTGTCATATCCAACCTCTCTCGAACACTACTAGGAGTATCAATGCTCATCTTGCATCGAATGAACAACAACTTCCAAATGAGCTGTTGTCAAGAGCATTCACGTGTCAGATGCACTCAGAGGACTCGCTCACAAGTGTTTCGTCCAATAACCATTCAAACAATCATGATGGTAATCATTCAGCATCATGCCCAGACTTGTACGACTCTTCTGCAAATAAGAAAAAAGTGATTCGAACGAGAATGCTTTCAATGCAAGAACTCTTAAATTGAGAACACTTATTTATTTTTCCAAATTTTCTCATCCTCATGTAATTTAAGTAAAAAATTGAATCAATAATAAACTAAGCGTCATCATCATCACTATTGCATTCATGACAAAAAATGAAGAACCACAGCAGATACACCGTCGTACCGCCAACCATCATTAATTTTGTGAATGATGACCACAACAATACGGATTCGTTTGTCATTGAATATTCGATTCATAAATGTCCCAATTTATTGAAATCCGATATGAAGAATATATTTCCAAAGATGAAACAACATTTTGACAAGTACCAATTGTACATTATTCCGACATTTCAGCCAGTTTCATGCTCCTTGTTTGTGTTCGATGAGAAGAGCGAGAAGGAGAAGGATGAAAAATTGAAACGGGTAGGTTGCATTAGGACTCTTTTGAAATGGTTGAAAATTAAATCCCGAACAAATAGTTCTTGCGATTTAGTGAAAAACTCAAAAGATTTATCGAACAGCAAACAAATTCAAAAGATTTAATGTGGTGTGATTATACGGATCCTGTGACAGGATATCCTGTACTTTCAGAAAGAGGAGGAATGCTGTACAGTGATGTGGATGGATGTGAATTCTTGTTAAAGAGCTATACTGTTGATTATTCATTAAGTGAATGTCGACTTATTTCACATCCTTTGTGGAAAACTCAAGTTTATCCTGCAACCTTTTTTACCACCTGTCCTCCTGAGAAGCTAGCTGGATTTTTTGAGAAATTTAGCAAACATTAGCATTTTGTTGTTGCGACAGCTGTTGTTTCAAATTTTCACATTCCTTCGTTTTTTCTTCCAATAATTTCTCAAGCTCAGCAATTCGTTGTTTAAGCATTTCAGTTTCAGAAAGTTTTGGTTTTGGAGGAGTTTTAGTGGTTGCTGAGGAAGGAGGTGGTTTCCAAAATGAATCTCCAAACACATTTCCTTTCTTTCCTTTTCCAAAGATATCAGGCTCTCCTGTTTCCAACACTGCATCTCCAACAACGTCCTCTTTTGTGGGAACGTCTTGATGAATGACCACGGTGCCACTGTCACTTCCAAGCCCCAATAGCATGGCCAATTCTTCATCAATTTCCTCACTATTTTCTTCACCGCCATCAGATAATTTTTCTTCATCTTTTTCATCACCATCTGATTCTAAATGGTAATCAAAACCATCTGTTTTAACAGTTAGCTCCGGAGAAGATGGAGTTCCAAGTGTGGACATCCATTTTTGAGCTTCTGAAATTGATGGACAAGCAAAGCTTTCTCTTGGTTCTTGTTCATTTGTGACTTCTAAAGTAAATGCTAATTGATGAATATTGTTTTTTTGAGCTGTCGTTGATCCAATTTTTAAATGTTCCACAAAGAATCTCTCTCGTGTAAAGTCTACCCTGCATCCAATAACATCTGCCACCTTTGACTTTTTATGTGATGTATAAAATAGTAACTGTTTGTTTGATAATTCTGCAAATATTACGGATGGTTTTTGATAGGTTTTGATATGATGTTTTTGATTTTTTCGGATGAGATAACCTTCCATAATACTTGTTTTCATTTTCGGAACCACTTCTTGTGTGGGTGACACCGCTCGTGTTTGAATATCTTTCTGAATTTTGCTTGTAACAAGTTCAGCACATAGACAATAAACATTATTCATAATTTTGTCACACCATTCTTTGGACTCTCTGCAAAATTTTCAAATGGTGGAATTTACAACATTACTCACAGTTAACATTCTAAAACTTACTCTTCCGAACCAAATATAAATTGTAATTCTGGTACAAAATAACTTTGTTTGGCAGAAGAAGATGAAGGAGAAACTGTAGAAGATGTTGTAAAACTCTCATTCACCGATAATTCCGATACAGAGACAAGCACTCGTTGAACACCCGATGAGAGTACTGTATATTTGGCACACGTAAAAGGTGTAATTTTAAACGTTAATGTATGTTCCGACTGTTTTTTCACTAAAAGGCTTTTTCCTTCCTTCAACCGAATACTACATTTCACCATTTGAGTGTTTGATGATGGTGATCCATGATGGGATAATGTGGTGGAAGATTTCTTTTCTACCAACATGTAAGCCTTTCCAGAATGGCCAACATATTGAAGAGAAGGATCATCATGGCCTGATTTTGATTGCATTTGTGTATGAATAATAGTGGAGGATGAGGAGGATGAGGAGGATTCGATCCAATCTCTGAGAATTGTGACGCCAACAAGTCGTTTTCGTATTTTTTTAACGTTGTTGTGTCCCTCCGAATCTCGAAACTCCGAACCTTCCAATACATCCGTCATAAAACGATTCATGCTTTGAAACACCTCAAAGAAAACATTCAAAAGACTGTTCCATGCTGCATTTGCAATTGTATCAACATTCATTTACTTGTGACAATTGAATATATTATGATTTAAATAATACTGGTATATCCTTGTTGTGAGTTGGATGGAAGTGAGGATCGTTGTTGTGCAAATGGATTAATTTCTTCAACAATCTCTTCTTCCTCGCCTTGATCTCTGTATGCTTCTGGATTGTTAATGGAATTCTCTTCTCCAACAATGGGTTCATCATCCATCACATCATACACTTCACCACTACTGCTACGACGAGGTCTTCTAAAGAGTTCACACAAGAATACAAATTGAACTCCATCCCAGAACAATGAAAAGACTTCTTTCCAGAAACCAATATTTGGAATAATATCAATACCTCTTGCCTTATACTTGACAAGTTTAACAATTGATCCAATACCAAGATATAATACCACTAAAATGAGTAAAATAATTAAAATAATTCCACCAGGACTAATTGCACTTTCTCGTGATTTTCTAATAATAAATGGTGTGGATACTTGTTGAAGTTGTCCATCCTTATCAGAGCGTAAAATGAGATTTACAATATAATCCTTATCACCATAAACATTAATTGAGAGTGGTACTTTTGAAGTACTATCTCCTTCTGCAAGAATTTGTAAATTAGATTTAGAATGAATGGCACACAATGTATGGAAATTCAAATTAGTAAAGATATCTTGATCTGACATTCCTGATAATTGATCACTCAAAGCATAACCCACAAATTTGTAAAAAGTATTTGCAGGTAAAGATGTTTGCAGTTCAACGTTGTAAATCGAAGGAACCTTATCATCAAAACTTTCAGAAACACGTGTCACTTTGTAAGGTACTGCTGGTGGTCTTGGATCATTTCGATTGGTAGATGCAAATACAGAATAATAGGAAGGCATTGAATCTCCCATTATCTTGAAATAGTAGATGGAATCAGTTGAAATTGATGATTGGTTCCATTTCAAAGAATATCTGTTGTTTGGAAGAAGAACATTATCAAAATCTTGATTGGAGGGCATTCTACCTTTGGCGGCATAGATAGATACGGTATCTCTAAGACTTGTTTCATCACATGCATCAAATTGAGCCAATAGTGCTTGACCTGTCTTTGGGCTGTACAATTCAAACTCATTGGCCCCAACAGAATAGACTGAGTAAGAGTCTTGAATTAAATAAATGGGTTGATCTTTGGCTGTCACTACAAGTTCATATTGAACCACTCGATCTGTACATGCAACGACTTCAATAAATAAATTTTGTCCTGCTGCCATATTTTGGAAATTCAACGTGACACTATTTGCATACTTTGGATTAGATTTTCCTGAGATTGAATAACTCGAATTTTGATAGGCAGTCACCTTAATACAATCATCCACTATGTTGTAGACACGAGTTCTAATGAGCATTCCAGTAGCAGGAGTACTTCGAAGAGCAAGAGTATATCGAGAGGTCACTAATGGTGTCGTCAAACCGCTACGAGGAACTCCTGATCTCAATACACCTCTCATGGTTTGGAATGATAAATAAAACGATGAAGGTACAACTCCATAAATAGCCAATGACCAGACTCCAGTTGCAAAAACATCTGGATTTCCAACTTTTGTCACTAGAATACCATTTCCTCGTCGTTGAGTATCAGAAGAGAGCATGTAACTCTGTGAATTTGGGAATGTATCATTGGTATTCAAATACATTTGCGTTTGTCCATTGAGATTGGTCGTTGCAATCACGACTTGTTCGGCCTCAGCTGGAACCAAGATCTTGTAGTGACGAACAGCATTGGTATTAACAGTGTCCATAATTTGTCCTCCATCGTACACATACGAGTAGAGTGTTGAAACAGTAAGAGAGAATTTGGTTTGAGTCACGGGTGAGGCATACACAGAAATGTAATACGTGCCAGGAATGGCTCCATCAATTTCAATCGTATCGTCACCAAAGTTTTTAGAATGCCATGTGTGATGTTCTTTCGATGGATAAGGTTCCATACTCACATACAGATCAGCATCTGATGGATAGGCGGATAATACAGACAGATCCAATTTCAACTTTCCTTGATTTTCAAGATTAAATTTGTATCTCTTATAGGTTCCCATTTCAGCAACTCCAACAATGGGACTGTTTTCAGTGAGTTCCAAAACACGATCCATTCCATAAACAATCAAATCGAAAAGAGCATTGGAAAAACCATGAACTCCAATATATAATTCTCTGACATTGGGTCCAATTTGTTCTTTTGGAATGACTAAATTTTCAACATCCAGAGAGAAGGAACGCCAATCATAATTATTGATGGTAGGTTTGGAATTATTCTTACTCACATAAATGTCTGCATCTCCATAATTCATGTAAGCGACGATATTTACATCTGTTAAATTACTATAAGGTGGTAAGGTGTAAACAAAGTACACATAGTAATTCACTCTCACATAGTTATTGGTATTCATTGTTGAATCTAAAAGTATTCTTGGACGTTGATTGGTAAAAGCAGTCATGGAGAAAGTACCTGAAGCAAGAGTGTGAACAGCACAATAATACCAACCAATCTTGGATGAGGCTGGAATAGTGGCTAAAATTTCACTTCCTGTATTCTCACCAATAAAATCGTACTTGTTTCGATCGGGATGAGAATTTGTTTGACTGCAAAACAATTCAGCTCTCAAACCATTGTTTGTCTTTGCGCTGAAAATTAAGTGATTAGCAGAAAATCCATAAAAGAATCCAAAATAGTTCCAATCTCCAATACTGCTTGTAAGTTGAATTGGAATACCATCTTCAAGAATGGTTACTTCATCAGAGGACATGACCGTTAATTCAAATTCTGTCTCTGATCCATAACCTCTCACTGCGATATAATACCAACCAATTCTCCAGCCTGCATCTGTAGGTTTGATCACAAGAGAGTCCACACTCTTGGAACGAGCAGCAAAGTTGTAATTACTTAGACCTGGATATAAATTGTTGTCATCGGTGGATACGAAAATATCAGGATCACCAACAGCATTCAAAGGGTTCACAGTAATCGTCACTGAGCTTTGATGAGTCAATTTGAATTTGTAATAGGCAGATTCAGCAACTTGCACACGTCCACCCAACGATACTCCATGCATTATGGTAGAAATAGAGTCATTTCTTGTGGCAATAATGGAATAGAGTGCATCACTTCCAAATGCTAAAGTGTTAATATAGTAAGTGGAGCTTGGTTTGAAACCACTATCTGTGGTTTTAGCTTTGATGACTTCCACTGAGCTCGTATCACTTCCCCACATGTGATTAAAACTTGTAGGTTGCGTATCAGTACTCATGTATGCATCTGGATCACCACTAATTGGAGATACAGTTACTGTGAAATCATTATTTCCATCAAGTTGATAAGTAAAGTACGAAGATTCGAGAGCCTTAGTCGAAACAAGTTGAGGTTGTCCATCCTTAAGCTTGATAGAAGTTCCAGATTTGACGGCCAAAATGCTGAACTCAGTCAAGTCGTTATTATTCACACCACAAACACCCACATAGTATGGTCCATCAAAGTATTTCGAATCCTGTCTTGAGAAGGAAATGATATCAAATCCATGATTACTACTCTTCATTGCAAAATTATTTGGAGAGGCAGGGTAACTCTGTGCAATATATAAATCCACATCGCCTGAGAAAGGAGTCACAATAAAGGACAAAGTAACTCCCTGTCCAAGTGGTTCAGATGCAAATGTAAATTGTGCACATGGAATACTTTGATTGGTAAAGGCGATCAATGATTGTCCATCAATCAAGTTATTCGTATGATCAATTCCAAAATAGAGTGGTTGGTAAGCAGTGGATAATCCATTCCATTGATTCACAGCAATCACATTAATAATGTATCTTTCAGAGGAGCGAACAGGAACATCATAGAAAAGAATTTCAGGACGATCAGGAGGTAAGATTATTTGACCAATAAGAGTGGCCTCTCCATTCGTAATGGCACAAATGGTTTGCATGTTCACTTGAGCAGGATCCTCTTTGGCAGAAAGAACACGTTTGTAAACAAAATACATGTAACTAGTAGTTGTATCATCATCATCTTGAATGGTTGGAACAAGAAGTCGCTTTGAGGAAATACTAATGAGAGGACCTTCTGTGAGAATTCCATTATTCTTTGGTTTTGGTCTTTTATCAGATCCAGTTGTGGCATAAATTGTGTAAATATTACTGGTGGATAATTTAGAAGTTCCAATATAATAAAAAGTAGATGTTTCAGACCTGTTAGTGGTGACCAATTGTGAGAAAGGTCCATGAGCAACAGAAACATAGGAATTATTCGTTGGATTTGGTTGTGAGTTCATATTTGAAACATAGAAGGGCATGGCAGCATTGTCGGTACAACTCTCTAACACAGCAGTTAATCCTGCAGAATTTTTCACACTAAATACTCGGAAGAAATCTTGTTGATCTGGATAGGCAAACACTTTGTTGGGTGAATCAGAGGTTAAGAAAATAGGAGCACCCGATTGTTCTACAGTCACATGATATCTTGCTAATCCTCTGTAAGAAAAGACATTAATATAGAGTGGCTTGGTTCTCACGAGATCATTGGCATTCAATTTGACAAACAAATCCTCATTTCCTTGAGCAGACCATTTGTAATTGGTTGCATTCGGATAGGTATGATCTTGATCAATATATACAGCAGTAAATGCTCGGTCTCCTGTCAGTGAATTCACATACACAAAATAATCCTTATTTGCTGTGAATGGAGTTTGATAGAGGAAGAGTGATCCTCTCTCACCACAACAGGTAGACTCTCCAATGGTCGGAAGTCCTAATTTGAGTTCAGCCTGATAAGCCATATAGGAAGAGTGAATAAAGTACGTTGAATCCTCAACTCCATACACTCCATAGACCCATTCACCAGCATTTGCACTCTCAGGGGTCATTAAAATAAAGTTACCAGGATATTTGGTATCGATGTAGGTATAGGAAGAGTCAGAGGGATGAATCGTACTATTACTCACATAGAGTCGAGTATTGCCTTCAATAAGAGTCACTCCTCCCACCACTCCATAGTCACCTGGGGCAACAGAAGTGTAGTAATATCTGAATTGTCCTTTTGGAACTGTGTCTAAAAGAGGAACACCATATGAACCCAAATTCATGTAATTGGAAGAGACCACTAGAGTATACGATGTGTTTGGATAGAATGTGAAAACTCCAATAAAGTAATTTCCAGGTTGTGCATTGGTAATGGTAATCACATCATCTCCCAAAGTTATTCCATGATAATCATAGTCTTGAGGTCCAGGTTTTGGATTTGTACGTGATACATAAATGTCTGGATCATGTGAATCATAACCAGGTTGAAGATTAAAAGTGAGTGAACCCCGATTCGACTGATAATATTTGTAATATTGTGTATCTCCACTATTGTCTAGCAGACCAGAAACAGGAACTCCACTTTCAAGTTCAATGGTATTTCCTTGACTGTAAGCAACAATAGAAAATGTAGCAGAAGTGTATCCATAAATAGCAATAAATAATCTGCCAGTAAATTTAGAAGAATGTCTTTGAGCAGCATTTGCAGGAATGTGAATAAATTCAGATCTTGAAGTTGACATGGAATGCCAATCATAATTACTTTTAGAGACATCCTCACTAATGGAGACATACATGTCTGCATCTCCTGACATGGAAGTAAGAGAAATACCAACAGCGACATCATTGTTGGCAATTGGGAAAACGAATACTTTTTGTTTTTTGCTTCCAACTGTGGATGAATATTCGACAGCATCCAACAATTCAGTGTAACTGTTTTTAGTGGTCGCTGTAATGGTGTAGTTGGTATTACTGAGTGAAGTCACTGAAATGTAGTAAGGTCCAGCTGGAGAATCATCCTTGTGAAGAACAATAGAACCACCAACAAGTGCTCCGACAAGATCATGAGAAGTCTCACTTGGATTTCTAAATGTTCTACTTCCGTAGACAACCAATTCTTCTCCGGAACGAGGAGTTACAATGACATCCAATTCGGTTTTTCCTCCCTGTGTATTGGCCTCTACATAAAACATGTAATAATCGACCTTATTGGCAATTAGACCCTTTGTGATTGGAATTCCATTGGAGAGTCTGGCATTGGAATAAGTGGTGGTAATTAACAAAAAGTATTCAACATCGAAAAATGAATCATCTTCAATTCCAATGTAGAACCATCCACTCAATAATTGTGATGAATCGGAAACAGTGATTGTACTCGTTCCAGAACCCTCCTCTTTCCAATCAAAGGATGTCTTGCTTGGATATTCATTTGTTTTTGAAATGTAAATATCTGGATCACCAAAGAAAGAAAGCTTATTACATGTAAATTGAATAGTATCTACATATGTTGCTACAAAGAATTTAAAGTAGGTCTTTCCAGAGGATGGAATTTTGTCATACACACGTAAACCATCTGCAACCAATCCTTGTGTGGAAATTGAAGAAATTTGTAAATTGAATTGAGTTCGTTCATTTCCTCTTCCAGTGACAGCAATATAATAGGTTGTTGGTGAAGGAGCATTGATGAATATATAATCATCTCCAATGGCTTCTTTTTTCCATTGAGCATTGTTTGGTCCTGGTTTTGTATTAGTGGTACTCACATAGAGATTTGGATCTCCAAAAAGAGCATTCACTGAAATTGAGAAATAACCAGCAGAAGATGCCACATAGGTGAAATATAGAAATTGGTTGGGCTCTACAAATACATTCTGAGGTAAACTTTCCGATATAAATGTTGGAAGGTCTGAATTTAACACCAAAATTGAAAATAATGCTGGTTTTTGATATCCATGAACCGCAATGTAATAAGGCCCACCAACTTTATATCCTGCACTCTGCTTGTTAATGGTCACAGTATCTGTTCCACTTTGTACTGTGGATGACCATAGATATGAGGTTGGATCATTAATATCTGGAAGTCTTGATGTGGAAATGTATAAATCAGCATCTCCTGAGATTGGTGTCACAATAAATGACAAGGAAGAATTTGGGGAAGCTAAATCAGGAATATTGGTAATGTAATAGTATTGAATGGCATTCCCTTGCACAGTACCATTTGTTGCTTGATTGGTTGTGAGAGTGATGAGAGCTTGGGCATTCACATAAGTTAAAAGAAGATTTGTAGTGATGATCAGTAAGAGACTGATAATGGCAAGGTGGTGATGAGCCTTGCCATTTTTCAGATATGAATGAGAACAAGAGGATGAAGAAGAAGAACGAATCATTTCTTCTTCTCAAAAATTGATACTAATAATTTAAAAAGAATGTAGGTGATGATGTGTCGATATGAGTCGGAGATGCTGTTGTGCTGTTGTTGGTAAACTTCCGAAATTCTCTTGATGATTCACTTGATGCAATACAGTGATGATCACTCCAATTTGTTCGAATGGACAATCAAGGAGAACGGAAGCTCGAGTCTCGAAATATTTTTTCGATTTGAAAGATTTTATTCGGAGTTGGTTCTCTGGCTTTGCGGATCAAGTCTGCTCTGTTCTCTTGTTCTACATCTATTTCCTCTTTTCATAAGCATGTGGCTATTGGCATGGCTTACACATGTTATTAAGTTCATGTAAATTCTACAAACGAAGTGAATGGATCAAAAAAGTACACTTTCTTTATCGTATCGACAGGTCCAGATTTTGAATATTCATCGAAGTGGGCACCGCGGAAGCCTTCAAATTTATTGGTGAAATGCGTTGTAAGCGAATCGTGAAGCTGCTCACTTTTGAAAATTTCGTTGGCTTGTAAAACACTGAAATGTTTTGCTGAAAAAAATATTCACAACTCACAACCAGTAAACATGGCTCCAAAGATTACCAAGTCCCAATTGATTTTGTTGGTCAAGCCTGACCTCCCAGACGGTCCAGAGGATGAAACCGCTGAACAAATGAACCAAAGAATGGATCAACACTTGGCTGATTTGGAAAAGAGAATCAGAGATATCAGCATTGAATTCTTGGAATGGGGTGAAATCAGAAAGGAAGATTTTGCTTTCGGTTTGAAGGTTCTCCGTGTTGTTGCTACTATTCACGACGATTCAAAGGTATCCTTGGACAAGGTTACTGGTTTGTTCTACAATGAAGAGGAAGATGAACCAGTCATGGAAGGTGTTTCCTCATGCGAAGTTGAAGCATGGAACAAGTTGTAAATGAAATAAACTCATTCAACATCAATTTGTTTCATTCTTAAATGTAAAACATTCGAACCAATTACTATGATGATTTTAATTGAGAAATTCGAAACAGGTCATGATGGTTGTGTGATTGTATGAAGATCCTTTTATCGGCTTACGATGGCTTAAAATTTAAATTGAAAAACAAAATTTATTTTAAAAAAATACACAGCTCGTCAAAGCTCGTCGTGGCATTCCAACTCTCTCCAAATTTTCTTGTTCTGTAACAGGACAACTAGATTCGCTTGTACAAGTTGAACGTTCTGTTCTCATAGATAAATTATTTTTCACCTCCAATCCAACTAGAGCACATCCGCTTCCCTTATTTATCATCACACGGTTTCCTCATCCACAAATTAGAAGAATATATTAGAAAACAATTCTGATTATTATTAATTAACAATTAAAAAATGTCTAATGTGACCAATGCTGATATCTCTTCACTAGAGACCAAGGAAAATTCAGCTGCAACTTCATCATCAACGACATTTGCTACAAATAATCATGCCGTTGCTGCAGAGAATGAAGAATTGGATGAATCCACCACAGACCAATCCAATAACCCTGAACTCCTTGAGAAACTGAAACAAGTACAACAAAAGATAAAATTACTGACAAGCAAAGATGAAGGTAGAGATGAGCTCCTCCAAAATTATATTAAAGGATACAAGGAACAGATATCATTATTTGAAAGTTTAAAACAGCGAAAGCTGTTTCTTGCTACTCAATTTAGAGAATTGCAAATGAGAAATATTGAAGAAACATATAACAGTGATGTACAACAAGCAAAATCTGATTATGAGAATGATATAAGCACATATATTGAAAAGTTATTAAATCAGGCGCTAGAGGAAGAAAAACGGATATCTGAAGAACTGAAAGGCATCACTCCCACCCGAAAAGAGGGATCTGATTCTGCACAAAATGAAGAAGACAAAAAACCTGGAAGAAAACTCACCCGAAATAGAAGAGGTGCAGCATCCAACACGGAAAAGTGGTCCAATGTCATCAACATGTCATATGAAACCTATAGCAAAAAGAAGAGATTGCCTTGGTCTTTGGAGGGAATGAACTTCCAATTATCAACAGATGAAATTAATCAAGACTTGAAGAAGATGAAATATAATTAGGAACCATTCGTCCCCTACCAATAATGCATAATACATGTATTAACGCAATGTAAAATTTATTATGATGATACATTGGTTCTCTTATTATTTACATGAAACACCCATTTTAAAAGTTGAATTGAGCTTTGCTGAAATCCATTCCGTCAAAATTAATGTTGGGATGCATTTCTTTGAGTCGACGAATATTCTCTTGTCTGAGTCGATCTTCAGACGTTGGATTCCCAGTGGCCTTAGCTGCTTGATCGAACAGCATCTTTTCAACAGTTTGTCTCATCTCTGGACCTAAATCAGATAAGTTAGCTTGAGGTGTATCAATTTGAGAGGTATCAATTTTCGGATGTCCATCCATCACACAATCCCACCAAGTTCCGACCGTCTTTTGTAAATTAATTATTAATTCTTTTTTGTCCTCAATTTGCCAATAACTCTCATCTTCGTCAATTTCTTTACACAACTTTCCTTCAATTATTGGTGTATCAAATCCAGCAACAGTCACTTTGATTGATTTTGGTTGGAAAATGACCTTAACTGATTTGGTTGTAATTGGTTGAGAAAAAGGAATCACAACCATCAATGACGAAATATCCTGTGTCCACTTATAATTTACATTTTCGAGATTGGTTGGACCTGTTGCTCCTCCCTGAACAGGTTTGATTAGATTAGCTTTCTCCGATGATGACGATGATCCTGATGATGATGAAGACATTTTTTTGGTAGTGCAACAAATTCCGATTCCGAAACCCTTCTGAATTCTGCTTTATATTTACTTTATTGGACTCTCTTCAATGTATTAACCTCTTGGACATGATCTCGTTCCTTTTATGCCTCTTCTTGTCAATGAAAAGTGATTCATACCTGATGGATGGTTTCTAAAGGTCCAGAAAGAGTTGATCTTTTCCTCATATTGAGTGGACACACACCACCCTCTCATGAACCTTGCTAATGTTTTCTAATCTCGTTCACCCTCATCGGCCACACCACCCTCACATGAACCATATTCTCTCTCATCTCTTCAACACTCTCGTAACCACCAATAAGAGGTGATCTTTTTGTCTCATCTCTCTCTCTGCAAAAGCCTTTTCAATCCTCGTCAAACCTCTCACTACGATTAAACCAACATCATCATCACCTTAAAAAAAACAATTCAATAGACAAACAACCAAAAAGCGAATTGGATCATCATCTACAACAACCACAACCACAACAACACCATTACTTGAGTAGCAATAAAAGTAGTAGAAACGATGAAAATATTTGAAGTCAGTGCGAGTGGTCTGGGACCTGGTGGGATTTGTTATCAAGTGATGGAGGTGGTTGGAACCAAGGTAGGTCCTCTTTGATATGTCCGTAAATAACTTTAATACTATTTCAATGAACGGGTTGCTTCTTTCCCATGAATAGTTTTATTGCTTGTTGGGTCAAAGAGCTTCCTCTTCAAAACCTAATGCAGTCTATATATTCGACATGGTGAAAAAGGAATGGCAAGAAATTGAAAATCCAAAAGGTGCAGGTCCAACGCCAAGAGCAATGCCTGCTTCTTGCGTAGTCGGAAATAAGATTTACGTTTTTGGAGGCTACTCTCAAGCAACGCCAGTAGCCAATCATACAGTTTATAACGGAATGTACTCTTTTGATATAGAGACTAATACATGGACTCATATTGAGTGCAATGGATTGTGTCCAGATCCTCGAGGTAAGTGTTTTTAAGAACTGAATGAAACCTCATTGTCACAACCTGTCACAAATTGTATTTAAAGCTGGTGCTCAAATGTGGCAATACAAGGGCAAGATTTATCTTGTAGGAGGATGTCAAGGTCGACAATTGTATTTTACCAGTCTGTATGAATATAATATCGAAGAAAATATTTGGAAAACTGTCGAAACCAAAGGATATGTTTCTCTTAGTTCAGAGTTCAACACAATTGTAAATTCATCAAACCAAAACGAATCTAAGACTCAATGTCCAGAGAGATTTTGTTGTTTCTCTGCGAGTGCTATTGAAAATCTAGTGTACATATTTGGAGGATTGTTTGCGCATGAAGAAATGGACAAACATACAGCATCAAATGCAATGTTTGTTCTTGACATGGAAACGCTTGAATGGGTCAAGCCTGTTTTTGCAGATGATAATAATATTGTTCCAGGAGCGAGAGCGTCACACACCATGACAACTGTTGGTCCAAATTTGATCCTTGTTGGAGGATGTAATGTGGTCAATAATACTGATTATGATCAGCATGTATATCTTTTCAACATTCTCGAGAGAAAATGGTACCGTCTGACTGATTTCTTTTTCGGTTCTCACATGCCAAAGCTTGTTGGACTTGCTTCAGCTTATTGTAAAGAAACAAAAGAAATTTTCTATCTTGGAGGAAAAGGGTCAGACGATGTTCTGAAGAATCATTTCTACCTTATTGACACTAAATTGGTGAAACAAATTAATGATTACTCGTTTGAGCCCTCAACATCAGAAAGCATCAATCGAGCTCATAGAAAATCTATCAGAGCTCTGGAGGATATAAAGACAAAAGACAAGACAGCGTTCAATAGTTACGGAACAAGAGATAAACGAAGCAAATCATCGGCTGTCGCTTACTCTCCTCTCCCTCAGCAAGACACTGACGAGGATGACAGTGGTCTTTTGAACGGAGATATTAAAACTAACAGAAGAAGGACTGTTGGTTCAATAACAAAATTATTCAGAAAGTAAAAAGGGTCTCATTTATCTTGAGAATTTGTACAAAACTTTATCTTTTTTTCTTTGATGCTTTCAAGAGGGTAATTGCTTCATCGTCCGAATCATCTGACTCTTCATCAATTCCAATGGCATTCATGACGCTCGTCAGTGTCTCTTTCTTGCTTGAGCTTGGAGGTGTTGTGTTAATCATTTCTTCCTTTTTCTGCTTTGGGGTTGATGCAGTGAAATCTTGGGCCTTCGCAGACTTGGGAGAGGTTACTTCATCATTGAAATTCATGGACTCTTGTGCCAAAGGAGGGGGAGAGGAGAAGTTTGAGGGAATGATGGATGTTGAGGTTTTGAGTACTTTTGCTTTCTTAAATCTTTTTGCATTAAATCCTGTATATGAGTTTTGTGATGCTGGTTTTTCATCCTTTACCTTGATAAGGTTGATATATTCAACAATAATTTTAGGAGCATCATCATCGACCTCATCGTGAGATCTCTCTTGTTTGACAGAAACTTTCTTTTCCTGCTTGGCCTCTGCTTTTGGTGAAACCTTCTTGGGGTTTTCTTCGTCAACAACTGACGATTTTGCTTCCGATTCTAGAGCTTCTAAGGAAAGAGGTATTTCAATTCCTTTTCTCTTTTTGGTATTTGTATCATCTGAGGAAGGTTTAACTTTCTTTGGAGGAGTCTCTATTGTTGTGGGTTGAGCCAATTCATCATCTGTGGCGTCTTCATCCACTACTGTCGGTAGTGATATTTCTTTTCTCTTAAGACTCTCTGGTTCAGTTTTAATCTGTACTGGTTTAGGAATAGATGGTGTTTTCGTGATTTCTAAATGAGAAATATCCTTGGACAATATTGTAGCTAAAATGTTTGTATTTGTGAAAAATTGGAATCCATAGTATTGCAATTTGCTTAATTGGTCAGTAGTTAGTGATGAAGGCTGAAAGCATGAAATATGTTATCACCTATCTATTGAACATATGTTTTAGAAACAACTTACATCGTCCACCAGAATATGACAGTTGCAATATGTCTTCACAAACGTGTCATCGATGGCTTCATTAGAAACATTAGAGATTTTTCCTCCTCCGGTTTCAACAACTAGTGAGCTTTTTTGAAACTATTATATGAATTAACAGTTAGAATTATGGATGAATATTTGTGACTTACCATGGCATCATTGAATACCAAAAAATGTTTTCCATTCAGTATATTTTTCCGTTTTGGATCTTGTTTTAAGTCTGGAGGAAATTGCAAACCAATATCCTTCCATCCACTCTTCTCAGACGATGGTGCAAAACTATCTGGATCAGGTAACTTTATATTTGAGGAATTGCCTGTTGTGAGGGTTTTTTCTAATTCGTCTACAAATGACATTGTGACAATAGGAATGCAAAGCAGCAGAGCTAGAGCAAGCTTTTCAGTAATAGCAAAATCTGATTCATTCACAATAAGGTGAGTACAGTGAGGCGACCATATCGTAGCATATTTGGCATCAATTGTTTTACACTGGTTCGCAAGCTTTTTTCTGTCTTTTTGGTCAATTCTTGAAACGCAAAACACAACAAGTTGATAAGAAGCTCTAAAAAAATTATTAAATATCTTCTTCGAACCAGTTCATGGTATACGTACGTGTAGACTGATTCATAAACTCCAAAACGAATTGTTGTGTCATCCACAATCTCTATTTTGTTGTTTTCCCCAATTTTTTCGTAATTACCATTTTTCAAGACAAACGTTCCATATTTTGAATAGTCGGTCAGTGATAATATTGGTCTAATGATTGGATCTGATTGTGTTTGTATTAAAACTTGTTTTACATTTACATCCTCCATAGAAAATACGGCATGCTTTCGGGAAATGCTCTTATCGTTATCGACAAAGATTTCGCATTCATCGCCTATTCTCAAAAAAATCGTGATTATTTTGAAATTTTTCGTTGTAAATCATAGATAAAGGATCATGATCACAGAAACATACGCTTTCGTCCAACGGTATAGTTTTTATTCGGAATCAAATAGACACGGTTTTGAGACGATGAAGCATCCGATGACGCAGCGCAAGATAGAAGCCACATTTTTTTTCGTGAAGATCCTCCAGGAATGTCTGGAACAAAAAGGCTTTTATTTCTCATCATCATCATCACCACCATATTACAGTTTCGTCTTTTTAGGGGTAGGTTCATGTTCTGATAATGATGGGTTGGTTGTATCTGATGATGATGGCTCTGCTTCCTCTTGTTGTGTGGATGGTGAGGATGAAGAGGTTTCGTTGGATGGTGGTTTCTCTTGTTGATTCAAGCTCCACAGTGGAACGTTAAGATCGGAAAAGGCCTCTTTTGATAAATTGCTTGCTTTTGAATAATTCACTGTTATTATTCTGCCACATAATTCGCTATTGTTTAAATTTTCAAGAGCTTCTGTCGCATCTTCCGGAAGCTCAAATTCCACAAAAGCGTATCCCTTGTGTTTTGATCCTGTGAGTGTTTCGGATTGATTCATTGCTGATGGAATTGTAACATCCAATACTTCTCCAAATGGTATAAATAAATTAAATAATACATCTTTTGTTACTTGAGGTGATAGATTACCAACATAAAGTACTCTCCGATAGGAATTGAGAGCAGAAAGAGTCACAGAAACAACCGAAGGAGTCGATGTGATGGTGTTTGTGGGGTTGTTTTGTTGCAGCATTTTTTGTTTGACCCATAATCTGCCTAAATGCTGGTTCACTTGCTCCAGAAGTTGTCTTTGCATGATTGGAAATCCTCGTAGTTTTTTGAACCAGAAGCATAAACTTAAGAAATAACGAAACCAGAACAAAATGATGAACAAAACAACCAAAAATACATTGCTCTAATAGCATGATTTATAAGATGAATGAATTAAACCTCTGACTTGTTCTGCTATTGAGATTTTGTTTTGGTTGAAACTTAGAGAAAAAGCAGGAAAATATTTACAAACGCAATCATGCTCTAGACGTTGTTGTTAGTGGTCGTTGAATGGTTAGCAAGATTTCTATTGTTAACAGGAGGTTCACTGCTATCACTTTCCTCGTCTTCACTCAGGATTTGATGAGACTCCATAACCCTACATAAAATTGAGTATTTGATAATTATCACCCCGATCAATAAAAACAATTAAATATCAATGAACATACCCGCCACGAATAGTAAGATTACTTGATCGTCTGAAAACAGAAGCTATTCTCTCCCAATACCGTTTCAAAAACGATGGAACTGTAATTGAATTACGATTCCTCCATGTGGTGAAGACTACACTTCCCAAGACAATCAGTACTAAAATGGATAATAAGACAATAAAAACAATATCGATCATCCAAACTAAAATTCCATAGTAAATGATAAATGCTCCAATTATTCCACTAATGTGAATTGGTAAAGATGTTCATATGTGTGACTTTTTAAACCTACCCCAGATGACCTACAAAGCTGGCTTGAGGTAATAATAAAGAAGTTAGAATGAGTGCCATGAAAGGTCGAATTATTGCGGGTAAATTCAAACCAAACATTGAAGAACTTGTAGAAGAAATTCCTTGTTGTAAAGTCTCTAAAGTCATTATTCCAAATAAAACTAAACAGTAGTTCATATGTCAACGATTATTAATCTCCTCTCTGCATTACCTACCACCACTATATCCAACAATGTTGACTTGTCTGTAATTTTCCCATTTCAAAAATTTGATCAGACAAAAGTATACAAGCGTGATGAACAAAAAAGACAATAGAATTAATAAAACAGTAATCTTGAAATATTCTACAACGGAATGAAAAGTGTGTACAGTTGGATGCTCCTGTCCAATTAATTCTACACTCCTCATGGACCACATAGATCCCATATTAAATAGAATATGAATTATTGAAAAATGTGAGAAGGTGGACGTAACAACTCTCCATATTTGATATTCTCTCACAATCTTATCGTAATTGTAACTAACAAACTCCGAAGGAACCTTCCCGAAACTCAAAATGAAAAATATGATTGTATTTATCGACACCAATGTAAAAGAGAGAGGAAAGACAGCAATCTGTTCAAATAAATAAATCATTTTTTTTTGCTTTTGATGATTGACAATAAGCGAGAGATATGTATTGCATGTTCTAATCACTCAACCATGAACCTCGAGCATGTTTCAATTATTCTTATGATAGTATCATTCTTCGGGTTTAAAAAGCTCTTCTTAATCAAAGGATCAGATGATGAGCCTTTTAACACTGGCAGTTAACGAACGAAAACAACAAAAAATGAGAAGCACCTCTTCCATGCTTTCCCGTTTCTCTCGCCAATCACATGCTCTGTTGGCTTCCAAAACAAACTCTCTCGCTCCGTTCTTGACATCATCATCATCATACTTTTCGACATGCATGGTTTCAAAAACAAAACCAGCTCTAGAGGAAAATATCTATCAATTAGATGATCAAAAAATTGATGTGAACAAATATAAGAATTTTAAATATGAATTAGTATATCATCACAATGAAAATGAAATCAAGGTTACTGAGAGCAATTCTACTGAATTGAACTTGTGCAATAGTATCAATATGGCACTGAAACAAGCAATGGAAAGAGATCCAAAGGCATTAGTTTTTGGTGAAGACGTGGCTTTTGGAGGTGTGTTCAGATGTACGGTAGACTTGAAGGAGCAATTCGGAAGAGACCGTGTTTTTAACACTCCACTTTCTGAACAAGGTATCGTTGGATTCGCTATTGGTGTTGCTGCAATGGGCCATACCGCAATTGCTGAGATTCAATTTGCTGACTATATTTTCCCTGCATTCGACCAAATCGTCAATGAGGCTGCCAAATACCGCTTTAGAAGTGGAAATTTGTTTGATGTTGGAGGATTAACAATTCGTACACCAAGCAGTGCTGTTGGCCATGGTGGCCATTACCACTCACAATCTCCAGAGGCCTATTTTGCACACACACCAGGCCTCAAAGTTGTCATTCCAAGAAATCCATTACAAGCCAAGGGGTTGTTATTATCAAGTATTGAAGATCCAAATCCCGTTATTTTCTTTGAGCCAAAGATTCTCTATCGTTCAAGCCAATGCTTGGTTCCAAATGAAGCATACAAAATTCCATTAGAAAAAGCAGAAATACTAAAGGAAGGCAAAGATGTGACTGTTATTGGTTGGGGAAGTCAACTCTATGTCCTTGAAAAAGCTGTCGAAATGGCAAAAGAGGTTGGAATCGATTGTGAGCTAATAGATTTGAGAACTATTGTGCCATGGGACATTGAAACTGTGGTAAACTCTGTAAAAAAGACTGGAAGATGTGTTGTTAGTCATGAAGCTCCATTAACTGGAGGTTTTGGTTCTGAAATAGCTGCCACTGTTCAAGAGAAATGTTTCTTACATTTAGAGTCGCCTGTTGTCCGTGTTTGTGGGTTGGACACTCCTTTCCCATTGGTTCATGAGAAATATTACATCCCAGGAGTTGTTAAATGTTTTGAAATGATCAAAAACGCAGTCAACTATTAGACAAGTACTTGTATGAACTTATTTCTGTTTTGGTAATTGAATTTTGTTGAGCAATTATTATTAATAATTAATATAAAGTTTTCCACAAGAATTTTTATTTCGTTAGATTTTTCGGCATAGCCTCTTTCTCTTTTTGGATGTGCAAAACAAAATTTTATTTTTTAAAAAATTAGAAAAAAATTCACCAACAAAAATGAGCAAAGCAGGCGTGGCACAAGGTACGTTCGGTGTGGGTGGTGTCGGCTGACGACTCTAAACACATAATGATTTTTATCATCATCTATGCCTATCTGTAAACCAATAACGTGTTTTTGAAACAACAATTTACATGCACTTTGTTCTGATGATTGATTCTATTGGTGTTATCATCCCGTGATGGCTATTACTAACACCTGCCAATTCTTGCTCTTTCAAATCATATACCAAACAGGAAGCGATTCTAAAATCAATCAGATGATTAATTTCATCAAGAGCGAGGCTAAAGAGAAGGCCGATGAAATTGAGCTCCAAACAAAAGAGGACTTTGCTGTTGAAAAGATGAATCTTGTGGAAGAAGGTAAAAAGAAAATCAGAGAAGAATATGCCAAGAAAGAACAACAAGTAGTCATTAAAAAGAAAATTGATCATTCAAACGAGATAAAGGCTGCTCGTTTGGAAATTTTGAAATTGAAGGAGGAGATTTTGAAGCAAATGGTCCAAGCTGCTTTAGAAGAAATTAAAAAGAGAATTGTCAACAAGGACGAATACAAAAAGATTTTAAAGAATTTGATGTTGCAAGGAGCACTTCGTTTCTTGGAAACAGAGGTTAATGTATATTGCAAGGAACAAGACTACGACTTGGTTGCCAGCCAAGTTGCTAGCGTTCAATCCGAATACACAACAGCTACAAAGGGTTTGACAGTTAAGGTTAATGTTCAAAAATCAAACTTTTTACCAAAGGACTGTGTTGGTGGTGTGATTATTAGCTCTAATAATGATTTAATCAAGATTGACAACACTTTGGAAAAGCGTGTTTATTTGTGCCAAGAACAAAAGCTTCCAATTCTTCGTCAAATGCTTTATGGAGACAAGCAATCAGAAGGCAGGCTTGAATAAATTGGAACAGCCATTAGAAAGGTTGACGACTGCTCACTTTTGACATACACGCTATTGTTTATTACATTATTAAACTACTAATTATTAATATTAAAACAAGAAGTGTGACAGAGATTTTTGCACCAACAGCTCCGTTGAATTTTGCGCCTGTAACTACCAACAACCCTTTTTGACTTCTGTTTGAAAAATTGTTGTTTCTAGTGCACATGTATGCAAAGACTCCGTTTGCTTTCAATTCGTGAAGACCTCCATCAAAATAAGGTCCATTAGGAGCATTGTTCAGTTTTGCACAATTATTGATGTCTTGTTCAGCCTTATTCTTATTTCCTCCATTCTTATCCAACAAACTTTGCCAATCCATACACTCAGATGTATTGTAAATATTTTGGTCTAAGAATGCCAACCTAATGATAAATTCATAATCTGGCTTTCCGTCATTGTTCAAAAACATGGTAACTCTCGACATGTTTCTTGGGAAGTTTTGACCAGCAAAGTCCGCCTGAACGAGATTACTTCTGTCACCTGTGTTTGGTGCTCCCTCAGCATCGTTGGGATTTCGTTGTGGGTTGTAATCTGAACCAGTCCATTGAATGTGGAGATAATCTCCTCCTTTTGCTTCCAAATAATTTGGCACAAAATCATACTCGGTTGAAGGAAAAGTTTGTACAATATTTCCTCTCTTTCCTCGTATGTTTAGGTTGTAAATTGTTGCCCATGCAGGAATATTTGGTGGACGAGCTTTAATTCTGAACACATAGCTTCTGTCTTGGAATGTTCTTCCATATTGGTTTGTGTTAATGGCTAAAGATATGTAACTGGGATACCCAAATGTTTCAAACGGATCTTGTCTCAGAGGATGATTTGGATAATTTGATTTGGAATCTGTTTCAAATGGGTGAAATTCCATTGTTGTGATGTTATATCTGATCCTTAAAACACACCTTTCGTGAACATCGTTCGGAATCATCCAATGATATCTTGCCAGTTGAGGGGTAATGGATTGTGTTGTTGTGGTTTGACTTGAAACATCCACTGCACTTCCTAAATGATTGTCTCTGGTTGAGATTAGATCAGTGCTAAGACATTCTGGTGGATTAAGTTTGTGTGGCTTCGAAAGAACCCATAAATTTCCTTCGCTAATACAATCTTGCTCACCATTATAAACAGTAGGTTTACCATCATTGGTCAGGCACTCATATCGACCCACCACGTTCTCTGAATTTGCTTGATACCATTCACACATGGAAGTATTATGAGTGAAAATAGCAATATCTTTCCAAGGTGTTGGATGCCAATATGGCTATCAATAGCGTATCAAAATTCATTATTTTAGGTGGTAGTGAGAATATTTTTCTTAAATATCACAAACACTCAATCAACTAATAACATACATAATAGTCTCTCTCTTCTGGGCATTCCCAACCATGTCTGGCTCCATTTGCGTTTTGTCTTGTATGAGTTGCAGGACTTGTTGGAAGCAAGAAACCAGGATTTTGTTGCTTCTGGTCTGCCAAGTACAATCCATTGTTTCTTCGTCTCGTGCTACATTTCTTGTAATACTCCATTGGTTCATGCATTCCGTATCGGGTATTGTTGTTATTCTTCTCGTCAATGGTGTCTGTAGCTGAGTCTGTTTCAGATTGGGGAGTACCATCTCTTAAACCCGGTGAGGTATCATCACACATGTACTGAATGACAAGGTTGCAAAAAGTATTCCTAAAACCACATGAATGCTGTGTGGTCCACTCGATTGGAAGAACGCTTCCGACATAGTAATACCTTAATCATCAGGTGTTGTTGATGTTATTTGGTTATTAAAATCTTTGAAAACCTACATGGTTGGAGTAATGACGTCAGGACCTCCGATTTTTCTGGGGCAAGCATACTTGAGAAAATTCGTATCATACTCATTGCCATGCTCATCATCCTTATTTACTTACTCCTCCAGCTGCGTTATTTTGGCTGTCAAATAAACGGTTTGCGTTGTTTCTATTCGCATTGAATTCGCAATTTCTGTACAAAATTCATCATCAGCATTCTTGAAGTATCAGATTGTTCTTACCTATCATTGGATCCTCTTGGATTATGTAAATAAATATCGGCTTTAACATTATGGCAAAGTACAATGACGCCAAGAAGGAACACCACCACCCACCTCGACATCACTCCTCCCATTAAACAAGGTTTCATTTTTGCCACTTTTCTTATGAACATAGAAAAGCTCCGAATAGAACTTGCACGTATATTTAAGGGTTTGAGGGACCCTTTAAGGGTTTATTTCCTTTGCTTTCTTCTCTTTGTATAGATATCAACATAGGATCTAGGAGCATTCAAATCTTCATCTTCCATCTCTTCCTCGTCATAATCATGTACCGCTTCGTAGTCAACTCTTCCTCTCTTGTGATCATCGAGAGGTCTATTGGGTAAAGGAGTGTTTGCAATGACATCCAATATCTGGTCAATGCTTGGTAAATTGACGTACGTTTGGAGAGGCATTCTTTTCAACACTTGTAGAACCACATTTGGTAAAATGTGTTCGTCTGGAATGGTAACTAGAGGAAGATTACTAGAGGATCCTCTGGATTGATCAATTGGATTGGGAATGACTTTGAATTCGTTCATTTGTTTCAAGTCAGGAAGATAAATTTTCTTTGAAGAAAGATAGGCTCTATATTTTGTGTATGATGGAGGCACAGCAGCTGTTGGAATGGCTACATTCGCACCAATCAAAGACTTATCGCTTTGACTTTGTTGTCTGGTGTTTGTAAATGTTATTTGTCGAGTATAGTCAATCTTGTAAAAGGATTTGCTATATCTTCGGTGGTCTTCATCGTCTATGGGTATCTTTTCACTGTCTTGAGCTTTCAATTTCAAATATTCCATTTCATGAGGAGTGCAAGGGCAAAGATCTAAAAACTTAGTTCTGTTCACTAGATTGGTTAATGCGATAATGGAGGATTGATGGGAATCCGAGGAAGTGTTTGCAGAATCAGTGTTAGGCTCACCAAAAGCGATTTGCTTTCGTTCTTCAACTTTTTCAATAGAGTTCAAATCGCCAAGAGCATATTCAAATTGTAAGAATTTGTTCCAAATTTCTACTGATTTCTCCTTTGGAATTTCATTTAAAATAGTTTCAAAAAGTACTCTAGTATTGTTTTTATCATTCAAATGATCCAAAAATTTCAAGTATTCAAGAATAAAGCCTGGCTCTTTACCAAAGGATTGGTTTAGGCCAAGTTTAAAGATTTTTCTAGCGATATCTGGTTGATCATTCATGGTATATTCGAGTAATGCGCTTGCAACCCATACATGATAAGAGCAGTTTGGAGATTTCTTTGCTTCAATAAAAACCTCTCTAGCTCCTTCCATTCCCTTCGTTCTTCGCATAAATCTAATATATTGAATAAAAATAAGTGGATCTTGACGAATTTTTAGTAATTCTTTAAATACGTTAGCAGCTTCTTCGAATTTTTTCTTAGACTCCAAATATTCAGCAAATGCCAAATGAAGTAAAATGCTGCCCTCTTTTGCAGAAGGATTAGAAGGAACTATTTCTAAGGTTTTAGGAATTGGTTGCAAAGCTAAACAACCTGCTTGGAAAAATTGTATGGCTTCATCATGACACTGAATAGATATTAAATACATGGCAGCGTCATACCAAATATCAGCATGATAACGGAAGCATAGTAAGCATTGCCTATATACAAAAATAACTCTTCTTTTCAATTCTTCAGGGGGAAGCCTTTGAGAATTTCTCTTTTCAAGCTCTATTAAATCTTTCCAAATTTGTTTTTGCGTCTCTTCTTTTTCACTGTTTGTTGGAGGTGTTGCAAGCATGTTTAAAAGCAATCCACCAACACCACCCATATTTTCTCTAATATTTTTCTTTTCTCTGTACTTGTTGAGTGCTAATTTAAATTTGGGTAGAAATTCTTGAAGCTCATTCTTTCCATTCACAGGATTGACTTCATTCTCGAAGGCTTCATAATCTTTCCAAATTCTATCAAGATCGTGCATTGAGACTTGAATAGCCTCTTGATAAAGCTTCCTCAAAACCATTATTTGTTGTTGTCGTTGGCTTTGATCAGTAATTGCCAAATCTTTGATGAACTTGATGCTATCAATCCATATAGAAGAGGCAGAAATGTCAATTCCAACTTTGTTCCTGCAAACTTCAAATACTTTGTTAATGGTTTCATGGTCTTTGTTGTCTCTCATGTAATCCAAATAAAATCTCCAAAGCTCAAAGTTTGGACAAGGCTCTAAACATCTTCGGAAGATATCTTCCACCTGTTGTTTGTTGTGTGCTTTAAGTTCGTGCTCAGCATAAATTTTCCAATATTTAGCCTAAAGTTGTTAGGATGGTCAAAAGTTTTCATGATAAATCTATAATATTAATAATAATTATAATACACTTACTGCTGTGGGATATATTTCGAAAAACTTTTCGTAGTATGCTCTTGCTTTGACGATATTCATTTCTTGCACTTCAGACAACAGAATCTACAACAAAAATAATAACAATCATAACAATGATGATAATGATGATGAATATACATCCGAAAAACAATACGTACAGTCCACGCTTCCGTGTCATATTTGTTACTTTCTATTCTACTTTCAGCCACTTCAATTTTTTCATTTTGCTTTCCTCCCAATTCGAGATCATCTTGGTCCTGATGATCGTGTCTGCCGTGTGATGACATTTTTTTCAGCAAATATTTATGTTCATCATGTTAATAATTTATAATTTATTATGAACGTTTTGTTTACAATATGGATTCAACATGTTTGGATCCACTTAAGTATGTTTTGAAGTTTCTTGCGCCTATTCACGAAGTTGAATTCAAATGATGCATTATTCATCTTTAGCCAAACACAAAACCATTTCAACAAAAAAAAATGAGCAGCGCAATCCAATACATCTCTCTTGTCGGATCACAAAACGAAGGCCCATTGTGTTCATTGCTCATAGTTGATGATTATTATATTTTGTTGGATTGCGGATGGGATGAAAATTTTAATACCAAGGATGAACATATACAACAAATTGTTAATGTTTACAAAGATAAAATTGATGCTATATTGATATCGCATAGTGATATTTATCATTGTGGTGCTTTACCATACTTGGTCGGAAAGTGTGGTATTTTGGAGAATAAGAAGAAAGCTAAAATATTTGCCACATTGCCTATTGTTAAAATGGGTCAAATGCACATGTATGATGCTTGTCAAAATGTGAAGCAGCGAGAAGATTTCGAAACCTTTGATCTCGATGATGTAGATCTTTGCTTTGATAACATTATTCAACTTAAATATAGTCAAAGATATCCGTTGTCTCAGCAAATGGGAGGCATGACCCAAGTGGAAAATACCAACATGGATCTCGAAACCGAGAACGCTGAAGGAGAGGACGGTGAGGTTGGAGGCTCTACAAATTTGGTAGCCGAAATGGAAGGAGAAAAATTGGTTATTTGCCCTTTTCTTGCTGGTCACACGCTAGGAGGAACAATTTGGAAAATTACAAAAGAGACTGATGAAATTGTTTACGCTGTTGATTTCAACATTAAGAAAGAAAGACATTTGAACGGCTCTGTACTTGGAGAGTTGGGTGGAAAACCTTCCCTTTTGATTACAGACGCATATAACATTAAACCAATTCCAAGTACTGAAGTTACTATGGTACCAAGAAGCAGCTCGTCAAAAGAAACAGTTCCTATGAGAAGAGACAAGCAAATTGTGACATCCGTCATTGATACTCTTAAAAGAGATGGAAATGTTCTAATACCAGTAGAAACAGCAGGAAGAGTTTTAGAACTTATGCTTATTTTAGAAGAAGAATGGAAGAGAAAGCCTGACCAATTAGGAAACTTTGAACTTATTCTACTCACAAATGTAGCTTACAGAACCATAGACTTTGCTGCGCATCAACTTGAGTGGATGAGTGACAATATTATGAAAGGTTTTGATGAAAAGAGAGAAAATCCATTTAGTTTTAAGTACTTTAGTGTTTGCCACAACGTTGAAGAATTAATGACAAAATTGAAGCAAAATGAAGCTATGCGAAGAATGATGGAAGGAATTGATGAAGATGACGAGGATGTCACTCAAAAAAAGCAATACCCTATTGTGGTTTTAGCCTCTTCTAGCACTTTAGATGTCGGATTTGCAAGAGAGCTTTTTGTAAAGTGGTGTGAAGATCAAAGAAACATGGTGCTTTTCACTGATCGATCTTCCCCAAACTCATTTGCAAGAAAACTAATCAACAAGATTAGAGCCAAGAAAACAAACAGATTAGATGAAGTTATGAAACTAATCATGTCTCGAAGAGTACCGCTCAAGGGAGAGGAGTTAGAAAAATATGAAAAAGAACAGTTGATAAAACAAGAAGCAGAAAAAAAGAGAAGAGAGGAAGAAGAAAGAAAGAAGAGAGTCATTCAAATTAGAGACGAAGATGACGAAGACATCTCAGACAAAAAATCAAAGAAGTTTAGAGAAGAGTTTAGCGGATCAGGTTTTGATGATGATTCACAGACTCAAACACGCCTTTACCTTCCAGAAAACATGCGATATCAATCTCAATATTTAATGTTTCCATGTATTGAAAGAGGTATTTCAAAAGATGAATACGGCGAGTCTGTTGATCCAGAGGAGTTTGAAACAAGATTATTACAAGCCGATCAAAAAGATCAATTAATGGCAACCAATGCTAATTTGCATGAAGAAGAAGAAAATTACGAACCTCCTTCAAAGATTGAGTCTGAAGAAGTCAGTGTTCGGATATTATGTAAATTAGCTTATATTGACTTTGAAGGAAGATCATCAAATGTGGATATCAAAAACATTCTACAAAAAATCAACCCTCGAAAATTAATAATTATTCATGGAATGCCAGAGGCTGTCACAGAGCTTAAAGAATATTGCGAGACAAAGAAAATAGCAGAACAGATCAAGGCTCCAATTGATTTAGAAACATTGGACATGACTATGGACACAAATATGTTCAAAGTGAAGCTGAAACAAGATTTACTTTCTCATGTACATTTTGTGAAAAGTGGTACCAATTATGATATGGCTTATATTGAAGGTATTTTCAAAGTGAGCGATAACGCAGAGGATCCACTTCCATCTATTTATCCAAATCCAAAACCTAAGGGACATCCAACCATATTAATTGGAGATGTGAAACTAAATCAATTGTATCGATTATTACTTGAAAAAGGTCTATCTGCAGAATTCCAACAAGGAGGTGTTCTTGTATGCAATGATGAGGTCATGTTACAAAAAGACAAGAAATCAGGAGAAATTCAGATAGTCGGCTCTCTTTCCCCAACATTTTTCCAAGTTCGTGAGTTACTGTATGGTTTCTATAAGGAACTTTAATAAACTTATTATGCATGGACGAGTGAATGGAGATGGTGTTGAACATGTTGTGTTTTTTTTCATCAAAAAAAATGTATGGGTGCTTCAAACAGCTTCATCCTCCAACAGCGGTTTCTTTTTGTTTGAGTGCTCGTTTTACATCGCCTACCGATGAAAATTTGATCATTGCAAAAAACCATGTGATGGAGGTATATTCTGTGAACAAGAAAGACAAAAGTGTTGTCCTTGTTCGTGCGTTTGAATTGTTCGGAGTGATTGATTCCATCGTTGCTGTAACCCTGCAAGGAATGAAAAAGAACATTCTGATCATCAACTTTGAAGATGAAGCAAAGGCTTCCGTAGTGGAGTTTGATGAAAAGAAGAATGATTTGAGAACATTGTCGCTTCACTATTTCGAAGATGACTTTTTGAAGGAAGGTAGAGCCAAATTTTTCCATAATCAGCCAATTATTTTGGACCCACACAATCGATTCGCAACAATTATTGTTTGTGATTCCAAGTTAGTGATTTTACCATTCAAGCAAGCCGGAGAAGATGCATCTCTTTCAACAGATGATACTTTTCTAATGGCGTTATCCGATAAAAGCACGGATGAAATGGTTGATGAATCTTCGGAAAACAGTGGGGCAAATGCTCCTTCAACTAGGCGAACAGCTGAGGTACAAAGACAAGTAATTATTGACTTGAATGAGTTAGGTATTAGAAACGTCAAAGATTACTGCTTTTTAAACGGATATAACGAACCTACTATTTTGTTTTTACACGAGAATGAACAGACGTGGAGTGGAAGGCTTGCCGCAAAAAGCAATACATCCACTGTAACTGCTGTATCTTTTGATTTATTCAGAAAGTACTATCCAAAAATTTGGAGTGTTGAGTCTCTTCCTCACGATTGTTACAAGTTGATACCATTAGAAGAGAGTGTAGGAGGAGGAGCATTGGTGTTGGGAATGAATTTTCTAATTCACATCAATCAATGTGCTTCTTACGGCATATCTTTCAACGATTTTGCCGTTTCAGTTCCTAGTTTATCTATTAACTTCAAACCATTTGATGGTCCTCCATTATTTTTTGATACAGCAGCTTATGCATTTGTCTCACCTGATAAGGTGTTGGTCTCCTTGAAAGAAGGAGATTTATATACCATTTACTTGGATGGAGGAGGAAGTCGAATTAATAACATCACTCTGAAAAAAACAAAAACGACTACTCCTGCCTCTTGCATGTGTACTCTTTCTGGAAATTTATTATTTTTAGGATCGAGGCTTGGCGACTCCGTACTGTATGAATACTCAGAAATTAAGGAACAAGAAAATACAAAAACGAATGGATCCATGGAAGACGAAGCTTCCAATCTTTTTAATACCTCTACCGGTTTTGAACCTGAGAAAAAGAAACGAAAGGTAACAAGTGCAGACGATTTTTTAGCAGCTTTAGAACAAGATGACTCCAGCGCCTCCAGTTTTTTACTCAAGTCGTCCAAGAAAGAAACAACAACGATTGATCTCAAAATTAGGAACTTGTTCACAAGCATTGGACCAATTTCGCATTTGACAATTGCTGATACATCTGTTGACATATCTGGATTTAAATCCCGAGCTAACGACAACAACCTCTCAGTCATTGCATGTTCTGGAACTGGTAGACATGGTCGCCTGACAATTCTCAACAGGAGTGTACAACCGGACGCGCAAAATACTGCAAAATTACCTTTTGCTGTTAAGCAAATGTGGACTGTCGCTGGTGGAGATTCCATTCACGATTCATATGTCATATTGAGTCTTGAAGACAAAACAAAAGTTCTGGAATCAAAAACTTCATTGGATGAAGTAACATCTAAATCAACATTTGTTACAAATGATACTACTATCAATATTGGAAAACTTAAGAATCATGTAGTGCAGGTTACAAGCGATTCAGTAATATTTCTAGACAGAACTACCTTAAAAAGAACAAACGAACACAAGACCTCATTGAAGATTAGAGCGTCTTTCATTTTGGATCCTTACGTATTACTTCATTTGAAAGATGGTACTCTCCAGTTACTCACTATGAGTGGCACATCTCTCAAATCGGAACCTCTTAGATTGTCTGATCCAAAGCATGGCAAAATTACAGCTGTAACATTTTACAAAGCATTACCAGAACTTGGATTTCTCTCTTCCAGTCAAGAAAGCTTATACTTATGTTGTATTTATTTAACCGATGGTACCTTTGAAATTTATACGATCCCTCAGAAAACTTGTGTTTTTTCCTTCTCTCAATTTTATCAATTTCACAGTACTGTGTTTGATGAAGGGGCAAGAGATTCTTCGACATTAACAGAGACAGAGGTAAAATACCCATATGTTTCTCAAATGTTGTTGCGAGGTGTTGGCTCAGAATCAGAAATGCCATATCTTATAACCATTCTAAGTGATAACACAGTTCACATTTACAAAACATTTTTAGATAGATCAACAAAAACAAAAGACAACAGATTGAATAGATTAAGATTTTCAAAAACCCAACATGATGATTTCCTCCCATCAGACTTGGCTAAAAAGAATGACGAGTTGAGACTCGAGCTTAGAAATGAAAAGAATATTTTCCCAAAGGCAGATAATGCAAGATCGCGACTAATTCCGTTTAACAATATTGGCGGTTATAGAGGTATATTTATGACTGGCGAAAGACCGTTGTGGTTCTTTACGGAATACTCTAACTTGAGAATTCATCCTCAACAAAACAGAGAGAGTATTTCAGGTTTTACTCCATATCACCATCGGGACTGCCCTCATGGTTTTATTTATTTCGTGGAAAATGACAACAAATTTACAATTCTTTCACTGAGCTCAAAAACAGTTTTCAATTCATATTGGCCTCATAGAAAGATTTTATTGAAGAGCACGCCCAATTTGATCACCTATCATCAAGAAACAAACACATGCTTGGTGTTCACATCTGTTCCTATGAAAGCTATTCTTCCAGAAGATAGACCTCTTCCAGTAGGTAGATATCCACCAGCGGTAGAACAAAAACACACAGTCCGTTTATTTTCTGGAAATGATTGGGCAGAAATGGACAAGTATGATTTTGAGCTTCATGAATCTGTATTAGCGGCTAAGGTTGTTTCGTTATCTAAAGAGGAATATAACGATGACACTGATATATCATTTGAGGAACCTTTGAACAGTAGAAAGCAAGATTTAGTTACAATGGTGGCTGTAGGAACAGCATATGTGCAAAGCGAAAGAGAGTTATGTAGAGGAAGATTGCTTTTATTTGACTTGGATCCAATTCTAGGATCAAATAGATTCAAAATCAATTTAATGTCTTCTACATCGGTGAAAGGACCTATTACGAGAGTAGAACAGGTCGATAGATATCTCATTTGTAGTGTTGGTAATCGTATATACACATATTACTTTGACTGGAATGAGAAGAGAATGCACATCACCTCTTTTTATGACACACAATTCTACACATGCTCATTGAACTGTATTAGGAATTTTATTTTATATGGAGATATTTATAAGAGTGTGACGTTTTTACGTTGGAGAGAAAAAGGCCACCGTTTGATTCCTATGGCCAAAGACAATAGACCTCTGCAAGTAATTACATCTGAGTTCTTGGTGAATGATCAATTGCTTGGAATGACAGTAATCGACGCTAATAAGAACTTGCAAGTATTTCAATATTTACCACAACACCAAGAAAGTAACGATGGTAGAAACTTGGTCCCTGTGTGCGATTTCCATGTTGGAACGCTTATCACCACTGTTTCGAGAATGAAAATGAGAGACATTCCAGATGAAATTACAATCGCGATTGGAAATCCAGCATCAACGACTACCGCCACAACAGATAAGAAACAACCAACCACTCAAAAACGTGACAATTCTAAAACGAATCCACATTTCCAATTTATTTTATTTGGAAGCATTGATGGCAGTATTGGATACATTGCTCCAATTAACGAACTGACTCACAGAAGACTCTATGCATTGCAATTAAAAATGTACACCCAATTAGAGCATAGTGCAGGATTGCATCCAAAGGCTTTCCGCTTATACAAACCTCTAGAACGAACAGAGTACAATTACAAGAAGAATATTATTGATGGTCAGTTAATTTGGATGTATGCTCACCTCAATACCATTTCACAACGAGATTTGGCACGTCAAATTGGTACTAATGCTGAAAACATTTTACGGAATATTCAAGAGCTCAATCAAAGCACATACTTCTTTTAGATATTATTAATTATTGAATATTTGTAATAAACGTTGAGTCACTGAATAATGCAATTGCTAGTCTTGCTGTTTCTCTTTCCTGACGAACTCCCACTCTCACTTGATGGTGAAGTACTCGAAGACTTTGATAAATATTTTCCCATTTGTGAAAGCGAATATTTACATCCAAAAGAAATGGCAGTTTTGATACATGATTTCACGCCTTGACCTGACTTGGCAGATGTTTCCGCGTATGCTACACAGTTAGAGATCTTCTTTGAAAGCTCCACACCCTCGTCAAAGGTTACAATACCATATTTAGAAAATTGAGAGTGGACAAAATGTTTCAGCGATTCATGAGAGTCCTTTTCGTTTTTTGTAGTTCTCAAATCTAGCTTTGTTCCACATAATAAAATTGGTACATTTGGAGCATGCGTATTTAGCTCTTTCAGCCAAATATTGGTGACATTTTGAAAACTGTTGAAATTTGTGAATTTGTCACCCTCACATCAAACACATGAAATACAAACCTTGAGGAATTCACTAAATCAAAGCACAATATAAAAATGTCAGCTCCTGTATAAGTGAGAGGACGTATCTTGTCATAATCTTCAGACCCAGCAGTATCAATGATTGTCACAGCCCATGTTTTGTTATCAACTGTTGCATAAGTTGTGTAATTGTCAAATATTGTCGGTAAATACTGATCTGAAATAAATTCATCATTAGCAAACCTTCCCAGCAGAGAAGTTTTCCCTACAGCACCTATTTTTGTTGAAATTATAAAAAAATGAAATTCAACCTAAATTATGAATACAATACCTACCATCACCAACCACTATGGATCCATTCATTCATAGAATGATAGTATCTCACACGACCATAATTATGATTTTTTTAAACCACTTACCAACCACCTTAATGGGCATCAAGGGATTCACAATTCCATGCGACGATGAGCCATTGACTTCCTCAGTAGTAATGTGACTATTACTTGCATTATTATTGGTATGTACGAAAAGATAGTCTTCTTTGCTCCACGGTGACTTTTTAAATTTGATATTCTTATTCTCAAAAATTCCTGTTTTCAATAATAACTTGTCATTATGAAAAGTCTCAAAAAATATCTCTCGAAATCGTCTCACTGTGTTTTTTCGATTATATAATTTTCGCAGAGATTGTGTCTCTTTTGGATAATTAATTGTACAAACTAGTTGTCATGACAAGTAAATCAAGTAGTAATACAATTCATAAATAACCTGAATCAAGTAATAATAAAATTCATCATACCTTGTTCCCATAAAATTTCATCATCTTGAAAAACCTTGTACCACATTTTGCAAACTTGTGTGACACGAACAATAGAGTCCACGTCTAAATAGATGACAATTTTTTCAATAATCTCTGTCGGTAATAATGTGATGGTGCAAATCATTGAATGTTCATTTTCAAATAAATATTTTGTATTTTGAAATCCATTTCCATGTATTGTAATTCTCCTCTCGTCGGAAAGGTCATTCTTCATGAGAATGACTGAGTTTGCATATTTTACTGTACTTCTTCTTCTCTTACTAAACAGAGATTTCTTACGTTGTGATTTGATGTAATTATTGGGTGATTCATTCACTGTGCTATTACTACTGACAGAAGCAACATTAGGAGGAGTGGTCGGAGAGTGATGACGATGATGGGATGAATAATTATTCGAGGAGGAGGGAGAGAGGAGTTGAGAAAGATTTACTCTTGTCGAGGAAGAAGAAGAAGAAGAGATTTGATGAACTCCGTGTGGTGGAGAGGAAGGTGATTTTTGTTTGGAAGAATTCGAGGAGTGGTGGTGGTGGTGGTGGTTGTGAAGGGAATTTATGAGTGATGGAGGTGGAGGTGGTAGTGGTGGTGTGATTGTAGTGTTCGGAATCTCGAGACATGTTGTTGTTGTCAGGTTGAGATTGCCATTCAACATGGATGAGAGGGTCTTGGGAGGAGTTGTTGCAACGGTGGCGGTTGACCGAGAAGTACTCGCCTTGGGTGGTAGAAGCATTGGTGAAGATAGATTGGAAAGTCCTTGATTACAAAGAGATGAATGGTCTGGACTGTTTCGAGATAACAACGAATCTGCTGATGATATTCTAATGATCGGAGCTGACGAGGAAGAGGATTTGGGATTATGCATTTTTATTTTGGTTCAAGTTCCAATTTTTTGGAAAGACAAGTGACATTTATTTGAACAGCGCTATCAATGCTTTCGCATCCTCTCGATCTGTTGATATTTTTTGCATCATACTTGCTTGTATTTGATTCCATTCTTCAACGACACCGTCAACTTTTCCTTTCATCCAAGCTTTTTGGAATTTTTCACCACAAAAGATGGCACAATCATTGGAAGACGACAACAAGCTAAATATTCTAACCAAAAGCACCAAATAAAGGGCCTGTTTGGAGTTAAAAATGTGATCTCCTCCCTTTTCGAAGTGAATAGAGAAGCTATTTTCACTTAACAATGTTGCTGATTGGCTTCTCCACTTTTCCTTAATATGAGGTTTGACTTCTCCATATCTGATATGTTTGTTTCCAAGCTCTAATACTCCATTCTCGCAAAACTCTATCGCGCTACATTGCATGATTGCCTTAATAATCTTTTCTTTGATGTCTGGGCTAATGTCGACCTGCAACACATTGGTTTCGACTGATGAACCGATTACCTTATCGCTTCTCACTGGAGTGTACTTAGCCTTGATGAATAGTAACAAACAATTCATCGAGAGGGTGATGGTGGAGCTTTTGCCAGTAGTAGAAGAGCTTTCTTCAATGACAATTGTGTTGTCAAACTCTTGAATTCTTTTGAATGGCCCTGATTTAGAATGTGATGCAAACCATTCTATCTCTGAATCCCCTTCAACACCACCGTAATATTGTCCAGCAACTGTGAGTTTCGAGCAGAGCCGTGGGCTTCCTGATAAAGAAACGTTTGAAACAGATGGATGATGTCCTTGCACAGTTTCTGTCATGATGGATTGGGGAATTCCCTTTACGTCATCATCTCTTACTGGCGTATATTCAAATTGGATTTGCTTTCCAATATCTTTGATTGAAATATGATATTCCATTGAGTCTGTACCAACGATTTCAGTTAGAGATAGAGCGCTATCAACTCTTTTCCAGAGTTTAAGACTTTTTCCCTCATTTCCGCCGAAGTATTTACCACTGGCCCGAATGATACAATCCTCTATTGGAATTAAAACCCGTCTATTGTTTTTTACAAATTCAAGATTCAGCTCGGAAATTGAAGGCTCTCCAGGTAACACCAATTCACTGGTAAACAAAACCATATCACCTTCCATTCCATCTTCTCTTATTGGCGTATATTCTAAAATAAATTGTTTTCCAACGTCTTCTTTTCTGCAAACAAACGACACAGCATTGTTGCTTGTAGTTCCTTCGGAAATGATGGACTTTGTATCATCGGCAGGATTACGACACATCAATCTGTATGTTGAACGTCCTTCAGTTCCTCCAGTATAATTAAACGATGCAGTAAAAGCCTCACCTTCCTTAAATGAGCCCATTAAGCAGCATGAACCATGAGGCTTTGAAGGCCCAATGACGTCGGTGATATGGACATAATTTTGGCCACTAACATGTGAGTAAGGAAATGGTCGGATTGGGGTAAATACTAATTTTAAACGATTACCGATGTCTGCAGTAGTGATGTCGTAGCTACTGACTCCACTTGCAACCTTTACATCAGAATTTAGATCCTCAGGTCTGATCCTATACCAATCGCATATGATGTTGTGTGTGTCTACGTTTTTTCCTTGAATTTCTCCGACATGTACAGCACTGAACTCTTCAAGAATTCCAAAAATGCTTATTCCAGTAATACAAGGTTTAGAAGGCAACACAGTGCCTGTGGGCTCGCTGTATGCACGTTCTGTGCTTTGGCCAAACTTGTCTATGGAATAGCAACTGTACTTAATCTTCTTCTCGAACATAGTTTCAGGTACAAGGAATGTTTCTTGATCAGCACCTTCTATTTCTGATTCCATTCCTGTTTCATCAATTTTATACCATTTATGCATTCTAGCTTTCTCTTCGATAGCTGAACAATAATCTGCCATTCCTCTCAAAATACATCCTTCGGTGAGCTCTGGCTCATTCATAACTATTTTACAATTTGCCATTGATGGTTTAGGAATAGCAACGTGTGAGGTTGAGTAAAGAATCAAACCTTCACCTTTGGCCATATCATTTCTTACGGGAGTGACTTCAATTGCAAAGAAGCAACCAGCGTCGTCTGCTGTGATAGTATGAGATAATTCTTGTTCTTCCATAACAATATCAAAGTCTAAACCTTCCACTACAATGTCACTACGAGTGAGTTCTTCCAATGTAAAAGGTTTTGTTTTTCGCCATTCAATAATGGTGTCTCCTTCCACGCCTCCTTCATACCGGTAACATATTGACAGAGTGGAGCCAACCTCCATATTCCCTACAATTACTGGGTCGTGAATTTTTGGAGCTCCAGCTTGAATAACGGGAGTTTTAACTTCAACAACTTCGCCCTTACGTCCATCATTTCTAACTGGTGTACATAAAATTTTGATAACTTTTCCAACGTCTGCCAACCCAGCACGATACTCTTTGCAATTTCCATTTTCTATTTTCTCTTCAACTTCGTTTTCAAGTCTAAAGAACTCAAACATAGAGTCGCCTTCAAATCCACCATAGTATTCAGTTTGTATAGAAATCATGTCATTTTCAATAAAATTGTCGCTTTCTACTGATACTTTGGCAAACACTGGGGACGCTGGAGCAACTGGTTTAGATATGATCTCACAGGGTTCTCCATATTTTCCATAACTATTTACAGGAGTAACAACACACTTAACAATTTGACCAATTTGTTTGATTCCTGGCGTGAACTCTCTTGTAGTTGCATTTTTCACTTTCACAAACTCTCCATTTGTTTCTACAAACCATTGAAAGCAAGTGTCAGCTTCTTCACCACCAACAAAGCCATATGTAACTGATGACGTTTGATCCTGAACCATTTCTCCGATAGCCAAATTGGTAATTCGAGGGTTAGGCGCATCAATTGTGGTTGGAGAAACACAGGAAACAGGTTTGCCCTCAACTCCATCACTTCTTACTGGAATGCATGTTACAACAATCAAATGACCATAATCTTCTCTTTGAAGTGTGTAGCATTTCTCTCTAGAAATGACCTCCACGTCATGTAAGTCATCTTCATTGATAAACATTTTAACTCTTCTCCATTCAAACTTAGATTGTCCTTCATCACCTCCTCTGTAGACGTATTTTGGCTCTACTGTGCTTCCTTCAATGAAATATCCTATAATTTCAAGGCCAGTGCAACTTGGATGGGCGGCTATAACAGGAAGAGTTTGTTGATGAATCACAAACAAATCATCCTTATGCCATTTAAAATGAAGAGATACATTCATACTAACATCAATATCTTCAATGGATGGTCTAATGCAGGAATGGTGCTTATTGTTGTTCCACGCTACATCAATGGTGTATTCTGGATCTTTGCATTCAGAGCTGATTGGTTCCACGTTAACGGTAAATGTCTCCGAAGTAGCAGCAGCATTGGTCAATTTATATGAATAACAGCCAATAGGAACTAATAAGGTTATGTCTCCCTGATATTGTTCAATATTAATACATAATGAAGAACCTTCAAACAAAATGTTTGTCCATTCTCCATTGATATTGTTGAGTGTTAACAAGCCCATTCCTTCTGCTTTCAAAGAGGTAACGTCTTTTGTTTTAACAAAAAATACACAATAGAATCGGCAATCTACACCCTGAACTGGTTGAATTGGATCAAAGGTGTAAGACAGAAGCTGGAATGGCGTTGTTTTGGAAACATCTCTGTAAAAATCCAAAAGCCATTCGTCTGTGTAAATTAATAAATTGTTGATATCGTCAAACTTTTCATCATTGGGGATCAGCATGCCATATCTAACTGCTTGGGCAATCTTTCCTCTGTATATGTCAGCAGATTTTAGCAATTCATCCGATAATTTTTCTCTATTGAGCTCTTTTAGATTGTCAAAAAGAGCTGCTGAGAGCTCTTTAAATTTGTTCATTTCAACAATAGGATTCTTTGATAGGTCTAAACTCTCGAGCTCTTTTAGGATAGGCACATGTTTAAAGCTCGTAAGACCATTTTCGGGTGCTGTTAATGCTCGTAAGTTTGGAACATTCTGAAAGCCTTCCCAATCGGTAATCTTGTTGAATCCAACAGCCAACGACTCTAAACTTTTCATTGATGGTATGCTTTTCAAGCTAGACAATGAATTGAAGGTCAAAAACACATGCTTAAGAGATGGCATCTTGCTAAGAAATGATAAATCATCAATAGAATTGGAGCTCACATCCAATACTTTGATCAACGGAAACTCGACTTGAACGTTCAGTGTCTTTAATAAGTCTCCATTTCTGGCATAAAGGAACTAATAAAAGAAACTGGTATCATTGCAAGCATAAAAAACATACTTCATAGGAAAAAAGCTGATTAAAATCGAAGGACGAAAGATCAGTGTTGCTCAGATTGATTCTCTATTTTCAAACGATTAATTACCCACCGGAATTAGATGCTCACCCAGTACTTACATTTTCAACTTTCTTTGATTGTAATGGTTGATTTTGTTGTTTGCTCTTTGTAACCGCGATACTGTTGGCAGCACTATCTCGTGTGGTCTTCAAATGAGATGATCCTCCTATCATGATGATGGTGATGATGTTTGAATTGAACGAACAGTTCCGGCCCGAGCTCGGTACTTACTTGCGTTTTCCTGCTTCATTTTTGTTTCAGTCGTAAATTTTGGCGGATTGAAATTTTTTGGATGTTTGAAACCCAATTTATTAAAGAGAGATACTGACACAAGATATTCCTTTAGACCTTCTTCTTTTCAGCAACCATAGACACGAATTTTTCAAAGTAGAAATTACTGCCATTATGAACCATAACTGCTGAGGTGTTAGGGCGTCTCGACCAATCACATTCAAAAACTTACCAACATAATTAAACAACAGAATGGCAGCATTGATGTAAATGTTGTTGAACATGAAGGTGGTAGGAATCACTGTGAGTAGATGGAAGAACAATTGAAACGCCATGAACGCGAATAATCTGGCTTGAGGATTGAATTTTTGGCCTAGTTGATAAGATTTGCTTTTCTTGTCCATCTCAGTAATCCATCTGTTGAGGTGTGAAGTTGATCCTCAATGAATGAGTGTTTCAGAATGACTTACCTGTAAGAGGTGATGAAATGAGTTCGCTTTTGAAGGAACCTCTTGTCCACAAGCTCAGTTTTTAAATAATAAGAAACAAGCCAAAACAAGAAAAATCCAAGGTGTGGTAAGACCGTGTGTGTCCAATTAACCTCGCAGGTTGGTTCAATGCATGTCCTGTATTCTGGAAATTGTTCTGGAAACCATCTAATGGCAAATGAAATGAGTGGAGGAAAAGTGTGAATGAAGCAACTCGTCAACTTGTCCCAATCATGAAAAACTAATGAATTTCTCCTAATCATTTGATATCATGAGGTGTGAAAATGTCACTATTCATTCAAGGGTCGCACAAAAACACTTACCAAAAAACAATAGCAAATAAAATAGGTCCATTATTATTGGCAAATGTCAATGCAAATAATTGTGGGCTGCTTGGATAAAAGAAGAGATAGATCATGAGTGCTAAATTTCCAATATAACAAAAATCAATCATAAAATACTGCGTTGAAATTAGAAAGTGACAATTATCCCAAATGGTTGCATGTGAGATCACAACACTTTTGAAAACTGCAATTCCTAACGTACATGAGCATGCTGAGCATGGAAATCAACAAATCTATAAATCATAAGAGGAGCCATCCACAGGGCATACCAATAGGGCAGCCATCTCGGAGCATAACCGAATATAAAAGTGGTGCTCACAAGTAATAATACTCCAAACGTGAAAGCTACTTTATCATTGAAGGACACTGAAAATTTGGGTATGTAATTCAAACTCAACTTGCTGTTCCATATGAACCATTCTGACCATTCCGTTATACCGTGATTCAAACATACCTGGTTTTTAAAGTGGTTGATTTCTTTTTGGCCACATCGGGTGATGATGATGATGGTTGGTTGGACGCCTTTTCTCCAAGTTCCTCCAGTTGCGATGCAGAAGAGGCTGATGCGGAGTTGGAAGAAGACATCTCGAGGTAGGCTCGACACCCAACAATAGACAAGATAATTTTTTTTGAAAAGAGAGATCTGAAAAAATCACGATCATGAGATTTCTCATCAATCGCAAAGCACCCCAAAGAGGCCCGAAATCAAAACAATTACTCTCCTTCTATATAGCACAACAATTAGTTTCAAACGAAAATTTGAATATATTTCGGCACGAACTTTCATCATCAACACAACAGCCATACTTTATTTCCTCACATCCGGTGAAAGGCTTATCGGAATCACGTGATGATTCTCATCAATTAATGTTATTGATGAAGCAAATATTTCCGTTTTCATTCATTCCTGAAAATTCCATACAAGAAAATACTAGAGAATTTTCAGAAGACCAACACGAGCACGTTTACATGAATTTACAAGAAAAAAATTCGTTAAATAATTTAATTAATTTATTACGTGATTATAACACATGTCGTGATGCAATTATCAATCAAATGCTGTTTCATAAAATTGGAAGAATATTAAAAGAAGATAAAAGTTTAAATGGAATCATTAACAGTAAGGAATTTATTGAGAAGGAGAAGCAAATTCATACTTGGTGAGTATTCAAAGATGATAATGTATGCTCATACCATCATGATGGACAACAGCTTGTGGATTTTATTACACTGTTTGGTTCTTGTTGGAAGAGAGGCAACCGACATTTTACTTTCAGTATTTAGATTGAACGATTTTTATCACTATTTCACAGAAAAAGATTTCACCAAATTTCAAGCTCAAAAATTATTCTCTCCGTCAACAGGTGCTCCACAACTAATCAACACTGCTGAAACATTCCTCTATTCTGTAGATATTATATGGCTAGCTTATGCTATTGTAGGTCATTTGTACTGCCAAGGTTTGAACAAACGCCAAGATCATGCTGATGTTAACAAATTGAATGCATATCCAAGCAAATATCTAGAAGTACTGAAGATCAATAAGGATATGTTTGAGCAATTATCATTTGTACCAGCTATGGAAGAGAATTCGAAGAATGAAATCTCTGATAGATATCATAGAAACATCTTGCATACTGCAGAATCAATACTTTCTATATCTAATCAAATAGGATTTGAACTTTTTGAACTCTATTTATCGTACACCAGTTTACTTATGCGATGCGATGATAGTTCACTTGTTCAGTTAGTTTTGAGCATTTTTGGACAGTTATTAGCAAATGTGAATGATTTTATTTTGGCAACGATCGTCAAGAACAAGAGACTGAATGTAAGTTTATGCTTGTTATTTCAAGTGATCAAGTGAGATTATGAAATGCTCCTCCTTCATAAAGATTGTAAGACACATTGAGCATTTACTGTGCTGTACAGATGAGACTGTGGTTATTATTTTAGGGAAATGTTTGTTCACTCTCTTTCTGAGAGATGTAAATTTCATCATGGAAAATGTTCTAAATCAATCAAAATTTTTGAACGAAATTATTTATTGGTCACTCAACGCACTGCAAACAAGTACAAAGGTTCAATGTAGGTTTTGTAAGAAGGTTCAATAGTGAATCATTTGTCCAAATATTTTTTACCCAGATTTGAATTTATTATTTCTTTTGGTGATTCAAAGCGAAAAACTCTCAATCAATCTCATTACTAACACTAAGATCAACATTTTGTATCACATTTCCCATCAGCTAGGATCTCAATTCTCTCAACAAAAATCAAAAGAACGAACTCCCTTGGTCGAATTAGAACCTTCATTGCAATTTGTACTCATTCAACTCTTGTATGGAATATCCACTCACTCCTCATGCCATGCATTCATCATTGAATATACCACCACAAGTAATAATGGCAACGAAATAAGCACTCTCAATATCATTCACATTTTGAAAGCGCTCTCTTTTTCACAATATCCTCTTACACGATATTATTCATTCCTAATATGGTCTAATTTACTAACACTCTCAAGCTACCGTTCTGCTAGTTCTACCAGCTCTACTGCTAGTTCTTCAATGCATACTGACTCGAAACTTTTTGACAACCGATACACAAGATATCTTTGCAGAAATGAACAAGTGTTAAACCTTCTCATGTATGCATTTAAGGAAGAGACTGAAATGATTATAAAAAGAATGATCACATTACTCTTGAAGGATATTTGTTCAATTCGACAGAACAATTATGAGAGAATTATAATACTGGAACATTTTAATTTGTTATTCGAATCCATTGATTTGTTACATTTTCAAATGAGCTATTTAATGGATGTTTATGAAACAAGAAATGGCATATTTAATGAGGAGGAATCTGTGACCGTCGATCAAAGTGTACAGCTAAGTATTGCACAAATTCATCTCATAACTACCATTGTCAGAATGGACTCTGAAGTCACATCGAATGAGACAAGTGGCACAAGTCCAACATTGGAATTACTTAAAACCCAATATCAGATTCAAAGGTATATTTCGGATTTGCTCCTCGTATTGGACAAGAGAGGAGATGCCAAAAACGCAAACACCATACGTGCTCTTGCAACATCTGTCTTGCAATTGGAACTGTAATAGCATCGAACAGATGGTGGATTTGTTCCGCCCCTCATCGATGTTAATATGAGTCAAATAAACCACGATGACATGTTAAAATGACAAAAAATATCCCACAGGATAAAAGAGAGCCTATATGGAACAAAATGAGTCATGAAAACACATTTTCAATTTCATTTCATTTATTTCTTTCAACTGATTATTAGCTCTCTAATAATTGAATTATAATAATATTTCAAAAGAGTTCGCTGATGAAAAAGAAATTCAAAATTCTGTTCTTAGAATGCAGAAACAAAAATTCAAGGGGAGCAATGGGAATCGAACCCATGGCCTCCTGCACCCAAAGCAGGAATCATACCACTAGACCATGCTCCCTTCGTTTAAGATAACATAATTAAATATGTTATTCATAACAATGTTTAATATGGTTGACCGTTTTTTCAAATCGTTTGGTCTCGGTGATGGGTCACTTTTCGCAAAAATATTGGAATTTATTCAAGATCAACAACCTTGACATTACTGTCATCTTCATCCTCCTTCCATACTACTTCGGTATTGCTGCTGCCAACACTGGCACCTTCGTCTTGATGTTCCAGTAAGGCGCTGAATGAGTTCGATTCCAATAGGCTGCTGCTGCTTGACGTACCACCACCACTTTCAATCGTTGCAACACCGTTACTACCCACAATGCCACGATTGTTGTTGTTCTTTAGTCTTCTTCTTCCACTCATTGCAGCCTGAATAGAAGTGAAAGAATAAGGATCAAAGGAAGAGTCATTTTCACTGCCATCGCCACCACCTTCCACTGGTGATGCATTCCACTTCTCCAACGTAACTGCGGGTCGAGTCAAAGTCGACGTTGTTGTTTTCTCCTCCTCCTCCCTCTCCTCTTCATTAGAATTCTGCATCCATTCTGCTGCTTGTTTCTTCTTGGCGGATCTTTTCATCTCTTCACGTTTTGCCAATTCCTCTTGTTCCTTAATTTTTTCTTTCAATTTTCGCAACTTGTCAGGATCACTAATGACATCACTGAGTACAATGGATGGTCGTTTGGATTGTTGAGTGCGAGTCACAATCACAGATCGATAGGGCTCTGCATCGACAGAAACACTTGTGAATTTGTAATGTTCACTCAATTCATGCAATAATGCTCTTCGATCTCTCTTCATGGGTGCAAATTGTTTACAAGCACTTTTCACATCACTCACTAAGAGCGTGTCAAATTCAAATTCCCAATTCTTAATAATGTGAAGATATTTGGTACCAAAATCAATCAATTCTTGAGAGTATTGAGGTAATTCAAATTTTTCATAATCCACTTGGAATGCATCTGCTAATTGTTTGATACGTTGTAATTTTCGACACTCATCATTACATTCTAAAAATACTTCTTCTTGTTGCAAAGGTAATCCTGTACATGGTCTCTTTTCATAAATTCTTCCACATTTACAATACCAATCAACGAAATTGTTACATTTCATACACTCGGATCGAGAAGGATGACATTTCAGAGTACATAAATGTCCACATTTCAAAGTCTTGCGACATTGTTGATAACATCCCATTCTCTTAATATAGTCATCAATGTCTTCTTCATCATCTTCGGAGGATGAGGTAGTTGTGGTGGGTTTGACATTCCATTCCGATCGTTTATGTCCAATACATCGGCCATAATGGCATGGACGATCACATTCATGTTGTCCACATGGTAATTGTTTCTTACATGGTTGTTTACAACTAAAGGTTCGATATATGATTGTTGTTGTTGTTGGAGAGGATTGATGTTCTAAGGGTTCAGGGTTTTGCTGTTCATCATGTGTTGAGTGGTGTTGCTGTTGTTGCTGTTGTTTGGATGGATTGAATTCATTGGATTCATTGGATTCATTCAACACAAACTCAATACAATCAAATCGATTAAAATGTCGATGTGAAATATCTGCATTAAGATGAGAATAGACATGACATGGAGCATCTTGTACAAGTGTCTTTCCACAATAACATTGAGCAGTAATTAAATTCTTACAAGGTTCACATTCACCTTCATGACACACATTGGGACAATAATGTTTTTGACATTTCAATAATTTTCCACACACATTTTCACATGAAATTCCATTCACATATTTTGGATCATTACATTTCACATCATGATAAAATTCCTTTCCACAATAACATGTTAAATCTCTCTTCAATTCACAATCATTGCATGGACCTGGATGACACAATTCTGTACATGGATGTAAACAATGTTTGTGAATTTTACCACAAACATCACCACATGAATGAGGAATAATTTCTAAATTTGTAGATTTAGGATTTGTCATCTTTCCACAAAAACACTTGTAATCGGTTGGAATGGCTGAAATGAGAGAAGCTTGACATGCCGGACATTTCCAATAAGTTCGATCTTCATCTTCAATCTTTTCCTTGACCCATCTTTGAACACAATTCAAATGAAACACTCGAAAACAATCTTGACAATACCATGTGGCATGTTGTCTTGCAATAGAATCACTACAAATGAGACATGGATAAATTTGTTTGATTAATTCATAAATTAATCGATCATGAAGAGAGAGTGCAGAGACTTGTTCTTCAGAAAGAGTTTGAGATTTCAATTTTTTAAAAGAACGATTGAAACGTTGAATAGAAGAGGAAGATGGAAGGGAAGAAAATGCATGAAGACTCTTATCAGCAAAGTTACGTTTTTTCAATTGTTCACGATCGTAGGAACGAGACCAAAACATTTCTTCTTCTTCCATTGTTGGTTGTTGATTCTTTTGAGAAGAAGGATGATTTTGGAATTTCTTTCTTCGTTGTTGTTGAGGTGGTAATTCTTGTTGTTGAGAGGATGAAAAAGAGGCTTGTGAGGGTAACCTATGATCAAGAGATTTTTGACCTTTTCTCTTGTGTTGTTTGGGTTGTTTGGGAAGATTACTATCGGAATGATGATGTTTTTCAACGTATTGTTGTTGAGATTGTACTTCATTAATGCCAGTACTACTACTAGTGATCTTTGAATCTGTGGTTGTTGCTACAGTACAAGTAGTAGTAGTGGTTTGAGAATTTTTCTTGAATGACTTTCTAGACTTGTGCGTACGTTGGGAGTTGGAAACAGGTGAGGACGTTTTGTCATGAAGACTTGACTGTTGCGACGTAGGAGTGGTGTTGTTGGTGTTGGTATTGGTGTTGGTGTTGTTGGAGTCTAAGGCTTGGGGTAATGATTGTTGAGAACGTCGACTATTATTTCGTGATGATTTTGGTTGTATTGGTTGTATTGGTTGTTGTTGTTGAGAAATGTTATCATGACCACCACCACCATTTACATCATTCGCACGAGTTAAAGCACCAGTGTTATCATCACTTGATGTGCAAGTCGGAATGGATGTTTGTTCCTTTTTCACGTACAACATTGGAGCTGCTCCTCCTCGAGTAGAATGACGAGAGGGTCTTTGTGATGATTCATTCTTCTTCTTGTTATTATCATGATCCGAGGGTGGTGGTTGTGATTGTTCAGCACTGTGTGGAGTGAATTCGGAAGAATTTGTATATTTTTGAGAGGAGGAGGAGGGTTGGAAAGGCTTTGAATCAGGTCTCAAAGTTGTGGTTGTTGTGGTTGAAGAGAAGGATGAGGATGATGGATTGTTTTGAGTGGACATTTTTTCTTGGCGTGTTCTTCAATTCTCAAGTGGTGAATCCGAAAAATTTATCGGATTTCACAGCACTTCAAAATCCAGGTTGAGATCCTATTTGGAATGAAGTCACTTCTGGACACTTGAAATGTTCATCATGGAGGGTCAAACATGTCATTTGACCTCTCTCTTATTTTAACTGTTGTATCCCATTTATCGATTGTTGTTGTAAATGCAATCAACACATTTCATAGCAATATCAACCACGTCAAGGCCGAAACTAGCCATCAAAGATCCTTTCATTTCAAAAAAAAAAGTTGGTTGTTTCTTCTTTCGATTGTAATTTGTCGGAAAAACAGCTTCTTGTCGTTGGATAGAATTTTTCAAAGCTCTCACTGTACATCAAGTCATCCATCATCATTGAAATCATTTAAAAAACAACAGCAGTCTAGAGTGACGAACGTAAAGTGCACTTTGTCCTTCTTGTTTTTCTATTCGTCGTGATTCACCAAAGATACAAGACACACATCGATACACATAAAAACATCTCTCTTGTTGATGATCAAAAAGTACTTTTCAAAGAACGCACGACAATCACAAAGGTTGAGTTATTGAACACAACACTTCTCCTAACATTCGCTACTGAAACTAGTAAACAACATCCTCCCTCCCTCCCTCATCATCATCATCATGAATCTTTCTCCGCCTGGTGCTTCTTCATCATCGCCCCCGATGACTCCCGTCGTTCTTCCACTACTCGTCGGAAGGACTTCTCACAACAATGTTTTTGGAACTTCAAGTAGAGGCACAAACCAATCATCATCATCACCATTGGTCAAGTCTGATTCCTCTTCTTCTTCCAAGAAGAATGATTATTATTACTTTCATCAACTCATTAAGCCTTCTTTTGACTATGAATTACTTTGTAAATGTTATCATAATCAACAAGTAGTCATACAACAATTGAGTCGTTATTGTGAAGATTTGAAGAGATTGAATCAGGACAATGAGAAGGAGCTTTTTGGAGTGTCATCATCATCCTACAATTATTCCGACCAACCATATGCATCCATGTTCCATACGCATACGCAACAACAGATGATGACTACAAAATACATTTCCGAACCATCCTCTTCCTCATCCTCCATTACATGTAACACCAAGTACGACGGGGAGGGTGTAATTCCTCCATCATCGATGAGTAGTAGTAGAGAATTCCATGAAGACAATGACGATGATGGTCATTACGGCGATGGAGATGGTACTGCAACACTATCAATATCCTCAGACTCGAACATGGGTCATTCGAGTAGTAGTCATTCGAGTAGTAGTAGTAGTAGTGGTGGTATGAGTGGTGGTATGAGTGGTGGTATGAGTGGTGGTATGAGTGGTGGTATGAGTGGTGGTATGAGTGGTGGTATGAGTGGTGGTAGTGGTACGAGTCATACGAGTGGTTGTGGCAATGTGAGTGACCAAAAGTCGTCTCCCTCATCATCATCACCTCCTCTCATTGCATTTACTATGGATCAATTGAATGATTTCTTTTCTGGAATTCGAGATGGACATGCCAATGGATTGATTCAACGCATTCTCAATGCAGCAGCAGCAACAACAACAACTTCCGATCATCACCGTATGTCCAACAATAACAACATCTCTCCTACTACGTCACATCGTACTAATAATAACAGCAACAACAATAGTAGTAATAGTAGACGAACCAACCAAAATAACCACAATAACCAAAACAACAACCCAACCATCATGAACATTCGTAATGCAACTACTCACCACTCTGTTCATGAAGAAACTCATGAAGATCACAATGATGACGTTGAAGATGATGATGCATCATCATCACCCACCTTTCATGACGACAATGATTCAGAGGAGGTGATTCTGAACCATTCAAATTTGTGGTCGACTCGAGGAGGTGACTCTTCTACAACAACAACAACAACAACAACACCTGGAAATAACTCCTCCAACAACATCAACATCTCCACTCCCTCTCTAACCATCATTCCATCTTGTTATTTATTCATTCGAGATTTTCAATATCAAAATGTCTCGACTACTTCACATGCAACATTGGGTTATAATTGTTTACATTTAGCTTGTCAATATGGTCATTTGAATCTTGTAGAGGAAATTATTGATCTTTTCAGAGATTACTTTCCACATGTTCCACTCGTAGAATATCTCTCACTCAAATCATCAACAAGTCATGAAATGACACCTCTCATGATTGCATGTCGTTATGGACATTATCATATTGTGAAATATTTGGTTTCATTTCAAAAATTAACCATTGCCAAGAGTTTGAGTGGCAAGTTACCCATTCACATTGCCATGTTCTCTGGTAATGACACCAACACATTGGATATTGTAAAATTATTCATTCCAACGACAGCATTGAACAAATTTGCATCACATTCTTTACAACAACATGTAGAAACATTACTCACGAGTAGAGATGATCATGGAGATTCTTTATTAATTTTAGCAGCAAAAGAAAACAAATTAGATGTCATTGAATATATTATTTCAGTGTTAAAAGTTGGATCCATTGAAACATTTATTTCAGTCTTGTCCATGAGAAATCATTATGGAAATGATGCCTTGTATTGGGCCTATACGAATCAACATTTTGAATTGGCTGCTTATTTGAGAGATGAAATCATTGAATTGAGTAATAGTATTAAGAAGAAACCATCCATCTTGTATGGTGGATCATGCTCACCCAATTTAAATCAATCTCCCTCATTGATGGGAAATGCCAGAACCATGTCCACTCTCTTTGATTTGAGTGGTGGTGTGGTTAGTGGTGGTCATCTCCATAACAATCCAATGCAAGGAGTGAATGCATTTACCAATTCGACTACAACTACTACTACTACTGGTATTGTTACTCCTCCTCCCATGATGATGAATCAACTGTATCCTTGTTCTCGAGAACCACAATCACAACAACAACCACATGATTCATCCTCCACTTCCTCCTCCAACCTCAAATTCAACCACATGATTGAAATTCAACCACCATCATCATCACCACCACTGGATCATCATGATGCATCAAGTACTCTCGAACAATCTCTATTACTTTCTCTCAAAGATCATTTCATGCAATGCATTGAACAAAATGATGTTCTTACTTGTGATATTCTCATTGATAAGGTTGGAAGAGATTTACTCAAATGTTCCACACGTGATATGAATATTTTTCAAAATGAAACTCAAAAACAAGAGGATGATTGGATCCATGAATGGAATTATACTCCTCTTCATATTGCTTGTCAATGTCTGAATAAGGAAATATTTTATTACTTGATCGATACTTTTGAAAAATTATTTGGAAAGGAACAATTACAACAATGGATGAATCAACAATCGGACAAGTATCAATGGACAGCTCTCAATCTCTTATGTAAACACAGTGGATCAAGAATTCTTAATTGTTCAATTTCTTCACAACAACTTGTGAATTCTTCCAAAGTTCATCACAATGAACAAGGAAAAGCCTTTGACATGATGAAATTATTACTCGAGAAGGGAGCTGATTTCACTCTTGCGAATTCATTTCAAATGAGACCAATTCACACATTGGCCATTTATCATGGAAGTATTTCAATGGTCAAATTATTGATTGAAAATGGAGAACAAGTGGATGTGAGACATGAATTCACAGGTTACACATCCTTGCATTTAGCTGTATTATCAGGATATTTAGATTTGGTCATTGCTTTGGTGAATGACATGCTGGCCGATGAGACCATTTCAAGTTTTTCCAATACTGCCACAACTGCCACAACTGCAGGTTGTTGTACACCGTTTTCCTCATCATGTCCATTCATTCTCATGTCAGAAACACCTCGTGAATTGGCCATTCGAATTGGTAATGAAGAGGTTTGTAAATTCTTCAAGACCAATACTCTATCCTTGTTGCATGCCATGAATGCAACCTTTGGAAATGTTCTCTCAATGTCCTCTAATGCAACTAATGCCACTCCTCATACAACTGCTGTAACCACCACCATGGTTTCCTCTTTGACTCCATCATCGACCAGTACAGCCAGCAGCACCACTACCACCAACACGATCACTTCTCTCATGAATAATAATACCAATACCATCAATACCAATACCATCAATACCAATACCCATAACACTCTCAACAACAACAACAACAACAACAATAATGGAATCTATGCATCACAACAAGTTCATCTCTCCAATCAATTATGTATTTCATACTTTATTCGTCATGTGAAGAGAGATAATTACATTTTGGTTCAACAACTTGTGAAATTGAATCCAAATTATTTACAATGTGTGGAAGATGATGAATGGAGATATAGTTGTTTCCATTGGGTTGCTCAAAAAGGATGTTATCAAACTGCACAAGTACTTCTCAAATATGCCAATCAATTCTTTTCACCACAAATGGTCAAACATTTAATTAATCGAAAATCATTGAGAACCAAATGGACACCTCTTGGATTAGCAGCCAAATACAATCATGCTCATGTTGCTCGATTATTATTAGAGGCAGGAAGTGTCATGTCTCTCACAACTACTTCAGGAAATCGACCCATTCACAGTGCTGCCTTTTACAATAGTTTAGATGTATTGAAATTATTGGTTGAAGTTGGAGGTGAAGATGTCAATGTTCAAGATTCCAAAGATGGATTCACAGCACTTATTATGGCAGCACAAGAAGGTCATCGAAATTGTTGTTCGTATTTACTTTCACGTGGTGCAGATCCTTCGATTAAAAGTAAAGAAGGAGATTCAAGTTTGTATTGGGCCTATGAAAAGAATCATACAAGTATTGTTGAATTACTAATTAAGGAATTAGAGAGACGGAATATGAGAGAACCTTTAAATCAATTCTTTTTCAAAGCTGTCAAGAAGAATGATTTATATACTGTGGAAAATATGATTATGAAAAATAAGGAATATTTATTGATACGTGAACCTGATGAATGGTCTTATTCACCACTGCATTGGTGTTCACAGAAAGGTCACACTCAAATGGCACAATTTTTAATTGAAATGATTCAATTGTATTATCCTGATCAATTCTCAGATTTAATTAATGCCAAAGGTACTAAAATTAATTGGACACCTATTGGATTGGCATGTCGATACAATAATTTAGAAATTGCAAAATTATTAGTGAAACATCGAGCAGATTTTACCATTCCTACCAAAAATGGTAATCGACCCATTCACAATGCATCCTTTACGGGACATCAAGAAATTGTTAAATTCTTACTCGATAGTGGTGAGAGTGTCAATGTAAGAGATTCTAAATATGGTTATTCTGCAGTCATGTGTGCTGCCAAAAAGGGACATTTCAATCTTGTGAAAATGCTCTATGAACAATATGGATCAGATTTAAATGCTACCAATTCGAATGGAAAGACTGCATTGCAATTAGCAATGGATCATCAACATGATCTTATTGCCAAATATTTGAGAGATCCACCACCTTTGGATAAATTCTTTCAACAACAACAACAGCATCAACAACAACAAGGACTCTCCTCCTCATCCCTATTAGGAAATCAACACAATTCCATTCTTACTAGTCTTACGATTGCTACCACAAGTATTCGAAAGAATTTACTCGTGTTTTTGACAGCCATGATTGGAAAATCTCAACTTAAAAAGAAAGTCAAATTGGATGGAATTGATTCCATTAACACTCTCAAGAATGCTCTCATTCATTCCATTGGTCCTTCTAATCATTTATTTTCATCATCAATACCCATCTACAAAGATCACTTGGATTCTTTGATCACTTCTCATCATCATCCTAATAATAATAATAGTAGTAGTAATAGTATGAATAATATTAGTATTGTCAATAGTAGTAATGGTATTGTCAATAGTAATTACAACAACAACAACAACAACAACATGAATGACATGGTGATACATTCATCATTTTTATTTTTATATTACGATGATCAATGTCAGTCCTATCTCAATTTAGATTCAGATGCATTTGAATTTCTAAAAGAGAGTCCAAATCTTACTAAAATTGTCATGAAAAGTAATGAAGACATGAGAAGTAGTAACATTGGTAGTAGTAGTAGTATTGGTAGTAGTAACATTGGTAGTAGTAGTAGTAGTAGTATGGAATTGACTAATATTGGCCAGATGATGACAATGGCTCCATCTGTGGATTTAACAAAAACTCAAGAAATTGATATTGAAGCCATGTTCAATTCCATGCCACTCTCGACTCCAATGAATGAATTTTCATTGTTGGATGATGCGTTAGGTTCAATAATGACTATGGAATCGACTGCAACTTCTATCACCACCTCAACAACAACCTCAACAACATTTATGAATTTTATTCCTCACTCTCCACCACAACAACCATTCTCATCATCTACATTAACATCACCATCATCATCTGGACCCACATGGAATATGCGCTCAAATAACACAATGATGAGTGCTACGAACAACAACAACAACAATAATACCACCACTACTACTACCACCACCACCACTCCTAAAAAACCACAACTTGTATCATCCAATTCACAACCACCCTCAGCCTCTGAACTATTATGCTCTTCCATGATGATGATGATTCGTCATCGATATCAAATCATGAAACCCAATTACAAACCCTATCGAGAATATTTTCATAGAGATGCATCACCACCATCACTTGTCAACAACTCGATCACCAGCAGTTCAAGTAATAGCACCACCACCACCACCAATAGCAATAGCATCAGTGGCACCACTGAGAGTTATCTCTGTAGAGATCTTTCAACCAATGAAATGAAAATGTTAAAAATGTATCCATTGGATAAGACGAATGATCTTCATTCCTATATTCAACACTTGATTAGAATTACTCAATTATCATCCATTCATTCTTCCATAGTTCCTATATTGGATGGATTTGAATGGTTTTCACCTCTCCATGGTCGTCAATTTTGTATTGTCACACCCTATTATGGAGATCAATTCATTGATTTAGGACAAATGATTATGCATTACAAATGTGAATTGAAAAGACCCATTCCAGAAAAGATGATTCGAATCATTATGAAAGAATTATATTCTATTCTTTCAGGTAGTCCTATGAATAATAATAGCAATACCATGAATAGTAATATGAATAACAATACCATGAATAGCAATACCATTGTTAATAGTAATAGTAATAATATGAATAGTAATACCACTCCTGATTCGAGTCATTCTATGAATCCTCTAGTCAAGAGTGACAATCATCATGGAGTATATCATGGTAATTTGAAATTATCCAATGTGTTGATCAACACAAAATCATTTCTATTACCAACACATGAATACTCATTGGAAACTACTTTGAATTCAACAACTAGTATAAATTCAACAACTAGTATAAATTCAACAACTAGTATAAATTCAACAAGAGAAGAAGAAACAACAATCATGATGAAATTATGTGATTTGAGTCGAAGAAAGAGTCTTCAATGGTATTCGATCCATTCACCAACACCACCAACACCACCACCACCACCAAACAATCTCTCCATCCCATTACATACACATGGTGGTGAAAGTTTAACTATCAATAATAATGAGGAGTATTATTATTACCGTCACCATCGATATGAAGATCTTTTGAGTATGGCATGCATCATTTATCGATTATTAACCTTTGATTTGGAAACTGATATTCTTTTATTAATGTCATGCAGTTCAACATTTAAGAATACCATGATTCGATCCATTACTGATCACTATGGATATCAAAGTCCATTATTAACACAAATGATGCAAATTCTATTTACTATCTTTGCACCAATTATGAAACATGAACAACAAACAGATTCTATTATGAGGATGCATCACAACAACAAGGATACTCCTCTTTCTATTCCTTTTTGTAGTCATAGTAGTAGTCATAGTCATCGTAGTAGTAGTACCATTGTAGAGGACATTGTGAGTGTTCAACACATTGAATGTATGGTCCACCAACTTGTGAGTCAATTGTAAAAATCACATCACCACCACCCTCCCTCAACATCACCATCATCATCACTTGGACGATCGCTTCCACTTGGACTACATTAATTCGTCGCTACCACCTACTTTATCAATGATATCTTCAAATAAGGACAAATTGTTGTCATCTCATGTAATAATTATTAGGTAACAATTAGGTGTGATCACAAATAAGGACAAATAAAGACACGCTCGCAATTCCTCATGCCATGAAAAAAAGACATTCGGACTTCCTCTGAAATCATCAATATGTTTCGATTGTGCAGCGCACATCACAAGAGAATAATTCATCGTTTAAAAAAAAAACAACAACCAACTTTCTCAACTTTTTGGCACTACCACACTCACGGTTGAACCGATCCAACACTTTATATATATTGGGTTGACCACACAACACACACAGACCACACGCACACTCATGAACATCCGTCATACCACCAACTCTACCAACTCTACAGCAGTACTTGTCACTCTTTCCAATTTCATCCCAACGACTGTCAAACTCTTGTCACATGTGTTTCAGGGTGGTTCTTTAGATCAACGACATTCCTATGATCCACTTGAATCTACACCCTCCTCCTCCTCCTCACCATCATGGTGGTGGTCCAACATTCTCACAACTCCATCCACTGTATTATTCATCACAGAACTCTACAGTGAAGTGAATGTCATGGAACTTGTTCTTCTTTTAATATTCATTCTCACTCTGACACTTTTTCTCCGGAAAGTATTCCACAAGGTACGAGAAATCTTTTTTGAGCCATTGAATCGAGTGATTGATATGGAACCAATGTTAATATCCTCATCATCATCTTCTCACAACCATCACCACTCCATGACAGCATCAGCTTCTCGTCTCAGAAAACGATTGGGACAAGTGCCACCTGTCTATCCCAATGGTTGGTTCAAAGTGTGTAATTCATGGGAATTGAAACCAGGTCAAGTCAAATACATACAAATGTTAGGATTGGAATTGGCATTGTATCGAGGAGAGAAATCTCACAAAGCTTATGCCTTAGATGCTTATTGTACTCATTTGGGTGCTAATTTAACAGTGGGTGGAACTGTTCAGGGTGAATGTTTGACATGTCCATTTCATCATTGGTCATTTAAGGGTGAGAATGGTCATTGTATTTCACTTGGTAACATTCCAATCTCAATGCCAATGATTAAAAAGAATGGAAAATTAGTGGAGAATTTACAAGTGAGAGATGATAGTTTTGAAGATTGTAAGAAGGTGGAATATTGTGAACATCGAGATGGAGTGGTGGATGTTGCCACAAGAGGAGTGATTTCCTCTTCATCGGAATTGATGGAGAATGACAGAAATACTAGTAGTGATAGTAATAGTAGTTGTAGTAATAGTAATAGTAGTAGTAATGGTCAACAACAACAACAGAATAGTCATCCTTTAAAAATTCCATCTCAAGCTCACACCAAGAGTTATCTCTTACAAGAAAAGAATGATCAAATTTATTTGTGGTTTGATGCAGAGGGAAGAGAACCACATTGGGAAATACCATCGGTGAGACCTAATTTGAAAACTCATGGAAAGATTGCACATCACATCTATTGTCATATTCAAGAAATTCCTGAGAATGGACCTGTAAGTATTGATATAATACTATTTTCATGTGATGCAAACCTTTGAAACATTAGGATGCACCACAGTAAGTAGGACTAGTAGTAGTACTATCAGTAACAGAATCACACAATGAATGGACATCACATTCATGGCCACGAATGAAACATGAATGATAACACATACTATTCATCCATGATAGCCGTAAGTACTCGTTTAATTAATTTTTTTTGTCCCACAAAAGAATCCTTCTTTCAATTTATGACGACAACAATCATCATAAATTCAGTCAATGTCGTTCACAGAGAAATGAAATACACCTTTGGATGGGTTTGGAACATTTGGGGTGCTAAATGGCAAAAATCCACTCTCGAACATCAAGATCATATTGCCTATTTCCAAGTGCAACATGTTTCAACATTTAATGATTTATTTAACATTCCATTCAGTGTGGTGGATGTCAATGGAGGTCAATATGGACCTGGAATTGTCATGTTTGAATTTTCAACACCAGTTGGCAGTTTCGATTTAATTCAAACAGTGACTCCAGTAGGTCCATTGCATCAACATGTCGAACATGTCATTTATTGTCCATGGTTCATTCCAAGATGGTTTGCTAAATGGTTTTTAATCATGATGACATCTTTTGTTGAACAAGATATTCCTATTTGGAATAATAAGACATATTTGAAACAACCTGTATTGGTTCGAAATGATGGACCTATTGCACAATTTCGAAGATGGTTCTCTCAATTTTATTCTGAAAATTCTCCAACTTTGGAGTCCTTGGGAGCAAGATCCTTAGATTGGTAATATGATGTTGTGATTATATTGTTTTTATTATTATTAAAATTTTTAATATTATATGATATCATTATATCTGTAAATATTATTTAAATATCATACAGAATGAAGACATCCCAAGAAGATGAAATCTCATTCATAGATCTCACTTTTTTCGAATCACTAGTGTTTGTTCCACCACATATTTGGTATCCGATGATAATTTACAAGAGTTGACATTGGCACCACTTGATGACACCTTTGGACATGGTCCATTCTTTGCCATATTCAAATAAATAGTCTTGACTTGTGATGTCACATCACCACCACCACCATTACTACTACTACTACTACTACTACTACTGTTATCACTTTCAATGATCATACAAACTGCACCATCATGTACCAATGAATTGTGTCGATATAAATAACCATAAAGAGTGGTGTATTGTGGTTGAGAAGAAGAACTTGAAGTGGTGGTGGTCACATTCATCAAATTACTCACTGTGTATTGTGGTGAATAGGGAATCTTTGGTAAATGAAATCCATCGGAATCGGTGTAATTGTTTGGATTGAAATTTCTCAATATTTCAAGTGGACAATTATTGGATGATTTTGCTTCATATTGAAAGGATACTCCCATTGAATTAATGACAAGATAGACAATATTTGCTTGTGATGTGCATGAGAGACAAGCAATGTTTTTGGCATCACCAATCGAGATGGGATTGACTTGAAGAGAATAAAAAGATGTTATTGAAGATGATGATGCATTGTAAATGTAAAGAGTATAGAGAGAGGATGGAATGGAATCTAAGAGTTGTTGTTGAGATGAAAAGGATGATTGTGATGACAAGAAGGAATTTATGGTCGTTGTTGGAAGGGGTGTGGCCATTTGAATGGAATCCATCATGATGGGTGAAGAAGAGGTTGAAATTTCAGAGGCATGTACAGACATCATCATGAGGATGATGGAAAGTATGATGGAAAGTATGATCACGCCAGGATGAATTTGAGTTGATAAAATCATCATTTTTTTTTGTGTTGGGTTTTAAGACATTTGACAGGTCAGTGGGAAGAACTACTGCCCAAAAAATTTGGCGCCATTGAACAATCACGACACTCAGTGTTGAACAATTTCTTTTAATAAGGTGCTCACATGAAGAGCTTCTGGTTGATTGTTCTGATCAACACTCACTCTCAACACACAAGAGATGACAATATTATCATGAAAATCACCACAAGTATCATGATTCTGAGAGGTGATGAACTTTTGACACGATCCACATGGTTGACATGATTCACTTGTTGAACCATTTTTGCAACAAGTTGAACACCACTTGAAGGTTGAACAATAAACGTCTGAAAGGAAACATCCATGGAATTGAGTGGAAATGGATTGGCTCGAGGTTTAACAGTCGTACGACTATTTGATTCACCGTACGATAAGGTTCGAACATTACCTGATGCCTGAGAACTAGTTGATGAAACTAAATCATAAAGAATTTGTAGTGAAGGATCATAGGATTGTCCTGGAAGTGAAGAATCAAAGGTTTTGACAGTACTCTCAATATGGAGAAAACATTTTCGAGAGGGATTCGAGGCACTCATTGGGACCTTTGTGGTGGTTGATTCCTCATTGGCACTGGGGGACCTGAGTGATGATAATTTAAAGGATAGTCCATAATTATTATTATTACCATATCCTCCAATAGATGCTGCATTGTAATACTTGACATCTAAGAGTGGATCACTTAATACATTTCCATCTTGAATTAATCGTACCTGATAATACATGGTACTTGGATCATACACAGTACATCCAGGTTGAGAGGATGGTGAGGATGGATGGTAGGGTGGCATACTACCATCCAATGATTTGATACAACACATGTAAGCATTGTAAGGAATGAGTAATTGATTGTATCCAATGGAAATGGTATTACTATCAATGAGTGATACTTTGGCATAGAGTCGATCACTATCTTTGAAAAGAGTGTTGTAGAGAGGAAGTAGTGTTGTGGTGGTAGTAGTGGTGGTGGTAGTAGTAGTGGTGGGCATTGCATTTCTGATGGCTCTTGTTGTCAATGTCGTACTATCACGACCACTACTACTACTACTACTACTACAACCACTAGTACTGGTATCCATTGGAGAGAAGGAAGTACGAGTCCCATCCCTTCCACTTCGAATTGCATTATTGAGAATGGCCTTATCATCAATATAGAGTCCAATCATGGTCTTACTATCCATCATGGGAATGTCATTGGTTGAGGAAGAAGCATAAGGTATCTGATATTGAAGATTGAGAGAATAGAGTGGAACAGATGGATTGATATTCGTTGCATACAGTGAGTAAGTACCGTTGAATAGAGAAGAAGAGGATTTGGCAGAGTCCACCGATTCAAAGGTCATTCGATAGACACGCTTCTGAGCAGAAGAGGAACTTGGAACTTTCTCAAATTTGGTGGTTTTGAAGGAAGGTTTGTTACTCTCCATACTCTTCACATCACACCAATCAATATCATTGGGTGATTCAAATTCACATGAGACTTCTAACTTGTCCTTCTCATTGGTACAAACATTTATAATGGTTAATGAGGTAGAGCCCACACATGACACACTCAGTCCCACATGAAGAATGAAATTTCTTTTAAAGGAAACGGTGTAGCATTGAGACACGTCTTGATTGGTGACTAACATGTAAGTCATATAAATAGTATTATAGAAGGATTGAAGAGCACCATTGGTCATTGAGGATCCATCTTGTTGTGACGATTGTTGAATAAAATCATTCAAAGGTATTGAGGTTTGATAGATTTGGTAATAATCTGCATCCTTATAGAGTTTAAAGTTATTTTTGAGAATATTCTGATTGGTGCACACATATCCATCCATGTTCGAAGAGGATGAAATTCCAAGATTGTAGTAAGCTTGTTGGTTCACATCTAGATTTTTCTTATATATTCTTATCTGTAGTACGATATTACCATTTTTGTATTGATGTTGAATGAGAGGTGTGGGTGCACCAAATGCATTCTTTCTAAACATGGAGAATTGTACATTCATATTTAAGGTTTGTTTGGATCCTCCACTCGTGGTGGTGGTGGTGGTGTCATAGTACACGAGTTGAATCACTGGTTTCTCTTGATCTGCTTGATGTACGAATTGAATCAAACCTTGATCAATCTCCTTTTGATTGAATTGAGTAATTTCCACATTGGTGGATTGATTTCTTCGAAAGTATCCATTTTCAACATTCATGACTTGATATTGAATATTGGGATTCACTTGTTGTTGCTGAGTAAATATAGCTAAATTCTGCTGTGAAGAGAGTGTTACGATTTCTCCATTGTATAGTTTGAGAGAGGCACGATAGTTTTGAGCATGAACCAGGTCCGAAACGAGTGTTTGTAATAAAAAGAGAAGTAAGGAGAGTCGAAATACAAAAAACACCACCACCACCACCACCACTGATGGTGATGAGTGAGACCCGTTGAATGAATTTCTTCCTAGTCGTCGTCGTCTTGTTGTTGTTGTTGAGGATAAAGGATAAACGTCAGCAGCAACTGAAGTGAGGAGAAATAACAACATGTTAATGAATTGTCGTTGTGAATCAAAGAAGTTGAAGGATGATTGTCTTTTGTTGAGTATATGGGTTTTCGGAAAGGAGTGAATACTATTACTTGTTAGTTGGTACACGAGTGAGTGAGTGAGTGAGTGAGTGAGGAGTATAATATACTATACACAACACCAATCAACCAACGAATCGATGAATAGTTAGTTCTAACACACAGCTGTGACTGTCTAAGATGATATTTAAAATAATGTATTTTTTGATCGAACAGTTCTTCTCTCAAGTGTTCAATGGTCCATTGAATCCATCATTCCATTCGATCAGCACTCATTCCTTATATGGACATCTACTCTTGAAGATCATAATTCCACAAACACCAAACCTATCACAAACAATACCATACACTTGTCTCAGTGTTTCACCAATTGTAAATAATTGTCCTAAAACAGAAAAATCCAATACACGTGTCGATCTATAAAAATTAATCGATACGACATTATTGATTTGAGATATTTTCACCTTACAATTCAACATGTTATAATCATATTCATGATAACTAGTACCAATGAATTGAAAGAGACTATCTCTTTGTTTTGAATGCTTTTTCATTGCTTGTTCAATCTTGACATGTCCATAATTGGAAATTAAATGATCCAAATCAGAGAGTGATTCATGGGGATTGAAAGTAGGTTTGTTGTTGAGATTGTCATGAGGATTGGGGTCATTACTCAACATACTCCTTCTATAAAAATCATCATAATGATCGTTAACGGTAAAGGAAGAAGATGGAAAACACATGTCCAAGTGGTGAGCAGTAGTAGTCGTAGTGGTAGTAGTGGTAGTAGCCTTATTATTATTACTCCTGCTACTACTCCTACTATTAGTGGTTGTCTTGTTGTGTTGTTGATGGTTCGTCGACTTGTACCATCCATTGCTGAGAAGACTCAACTCTTCATCATTCACGTGACCACCACGAGAGTTGGAATCCCAATGACCTTCTTCTTTGCTTCTATCGGTGGTGTTGGTGGTGTTGGTGGTGTTGGTGGTGTTGGTGGTGTTGGTGGTGTTGGTATTACTGCTGTTGCTTCTGCTGCCTGTAGTAGTAGTAGATGTACCATTCGTTTCGTAGAGTGTATCAATGTGAGCAGTATAGGTCATCATGTGATGTCGTCCATTACTACTACTATTACCATCTGCAGTACTCCCATAGTGGTGGTGGTGGTGGTGTTGATGATAGTGAGGGGAACCAACCTTCTCTTCTTGATCACTCTTCTTGATATGTAAGGAGTATTTGGTTTCAAAAAATGCCTCAAAGGAATGACTATAATATTTCAAAAGAGCAGTCCATTCACCTTCTAAAGAAATGATACCAAGGTGAGGTTGAGAGGATGATGAAGAAGAATGAGAATTGGAGCTAACCAATTGGTTTGGGTTATTAGGATGATGATGGACATTCGAACCAGGAGCTATTTCTCTGCAAGCATGACTATTATAAGAATGATGATGGTGGTGTAGCTGACGAGGAGAATGTGGTGACGAATGGTAGTATGCTTGCTGTTGTTGTTGTTGTTGTGATTGTTTTGAATCAACCTTGGATCTCATCATCATGGATGTGCTATTATTAAATCTACACATGTAATCACTATTAAATCCATCCACTTGAGAATGAATAAATTGAACATTTCGATCATGACTCATTTGAATTAAATAAGTTTCCATATTCTTCCAATGAAATGTAAATAAATAATGTCCATAAGTAACTATATAATAATTACAATCTCTGTTGTAGTAAATTCCAAATAGATCACTCAACGAGTAGGATCTGTCCACCATAAATTTATCCAAATTTGTGATCTTTCTAAAATAGTAATATTTGGCACTCATTTCTTGATCAATCAATGATAATAATTTCTTTTGAATCTGTCTTTGTTTCTCTCCAATCGTATAGGTCATTTGAATAAATTCCTTCAAAGATTGATGTTCAAAATCAATACAATGTAAATGTTCTCTATAATACGAATGTTGAAAAATGGAATGAAAAATAAAAGAACAAAGTGAGGATTGTCCAACAAATCTTGGAGATGAGAATGTTGTTGAATAATCATGGAACCACCACCACATGTCATCATGAGGAGTATAGTCATTTGAATCATATGATCCATTTGAATCGAAAGGAGTTGGTGTTCTTGGTGTTGTGGTGGTGGAGACAGCACTACTATTATAACTACCATTGTTGTTGTTACTGTTGTTACTGTTCATATTATAATTGTTCGTATTGATATAATGATTCGAATTGGATGGAACTCCACGTGCACTTCGAGGAGTGGTCGGTGTCGAGGAATTGGATGATGAATTATCAATGAAAGATGAGAGAGTATTGTTCGAAGATGATTTCTGTAAGGCAGAAGAAGAAGAGAAAGGTACACCACTAGCACCAGTACCACCACCACCACCAGCACTACCTTCAATGAATGCATCATCATCATCTTTCATTTCATCATCGAGTGGAATTGTGGATTCAATACGGAGAGGTGTGGTGGGTGTGGTGGGTGTGTTGGGAGTTGTGGTGACAACTATTCTTGGACTGGTCATTGGATTGTGTGATGTCAATCTATGAGTAGAAGTATTAGTGCTAGTAGTACTGGAATTGGAATGGTTTGACATTTTAACAATATCATATTCTCTTAATTTGGAAATGACCATGGATAAACTTGTCTTTTCATACTTTCGTTTCAATATCATGTATTTATATTGTTGATAAGTATTCTGAGGTGATGATGTATCAATTTCATTCACTGGAATGTAATGTATTAAATATTGATATAATAAATAGGGATGTCTTGTGAGTGCATTGAAATATTTACATGAGTATTTGAGATTGGAGAGAGTGTTGTTGTTGTTGTTGTTGTTGAGGTTCTTTTTTCCAATATCTGTCAAATCGATAAATGTAAAAATATAGAGCCAATAAGAAAGTGATAAATCTAAAAATGTATAATTATTTTGAATGTGAGAAATTTTGACTGATCGACCCATCGATAGTACAGTTTCCAATATTCCATGATTATTGTTCTTTCCATTCTCAGTATTTTTAAATAATGAAACAATGATGGATTTAAATTGCAAACATCGATAATATTGTAATATTTGTGTTAATAATTTGGAATCTTGAATACTTTTTGGAAAATAAATGATTGAATTGGTTGTTGGACTACTATTAGTTGTTGTTGTTGTCGTCGTATTATTTGAATTCAGTGAAGATGGTGATCCTCTTGGAGTGAATAAAGTAAAAATTGATAATGTTCTTCTTCTTGATAAGGATCCACTTGAATTTTCATAATTACAAGTACTAGTAGTAGTAGTGGGAGTATTACCTGTTCTTGGAGTAAGACTGTGCTGTTGAACATCAATCATCATTGCAGGTTGACTAGTATTATTACTATTATTATGGCTATTAGTATGATTTGCTCTTCTTGAAAATATACTTGCAAGACGTGGTGTAGAAACACTAAGAGTGGAACTTGAACTGTCAGATATTCTTGGTGTTAAATTTGATGAAGTGGTGGTGTTAGAATTCAAAGTAGTAGTAGTACTACTACTAGACATGGATAATTCCAATGCACTGTCACTTTTAATGACAGGTAATGACAGTTGTGAATGTTGTGATGATGATTTCATATTTCTTGTATGTGAGTAAGAAGAAGATGTGGGCAGTGAAACTGGTTGAACATTGGATGAAGAAGGTAGTGGTGATGATGTCATGTTCATTGGATGATTGAAATCATCTAAAAGATCATCCAATGAAATGATATCATCGTCATTGAATGATGGAGGAGCTTTGGAAGTAACGAGTGTGGGAATGGTAGTCAGAGTGGTGGTGGTAGCAGTGGTGGTGATGGTGTTGTGAACATTTGCATTCGATGGTCGTGTCGTCAAAGTCAATGTTTGATCAAGTCCATTAGAAACAATTGTTGAATGTTTTTTTCGAATAATAAAACTCTTCAATCTTCGATTCAATGAAAGATTATGAATATTACTACTACTACTACTACTTTCACTAGAGTTCCTACCAGTACCACTACTACTACTACTACTACTATTATTACAATGACCTGTTTGATTTTTCATAATATCAGTACTACTACTACTACTACTACTACTCGTTGAAATTGTATGGAATGGTTTAATTCTTCTTTTGTGTGAATTTGCTAGAGTGACAACCATTCGATACGTTAAGCATTCCAATAAACAATTGATCAAGTGAACTCCACACATGTATTCATTCTCAATATATTTCAATAATTCATCTTGATTTGAAAATTTAAATTTCCTTAATATTTTCATTAAATGATCGTGAGTCCAATCAAAGATGGATAATTGACCAAATGGAAGGTCTAATAGTTGATGTGAGTGATGCCATGATGATGATGATAGGAGAGAAGTGGTGGTGTTGGTGGTGTTTGTGGATGGTGAATGTGTTGTAGATGGTGAGGTCATTGTCGTCATTGGTGTGGTATATACGAGTGTACTACTAGTTGAATGACAGTAATCTTGAAGGAATAAAATTGCATTATTGGCTGCTTGTTGACTCGCTTTATGTTTTCCTCCTCCGTAAAATGGACTCCGTAAAAGTTGATCTGCGATGCGAAGTCGTTGTTGATGGCCATGTTGTTGAGAGGGTAATAGTGATGATGATGATGGTGGTTGTCGAGTGGGAGAGTCGACAATTTGAGATGATGATGATTGACTCCTATTCTTCTTCTTCTTGTTGTGAGAAGTTGTTAGCATGAGATTCATAATGTCACCACCATCATCACCTCCGCTATCTTCGTTGTTGCTCCTACTGTGAGATGATGACACAAATAATTCAAATCCTTTTAGAGGAGGGACAATGGGTGGTGTTGAAGAGGATAATGATGTTACCATTGATGGTTTTGTGTCTACTACTTTGTCATTGGTCATATTATCAGACCTAGGAGTGTAATAGGATTCTGATTCTGCTCTTGTTGTTAATGACATTGGAAGGATGGAAGGTGCTGTCAATGTTTGGCCAGACTCTAAACTGGAAGGAGACAATGTTTTTCGGTCATTGCTAATTTCGGTATTGTTGCGGTTGTTATTGTGATTAGTACAGTTAATCTTCGTGTCCTCCGCCACCTCTTCTGTATTGTTGGTGTGGGAGAGCCTCCGAAGAAGTTTAAACATTTTTTTCGTAGAAATTAACAAAGGATTTGGCAGATGACAAGCGAATCAGAGAAAGGAAAGCTATAACGCTCCTCCTCAGAAAGCATGACATAAACTGAATGGAGGTGAATTTTCAGTGAATTACAATAAAACACAAGGCGATTTACAAATTCGAATAATTCTACGTCAATTCTTGTCGAAAGGGAGAGAGCTTGGTCTTCGTCATGTGTCTCTCCAGTAAACATGTTGGTTCTTGAGGTGGAGGCACACCACGAATACAAATTAAGAAAAAAAAACAGCATTATTTCGGTCTTCAATCGCTTGAATATTTCGTACGACTCATCATTGAGAGGCTCATCTTCATTGCTACTCTCGTTCGCAGAATTTTGTCCCTGCCTAAGGGTACATGTTCTTCCTATTGGCTCACCATTTATCTCGCCAGTATTGAACCCTTCAAGTATCGATGAATTATCCTTGAAAATTAGATTTAGTAGTAACAATACTCCATCCTCGGCGATGACTCTTCTCAATTCATCCACCCTCACAACATCACCAAACAATTCATCCGTTCATATGACCACTCCAAAGGCTCCTAATCAAAATAATGGCACAACCTTTTCCTCATCTTTCCTTTCTACTCCTAATAGATCACAAGCGAAAGCTCTCTCTTCCTTGTATCCCAATATTTCGGAACCCAGAGATCTTTCAAAGCCTCACAGAATAGCATTGAGTCCTATTAAAAGTCCTCTGCACTCAACACTTCAAAATCCAAGCATCAATTCATCGTTCAAAACCTTCAACTCATCAATGGAAACCCCTTCATCTCCCTCAATGTCAGCTGCTTTGAGTCAAACGAAGAGTGCTAAAAAACAAATCGAACACGAGTATCAGACTCTTTTGAACCGAATAAAATTCTTGGAAGAAGAGGAGAGAAGGTCAAGGGCCAAATTGCATCAATACGATTTTATCACTCAAAAGCAAGAAGAAACAAAGAAGCTCAAACAAAATACGAATAACCTCTTTCTGAAAAAAAAGGAACAGGAACTCAAGGAAATCGAAGAAAAATATCAGATTGTATCTTCTGTCAAGGTAAGTGGATGAATTATCATTTTGTTCTTGATCATCACAACCCTTTAAAAACACAGGATGGACATTTGTACGCAAAAGAAAAAATTAAAAACTTTGAAGAAGCAAAAAAGCTTGAGAATTTGGAATTCAAGAAAAAGCTAGAACTATTTAAAGACATTCGTAAAGAACAACAAATGAAATTAGTAAAGTATAATGCTGTCAGAAGAAACGAAATTAAACAATTAAGTGAAAAGATGAAAGAAGAAAATAGAATTAAAAGAGAAGAACTTGCAAAGCAAAAACAAATCGAAAGACAACAAGCTAGAAATAGAAATGAAACCATGTATCAAGAGAGACTGAAGCAAATCCATCAAGAAAAAGAAAAGCAAGTTCAAGCCATAAAATCCCAAAGAATTAGCCTTGATGAGGTTCAGCAATACAGAATTTCTCAGTCACATGATGCTGTCATTCAGTATGCTTTGAGAGAAATTGAAAAGGAACAGGAAACTGCTGTGCAATTAGAAAAATCGATTGAACACTTGAAGAAGAGAGAAGCGGAAGCAAAAAGAAGATTGGATGAAGTGGAAAGAAAATTGCAATCAAGTCCTGCTTCTCCTTCCAATGGACACCGAGATGGAAACTTGAGTAATCTTTCTCTTCTACTTGACCGATCACCCAGATCAAAAAGAGCTAGAGGTTTTGCACGATCTCCCTCTGGCAGATAGTTGATAAACAATTTTTTTCGAGTGCAAAAAGGAAAAAATGATTTCCAATCCTTCTTCGTCATCCTTCATCACCACTTCGGACAGCAGTAGTGGCGAACAAGATCCATCCTCTTCCTCCTCTTCCCATTTGATGGCAACAAGAAAACACATCATGCACCATCATCGTGAAGGTGAAGAATCGAGTACCAATTTAGACTTGTTGGACATTGAAGTGGTCGATGATGAAACTGGAAAAGTTTTAGAAAAAGAAGAAGAATCCGTTGCAGAATTAATTCATGATGACATTGAAGAGCAAGCCAACGGAGAAAACGCAGAAAAGATTGATGGAGATTTGATAGCAGGTGGAGATGATGATTCAAAGGACGATGAAGCAGAACCACCTGCTCCGAAGGCTATCAAAGAGAATTTCGACAAGTTGAATGAATTACTCCAAAAGACTGAAACTTATTCTCGTTTTATTCATGAACATGTCGTAGGTACATTACCTGGCACTCATGATGAAGAAGAACAAGCAAGTGATGAAGAAGAGGAAGGTGAAGCAAACTCGGAAGAAGAAAATGGAAAGAGAAAGCGACGTGGAAGAAAACCAACCACTTCGAATGAATCAGCTCAAAAAAAATTGAAAAGTGTGTTCAGCAAATCGAAAATTCTTCAAACAGCAAATCAAACCATTCTCAAGTATGAACAACCCAAGTACTTAACTGGAACCACTCTCAGAGATTATCAACTAATGGGTGTGAATTGGCTGATCAGTTTGTATGAAAATGGTGTGAATGGAATATTGGCAGAGTAAGTTGTCGAAAAGAAAAACATACGAGAGTATATTATTTTATGTTCATCCTTCAAATTTGGTTCAAACACTAATGACAACAACAGTGAAATGGGTTTGGGAAAGGTAGGTATATTCTCTTTGTAAATTCATATGGCGGTGAAATATATTCATGATGCTTCATTTAGACCATTCAAACCATTGGATTGTTTTGTCACCTCTATGAAAAGGGTGTGAAAGGTCCATTTCTAGTGGTTGCTCCTCTCTCAACTGTATCCAATTGGGTGAATGAAATTGATAAATGGGCACCAGAGTTGGGTTGTGTTCTTTATCATGGAAATAAGGATGACCGTGCAATGATTCGATCTAAAAGCTTTAAAAAAGTGAAAAAGGGTCAAATTTCTGTCGGTGAGTATATTCAATTGACCATTCTCAACCAACATCGCCTCACATACTAATTAACATCACTAACACTACCTCTGCTTGTATATTACACAACCTCTTCCATAGTGGTTTCAAGTTATGAAATTGTAATGCGTGATAAGAAATTTCTTGCTAACAAATTCAATTGGAAATACATTGTTGTAGATGAAGCACATCGATTGAAAAACTTTAATTGTCGACTCACAAGAGAGTTAAAACAATACAATAGTGAGAATCGATTACTATTAACAGGAACACCTCTTCAAAACAATCTCTCAGAGTTATGGTCATTGTTAAACTTTTTATTACCTTCTATTTTTGATGATCTTTCTGCATTTAACAAGTGGTTTGATTTTACAAAGAATCAAGGTACCAATAATGAATATATTGCAAATGAAAAGACTCAACTCATCTCTAAACTTCATAATATATTACGTCCATTCCTGTTGAGAAGATTGAAGAGTGATGTTGATATTGGTATTCCAAAGAAGAGAGAATTTCTTGTCTATGCTCACATGACTCAAATGCAACGAGAATATTATGAGGCTGTCAGGAAGAAGGATTTGGCGCCAATTTTCCAAGACGAAAAGACAAGAAAGGCTTCCACCAATAATTTACTGAATATTCTCATGCAATTGAGAAAGATTTGTAATCATCCATTTTTGATCAAGTAAGTAGAGAGTCTGAGACAATACTCGATCGATTTGAATTATTATCATGACTTGTATTCAAATGAATATCATTCTGGCTTGAATACTGAATCCTATGACTATCACAAATGACTATCATATATTATGATTTACTGAATCCTATGATTATCACAGAGAGTTTGAATCACATTCAGGTGAATCTGAACGTGCCTCCAATAAGAGATTCCTCAAAGAATGTGTTGAAAATTGTGGCAAATTTTCACTCTTGGTGAGAATGTTAGAAAATCTAAAGAAAAATGGACACAAAGTACTTGTCTTTTCATTAATGACTAGATTTCTAGATGTTCTTGAAGATTATATTGAATGTAGAGGAGATATGAAATATTGCAGAATTGATGGATCTATTGCACAGACTGAACGTGAACAAAAGATTAAGGAATTTAATGAAAATGATGATGTGTTTATATTTTTATTATCTACAAGAGCAGGAGGATTGGGTATTAATTTGGTAAGTTGAATGTTGTTGTGTTGGTGGTTGAATTGAAAATAATTTTACTATTTATAATATATGATATATCCTCATTCATGTATGGATCAATGTTGTTGTTGTTGAATGGATGAATCTATTCAATGTGGATTCAATGAATATCAATGTACTTGGTTTTTTGGTTTGGATTTTTTCGGGTTATTCATGGAATATCCTTTTTTAGACTGCTGCTGATACGGTCATTATTTATGATAGTGATTGGAATCCTCAAATTGATTTACAAGCTCAAGATCGTTGTCATCGAATTGGACAAACAAGAAACGTCAGAATATTCAGACTACTCACATTGGACACTGTTGAGAAGAAAGTATTGCAAACAGCGACTAAAAAACTCAAACTAGAGAGATTGATTATCCATAAAGGTAACTTTAAAGGAAATCAACACCAACCAAACAAGATGACCATTACTGCTCAAAATTTATTGGAGATTTTGTCCGATGATAAGGACAGCACTGCTGCGAAGTCGAATACTGGCAATGCTCAACATGATGAAATTGATGATGAGACTTTGGATCGTTTGATCAATGAAAGAGATGAACATTCGACTTTACCTGCCTCTGGAGTGGGCTATGAAGAGGCTCACTTATTTGAAGAACAGTACCACTAGAAATACCCAAAACCATCATTGGCAATAAAACTCGAAAGTCATTTCAGATTAGGAATTCCAGCCAAGAAGTTCTTCGTTCCCTTTCCTCTCTTGAATAATTGAATTCAATTATTCCAGAGTCTCGCACTCGATCGGTCTTTCTCGACATTTCAAACGCCCATTTTTGTCTATAGATTTTTATACTTCTTGCCCAACACATTTCAAATAAAAAACAACAATAGCACCATGTCATCATCTTTGGTACCTCCTCTTAGAGAACAGAATGGTCATCATGATTGGCCAATAATGGAACAACAACACCAGCAACAAGCACCATACTCACGAACCACTCGATCCGATAGCTCAGCTTCGAGCATCAGCTTGTCCTCCGAAACAACATCTTCCATCAAACCCTTTTCTTCCTCCTCTTACTCGGACTTGGTCGTTATGGAGAGTATTGCCGATTCAAACTCGTCTTCTTCAACAACAACAACAAGGAGAGAAGATTTAACATGGATCAATCACCACCAGCACCACCACTCCAATGATGTTGCCACCACATCCCTCACCAACACCACCATTCCTCCTGAAAAAGTTCATTCAGACACCACTTGTTCTCAGAACCAAAGTGTCGTCGCCTTCCATATGCAACAACAGCAACATGTGGCTCCTTCCAACAACAACAACAACAAGGCTGCTCTTTCTCACCACGAATTCCATTCAAATCATCATCATCATCACCATCACTCAAAGAAAATGGAAGAAGGAGAAGCACTACTCAGTTCTCTCTCCAAAATTAGCACTTGCAAACAAAAACCTCATCTCGACAATCAATTTGCACACACACAAGTATGTGTTTGTCCAGAACCATTGTGGTCACAAATTCGTGCTGATGTTGGAGTGATTATTGATATTGATCCTGCATTTGATAATTATTTGGAACTGTTGTTATATCCTGGATTATGGGCCATCATGGTTTATAGAATTGCACATTGCTTGTATTACTTGTTATATTCACCTGATTTGGAAAGAGGTACTTGGAGATTCTTCTGTTGTAAAGTGTTACAATTTTTCAGTAAGCTCTTGTCCATGATTGCGAGGACGTTGACTGGAATTGAAATTCATCCAGGAGCACAGATTGGAAAGGGATTTTTCATTGATCATGGATCAGGTATGTTCATGAGAAAGTTCATGATTGACATGCTCATTTATTATATTTCAATAATTTCAATCATTATGCAAATGACAATTATCTTATGCAAATTGAATATTTATGAAAATATAAACAAATCCTATTTGAAAATAATTGCATTTGAAAATATTAATCCTATAATCCTATTTGAACATTTAATGATTGAATTTCACATGATTCAATTAGGTGTGGTCATTGGAGAAACAGCAATTGTAGGCAATTATTGTACATTATATCAAGGTGTGACACTTGGAGGTACATCAACAACAAAAGGAAAACGACATCCAACACTCGGTGATCATGTTCTTGTTGGTTCTGGTGCAAAAGTTTTGGGAAATATTGTCATTGGTTCCAATGTAAAAATAGGTGCTGGATCTGTCGTTGTGAAAGATGCACCCAGTGATTGTACATTGGTGGGAGTTCCTGCTCGATGTATTAAGAATAAGAAGAGTAGTAGTAGTAGTAGTAGTAGTAGTATCAATAATAGTGTTGTTGATTCAAACAACAACAACAACAACAACAACAATGGTATGATGATCAACAATAACAACAACAACAACAACAACAATATGAACAACAACTCCATATCATCATCTCATGGAGAAAATGAGAGTGGTGATGGTGGTGGTGCTGGAACATTTAACAACATGTTCATATCCTCCTCACAACCTACAAGTCATACTCAGGAAGAACAACAACCACCACACACACCTTTGAATGGTGTTGCTACCACCACCACCACTTCTCATCCATCCAAAAACCTTCATTTAAGCATTGATACCAAACAACAACAACATGCTCCATCATTGACACTCAAAGAAGAAGAACACAAAAATTTCAATTTTGGAGTCCTATCACCAACCACCAATTCGGTCATTAATTTAATGTTAAATGCTTTTACCAAGCAACAAGAAAAAAAGAATATAGATGCATCATCGACTGTCTATCAATATGACGACATTGATGCCCAGGCTATTCGTGCCTTATATTTGAGAGAAAAGAGATTGGAACAAGAAATTGAATATTTGAAAAAGAAACTAAAATTAGCTGGTTTTTCTATTGATGACAGTAGTAGCGATGAAGGTGAAACAAATTTGAAAAATTCAGCAAAGAGAATGATGAGGAATAGAAAAAAACCAAGTCCTTCTACCACCACAACAACCATATCTGGCTCAGATAGTGATACTGCATCAACGGTGGAATTAGTGATACCACCAAACTCTCCACCTCGTCGTGAAAAATTGCCACCAGTTGACAGTAATAGAGATCGAGTACTACGAGGTGGTCCTCATGGTGTAATTTATGACATTGGAGGACATGTTGTGCATCAAATTGCAGACAATGAAGAAGAATGTTTTAAGGTATTATTTGAAAGTACTGATTCAGTCGAACTCGTGGACGGTGGAGGTATTTGAAAAGAATCATTTTGATGGCCATTGACAGTTTGTGGAATTTGTGTTGTATGGTTTTATTGGATATGAAATCACTAATGGACAATCACATCATTCATTGAAATTAATTCTTTGTTTCAACGAAATATTGCTTCTACTTTTATACTAAATGAAAATTTTATTAAAGAATCAGTCTAGTTGACATAAGGGATTATTCAGTTTTTTGCAAAAGGTTGGAAAAGAACAGAAGTGTTTTGTAACGAAAACAATAATAGGCATTGTTTTTATTTGACATATTTTAATTCTAATCTTTTTTTCGACCAATTTATTGATATATATTATTCCCGAATTGATATCCATTCCTGAATGTGGTTTTTCTCAATGAACTCATTGAGTTTTCCATCACATGCTACTATCCATCAATTTCTCGGGACAACTGTACAACAAATAAAGCTTGTTGGTTGACACACCATTTCAAAAAAGGCAGCAACTAACCCATATGTATTGACAAGTAATTGTTGAGTTACATAACAATAACTTGTTAATTTTTATTTTATTTTTACCGAAGAGTGCAATAAACCAAGCCATTAATTGTTTTACAATTCATCTCAAAAGTGAGAGGAGGAAGAAAACAACCTTATGATATACTATTATTGAGTTACATAACGACCATACTCGAATCGGACTTCAAAATATTCATTTATCAAGTTAGGTGATCGCAACTTCAAACTGATCAACCTCCTACAATATGGACGTTTATTAAACTTCGTTCTAAATCAAATTTTATTGTATTTACAAATAACAACGTAATAATATCTTCTCAAATGTATGTTGTTTTATTCCATAATTATTTTCAACAGGAATTGATTATTTAACGCAGTTTATCACGTTCTAATAATACTATTGTTAATAGAAGATGGAAATAGTATTGTTGTGTTATAATATGTTTCTATTTATTTTAATTCGCATGATATGGTAAATAGAGACTATATACTCTTGATGTTGTAATATAGATTGGAATGATTTGATATTTGATTATCAAACAAAATGATGTTTAGAATTGTGAAATCAAATAGTTTTATGTAAGAAAGTTTAAGTTATTGAATAATAGTCTTAAAATCTATGCCTTTTCAAACACGACAATATCAATATGTGTATGAGATATCGATGTAGAAATGGATGATATGTTTTCCATTCAATTACTGTTATTGGAAATCAACAACCACACCAATCTTTCAATTCTTCACTGAAGAACATTCATCTTGCTCTGTTGGCCCAAAAAATTGAACCCAAAAATTTATTATTCACCTTCGGAAACCGGATCATGGTTGCGATCCTCTCTTGTCACAGCATTACATTGGTAGTGGTTTCACATTAGCTTCGTAAGACTCCCACCTGCCCTTTGTAGGCTTATGATAGATACCCTCCAACCGGTGTCGTAGGTTCGTTAATGAGATCTATGATGTAGGGTGGAGTTATTGCCCTGCCGTATTTCAGTGAATAGCACGGACCACCCGTGTTGGCCCAAAAAAATGTCAAAACCCAACGAAACCATCTCATGTAATCACTCAGAACAACACCAACGACAGCATTCGGTTCTCTTTGTTTGTTTGGGAAATATTTGTAGATCTCCGATGGCAGAAATTATCATGAAATGTCTCGTAAAAGAGAAGAAGATTCATCATTTGTGGTATATTGACAGTGCTGGAACAGCATCCTATCATTCTGGAGAGGCACCTGATGAAAGAACATTACAAACATGTAAAAAATATTATCCATGGTTTGATTCATCTGAATTGAAAGCTAGACAAATACAAACAAGTGATTTTGAACGATTTGATTATATTCTAGTCATGGATGAAAGTAATTTGAGAAATGTTGAAAAGTTGAAAAGTAAATTAAATCATCACAACTCTACAATTGTGAAATTATTGGGATATTACGATCCAATCAAAAAGAATTCAATTGTTGAAGATCCTTATTATGGTGGAATGGATGGATTTGAAATTAATTTTCAACAAATTACACGATCTTTGGAGAATTTTATTGACATGGTTCATCAAAACAACAATAATTAATAAATGTATGTGTGGTCAAGAAGTATCACCACCATCACTCACCCCCAATTGGATAACCCCAAAATATAGTAATACTTGTCAAGAGTTATCAATACCATTCACCCATTCACCCCAATTTGTTATCCCCAATGAATCCTATTATAAACAATACCATCACCCCAATGAATCCTATTATAAACAATACCACATTGATTACAATTGATAATATTCCATAATTGGTCTTGCAATCACATTTAACAAAAATCTCAATACATTCCATGGTAATCTTCTCATCATACTCACATGTCTATTGTAAAATGCACTATATTCCACACATGGTGTACATCCTCGATTCATTTTAAATTTAGAAGCACCACTGGATTGATTAAAGAATGCATTTTCTTGTTGAGCTAGTTTCAATAAGAGTGCAGAAAGTAATCGATAGAGTGGAATGGATTTTTGATTGAGTGTTGTTCGATATCCTAAAATTGGACATGTCATGACACGAATCCATTGAGGTGTGGTGGTATGAAGTGTGGTGGTGGTTGCTGTGGTTGCTGTGGTGGTATTGGTAGTAGTAGTAGTCACAAGAGTAGTCACACCATGTGATGATGATGATGAATTTGAAATCACACATTGTTCATTCATAGAATTTCCACACGTTTCAACAGGAAATGATTTAATGAAATATCCAATCACTCCATCTATTAATTGAGTTTCTCTATTATATAAACACTTGTATTGAATGATATTATTTTTAAGAGTTTCATAAATAAATGTTGGTGTGAATTTGATATTACAATCAGAATATTTTCCAATATATAACATGTTATAAATTTCAACCATTTGATGAATATAGGGATGATAGGAGTGTTGTTCATTCAGATCATTATGAGTATGTTCATGTTGAGTATGATTGGAGGAAATGCAAGAGTGTTGTTCATTCAGATCATTATGTTCATGTTGAGTATGATTTTGTTGTTGAGTGTGTTCATGTTGTTCTTGTTGTTGAATATCATCTTCCATCATCACTTTTAATAAATCTTGATTCGAATAAATATCATAGACATGTTTTGTAAATTTGGAAAGTAATTTCTGATCATCTTTGACATCTCTTTTTTTAAGAGCATTGTTTAATTGAGAGGATGATGCATCTCTATTGCTAGAATTGTTATGAATAGTATTAAAATTATTAGAATTATTAGAATTATTATTAGAATTATTATTAGAATTATTAAAATTATTAATCATGCTATAATTACTACAATTCAATGTATAAATCATTCTTGATGGTATGGATTGATAACCAATGTCATGAAGAGTTTGTAATATTTTTGAATAGATTTGTGTATTTAAAGATCTCATCATTAATACATGTTGTGGATATTGTTCAATTAAATAATCTGTTAATTCTTTATACATGTCAAATCTCGAATATAAATCACCATGATATAAATTTGTTGATAACATTAAATTTCCAATAATAATCACTTGATCTAATTTGGTATATTCCAATAATTTACTAAATAAATCAATTAATCGTTCTACTCCATAAATGATATACTTGTTAATCTCATGATCATTGATATATAATTCTGCTTTGCCATATGAAATGTAATGATGATAAGGAGAGAGTGTGAATAAATTATAAGATTCATGTTGAATGTGTCCAGAATTAATAGTAATTGGAATGATTCCAATCAAAACATGTTGTTGTTGGTGATCATTAGGATTGGAATGAGGAAGGGTATTGACAGTATTGATAGTATTGATAGTGGAATGAGTGTTGTTCAATAGAGGAATAACTGTGTTACCATCACCACCACCACCACCATCACCACCACCACCACCATCACCACCACCACCACCATCACCACCACCACCACCATCACCACCACCACCACCATCACCACCACCACCACCATCACCACCACCACCACCATCACCACCACCCGTAAGTTTGTAAACTTTAATAAATTTTAAAAGAGTGGATGCCACATGAATATTTTCAATGATACATGTTTGAAGATGGGAATGATATTTGGAATAAATGTGAATGAAATCATCATTTTGTTCGAGATGAGAGTGATGATCATCATCATTCCGAATGTTTGAAAGTCGATTGTCTTCTGCAATTTCAAAACGATACTTGTTCATCTAATTTTTTTTTGTAGTGTGAATTCACGTGTGAATCGATTAAAAAAATGAGCGTAACACCCTCATCACCATCCTCCTCCTCCTCCTCGTTAGACTCTTCATTAGACTCTTCATTGACCACCCGAGACACCACCACCACCACCACCACACACCCCTCTCTGAAATCATCATCAAAAAGTTCATCATGTCCACAACAGGAACATCCTACTCAATGCCATTTCTATGTCAAACAAAAACATCGATTTTGTAAGAGAGAACGAGCACCTAATAGCCTCTATTGTCATACTCATACCATTCATGATGATGGTCAAGATACTGCAACTACAAAGAAAAACACTCACATCTCATCATCCTCATCATCATCATTGACTACTACCAATAGTACTACTACTATCCAACAAGAACAACATTCATCTCAACCAATGAAACGAGTGCCATGTCCCATCGATCCTTCTCATAGCGTTTATGAATATCGATTGAAGAAACATTTAAAAATTTGTAACAAATCTCTCTCACAGAATCGAATGATGCAACAACCCTATTATTGTCCATCTATTCATTATAATTATTTAAAGAATTATCATCATTATGATCACACGAATCACAGTAACCTCAATAACAACACCACCACCAACAACACTAATCAGAACCATGATTACACCAACAACAACAACAACATTAATAACAACACCACCAACAACAACAATAACACTACAACATCCATTTCATTCACAAACATTGGTGACCTCTTTAAACATCATTCTGAATATTTTAAAAATTTAATTTCAAAAATTAATTATTTATATGACCACCAATTACAAATCAACACTCTCATTGAAGAACACATGAATGAGGATTATAATTTCATTCAATCATCTACAAATGATGATGAAGAGTTTAGAGAAAAACATCACAAACAGCATTGTTCAATTATTTATAATATTCAACACTCTCAATGTCTTTCACATGATTTTGATTATATTGAATTTGGATGTGGAAAAGGATCATTGAGTTATTGTGTGAGAAGAGCATTGATTGATATGGCAATATTAGAGAGAAGGAAAGAATTACACAAACGTGAAGATCAAATGAATTCTATAGAGCATTCTATGAAACCTATGAATACAATTGAGAATTCTGTGGAGAATTCAATAGAGAATTCAATGGAAAATTCTATAATGAATTCAATAGAGAAGAATTCTTCTGCAACATATAGGATGCCAGAACATTCTAAACAAAATGCAATCACTCCCAAAGTCATTTCCAATCAAACCTTTATTTTAATTGATCGAGAAAATCAAAGAAGAAAAGTCGATAATTTTATTAAATATGGAACTCGATTGCACAACAATAAGAATCAGCCACAAGATGGAATCACAGCAGAGATTGTCAATGTTGAAAGAATTCTTGCAGATATTGGAGACTTGGATTTATCTCAAGTGAAATGTATTGATAGTCATGCTGGTGAAAATGTTATCAAAGGGATGAACATGATCACCACCACCACCACCACTAGTAGTACCACTCGTACCAACAACAACAATAACAACACGACTAGCACAACTACTACTACTACTAGTAGGGATACGACTAGCACTACCAACAATAACAACACTACGAGTAGTGAAACCAGGGATATCACCACAATTTTCTCAGAAAGCGACAACATGATGTTGACACACACATGTTGTTCTCAATCTATTTATAGACACACCATTTCCATATCCAAACACTTGTGTGGAATTGCAACCGATTTAACACTCTGTTGTTTATACTCTCTCAATACAACCATTCCTCACAAAAATAAGGGAATATTCATTGCATTGTGTTGTCATCACAAATGTACCTTTGATGGATATATTAACAAACAATTTCTACATGATTGTGGAATTAATGAAACTGATTTTAAAGCAATGACTTTATTGACATCATTTGCAACTTGTCAATTCTCCAAGTTATCCAAGTGAAGAATTATCCAAGTGAAGAATATGGATGGTCCGATGAAGAAAAAGAAATTATTGGATTGAAATGTAAGAGAATTTTAGATGTTGGAAGATTGGAATTTTTAAAATCAACAAAACAATATGAACATGTGAAATTAATTTATTATTGTAAGAAAAATGTCACTTTGGAGAATTGTATGTTGGTGGCGTTCTCAAGAAAGACCATTTGAATTTTTCATTCATTTGTTAGTCCATCTGAAAGTCCATTTGAATTTTTCATGTTGGTTGTTGAAGAGGTTGTGTTGAAGAGGTTGTGGTCACATCATGAAAACTAACTTGATTCTTGTGGATTTAAAGTTTTTAGAGAGTGTGTGTTTGGCCAAAAATGTCGAGTTGTTGCTATGCTATGGTGGCATAATCACATGTAAACATAGTGAATTTTGTAGATGCATGGTATCATGGCAGAACACAGCCTCCACCACCGTACCCACCACCACCATACGGCAACCTTACGCAGTCAAAAAAACTCGTTACGTGTTTTGAATCCGAATAAATCGTTCATCTGTCAACAATCAAAAAATTCCTTTACCATCGTCGCTGCACACCACCAACTCAAACCACCACCTACTCACCGGTTGATCAATGATATCCATCCCAACACACAACAACATTTCAACAATTATTGAACTCTAATCATCATCATAATAATAATAACAGTAATCATCATCATCATTACATCACTCCAACATGATCATGAATCAAATGTCCACTCTCGAAAGGAGAGCCCTTGATTTAATGTTGAGAATTGAAGAGGCACGTCGATGGATTCAATACATGATATCATCATCATCATCATCAGCATCACCACCACCACCACCACCACCACTGACAACATCTTCACAACAACAGTTACCAGCAGTTGTTACTCTGTCCAACAACAACAGCAACAACACCACCACCACTCCATCATCTTTCAATCATGACAACAATAACACCACCACCAATAATAATAATAACTCCACCACCACCACTCTGAACACCACCACAACAACACCCTTCTTCTTCTTCTTCCCTCCCAATGTACTTTGTTTTGCCAATTATTTACGAGATGGTGTCATTCTCGCTCAATTAGGTAAAATTCTCTCTCCTTCTTCAGTGACTAAAATTCATCAACACAAAAAGGGAAGTCTCTTACAAATATTAGCTATTGAAAATATCAATCAATTTTTCAAAGCATGTCAAGAGATTGGATTTCCCAATGGATACATGTTTCAAATCAATGACTTGTGGGAATATAAAAATATATTCAAAGTTGTTCAGACCATTCATTCACTTTCCTTGTATTTGAGTAGTCAACGACATCGATTTGGATTCGAAGGGATTACTTCCATTCATTATCGATTTAAATCGAACGAGGATCAGAGTCAGAAGGAGGATGAAGAGGAGCATGAGGAGGAGCGAAGAGAGCATGTTGTGGTTCCGAGCAATAGTATGGTCACTCTGACCACCACCAATACTACTACCAATACTACTACCAATACTACTACCAATACTACTACCAATACCACCACTCCCACTTCTTTGACCACCACCAATACTAGTACCACTCCAACATTGGAGGTGTTCAATCATGTGCATTCCATTCTTCACTACACTGATGAAGATGTTAAAATTAATATGGAACATTTAGAGAAATTGAATGATGCGAGTAGAAACTATTATTCATCATCCTTACTGAAGAGTATGATTCATAAATTGAACAATAGTAGTAGTACTACTACTACTATCACTCATTCAAATACTAGTATTGGTAGTAGTATTGGTAGTAGTAATTGTACATTGGATCATTCCAACAACAACAACAACAACAAATGGAAAAACACAACTACTACCACCACCACAAAAACAAACCAAGTGTCAGCAACAACAACAACAACATTAAAATCCTCCTCCTCCTCCTCTTCCTCACAACAACAACAACAACCACCCTCTGCAACCACCAACACCAACACCACTTCTACACTTTCATCAACCACTACCAACACCAACACCACCACTCACCTTAATGCTACTTCCTCTTCTTCTTCAACTACTACGATCTCTCTTACCAATAACAATAACAATAACAACAACAACACAAATACCACTACACCATCTTCATTGAGTCAACAACTCTCTCCAATGGATGGTCACAGTGGTGGTGTAGTGATACCAATTGGTATCGATGATGATGATGAAACAAGTACTTGTTCAAGTCAATCCAATACATCTTCACTCTCTGCCATCATTTCACCCTATACAGTGGATATTGATATGTGTTGTATTGATGAAAATTATGGATGTGGAAAATATTTATTCATGTTGTCGTCATCGTCATTGTCATCTTCATACGATCAGAATCAATCATCGACGATGACTCCATTTCATGCAGGTCAAGAATATGCATTTCGATTGATTGCCAAAGATTCTGAAGGAGAGAGAATTGAAATTGGTGGAGAGACATTTGTTGTGAAATTATTTTATAATCATCATCATCATGATTGTGCTCAGAATATTAATAGTAATAGTAATAATAGTAGTAATAGTAGTAGTAATGGCAATGGAAATGTAGTATCCCCTCTTCTGGTGGAATCCTCCTCTTCCAATAATACTCGCACTTCTTCTTTGGATCCCATTGAACAAATGTTCTCAGAAATCATTCAACTCTTAGAAGATCCAACACTCGTAGTAGTAGGGAACAATCCAATTCCATCCAATGGATCTCATGAACCATCAACACCACCACCACCACTACCATCAATGACGTCCAATACTACTATGAATACTACTACTATGAATACTACTACTATGAATACTACTACTATGAATACTACTACTATGAATACTACTACTATGAATACTACTTCATCATTTAAGGATTCTTCTCTCTTCATTCAAATTCCAACACTCACAGCTGTCAACAGGATGAGAAGTGCCAGTCGAATTGGACCAAATATGAGCAGTCCAACCACTTCCACCTTTTCACCACGCAAGTCATTCCTATTATCATCATCATTATCAAACACTACTACTCCTCAAATGTCCATTCTTCTCAATTCCAATACTATGAATACCACCACCACCAACACCACCACTACTCCTACTTTTGACAACAATACCAACACCACCACACCAATCACAACAACAACACGCAAGTTAGTGATCGAAGGAAAAGTGGAAGATTTACATAACGGTCTTTATCAAGTCACATTCACACCTACCAAATCTGGAATTTATTCACTTGAAATTTATCTAGTCACGGATGCATCTGAAAATTCTTCGACGAGCTCAAATTCACCACAATTATTATCCATCACCACCAATCCATCCACAACAACAACTACAAGTATCACTCCCACCACCACCACCAACACGATTCATTCTTCTTCATTGACACTACAACTTGTTAAATGTTGTCCTCTCTCTATTCATGTTCAATCAAGTCCATATTCAGATCCATCCAATTGTTTAGTCTGTGGTAGAGGTATTGAGAGTAGTGTTGCAGGTGTGGAATCTGTATTTTATTTGTATTCAAGAGATAAATTTGGAAATCGAGGATTAGGAAATGAAAAATTTAAGGCTCAATTGATCATGTTAAGTAGTAGTACCAATACCAATACCAGTGAAGAGGGAAACAGAAATAACAATTCAAATAACATAATTCCATGTCAATGCAAAGATTATCAAAATGGTATCTATGAATTTAAATATTCATGTCCAATGAGTGGAATCTATCGATTGACCATTTCACTGATTCAACAAGAAGAACACATTGTGAAAATTCGAACCATTCGAGTCCTTTCATCCACAACCTCCACAACCTCCACAACAACAACCTCCACAACAACACTTCCAACATTCTTTGAAAATTCACAATCACCAACAACCATTCATCCATCATCTCGAGGTTGTGGTATTATTCCTAATATTCCCAATACTACTATTATTTCTAATACTACTATCACTCCTACTGGTACTCCTACTGATACTCCTACTACTTCCACCAATCCTACTTCCACTCGTATGAATTATTTCATTGAAAGTTTCATGAGTGATCATGTAATGGTCATGGTCAAAGATGTTGGACAGAGTGATGCTAGCAAGTGTGAAATTATTACTCCTATTCAATCATTGTATAGAGCTAGCTCTGAATTGCAATCTTTTATCATTCAAGCAAGAGATCGACATGGTAATAGGAGATCATCAGGTGGAGAATTATTCAAAGTCTATTGGATTGATCAATTAAAAGAATCATCCTCTCAACCACAGCAATCTCAACCACATCATCATCAACAACAAGAATTATTAGAATTGATCGATCACAACGATGGAACTTATCAAGTCACATTTAGTATTTCACATGCCTCTAGATATGAATTAATTGTATATTTAAATGAGAATTTGGTGTGTCAAAGGAGTGTCATTGTGGTGGATAGTGGTCATTTAGATCCGACTCAATGTAAATTAATTCAAGTCAAATCTAATCATCATGATGATGATGGTTGTGATATTCTCAATAAGAATCTTTTGATTCATAACATAGATAGTATGAATAATAATATTCATCCTAGTACCACTACTACGACGACTACTACTACTACGATGAACAACATGATGTGGACGAGTGTGGCTGGTCAATGTATGGATTTTATCATTGAATTATGTGATGAATTTGGAAATAAGCTCATTCAAAATGATCCTATCGATTACAGTGGATGTTTTAGTGTGGTATTGACATCCAAAACCACTCTAGAACAATATGATCTTGATCATGGTGCACCATGTATTAGCAATAGTAGTACTAGTAGTAGTAGCAGTAGCAATAATTATAATAATAACAACAGTACAAGTAGTACTACTATGACTAGTACTAGTACTACTACTATAAGTACTACTTCTATGGACACTATCCATCATCATTCTAGAAATCCGTGTCCATGGACAATGAAATGCATTCAAATCGATACTTGTCATGTTCAAATTTCAATCATTGGTACATTGGCTGATATCTATACCATGGAAGTCATTTATTCAGAAGAAGAAGAAATTCACACTGAAGAGGATCGATCTATAACCACCACCACAACAACAAGCACTCTGACCACCACCACCACCACCACCACCACTCCTAATCATTCAACTCATCGATTTACCATTCATGGATTTCCATGTGATTGGACTGTTTTACCTTCTAGTCAACACATTCATGATATTCAATTATCAGGTGAATGTTTGAAATGTTGCATTCAACATGAAAAATCTACATTCCACATGATCTTGAAAGATATTTATGGAAATATCACAGGTGTACCTCAATCACAGACTTGTCATGTTGAATTGGTACAGGAGATGAGAAGAATTCAAGAAAATAATTCTTCATCCAATGATTCATGCATGCATGTTGTTGTTCCATGTTCAGTAGTAGAGTGTGTGGTGGTTCCAAATGGAATGGATGATGATGGATGGATGATGATGGATGGTATGGTCCATCAAAAACCATCACCATCACCACCACCATCACTACTGCCATCATCACTTGTCTCTCATCACCAAGGAGGTAGATATTATTTGGCTCATTTCACACCCACTCATTCTGGAACATTTCATATTAAGGTCAAGATTGGAGATTCCATGTTGTGGCCACATGTTTCATCCATTTTCATTCAACCACGTATTCTTCCAATCATTAGTGATGGTAGTAATAACAATAGTTATAGCAATAGCAATAGTAGTAGTAGTAGTAGTTCGACTCTGGTTGACTCTCAACAGGTCTTGATTAAGAGTAGCAACAATTACAACAACACGATCATCAATTCAACAACGAGTACCACTGGTTTGGACATGACAACAAGTGTTATGACTCCCTCTTCAACTCTTTCAAAGGATTCATCAGTCATCACATCATCCACTAGCACCACATTATCATCATCTTCATCATCATTGACAACAACAACAACAACAACTCAAACCAACCATTCAATCATGTCTTCACTTTCTTCATTTTCAGATCGTGATTTATTAGTGAGTATAGGTTCAGCACTCTCTCTTGAAAGTGAAGATGAAACATTAAATGAAGAAATGAATTTATTACGAAATCAATTAGTGAAACAAATTAAGAATAATACACGAATTGAAAAACAAGTCAGAGATATTGAAAGAAGAATTCAACTCTTAATGAATAATCAAGCAAAATTGGAACAAGTTTTACAAACGAAGGGTGGATTGGTGAGATTTATCATTTCACGAAAGAGATCGAGTGAAAGTGCACTTGGAGGTCATTCACTACCAACACTACAAGTACTAACACCACTACAAGTACCAACACCAACACCATCACGTGAGACCCATGAGATGACCATGTATACAACAGGTACTACTACTACTACTTTATTGGAGGATTCGAAGAATAATACAAACTCTTCAACGACGAGTACTACTCTTGCTTCTACCACCAACACTACTTCTACTACAACGAGTACTACTCCTCCTCCTCCTCCGAATAGTAATAGTAATACTCATCTCCTCTCTCAAGAAGGTGCCTGTACACTCTTCTATTCTCATTTATTTTACATTTTACAAACAGAACCCATTTATTTGAGTCGTCTCTTGTACATGGTACCTTCGGACAAATTGGATACCTTTTTAGAGTCAGTCATTTTATCCTTATATGGTTATGCTTTTAGTGCCCGTGAAGAATATTTATTGTTGCGATTATTCAATCACACCTTACAGATGGAATTGGATCATTCCTCAAAAGTGAGTTCCTTTCTCTCCTCGAATCCTGTTCTTCCTAAAATGATTCTCACTTATGGACGTCGAATTGAAGGTAAACGTTTTTTACAGAAATATCTCTTTGAACCATTCATTGCACCTCTTTTGGAAGAAAAAGATTTAACACTCGAATTGAATGCTGTTAAAATATTGAAAGAACACATTTCAAAACAAGAAGTTGAGACTGGTGTGAAATGTGGAATTAATTTACGTGAAATTACCTATGAAAAAGCCATTCAACATGATTTTATTCGACGCATTGTTGAGAATCGTGTTCGTAAATTGAGTGACATTTGTTCGAATATTTTGAGAGGATTGTGTGAACATGTTCAACAGGTACCTTATGGACTTCGATGGATTTCTAAACAATTTAATACTCTTTTAGAAGAACAAGTTCCACATTCAACACCCATTCAACGTGCCAGTGTGATTGGTTATTTAATTTATTATCGATTTTGTAATCCATCGATTGTGGCATGTGATGCATTTTTATTGACACGAAAAAAAATTTCTCTTTCCATGCGTAATAATTTGGTGAATATTTCCAAAGTATTAACAAATTTAACGAATAATGTCTTGTTTGATAGCAAAGTAGAACAACCCATGGTCGTTATGAATCAATGGATCAAAGATCATCAACAATATTATATGGATCATTTCATTACTCCATTGATTGATGTGGAAGATCCTGAAGAGGCACTTGGAGTTCATCAATATTTGGAATTGACTCAACGTCAAACTCCTTCCATTACCATTAGTGTGAATGATTTGATACAAACTCATCAATTGTTGTGGACTTTTAGGGATCAAATTTGTTCAAGTCCATGTGGTGGTGGTCAGAGTGGTAGTGCTAGTGGTGGTAGTGGTCATCTTTCAGGTGGTAGTGGCATTTCAAGTGAGAGTATTGGTAGCAGTGGTAATAGTAGTAGTGATAATGGTAATAGTAGTAGTAGTGGTAGTGGCAATGTGGATCCATTGAGAGTTCAATTGAATCTATTGGGAGATCCAACACCCATTCAACATTCCATTGTGATGAATCTCTTGTGGACTCATCAACGCAACAATAGTTTGTCTTCAAGTCAACAACATCCCTCATCAAGTTCCATCATCACCTCCTCCATCACCTCCTCATGGTTACCCTCCTTTCACACTCAACAAACTCACAAAGAGAATCCCACTACGACTCATCATCACAAAGAGAATCTCTTCTCTTCTTCTCTACCACCTTCTTCACCTGTGCATTTGTCTGTGTCCACACCACCACCACCACCACCACCACTAATACCACCACCACTGCAGCAGCAGCTATCATCCTCCACAGTGTTCAACAATAACCACCATCACTCTCATCACTACCACAACAACAATTTCAACAATAACCACCATCACTCTCATCACTCTCAACAATTACATTCATCCTCTTCTTCAGGAGGACTAATGTCAGAAGAAATTCAATTGAAACTCATTGTACCATCCTCTCAATTGGATCAATATGAACAAGATTCTACCATTTTAGAATCACCTCAGTATATTTATGAGAGATCCAAAAATAATTTGAAATCTATTATAAGAAATGTGACTAGTGACCATTTGATTGTCGATTCCATGAGTGAAACATTACACAATTGTGAAGAATATTTTAAGAAGAGAATGTCTGCGAGTATGAGTAGTGACATGACCACCACTCTCAGTGAAGAAAAGGCAAGAAAATTGTTCAACAAAGTACAAGATTTGAAACGAGATTTGATGAAATTAGAAGAATTGAAAATACTTGTTCCCAAAGAAACGACTACCAAATATAGAAAGTTACTCATGGACATTATTAAGGAAATCCAAAACAAAAAATACATGAGAGAAAAACAAAGAAGAGAAATTCAACGATTACAAGATTCTCTCACTCAACTCACAGAACACTATCAATTCTTGATTGAGAAAACAAAATCACTTCGAGAATTTATTGATGATTGCAGAAAGAGACAATACGAAACAGATCTCAAAAATAAGAAGAAAAAGAATACGATTTACAAATTCACATACAAACAATTGCATGATAAGAATAAGGTGATTCATGAGATGCATCATTTACACAAAACGAAAATGACTTTTTATATTGCCATGAAAGAACCAGGTGTATTTCGTGTGGAATCGAAATTAGATCAAACCACAGTGGGACATTTTACACTCATCATTGATGCACTTTTAGATGCACAGGAAAAGGGTCAACATTTATTGAGTGTTGATGACTTGATGAAAGAGTATGTCAATCATTCACAACAACAGAATCATGCATCTTCAGCATCACCACTACTACCTCAGTCATTGGCATCATCCACAACATCCTCTTCAACATCGACTTCTTCATCCTCATTGATCACCACAGCATCAGCAACAACCAGCACCACCACCAGCACTACCACTCATGAACACGAAGCAGAATCTTCTCATGGTGGCAGCCATTCTGCATCATCACCACGACATTTGAAAATTATTCTTAATGTGGATAATACTCTGAATGTGTTGAATAAGCTCTTTGCAACAACAAGTAATCATTGAACCTTAATAGAAAATGTTAGAGGAAGAAATGTGAGAATGTGAAAGAGCATTTCAAATGGCAAGTCACCTAATGTGTTGTTGTTCAGAACCTCACAACGAACTCAAATACTGAAAGAAGTAAGGGAAAATCAAAATAAATAGTGTTGCCTTCAAGAGATGAGAAACAACTTCAGTCCTTTTCCATAAATTCCATATTTATTATTCATTGAATGGAACCTTGATATCTAAAATTATCATGGTCATGAATGGAATTAGATGTATGAAGGAAATCGTCATCATCTTCATGATGCTCAATAATATCACCATAATCATCTCCCAATCGACTTGTACTGGCTTGATTTCTAAAACGTCTCTTGTTTTTCTTTACATTGGAAAGAAGAGTTTTCATTCTCTCCTCTTCATCTTCGTCAAAAACTCGATCAATGTTAATAGTAGTGTTACGAGAAGGCACTCGAACAAGACTACCATTATCTTCCTGATGGTTGTTTGCTTGCTCCATGATAATTTGATCATAAACAGATCGATTTAAATTTGAATGTAAAAATGTGAAATAGAGCACTGGTCCAAACAGTGCATAATACAAGACACGAGAGGACATGGTCAAACAAATTCCAACCGATTGACAGGTCAGTAATAATACATTTCCAGTACATGCAATTGCATGTAATGTCATTAAAAACATGATATATACATAGAATGATTTTCTCTGAGGAACTCGATCTCGCATGAATCGTAAACATGGCAATACTAAAATGACGCCATACATGGTCATGAACAATCCACTCACAATGGTGTCTTGTAAAGCACTTTCTAACACACTTGTGGTCATGATGGATGGAAAACCTAATTCATGATAATATGGAAATATAAACATGACTGATATGGCTGCTGCATTATCTAAAATGGAAACAAAACCAGCAATGATGGCACTTCTCACCAGTACTTTTTGATTACTCAACGAAGCCATTAATTTCTTTGGTGAAAAGTGATGCATCATGTAAACCACTACACACAGCTCTATAAATTCCATTAAAAAGTGTAATATCGAGAGACAGATTTTAGTGGCTACATCCAATTCATAGGATGGAATATATTTAGCTGAAATAAGTGTTCTTGGCCCAGTGCTGTTTGGATGAGAATTTGAAGAAAAGGAAGAATTCATGACGAAATGATGAACCGAATCTGCCATCTCAATATCAAATATATTCTCTCCAACGATGGCCACTACTATTGTCGATAAACAGGTAATCATATGTACAACACAGACACACCACACAAATGAATACAATGCTGGCAATAAAAGGCTATCCGTCTTTTTCAAAATCTTAACCGTTATTTTCAATTTGAATAATAAAAATAATATAAATAATAAATTCGGTATCAGAGTAATGAAATAGTACAAGTCTAAGCCTCCTAATATTCTTAAAAACATCACATCCACACAAAATTCAGTTGTGCCTTGATTGTCGTTTCCGCTCGGTATGTTGTTGAAGAAAGGACACGTCGGAAGAATATGATGACCCGTTGAATGTCTATGATGGTGATGAGAGTTGTTTGTTGATGATAGTACTAGTGTATCGATAAATGGATGATTGAAAAAAGACCCCGATGATGTTCGAATCGGAGGAAGGATGATTTCATCGTTTTTCAGCATTTTTTTTTTGGGAAACATAAGACCTTCCCCAAAAGTAAAACGTTTGGGTCTTTTTCTCAACATTGCGGAACGAAATGAGACAACACCATGTAACTCGAAGACCTGTTGTGCGCAATCTCAACAACAACCAGGAAGGACATGTTCCGCCTTGATATCATTTCCTTCGGGGCTCAACCTTGTGCTTGGAAAAGATTTTTTCAAAAACAAAGCTTATAAAAAAAATATTTTCAAAGATGATGATGGACTCGATGATACCTCCACCACCACCTCCATTGTCTTCAACCATTCCACCACTTCCACCTCCTTTCTCTTCCTCATCAACAACTGGATCTTTCTCTCATACTTCACCACCTCCTCCTTCCTCACAGCAACCCCCACAACAAACAACAAATAATTATGAAACACAATCGGTAATTCTCTCCACCTCCGAACGTGCCATTGATTATTCAAATATTAATAATTTAAAAAGATGTGATCAGAAATGGACCATTGATTGTGATGAAGGTCTTTTAGACTATTTGAAATCCTATTCCAATAGATTATTTACTCAAATGAATCATTTGAGAGATTCTGTTGATGAATTGGTCTATGACACTCAATCATGTCAAGTCAAAGTGAAGAATGCATTCAATGAATTTATCATGTTATCAAACACTCAATTCATTGAAAATCGTGTGATTGTACCATCACCACAGACAACTTTATCAACTGAACAATCCACCCCAACACCTGAACAACTACTTCCAAAAGAATTAACTCCCGAAGAGAAACAACATCGTTTTACAACAGCCATCAAGTATGGACTCAATGCTGTTCTTGAATCATGTACAATCCCAATTGATGAAGGAACAGCCTATGATGCCATGATGATGACTGATGAAAATGGAAATGCTCTTCTCGCAGAGGAAGATCAATTACCAATGGATGCAGAAGAGTTGGAACAAAACCGTCAAGCTGAAGAATTTATGAAGAATACTGTTGCTCATAATGATTATATTCAACAAATTGATCCAATGTTGATGAAAAAGAGAACACTTCCATATATTATTGGAAGCAGTAAATTCTATATGAATGATTTGGTGGGAATTATTCCAAATGAAGAAGAAGAACAATTGAAATTAATGACTCATCATGAAAATGTCAATGCTACAGTGGCTGGAACACAAATTGATACAAGTGTTTCTGTACCTCCACCACCATCCATGAATGGCAATGTTCCACCTCCACCACCCTCTTCATTTGGAGATATTCCACCTCCACCACCACCCATGATGATGAATGGTAGCATTCCACCACCACCTCCTTTGATGATGAATGGTAGTATTCCACCTCCACCACCACCTCTCACATCATCTCTTGGTATTCCACCACCACCACCAGATGCCTCTATGAAACCAAAATTGAAAAGTAGTTTTGGCAGTGAAGAAGAGACTTCATTTACATTGAGAGAAAATACAGAGCCACAATCATCCACCACTGAAAACTTCTTTGGAGTTTCTAATACTGTTGGTGAAAATAATGAAGAAGAATCTTCTATGGATATTAGAACTCAATTGGCTAATTTAATGAGGAGAGGTCAAACTCAACCACCACCAACCAACGATAGTAGTAATGGTACTACTCCATCATTGGATGGTACTAATACTGGCCATACTCAATCCTTAGATAACATATTTGGAACTGATAATAATGATGGAGGTTTATTTGGAAGTGGACTATTTGGTGGAAGTTCAACCACAACGACAAAGAAACGAAATTCAGATGAATTTGATTTGAATCAATTAGAACAAGATATTGGATTTGGATTTATGAGTAATTCAAACACTGCCACCACCACTTCGGATAGTTCATCAAAACAAAAGAAACCAACCACCTCCTCCTTTGGATTTTTCTCTGAAGAGGAAGATGATGGATTGTTTAGTGGATTTAATACCAAGAATCAATCACAAAAGAATCAATCAAATGTCACTTCTTCCAATACTTCCAGTGCTACCACTTCTAATAACACGACACCTCTCATTGGTGGTGCTGAGAGTAGAGCGACTGGTAGCGGTGGTTTATTTGACGATGATGAAGAGTTCAGTATTTTACCAACCACCACCACCAAACAACCCTCTACAAAACAATCAACTGGTCCAAAAATATCCATGGCTTCAGCCTTATTTGATGAAGAGGAAGAAGAAGGCTTATTCTCCACCAAGGCTTCTGGTAGTTCCAAGACAAATGCTACTACTACTACTACTACTACGAGCACAACTTCTACTACTGCCACCAGTAAACCATCGTTGCTCTTTGGAGATGAAGAAGAGTTTATGATTGCAAAAGATACCAAAAAGACTCCATCCTTAACAACCATGACAAGCTCAGCATCAACTAAAAAGCCAACTTCACTCTTTGACGATGAAGAAGAAGAAGCATTTAAACCCAATTCTACTCCTACTACAACAAAACCTACTGTCTCCAACAATACATTCAACACCACTAAAAAGAGTGCTCTCACTTCTTCATTGTTTGAAGATGATGAAGAAACACTCCTTCCACCAAAGAAAGTGGTGGTCAATAATGCTGAAGAACAACCAAGCCTCAAAGAGACTACCAAAGAAACAAAAGAGATTCCTAAGGATACCTCTTCTATCAGCAGTGCTAGTAGTAGTAGCACCACCAAAAATAGCAGTATAGGCATTGCAATTCCAAACAACGACAATACTTCTTCTTCACCACTCTCATCCTCCGTTTCCAAATTATCATCCTCACAATCTGACATTAAATCCAAATTAGGATCATCCATACTTAAAGGACTTCAAGCAAACATTGGAGGAGGATATATTTCTACAAAGAAGGTGATGGGAATCACTGAGAGTGGTGAAAATACTTCACATGGAGTGTCAGCACAATCTGAAAGTCCAAAGACAGAAGAATCTAATGCTACAGCCTCACTCTCAACCACTGGTACCACCTCAGCAACCACCTCAGCAGAGACAGATCTTTATGAACCTCTCTTTGTCAAGAAGGACGTTACAAAGAAAGTTGAAGTACTTGCAAGTGTTGAGAAATCATCACCTTTAACATCCTCAAAGAAGAAGACATCTTCGCTCTTTGATGACGACGATGATGAGGATTTCATGACATCATTGAGGGCCAAGTCAAGTCCATCCGTTCCTTCAACCACAAACTCGAATACCTCCTCCACTGGTTCTTCCTCATTAACAACAACAACAACACCATCACAACAAACAAACAGCACTTCTGAAACAAAACCACTCAATACTACTACTCCGGTTGTTGAGGTTCTACCTTCATCAAGCATTGGTAATAGTGATGTATTCTCATCATCAAAAACCAACTTTGCTCGTGATGGTAACAGTGGAGTGAAATTGGAACATGCATCACTTGGAAGACCAAAAAGAAAGAAGAATAGAGGTGTGTCTGTTAAAAAGACAACATCCCTGTTGGATGGGGAGGAGGATGAAGGAGATCTCCACATCTCAAGTGCTAAAACAAATTCTGAGGTGAGCAGTCATTCAAGTGTTGTTGCAACACCACCACCATCCTCATCAGGTTCAGAATCAACAACAACAACTATTGAACAACAACCAAGCAAACAGACATCTCTCTTTGGAGACATGGATGAAGACAAGCCAGAGACTACATCATCATCCACTAAAAAGACCTCGTCCTTGTTTGGAGATTTAGATCATGACATTGAACCAATTCCAAAAGTGATGAAAGAAGAGAAACAATCTCCATCCACTACTACCACTACTAAAAAGACAGCATCTGCTTCATCACTATTTGGAGACATGGATGAAGAACCTATTAAACCTCTTCTGAAGAAAACTGAAGAAAACACTCAGCCCAAGAAGCAGACAACAACGTCATTATTTGAAGATAGTCCAAAGACAAGTTCTGAAAAGAAGAAAAAGACCACTGCATCACTCTTTGGAGATTTGAACGATGACGATGATTTTAATTTCATAAAATCGAGTACTAACAATGAAAAGAAGAATCAACGAATTGCTGATCGAGAAAAGAAGATTGAATCTACCTCAAAGTTAGTCGATGATCCACTCTCCAACTTATTAGCCAAACCACCACAAGAAAAGAAGGATGTTGTTACAACTTCTTCCACGACTCTTAATACTTCCAATAGCGTTATTGCAACAACCTCTACCACCACCACTACCACCTCTACTGCCACCACCCCTCAATCAAGTAACACACCCAATGTGATGACCTCTCCAACCTCAACCCCAGAGCCATCCACAACAACACCATCAAGCAGTAGTACGATTGGACAAGAACAAAAACAACAAGGCTCAGAAAAGACCAAGTCATCCTTGTTTGGTAGTGAAGATCCACTTGATATGATTTTAGGTAATGCTACAGCACCTAAGAAGAAGAAACCAGAGATTGTCAAGAATAAGAAGAATGATATTGATTCATTTGTAGATGATATTCTTGGAGGTCCAAAGAGTACTCAACCAAAGACAACTAAAAAGACAAACATTATTGATGATTTAGTGGGTGGAAAATCAAATGGTGCAACAAGTAGTGGTTTGTTTGATGATGATATACTTTCTGCTAGTAACAACACTGCCACAAAAAAGAAAACAACAATACCCAGTTCATCCAATCTCTTTGGAACCAGTGTTGATGACTCACCAAATATTAGCAACCAGACCAAGAAATCAACAACCAAGAAGAAGGGAGATTTCCACAACGATTTGTTTGATTTTTAAATTGAAAAATACAAATTTACTCTATTGTTACAATGATTGCGATTGCACATGTCACCATTCCAGTAATAAAAATTTGAACACACTATTATTCATAAAAACCATGATTTTCAACAAGTGGGTACCCGGTATAGCGAATGAAAGCGCATCATTGAAAAACAAACATGTAGACACACAAATTCTTGAATATATCGCATTCCAATGATTCACTTACCTAAATGATGCAGGTTCCTTCTTTAAAATTTGAATAATATTGTGTGCAAATATGTCATACATGACACTAAAGTCCATGTAGCCTGCTTTGTACTTGACCCACAGCTTATCAAAATATTCAAATGCAATGCAAAATAGTCTCTCAAATAAATCCATTTGTTTTAACTTGTCCCTATTGAAATATAATTCCTTTTTCATGAGTAAAACAAAGTGGCTATCTTGTGGCGTGGTTGTAATATTTCTCATATCCATTTCCTTAATCATGAAATTAACAATTGCAAACACACAACATGCAAACGGATATTCTCTATTCATGTATTCATTCTTCACAGTGTTTGTATGATATTTACAAAGATATTCCATTGTAGAAAGTCCTAGTAATCCCAGACTTCGAAGATCAGTTGTTGGGTCTCTGTTTTGAAAACCAGCCATTGTCCATTGCTGGCAGTCATACAATTCTTCATCTTTCAATTGCTTTCCGAAAATAATTTTAAAAATACTTTTGAGAAGGTTTTTGTGGTCTGAGTTATCGGGATCGTATTTGGTGTTGAGAAAATTTTGATGATTGCGAATAGACTGAAGAATCAATTGATTCACTTCATCGGTGGCTTGATAGGTGCGCGATGTTGTTGTTGGTTTTGTAGAGGATGTTAGATTGCTCGCGATTAATGAGGAGGCAACCGTCATGGTTGTTGTTGATGCAGCAGCTTCTGTGTCGAGCATGCGCTTGTTTTTTTAAAAAAATAATTATTTAGGATGTGTCTTTGCTGATTGAAGATGAAATTCAGTGATGGACAGCGAGATCTCGTGAAACAAATGAAGGTTGACGTCGGTCGTGCTGAGGTTTCTCTTTGCAAATCAGAGATGGACTTTTTTTGGAAACCCAGTAACAACCTGATGAGCTCTCTCATCTCTTCAGAAATTTTACAATATGATTTGCCCATCTTTCCAACCACAGAAAAAATTTGTTACGTGCTGCCTTTCTTTCATCTCTCTCGAAGCCTTTTCAGCAATGATGATAGCAGCTGCCGTAAGTGGTGCAACTCCATCCGATAAAGCGAATAACCAACCCATAGAATCGCCAGAGAAAGAAACTCCATCCACATCGATGAATGGAAAACCAGCCTTCAGAGCCTCTGCCGAGCTTGAAAATATTAAGGGATATGGATCTCCTCCAAACAGCAAAAACAGTAATATAGGTGTGGACACCCCCTTAAATGTATCCCCTACCGTTCCTCCTGTAACCGACTCATCTTTGCAAATGAGTTTTAATGACCTTAGTGAAAGCGAGAAGGAAGTAATCCTTAACCTATTAACAAACGTTCCCGACTCGTTCTTGTCCTTCTCAAAAGAACAAGGAACAAATACGGTGAAGATTGTTTACAAGTCAGGTTCTGATCCAACTACGGAAAGGAATACCTCTAAGGTCTCATCATCATGTAACAATAGTAACGGCAGCGACACCTCTAGAAAAACCATGAGATCTTTAGACTGGGCACTTCGCTTGTTGGACGATATATACAATGCGAGATACCAATGCTTTCTTTCCGAGATAGCCTCTCCCGATGGTACCTTGGAAGCGTTTTCGTCATTCGTGTTTAACCATTTGTCGAAAAAACTTGGACTGGAGAGCCTTGTAAAACAAACAACCACCGAATTGCTAGAATGTGTAAAATATTATAGGGAAGAAAACAAACAATTAGAGCTGTTTGGCCTCTTTCTCACACCTTACTATTCTGCCGTGGACTTGATGTTTTTCCTGTACTGTAGATCCCAAGTAATCAATGAATGTATTGAGGGAGATAGAATTCCATATGTTAATAGATATAAGAGAGTTAAATTAGGAGTGGTCCCTCATTATGTTCCATTGTCAAGGCTTGCTTATCTCATCAAAAGGTCATTAAGAGATCAACCAAGACAGCTGGTGTCAAACTGTACGAATGAATTCAAAAAGTTGTTGTCGAAGAAGAAAAAGAAAGACCAGAAGAAGAAGGATTCTAGATTTTGTCGAGAAGAAAATATTGAGTTGTATGAATTTTTGATCATTCTTTTAGTGAACTATAAGGCATTCAGAGAATCAAAGAATTCAGCCAATCAATATTTCTTTTATACTATTCTTCCGGAAGAGGTGCCTTCCTATAACAGAATCAGAAATAAGGATCTTCTACCCTATATTGTTTTAAGAGAAACCTCTTTTTTCAAGGGCTTCAAGACATCAAAGAGACTTGCTGATTCTACAGGAAAAGATATTGTTTTAAAGGGAGACGCTTCCTACAACAATGTTCTGTTGGATCTTAACACAGAAGCAGATATGATGGAGCAAAGAAAACAGCGCAAACAAGAGAGGCAAAACAAATTAGATATAACATCAGAAGAAAACGATCTAATGACTGCATTCCTAACTAACACGTCCACCATCATCTCACCTGCTTTATCAGGAAGTAAAAGGGGGAAATTAGGCACCTTGCTTGTAGAAGAAGCTGTAAAAGCTGAAAAAAACGACAGTTTGGTGAAAGAGTTGAGTAATCTTCCATTGGATGATTTACTTGACCATCTTTCACACAGTAATACTTTTGAAGAAAGCTTGAGATCATCAAATAATTTTAACAATATTATTACAGATTTTAGTGATCTTCAAATTCATGAAGAGGAAGATGAGGAAGACGAAGAAACTCTACTTCAGCAACTGCAAGAGACGATTGCAAAGATTGAGAAGAAAAGGTTCAAGAAAGCAGTAAGCGATTCTTTAGAAGATGAATTTAAGGATCATTTGTTAAGGCGATCATCCTCTCTGTCAGCAACGAATCATTCTTCCCTTAATGACCAAGACAGTTCTTCTTATCAAGATTTGGAATCTATTTCTATTGGAGAAGGTTATGAACTTGACGATGAATTTATAGATGGCGATGAAGAACACCACATATACCACGAAAAAGAGCATACTCTCAAACAACTAAAAGAAAAGCTTCCTAGAAAGGATGTCTATGAATTGAGAGAGGAAGAAGATATTGTTCCTCCTTCTCCTGCCCACTCAAGAATACCACAAGAAGTCACTCAGCAGGCATCTCCTGCCGTTTCAGGCATTGCCTTGCTCTCTCCTCCAATTTCTCCTAATTGTAATCAATAAAGGCGTTTGACTTTTCCCCGAACGCGCGTTCACTGAAAAAATTGAACCCAAAAATTTATTATTCACCTTCGGAAACCGGATCATGGTTGCGATCCTCTCTTGTCACAGCATTACATTGGTAGTGGTTTCACATTAGCTTCGTAAGACTCCCACCTGCCCTTTGTAGGCTTATGATAGATACCCTCCAACCGGTGTCGTAGGTTCGTTAATGAGATCTATGATGTAGGGTGGAGTTATTGCCCTGCCGTATTTCAGTGAATAGCACGGACCACCCCCAGAATTCCCATAACAGGTTCATCTCAACACTGATCTCATAGAGTAGGCACGCAAATCCCTAAGCTATATAGATTCAAATCACAGGTCCCATAGACCTTCATTGAATCTAGAAACATCTCCGAATCTTATATGTGTATCATGACGCTGCTAGTTCATTCAGGCTCCCCGGCGATTGCTCATTACTCGCCACCCCCACCATAGCCCGTACATCGTCGATATCGAGAATCTACCTTTACCCCGCAGGAAGGCTGTCGAGCATATGGCCACCATCATTGATGGTTTCTTTAATAGTATCTCGACTCGATTCATTTGCAAGACAGTTGCCGGCTTGCCATAATATCGATCACCCTGTCTACATTGTGCAACTTGGCTTTGTCAAAAATTGTAACAACACATTGTATTCTTGGAATACAACACGTTCAAGTGTTCCCGTAGGAAACTTGGGTATCTCTCGCAGGCACCTCGAGATAAAGGCGTAGAAACTAACTTTCGTCAGCCACCACAGGACCAGTTACGGCATTTTTTTGAAAGCGCGTTCACTGAAAAAATTCAGGGATGGGTTTATTCGATGATAAACGTTGTTCGATGGTTTTATGTACATTATTTACAAGCCGAACGTAAGATTCGTAGTGACTTCCTAGCAGGCACCCCGGAAGTAAAGGTGTTTAAACTGCTCACGATAACAGCAGCAACCCCTGGGATTCGAACGCTGGACCAGTTGGCTGCCACAGTTCCAGAAAAACCACTCGGCCATATGCGGGCAGCTCGCGTTCACTGAAAAAATGAAAAAGTTCTCTCTTGGTCTTGTTGGGTTGGGCGTTTTTGGTCTCGGAACTTACATCACCACACAAGTGTATAAAACAAACAAAGAATTAGAAAAAGTGAGGTCGATGCAAAAAGAAAACCAAGGAGTTGTCAGCCATGACCATTCCGATCATGGAGATGATTCTTGCAGTTGCAATTTTTCAGTAGATAAAACAAGAGCAATTTATAACAGAATTTCAAAAAATTATGATGATAAAGTGGATTTTGATGAATGGCTGATTGGAGTGACTGGTCTCCGTAAAAAACTCATGCTTCACGTTGGAGGAAATGTTTTGGAAGTCGCTGCAGGCAGTGGAAGAAATTTATCGGAATATGAAAAACGATTATCGAATATTGAACACTTGACACTGACCGATTATTCTGGAGGAATGTTAAAACAAGCAAAAGAAAAAATAGAAAAAAATTTTCAAATCCTGATATTGTCACTTTAATGCCAAAGGTAGATGCACACTCCTTGCCTTTCAAAGATAATGAATTTGATTGTACCATTGATACCTTTGGATTATGCTCTTTTGAAGATCCTGTTAAAGTTTTAAAAGAAATGAATCGAGTTACCAAGCCAGGTGGTAAAATTTTATTATTGGAACATGGAGTGAGTATAATTGGAGTTGAGAGAATTCTTTTATTAACTATTATTATTCAATTATTGTTATTATTATCATTTATTTTATTATTTTATGTATTATTTATTATATTATTATTTATTATATTATATTATTTATTATTATATTATTATTTAATTTAATGAAATTATGGAAAAGAAATCAAACAAATATCAATGGTTGACAAATTACTTGGATGCTTGGAGTATTGAACGTGCTAAAAAGTGGGGCTGTTGGTGGAATAGAGATATTGAGTCCATTGTTAAAGAATCTGGTTTGCATGTCGTGAAAAAAGAGGTGCATCAATTAGGAACATGTTATTACTACATTGCTCAAAAGAGAGTGAACAATAATAATACTTAAAAGATCATGTTCTTTCTTCAACATGAGATCCTCAATGACATTTCTTAAGGCCTATGATGAATTTATTTTGAGTGTATTCAACTTGTCAGCAGCTGACATCAAGCCTTTCATTTTCGATTACTTTTAAAGATTAAACATGTTATATGGGTTCCTATCATTACAATAATTATATGCACATTTAATGTTTATTAATGAGGTGTGTGGAGAGAGATGACGCGCCATCACTCCCTTTCATTTCGTCTTCAAAATTTCAAAAAAAATGAAACGAACTCAAACTCCAAATCCAACAACAACAACACCTTCTTCCCTTCCGAGCTCATCTACAGGATCTACTTTTGTCTCTCCATCAATTTCAGGTTCTCATCACTCGGAAAGTAATAAGGGTAGGTTTTAAAAGATTTCAACAATATTTTCTTGACATTTTGAAAGTCGGATCAAAAAACAACACCCCAAAAAAGCCAGGTAAATATTTGAATTCATTCAACATTCAGTCGTAAATGGACGAGTAATATTTTCTTAAGGATTAAAAACCAGTTCGAGTTCCAGTAGTGTTGGATCATCAGTAGGCAACAATTCAAGATCAAAAGGTGAGTACAGCGAGTGATTGTTTCATTTGAATGCTCATTGATATATCCCATCATCTTTAACAGTCTTTTCGACTCATCCAAATCATTCTTCCACCAAAAAATTTGTAGAGATACCACGACCAGGTTCAAGAGCCTCTTCTAATTCTTCCATCCCTTTATCCCATTCATCATCAAAAGAGTCTAATAATAGCAGCTCACGATGCAGCTCACCTGATACAAGCTCAAATATAGGTCGAACAGGAGAGCTCATCAATACCTTTAAAAATGTATTCAAAGAGGGAGATGTTAAATGCTGTTGTTATGTCGATAAAACACATTCCATTTGGACGGGAGGAAATGAAGGTCATTTGTGTGTCTATGACATTAAGGATAATATTGGAAGTCTTGATTTCAAACGAATAACCACGAGTGGACATTTAGGAGACGTTTCTAATATTTCATTTTCTTGTATGACTTGTGTTCACTCGCTTTCACCAGAACTTCCGTGTACAGTATGGACTGGTTTCAATAATGGGAAAGTTTTGGTTTGGGATGTTGTCTCAATTTCAAAGATATTTGAATTGGAGTGTCATCGAACTGAGATCACACAAATTCTATGTGTATATAATGAAAACACCCATTCCAAATATGTATGGACCTGCTCTAAAGATTCTTCAATATGTGTTATAGAGCTAACAACTTTTCAACAAGAACGTGTATTAACGGATCAAAAAGGACCTATTCGTTGTATGGTTTTCCTGAACGAATTTCATCATGTTTGGACGTGTTCTGACACTAGTATCAATATTCGATCGACCGATGGAAAAACACTGAAACAGATTCCATTTTTGTTCGTTGCTAGAAACATTATTTTTGATGGTTTTCATATTTGGACAAGCAGTGCAGATGGTAAATTAAGAGTATGGGATTGCGAGAAACAAAAATGTATCAAAGAAACCAAAGCTCACACAGAAATGGTGAACGGATTGCTATCAACCACTAAACAAGTATGGAGCTGTGGTGATGACAAGGTACTTCATATCTTTGATTCCACTTCTTTAAAACCCATTAAGAAAATTAAGGCGAATTCAGTTTCTGTCATTACCATGGTTGCACTTCCTGGAAAACGCGTGTTTGCTTTTTGTACAGATAACAAAGTCAGAATATGGGAATGTGAAGGTGATATTCAACGTTTAAATGATTTTTCCTTAATGACGATGACAACAAATGTTGTCGAGAACAACCATTCTTTCAAACCACAACCTACAACAGGGAGTGTAACTTCTCTTCCAACCGCTTTTCATTCCGAACCTCAAAAGAAACAGGAAGGTCACACTCAAGCTGAAATGGAGACAAAGACACCAGAGGATTCTTCTCATGAACAACAACAGCAACAACAACCATTTGATTTACTCAGTTCAAGTGTAAGTTCATCAATTTTTCATTGTTGCGAATCAAAGAGTCATCGGATAATTTCAAAATTCTAGATTGTGTTAGACAAGCAAGAACTATCTCTCGAATATAATGAAAACAAGAATGAAGATCTTGGTTATGAAAGCTCGTCTGAGGATGAAGATAACTCTATTTCTCTTAGATCTATAAAAGAAGCATACGAAACAGAAATTGTTAAACTACGAAAACAGTTACAAGAAACGTCTTCTCTCGTGACAAAATATAAACTTAAATTGAAATCAAAGACAGAGAAGATTGAAGAACAAGAAAATGAGTTACACGAAAAATCCATGAAAATTGAACAGTTACAAGAAGAAATGAAAGCAGCAGAGTTATTAGCTCGCCAATCCACTTCACAATTTGAAAAAGCGAATTTAGAGCGGCAAGAGCTTGTAAATAAGATCACAGCAGTGTATTTATCCTTTAAATCAGCAGACTCTGCAACACTTTGCAATAATGATAACGAGTCAGTTGTTAAAATGATTGATGAACTGATGTGTATGATGGATCAAGAACGATCAAGGTTTCAACAAATTGAGCAAAAATTCCAAAACACGAATCTAATTGTGCAAGAAGCAACCAAAGAACTACAAACAAAACTTGATTCACTATCCAAAGATTCAAGTTCATTGGTCGAACACCTCAAGCATTTGAAAGAGGAGAACGAAAAACAAATACAGCAATTGATTGAAAAAGAAAACACCATACGAACGTTGAAATCAACCCCAAACGATGAAGATTATTCTGTCTACGACGAAATTGAGTTTCTGGACAAGCAAAATGAAGATTTAATTACCCTTATCGAAAAAGGATTTCCTGAAAAAAAGAAACATTTATTGAACGATAATTTATCCCTCGAAGAAAAGCTTTCAATAATATTGTCCAATTATTGATGTTGTTGAACAACAACAGAAAGGCGCCTTAAATTAAAAGAATTTACTTTTTCTCCTTGGTAGTTGTTGATTATTCGTTGTCAGTGAGTAGGGTTGTCCTGGAGAAGAAATGCTGTTAATCACTATTGATCTATCCGATCCTGGTGAATTTAACATCCATTCATCAAAGTCTAGTTTTGTGATGCCTTGATAAGCTTTTGACAGAGTGTCTCCCATTTGCTCTTCGACTATACCGTCTGAAGTGGTTTGACAACACGGAGGTTGACATCGATATTCAAGAGAAATTTTTCCACAAGCCGAACATTGACACCAACCAAGCGGTTCTTTGGTTGCAAATGTCACGTTTTGCCTGGGTGGAGTTACTTTCTTTGTGTTTTTGTTCATACCGTCTACTCTTTCAATTTGAGTTTGCTTGAAAAACTCGATGGCTTTTGCTCCAACCTGAAATTTTCTTACAAAGGGAGGTGATACCTCATCACCAAACAAGAGAAATATTCTTGGCTTCGGTTGAACTCTATTATTGTGCTTGGAAATAAATTCCAAATTATCCACCTCTAAATTTTCATTACTGTTAGAGCTATTCAATAAATCAGCAAGCAACTGAGCCTTCACTCGTTCTTCTTCAGTTGGATAATGTGGCTTAATTTCAATCCAAAAGTTTTGTAGTGGCAAATAAAAGTCAGGAGTATATTCTGTTCCATCTCGCAATTTAAACGTATAAGGTTCATAAAAGAAAGGAATTGAGCATGATTCAAAGAATTTTGCCCATTTGGCTTCTAGTTTGGATCTAAAGCAATATCCCATGTGAATGGTTCGTTTAGCGGTTTTTGATTGAGCTCCAAGAGCAATAATCAATTCGGCAGCATTCAATTGTTTCAACTTTTCCCAATGGTCTAAAAATGGTAATAATGTGGAAGGAATGTGAGGTTTTTTGGATGTTTGTTTAAATTTCTCAAATGTTAAATAATAGGATATAGAGTCAGTAATAGTTCTTGTAGATTCATGAACAAATTCTCGAATACACCCAAATCCATCCCTCAATCTTTCCTTCCATTCGCCTATTTTCCATTCATATTTTGTCATGTATTCACCATGTCCATCACGTTTATCGTTTCTCCATTCTCCTCTATACCATTCATAAAATTCATGTCCATATTCATCTTTGATGAGATCTTGAGGATGATGATGAGTGTCGTCCTCTCTACTACATTCGTCCTGATTGTACATGTAGAATTGAACTCCTTTTCCATTTCTTTTACCATTTTCAAATTCTCCATAATAAATAGAGCCTTTATGGTAACCATCGGTCACTTTTAACACACCATAGCCACTCATTTGATCATCACTCCATTGTCCTTCATAGATCAAGTTACTCATTTGAAAGGTGCCTAAACCATCTTTTTTTCCAAACTTCCATTGGCCACTGTAAGTCATAATATCATTTCCATTGACAAATTTCCAAGTTCCATAACCATGAGGTAAATGTTTTCCAACACTGAGTTCAACCTCTTCTTCAAGCTCTTCACACATACCAGTGGATATGACATCTCCCTTGTATTCACCACCATTAAAAAATAATTTAGAAATTATCAGTGATTCAATCATTGAATGAAATAACGGTAGACAACCATATCCAATATCTCGCTTTTCTCCATTTGGATTGTAAAACTCAAATTTTTTTGTATCGAAATGTACATCCATAAAGTTGTAAAGAGAATGACAACCTTCAAAATAGAGTCTCTTATCCCTTTCGTCAAAACATCGAATGGTTCTAGAGCCAAACTCTTTTTTCAGAATATGCTCAGCTTGTTGTAATTTTCTAATATTTTTCCTTTTATGAGGAACATTGCCTCCTTCAAAAAATTGACTAAATAATTGAATATACTCTAAAGTTAGAAATTGGAGATTATTTACATATTTTACAGAACCATCTTGGTCAAGATGCATCATGTGTGTATGATATATGGAATTTTTCTTATCCTCAGCTAAAGCATTTCTAATTTCTTGCAATAAATATTCCATACTATTTTCAGAGTCCACGAAAATGGTTGAATAAGGTCGCAATAGAATTATTAAATCTTTTAGGTTATTGATAAATTTTGATTTGTCCATAATCTTGTGTTGATTAAAGTTAAAATAGTGCACAAGTTTGAGAAAGTGCAAAACTGTAAAAATCGGTTTTGTAAAATCTAAATAAAATTCTTTAGAATGTTTTGAATCTTTTAAAATTTCGTTATCGAGTGGGACCACTGTCCAGAATGGTTTTGTAAATTTAATTAAAAATTTATCTTCAATATATAAAATTGGAATAATAGTCTTAGATTCATTTCGATCATATTTTAGATCATCATCTGAAAATAGAAATGATGGAATGGCAATTTTCTTTTTCTTAAACGTAGGTGTTAGGTGAGTCGAAGATGATGAACTAGAATTAGGAATAATAATTGGAGGGTTATTATATAATTTGATTGCCTCATCATCATGATCAGAAATGGGTATCATGCAAGAGTGCTGAAGAGGCTCATCTTCGCTGCTACTATCTTTGCTCAAGTCAATGAAATTATTTTGAGAAGATCCAGCAATATGATTTGTTGGTGGTTTCGGAATGGACATTGTGCAACTAATCAAATCATTTTCATCATCATCAATCAAAGAATAATAATCAAAGGATTCTGGAGTAATTGTACAAGCTGTAGAGTAGGATCTCTTCTTGGTTGAGTCATTACTTTCTGTTGTTTTATGGCTCTGTGAAGAATAGTCTGAGGAGGAGAAGTATCCTTGTTGTCCGATTTTGGGAGGAGTTACATCCTTATGACTAGAAGATTTTCCCATTCGCCTCCGTATTCTATCAAACAAACCCAAAGGTGTTGTTGCAGCAACATGTTTTGACGGTGGTGGTGATGATGATGATGGTTGAGGAATAATTGAATTGGGTGATTCTTGTTGTTGTTCGTTTTGAATCATTTTTAAATCAAAACATTTTCGGAAACAGTTTTCACAAAGATGTCTTGTTGGCTGTGTTTATTTCTTCAATGTCTTCTTGCTGACACTATCTGGAATGTTAAACAATGTCAATGTTTTTCCATCAAATGGCACGTCACAAATGAAATAACCTCTTCTCTCCAACTGAATAATTTCACCCTTCTTGAGAGTCTTCAAATTGTGGTCACCGATAGAGACAGTCACGAGTTTGGAATCACGATTGACAACATCTTCAATCTTATCATCAGGATCCAAAGATGTCTTGGAAATTAAATTATCAAAATAGACGGCAAATACTTCATCCACAAGAACATCAGGATTAGTGGGCAACCAAGTCAACTTCTTCTTTGTCTTTTTGAAATCTCCCTCCAAATGCAACACACCAACAAGCTCAACAACCTTACCAGCATCATTCTTGATAATTTGTTGAACAATTGCGTTACCCCAATCCATCAATGTAATCTCTTCATTTTGTTCAATAGCCTCGGCATCCTCCTTGTCCAAATAAATAACATTGGTATAATAGGTGGTCTTCATACCCAAACTAGCATTCTTCTTGTGCTTGGGATTTTCTCTTGACTCCATGGTTTGTGGACCATTGGTAAGTTTAAATTTCACGATACCCTCCTTATCAATGGCACAATATCTTGGGACAATTGGGTCAATAACCTTCTTATTAGCTGCCCAGAGTTTATCCCATTCCAAAGTAGCAACATTACGTGAAGCACCTTGTTCCAAAATGAATGCATATAAAGCCTCAACTGTCAAACCTCGACGTAAAAGTCCTTGAACAGTTGGAAAACGAGGATCATTCCATCCTTCAACAACACCCATGTCTACAATCTTTTGTAATTTACGTTTAGACATGACAGTATTAGCAAAGTTCAATCTTGAAAAATCATAAAGGAATGGCTTTCGAATGCCCAAAGCATCAATAATCCAATAATATTGCTCATTTCTGTCGTTGTACTCGCTAGTTCTGAGAGCATGAGTAACTCCATCCAAACTATCAACAATTGGACAAACAAAGTCATAGGTTGGATATGCCTTGTACTTGTCTCCGAGTTTTGGATGAGGCTTATCCTTACTTCTGAAAAGAACAGGATCACGCATGGTCTTATTTAAAGCCTTCATATCAATCTTTGCTCTCAAAACACACTTTTTACCATACTCAGTACCAGAAATTAATTCCTTCCACATTTGCATATTCTTTTCAACAGTGTTATTTCTGTTATGAGATTCAGTACCCTCCATTTTCATCTTTCTTAACTCTTCAACAGGAGTATCATCCATATAGGCTTTACCTTCTCTAATCAATTGTTCAGCAAACTCCATACACTTGTCGAAATGATCCGAAGAACGAACATAGATATCTGGTTTGACCTTCAGTCGTTCCAAATCTTCAAGAATTGCATGTTCATATTCCTCCCTCTCCTTGTCTGGATTTGTGTCATCGAAACGCATCACAAGTTTGCCATTGTATTTTTTGGCGAAGTAACTATTCATGAGAGCAGCTTTAGCATGTCCGATATGAAGGAATCCAGAGGCTTCAGGTGGGAATCGAGTAACAACCTTACCCATCTCAGCATGAGGAAGCTCCAAACGGATTTCAGAATCAACCGTAGTAGTGGTTTCAGTTGAAGTTGTAGCAGCAGAAGTAGTAGTCTTGTTGCTGCTGGCAGTGCTTGGAGAAGAGACTTCATCAGTGCTTGTTCCTGCCTTGGAAGCATTCTCAAGTGTTTTCAGACTTTGTTGAATCTTTGGATTTCTATGAATGAGAGTGAAATAGCGAACCAAGTTTGGAATTGCCTTTTCAAATCTCTTCAAGTATTGCATCACTAACTTGTGTTGCTTCAAGCTCTCATAAACACACAAATCACAAACAGACAACTCTTCACCATACAAGTAAGTCTTGGTTAAGAGGAGGTTGTCCAATCTTTGCATGCAAATGTCTAATTCTTCAATTAATCCTGATTTGGAAATTTCATTGGCAGTCTCGATGGCAACGAGAAAATCTCCAATGGGAGCAGCAAGTTTTGTGTTGTTGGAAAGGATGTAGGCTAAATTAAAGTTTCCTCGTACACTATTGTTGTAAGTCAGTACGATATGATGATGATAAAAAATCAATCAAAAATTTGATGCACGTGATGATATCATCAATTTGTGAAAAGATTCTCCTCTATAAACAACAACAGCAAAAATTCGAAAACATACCCACTGACAGATTCGGCCAAAGTGATAGCTGGGTTTTTGGAAACCTTAAAGTTGACCTTTTGTTCAGTCAAGCACACCACCGCGAAGGCAGCAATCGGCTTGAAATCAATGTTGAAGAGAATTGTGTTCATTTTTTTTGTTTCAACCTTCAACACCTAAATAGCCAATTTTCTTCTGGAGATGAAGACGTAATGCAATCACCATTTTGCATTATCTATGATGAATTCTTTGAGAATACAAGTGACAACGTATTTGCTTGTTCGAAACTTCAAAGCCCTTTATTGAAAAAAATCACTTCGGTCAGGAGGATGAAAGAAAACAGCTTGCAAAAAACTTCCAGAAAAAAATGTCACAATCCAAAGATGAAGATTTATTCTCGAAAGACATGGTGATGGCTAGAGTGGAGGACGAAAAATCGAATCCTGCTTCTGATGAAGAGGAATTGTTATTATCTTTAAATTCCGATGACTTGAAAGATGAATCGAATGAAAACAACAATCCGATCATCAACAACACACAAGAATTATTGGATGGATTGAATGACAATATCAATGAGGAAGAATCAGAAAAACCAAATGCAAGAAAATTTTCAGAATATGAAGAAAATGATGACGATTTTGAAATACCTGATGATTTAGATCTTTCTCCGAATTCATCTGATAATCCTTCTAAAAAAATTAAATTAACGAATTTATGTCAGGACGACGATTTGGAACTACCCTCTGAAACTTTTGGATTTGTAAATGCTTCTACCATGAAAAAAGCTCATTCAGAAAATTTTGAAGATACGAAACACAATGAAACAAACAAACCTACAGAAACTTTTGGATTTGTATCTGCGTCACGATCTAAAAATCTTCATTCTACAAGTAACAATGGTGCTCAAGAAATGCCTCCAGAAACGTTTGGATTCATTTCTGCTTCTTCTTCTTCTAACAAAACGAAATCAATGAGTGACATTAATGATGAGGACAACAACGAAAGGCCGCCTGAAACTTTTGGATTTGTATCTGCTTCTTCCTCGAACAAACTACAGTCAAAACTAATGAATGACAATGATGAGAGGCCACCAGAAACTTTTGGATTTGAATCAGCTCTTTCAAGCATTAGAAAGCCACAAGAAACTTTTGGATTTGTATCCGCCAAAAGTGAAGAAAAACCTCCTGAAACATTTGGATTTCAATGTACAAGGTCCATTTCCACAATAAGAGGCGGTGATACTTTTGATAAACCTCCTGAAACATTTGGATTTGTATCAGCCAAGACATCCAATAGTCTCAATTCATCCTCCAAAATGATGGATGATAAAGAGGAAAGTAAGATCAACGAAAGGCCTCCTGAAACTTTTGGATTCGTTTCTGCTTCTTCCTCGAACAAACTACAGTCAAAACTAATGAACGACAATGATGAGAGGCCACCAGAAACTTTTGGATTCCAAAGTGCATCCATCCATAGACCACCAGAAACTTTTGGATTTCAAAAAGCCAACTCTGAAATGTTGAAACATGAAAGACCACCCACTGAAACATTTGGTTTTATTTCAGCATCATCGTCCAAAGAAGAAGAACAATTACCTGCAGAAACTTTTGGGTTTGTTCGAGCGAGTGCCAGTAGTAGTCGAAGGACTTTTACGGATGATTCAACACGCACCCACTCATGGCATGATTTGAAATTTCCTCCTCCAACCGAAGAATTGATTTCAGATGCCTCTTCCTCAAATCACAAACCGTTTAAAACACCTTCGAAAATCATTTCAGGCAAACAATCAACACCAGAGAGTTCTGAACCATTTGCTACTCCAGTGAAGGGTGCATCGAGTAATAATACTACTCCCAAAAGAAGTATTAAGACTCCATTTGCCTCTTATTTATCGAATCAGAAAAAAGAAACACCAACCAATCGAGTGTTAGAAACTACAAAGAAAAAGCAAAAAAAGTTTAAGACACCAATGAAATCTGAGAAACTGTTTGAAGAAGCTACGAAAAGAGAGAGAGAGCGTTCAAGCAAGTCAAGTTCCAATAAGACGACCACCAAGTCAGATACAACACCGATTTGTCCGCCCAGTTGGGTTCCTGTTAAAAAGTCATTGGAAGAGAGAAAGTCAGAAAATATCAAATCAAAACCTAGAAAAATTCAATTACTTGGAGATTGCAAGCAGATTTCAATCGAAAGTTTAAAAACTAGATATAATCTCTCTCAAGTGGTTGTTTCCATGAACAGCACCTCTTCTAAGAATTTCAAATTCGACACAACTTTACACAAAATTTCACAGGAAATGCTACTTGCAATTCAGGAAGAAAATGAAGGAAAGCCCGTGACGGAAGTTGGTACTGAACAATTACAGCTTCTATTACACAAGTTTGGGGCTAAAAAAGAAGTCACTAAAATTGAGTGGGTTGAAAATCACTTTCGATGGATTGTTTGGAAACTTGCTTCAATGGATAGAACATTTCCGAATGATTCTTCCTTTCCATTTTTAACTCCTGAAAAAGTTTTAGGTCAACTTGTTTATCGATACAATGTTGAATATTGTATGGGAAAGAGATCATGTTTGAAACAGATTGCAGAAAAAGATGTACCTCCAGGCCATTACATTGTATTGGTTGTGGCTTCTTTAGATATTTGTGAGTCATCTGATACCAATAGTGACTCCAAAATTATAGAACTCAGCGATGGTTGGTATAGTATGAAAGCAAAATTGGATGAACCTCTCACTCGATATGTAGAATGGAAGAAAATCAAAGAAGGACAAAAATTGAAAATTATTGGAGCTAATTTTACAGAGAATTTTGAAGCTGCTCCACCACTAGAATTACCAGGAAATGCATGTCTTAAATTGAGTGTCAATGGTGTCAAGAAGGCAAAATGGGACGCCATGCTTGGATTTCAATATCGACAAAAACCATTTAAAACATCATTTAAAAGTATTCAAGCAGAAGGAGGAAACATTCCATATATTAGAGCCATTGTAAAGAGAGTATATCCAATCAAGTATTTTGAAAAACAAAATGATGGAATCACCATTGTGAGAACCAAAGCAGCTGAAGATCATGCAGCGAATATCGCAGAAAAAGAAAAGGAAAGAATTTCTTCTAATTTATTTCAAACTTATTACGATGAAGAGAAGAGGAAACGAAAAGGATCTAAAACTACAATCACAACTCCTATCAAGAGAATTTATGAAGGATCAACTCTCTACAACCTATTACAATCTACAAAAGATGAAATGAGTTTTTATGCACAGTTAGATGAGAATCAGCGAGATATACTTTCTTCCTATCAACAACAATTGGAAAGTGATATTTATACTGCTGTTAATAATAGAATCAGCGAATTTATTGCCAATGATCCGAAACTGAACCGAGAAGTCTCTTCAATGCTTTCAGTGAAATTAGGCGATTGTTGTCCATACCTTAAAAATCCAGAAACCACTCTTAATGATCGAGAAATAATGTTAACATTGTGGAAGACAGATGAAGATTCAGAACTTTTTCAAGAAGGAAATATTTTAGATATTTATAATTGCAGACCTTCCAAGCAATCAGCAAATCAAGTCATGAAATCAATCACTACTGTATCATTTACAAAAATTGAGATATTCAAAAGCTACAAAGATCTCACAGAAGAAGAAATGAGCAAATATTTCTACACGCCAAGAAGATGTTTTACAATGAGCGAGATGAAAGATCCTGAAAAAAGAAATGGAAACAACGAAATGGATTTTGTTGGAATTTTAATTCACTCAAAAGAAATTGAACAAAAGGAGAGAGATTATACTTTACACGTCCTATTCTTTGTAGATAATACTTGTTTGGAGAATGAGAACAAACCAACCATTCTTCAACTTACATATATTGAATCTGCAAAAAGACAATTTATATGGCTTCTTTCTGAGAATAAGGTTTACTTTTTGTCAAATATTGTGTTCTCAGAATTTGATGAAACGAACGGTAGAATCAAATGTCATGCAAAAGATCATGCTTCAATTTCAGAGAGAGCCAACAAATTCTATTTTAGACAACAAGCCATTGAAGTGAATAATTTCTTCAAATCGAACAAGAACAAAATTTTATCTCTTGCAGAAGTTGTGAATCAATACAATCCAAGGGAAGAATTTGATTTTTCAACACCTCGTAAAATGATGATCATGGAAGATGAGACCATTGAAGAAGACATTAGTTGCAATATTATCATCAACCAAGATTTTCGAATGCATGTCACATTATTAGATACTGTTTATAATACCCTCGAAAGCTATTCCTACCCAAATCAGCAAACAGAAAGTAATCCCGTCTACAGGAAAGCAGAAGATGTTTACTCTTACTTTGTGAAGTTATATATTGATGTTAAAGACATGAGTACGGTAAGTTTTTTCAAAGACTATCATTTCTTCATTGATGCTGTTCATAATCATTATGAAAACACGTGCTGATATACTGATCGGATAGGCAGAATATAAGACCATCAAATTCACAGAGGACATGTTCGACAAGCTCATCCATGCACTCTTTTATGACGACGATACCAACAATGTTGAGGATCTCTCGGAAATGGATAAGAATGAAAACATACCGTCCTGGATGACACTTCTTGTGAATGAGGGTAAAATAGAAGATACATCAGAAATAGAGGGAAACATTAATTCACACTCCTCATCTGTATTCAATTCGGAAAAGCTTATTCAAACCAGATTGAAACTCTTTTCATCGGGAAATGTTAATTCCATCCAGCAGATTTGTCGATGCCTATTAGTTGGTACCAAGTTTGTAAAGACTGAAGAAGATTTGGTTGATTTTACAGACAATGATGTGTTCAAATCTCTATTATGTTGTACTCCTTTGGAATGGAATGTATTGATGACTCACTTTACTCAGACCCTCTGTGGATCCCTTTTGAAATTCAAATTAACAAGCCCTGAGAAGGAAGTCATAGATGTATCTTGTGTTTTGAGAGGATTCAATGGTCTTGATGATATCATGGATGATCTGTGATGAGGACAAATATTTATTGTCACCCTTAATAATATTATTAAACAAATACCAACAAAGCCTGTTGGTGCTCTTTCGTCCAAGTTTGCACCATTCTTCTCGAAGAACATCTTCAACAAAAGGCGCCATTTTCATTGTAATAAACTTGGTTTCGAGTGAAAACTCGAAGTTGCCCTTCCACAAATCATACGAAAAAAAAATTTGTTAAAACTCCTGTTGATCATCAATGGCACCCAAAAAGCAAACCAAAAAAAAGGACGCTGAAGAAACAAACGAAGAAAAGGAAATGACAACATCAGAAGAAGCTCAATCCGATAATGATATGAAGGTTGATTTAAATTTGAGTGATACAGAGATGGAAGAGGCTTCATCAAAATCAAAGGCTTCATCATCTTCGAAAACAAAGAAGGAAGATTCGAAAAAGAAGACCGCAACTTCATCCAAATCATCATCATCGAAGAAAGAATCAAAGAAAGAATCAAAGAACAAGGATGGAGTTTTTAAAGGTTTAGATTTTCTAGTTGGTATCTCCGATGAAACTACTGGTGCTGATAGTAGTGATGCAATCACTGAGTCATTGAGCAACGAAGGTGGAAATGTTATGAAGAAGATCTCCGATAAAATCAAATACTTGGTATTTTTGAAAGGAAAACCAGCAACCTATAAGAATGCAAAAGAGAAAGGTATCAAGATTGTAAATCCACTATGGGTCAAAGATTGTATCTCAAAGAAGAAAATTCTTGAAGTAGAATCCAAGTATGAACCAGAAGAACCTGAATCAGGAAAGAGAAAGAAAGATGATGATAATGAAAAGAAGAAGAATAATTCAAAGAAGAAGGAAACTAAGAAAAAAGAAGATGAAAACAAGGATGATGGAGAAGAAGAAGAAGATTCTGAAACAAAGGAACCCGAAAATAAGAAGAAGAAGACTGAAAGTTCATCATCAAAATCAAAGGCTTCATCATCAAAAGCTTCTAAATCAACAGAAGAAGAAGATGGAAAGAAGAAATCTTCCAAGCCAACTTCCAAGACTTCAACTAAAGATGACAAGGACAAGGAAAAGAAATCTTCAGACAAAGAAACTTCAGAAAAGAAAACTGACACCAAGAAAGATCCAAAGTCCAAGAAGACTGATACAACGAAAAAGAAGGAAGAAGAAAAGAAAGATGAGAAAGAGAAGAGTGAAACAAAGAAAAAGGATGAGACAAAGAAGCCCAAAGATGAAAAGAAAAAGGATGACAAGAAACTAAAAAGACCACCTTCTGCTTATAATCTCTTTATGGCTGATAAGAAGAAAGAAAATAAGTCAACTGAATTATCAGAAATTTCAAATATGTGGAAGGAACTCTCTGAAGATAAAAAGAAATCCTACGTTGAACAAGCTGAGAAGCTAAAAGAAGAATATTTGAAGAACAATCCAGATGCAGGAAAGAAAACTTCAAAACCAAAGAAGGAAGTTTATGAAGGGGAATCTGATGAAGATGAAGAAGACGATGAATATTTTGATAATGATGGAGCAGATGCAATTGATGATGAAGGCCATGTTACAAGATTTGATTTTACAGGGTTTGATATTCAAGCACCAATTTGTGAGATTAAGAAACCTCCAAAAGGAAAATATGTTTTGGAAATGTCATCAGTTGCAGAGAGTGACAAAATCAAAATAATTTCTGCAATGCAAGAGAAAGTTTTGGTTGAACCAAAAGATGGAGAATCACCAAAACTTGATGAAAAATCTTCTAAACCCAGAATGAAGAGACTTTTAGCAGATTTCAGCTGGGCAACTACATGTGATCCACACACTATGAACTTTGAAGAATATAATGGTCAATATTTCACTCATTTAATTGTTCCAAAGGAAGAGAAAACAAGAAGAACGATTAAGATATTATTTGCTATTGCATTTGGTGCTCACATTGTTAATGTGGATTGGTTCTACGCATGTGAAAAGGAAGGTAAAAAGGTTAATGAGACTCCATACCTCGTTGATGTCTCTCCTGCATGTGAAAAATCAAGAGCCATTCTATTAAGTGAAGAAGAAAGAATGAAGAGAAAACCAAGAAGGTCAAAATCAGGTGATGAAGATGACGATATGGAAGATGAAAAGAAAGGTCCTTCTAAATTACTTGCAGATACAAAAATAATAGTTTCTTCCTGTACGAATCCTCCTGCAAAATATTTGAAGAGATTGATTGAATTGTTGGGCGGATCAGTTGTTACAAGTGCAAGAACTGCGTCATATCATATTCTTTCCAAAGATGAAAAGTTTAAAGAACCAAAGGTTAAATCTTTGACTGTGGAATTGGAGGGTGGTCATACCATCGAAAAGGTACCAGATCCTGTCATTGGTGTAACTGAGAAATGGCTACTTGACGCAATAACTAATTACGAAATTCCTTCAGATGTAACACCTTACCTTGTGGAGATAGAAAAAGAGGAATCTCCAAAACCAACTTCTAAGAAATCTGCTAAATCTACCCCTAAGTCATCATCTAAGAAGACCTCTTCCTCAGCTGAGGAAAAGAAGGACGACAAGAAGAAGAAAGAATCTCAAGATAAAAAGAATGACGACGATGATGCAACAGATGATGACAAAGCTCAAATGGATGTTGATGAAGAAGTGACTTATTAAAATTGTACTTTATCAAAATTTTAGTCTTTTGTTGAGCTTGTCTGGGTCATGATGTCTTTAATACGTATGAGCTTTTGTCTCAACGATTCTTCATTCCTTGAATCAATAGCTGGAAACTTTTCAAAAACCCATGACGGAACAGGTGTCTCGAAAGTCCATTCGTCTGTTAGCTCATATCTCCAAGAGTGCAGAAAAATGCATAATGGAGTGTTTTCTTCAAAAGGCTGCATGGCAGAGTAAAACGGGTTGCAATTCACGCAAACATCCTCATATTCTTGAACCTTACTTTCCTCGTCTTCAAATTTTTTGCCAGTTGTCTTTCTTTTGCCCGTTGCAGTGTTCTCTTCGTTTACATTTTCACATTTTTGTTTCTTTTTTGCTTGTTGCAAACAATTTTCCTTTGTTTCATTATTGTCGGTGATGTCAATGTCTTTTCTTTTCAGAGTGTTTTGTTCACTATTGCAGGACAATATAGTATTTGATGCTGGTGCTTCGTTCGGTTTCTCCTTCATTTCCATTTCTTTAACAAATTCTCGATTATAGAAAAAATCATTACTTATTGGAAATCCAAGAGCTTCGAGATGAATTCTGATTTGATGAGTTCTTCCCGTTATTGGTTTGCACATTACGAGTGAAATATTTTCTTCCTTGTTGTACGCAATAGGGCAATAAAATGTGAGCGCATCAAACGTTCCCAACTCGTCACTCGCAGACCAAATTCCTTTTTTGTGATCTTTGCAATAAACTTTTGTATCACATTGCACGACTTGCGCTTCTTCATAAAATCCACTTGTTGTTAAATTTTCTTTTCCAAAATTTCCCTTCACTATTGATAAATAATATTTTCCAATTGTATTTTCCCTAGTGTTAATCATATTTACAATAGATTGAGCTACTTTCTTATCTCTAGCAATCATCAATACACCTGATGTACTATGATCTAATCGATGAACTGTATGTAAATTATTGTATCCAGCTTCTTCAAGAATGAAAGTTAATGAGTTTTTTCTGTAGCGACCGCACGGATGTATCGGAAATGATGGAGGTTTATCAACAACTAATAAGTCCTTTTCATCATATAATATATTAATATTTCTATTATAAATTGGTTTTTCATGGAAATGAACCCGATGAGTAATAGACTTGTTCTTTTCCATAACAGTATCTAAATCATGAATCACCTTGTTGTTTTGTTTTAATCTTCCCAATTCAAAAGCCTTTTTTAAATACTGTTCAGAAAAGTAGGGAAATTCACTCCGATAGACTTCAAACACTTTTCTTCGAATCCATCGGTCTCTACATCCCGTACTAAAATCTAACCAATACGGTATGACAAATCTCAATCCATCCCGAATAATATATTGTTTGTTGTTTTGTGCTATTTCAATCGTTTTTTTAATAGTCGTCGTTGTAGCTGCTACAACACGAGAAGACGGCGATGATGAGAGTGTGGAGCCCATTTCGAGCATTTTTTTTGTAAACTTTGTGAACCACGTGGTCCGTACAACATCTTCTTGTTGTGGATATAAATGCTGAGGAATACCATTCCAGGTTGCAAGCTTGGACAAACTTTCAACGTTAACCTTGGTACAATGTACTAGATTACAATTTTGATTGAAATCTTGTCCGGGATTGGAAATAGTGCATCTCTTTCCGACTCGAGATTGTCCATCATCCTATTATTTGCATGATCATCCCAACAACACTCCGCTCTTGGTTCATGCACCCGTCCACAATAAATGCGCGGTGTTTCTTTCAAAAAAATGGATCTTTTCAAGTCACAACTATCAACAAGAATGACCACCACCAATACTACCACCACCGATTCCACTTCCACCACTCATTCCCATCGTTCGACCTCCAGCATACAAATTGTGGTCGATTCCTTCCTCAAGCAAGTTCAACAATACAGTGGCATTGCTTTTAGTTTTTTCCTTTCGTTACATCTTATGAATACCATGACAGCCATCCTCTCACAACAGACCTATGACTCAATGCAACAATTATTGAGAAGATTCTATCGTCCACAATGGTTGTTGGGAGATTATGCAGAATATTATGTGGTGTTGGGTCCTCTTGCTTTGCACATGTTGAGTGGAGTGAGTCGTCGTTTATTCACACGTCGTCGAATTTTCATCTCTCGAAAGAAGATCCACCAAACAAATTCCGATGAAGAAGAATGGATCCAAACCAAATCATTGACATCATCTAATGAAGAAGAAAGGATCCATTCCAAGTCATTGTCATTATCCACTGAAACAGTCATTACCAAAATGTCCCATTTCTTCAATTCATTCATTTCTTCCAAAATTTCAACATTTTTGAAAAGAATTTTCAATGAACCTTTACAATTACATCGTATTGCAGGATACATCTTGATCATCTTAATGCCCATTCATGTGACTACCACTCGATGGACCTATCCCATCAATTCTGAATTTTCACAAGTCACTTTTTCAATGGAAAGAAAACCAGGAATGGCCATCATGTTACCTTATTATACCATCATGTTAGTGAGTGGAGTGTATCATTTGTGTTATGGATTGAATGCTGCTCTATTTTCTTATCAATGTTCAAAAAAACGTTTATTTACCATATTTGGAATGGTGTTGATATTGGCTTTTATTGGATTGTTAGGAGCAGGAGGAGTGTTGTATCCAGATCGAATTGATCGAACGAATTATGTGATGTGGGAACAACTATAATCATCAACAATTAATTCTTTGGAAAAAGTAACAGAATTGTAACATCGATGACATGTTCAAATGTCCTTTTAAATATTTAGTTTTGATTTTCCTTTTTTATATAATTTGGTGTTGTCTTATTGATTGTCCTATGATTATAAAAATTGTAAATTATTATTAATTGTCTTTTAATAATAATTTATATGATAAACACTCCTTGAATGATCTTTTAATTTAATTTTCTCAAAACACTCACAATAGGCATTTTCACAAGTGAATAAATTGGGAAGAAGGAACTTAAAAAACTGAATACCATTGCACAAATAAATACCAATGCAACAATTTGATAAGGAAATATAAAATCAATAGGTAGCTCAGTAATAAGTGTGTTTTGAAGTGACATGGTATATCCAATCACTCCTCCAATAAATATTCCAGAAATAGATGCAGAAGCAATGAGTACAAATGATTCATAAATAAAAACTCTAATAATTGAAAACTTTCTCATTCCAATGGCTCTCAAGACACCAATTTCTTTTGCTTGTTCATTCACATTGCTATACATGCTTGATACTAAACTAAAGAAACAAATAATTAATGCAACCATGGTGGTAAAGAGGAAGAAGAAATTCATCACTTGAACAGCAATTTCAATTGGATATAATTCATCATTGACATCTCTAATGAAAGGTCCTCGATAAGCACTAATCACTTTTTGAAGGGAAGTTTTCATCTTTCTATATTCTTGTTTGTTCTGTTGAACGGAATTGGTCAATTTAATGAAAATGGCATCTACTGGAAGTCGATTCGCAGAAAATCCCTTGTCACGTCCAAGTAATCTCAGAAAAGTTGGAACACTCACTAAAATATTTTGAGTACCAAATCTTGGAAAGGCAGAATAGAGAGCGACAGGTGAAGCCTCCAAGAAAGATCCAACTTTGAATAGAGCATAATTATATTTTGGAATGGCAGAAGTTGTTTCCACAGTTTCAATAATCACCTCATCATTTAAATCGACATTAAGATGAGTTTTAAAATAGCTTCCTAAAATTAATTGTGAACCACCTTCAAGTGTATACAAGTACTCATCCAAATTGTAGCTATAACGAGAATAGGACGATCTCCATAATGAGAATGATTCGGAGGATCTTGTTGACGAGAGAAGTGAAGAAAAGTTATTCTCGAGAGGCACCACGACTCCTCCTCCCTTCAACGAAGCAACGGTCGCAGGTTCAATTCTTGATTCCACTCTCAAAAATTTGGAATTGGTCACATTGAAAAAATTGGGAGCAATTGCTCGAATGTAAACTTCATCCTTCACGAGAGCTCCTCTAGTTCCAAGTTGTGTCTTTTGAATGGATGTTCGTAGAGAATGAAGTCCAAACGTCCAATAAGTGGTTCCTTCAATCCATTCAGGATGCTCAAGTGCAAAGTTTTCCACATCATACAGAGCTTGCGGGAACGATGAAAAGGCATATAAGGATCGAGTTCCAACAATCAAGTTCGTTCCTGCACCTCTCATAATGTTATATTTAAAGGCAGTAATTTGAGTGTTAAAAAGTACAGAACTAAATATAATGAAACCCAAACTCAATGCAAACATGAGTGTGGTTTTACGATTTCTCTCTCTGTGTGCAATGAGATTCTTCTCAACAAGATCAATCACTGCTGCTTTTTCAAAAATACCAATGGTGAATAGGACCACAATAAATTCAATAATATTTTCAAAATTGAGAGAGAGTATAACAAGTCCTAACAACATGAACAGAATCACACTCATAATCATGTAACTCATAATTGTAATGTTAAATGTGAGTAAAGAGAGTGGCATGACATAATAGACTCCAAAACCAAAGACAACTCCAATCATTCCAAGAACGACTGGAGTCCAAGCAATATGTTCAGATTCAGCTCTTTCCACACTGTATTTCACAGCTGAAACCGATCGTTGAGTATCGAGAGAATCATGTAAATTCTGTCCCAATGCAGTTTTGATTGGAAGAATGGAAGCTGTTAACAAAATAGGATATTGTTATCGTTTGAAATAGGATTGTTATAAAATATTTTATAATATTATAAAATATTAGATTGTTATAAAATATATAATATATAATATTAGATTGTTATAAAATATTATATATTATATATAATATAGATGAAAATAAAAAAATAAATAAGGTATTGTTAATATCATATTTGAATGTAGTGATACGTCAAGATCACCATCATACAAGCATTGGTATATTTGTGTAATCTCATACAATCATTTGTGTAATTTCATCACTTACCAATGATTGGAACTCCAATTCCAAGCAAAGAAGCAAATGCCACTGCTTCAAATGATGCAAAAAAGGAAACTCGAGCTTCCAATGTGGAACTCAATAACATTGCAACACCTGCATAGGATACTTGTCCAATAATTAAACCAATCACCCATGCTGGAATTCCATACCACATGGCTTGTACAAGAATTAATTCAACAAGATGAATTCTCTTCAATCCTAAAATTCTCAATAAACCCATTTCAAATCTTCTATTTTCCACATTAATCATTAATAAACTATAAATTAGTACAACACTTAATAGAGACAAGACGACCAAAATGATTGAAATAATTAAACCCACAAAGAGTGCAAAGAATTGGGTTTGTTGCATTTGTTCCAAAATAGGAAAATCTGTTTCTACTTGATTAAATCCAATCAAATACATGGCAAGTGATGAGAAATCTGTAATCTTATCTCTAATCTTTTTAAAGTCATTTTCATTGTATGCTGTTAATCGATTGGGTGGATAATTAAAATAGACATAACCTGCATAGGAATAAGGACTCACACGAGAGAGAGATGATTTTTCTTGTTCAGTGAATAATTGAGAGGGTAAGAACTCGGAAATGTGTTCCAAAAACGAATCATATTCCAAAATGATATAATCTGTAATACTTGTAGCAAATTTTCCATGTACATTATTGGATACTTGGTCAATAGTGATTGGAAAGTATAAAGTTCCATTATTGAATGTCACTCTTCGATTCATGTACTTTTCTTCATTGGAGAGTTGAATGACATTTTGTGAAAATACTTGTTGTGAAACATCTGATTCGAGTAACGCGTGTAACATGGATAACTTTTTGAGAGAAGCTAATTCAGGACTCAATTCTGAAGTTTCCTTTTCAAAAGCCTCTTTCAAGGATTGAGGTAAAAATTCAAGTGATGATAAAAGTGCATTAGAAAAGTGTTGATCATTATATCGAACAATTCCTGCTTCATAATAAGGACCAACAAGAGTATCCATGGTTGATATTCCTACGAGAATTGAATCTCCTGATTTCACACCCAAATCAGTGGCCATGGACGAACCAATAATTGCATGACCTTTTTTCAATTTCTTGTATGGATAATTTCTTCCAAATTGCATTCGATTTTCTTTGTCAGTGTCAATAATGTATAATGGGACTCGATCTTGTTGTGTTCTACAGTAACGAGGAACACAAAAAAATCCATTGTTGTAATCGGTGATGGAAATTTTGTAAGGATATTTTTTTTGTCCACATGTCACATCTGATGAATTATACATCCAAGAGTAATGTTGATAATTTAAATCATTGGATAAAGTGTTGTTCATGCAAGAAGTAAAAGCCTTCACACTAAATAAATATCTCGGAGAGTGATAGGAATATCGTTCTTGTTCAGTTAAATCTGTTTTTGTAGCATTTTGAATTTGATGATCAATTAAAGTATAATTGAGTGTCACACCTGGAAGTATTTTTGAAGCTCTAATTTGAATGTCATATTCTCCAACTTGTAATTCTGCCAATCTGATAAAAACAAGAGGAATTTGTGATAATGCAGAAACTGATATCATGACCATCCAAACAACAACAAAACATGAAGCAGTTCCAATTAAAAATGCCACTTTTCTTTTTGAAACCTCTTTCCATGTGAAAATCATAAATTGTAAAAATATATAATAAGCATATTGTAAACGAGTCATTTTGTGAGGTGGAATGAAAGAAGTATATGGTTTTTTAGATAGTTTGTATATTGTGTTTTCGTTGAGATACATTCCAGTGGTGACATCTTCTTCTTCATTGTGACCACTATTTTCACTTCTCAACAAAAGAGCATCTTCTTCATACTCTTCATCTTCAGTGTTGTGATGATGATTTGTTTTTGAAGAAGAATTAATTTTTAATGGAGTTGTAGGTGATGATGACATTAATTCAATTTGAAGTTGTTCGTCTTCGTCTTCTTCGTTGTCAATGTCGTCGTGGAGAGTGTTGTTGTGAATTTGTTGTTGTAGTGTGGAGGATGTCGTGTCACTATTGGAGAAGAATGTTGTTGGAAAGTTGTTGTTTGACATGTTGTTTGTCTATACTGAGTAGTGGTGGTGGTGGTGGTGTGTGAGAATGATAATTTTTTTTAAAATGTTTTAAATGGTCAAAGATCACAGCACATACATTCATATGAAACCAACACATACCAAATTGTCATCATGACCATTTTTCATTAAATTAAATAACGGTGATGATATCCATGGATATCATCAGAGATGAAAAGTGTGTCAATAAATTATTATTAATCACATCAATTAATCATATTTCACAATAATAGCACACATTGAGTATCATCCAATCTCATAATAATTCTCACTCACCTACTATTAGTACGACTGTGGATGAAACTCTCTTGTCAAAATTTGTTTCAATTTTAATTGTAATATTCAAACAATCATGATCCGTCTTCTCGATCGATGAAAATTTTCAGAGAGAATCTCCGTTGAACGGCTTCGACTTGTCCAACAAACGAGAGAGAGATCTGGTGCGCCCTTTGTTTTAGAAGAATAAAAGATGGAATGATTAAAAAGAGTGCGCTGTTGCACTACGGAGCCCAATTTCGGAAGCCCAATTTCGGATCTGGGAATTATCGATTTTGAAATCCTAAATATATTTAGGTTCTAGAAGAAGCAAAACGATGGCAAGGCAACAAACTCTCATTCATGATTGGACCTTCTTATCAAAGAGTCTATTGTAAGAGGTTATTTGAAACAAACAACACTTGGCCACACTCACTGTGGTTCAGCAGTAGTTGTTGAATTTGGATCCTTAATGGATCACAGTGTGAGGGAATTGAAAACAATTCTCCTCATTTCTCATGATGAGAAACGCTGCGTTCAGTTACTTGGGTCGCTGCAATTTCCAACTTGTTCCAATTACAAAGAAGGAAGTGAAAAAACTGTACATGATGTGAACGAACGACAACTGACTGTATATTTTCAGAGTGGGACCAAGAAAGAAGAAATGATCAGGTTGAGAGTCCGGTGTGAGAATGAATCGATAGGACTATCGATCAACTCTCACGCTACATTCGTGAATGATCCTTTTTACAATTTTCATTTCTCCAACCAATCATCACACCAAAGAATCTGTCACGATCATCACCATCATTGAAAAGTGATTTCACCCATCCTCACGACAACTCTATCGGAGCATAATTCTCTCAAACCTCACACCACAACCAACAAGGAACCTTTCACCCAAATCAACCCAAATGTTCTCTTCTGACACGTCCATCAAAAGCCACAGTGCAACAACAACAACTGAAAGACAGTTTATTGGCTTTTTGAAAAAAAAAATGTCAACTAAAACAACAACAACAACAACTGCCATCACTCTTTCCACTTGTCTCTTTTTGAACTCTGCTGTGCTGGTGATTCTTTTCTTTTCAACACATTATGCTGCTGCTGCTACTGTCTATCAAGGTCACTGTCTCTTGACAGGTACTATCAATGCTCCTGGACTTCGTGGTTCAGTCTCTCTTGTCTATGACGAGAATACCAACTCAACCACCATTTCTTGGTCACTCAATCAAACCACCGTACCAATCAATCTTCAAGGTAAAAAACTTGGATTCCATATTCATGAATTTGGTTATCTTGCTGATGCTGCTTCCACTGGTTCTCACTACAATCCATTTGGAGCGAATCACTCATTGCCAACTGAAAGTGCTCCTTCCATTCATGTTGGTGATTTGGGTAATATTGATCTCTCTTTGGGATATTCGGGTGTAATTGTTTCAAATTTGGTGCGATTGAATGGATCGATGTCTGTCATTGGAAGAGCCATGAGACTTCACATGCAACAAGATGTTGGAAGTTCTTCTCAACCTTCTGGTAATGCTGGTCCAGCTGCTGCTCACTGTGTGATTGGTATTGCCAATGTCACTTCGAATGGAGCCATGAATGATGCCTACACAACCACCAATCGAGCTGTGGCCACTATTTTCAAGACCGATGATGCTGGTTCCTATAATGTGACTGGACGTGTTATTTTCGATGATTCTGTCGGTAATGGAAATGTAAGAGTGACTGGAAGAGTGTGTGGACTTGCTCCAAATACTGTTCATGGTTTCCATGTCCATCAATTTGGTGAATTGAATTTGAAAGATGGTTCAAGTTTTATGGGACACTGGAATCCATCCGGATCTCCTCATGCCTATCCAGGAACTGTGAACAGACATGCTGGTGATATGGGAAATATTACCACCGATGCCAATGGAATTGCAACCATTGACTTGACTTTGGATTTATTGGCATTGAAGGGTGTGAATAGTATTATTGGACGTGGTGTGGTGATTCATCAAAAACCTGATGATGGTGTCACTCAATCCACTGGAGGTGCTGCTGCCAGATATGGTATTGGTGTGATTGGTATTCCTCCAACCACTCCATCCGCATTGAGTTTGCAAGATCCAAACGATGCTTGTTCCGGAATTGCTCTTCCAATAGTGATTGTTACACCTCCTACCACCAATTCCACGAAACCCAAGAGTTCCGTCAATGCTGCTGTTGCTCTTGGTGGTCATGATGGTGCATTGGTTCTGTTGCTCTTGATTTCTCTGATTGCAACCTCTCTTGTTTTCTAATTGAGATGATGATTAAAAAAACTCTAATTGTTCACTCCATGATGATGCATGTTATGATGGTGGTGTTGTTGTTGTTGTTAGCGTTGATCAACTTCTTCGTGTCCTTTCGTTATGAGTGATCGCGATCGAGTTTGTTGTTGATCGCGATCACTGAAAATGTCCTTTCATTACGAATCGTAAGGAGAGAGACTCTCATCGTCCGTCATATTCAGACAGGTCATATGGAAGCGATGGCGCCAAAAATTTAAACGTAAAAAAACATGTCGTTAAGGAGTTCATCCAAACTCAACTCCAGTCCTCTTCGGGCATCTCAAAGCAATCAACAACAACCACAATACCAACAACACCATCATCAACAACAATATAATGATAGTTGTAACAATAGTATTACCTTTTCAGAGAACTCTTCAATAGAGAGGATGGAGGGTTTTGATGTCATTGAAGATGAGGCAAAAACATTAATTTCAATCATATTCAACCATGAACCTTTACCGAACGAAATTTCATATGACACTGCCATCAGAGTATTAAAAGAATATCACAAGGCCTGTTTTTCCAGAGGAGAATATGATCAATGCGAGATTGGAAAAAAAGCAATGCTTTTATTAAAATTCCAAAATGAGAAGAGACATATTGATAATATAAAACGGATACAAATGAAGGAAAGAGAAGAAATTGAACTTGCCTTTCAGCAGGAAATGGCAGAATTAAAATCAAAGTGGGACGAAAAGTTGGTCATGTTGGAGCAATCATTTGAGGAATCCAGAAGACGACTCTTAGACAAACATGCAAAAGAAATGGAAGATTTTCAAGAAAAATTTATGGAAGATTTACAGAGGAAATACAACCCAAAAAGTAGAGATCTTATAATGTTAAAGATGATGGAAGAAACACTAGCAAGACAGGAGTTTTATTTTGAGGCAATTTCGGTAAGTTTTTAAAGGCATGCAACAAATGGGGATCGTTCGATTATTGTTTCCTACAGGTCAAGAAAAAGGCAGAAAAACTCCAAGAGGAAGAAATGAAAAAAGTAATGATGAAATATAGCTCATCGTACGAAAAGAAGAAAGCTCATTTACTAAAAAAACAGCAACATGAGTTGGATAGTTTAGATTTGCGGTTACGACGAGAAAAGAGTGAATCAATCCAGCAGAAGAATCGAGAGATTGAGCAAGTAACTCTTAGGTACAGCAATCTTAAAAGCACAGCACAAATTCATCACTCACAATTTGAGTCCAAAGCCCGTACGTCCCTTATCAAGTCAAATACTTCTCTAATTTCTTCGATAAAACGAATGAGTGCAGGTGACACTCGACCTCTTGCTCTCTCGGCGGAGCGAGGTTCAGAAAGCGTTAGATATAGATCTCCAAATTCAAAAACTCGAAAATAATCAGAATTTGCAGTATCAAATATAATCATGCTAAACATCATCGACTGTTATTTCTGTTCTTTAAAATTCAAAGAATGACTCTGCCATCCCTTTTCGTTACTGGTTTTCAAGCCTTTAGAAAACTTTTCAAATCTCTGAAGGGCATCTCTCTCTCTTTCTTCTTTATCTTTCTTAGTCTTTTTATACTTTTGCATTTGTTCATTTAAATAACTTTTGGCTTCTTGTTTCGTTCGATTCTGCAGTGTCTCTATTTCTTTGGCTTCTCTTTCTTTTCTCAGAGAGGAAAATTTGTTTTCTACTGACGAATCGTCTTGTTGTTGTGATTTTTCAATGACTGTCCGAATTTTGGGAGAAGATTCTTGAATAAATCTTTCAAAGTTTTCTCTGATAGAAGAACTTTCGGTGTTTCTTACTTGAGACGGTAAGTGATCCTCTAGAGCATCCACTTCTGATAATTCTTTTTCTAATTTTTTAAGTTCTTTTTTCTGCTTTTTACTTGAAGTTTCAACCTCATCATCTATTTCATCTGAGAATGAAAGAATATTTGTGTTTTGTTTTTTCTTTCTCTTGTGGGAAGCAGAAGTAGCAGCCTCACTCTTTTTCCTTGGAACAATATCATCAAATGGATTAATTATTACTTCTGCTCGAATTATCTTTGGAGGATAAACTGTATATCCAGATGCAAACGAACATCCCAATAACCACATCATTTCGATGGTTTTTCAAAAGGCACTTACCAGGACGATCGTTTTGATCAACTTCCATCTCTGCAATTTTTAACACATTGTATATGGTATTTCCAACGACCTGTCCAAATATTGTATGCTTAAAATTCAATGCCTCCAATTTGTTAACTGTAATAAAGAAGCGTGAATCACTCTTATTATTCTGTGCAGCACATGCAACTAATCCTCTTTGAATAAATTTTAGTCGTGAGTGGTATTCTGCTTCAAATTGTTTTTCTTTTCTATCTTCATCATGTTCATAAATTGATTCTCCATAATCTCCATTTCCTGTTGGGTCACCAGTCTGAACAAATTGATCTGCAACAATTCGATGGAAAATCATTCCATTGTAAAATTCCTCCAAACACAATTGCACAAAGTTCTTGCAAGCCTTTGGAGCCTCTTTGGAAAATAATTCAATTTCAACATCACCACAATCAGTAACTAAAACAACCTTTCCTGTTAATTTAAGAATCATCCAATAATTGAAAATTAATTTTTGATTTTCAATTAAACAAGTTGTTCCGACACGATTGTTGTCAACGATTATTGTTCATAAATTTATATAAAATTATCGATGAATCAAGAATAATGAAGTAATCTCTTTTAATCGTGCACCCGAATTGTTGAACATATGATGAAACCTACCCTTTGTCTTTGGCAAGGAAGAATAAATTTGACTCATTTTTTTAGCTGTTGTTTTCAAAGGATAGGGTAGCGTTCAACTTAAGCCTCACCTCCACTTTTGAAAACACTCACTCGATCCATGAGATCAATGATCGAGTAATGGATTGCTAACTTGTTGTTGTTCAATTTCTTTTCTCGAGCTGTGTGTAAGACGACACGGAAGTTGTTGGAAAACCGCCAAAAAAAATGAGTGACGACAGAGAAGAAAAGATTATCAACGAAGAATATAAAATTTGGTGAGTGTTTGTGAATCTTGCTTCATCAATATTTACCGATGAATCACGTAGGAAAAAGAATACATCTTTTTTATATGATCTAATCATAACACATGCTCTTGAATGGCCATCTCTCACCGTAGAATGGCTTCCAGAAAAGAGACAGTAAGTAGAGGAATATCAAGCCTTGCACAGCAATCATTAATGGGAATTGCATAAACAGACATGACACACACAGTACACAAAAACTCATACTAGGAACCCATACATCACAATCCGAACAAAATTATCTTCTTATTGCGGAAGCTGAATTACCAATTAATAATTCTGATGTTGATATTAGAAGATATGATGCTAGTAATGGGGAATCAGGATCATTGGGAACAAGCATGGGTAAAGGAAAGGTGGAATGTGTTCAACGTATTAACCATGAAGGAGAGGTGAATAGAGCTCGTTATATGCCTCAACATCCCGAGTATATCGCTACCAAGTGTGCGAACGGCCAAGTGCTAATTTTCAAATATACAGAATTTGAAAGCGTTCCAAAAACCAATCAATGCACACCTACATTAAGATTGAAAGGACATACCCAAGAGGGATATGGTCTTTGTTGGAGCTCCAAGAAAGAAGGACTGATAGCAAGTGGCAGTGATGATTGCAAAGTGTGTATTTGGGACATTTTCGCTCAACAAGGGCAAATTGACAAGGGATCTTTGCAACCTTTGATGATACTTGAGGGCCATTCTGCTGTAGTAGAGGATGTCGCTTGGCATAGAATTCATGATTTCTTGTTAGGAACGGTGTGTGATGACAAAAATTTACGTATTTTTGATACTCGTGCTCAAACCAACACGAAACCTTCTCATGTTACTGAAGCTCATAAGGCTGAAGTCAATTCCATTGATTTTTCTCCTTACAGCGAATATGTTCTTGCCACTGGATCTGCTGATAAAACTGTAAAACTATGGGATATGAGAAATCTTAAATCTGAGCTTCACACTCTGACAAGTCACACTGATGAAGTTTTCTCTGTTTCATGGTCTCCATCAAATGAAACTATTTTAGCCTCATGTGGTACTGATAGGAGAGTTATGATATGGGATATTTCAAGAATTGGAATGGAACAATCTCAAGAAGATGCCGAAGATGGCCCACCAGAACTTCTTTTTATTCATGGTGGTCACACCTCTAAAATTTCTGACTTTTCATGGAATCCAAATGAAGGAGATGAGTGGGTGATTGCTTCTGTGGCTGAGGACAATATTCTTCAAATCTGGCAGCCTTCTGACTCTATCTATTTGGAGGATGATAACGAAAATGTTGCCGACAGCGATCTTCAATAAATTATTAGTTGTTCATTAAAAAATAGGTTCAGCTGTTTATTAGATGTTCAATTCTTTCAATTCTTTCAATTCTTTCAATTAGAATATTGAGGAAACCAATCTTGAAACATTTTCAGTCAAGGTTCTGTCTGCAGTTCTTACGGTAATTGTTCCACTGTTGGCTGTAGCGTTGAATTTGCTGTGAATCAAAATTACGTCGCTTCGTCCAACAACTCTACAAACGCCAATCACCTCCATATCAATAATTTGGATAATAGATATCTTTGCTTTTTGCTTCAAGGTATCAATACATCTGTTGATATCGAACGGACCAGTAAGCTTAATAAGGTTTTTCTTTTCTTGAGTATATTTTCTCCAACCTTCCGCAAATTGAGAAGTAGATCCAAAATCAGGATACTCCGTAATTATGTCAATGGTATCGATTGGAATGTTAACATTCAAATAGCTCGCAAAATTTTGCTCATTTGAGTAAGCAACTTGTCCAACAAGACGAGTTCCCATAACAATATCAGTTGGAGTTAAAGTAATAGCTACATAAATTGGTCTTGTAGTATCCAAAGAGTTAAATGTAAGCCCATTTGGTTTTTGTTTAGATTCTACATCAGATTGGATGGTCATTGCAAAGGCAGATGGTGGTGAAAATTGACAACTGATTTGTGGAAGCACAAAGCCTCTGTCTGTTGACAACACTAAGGCAACAATTAAAGAGTCAGACTTCCAGAATTTGTTGTACTCAACCAAAACACGGTCATCTCGAACTAATTGAACCAAATCTGAGAAAGCACTCTTGTGTGAAGATGCTAATTGTTGAATCATGTAGCTTGTCCTTTTGTTCTTTGATTGTGGTATAATAATGTCATTTGACTTGGACATTGGAACTGGTTGTAGAGCAACTGATGATGGTTTGCTTGGCTGAAGAATTTGATCAAAGAATGAATCTTGAGTAGTTTGAGGTGTGCTCACAGTGGCGACAGATGGAGCCGTAGTAGTCATGCTAAAGAAGTCATCCAGCTCATTCATTGTAGATTTTGGCTGAGTAGCAGTATGCACAACTTGAGGAACTGGATTAGTCATCACCATATCACTGAAAATGTCGTCAACAGAAATAGGTTGTGATTGCTGGACAGGTGTTGACTCAACTGTAGTCGGTTGAAGAATTGGTTTAGCAGTTGGTCCCTTGGATGTCTTTCGTTTTGGAGCAGTCTTTTTTGGTTGAGTTGACACCTTAGTAGTTGCCGTTGAACCTGAATCAGTGACAAAGAGATCTTGGTATTTTTGTTTTCTTTTGGCTTCCGCTGTTGAAATTGTGACAGGTGGCTTATGAACTTCATTGTGATGACTTTCTGAGGAGGGTGAAGTAACTACAGGTGTTGATTTTGATACAGTATCAGTTACAGTTGTTGGTGGAATTGAAACTTTGACCGGTTCTTCTTCAATTTCGCTCTCCTCCACCCATCTTCCTTTGCCTTGCTTTTTTTGGAAGTGACGTGCTGATATCAGTTGTGTTATTAGTTGCGGAAAAGGCACGAGAAGCAATATCAATAGGTGCTGTTGAAACTATTCCTGAAGTGGAGACAGGATTTGGAGTTGCCTTAACAGTTGGGTAGGCATTAACCATAAGACCAGTACGTTTGACAGGTTTGGCATTTTCTGTGAGCAAGACCTTCTTTTCTTCGTTATTTAAGTACTTTCTTGATCCTTTTCTGATCATAATGTTTACATAATCTTGAGCAAAAGATAAATCAATATCAACTTCAATATCTTCATACGCTCCATCAAGTGGCAAAACACTATCCATAATTTCTTCCCAACTGTTTCTCTCACAAGCATTAACAAGGGCAAGGAATTCATAGCATCGTTGTTGTAAATCTACATTCTTTGAGTCTTTGTATTTTCTAACATATTCAAGCACTTCAGGAGAGGCAACTTTACACTGAGCAACAATTTTAGTCATGGCTGTGATTATCCAACATCTTGTCTCTTCAAATTCTAATTGACGATCGACCAAATCGCACAGCTTGCTGAGAATGTCGGACGAGTCATAATTGGCGTTCATATAACTATATTCTCCGAGAACCCATGCAATGACTTGAATATGAAGATCGTGAATAACATTCTTTGAGTCAATGACATCACAGAAAGTTTCAACACAATGACTTCTCATTTCCTCATCATCTTCATCTATTCCGACTCCCTCACCAATTACACTCATCATATTTTGAAGAGCTTCTTGTGGAATATATTGAGGATCAATTTCGAACAAAGTATTCATTGTATCAAGATACCAAGAAATGTTGGGAGAATAATTTTTAGCTAAAATTGAAATCTTTTCTATCAATTCTTTTCTCATGTGGGTGTCAATTGATTTTCTTGCAAATTCCAACAATCTCTTGACTATGACAACAACGTTATTTGAATTTGTCATTGTGAACAACAATTCTAATGTTCTTCTTCTCAAAGTTTCATCAGTGTCTTCAAGACAGTCAATAACGACCATTTGATGTTGAATGGCATATTTTGGATTAATTTTAACAATTTGGGTCAAGGCTTGAATCCCAAGATATTTCAAATTGTGATTTGAGCTTGTAACAAATCTAGAGATAGCACTGGCTGCACTTTCCAACAGCAAATTATTTGGGTAAATAGTTGTAATTGTTTTTACAAACTCAAAAACAACAGCATGACCAATATTGAGTCCTGTGTCAGCTCTTTGCATTCCTTCACGAAGCACTTCATATACAAGCTCAGATGTAGATCTATCATCAGCACAAAGTAATGCAATATTTTTCAAAAGTTTGATTTGAATCCAAGGAGCAGGAAGTCTGTGATAATCATAATCTCGTGATAATCTTCTCTCAATAATTTGCTTCAGAATAGTAACAAATCCTGGAACCAAATCCTTGAGCTGTCTTACGTTATCTGGAACACATAATAGATCATAAAGTAGGCACAAAGATGCACCCATAACACAAGGATCAGGATCGCACAAAGCTTCTTTGGCGTATTCAATAATATCAGGGACTGATGAAGGAGATATTTGATAGAATCTGTGAAGTGTAGAAATAGCCTTCTTTCTTACAATTGGTTTAGCATGTTTTCTCAGTTCAAGAACTTGAGGAAGTAATGCAGGTATGGTTTCTTCATTTACAACTTTTGCTGCTGCAGTAAGAGCACAACAGGCTGAAATATAGTTTGTAGATTTCATATCATTTTGAAGGTTCGCTATCAATAAAAGAAGTAATTCATGCTCAGGAGGCAAACACAGCGTAACTGCCAAATAGCCCACTCGTTTTTCCAACATATCCTTACTAGAAGTTAATTTAATAGCGTTGATATATCCGAACGAAGCATCATGTCCAAGCATCTCACAATACAATAATCTAACCATGTACTCTTTCATCATTTTCTAAAAAGTTGAAATAACAAGAAACAAATGAGTAACAGTTGCAGTATATCAAAACATACTAGAGTAACTTTAGGGTTTTCCATTCCGGTCTTCAATGTAGCCATTTCTCTGAGGATGATTTTGTCTTCCTCCTGCTTGGATTTGGCTTCACCAATTCCACGGATGAGTTCAAAAAATTCTATTTATCATCAACCGTCATTAAAGTGGTATGATCCGATGTAGATGTAATAATTATTATTGTATCCCATTACAATCACAGGTCAATGACGAAAATGTTTGGGAGAGAGGTCACGAAACAACAACCTACCCTTCGAGTGATTGCTCATTTTTTTTGTGGTTGTTCTGGGTCATACGTGGCAGCCAAGGTATCGGCTCTGAGGTTGTTGAAGAAACTCTTCAACAAAACAATAACTGATCCAGAACCAAGTTTAAATGATAACACACATCTCAACACAATTCCTATGAAACAATGTTGTTCCTTTGGTGTCATCATCCAGTCAATTTTCCGTTGCCGCCATTCTCATTCCTTGCCCCAAACGCACAAAAAAATGGCAACAAAACCCCATCTCATCGATACTCTCCCTTCTTCTTCTCTTCAAACATTCATCGATGCCTTCCGTCAAGTCGATTTGACTTCCCCCAAGTCCATCTATGATACCTATGTTCACGTCGGAGGAACATTCAAATGGGATGATGCAGTAACACCCCTCTCTAGTTTACAATCTATTGGACTCACACTCGTACTCTATGTGGTCATTAGTTATACCATCAGTTTCATTCTCGGTACTAAAACTCCAAAGGAAATGGAAGAGGAGCATAAAAATCCAACATTTTTCCAGAAGGTGTTGAAATGGGTCGCTTTTTTGCATAATTTGAATATGACTGTCATCTCACTAGTTTGCTTCTTCGGTTTACTTTTTGAAGTTGCCAAAATTGGATTAAAGGATGGTTTCTATAGCTTGTTGTGTGACCCAGAACACAAGTACAATGTTGGATATATTCCATTTTGGACCTACATGGTAAGTGTGCTTACAATCATTGATTTTCAATTTTTTAGGTTTTTATTCGGTAAATGTGTTTGATTGGTTGCATCACTGAAATTGACCTCTCCTCCAACAGTACTACATGTCAAAATATGTTGAATTGTTCGATACTTTCCTTTTGGTTATCAGAAGATCTAGATTGCGATTCATTCACACCTACCATCACGTCACAACAATGTCAATTTGTTATTATGGATTGTACACCGGTGGTACTGGACAATGGATTCCAATCGCTCTCAACACTTTTGTTCACATTATCATGTACTATTATTACATGAAAGTTACATTAGGATTTGATGTTTGGTGGAAGGTTTGTATTTGTTTTGTGTTGTCGTCATGCACTGAGTCATACTTGTTTTTATAGATGTACTTGACTGATATCCAATTAGTTCAATTTGTATTGGATGCTGCTACATTTACTGCTTATTGTTATGCTGAAATGTTCTGGGAGAGACCAAAAGGTAATACTTGCACCGGTTCATTTATGGGCTCATTGACTGGAGATGTAGTTGTCATTTCTTTCTTTTTCTTGTTCTTTAAACTAAGACAAGAGAACGCAAGAGCTTTGGCCAAGAAGAAGGCAGCTAAAGAACAATTAGCCAAGAAGGAGGAATAATTGATTGACTTTATCACAAATGAAACAATAAATATGAATCAGCTTTTGCAAAACCAATCAAAAAAATGCTTCACAAAAGATCTCTCATCCAATTAATCCGATCAAACTCGAATTCTTCGCAACATGTTCTCTCAAAGTTGGTAATGCCTATGTCCAAAACCTCTGTGGTTAGCAATTCATTGATCAAAATGGACAAGAGATTATTTATTGTCTCGGCTTTTCATACCAATTTAAAGTCATCGGAACAACAAAATCCACAACAACCAACATCTACGGATCGGAACAAGAATTTATTTATCTACGAAGAAGAGAAAGATTTAGAAAAAGAAGTCGTTCCCACAGAAGTTTTTAAAGATGAGAAGGTAAATCTTGTTTATAACAATTTCATATGATTAACAAATATTTTTCAATATTAAGGAGCGTATTATGGATGAAGAACGAGTCAATATTCCATTACTAGTTAAGTTTTGGAAAATGTATTTCGTTCGCTATGCTGTAATCTCTACTTTGATTTTTGGAGTAATTTATATTGGTAGGTTTTACAATGGTGATTGGAATAATTTTCTTAGGTTTGCAGTTTGGGAAGTCACAAGCTGGCTCAGCTCTATTACCTTCAAGAATGTAGCAACAGTATCTTTCTATTTCGGATTTTTGAGTGCCCTCATGTGTTGTGGAGTTACATGGCTTGCTATTCTTGCTTTTAGTATCCATCCTTCAACTGTGTACAGGTAAGTTTTTTGAGATCGTAATCACTCAGCAAATTATTTATTGCATAATTGCAGAGCCGCCATCAAAAAGGTATTGTCCAATAAAACAGTTAGAGACCACATGGTTACACCTTTAACTCCAGGTAAATTCAGAGCATATAGTTATAGTAAGTAAGAACTGCATCTCACATTGAATTTCCTTAACTTTAAATCAATTCATGACAGCCTACCCTGATTTCAATAATGCTCATGATGTTCCTTTTACCAGAAGATTAAAATTTTGGAAACCAAAACGTATGCAACTTTGTTTCCAACTTGTGGATGCCAACAAAAAAACAGCCATGATCTCATGTGACGTGTCTAGAAAGGATGGAATTATTAATTTATTAAGAAATAGATTTACATTCCACTCATTGATAGTAGACATTCCAGACAGTGAAGATAGATTGTTTTTGAGAGGCACAGACCAAGATGCTGTCTATGAGAATGCAAGTGATATGAAATTAAATTAAATTCATGAATTTCGAGTCCAAGTAAACGATTGAATGTCATACTTTTTGATTCTTAAAAAAATGATCTCACGAGTTTTGGAACAACTTCGGCAATTCAATGCTCGAGAATTTTTGAGCCAATTTATTTCATTGGCTTTTGTGTTATGTAGTGCTCTAGTTATATGGAAATCAGTATCAATTTATACAAATTGCCAATCACCAATTGTGGTGGTATTAACCGGAAGTATGATTCCGGCTTTCTATCCCGGTGATATTCTCTTCCTAAGCCTCAGTCCTGAGCCAGCACGTCTTGGAGATATTGTTGTTTATAAATTGGAAGGAAAGGAAATTCCGATTGTGCACAGAGTGATCCGATTGCACAATGTGCATAATCAAACCAATTTATTTGAAGGAAAAGAAGATGTAAACTTGAAAATGCTTACCAAAGGTGATAATAATGAGTATGATGATAGATTTGGAATTTACACTAAAAAGCTGCAATGGTTGCATAGAAATCATATTGTCGGAAGAGCAAAGTCTATTTTGCCCTATATTGGTCAGGTTACAATAATAATGAATAATTATCCTGCCGTGAAATATGTTGTCGTTGGTCTATTAATTTTGCTTGTTTTAACAAACAAGGAGTAGAAGAGACGCGTCTTTTCATTGAAATTAAATTATTAATATCTATCATCATCAATAGCGACCACAAAATTATTTTAATTAAAAATGTCGAACTTGCTCTCCAAGAAATCTTGGCATGTTCAATCAGCTCGGAATCGTGAAAGGGTGAGACGAGATGAAGAAAAGGACAAGGAAAAACGTCAGTATGAGGAGAAGAAGAGAAAAAAGGACGAGTCTCAACAAGCTCTAGAATCTTTCAAGAGGGTAAAACCATCCATTTCTGATCATCAACAGCTGAGTGTGGTTGATCTTTCCAGCAATTTGATTCAAACAAACTCCGAAGTAGAGGACAAAATCTTATCCTCTTCAAAACAAGTTGTTGAAGGAGTATCATTCAAAAGTGCTCTCAAATATGACCATCAATCACGTTTTCATAAAGTAGTGAACAATAGCAAGAACAACACCAGTCCTCCCATTCCTTCCGAAAAGAAACATGTTGCACCCACTGAAAAAGACACGACAGAAAAGAAGAAAGAGTCAAAGCTTCCACCTCCTTCAATGGATGACCTTCTCAAAGAATATCAAGCTCGGAATGCAATCGAAACAGCAAAAACAAAAGCCCTACTGGAACAATCAAAGAAAAACAAAAAATGAAAAGCACAAAACCATCCATCGTCTCCTCATCAAAACAAAAAGTATCACAAACAAAAATCGGAAAGGAAATTCAATTAATCATTAACAAATGGGAGGACAGTGTTGTGAATGGTACTGAGATTTTAAACGGGTTGGAACGATTATTGATCGAAGAAGATTACATGGAGAGTCCATACTGGGGAGTTTTCCAACACGGACCACAAGGTATCGGTGACGTACTCAAAGAGAGAGTCACAAAAAAAGTTTATGCAGAAATATTAGACTCGCTGGTAAAATTGCAAAATATTATTTTCGTCTCGTTAAAAGGCTATCTTCAAGAAATTATGAATTTAGTATCAGGAAGTTGTTACGATGGAGGCAGCACTGAAGAAGAAAAATTATTTCAATCTGTAATTGACGCTCTTCAAAAAGATTTTACCATGAAAGAGTTAATATTCGAAGAATGTAAAAAGATGGCCACTTTTGAAAGAAAAGAATATCTCAAACAGATGCAAGATCCATCAAAGTATACAAACGAAAGCCAATCAAGTTATGTGATGAGTAATTCTACAATGTCATTCTATGTGCAGTCATGGAATATTTCTCCTTACTTTGAGAGAGCCAAATCTGTCATTTCTCGATGAAAGTAAACTATTCTCGTTCTAGAATTATTTCACTTTATTGAACCACGAATCAAAATCATCTCCAGATTCCTCATCTTCATGAGCTTTTGATCTTTCATTTAGCTTCACATTTGATAAATTACTTTCTGATTTTCTAAAGAAGCGTGATATTGACTGAAGCTTTTCTGTTTCTTCAATAATCGATTGCTCTTTTGAATCCACTTGGTCCTTTACCTCTGCAATACCGCTGGAGGAGGGTTGCATGTTTGGAGAGACTGCGTTTTCAGACAACATGCTTGAATTATCAAGTTCATTTGAATTTTTCGAGGTGGTGTCAGGACTGGCCTCATTCATCTCGTCATATTCGTCTAACCTGTCAAATGATTTTTTGAGTTGATTGAGTAAAAATGTTTGTTGATGCTCTGGCATTTGGATGCTGAGCAAACTCGTGTTTGAAGACTCCATTATGGGACTTACTGAGCTTATTCCATGCATTGGGTTTTCCCTTACATTTCTGCTGTTTGATGATACTAGTGAATCGCTTGTTTCGGGTGCTGAGGTCATGAAAGAGGCAGTCTCGTCTGAGCTAGTGATGGATGACAACGATGCGGACTTGCTCATCCTCTTACTGTTAAATTCTCTAACAAGTCTTTCTTCTTCATCATCCGATGAAGAAGACGAGTCAAACCGCACCTTTGAATTCTTTTTAGAAACCATTATTTTGTCAATATCAACATCTTGGTATGCTTCACGATTGTTTTCTTTAAACGTGGGTTCAGAAAAGTTTGAGAAAGAGGACTTATGTTTCGAAGAACCAGTGAAGATCTGGGAATTGCTGCTTAGTTTTTCCTCAATCTCATTCGCCTTTTGTAGAAATGGTAAGAGTGGGGAGAGCATGGAGAATATGTTTGTCGTTGTATTGTTCTTTCGAGGTTCTTCGCTGATTAATTCCATATTTTTGGTGTTTGTCGCCATTTGTCTATATTTCTTCTCTGCTCCATCCATTCTCTTTCTCAATTCAGAAAACGTATCTTCGTCATCTGAGGTGTCATCCATGTCATTACTTTGAGGTGGTCGTCTTAATTTGATACGCTTGTAAACATATCCTGTTAATACAATAATTTTGGAGAAAACGAAAAGCAAAATAGCCAAAAAGTAAAAAATCCACTCCTTCAGTTTGATGGAAACACGCTGACTGTGGAGTAATTGAACCTTATTTTCTAATTCCTTGATTCTACTTTCATAGAGCTTCAGGTCTTCATCATGGCTTATGACTTTATCCTTTGTGGTGGAGTGGGCTGAATTCAATTGCAGAACTACATTAGAAAGGTGATTCATTCTGGATTCCAACTTGTCTACTTTGTTTTTCAGGTTGTCAATTTTCTTTTGTTTTACAGATAAATGTATTTTAGAGACTTCATGCACGTCAAGTATCTGTTTTTTGGTTTCAGCAAGGTCCGATTTCAACACTTGCATTTCACTTCTCAAAGTATTATCAATATTTTTCAATTCATCTTGAACTCTTTGAATGACTTTTTGATCTTTTCCATGTTGATAATTCTCAAATATCAAATTGTTTTTAACCATTGGAATATTCAAGGAGAATGATCCATCACTCTGGTCCGCTAATGAAGATAAATTTTCTAGAGAGGAATCCTGAACATCAATATTTAGGGCATCAAGCAACGCCTTTTGTTGAGGCTTGCTTTTCAATGGCTCACTTGACTGATTAAATGTAGGTTCCAAACTCATATTATCGAGAAGTTCTAAGTCAGCAGCAGAAAGAGCTGGATTTTGGTAGGGAACATATTGAATTTGTAAATGAACTTGAGTATACAGCTTGGTTCCAAGAGGAGTTGTCAGTGAAAACCAATCATCGAGTATTCTTTCCTTTGCTATTTTCACTTTTGAAAGAGGGATTGAGACAAATCCCAAACAAATAATTTGATTTTTCGATTTTGGTTTGACAGGGCTATGAAAAATTTCAACAGAAATTGAACTAGTTTCGTCAGATATGTAGAATTTAAACTCTTCCGACCATTTAAGCTTTTTGTTAAGGTAAGCTCCTGCGAGAGGCATGGTTATATGCTTTTTTCCCTCACAAAGTACTTCACAATAGGTGATATAGTCTTCATACAAAATATTTTCGGTACTGTTGTCAGTAGAACGAGGAGATGTTTGAATGCTTTCTTTTTCCATAGAAAGGATAGAACCTTTTGCTTGTTTTTGTGAATTCTGTGTAGACACAGGCTCGGCAACATATCCCTCCACTGACTTTAAGTTTCTAGTTTGAATATTAGTAATATAAACCTCTCCAATAGCCTCTCGTTGTTGCTCTTCAAAAGGAGGAAAATCTTCTAAAATATCAAGCTTAATATCATCTTTAGAATTACTGTAAATTGTGTTTTGTTTTGGAATAATTTTCTTTGGAACAGACTTGATGAACGACGGAGCGTTTCTCACTGTTGTCACACCTCTTTCAACGCCATCCCTAATATTTTTCTTAAACTCTTTGAAACTATGTTTGATCGCATTTCCAGCAGTGTTGATAGAATTGTATTCAGGATTTCCTATTCCTTTGAACTTGCTGCTATTGCTACTTGGAATCCAACTTGCTGGAAATGCTTTTCGGTAATGAGGGCCTCTAGCAGAGGAGACTCCCAAAGAATTGGTATCATTTCGATGGTGGACTATTGTAGAGGGATGATCGTCGCTTCTTCTTGGGAGCATTAAAGTATCCACTGATTTGTTTAAGTCCATGGAATATGAAACTAAATCTTGAGTGGGTTCAATCTTTAAACTGTACCGAGGATCTATCATATCAGGTGACAACTTGTTGAAGTGAACAGTAGTATTTTCAGACCTGGTTCTCATTGGTGATGGTTTCTTCAAAAGTTTGTCACCATCGAATAGAAATTTGTCACGTTGGTGATGAACGGTACGCTTCTTATTTGCTGTATTGACCGATTTGTTAAGCTGTTCACTGTCAGACTTGGGAGCAGAAGATAAATCCTCAAAAGAGCTGCTCCTCTTATGGCCAGCATTCATGTTTGATGTAAGGCTCTTTTCTTTTTCTTCAAATAAATTAATCGGAGCAGAATGCTCATTCACAGAACGAGACCTGGACTTGGTTCCTGGACTCCTTGAATTTTCAGTGACAGCTGAAGATGATGGGGCACTGTTGCCATGTTGGGGTAATACTACTTCTGTTACTTGTTGCTTGTTCTGTGAGTTGGAACTTGTTTGATGAGGCTTATGAATAGACCGTGGTTCATCAGAAGTAAATTTTCGATCGGAAGTGCTGTTGATACTGTTGTTGTTACTACTGGATGACTGATGTTGGTGTGTATGATAGTATTTATATTTTCTTTCCTTGTAAGAGCTCAAAAGGTTCATTCCTGATGAAGTGGTCTTGTGATGTTGAGAAACTACATCATTACTAAAAGATGGTTGAGGGAAAAATGTGGGAGAGGTGGAAAGAATGGAGGATGAATTATGAGAGGATGGAGAGGTGGAAAGAATGGACACTTGTTTACTGCTGCTGTTATTATTGTTATTTGATGATGTTTCTTGATTCGGAAGCGATGAGTGATCCATTTTAGAATATTTACAAAGATGAGTGGTGATGGACAGAGCGACAAGTTGTTCTAATTTTTATAGTGTGTATAGTTCTCACTCTCACTTCTAATGCTTAGCTTCTAATCTTGCTCGATTTAGGTTGAAAAATTGGAAACATGAAAGGATGATGATGATTCGTTCTATTTTTTGGTGTTGGGGGAGTTATCACGCTCGGGCGATGATCATCAACTCTGAGAAAAAATGAAGAAACAAAACACATCCACGAGCTCTTTGCATGGATGTTCCGAACACTCACCATCAGTGTTGAGCCATGGAGATATTTCGCCTGCTTTTTCTTCCGAATCTGCGAGTAACCATGAAGATAATAGATCTGTTAGATCTTCTCACAACATGTATGATCATGTGGATGGTTTAGATTTAAATATTTCGAGTAGAATTGAATTATCCAATCCTAGACTCTCTCTTGATTCATCTGATGAAAATGTTGATATTAGACAACCACTCACCTATTATGAACAATGGTATGAATATGACAAGTTGAGAAGAGAATTAAAATTTAATATTCGGAGGTGTATTTCACTATTGAGAAATAGATATTCATTTCAAAGAGAAAGAGGGCTGGATGAATTAATTTCTATTTTATCTGGTATGGAGACAAGTACGGACAAGGAAATGTTTTCCATATTACAAAAGAAGATGGATGAAGATTCAAATGGTGAGTAATTTTAATTATTGAATATTTTGATTAATATTCCCATTCGGAATGAAACAGTAATTTCAAATGTGGTTACCACTATTTTACAAAATACTACAGCTGGAAAGCACGAGTTGAGTCCTGTGACAGCTGTTGAAATTTATAAGGCTCTGTTGGTCTTGGAAGGATGTTGTTTACTTTCACCAGTGTGTTCCAATACTTTGGCAACTCTTCAAGGATTCAAATTTATCTTAAAAATACTATCTGATGGTAATAATTATTTGATAAATTCAAATATGTCAAAGAGCAGTCCATATCAATCTCTCGATTTTAAAAATCAAAAAGATACAGAAGAGCTGTGGGATGAAATTCGTTTAACATGTATAGATTGCTTGCTATCTTGTCTTCATAATTGCCCTCATTGTGTAATTTTGTTTTGTGAAGACTCGAGTGGACCGGATGTCATATGCACTATATTGAGAAACAAGGATCTCTCTAAAATCTTACGGTCAAAATGCGTTGAATTTTTCTGTATTTTAGTGAAGCTGCTCACAAATATTGAATCTAACGACGGATTGCATGTGACAAATTTAACAGAAAGGATAAAAGTTTTTCTTGGAAGCAAGTTGACAAAAGATTTGCTTGAAATCTGGAAAGAGAAAGATGAGGAATTGGACGTAATTAAGTGTGACAATTTTGTTGATTTGGTCGATGAGAGGCTTTAAATAATTTATTATGTACATAATTTACACAAACACTGAAGCAGAAATTAACTATTTTTCTGTTGCTGTTGACCTCCTGATTGAACGGCCAGCATGTTGATATAATTAATGTAATTAATCTTTCCCGTATTTTCTGGATCCACATTGGCCAACAATTCAGTAGCCTCCTGTAATGTAATTGGATTGTCGCCGTAGGTGGTTAAGGCATGCTCCAACACCTTGGTTTTCACTACTCCATAGGGACAATCATCAGTTTCAAAAGTTTTAAAAGCATTGATATACTGCTCGACGGTATATTGCGATTGAACGCTCCTCGACATGACGGCTACAAATTCATCAAAGTCGATGGCACCTGAATTATCGGCATCACTGCAATTTTCAAACATTTGCTCTGCGCATATCCCAATCATGTACTTACGCCTCTTTCATCATCTCGTTGATTTCTTCATCCGAAGGTTTCAAGCCCAGAGTCCTCATCAAAGTACCAAGCTCTTCCTGTTCGATTTCACCTCCTCCATCGCGATCCACCTATTTAATTAACATTGTATAATCGTACATTATAATTCCGAAAGTCAAACTTACGAGCTGAAAGATTTCTCTGTACCGTTTAATATCCTCTTCGGATACCTGATGACCAAGCTGCACTCCCGTTTGCTGATGGGGACTTAAATCACTCATTTGATGATCTCAGAGTTTACTGTAAAGTGTGGCGGCTTTTTTTAATTTGAATTTATTTTCTTGTCTCTCGGAACCCCTTGTTCCTGTTGTTCGTCCAGTTTGGTATCCTTCAATTAATTGAAGTATTGTGTACCTTACGAACTCTACTTGTATAACTTTTCATAAGTTTCAAAACCTCCTGCAAGGTTTAGAGCATTGTCAAATCCATGTTCATTCAAAATTCTCTGGGCCATATATCCTCTCATTCCAATTCTGCAATAGGTCACAATGGTCTTATCCTTGGGAAGTTCAGAGAGTCTGTTTCTCAACTCGTCGATTGGAATATGAACGGCATCCTCAAAGTGACCAGATTGCCACTCTCTTGGTGTTCTCACATCCACCAAATAATAGTTGCTTCGATTGGCCAACACTTGAGGAATTTGAACCATTCGTTGTTCTCCTCTCAACACGCCAGCTGCAATGAAACCAATCATATTCACTGGATCCTTGGCTGATCCATATTGTGGAGAATAGGCAAGTTCAGATTCCTCCAAATCAAACACGGTCATTCCAGCTTGAATGGCCATTGCTACTGCATTGATTCTGTTTGCAATTCCGTTGTGTTCTCCCACAATTTGACATCCCAAAATTTTACCATAGCGTTCCTTAGAGGTATCAAAGATCAATTTAATGATCATTCTCTTGGCACCAGGATAGTAACCAGCATGATCATTAATTGGAGTGTAGACCTTATCATAGGAAGTGTAACCAGCTCTTTGAAGAGATTTTTCACTTGCTCCAGTACTGGCTACTGTATAATTAAATCCTCCCATGATGGATGTACCTTGAGCTCCTCTGAAAGAGTCTGGTGCTTTACCAAAGATGTGATTCACACAAATTCTTCCTTGTCTGTTAGCAATTCCAGCCAACGGCACCTGAGTTCTATTTTTCAACACAAAATCTTCAATTTCAGTGTTGTCACCACATGCATAAATGTCAGGATCTGATGTTTGACAATGTTCATTCACAACAATGCCACCACGAGGGCCAACCTTTAATCCACTCTCCACTGCTAGCTTATTTTCAGGTTTCACGCCTACAGAGAGTAGTACAAAGTCAGCATTCACCACTTTACCACTTTCAAGATGGACATTCACAGTTCCATTCTCTCCTTCAGAGAATTTGACACACTTTTCCTGCAATAACAAATCTACTCCATTTGATCTGTAATCATTTTGGAGAGGAGCTACCATTTCCTTGTCCTAAGGATATAGAATTGAATGTGTTCATGTAAATGCATCAGCAATCATTCACATAATTATTTCTGATGTAAATACACTCATTCATGAGTGTTGAAAAGAACTTACCATTGGTGGCATTACTTGATCTAATAATTCAATAATGCTAACCTTAACACCGGCATGAGTGATGGCCTCAGCAACCTCACATCCAATAAAACCAGCACCAATGATCACGCATCTCTTCTCAGGTTTCACATGTTGCTTAATTCGATCCATATCCTCAAGAGAACGCAAAATATGAATTTTTGGATGTTTCACTCCTTCCAGTGGTGGAATAATTGGTTCAGCTCCAGTCGACAAAATTAACTTGTCATACGATTCGAAATATTCTCTGAGTGGTGTTTTGCATAATACTTGTTTTTGGGTTCTATCAATGGAAAGCACTTCAGTTTCAATACGAAGATCAATATTATATCTCTTTCTGAGAGTGTCAGCTCCGGTAACAATTAAACTGTCCCTTGATGCAATTTGACCTCCTAGATAGTAGGGCATTCCACAATTTGCAAAGGATGGGTTCTTTCCCTTTTCAAACAAGACAATATTGACTTTTTCGCAAATTCTTCTGAGTCGGGTTGCAGCGGAGGCTCCTCCAGCCACACCACCAACAATGACTACCTTGCTCACGGCTGACATTTCGATATGTGTTTTTTGCTAATAGATGGGAGAGTGTCTGTCTGGTTGTTTTTTTGTATTAAATTTTGTATTTGACGTCCTTTCTTGGAACTTTGCAATTCTACATCTTTACGTTGAGGTGATGTGTGTTTAGGTACTTTAAAAGAAACACAACCCGTCGCCGAATTATCTTTGGGCCGAAATTGGGAATTTTTTATGGGTTGCAGAACTTCTATGACTAACAACCGTTTGGTCATTTATTTGAAAAAAATCAATGAGCATATTTCTTGTTGGCAACAACTGAAGTCCAAAGGCCTACCAAGCGAGATTTTCATAATGCAAAAGGATTTGGTCACATGTGTTTGATTACATGTCATACTCTTCTTCAGGTTCTTCTTCAGCTGGTGCTTCTTCAAGCTTCAGTAATTCCTGTCGAGCTATTTCATTAAATCGATTCAAAGAGAGTGCTTTGTGAAAGCATTGAAAAGCATCTTCAAAACGTTGTTGGCACAGATAGATTTGTCCAAGTTTGGTTTGAATGCTGTCCGTATTTTGTTTAAGGTTTGGAGATTGTAATGTTTGGATGGCAGCATCAAATTGTTGTCTCTTAATATCTAGTTCCACTTTTCCTAGAAGTGCTTCTTCCATTCCAAATTCATTATCTGTCTCTTGGCATATTTTGAGTGCCAGGTCAAACTCTTTGTGTGCATGATCATGAAGTTCCTCTTTCATAGTATAGACACTCCCTAACAGAATGTGTGGTTTGTAATCATTCTTTGAGTTGTAGTGCTTTTGAGCGAGTCTTGCAGCGTTAAGAGCATCTTGGAAATGTTGAGGCAATGCTAAATATGCTTTCACTAGTCCTTGGTATATTCGAATATCTTTTGAAATGGTTTTTGCTTGCTTGTAAACCATAATGGCTTTTGCAAACTGTTGATTCATTAACAGTAAATGACCCTTCCATAAATAAGCCAGTACAAAGGAGCTGTTCAGTTCTAAGGCCTTATCTACACTTCGTATGGCCATTTCCATGTTGTGTTGGAATGCAATTTTGTTACTCTCTACGTTTTCATCCACGCCTGCCACTGCGAGTAGAGTACTTCTCGATGTATAGTAAATTCCCATGACTAACCATGTCTCTGCAGATCCCTTACTAGTTGTTAATAATCTTTGTGAAAGTGTTTGAAGTTCTAAAGGATGTCCCGTCGTCTGCAAAAGAGTAGCATAAATGCTTGTTTTTAAATCCGTGTATCCATCCATTTTGTAGCACTGTTTGAATAGATCCAATGCTTCATTGTATTTTGATAACTGATCATAGCAATCTGCTAAACTCAATTTCAGTCCAACATTGTTAGGAAATGATTTTTCCAAATACTTTAGCGACGGTATTAATTTTTCATGTTGGTTATTGTGTGCATAGTATTTGGCATCCACGAGCTTTGCTAGCCATTCTTCTTTCTTGTAATAATCGGTTAGATTTTTCTTCTTGTCTTCAGGAAGGCCAAGTTTAATGAGCTTTTCCACAGCTGATATTGCATATTTATCCATTTTTAACACCTCTTGATAGCATGCAACGGCCTCCTTACTTTTATCCCTCTTCATGTAGATATCTCCTAATTTCATAAAGTTTTTTACGCTCCTAAATTCTTTTGGTATTGATTTTAAATGAATCTCTGCCTCATCTTCAAGGTTATTCTTTAAACAGGCGTCCGCAAGAATGTCACAAATATAATAATGTTTTTTCTTGTCATCTGGTGTCTTGGACGATAAATAATCCAAAATATATGACGAAATTGTTACTGCTTGACTTAAATATTGCTAAGAATTTTGTGAATCTTTTGCTGTCTTTCATGTTCCTAGCTTGCTTACCTTCGCTCGCATAAACTCTGAATTTCCTATCAACGCTCTAGAGTACACAACTAAGAGATCCACAAATATTTGCAACCATTCTGCTTCTTCGTTGGGAACAGAACTCAGTTGACATTTTTCTTTGAAAGCAACGAGCACTGTCTGAGCCAAATTATCCACACAAAATTCACAAGTGTTAATATTCCAAGAAGTGTTGTATGGTGATACACCTTCAATCATCGATTCATTCCTAGAATTACTTCCTCCGACAATTGTATTGAAGCAGTTACTGATCATCAGAGACCCAATCTCTGCAGCACTGTCAAAAAACTCGTGATGAAGTTGTTGATTTAGTTTCTTCATGATGATTTTCAAGGTTTCCTTTCCGATTCCATTGGGCTGGTTAGCAGAAGAAATTGAACTGGATGATGGCCGAGAGATGGGAGGTTGTTGTTGCTGCATTTTTTGTTTTGCAATTAAGAGCCAATTAGAGAACGAAAGAACACCTGCACTTCTTTTCTCCCGATCGTTTTCCCAACAATCATCGTCCCAACATCAAAACCTTTGGCTCAGCTTTGTCAAAGAGAGTACATTCTCGTTGCTTGAAAAATAATTTTTATTTGCAAACCACATTTATTGTGAGAAGGAGAAGGAAGTGAATGCTCCAACCATCAAACCATTAATGTTTAGCAATTTGTTACGTCAATTCTTGGAAGGCTCGTTCGAGAACGTGGAAAACGACATGTTCGAGATTCACCTCTGGGAAGATATTGAGGTAGTCCCTACGGCTGCTACATGGACCAAAATCCTTGGCAGTGATTCTAATGCTCACCTAAATCGATTGTCATTACTCTGACCTTTTAATTTTCATTTAAATCTAATTTACAAATAGGACAGGTGTGACTGCTTTCTAACCACTGGTCGATACAGTCTTTGTGAAAGGTGTGAAAACAAGTCAATCTTCTTAACTGGTCACCCTTATTATATTCCTCCATGCAGCAGATACACGAGTTGTTCTCCTCATTCGCAGATTTGACTCCATCATGAATAAACGTTGGGAATCGCCATAAAAGATCTTTGTTCACTCCAATTTTTACAATATTTTCATCCAACCTTAATAATTCTTCGTACGATTCGTCTCCTGTGATATGTGAGGGCAGTGTACTACTGACTGATTGTGAGCCCTGTCCAAAATTGTCATCTTGATAATTGAAATAATTATTGGAAATTACATGATCAAAATTGTCGATATATGTCTGAAAGGGAGATACATTTAATTCCTCTTGTTGTAACCTCCTCGCAAGCAATTCATCTTCCGATATCATATGAGAGGAAGTAGAAGAGCTAGTATTTCCATTATTGACACTACTACTTGAACCTGCTGTTGGTCTAAGGGAGGGTTTTCTATTGGTCGATGTAGAGATGGAAGATGTTGGAGTTTTGGAGGTTGTTCTCCTCATTGGTCTGATAGCACTTCTCTCTTCCTGTACAGGTTGGAGTTTTGGTCTTGAAGAGATGGAGTTATGAGAGGATATTCCCAATCGTTGCTGTTGATTCCTTTGCGTTGTAGTGTTACTTGTGTTTGTTGTGTAAGGTTGCAATGGAGAAGAATGAGCTGCATTTCTTCCGACCACTGCGAGGCCGGTTGTATCCGATGATGATCTTGCAATGTAAATCCCCGAAGATGATGATGTACTTGTAGATTTTTCTGAAATTTCTCTTTTCAATTTTTCATTCTCCATTTGAAGGTGTTGAATGGTTGCTTGAGCCTGTAATAATTGCTGTTTCAAAGTTTCTATACTTTGTTTTTGCTCTTGAATAATTCTAAGACTCGTTAATCATCATAAAATTGTGCAGTTGCTACAATTAAAACATACGCTTCTTGTGCACTGATTTTAATAGCGGCTTCCTCGATCGCACTCTCGAGCTGATCATAGTGACGTTCGGGATGAACAAAATCATGAAACATCACGTTATTATCTTCATTCATTTTTTTTATTCGAATGGACCATCAAAGGCGGGTTGAATGTCATTGTTCTTTGTTGAAATGCTCAATTCGTAATATCAGAATTCCTGTAAAAAAATAAAATAAACAAGTTTTATTGGTAGTGCACGATCAGTATGGATTCAGAATTCTTGTGAACGCAAGATTAAACAAGAGAATCTTCTTCCTCATCGCTGTCAAACTGGCCTCTTGATTGATTCTTGACATAAGCCTTAAGTTCTTTGAGATAGGAATCACTGTTCAATATCGAGGTACCTCCAAGCACAACTGATTTGAAATTGTCGTCAATTTGATTTAGAGAACTGATCACACCAAAGTTTGCCTTTACTTTGGCGTTTTCATCAGCCTCTCTTCTTGATTTGCTGTTAAATAATTCAACAGACGAAGCTTCTTCATAAGTGAAACCTCCAACAATAAATACGATAACTTCTTGAGGTCTATCAAATAATAAAGAGTTGAACAATAATGCGAAATACGGTCAGTACTTACGTTTCTCTTGAAGTAAGGCTAATAAATGGATAATCATCGAACGATAACTTTCCCTTAAATAAAAGATCTAATGTGTCATAGAGTCTTGGCTTGTGTTGAGTGAACACATTTGTAACTTCCTTATCTTGGAATTCGCTTGCTACTTTTTTGAAAAAGCCAGTCAGAGAAATGCTTGTAGGTGCTTCGTCAAAAAGGCCTGGAGTACGTTGTGATTTACCCCCATATTTGACAGCATAATCAATGAGAGCTGTGTTCTTGACACCCTTTCTGGAGAGAATAGATTTAAGAATTTTCAATTCAGCCTTTCGGTCTTCGTATCTGAGCGCATAGAGCAGCACTAAACGAATAGCATCTTTTTCAGAAAGAAATTCCCTATTCAGCATGTTCTGTAGTGCTTCATAATTATCAGCGTGTGACTTTCCACAAACGAGTTCTTGTTCAACCTCACTAACGTCCAATAAATGACGTTTTGCCACAATAGAACGAAGTTCTGTGACAATGGAAACGTGTTTTTCAACTTCTTGTTGTTGTTTCTTAAAAACAGGGAAGTTGTGCATAAACTTTGCAAGGTCTTCGATTGATTGAATATTCTCTTTCATGTTGTGATTTTCTTGATATCTATCAACAACTTTCTTTACATTTTTACACAAATCTCCCCAATTTTCATACATATTAGTCGCGAAGAATTCGTCATATTGTGGGGAAATTACTTCCTCTCTCTTGTCGCTTGGGAACGTGACTACATTATTTTGAAGGCCAAGTAGTTCATGAATCATGGCTTGATAGGTCCACTGTGTGAGGAGAGGAGTGACAGGATCATCTCTACGGTCAAGAATCAACAAAATTGGTGGAGGAGGAGCCTTAGCGTGATATCTCGTTTCAGATTCCATCTTGAAATCAAAAACTCCATTGTCGTGGTTGTTTGTAGAAATTCTCTCACTCAGCTCAGTCGCAATCTTTTTACATAAATCGGAACTCTTTTGATATCGTATAAATGGTTTCTTTCTGAGTGATATTAACAAGCTTGTCAATCCATCATTAATTTTAGAAATAAGTGGATCATCCCATGAAGCATTCAATAACGATATAGTGCTCGGGATATTAAAAGAAAAAATAGTATTGTCCAACGCTAAGTAATCTGCGAAATATTCAAATACATTCTTTACAAGTTCATTCTTGTCCGATGATGCAATTTTTTCCAAAATATTTTGACTTGCAACATTTGAAAAGACTAAGATAATATTACATGCAATGTCATCCATTTTTGTATCAATCCGTTTGTCCTGTACAATAACTTACAAACAGAATATGTTTGATATTTAGGAGAGAGAAGTTCTGCTTTGAGATGCATGGCATTATCGCTTGTAGGTCTGACAAAGACAAGAGCTCGCATATTTGGCAATGGCTGTCTCTTCTCATTATTTAAAAGATCTACCAAGAAAACATTCTTCTGCATGATCAAACTGAAAGGAGTTACAACAGAAACAATATCTCTCTATCCAAAATAATTGTCATATCATCACGGTTTCAAAATTTGAAACGTTTCAATCATCACCGATCGAAATTTATTTCATTGTCATACTTACAGTATATTCATCTAATAACAAAACTTTAACTCCCTTCACGCTATCCACCATATCCAAAATATAATCTTTTACTGCTCTCACAACATTCATTTTACGTTGTTGTTCCTTGTCGGTGCCCAACACGGGAGAAGTGGCCACAGAACCTGAAGTGCTGGAATTGAGCATTTTTTTTGTTTTTCAAATTAGAGGATCCGATTTGGAAGTTGATACAAAATTAAAATTTATTCTCGAATCCCAACGACTCTTATGACCTCATCCCATGTTACCCATGGGAGCATTAACATTTAGAATGTTGATCTGGTCTTCTCCATATTATGTGTTTGATGTTGCAACAATGTGATTGGGAATGTGTGTGTGTGGTCGAAGGGAATTGCCTTTCTCAATCAATTTTAATCGTTAAACGCCAAAAAATGAGCAACACTCACTTCCAACAACAAGTCGGAATCAAAGCAGGACAAGCCGACTTTTCTTCATCATCCACCACCTCATCTTCTTCCTCATCGACATCTTTTCGGTTCTTGCTTATATCAGGAGCTTTACTTGGATTTTCGATCGTTTTTAGATATGTAAATCGACAATTGGAGAGTCCCAATAGTGCGAGCTTCTTCGGAGATGTCGTCACCGTTTTCTCTTCATTTCTGTTTACAGTCTTGCTTATATTGTTTTCAGCATGTATTTTGATGTGCTCGATATTATTTTTGCTATTATTCCGTAAAGGAAAACCCACTCATATTCAATCACCAACTCAAGGAATTGATATTACTGGAAGCAAAGTAATTGTTAGTGAAAAAGCAATTAGTGATATTAATGACGAGAGCGTTTTCTTTGTAAGAGAGCAAGAAAGCGACGAAAGTGACTGCAAATGGATGAATATTATTCTCAACAGGGTACTTCAACAATATTTTTATAAGAATGCTTCGAAGATTAAGAAGCAAATACTACAAAAAGTTTCCGAAGAACTAAAATTACCTGATTTTATTGGAGATCTTCAATTTAAGGATTTGAATTTTGGATCAAAGTCTCCATACTTTAAATCAATTTCAGCGAAAGAGGACAGAAATGGATTGGTATGTTTTTTATCGAAATGACAATTTTTACCATTAATTCTTCTTTTGCCATTCCCAAGCAAGTGGACGTTGGTATTGTTTATGACGATCCAAAAACAAAAATTCACATTGGAACAGAGATATGGCTCAATTATCCTGTAAAAAGATTTGCATCATTCCCTGTCCAGTTTAGCATTGAGAATATTTTTCTGGACGCCAAGGTAAGGTTTATTGAATGTTGAATTACGTATTGAAATGACCACCTTTAATTAGATGCGAGTCATTATTTCTCCTGATTTTAAGACACTCAAATTTTGTTTCCTCAGGCAGCCAAACTTTGATTTAATCTTCTCTAATGAATTTGGGCATCATGCAACTCTTCAAAACGTTCCTTTACTTACTGATGTTATCAATCGCCAAATTTATCTGTTCTTGAGTGAATCCCTAGTTGCACCAAATTTTATTGAGCTTGCGATCCCTGAACCAACACCAGAAAAGAAGACAAGAAAATCAGAACAGACTGTTGAAGAAGCAAATGAAAGTGACAATGAACAATATTCTGACGATGATATTGAAAGTGATAAAACTTCCTCAGAGGAAGAACCAAGTGCTTTCGAAACCGATCAGGAATCAAACCAAAAGCAAAGAATAACTAACAGAAAGGCCAACAAGCAAACTAGATTGAGGGTGTCCCAAAAGAAATAATCTAATACTAATAAAGGATTAAATCAGAAATATGAAATATTATTTCGGTGTGTGTAAATCTTTTACAATTTGAAGTGAGTCCGATTTGTTAAAATAATTTCGTGATGATAAAAATATATGCTGGAGCAATCAAGATAACCATATCTATTATTGATCCTTTGTAACTTCCTCAATGCTATCAACGATATCCTTGACTCTCTTACTCAAACGTCCGAGATTTGTTGTTGTTGTAGCAATAACTGTGCTTTGGTCTGCTAGTTGTTGTTCAACTGCAGAAAGCCTTTTTTCTAATTGTTCGGCTTCGCTTATGGCTTGTTTAACAAATTTATGAGTCTCCGAAATTGTACTCTCCAATGCACGAGAGGTATTGTACACATCTCTACGGAGGTAATAGTAAGAAAATGTTGTACCTGTGATGGCACCAAGAGCAAAAGGCACGAGTCTACTCATTTTTATAATTGTTGGATGGCCATCCTCGAATTTACTCTTGGGTGTGAATCATGTGCATGCTCTCTCTTATCTCCATCAAACAAGTGAAAGAGATTCATGATGGCCATACTAAAACACTACAGATCATGATTTGGATTGAACCAGTCTTCCTTGAAAAAGCAGCTGGAAATTGACGTTTGTTTGGAGCTTGAGAGTTTTCAAGCAATTTTTTGGTCATTGTAAAATTCTGATCAACCACATTTTTTAAATATAAAAAATTTTGTTTCTGAAAAAAATACGCCAAAACTCCACCGTTCCATTCTAATCAACAATGGCAACTGAAAAGCACTCATTCAAAGTCTTCACCTACAGAGGACATGGTTTGGAAGCATTGACCAAGATGGAAAATGACGAATTGAAGAACTTGTTCACCAGTGCTATCAGAAGAAGAATCAGCAAGGGTGTTTCCAAGAAGTATAAGACCTTGATTGAAAAGGCCCAAAAGAAGAGAGACTCTGCTCCATACGGTGAAAAGCCAGACGCTGTCAAGACTCACTTGAGAGATATGATCATCCTTCCATCCATGGTTGGTACTATCATTGGTGTCTACAACGGAAAGGACTACGTCTCCGTTGAAATCAAGCCAGAAATGATCGGAATGAAGTTGGCTGACTTCTCTCTCACATACAAACCAGTCAAGCACGGTAAGCCAGGTATCGGTGCTACCTCATCTTCAAAGTTCGTCCCATTGAAGTAAATAAATTTATTACACTCATAAAATTTAAATTCATTGAACTTTTGAATGGTTGTTTTCTCGTTGTTGCAATTCTAGAATGGTCTGCTTGAGTTGTCGGTTTTCCTTCTTGACTCTCTCCAATTCCCTCATCAAATGGAAGAGTGAAGTGGAGTTGGGTGAAGGTATCTCCATCTCATCTTCATCCTCCAGCAAAATGTCGTCTTCCTGGGTGTTCAATTGGTCTTTTTTCTGACCTGTCAAGAAAGAGGATGCAACATCGTCCTCCAGCTCAAACAAACCAAGTTCGGTAGCAACAGTTGAATTTGTATTACTTTCTCCTTTGTGAAATGTGCTCTCGCTTGACATGCATTTGCTTATTGGCATAGATTTGATTTTCAGCTGCTCAATATAAGAGTCTTTAGTTGTCTTTTCATTGATGGTTGTTGAATTGTTGTCGCAATGCATAATGTTAGACGTGACAGAAGGTACTTTCTTGCCCAGTTGCTCTGTTTTGTCAACCCCCTCATCAATAAATCGTACTGAGTCAAAGAAGCGCATGATAAATTTAAGTGAGCATTAAGAAGTTACTACTTACTCACATTCTCGAAATCACCTTCTGAATCGCTTGTCTCTACTTCATCTTGCTGCTTCAAAGAAGTGCTTTCAAGAGAGCTGAGAGACAGGTTTTCATCTTCATTATGATTTTTTCTTGTTAACAAGCAAACATGCTCCTCTAGATCGTTTTCAGATCCTCCCTCTAAATGTTTTGATCGTCGCTTTTTTTGAAGCTGTGTTCTTAAAAGAAAATGAATGTCAAGAGGATATGATGCATTCTCCGTCGACGACGGTATATGTTTAGAGGGGAAATCATGGATCATGTTGCTTGAGGATGCAGATGACATGGGCCTTTTTGATCCTCTTTTTTGAAAAAACTCAAGCTGAGTTTGCTGATGCTTCTTCTTACTGACTCTTGATCGTGCTCCTTGCAAATGTTCATTCGTAAGAAAAGGCTTTTCATGCACGACAGATCATCAACATACCTCCAGTCCAACGTTTCATTCTATTTTTTTGTAATTCGAAAAAGAAAATCAACTTGAAATTAGGCTTTCCTTAGATAATCGACTAATGCAATGGAACTATTTTCTTTGTTGTGGCATGGTTACATTCTAATGAACGCAAGTTGTTCGATTGATGTTCCTACATAACCATAACCAACACAACTCGCAACCAAAATACTTTAGGTCACATAGTTAATCAATAAGGCTTGTGACCCTTCTTCCGATATCGATTTATTCTGAATATTCATAAATTTCAAAGTTCACGCTCTTTTGAAATGTTCGTATTCCTACAATCATGACTTGAGATAGAGCTCATCGTGTTCCATTTTGCACAAATGATAACTATTGTATTGCACTAAATGACCCATATCTGCCGCTCTGAAAATTCCCTCACAGCAGTTAAATGTTGCATATTTAGTGAAATTCTGTGCTCCTTTTCATGAGATATCCAATTCCGATCATGGCACCAAAGGTAAGAGCATATTCTGCTATCTTCCATCCAACACTTGGTTCTGATCCAGTAGAATCATTGGTTTTAGTTGTTTGTGTTGTCTGTTGTTGACTTTTCGTTGATTTTTCATTGTTTTCATTTCCTGACAATTGTCGTAATATAGCTTCCATTTCTTCTTCGTTTTCATCGAACTCATGACTTGTAGTGGGTGGTGATCGAGCATTTCCAGCAATTTTTGTAATGTCTAACACTTCATCTACATACTCATCTTCTTCTTCAGACAACAAATTTTTCTCAGGTTGTTCTTTTTTGTAGAGCTTTTCATCCAGAAAGTCAACATTTCGTTGTTCGTCTTCATCGAGGTGGTTGCTTTCAGTTGGAGACGGACTTTCTTCGGCAACAGGTTCATCATCACCCTTAAATACATTGAATTGCTGTTCCTGAATTGCAATGAGGACATCCGTTGGAATTTGAATCTTCTCACTCATGAAATTGGCCAGCTTAAAGTACTGGAATGCCTTCACGAGGCTCTTATCCACACCATCTCCACTTTTCAATAGTATACCAATGTTGTAGGCAGAGAGAGCATGTCCACGGTTCAATGCAAGTTTCCACCATGCAAATGCTTTCTTATAATCCTTGTTGAATGGTATGTTTGCAATAGAGCCTCCTTCATGGTATAGAACTCCAATATTAAACATGGATGTAGGGTTGCCGTCTTTGATGCTATGCTCAGTAAAACATATAAGAGCATTTTCATAGCTTTTTTCAGTTCCTATTCCTTTCATGAAATAATTTCCAAGCTGAAATAACGCTGTATGTGAACCGTTTTCTATTGCAGCTTTTTTCATATATTCAAATGCCTGTTGAGGAGAAGGGACAATTCCGAAATCATTATCTTCTTCAATAAGGCATAATTTCGCGAATAATTCTCTTGATTGTGCATGTCCTAAATCAGCAGCTGCTTTGTACAGATTATAAACCTCGGAAATGTCTTCTTCTTTTGTTGCTCTATTATATATTTCTTCTGCCTTTTGTTGTCTTGTTTGCTCGTCCATATCATCAGGGTATTGAGATCTTTCAAAGTCTCTACACATTTCCAAAAATTGCAAATGATTGTTCACAATATCGTCTTTGACAAGTTTAAAGTAATCACTCTTGGTTTCATGTTGAAGAGGAGCAGGTTGCTCTTTAAATTCAGTGCACTCCTGGTTTGAAAATTGAATAGGAGAATTGAATGAAAACTTCAAATCAATCGGAGACTGTTTTGTCAGTTTAAATACAATGTGTCCTCGTTTGATACTCCAGTCATTATCTGTAGGGATTATTTCTATTGCCAAATCAATCTAAATATGCAGCAATAATCATTCCGATATTTTCGGTTGGCAAGTGCAGTTATTAATTGATTGACAATCCATATATTCAGCAACTTACATCAACGAACAAGTCCCCTCCTCTCACCTCGGCCCGTATGTGTTTAGAAGAAACATCTACTATCAGATCTTTTGATTTTAGGTTCGGATTTGGAAGAGGGACAATCACTTTGAAAAACTCTGCTTGCTGTCGCCAAGAAAAAGGAAGAATAGCTGGATCTACTTTCTCGAACATTTTTTCGTTTTGATGTTTTTCTTAATGTCGTCTTGATTGGCTTGATGTTTTAAATTGTTGGTCACCAATAAGATTAGAGAAATCACAAAGAAATTGGGATAGTTGCAACTATCAACTCATACAGGTTTTATTTATTCTTTTTCTTCTTCTTGTCAGAGAATTTATAAACTTTAACGTTGCCAAATTCAGAAAATTCATGCTTGTCTTTAGAGTCTTCATCATCGACAGTTTTCAATGGTTTGGTCCAGTTTGAATTGGTTTTTTTGACTTTGCTGGCAGGTGGAGGAGAGGAAGAGGAAGTAAGGGAAGGAAATTCTTGCTCCTTGTCGAGCTTTGCTGGTGGTGTGCCAGATCCCTGGACTCCCCAAAGCAGATCAGGAGTTCTCACAATATTGTGTGAAATAGGTGATGGGCGTTGCTTCTCCTTCTTTGGTTTTGGTTGAGTGTTGGATGATTGAGCAGGATTCCAATTTGGTTTGGATGATGATTGAGGAGCGTTAGAAAGAGTTGGCCAGCTTTCTTGTGGAACTTTTTCTTGCTGTTTTGATGTTGCAGTTGACTGTTCTTTGTTGAGATTTGGGTTAAATTCAGGTGAGTGATATGTATTCTTTGCCAATATTAAGGCTTGTTTCTTGTTCTCATCTTGTGGAGGAATTGCTTCAACCAACAGATCGAAGATTCCTTTAGTCTTATCTTCTCCTAGAATGGAAACAATCTTGGCATAGTATTCACTCGCTAAGGACTCTCCTCTTAAAAATTGAGTACTTAAGAACTTCAATTCTTGATATTGAGACTCTGAAACCATTTCTTTCATTCTTTTCACAAGGTTAATATTCTTTTCTTTTACATCTCCGCTTCCACCATCTTTTCTTCCTTTGTGGTGCTTTTTCTTATTATCCGAAGAAGTCGAGGAAGATGACTTGTGAAGTGAGTCATTGTGATATCCATCACCAGCAGTATCCACAAAACGAATGACAGAAGAATTAATTTCTCCTGTACGAATTTGTCTTCTTTCGGCGTCGTTTGGAACGTTCGAAATGTTGCTTAGAGTTGATAGGTCCAACACAATCTTACCGCGCTTTGTGGAGGATGCTGAGGAGTGATACTTGTTCTTGTGAGCAATTAAGTCCAATTCGTTTTCAAAAACTTTAAATCCTTGTTCTCTGCATTCTTGGAAAGGACACAGAAAGTGCTTTTCATCAAAATGCCTCTCGAGATGTTTGTAGTCTTTGTAAAATTCAAATTGAATGCCATGTTTCTGACAAATAAAACAGCGCTCGTGTTTGTACATGTGATCAAAAATTTCATCATCTGAATAGAAACGAATGTTACAAAACTTGCAAAGAGGATGACCTTCAATTCTGCCATTTTCATCTTCTTCTCCTAGCTTGAGATGCTTCATTAAATTATTCCATGTATAAAGCTTTTGATCTGCCAGAAATACTTTTCTACTCTTTAAACAGAGAGAACAATAATTGAGTTTGTGAACTTCATTCATGTGATGGTTTAAAAGTTGAGTATTTTCAAAACTGACCACAAGACCATTTTGCTCTTTGCATATCTTACATTCTATTCTCCGTAGGGATGTCAATTCATTCATCAGCAAATAATCGTCGGTGTATATCTTCCAGGTTTCATCGTAGATTAAGTCATCCTTGTTATACTCAGAGAATGATTTGTTTGCATTCCTTGAGAAAATCACAGTGTCGGAAGGATTCTTACAAATCGAACATCTATTGTCGTTATTAAAAACTCGAAGTTTCAAGGTACACTTGTGACAAATATCAACATGGTTACATGTCTCAAAAATTGAATGCATATGGGCATCCTCACAACAAATACAGCAAGTAAAGAGTGCGGCGTCTTTTCTCGGCACTAGACTACCACGGGTAGATGTATTGGATGGTGTGCTACTTTCGCTTGTTCTAGCTGGAACGTTTACACCCCCTTGTTGTTGCTCTACATTTTTGTTTTTCTTTCCATCCCGATGGTGATGATGATGGCGATGATGGGAAGGAGGATTATTAGAAGGAGTATGATCGGATGATGTTGTTGATTGACCTTGGTCTTGTTGTGGTCTTGAAAATGCTGCGTTCAAGTTGTCAGCAAATACCTTCTTTTTCTTTGTTTGTCCGTGTTGTACTCTGTTCATTGATGTGTTGTTCTTGTTGGAAGTAAAGTCTTCACGACAGGGATATTGTTTGTTGTTATAATAATTTTTTTGTTATTTTAGGAATGACGTGGTGGGTCTCTTTCCGACTTCAAGTGAAGAGGTTCAATGTCGAGGTTGAGAGCAATTCTGGGTGTGATTTTGAACGAAGGAGAATAAAGATTGCGATGAACATCCAAAAGTAAGCGGTTGAAGAGCGCTGTCCAAATAAAAGCGATAGGCATGCGCCTTGTTTTTTGGCAACCAACTCCAGAATTTGTTGGAAGTTCATTCAAAAAAAATTGGGATCACTTCATGAACGTAGCAGAAAAGAAAAGAAAACGACTCGAAGAAGAAAAGCTGTCCTTGAAGCAGAAGGAATTCAAACAAACAAAACTCACGGATAAAACAAACAACACTCCCTCCTCCTCACTGAAGGAAGATGTCGAAATTCCAGGATTGTATCTAGCAGAGAATTTCATTGATCAAGAAACTGAAACCAAGCTGATGAAAGAAATTGACGAACGAGAATGGAGATCTGATTTGACCAGAAGAACACAACATTATGGTTATGCTTATAATTATTCTTCAAGAAACGTCAATAATAGCAACAATCAGACATCAGCTCCACCAATTCCAGAAGTGTTCAAAGAATTATTGAAGGACATTCAGGCCGTGGCCTCCGAACAAATTAAATCGCTGGAATTCAAACAAGTTATTGTTAATGAATATAAGGGCACGAGTCAAGGAATTTCAAAGCATGTGGATCAGTGTATAGACTTTGGGCCTGTCATTCTTATTCTAAGCCTTGGAGACGATTGTGTCATGAGATTTCACAAGCTCGAGCGAGTGATTGAGGAAGAATTGGTGTCAAAGAGCGTAAAGAGAAAAGAAGTGTCTCCTTCCATAGTTGTGGATAAACTTCTTCCAAGAAGATCTTTGATCATTCTTTCCAAAGATGCAAGATATCAGTTCCAACATGAAATCCCAAAAACTAAAACGTTTAAGGTGAAGAACACAGTGGTGAAAACAAGGACAGAGAGTTACAGAAGAGTTTCTGTTACCTTTCGGTCTCTTCGATCTACTGCAAAGTGAAGTGCTTTACAACCTGATCATAGATCTTGGTAGTAGAGGCACGATCATTCATAAGTCATTCGTGCATAGGTAAAAGTGTTATAATCATATCTCAAATTTTTCTAAAAATGAAAAGTTGTGGGTTGTTGTTTTGTCAATCAAAATTCGTACCCACTTGTGGTTTTCAAAATTTTTATTTGGATGAAAAGATCCATTGATCTTACGACATCAACTTTGCTTTTAATGTGAAGATGGAAAGCAATATTTATCTCACAACCAAATACAAAGCAACTAGAGAGTGGTGGCCATTGATCAGCGCTTGTGACATTCGTGGTATGGTCCACCGCGTCAAATTCACAAACAAAAAATCTGCTCGTGATCACACCTTGCTTCCAATACAATTAGCATTGCCACAAGCCTCTGATCGAGAGGAACCACCTCGTTTATCTGATGGTGTCCAGAGTGTTATGGATGAGAGCGAAACAATCATTAAAAAAGAGGAAGAATTAAACAAAAGAATCGAGAAGGAATTTAATGAGAGAACCAAAGATAGTAAAGCTGGAGAACTACCATTGATGTGCAGCCAGGTGAAAGATACACGCTCACCAAAGTCATGTGTTCTGTTGATGAGTTTAATCTTCGCTGTCAGGTAAACAATGTTCATGAAGCTGAGAGAGAATATAAACCTGACCTGACAAATCTTGTACTTGATTCTGATGACAACTTGGTACTCTCTGATGATCCTCAAGTCAGATATATGGAACTGTCAAAGAGCTCAACAAGCCATTGAACTCTACGAACAACGCAAAACAAAGAATGAGGCCATGATGGTGAAAAAGCTCGTTCTATCATTGCCCAGCATATTCTTGAAAGAGAACAAGGCTGTATTGAGAGACATGCCTGGCTATGACGAACGAGAAGAATACAAGCAATACATCAAGGAAAGCATGATGGATGTCGGAGTTGTCTTTTGTGGTACCGAGAACAACAGAGGCAGTTGGGATGACCGCTTAATTAAAAAGCTGTGGGATCATGGATTGTATTCGCCTTATCAGAATTTCTTTCCATCCGTTGTGTTTCTTGTGAATGATCCTCTCATGACAGTGGAGGTATATAATAACTGGAATTACAAAGATACAACCAACAAGATCAAAGTAGGCATCCAGCTCTCAATTCTATTTGGAGTCGATGTTGGAGTTTCTGAGGACATATTTGCAGCTCGTTCCAAATCAGAAAGTCAATTCGAAACAAATAGAATCACTGAACTGTTGTCGGATTGTGGTATTTCATTAACAGGCTCTAATCACCTAACTTTGGAGCAGATTAAGGGAATCGTTGATGAATCTAAAAAAGGAACATTCTCAAAAGACGATTTCAATAGACTCCTAAAGAGACTTAATGATAATCAATCAGCGAATGCTGAAATATTTGAATCAAATATATGAGTTTGCAAAGCATATCTATGACAACTTTGCTATTATTGTTGTTCCTCCTCTTGGAGCACTTGTAAACAAATTCCTACAAGACTTTAGGATGGTTATTGAGCAAGGCAGGATTAAAATGTGTGAATATCAACGCACACGACTTAGAGACAGAGCATTCGTAATATTGACTTACCTTGATGTAAAGTATCGAGAACCTGAGACTCATGTGAAGGTTGAAAAACGAATGAAGCAAAAAGTGAACTCTATTACACAACGTTTATCAAAGAATATCAAAGAACGCCTTACTAATTCGCGACATCTTTTCCCACAAAGAGAGAGCATTTCTTACACAACATCATCCGCGTTTATTAATGATTTGCTCGATTTTTTTAAGCAACATCTACGCCATTGCTTTGATGAAAATGAAGCAAAGTCTATTATTGAAAATGAAGGGAATAGATTTAAAAAAGAGCAGTTTAAACAACAATGGAAAAATGTCAAACCATATGTGATCAAAAAGGTTTCCATGATACTTGAAAACATGACTCGAAATGCCTTGCAACTACTGAATCGTCTGAAAGTTCAATTAGAAAAATATTCGATTGGTATTGATATGGAGTTGCTTAAAGACGGAGATGCATTTGTCAACGAAGTTGTTTCTTTACTTGACCCTTCAATAGAACATAATAGCAATAACAAATTGGCTTCGGATATTTATAATGCAATTGTTGAGCATGAACAACAATTGCAAAACTCTAAAGAGGACTCATTTAATTTACTAAATGCAAACTGTCATGAAAGTCTTGAGATGATATCTCGTCCAGAGATTCAGCAATTACTCCAGGAATATCAATACAAGTCAAACCAAAAAGATATTACCTCCATTACAATAGGCTCTAAATATCCCACTCCATTTAGAAACCCTGACAAAGGATTATTTTTCCCAATTATGGAATCTGAAAACACTGATGAGTTAAAAGACAAGAAATATTGTGCCTCAAATGATAGTTTGTTAAAGTATTCATTATCAAAATTTCGAAAAAGTTCTATTGTGGTTGAAAGAGAAGTTGAGCATCAAAGAGCACACAATGAGATTTTGATCACTAATACGGACCACCTTAAATTAGGCATCTCTTATTCAACACACTTCCAAAGAATTACAGAATACAAAGATACCGATACTGCTCAGAAACCACCTTCGCGAGTCCATGTTGTATTTGTTATCACAAGACCAAGAGGAAAATATTTTCAACCTAATCTATTATTTGATCAAAAAGAATTATTGTACAGCCATAAGGTGCCACATTTATTCATCATTGCAACAGAAAGCTGTTATTTGGAAAGATATCAAAGAATTATTGCTCAACAAGACAAAGAATTCCTTGGAGAATATTATTTTCTTATCCTCAATAGTAACCACAAATTAGGATATGGTACTTTAGAAACATGTGTGTTTGAAACGGCTATACATTTAAAGTTTGAAGTGATCACTATTACATATGACGACACTGATCGTGGATATGAATACTTTTTCGACAAGAAAATAATTATGGATCATAAGTGGGCCTTAATAAGATACTTTTGTTTTGCAGAGAAAACGTTGTACTTGGAGGCGCTTGGTTCCAAAAACAAGTCTGGTGTTAAATTAGAGTTGAAGAAGATTATGCAAGAAATTACTATTGACACAATTTGTTTCGAAGACGTAAACAACAAGAATCGTTTGGTTAATTTAGAGGAACAAATGGGTTTGTAGTCTCTCCAAACACCCAACCAGGTTCTAAAACTAACCAAAAATTGCACGACCTAATGAAACCAACGCACAAGACTTCGTATGAAAAATCCGACATCAACACATATTACATGCCATCTATGAAAGGGATACATTCAATCAGTGATGCTAATTTTTGGAAACCTTTTGATGAGAAAGATAGAAAAGAAATGTTAAAGAAGGCAGAGAAAAAATTGTCCAAATTCGATATTGAAGCCATGCAAAAAGGATGGAAGAATCAAGATATTGCTTTGAAAACTCAAATGTTACTGCATGGTGTTGGCTCTTTTCAGATATTTTGCTTTGCTTTTACCAGCAAATATTTTTTCCATCCTTAGTAAATATGGATGATGTAAGACGAGATGACGATTTTGAAAGCGATCAGGAATATGAGGGAAAAAACCACAATTAATACCCCCAGTAAAAATAGCGAGCAAGGACATGCAGACGATAAGAGTACCGAAGATGAAGATGATATCGCTTATGATAACCAAGAATGGGCTGATGAAAAGAAAAGAAAAAAGCACCCAAAGCATAACAGGATCACTCCCTCTCAAAAAAAGACCAAACAGTGATTGGTCTTGATTATATTTCGTTGTATTAGAATGTTATTTTCAATTAAATTTTATGTTTCGATCTTCTTCAAGTAAGGCTTTTTTCTCGAGGTGTTCGCTTAAAAAATGTCCTCACAACACGACAGTGCATCTTCTCAACCAAAGAGTCAATCAAGCTCTGCTGGTTCAGGATTAGCTGAAGGAAACGAGGAGCTGTTTGAGAATTTGCTGATCACTTTGAGGAGTAAGTAGATCATTCTTTCTGAGATTTCGGAAGGACCATTTCAGCCTTACAAATGCAAAACAAGAGGCTCATTGAGTTTCAAATATCAAGGTAAGTAGATAATCAACAAAGGACTCAATTCTGGTTGAACATCGCTTTGAAGTTATAAGTGGCATTTGCAACATCATGAGAACATTAAAAAGATCATCACGGGATTGAATTTGCTGGGAGAGAGCTTTGAAAGGCTTGGTATTGAAGGATTTTCATTAAATGTAACCGAAGACCCCCATCTCAAACTGTAGGTTGTACAACGGTCTTGTTTGAAAATATCAAGATCACCGTGTTCTACAACTCGAATATTAGAAATGCTCAAGAAATTGCAAATTCCTTACGTATAGATGTTGAGGAGTCGAGACCTTCTCGTGCGATCTCTTCTTCGTTGCGCGAGTCCTCGGAGGCTTCTAAGATATCACATGGGTCAAACTCTCTCCATGCAAAAGTGATTGCATTCTTTAACAAGTCATTTGTGTCAGATGTGGATAAGGAAACATTCGAAAGGGATCTTCAAGAAGCATTGTTCAACACGAAATTGGTTTCTACACTTCGTGAAGAGTCCTTCAACATGATTCTTCCCACCATCACTTCATGGTTTAGTAATGTGAGCACATTCAAATATGGTTTGGTATTTCTTCGTGAGGGCATAAGATTGTTTCCTCATCTGTTTGAGAAACAAGCAAATCTTGTTCACTTTTCCAAAATTGTTGATGGTAAGTTGGATTCTTTAATGACTTGTCTTCCAACCTTTACCTATGTAACATGTTAGCTCTTGAAACTCTCAATGAAGACGACTTGAAGCATCTCGAAAATTTCAGTATCGAAGAAATTCAAGAAGTATTCAACTTCCTCAGCTCGCTTTTAGAAATATCTTCCCAATAAAAAATACATTCATCATCATGGCCACTATCTTCAGATTGCAAGATGATCACCTCAACGACCTTGTCTCAATCAACAAATTGACAACCGAGCGTACGTATCCGATATTGCAACTGAGATAATTGTTATTAAAATACGATGTAGAATTGGAGGAGCTTTGCAAGTTATCGGTCGATTTTATCATCAGCGGATCAGTGAAAAAATCAATTCAGCAAACAGCAGGTAAATATTGGTAAATATTGAGGTTCATCATCACAAAGATCAATTTTTCATCAACATATTGACTTGAACAAATCAATTTGAATTTTGATAATTATATTTGGTCGATTACTATATTCAACGTGCTGCCTATGATGAATTACATTTTTTAAAAATGATTTTCAATTCACTGATCCTCAGCAAGTTTGTCTTTGGACAAGGACGAATCCGAAAAAACAATCACTAGTTTGTCATATCTATATTCTGACTGTGCAAAAGCAAATTTAGATTCTAACAAATTTCAATTAACGATTTTTGATATTCCATCACTTTCTGACATTCATGCGAATATTTTACTGAAACACTACGAACAAAACTTTGAAAAATTCCGTACCCTGTTCACAAAGGCAAATAGCACTGAATCTTGCTATGGACTGAGTACAATTCCACAATATAAGGACCTTGAGTGGAGATTTGAAGTGGAATGTGATAGGCGAAGCGTTCGACAATTGTTAGAACCCTACTTCACCCTCAAACTCATCACTTCAACAACAACTGGAGATGAGAAAAATACTCAAGCTCAATATTTTAACTGCTCTCTTCATGAATTGAAACACATGCACGATGTATTGGGAGAGGCACTTAAGGAAATGAAATCTCCACACACCAGAAGAATTAAATACTACATTAAATAAATAACAATATAATTACTGTTTATATGGATGGTATTGATACTGTTTCAGAGTACTATGATATAATTTACCACTGTTACCACCCATAGTGGAACTAGGGTTCGTAATATGACTTGCTGGAATATTATTTGAAAATGAATTGGGAAGCATTGGTACAGAGTTGAGCTCAGATTCTCTTGCGTATGTGTAAAAAACGTCGCCCTCATATGAAAGCTGTGGAACAACCACCTCAATCCGTACTTGTCCAGGAACAATTCTTTCAGGTGCAACACAAATGATTCTGTCAGGAAGTACTTGCTTAATTAACGGTGAATCCTGTAGCCCAAACAAAACTCTTACGCCTTGAGGATTTTGAAAAAGTCCATCAAATGTACCAAATATTGTCACATCATGCATTCCCGTCAAAAGTCCTCTATTTGGATGAATCGAAAATAATTTTGTATCTAGTTTGCTGTGATTGCTGATAATGTTGGAAGGTGTATAATGTGGAGAAAAAAGGAGGTTGTGGAGGTTGTTGAAAGGTATGTTGATAAATATTGGAAACGTTATTACTAGATGTGGATGGGGGAGAAGGAATAGTGTGTAATAATTGAGAAGCTGAAACTGGTGGAGGATGAGCCGATGGAAATTGCACTTGATATTGTTGCTTTGTTTCCAAAGAATTTTTGGGAGGAATATTCACAGGTCGAGAAGAAGAAGTGCTACTACTGGTCATGCCAGTTGGAGGAAGAAGCGAAGGTTGAGGATTAGAATAAGTGGTGGATTGACTTGAAGGCTCTACCATTATTTGCTTTCGAGGAATAACTGAGACCATTCCACGAATCACACCTTTTTGGGCAGCCAGTTTTGAAGCGTGCTGAGATTGAGGGGATGTCTGTAATGCATCTTCGGAAGAGGAACCTACTCGAGTGACACCTCTGAGATCTTGAGGTCTCGAGCAAACATAAAACTTGGGAGAAGTCACTGTCTTAATAATCCTATTATTGATACTGAACTCAGCGGAAAGCCAAATTAATTTTTGAGTTTCAGGTCTTCCACTCGTATAAGGTAATTTCTTTCTAAATTGTGCTTCATAAAATTCGTGTTCTTGTGAGCGAAATGTTGTTGACAAGTTCAGTTCAGCAATTTTTGATTCACTCATCTTTGTGAACGAGTCAACAAATGATAATGTTTCCATGTGTTTGGCTTCAGAACTTCCTTCCTTATTACAGTTAACAATACATGTATCAAACACAAAGGATGAAATGACTTGAATGGTAATCACATTTCGTTGTACCCAATATTTGATTCCATTCTTTTCTTTTTGTGTTCCATCAATAATGTCAATTAAGGCAAATAAATGATCTGACGAGAGATCATCATTATCCTCTTGTGTTACAAGTGGTAACGATTGAAAATTTTCACTGCTATTACTTCCCAGAGAGGATGATGAAGAATGAATATTTCCACTTCCACTACTGCTATGATTACTTTGACGACTCGTTCTTCCACTACTACTGTTGCTGCTGTTATGGTTGTTGTTGTTATTATTATTCGCATGAGTGTTGCTACTACCACTACCGCTACCACTAGTACCACCACTCTTGTTGGTATTTCCATTACTGTGATTTGAAAATTTCCATTCATGCATGTGCATCATCATGGAAGGTAATTTTGAACTTTTTGAATTTTGGAATAATTGAACCATGAAAGATGCCACCATGCTTTGAATCATGATGGATAAGAGTGAAGAAAAATCATTCCATCCATCATCAGTGGATTTGTTTGTATTCGAATCATGGTTGTATAAAACATGAAGATGTCGATGATGATTCAGACATGTGGTGGTTCTTGAGAGAATGCTTCTTCTTCCTTTCCTAGTTCTATCAATACCATCATCACCATTCACATCTTCAAGACATGTTTCAAAAAGTTCCACCTTTTGTTGTTGTTTTGGTTGTTGAAAGAAGGATGTATTCAATACATTGTGCCATGTATCATGATGGTGGAGGATGCATGTACTTCCATAATCATCATCCGTGTTGTTGTTGATAATGATGATGATGCATGTATTTGTCCGAACAAGATGTTCCAATAAAAGAGATGAGAGCTCTTCGTTGAACGACCACATGCACGAACGTGAATTGTTGTTGTTGTTGTACTTATTGTTGTAGGAATAGTCGTGGTAGTTCTTTTTGCTATTTTTCAAAAAAGAGAGTTCGTCCTTTTTGGTGTACTCGTTGTGAGGAGTAGACGCGTCGATGTGGTTATTGTTGTTGTTACTCGTCGTCGTCATCGGGGAGGAAGAGAATTTCAAAGAAGATTCCTCAGGAGAGAGAGGAAAGTTTTTCTTTCGCAATGCCATCGGACGGTGTTGATCGAAATGGCGAAGAAGAGAATATTCTCTTATGGAATGACATTGGCATGATGGTCGTTGTGGTGGTGAACGTTTCAAGTCCTTGTTGTTATTGGATTCATCACAATGATTAATCACACGAGGAGGTATCACATGCGATGTTGATGTTGGTGATACATGTGGTAAGGGGTTGATGTCCTCTTGATTATCATCATCACGAGAGGTATTCCAATCATTTAAGGTTGTATGAGGACATGAATTTCCTTCTTTAAGGTGTCTCATGTGGCATGTGTCACGTGGTGGTGTTGTTGTTGTTGCTGTTGATTTGACATGATGATGATGACGGTATGGCCATGATAATGAATATTCTTTCAAGAAGAAGAAATGCAAAAACAAATCCATCCACACGAATAACCTAGAGGGAGAAAGTGAAAGCGATTGAATGCATGTATTGGATGGATGCATGATGAAGCTCGAATGCGGTGGGAATGACTCTTTGTGATGTGGTGGATGGTCAGGTCGTCTTGCATCCAATGTAAGAGCTCTTTGACGACTATATGAGAGCGAAGAGCTTTTGCATGGACATGATCGTTCATGTAACGATGGAGGTAATGATGATGATGATGGAGAATCTTCATGCTTTGGAAGAGTATTGATGCATGTCGAACTGATGAAGGTGGCGAGAATGATGGGTGTGGTAGGACTGGTGGTAGTATTCCTCATACTGGTAGAAGTGGTTGAAGTGATAGTAGTAGATAGAGCGGCAGTGTTGTCGTTGTTTTTTGCATTATTATGACAAATGGAGCGAGGGAATGTGAGTGGTGAGGTTTTCATATCAATCCTGATTTGACATATGTGGACAAAGGTATCTGCATGCATGCGACGTTCGCTCATTTCGCGTCGGGATAGACCTAATAGATGTGTTGGTTCTGATGATCGAGGTGTATCGAAGGATGTATCAGTTTCATGGTGTGGAAAAGAAGAGGAAGACGAAGGTAAGAACATGAGGGTTGGATGTGAGTTTTTTCGAAGCATGTATGGAGAATGATGGATGGAATCTTGTTGAGTGAAAGCACATGGGTGGAAGCATGTGACATGCCTCATAGCATGCTGCATCACAAATGGAATAGTGGTAGTCTCTTGCATGCCATACGGCAGCACCACATCAATGAGAACAGACATGATGATTTTAATGGCAGCGAGCAGGGCCTTTTGGTTTTTCGTTCTCTTCTTGAATCCAAGAAGAAGTATTGAGTGTGGTAATGGTAGTAATACCAGTAGTGGTAGTATTCGACACTGTGATGGTTTGATCTTTGGAAGTCTTTCTAACAAGTAGGTGTAGATTCTCTTCGAGCTGAGATTTGGCAATTTTTTTAGTGTGGGCTGAAAAAAGGGTCCTGTGGGAATGGACCTCAACTCAAGAATCAACGGGAGTGTTGGTATGGTTCCTGATGTTTTGGTATTGCGAGGAGAAACACACGCGTGTTCTGCTTTTGGCGGAATAGTATCCCAAGAAGCCGTTAACCATAATCCTCGCAAAAAATAGAGCGCGTGGCATGGATTGAAGGAGTGTTTTTGTAGAAGATGAACGACCAAAAGAGTTTGTGATCGGTCGTCGTCTGGTTTCTCTTCTTTGGTGAAGGTTGCGTGCCGTGTTGGAGGATGGTGCTGGTCTAGGAACATGTACTTTTGTGTAATGTAGTTGAATAAGAGGAATGGGAGGCAACACTGTTGGTGATGGTGGAGTATTTGTTGGACCAGCAAAGAGATAATTCTTTGATTAAGAGCCGAGAGAAGATGGTTTTGAGGTTTGGTGATGACTACTTTGATACCATTGATCGATACAACGCCCTTGTTCTCATATAAACCTACATGCGTGGATGTGGTCATAATCTTGGACTTATCAAAACATGGCAGCTCAAGGCTTTTGAGATATTTTTTTCGTTGTTCTCAACCAACGAGATTTTAAACTTCCGATCTCTGAAATTCCGCCTATGTCTTTATGAACGAAGAAATGAACAGCACAAGCTTGGGAGCGTGGCCAAATTCCGAACTCTCTTTTGTGATTGCGTCTATTTAAAAGAAGTTATATCCAAAAAAAGAAGAATATTGGAGCTGTAAAGCTTGCAAAGAACAGCAACAATCTTATGCCCAATGCGCTCTGTTCCTTCCCGTACAACCAAAGAAACACCTCCTCAACGTTCACCAAAAAATGCTTCAACACCCTCCCTCCTCCTCTAGACCCAACCGTTTCGTTGCTGATCATCCACCATCAGCAGCATCTGCGAATTGTTCCAATAACAACAACAACATCGACCATACAGATCTAGCCTCTCAACAACATTCACAAATGAAATTTATAAAGAAAAGGCTTTCATCATCAAACCTAGCTCTTCCCACAATGGCAAATTTACTCACCGATAATCTCACGGAGGATGTTCTACAGTCTCCCATTAATACGGATACGGTCATAACGGCGATTTCTTCATCAACACCTCTCCCTCCATCAACAAAAGACAAGTTAAAAGTGGTGAGGCCCACTGCCAAAATTATGCAATCAAGAATTTATTTTCATCAACACGCAGAACTACTTTTTTTGAATTTCGAAGATTTTTATCTCGAAACAAAGGAGGATGTGGATATTGTGATCAAATTTATTGAATTAACCTTCCAAAACTACATCACAGATGAGGAGCTACAACGAGGAAATTCATCACCAACGTCGCCCATTCCCCGAAGAAATAGTTTCGCCAAGTCTTCAAACCCAAAGAAAAACGTTGATGTTTATGTAAATTATGACCGATTTTATTGCCATGAGTCTCTGTTGAAATATTATACAGAGAAAATATCATATTTAGAGATGAATTATTATAGATCAGTGAAACGATTTACCACAGAGTCTATTGAAGATAAGCATCTAATGAAACTAGAAAGAACATTACGTGAATTAAAAGAAGAAGAAGGAGTCGTTCAAGACGCAGTTATAAAGAATTTTGAAATTCTTGGCGATAGATATATTATTTCTGAGAATTTGATTGCGCGAGGAACTTTTGGCAGAGTTTTTTTAGGGAGTAACAAGGACACGGGAGAGTTTGTCGCTATAAAAGAGCTCAAACGAAAGAATATTGATAATGTGGAACGTCTCAAAGAATTTATCGATCGCGAAATGACAATTTGTAAATTGTTATCTGACTCCCTCAAAAATGGTGATGAACAACATATTGGAAAGAAATATATTTGTAAATTCTATGATGTAATTTATACAGAGACAAATTATTATATTGTGATGGAATACATGGCTAATGGATCATTAGAGAATCCGTTTGAAGGTAAGTCAGGAATTTAAGCAGCAATGCAACTGTTTTACGCTATCTATTCACCCAGAACGAGAAGTGTTCCCTTCACATGTTGTAAAGAAATTCTTTAAACAAATAGCACATGCGATCCATTATATTCACAATACGTTAGGAATATGTCATAGAGATATTCAATTGGCAAACCTATGCTTGGGGCAAGACCAAGACATTAGATTGATTGACTTTGGATTAAGGTAGGTATCAAAGCCGATCTTCACCGAAGAGTGAGTTGATTCGTCGTTTTAGCGATTTCTTCACACCCAACGTAAGAAAACATTCTTCATTTTGTGGAAATAAGGACTATGCCTCCCCTGAGATGATTTTGTCAGACAGATATGTTGGCAATGAGGTGGATTGCTATGCTCTTGGAGTGTTGTTGTACAAAATGCTTGTAGGATATTATCCATTTCGTAATACGATCGATAAGATTTTAGGCCAATTTTATATACCATTAGACGAACTTGAGAGAGAAGGAGTGCTAAATTCTCAAAGCATTTCTCTCATTAAGGGCTTGTTAGAGAAAGACGTATCAAAACGGTTCACGGCGACTGATATTCTTAATCATGAATGGTTACAAGATGCCAGAGTGTAACTTTCAATAAGATAGAATTTAATTCTACAAATGACTACAAGAAGGAGCGAGGTCTATTGTGAAAATATTCAAGTCCTCTTGCTGCTTGCTTTCGTTCTTCCTCTCCCTCCTTTCTCTTCATTTGCTGCTTAAGTTGTTGCATCTTCATATTTTCCATCATGATGGACTTTTCAAATTCCTTACGAGCAGTCTGATTCGTCATGATTCTGTTGTATTGGGCTGAAATCGGGTTTTTACTTTCAAGGGCAGTATTTGTTGAGGCTGCTCTTGATGATTCCGATAGTTTTGCGCTACAATCTTGAAAAGCCTCATTCCTCTTCCTTATTTCAATGTGATTATCAATTTCCTGTTTCCGTATCTGTTGCAATTGTTTTTTCTCTTCTCTGCTACCTGCGAGTACTATTCTCCTCTGTTCCTCAAGTTTTAAGTGTTTGAGCCTCTTTGCTTCCATCAAGGCTTGCTCTTTTAAGTACTCCTTTTCTGCTGATTCCAGGTTGGTGGTTGAGTTCCTTCTTGCTGCAGAGCTAACTCTATTCATTGTCGTGTTGTTGGTGAAAGTGATGGATCAAACAGGGATATGTTGCGGATGTTTTTTTGTGAGAGGTGTGAGCAATCTCTTTCGTGGTGATGATGGTATAGTACAGTTGTCTCAATGATTCCTCAGAGATGAATCTTTCAAGGTGTACTATAGCCACAAATGGACACTTTGATGAATGAATAACAAGCTTTATACTCGACTCAAACCTCATTCACATTTAAAACGAATTGTGTCGTCAGCAAAATGCTGTACGAAAGCGGAAACGGCACCCGCCTTTTTAACGACTTCATCTCTCAAATAAAATTTGTAAATAATACATGCTCGTTAAATGACTTCGCACCATCCAAGGACAACGTTGGGCGCCTATGCTGCTGCCTATGTTCATCATCATCATCAACAACAACAACAACCTTCATCATCAAATAATTCAAATCGGAATCAAGTGATTGAACTTGGCGATGGAAGGATTTTGCCATTAAATCATAATTTAACGGAAGAGGAAATTCATCTCCGATTGAAAGAGGAAAAGAGAAAAAAAGAAGAGGAGAGACTGAGAAAATTGAGGATAGAAACAGCAAAAAGAAGGAAAAAACAAGAACAACTTGATGCTCAACTAAAGGAAAAAAAAGATTTAGAGATCGAAAAAGCCTTACAAGAAAGAAAGGAACGCATTCAATCTGCTTCAAAGCTGAAAAAAACTCCTATTTCTAAAATAACGACAACAACAAATACACAAAGACCATACAGTGAGGAGGGAACAAAACTGCCGGCCTTACATAAAAACGAGAAAAAAGAGCCAGTAATACTTGCTGCGGATATAACAAAAAAACAGATCAGGCATTTAAATGTTTTGGAATCGCTCGATTTGCAAGGCATAACTTCAAGCACCGACTTGTTTTTACTTGCAGAGAAAATGGCCAACAGGGAGAGCATTAGAGCCTCAGAAGCATATGGGGCCTTGAAAGTAATAGAACAAAACCCATCGACAGATGAATGCAGCCCTCCCATCTCGTCTCCACATGATAATAATGTTGTAAAAATTGTATCTCCCTCAAACAAAATGAAGAGGGTAAGAATTCAAGTTGTGGAGGACAAGCAGACAATGTTTGATTTACAGCATCAACAGGAAAACAAACAGTGCCATCTCCCAAACATTGCACAAAAAAGTGGCATTCAACATGATGAAATTGAACAAAAACAAGTATCAACAACTTCACAACCAAAAAAAAAACCGTTAGTTAAGGAAAAGAAGAAACCTGCAATGGCAACTACATCAACGGGAGTGTCAATAGATATAGAGAAAATTGAAAAGGATATTGTTTTAATTGATAAGGCTTTGCTTGAAAAATATCAAAACTTAAGGAAAATTGATTCCTCAATGCTGCAACGAGCTGGTTCAAACGACAGTTCGTACATTTCTTCGACAAGCTCTAACTCGGCGTCCAAAAAGCCAAAAACAGCTGCCAAGAGAGGGAAACCAGTTTTTTCGAATCGAGTCAGGAAATTTTGATAAATTAATTAATTTATGAGCTAGATTTGCACTAGTTTAACAAGAATCTCTCTTGTTAAGAAAAGTTGAAACGTTTTGTGGTTGCGAATAAGTTGCTTAGTGTTCAGAACTTTCGATTTGTTCTTTCTCTTCTGTTTGATCACCACCAGCTTGCTCGGTGCTATTTGCTTCTTCGTCATCAAAAATTCCACCTTCTGCTGGCTCGGTGGCCTCTGTTTCCTCCTTGTTTTGTTCTTCAGTAATTTTGGACTCTGCTTTTGCCTTGCGAGGGCTAAATACGTTCACAATTCCTCCAATCAATTGCTTCACACCATGAACCGTTTTTCCAACCAAGCCAATTCCCAGTTGATCAGGTGTGTACCCTCTCTTCAAGTTACGTTCAATATAGGAGTCTCTTTCTTTGATAATTCTCATGATAATGTCACTTGTGGAGATACCTTCAGTTCTCTTGATTGTGAGGAATCTGTGCATCTTTTTCAAGCCCTCATACACGTCGTTGCCGTTTTCATCAACGCTCAGGTCTTCACCATGTGAGACAAAATCAATGTTGTGTTCCACAACAAATTCGGGAGTGACAACCCAAGGGGCTGCTGGAACCACCTCATCAACATATCTGCAATGAGATACTCCTTCATATCTTTCGTCTTCTGTAAGGACAGTCTTTCCTTTAATTCTCCATGTGTCTGCATCAGAACAAACACCAACAATTAGCTGAGTATTAGGGAAGAGATTCTTTGCTTGTTGGAGTGATCTCATGTGTCCAAAATGGAACAAGTCATAAATTCCATCGGCATAAACTCTCACAGGTCTATCCAAAGGAACTCGACACAACTTTCCTTGCAACATTCTAAACTCGTATCTTCCATCGCTTTCGGTAATGATATCTCCTTCCTTGTATTTGGAAAAATCAATATCCATCGCCATTTGCTTTACCTTCTTGTTATTTGGTTCAATGTTGTTCTGATGATGATTCAATTGATCATCATCTTCCACGTTAGAGTTGGAGCCAACACCACTCTCATCAAATGTTCGTTTCATGATAAAAAATTTTTTTTTTGAAATTTTTAAATAGTGATGTTTAATTATTTCGAATTGGCGCCAAAGATAACGGCTGGATGATGTGAATTTTCAAAATTGTTGAAACAGCAGCTGCTTCTTCCCAAAGCGTTTTTACCATGTTTCCACTTGATATCGTTTCGAAAGATCCATTTGTTTCAAATAGTCATCGGCTTGAGCTTCATTCATACCTCCACTCATAAGAACAGATTTCACTGCTTTAAACACCGATTCAGGCATCACTTTGGCATTTCCAGAGACATAAAAGAAGGCTCCTTGATTCACAATCAAGTCAAAAAGCAACTCTTTTTGTTCAACAATTCTGTGTTGAACATAAACTTTTGTTTCTTGATCTCGTGAAAATGCAGTCGAGAGACAAAAGTTAAGCTTGAGATCATTGGCCATCTTGGTGAGCTCTTCTCCGTACAAAAAGTCCTTCTCCTTATTTCTACACCCGAAAAACAGAATACTCTTTCCAACAGTCGATACTTCTTGGCCATGGTAGTCTGAATGCAATTTCATAGATCGATCCTGCAAGAAACTTTTAAAGGCTGCTAATCCTGTGCCAGGCCCAACCATAATCATTGGAGTGGAGAGTGTTTTTGGAAGAGACATGGTTCCCTTGGTGATCCAAGCTGGAACTAACACTTCTTTTTGTTGATTGAGATCGATGGATGCAAGCCAAGAGGTGCACACTCCAGTTCTTGTTCTCTTGAAGGGTGTCGTAATCTTTAAAATTGCAACCGTAAGGTGAATTTGTGAAGGAAACATGTATTGGGAGGATGAGATGGAAAAATATCGAGGTTTGATTGGTGGAATTAAATCCAGTATATAGTCCAAAGGGGGTTTTGCAGATGGGAAATCATCCAATACTTCAATGTATGTTCGCTTTTCTTTGTGGTTGTAGTGATACATGTCTGTTGTGCCCTCTGCCGATCCGAAATATTCCAATCTCTCTTTTTCCTCTCCAGTAGCGAAATGACTCAATAATTCAAATAGATATCTGCGTGGGGTGCCCTGAATGTCCAAATACTTTTCAAATAAGTTGAACAACGTAATAGGTTGATTACCAAATGGAAATTCTGGAGCATCTTGATCTATTCTTTCAACTCTGATAATTTCATCTCCAGAAAGTGACAATCGTTTTAAGAGATGATCAACTTGATCTTTGGTATTTCTTGGCAAAATAGCTAGAACGTCACCAGGAGCATAGGGGAGAGCTGGACCTTCGTTTTCAAATACTATATGCCTCACATCTTGCCAATGGTTTTCCGCTGTAATTCTTCTATTTTCAATCATTTTAGCCATGTAAGGATTTTCCTTACAATATTCTTGGTGAGATTTTGATAAATTAAAAATATATGAGTTTGCTCTCGAAAGATCGATATCGTTCTTGTCACAAAGTACTACCCGATATCGTGGATCTGGTGTAACGTGAGGTGACACAATTTCTACACCAGCTGGTAAAGGATAGATCATCATTACTTTGTCCCACAAGCCCTTTAACCAGCCCACTAGAGTACTATCAATACCATTGGGATGCTGATCATCGGCTAATCCTCTATTGTAAAACTCTGAGGCTCCTAATTGCAACAATCTTCGATGTAATTTCTTGGCAACAAAATTAAATTTCGAGTAAGAAGAATCTCCTAGGCCAAAAACAGTGAATTTTACATTCTTCAAACAATCAGAAGACAAACTCTTTCTCCTCATAAAAGTCCAAAATTTCTTCATATTATCTGGTTCATCTCCTTGCCCAGTCGAAGACACAACAAATATTACTAATGGTTCCGAAACTAAATTCTCAATCGGATAATCATCCAATGCACTCAACTTGACTCGGAGATGTCTTCTCTTGGCTTCTCTTTGAATTCTTTCAGCGACCTCCTGAGCACATCCAGTTTGAGAACCATACAATACACAACATGATCTCGAGAAAGGAAGGTTGTAATGCTCGAGCATTTTTTTCTTTCAAAATATTCCTTGCAAGTCGTCGCGTCTGCTCCTGGATCAGGTGCAAAGGATGCTCGGAGTGGAATGCAACATCGAACAAAGATTCTTCCATGCGTACAATTATGAGATGAATTTTTTGCCAAGTTTGAGTTAAAAGTGCTCAAAAGCAAGGAAGGTGGCGCCATCCAATTACAACAAAAAAACGCCCAACTTTAGATGAGGCTCATTCTTTTGAATTAAAATGACTGTTGTAGCACTTTTAGGGGTGGTCGCATTGTTTTATTACTTGTATAAGGCCTTCTTTACTTCTTGGAACAAAACATTTGATTATTCCGATGAAGATAAAGAATTTTGGGATCATCGGATTAGTGAAGCAATCAATAATTGCACAGCAATTTCAAACTCTGCACGATTAACAAAGTCTTCTTCAACATCCGAAAAGGTTTTCAAAGAGCTCGGAAGTGCATGGTCAGAGGAAGATCGAATTAAATTTGTTGAAAATAAGAAGAAAATTCAACTAAAGCAGAAAAAACTTGATCATTTGTTCTTGCAGATCAAAGAGAGAGAAAAACGAAAGGATGGTCTTGTGATTATTAATGCACGGTATGGTGTTTTTAATCCTCCTGATTTTCGGGCTTTGGTCAATGTGACAGTTCCACTTCAGTGTTTTGTTAATTCCAAATCATCAACTATTGTAATCAAGAAGGAGATGTCAATGTCGAGTTTACCTGGTTTTGGAGATCCATTAGAGGGTTTTATCAACAACTACGTGCAACACCTGAACAAAGAGTTACAAGTCATTTACAGAACAAATGGGTCACTGAAGATGAAGACATTTATTGAGAATGAGCAAGGATTTGAGGTCACCCTTCCTTTTGAGGGACAGTGAGACTTTCGTCTTTATCTCGAACTGATGTGTGCAGAAAAGTGAGTGACGTTGTCTCTCTGGCTGTCGCCTGTCAACAAATTCGTTCGAAAACAAATACCAACGAATCACAAAGAAAAAAATGTTTATCACTTCGGTCGCCTATGACTATTACAAGGGCTTTGTTACGGCCTTTATCGAAATTACTGACAACACCGATGCCAAGTTGTTCGGTAAACCACCAGTCCACAGAATTGTACCAATGATAAATATCATTGCTCTAATTGAAAGTATCCTTTCAGTCATTTTCTGGATCCTTGTAGCAATCCGTTCCTCAGTGTAGGTTTTCGTGTTGTTGTATTTGTTGTTGTTCGAAGATGTTTCATTATTATATTTAAATAATCACAACGTTTGTCATTGGTTATCCAAAATTGTTGACCAAATTGCGACTTTACACACACAAACCTGTTGACATCACTACAAAATGTCTTCATCATTTATTGAAATAGTCCTTCCATGTCAATGTTTATTGTTTTCGTTCCTGTTGAAATTTTCTTCCTTTTCATGCTTGGTTTGATGTTGACAATTTTCTCCATCTATGTAGTGATATCGTTCAAGCATACAAGAAAAGTATTTTGGATTGTAGCATACTGTATCATTTTCCCAGTCGTATTCATCAACTTGGTACTGTTCTTTGGTATGCCAATTCTAGTTTCCATTCTATTCCCACTTCAAAACATTAAGGTCCTACAAGGGTATGTTGTCTTTGAATGGTTGTTTCTCTAATTTACATGATTGAATGTGTTAAAACACAACAACCATCAATGATGATGATTTTATTCAATTTGATGTGTGTGTGTACGAATGATGGTGAATATCATCATCATCGCATGTATTACCATATATGAAATGATTTGACGACTTGTGCGACCATCATCATCACAAATGGAAAATATTCCATCTCTCAACGTTTCATTTTTCTCATTCTCACTTTCATTGCTTCTCAATCATTGCACTGAATGACACTAAACATCAAAATCTCATTTCTCAATAGTCAACGTTCATGGGATGTCACACTCTTCCTCGTTCTTTGGTTGGTCGGAGGTTTGTTGAAGGCCTTCGTTAGACCAAGTGAAGACGATAGCAACCCATATCAACATGACAACAAGAACGTCACCTTCACTGCAATCTATGTTTGCGTTCTCTTTTTGATTGCAGTTTTTATTTTCTTGATTTCTGCTCGATTGGATCAAAAAGTGCCATTCTCTGAATTGCCATTTCCTCCTGTATCATACTGGATTGTTTTCATTCCAATTTTCGTCATTTGGGCAATTGGTACCATTCTGTATTCCATTAAAGCATTTTTGGAATTGAAATTAGTGTACAAGAAGGGTGACGTCAACGGAGATGGTATTTTCAAGTCCATTTACTATATTGGATTAATTATTTTCTTGATTATGGCACTCATCACATCCATTTTGTTGTGTGTGAAATTGTCACTTCCAACAGAAGATCAAGACAAATTCAGTCTCGGATGGTGTTTCCTTCCTTTCATTTTGGGATTCTTTACAATTGCTTGTTGTTGTACCATTCCATTTTTCCCTCAATTCCGTAAAGTTAAATCAGCTGCATTGAAGAATAATGTATCCGGTGAAGTGGAAGAAGCTGCTGAAAAAGAAATGCAATGCTTCCTTTAAACCTTTTGAAAAGAGAATTGAGAGATGAACATTTTGTTGTCTCAAACCAACACCACCACCCTCGATCACACACACTTGTATTTTGTCTGAAAATTGTTAATAAAAACTTGATACTCTTGAATTGTTCAATCGTGGTGAGTGTTTTCTGAATCATACATGCATGATGGTGTTAATAGTGTGAATTCAATTTGCTGCTGATGCTGTGAAATGACCGTTAAATTTTTTTAAATTTTTTTAAATTTTTAATTAAATAAAATTGGCGCAATGAAACCTTCGACAGCCCTCTCCGTCCATCATCAACTCCACGACAAACAAGTAGGTGAATTCATCACTAATCTTCCTCATTTGCATCACTCCAAATCTTATCCCATCTTGTTGCGATCTTCCAATCAATGCAAATATACGTTTGTTGAAAACACTTGTTTCATTGAACAAAATCGAAATTCCAACTCTGAATACGGAAAAAGAGCTCGTTCCCCTCATGCAGAGAAGATCACATGGATGGTCATGGGAACGAAATGGGGTCTCATCATTGGCGATTCAATTGAAGAATCTTGCCAAGCTCTTGAAGATGATTCCAACAAATCCAAGTTTGTCAAGTTGAATGACAAGACCATTCTCCACATTCATCACTCTCTTCATAATTCCAACTGCAAATAAGTGGAAATTGAAGGACAAATCTTTGAGAAGCAAATGACCAACCATCAAACATACTATTTTGAAATCAATGGAACGAAATTTATTCAACAAAACAAACAAAAGAATTCAGAGTATGCCAAGAAGGCCAAGAAGGGCCACAAGATTACTTGGGTCATGGTTTCGAATCATTCTGGTTTTAAAGCTCATCAATCATGGGGTCTCATTGTCAATAATGTCATTGAAAAGGATTGTTTAATTTTAGAGAGAGAAACAACGAATGAAACACAAGCAAGCACATCAACAACGACGACAATTTATGAGAAGGAACCACAAGTTGATTCCAAGAACTCTCCCAAAGTGAATGTTCAAGAAAGTGTTTCTGGTGTTTCTGTTTCTGAGGAGGAGGAGGAGGAGGAGAACCAACAAGCGCCTTGCACTCCCTTGAAGGAGTCTTCTAAGAATCATCTGAAGAGAGATTTATCTCAGAGTTCACCAAGCTTATTTGAATCACTGACGCCTAAATCCTCCCCCAGTGATGCTACTAATGCTGCTACTTATGATGAAGTTGATGCATCGTGCACCTCCCCTCAACGACCAACGACTCCTTCTCTAGAAGGATGGATGAATTCACCTTCTTCTTCTTCTTGCTCGGAGACTTCTCCAATTCCAATACTCTCTCGTAAAACAAGAATTCAAATTAGAAAAAGAAGAAAGAATATTGCTTCTTGTTCTTCTTCTTTGAGTCATTAAAGAACTCTTTGGTGGTTGTATCAAGTTCTTACTCAAAAATTCCATTTAATGGAAAAAGTAATCCAAGCGTCAAATTCTATTGACAAATTTTAATGCGATGATTTTCACAATCGACCACCAATAGCCATTTTCTTTTCTTTTCAAAACACATGCCAGTGACGCAATGAAAAGCCTCTGCTGTTTCTTCATCTCCAAAAGTGCCAAATGAAGGCATCACCCATTCACCACTCTTCACATTCAAGACATGACTGCAATGATTGATTTCATCTCCAACGTATAAATATCCTCCTTCTTCATCCAATAATAATGAGCTTAAATAAGGCGAGCGAATAGGTTCCTCTTCTTCTTCCTCCTCCTCCTCAGAGACTTCTTCTTGATCATTGTGATCATGTTCATTGTGGTTCAGATCTAATGAGGAGGATTTTATCGCTTGTTGTTGTTGTTGATGATGAGATAAAAGTAGATGATTTAGGTCATAGGTTTTAAACAACTTCCATTCGTCCTCTTCTTCTTCATTATTGGAATCCACTTGTTGATTTTTCATTGTGAACACTTTAATTCTTCCTCCTTCCTCTCCAATCACCATCACATCGGTTTCTTCACTCTCTAAAGTATGATCTAAATGCATCTTACCAATGACAATGGAAATTGGATGTTCCAATAATAATCCATTATTATTTCGTTGGAGTGGACAATTGAATTCTTCCAATACTACTCTTCTCACAACACTTCCAAAGATTTGAGAATAATCATTCGATTCTTATAACCACCATCACACACATACACAAGATTGTCATTCCTACTTTTACCACATTGTTGAATACACAATCCCTTCACTGCTCCCAAGAAATCCTTTCCAAAAATGGGATCTTTGTCGTTCATGGCTCTTCTCCACCATACATGACGGACTTCTAAGGAAGATGTTGAACTCATTGACTTATCAGAGAGCTCTTTGCTTTGTTTAATTTGAATTTTATAAGTTCTTCGATCCACATCTTGTATACAAGTGAGACAGGAGGAGTTTATAAAGTCATAAATGTTCACTATCACTCACAATGATTTGACGGAGAGTGTATGAAATTCCGTGAAAGTGAAATAAAGAATAGGATTCATCGGGGGGAAGAGAGTGATTATTACTACCAATGGTATGCAAGAGTTGAAAATTCATTGAATTTTCAAAAAAGTGAATTATTTCACGATGAACGGTATTTTCAAAAAAGTGAATTATTTCGATCTCTTTCATTTTAATGTTGAACGATGAAACATATGGATTTCCATCTCAATCTCGCTCGCTGGGAGGTTCGAGTTTTTACGCAATCCCGGAACGACATCAATCTCCTTTCTCAAACCATCTTTCAGCTGCCAACTGTCAAAAAAATCAACTTTATCTCACCAACCACGCACCGTGCAACAACCAACTCAACTGTGTTCATCACCATACCAATCCACAAGTAATTGACTGACTGATCAAAATGTCCCGTAAAGTCACGGAACAGGAAAAAGAAGCCATCAGAGAATGGATTGAAAAAGTTACTGGAGAGAAATACTCAAAACCCAACGATCCCTATGTTTCCTTGAAAGATGGAGTTTTATTATGTGGGTACGTTCATCATCTATTATATGATGTTGTTCTTTGATTATTTTGAATGATTCTTTCACACCATGGTGGTGATGACACGAATCAATTCTCATCTTTTCAAAAATTTATTTTTTTGGATCATCATCTCATTCATCTCTCTCATTCTTGTCATCATCAATCCTCTTCATCGACTCATTCAATTTTGAAATGTGCAACTGCTACTACTATTCTCATAGTTTAATTTCAGCTCTTCGATGTACCAAAATGCCAACTTACAACAAGGAAACCAAAGGTGTCATGTTCAAAGAAATGGAAAATATTGCCTATTTCATGCAACAAGTTCAAAAAGTTGGAATCAAACTTGAATGGACACTCAAAGCTCTACACAAGAATACTGATATGAATGCAGTTCTGTTATCTATTATTGAACTGTCGAATCATGTGAAAGCCAATAACACCGAAGGATATAAGGGACCATTTTTGGAATTATCCACGAGTTCTGAAAACAATAATAGCAGTGGCAACAGTACGAATAGTCAATCTTCCATGGAGGCTGCATCCACCACAAAAGTGACATCCAACATTGTATCCTCTCCAACCGTTGTGAAAAAATCTGCAACCATCAATTCTGAATCTTCCGAGTCTCCAATTTCATCATCGGGAGCAACTTCGAGAATTCGAAGATTATTTGGAGGAGGAAACAAACAAGAGGAAAAGACAGATCCTTCTCCTCCTTCTTCAGTGACTTCCACAATCAAATCAACAACAGGTACTGCAACAACAACCTCTCCAAGGGTGACATCCGCATTGAGAAAGGATGATAAATCATCTTCATCAACAACCTCTCCAACAACACCTGTCAAAAGTAGTAACACTGGTGTGAATTCGAGCTCAAATTTACCAAAAACATCATCCTCTTCATCATTGTCCAATTCCAACAGTTCTCCATCTTTACTTTCAAAAATTTCATCTTCCGATTCATTGAATTCATCGTCACCTTCAAGAAAATCTTCTTCTGTTTCTCCATCAGAGGATGGTTCAGATGATGATGATGACGAAGTTATCGAAGAAGAAGTTTTGGTTCAGATTTCAAAATTGAAGGAAAATATTGAAAATCCAACACCAGAGTATTTGAGATCTTTAAATCAAAAATTGGAGGGTAAAACCTTGAAATGGTGTAACAAATTTGAGAATGAGAAGGGATCTTTCTATTTGGGAGAAATTATTTTACAAGCCAACAAACCCTTCAAAGGAGCTAATGAAAAAAGTATTCAAGAGCAAGCTTTGAATTGTTGTAGTACTTTGATCGATATTGGAGCTCTTAATGGTTTTATCAAATACCCATCGACTGTGAATGCGATTGCCAGACTTTTGAACAATAAGGAATCCATCAAGACAAGAATGACAGCTTTAGAGGCTCTTACCTTAATTTGTACTTCTAGTGAACTTGGATTTTGGGCAGTATTGGAGGCATTGAATCAATACAAACTTGAATATAAGGAAATGAAGAGATTTTCAGATCTAGTTGATGCGTTGAAGAATGAAAAGGATGAAAAACTTAAAGCATTTATTTTGGCACTTTTTAACTCGTTGATCAATTCTCCTCAAGACACTTCGATTAGAATGTTATTGAGAAATGAGTTAAAATCTCTTGGATTGGATGAAATAGTCACAAAACTCCAAAAAGATGCTGATAATGATTTAATTAAGGATCAAAACCTGAAACATCAAATAAGATCTTTTGAGGAAGAAATGATGAGTGGATTCATCGATGACGATGAAGAAGAGGAAGCTAGCGTCGACAACTTGAATGTGAAATCACTTACTGATCCACTTCAAATTTCCAAATTATTATTAATTCGCTTAGGTGGTAGTAGTGTTGGTTTCACACATTACAGAAATATTTTGAGACATTTACTCGATTATACACAAGCATTCCTCAAAGACTCTTCAGAAAATTCAGCCAAGAATGAAAAGACACTTTTGGACAGTTGGAAGAGTATTGATAACATGTTGTATCAATTGACTCATGATTCCATGTTTTCTGCCAAGATGGACCCCATTCCTGATGTTCTCAAATCTGAAAAGATGGCCAAAATTCTTCTCCAAAAGAGTAAGAAAAAGTGTGACGATTTAACCATCGAGTTGGAAAACCTAAGGAAGGGAGGAGGAAGTAAATTGGATCCATCTCTCAAATCTTCATTCGAAGAATTAGAACGACAAAATAAGGATTTGCTAAAAGCCATTCAAGACCGAGATTTACTGATTGAACAATTGAAGAGAAATGGTGCAGTGGTAGGACCAACAATGGATGCTTCAAGTGGTGGCACCGATTCATCCTCAGTTCCACCACCACCTCCTGGAATGGGTATTCCTCCTCCACCACCAGGTATGGGTGGTATTCCTCCTCCTCCTGGTATGACGGATGGCACAGATGGAAGTATTCCACCACCACCTCCTGGCATGTGGTGGCAATATTCCACCACCACCTCCAGGCATGGGCGTTCCTCCTCCACCTGGAGGATTGGCCATCTCCAAACCTCCCGAAGTGAAATTACCTGAATTACCCAAACGTGTACCCAAGAAGAATGTGAAAAACTTTTATGGAGATGCCATCAAGAAACAAAAAGTTGTGAATACCATTTGGATTAAGGACGGTCTAGCTGAGAAGACTAAGGAAGTGGACTTGAATATCAATGAATTGGAAGAACTCTTCTCCAATGTTCCAAAAGAAAAGAAGGAAGAGAAAAAGGAACGTAAAAAGAAAGATTGTGTCAGTTTTATTGATCCACAAAAATCCAACAACTTGTCCATCATTTTGGGTTATTTACGTCTCGAGTATTCCGAAATTAAGAGAGCCATCTTGGAAATGGATGAAGAAGTACTCTCGCAACAAAATATTGAATCACTCAAAGATAAGACTCCAACCGATGAAGAAATTCAAGCCATATTGGCCTATGATGGAGATGCAGATTTATTGGCAGTTTCTGATAAATTCTATTTGGCCATTAAGGACGTTCCTCGATTACAGAGTCGATTGAATTTTTGGTCCTTTAAGTATAAGGTAAGATTATTTTTCTCTTTCCCATCTATATATTTACATTACGACTCTTAATACTTTAAATACTTTATAATATTTTTTAACTACTTTATAATATTTTTAAATACTTTATAATATATTTAACCACTTGAATATTTAAATACTTGAATGTTTGGCGATACATTGACAAGTTTGAAAATACCATTCCCGAGATTATTCCAGACCTAGAAACCTTACACTATGCCTCTCAAGAAATCCTTCGCAGCAAGAAATTCAAAGATTTACTCACCATTGTTTTAGCCATGGCCAATTTTTTGAATGCCAACTCCTCCAAGAAAGATGCCTATGGTTTCACATTGGCAAGTTTAAACAAACTCAAAGAAACCAAAGCCATTGATGGCAAAACCACTCTCCTCCAATACATTGGTATTCACTGTATGGCCAAGAATCAAGACGTGTTAAAGATTCGAGAAGATTTCGGTAATTTAGCAGACGCCATTCGAATTTCCTTACCCGACGTGAATGCTGAAATCACAAAACTTCGAGAAGGCGTTTCAGCTCTCGAGAAGGAATTACAACTCCCCGACTGGAAGAACAAACAATCGGACAAGTTCTATCGAACCATGACTGAGTTTTTGAAAGTGGCCAAGAATGATATGCATGTCGTGAGTGTCATTTCAGCCAAACTTGAACAATCTCTAAAAACCATCTGTGAACAATTTGCTGAGGATGAAAAAGTAGTGTGTAAGAATCCAACGGATTTCTTTGGGCAAGTCTTTTCCTTCTTGGATGCATTCATGACTGGCTTTGAGGAATATATTCGACAAAAGATTGCAGAACGAAAGAAGAGACAAAAGAAGGAGCGTCAACGACAATTGCAACGACAGCAACAACAACAAATGTTGGAAGAAAAGCAGAATCGACTCAAACAACAAACAGGAGGAGAGGATTCCTCTTCAACAACAACAACAGCTGCATCATCCGATCAGGATGAGAATAGGGCCAACACTGCCCGACATAGAGCCATGAGAGAACGAAAACAAAGTATTATGAGTGGACAAGCCTTTAAGGATCGAAGAGAGAATCGAATCATGATGAAACCCAATCAACAACAACAACAACCTCCTCCTCAGGAAAATGCTCTTCCTTTTACTGTCAATCTCAGAAAGACGACTCCAAAAGAAGAACAATAAACACACATGTATTGCTTCCATCGTTTTAAAAGTTCAATAAAAGAAACGATGAAACCAACTGATAATAGTTCAAGAAGGTTAATGAAACATTTCCAGATCTGAAAATGACACTCAAAAGAAGGTTAAAGAAAACAATTCAAGAGATCCTTGCAATGGCACAGCGTTCCCTCAAAAAGAGACTTTACTAATGAATTGGATCAGTCAAGTTGAAATAAGTATTCGCTTGAGCAATCAAACGACTATGTGGTCGATGAGCTCCACATTCACCTTCACATGCATTAATTTGTACATTGTACTTTCCCTTAAACCAAAGCAAACCTTCTCCATCATTGTCGTTGGTATCAATGGCAAACTTGACTTCATAGGCACCTGGCATAAATCCCTCTGCTTGATAATAACGACCAGTGAGATCAGGAACTGAGAATGGACCCGTGACCTTCATCACGACTTGACCTGGACCACTTTCATTGAATGGCCCAAACTTTACCTCCCATGACTGAGACTTGTGGAACCACAGTGGCACTGGTAAAGACAGCACAAGTCTTGGCTGTACAGTCATGAATGGGGCAAACAGTCATTAATTGACATCCATAAATTGGATCCAAATCTGCCTTCTTCAATACAGCAATGAAGGCATTCACTCCAATAGCTGTGCAAATGACTTCACAACCAGCAAAGACATAGGGACCATAGGGAGCCACGACTTTGCACAGACTCATGCATGAAAAAGCAGCACCAGCATCGACAGCAGCCTCCAAATCAGCAAGTGCGAAATCTAACAAATAGACACAGGTTGGACATAATTCGTTTTCTCTCTTGTCCTTTAATTTGGTCATGACGAAGGATGACACTGCCGATGGGAATTGAGATTTCTTGTTGTTGATTGTCTTCATTGGGTTGTTTTTGGGAGCAGTTATTGTCAAAGGTTGTTGTTCTTGTTGTGATGATTGTTTGGCTGAAAGATTCAAAGCAGCTTGCACAGCCATAGCCACCATGATGGACAACGCAACAAGCACAATGAATGCGTGTGAAAGGGAACGCATAATAAGCGGTTGTTTTTGTTTTTTGAAGTGTGATTTCACTTTGGTTTTCTCTTTCCAACGCACAGTTAATCTCCTTTTGGAAAGGCGCGAATTGCTCAACGTGAGTATCGCAACATTGATCGTTTAAACAGTGAACGCTTTACAACAACACTCGAATAACATGTGCCTTATTGTACAAAAAGACTCTTCATGACAATGATGAGTATTGAATTACTGCATGAATCCATAATTTGAATCTTTGCTCTCTATTTCATTAATAGTTGAACTAAAAAATATGAAACCAATCAAGACTGTGGTCAACTCAGCTTCTTGTGCTTTATTGGCACGCTTTGGTTCAGGCTGCAAAAAGGGCGTTGGTCTCCGATTGAGTTGTAATTTCAATACTAGTACACTTTCAAACCCACACCCCTCAAAGAATAACACCACCTTGCAAAATTCAAGATCTTTTCATTCCAGATCTTGCCATTACTCCTCCTATTCGGGAGCTGGACCAGACGATCAACAACGATCATCCAATTTGAAGCAACGACTGATTAAAGCTGGATTTTATTCCTCCATTGGATTAGTTTCAGTCTTAACAGGAGCCTATTTGTATCTCCATTTCAAGGAACGGGTTTCATACCAGAAATTCAATGATCATTCATTCCGATTGATTCATCGAGATCCCGAAACAGGTGATGAATGTGTTTGGTCCTATGTTCATCATTTCCAAATGAAAAGTATTCCAATGGCTCTGAGCAGTACGATGGCCATTGTCAAGATGAATCCTGGCCACAGTGATGGTGTTGAAACGGAGAGTGAATTGTGTTTGTACAATGTAGTTGCCTTGACTGATGTGGTGCAACGAGAATTGGACCGATTAGGAAAGGTGAAAATGATCATCATTCCGAGTCGTGAACATGTGGCGTTTGCAGGACAGTATTTTAAAAAGTTTATTTTACAAAATCCCACAAGTAATAACAACGAGATTCCTGTGTTTTATTGTCCCTATGGCAATAGAGATAGTGTCATTGAGAATTTATATGGAAAATTGAATAAGGAGTTTCCAAATCTTGACAAGAATGAAATTGCCAAACATGTGAAAAGTTTTCCACCAGACAATTCATCAGTGCCTCCTGAATGGCCACAACATTGGATATCTCAGTTTGAGGTACAGACAGTCTCAGGCATGCCTTTCCTTACCGAGGTCGTTCTCTTACACAAGCCAACCAAAACCTTAATTGCATGTGATATGGTTATGAATTACAAAGAGCCTATTCCTATGCATGTCGATGATCCTAACCACACACCTTTTCTTTTCACATATGCAAAGTTGATGAGAATTTATGGCAAAGGTATGTTACAATTTGATGATTGTTTTGACGACAGGACTATTTTTTATGAAATTCATAAGGTCCTGTGATACCAATATCTTTTAGATTATTGGTTCAAGATAAAGAAAAAACAAAAGAAGAGTTAAATCGAATTATGAATGAATGGGATTGGAGCAGTGTTATTGTAGGCCATGGGAATGAAATGATTGGAAAAAGTGACGCACAAGTAAAAGCTCTCAAAGAGGACTATCTCAAGAGTGCTTACGAGAATCTCGCCCTCAATAACAAGTAAGCGGAAGGTCACAAAAGATTCGCCAAGTTTCAACAAGCAAGTGCTAGATCATATTCTTGTGTTTCGCTTATTGATCTTGTAAAAAAAATTATGATCGTCCATCAATAACACGTCCGCCTCTTTCTTCTTTCGTTCGTCATCTTTGTAAACCTCATCTCAGAGCGTACTCTGAGCCCACAAAAAAATGAGCACACCTGCTGCTGCTACAGCTGTTGCACCATCATCCTCTGTCTTTAAAAAAATCAACGTTGATGAGAGCAGATACGATCAGAACACATATTGGGGACGAGTTATTCACTTCTTCAATGTTACTGATCCAAGAACATTGCTTGTATCAAATTCTACACTCAAAGGAGCCATCTCACTTTTGGACGACTATAAAGCAGAACAAGATATCAAAGAGTTGCAAACAAATCCAAAATATGCTCCCGAGAAAATTTATTATGCCATGAAGCTCAAACAATCATCAATCCATCCCGATACCAAGGAACCAATCTTCCCAGCATTCCGTATGAGTGCTTTTGTTCCTGTAAACTTGTTGATTGTTTCGGGCATGTTGACTGCTCGTTCTATTCCAAGTACTATATTTTGGCAAACAGTAAATCAAACTTGTAACGTTTGTGTGAACTATGCCAACAGAAATGCCTCTAATGAAGTGAGCAACGCCACTCTCTTCAAGAATTATTTAGCTGCAGTCGGTAGCTCTGTAGGTACTGCTGTTGGTTTGAACGAATGGGTTAAACGTTCAGCATTTAAACCAGCCATCAAGAATACTTTGTTGAGCATTGTACCATTCACTGCTGTTGCTGTTGCCAACGTTTTGAATATTGGTATGATGAGAAGAGAGGAAATGACACAAGGAATTACAGTATTCGATAAGGATGGAAATGCTTATGGAAAGAGTGCAATTGCTGGACGTCTCGGAGTTGCTCAAACAATTACATCTCGTATTCTTCTTATTGCTCCAAGTATGATCGTACAACCAATGTTGATGAATTATATGGAATCAAGAGGAATTTTGAAGAGTGCCATGTCCAAGCAATTGGCTAATTTGGCATTGCTGACAGTTTTTATTGGTGCCTTCTTGCCGTTGGGTATCGGAATTTTCCCACAAATGAGTCCAATCAAGAACACAGATTTGGAGGAACAATTCCACAATGCTACCAATCCAAACGGAGAGAAGGTCACAACATTCTATTTCAACAAGGGATTGTAATAATTTTCTGAGGTATTCACAATCATCATCTCATGATTACGGCTTTTTAAATTAAATTCCATATTTTTGTTGCCATTCTGCATATTGTTTTTCGTAGGTGTTTCCGCTTGGTTTGATGATACTGAGCGAGGATTCAATATCTTTCATTTTGACTTTGTCAATAGGTGGCAATTCTTGAGTTTTTGCAGCAAAATTGTCTCTCTTTCCTTGAGCTGTATTGTTGTTGGCTTGAGATTCTAATTGTTCGAGTTGTTTGAATATCTTTCGAACAGGAATCATGGCACTTTCCTTGCATGCAAGGGTAATGTCAGATCCTGAATAACCTTCCGTCCTTTCTGCTAGAGTTTCAAAGTCGTTTTCTGTCAAGTCTGCTCTGTCAGAAGTGAGACACTTTTTGAAAATTGACTTTCTTGACTCCTTATCTGGAAGTCCAACAAGAATCTTTTTTTCGAGTCTTCTCAATACAGCTTGATCCAAATCCCAAGGTAAATTACTGGCTGCCAACACAAAAACAAGATCATTACTTTTCGACAGACCGTCCATTTGAATTAACAATTCCGTTTTCATTCGTCGAGAGCCCTCATGTTCTGTTGCTGACACTCGTTGACTCATGATTGAGTCAAGCTCATCAAGAAAAATAGTAGAAGGAGCATGATGTCTTGCCAACTGAAACAGAACTCGAACCAATTTTTCGCTGTCTCCTCTCCATTTTGATACAATGGAGCTAGCCGATATATTGAAAAAGGTCGTTTTGCATTCAGTTGCTACAGCTTTTGCCAACATGGTCTTACCTATGTGAAAAAAACCAAAATATTTCTATCAATATTTGTGTCACAAGCATAACATACCCGTTCCTGGAGGCCCAAAAAGAAGAGCCCCTTTCCAAGGTGTCAACAAGCCTGTAAAAAATTGTGGATATTTTAGTGGCATCACCACAGCTTCCTTAACCATTTGCTTTGCATAGCTTAGCCCAGATATGTCATCCCAATGGACCATTGGATTCGAAACAATAATTTCTCTTCGAATAGACTCAGCTAACTCTCGTAAATCTCCAAAAAACAAATTTTCTGGGAGAGGTTTTAGTAATCTATCCTCAAAGAAATCGTCATCGCTGTCACTCTCTTCATTTTCCAAAACTGCTTGTTTTTGTAATGGTTTGTTTTCAATTTTTCTTCCAGAAATATCAATGGCAATGTTTTCCTTATTTTCATCTTTTTGCTGAATTGTTTTCACATTTGCACCAGCAGCATTTTGTATTGGTTGCTGAGTTGCCTTATTCGGCCTTGTTGTTGAAGGGGGAGCCGTTTTTGTTGACACTACCGGTTTAGATGTTGGTGGTTGCTCCGTTTTAGTTGGTGGCGGCGTCGATGTTGGTTTGCTGCTTGGAATATTTGAGGGTGAAGTGGTGGGTACTTTTGATGGCATCACTCGTCCGTACTCCACAGGCTCCTCTCCACTTTGAATTTTCCGAAATAATTTAGGTTTTTTCATGAACTTCATTTGATAATATTCCTCAAATTCCTGAAATAATGTTGTCAGTAAAATAAGTAAAATAAGGATAGTTCAAGTGACAGTCAACACATACAATGAATACATTATTTAGATCCATATTATCGGCCGCATCAAATTTTTTCAAAGAAATTCCAGTTTCCGATTGCATTTTCTCTGCTGATTCCAAATAACTTTGTATTACGATTAGATGAAATGTTCAAGAAATGATATTTCCATCAGCACATACACACTCTTCTTTGAATCCATTCACTTTGAACATACCCATTATCAAATAAATATCTGATCATTAAAACCAATATTCCCTTTTTACGGTCTTGTATTTGCTTCTCTTGTTGTTCTCGTGCTTTATTTTGGAGCTTGATTTTCAGGAGGGATGTTTCCGACATGGTTCTTTTGCAGTGATGATGAGATCTTGAATTTTTTTAAAGAATTTCTTTAAAATTTGTACACTCTTCGGCGGGAATTTGTTGTGGGAAAACATTAAAGGAATCAGTAGAACTAATTACTGATGGATTCCCATGATTTTACACAACTCAGTAGCCAACTTTTTCACTTCACTATTACTCTCAATAGAGGCCATTCCTTTCACTTTCTTCAAAATTTCAAATTCGAATATGGTTTGATAATCTGTAAGAACATCTTCACGTGCATACAAAATGGCACTTAATGCTTTGAGGGCAAATAATCGAATGATACCATCTGTATCAGAGAGACACTTGGAAATTGATTCTAGAATCATTTTAGAGAAGGGGTGTACAGCTGACTTGATTTGATAAATAATATTAAGTAATGCTTGAAGTGAGGAAGCAAATAATGGCACTGACAGTTCCACATGAGTGGATTCCCTGCGTGTGTGAAGTAAGATATTCACTAAATATGGAATGGTAATTGTCGCAAATGAGAGTTGATGTTTAAGAGGTAAAATCTTTGACGTTTTGGTCACAATGTTGCTTAGTGATATTCTTAGTATGGAGATATTTTCTGTGGTTGAAGTGATGGAACTGGTCGCCTCATCATTATGCATTTCTAAAATGGTTTCTGAAATGAACTTGGAATGTTGTGGATAGTGCAACATGTATTTGATGATCATGCTTAAACAGTCCATGCATCCTTGTTGAATTTTGATGAACTCCTCATTGTCTGTACGTTGTAATAGGACTCGTTTCAATGTAGGAATTAAATTGGTATCTTGTGTGAGATAGGATAATATATATGGATCTTCTTCATAGAGAGCAATAGATTGACAGATGCAGAAAATAAACGCTTTCGCCTTCTTTAGGTTTGTATTGGTGTGAATTTCGTGACCAATCAATTTGGCAAAATGATCAACAAATATTTGGAACGTTTGACGAGGAGGCAATTTTGAAGCCACTTCAGCTGAAACTCTCCGTAATTCCTCTACTGCTGTATGATCTTTGAGATTGGAAATCAAAATTTTCAGCAAATTCGTAAATAGATTGTCATAGTCCTCACATGGATGCATAAAAAAGAAAATAGAGACTGGAAGTGTTTTCAGAACCAATAAAGGAGCTAGTTCTTCAAATATTGTTAAATTTTCGTCTTGTGTCATCTTCCGCTCTTGCATTAGCTTTTCGAGTACTAGTTCAATGATTGCAAAAAGTAATTCTTTCTTTGAGTTTAACAGATATTCATCCTCAGTAGTGGTATTGGTTTTGTGTTCTACTGTGAGAGTAAAGTTCAGTATCTTATTCAACATGAATACTAAAATAGGATCGGTGTTAAATTCAAAAAATTTCTTAATAGTGCTCATAACGAGCAGCTTGGTTGCTGAAGGGGAGAGTTGTGTTAAATATTTTGGTAAAAATGTCATCACTCTCTCTGCAAGTTGTTTCCTATTACTTTCAATATCCTTGTTATTTTCAATGGTTATATCTTTGATGCAATCAATGACGTCCATAAAGCAATTGGGATTTTCTGTATTGCTATCCATGATTTTGATAAGTGCTTCATGAGCGGCAGATCGTTCCTTCTCGTTTTTTGATAAATATAAGGGAAGTAGTTGTTTCAAAACAACTTTGGTGTTTAAATGAGAAAATACAGTAGCAGCACATGATCGTATGGACAGGTCCTCCTCTGCTAACCGTTTGATCAAATACGATGTGACCACTTGTACCAATTCTTCATCAATAGTTTGTTCGTCTCTTGTATTGAAAATTTCGGCCAATATTCTTAATCCGTTCTTTTTTGTTTTCTCATTTTCTGATTCAATATATTTGAAAATAGTGTAAACTTGTGACTTCTCATTTCGTACTACTTCTGACACAAATAATATTATTGCCTTTGACACAGTGTCCTCACTCTCTAACATATCTTCCAGTAGCTCCAAGAAACTACCTCGTTGTTGGATTGCTCCCGAGTAAGCAACCAATTCTTTGTACAGATGGACCGACATTATGCCAAGCTCGTCTGATTCCACTCTCAGCAGCTTGTTATTTGTTAGTTGTGTTAAGGCTTCATAAAGTGTGGTATTTTGGTTGGCACTTTTGATTTGTGTGGTAAAATATTTCTTTTGATCCTTCTTTCTAAACTTTCCAATAATAGCAATGAGGCATGCCAAATTATACGACATTTGGGCCTCTTCTTTAGAGTTTTCAATTTCCAAAATTATTGCAAGAATAAAATCAAATGTCACATCTTGCTTGGGATTCTTTTTTTCAAAGTTTGTGAGGTACTTTACAAACATTTCGAAATAATCCCTTTCTTCAACCAAATAAATCGAATAGCAAGAAAATAAGGAGCATAGTGACTTGACAGCAAATGCTCTTCCTTCCTTAGCATGCATTTTGTCTTTCTCCCTCTCACTCCTCTCCAATGCGCGTAAATGGATGACAACTTTCTGGATTTCCTTTTGTTTTGAAATAAAGTATCGCAAAAATTGAGAATATAAATCTCTGTGAGGTTCAAACCAATGTAAGAGTTCTATGGACGTTTTCATAAATAAGTCTGACATGTCAACAATTAACTCATGGTTTCGTATCGATAAGCAGTATGCGATAACGGAAATAAGGTCTGCAGCTTTTGAGGTCAACTTTGTGGCACATCTCCTCGAGTCCATAACCACACTCTCGAAACGGCAAATCATCCACAGACAATCTAATATCTGGACTAGTTGTTCGGGTTCAAATTTGTCGAAAACTCTGTCATTCATCTGTATTAATAATTGAGTTTGCTCTTGCTGCTTGTTTTTGTTAAATTCATCTCCTAAAATAATTTCAATGAAAAATGTACAAATAGAGTACTTGTATTGCTGAATCTGAATAGAAGTTTCAGGTTGTTCCTTATCTATTGTTCTTTTCAGAATATGAATAAAGGTTCCAAACATAAAGTCATTCACATGTTCTTCATTGATAAAACAATCACTCAATAATTGAATGCTGTGGTTATATTTCAATGTATTTGACGATCGATGATCGGTCAGATTATCCAGCAAGACAAATAATATTCCAAATTGTTCATCTTGCAACACTGTATCATATCGTTCCTTCGGAATTAATTTCGATTTTACAAAATACTTCCATGATGAATAGGCAGCATAGAGAGCATGTTGTTCCGATTCAATTTTCGTAATTTCCCTGTACTTGGTGTTCATTAAAACACCAAACGCTTCACTCAGAGGCATTAATTCTTGCATTTTTTAAATTTAAATCGATTGTCTGAAAACCTCATGAGGTCCAAACTTTTTTTCATTTTGAGAAAAGAATTTTCTGAAAAGTGATGCACAAGGACTTTCTCACTTCTCTCTAAGGTTCTCGTAAATGCTCGAACTATTTCCAATCAAAAAGGACCCAAGAGAGAGACTCTCTCTTGACATTTAAAAACAGATTCAAAATTTCACCATGCAATAAAAACCACCAAAAAAGATGACTTGGATCACCACAACTCTTCGTACCTTGCTCGGACTCACCACCGTTCAAAGCACAAGCTTCTTTTTGGGTCCTCTCAAATGTAAAGTCCATCAGTGGGTGTTTTTCAATGCTTGTGCGGTGGCTAACCTGACGTTTTTGTGTGGTTTGGCCATGAACTCTCCTTTGGTGATGAATATATTGAATTTGCAAGCCTCAAGAATTGGCATTCATGCTGCTCTTCCTGGAATGATGTATTATGGAGGTGAGTTGAGTATTTGCATATTGATCAAACCGATTTGAATGCCCAAATCATGTCCAAATCATCAGGATTGGGATTGATTGTGTTTCCATGGAGACTCGATTTCAGTTTAATTCCTCAATTCTCTCATACGATCATGACTTTAAACGTTGCAAGAGAATTGAACGAGACTCTTTCGACTGGTGATTATCAAAATGGTTTTCTTGGTCTCGCGTTAGGCTTATTGTTCTGGTTGCCATTCATTTGCTGGCAAAACAAATACTTTTATACACATCCCGAAGAGGCAGAGAGCATCTTGTTTCAACCTGAGAAGAGAATGAAAGAATTACAAGAAAAGAAAAATTAATTGAAACGCTATCATCATAAAAAGATCATCAACGTTGATTTGTTCATTTTAAAAATCACTAAAAAATGTCTTCTTCGCAGCCAACGCTTGCCCTTGATGATGAAGAGCTGGATTATGTGGTGGCAGAAAATATCAGTACCTATGTTGCATCAAAACAACAACAACAACAACAACCATTAACGACCAATGCAATCTCAGTTTCTTCATCGTCATCCGATACACCCCAACGTCCAAAGAAATTCACGAATTTCAATTCTCCAGCAACACCAATTCATAAGAGAATGGATTCCATCTCGCAAACTTTTATTATGAATTTAAGTCCGTTGCGTGATATCAAGGAAGATAAATTCTATGAAGTTGAAACGCAATTGCAAACATGGATTGAAAGGACTTTGAATATTCAATTCGCAAGAAAAGAAACGGGATATAAGGAGGTATCATCATCTTCATCCGATGTTACCACTAAAAAAGAAAGCTCTAGAAACTTTTACTATAATCTAGAGAATGGATACATCCTTTGTAATTTGCTTCATTTCTACTTTCCAAATTATATCAACATGGAAAAAGTCGTCAAATTTGATCAACAATTATTTACTCTAACGAATGACAAAACCTACAACAGCAACTATTTGTGCAATGCAAAAAACAACATGGCACTGTTTTTGGCTGGTTTGAGAAAGATTGATGGTTTTCCTGTAGATTTATTATTTAACTTTGAAGATGTGTTCTTGCAGAAAAACAAGAAATTAATTTTATGCTCTCTTACTCAATTACATGAGAAAGCTCTCTTCTTCAGACATCAACAAAAGGAAATTGAAAAAGAGTATCAGGAAGAACAGAAATTCTTTGAAGAATTTGAAGAGGATCTTCGTTCCATTCAAGAGGATGAGTTGTCATCTGGAATTATTTCTCCAAGAGACAACCCAGAACTCGCAAAAGTTGTTTTGGATAAGCTTAAGAGAGAGTCTGTTGCTGTGACTCCAACCACAGAGTCTCTTCCTCCACCACCTTTGTTATCGACAAATCAAGTACAGGCACAGACCAAGAAAACTCCAAGTCCATCTCAAAGACCACCCCTTCCTCCACTTCCTAAAACTCAAAAAACTCAGCCCTCCGATTCCATAGCAGATTTCTTAGATCAGTTGGATACATCCACAAATGAGGACAATACAGGAAGTGCCATCAAGAGTATCATCTCAGTGTTCTCACTCCCACTGGTTATTGTATTTGTGCTCTTCTTAAAGGTCTACGCGATATTTGGAAAAAAGAAAACACAGTAATTCGATTATCATTTCCTATTTTTTACTGTTCATGGAAATTATTTCTTTCCAATCAATTTCCTTAACAACTGGATTGTTCAGCCACACTTCAGATAAAGTATGTACATTCTCAACCTCACTCTTGAAATGTTCACACTCTTGTCTTGTTCTTTTGATGAGTGGAAGCCAGTGCTCTTTTTGAGTTTGTTCCAGTTCATTGTTGTCTTGAATAATTTGTTGCGTGACATCCTCCCCAAGTTGTTCTTCGAACGATTGCATGTGAGAAACAAGCTCAGTCATGTTTGCTTTTTCATTCTCTAATGCGGTTAATTCTTTCTTCGTGTTCATGACATGAGGAAGTAGGTATTCAATAGCCTTGAAGTCACAAAAGTTCAAACTCTTTGTAAGCTCTTTTAGAGGAGTGCCTAGATGGTCTTGCACAAATATGGAGAGATCTTTTCGCAAAACTCTTTTTTCTCCACACTCCGTATGTATCAGATAATCAATGGGTATTTTAGACACCAAATTACATTCATTCTCAATGATGCTTCCCAGTATTTCCATAATGGAAGTAAAGGGCCCTGAGAGACGAGGTATCTTCTCTGAAATCAATCTCTGAATATATTCCTGTTGTTTCGTGTAATTCCTTACCATTCTGTCACACTCATGGGAAAGTTGTTGAATTTTTTCATATTTAGCTTTTCTGAATTCTATCAATTTGTGAATGTCTTGTTGTTTTTGGATCAAATGCTGACGAATTTGCTTTTTTTCTTCTCTCTCCTGCGTTAGAGAAGCAATGTATTCCTCTAAAATGATTCGAACAACCCTGAATTGACAAAGTTCAATTTCCTTTCTCCGTAATTCATCAATGTATACAGACTTGTCCCCAACAATACTTCTTGTCATTTCTGAAAGACTTTCGTTTTGCTTTTCGTATGACCTTCGTATCTCTTCAGTAGATTTGGATAATCTGAAAATATTAAGTTCCATGTATTCCAAATGTAAAATTATTGAATGAACACAAAACTTACGACTCTGTTTCAGTAAATCTAGTAATGTGCTTTCTTCGTTCCATTTCCAGTAATCTTTCAACCTCCATTAATCTTTCTTTTCCAGTCCTTTGATTCATCATGATGACTTTTTCAGCCAAGTGGTGTACATTGATAATATTTTCCTTGTTAATGTCAGACATGAAATCTAAAAATTGAGGAATATTGTGAAGATATTCAACATCTAGTTGGAGGTTAGACAGATCAATTTCTTGAAGGCCCATAGTAGGATTTTTCTTGAATAAATTAAATGACTTGTTCAATCGTTCTTCCATTACTTTTCGAAGTTGAGTCATATTTACACTTTTCACATTTCTCATATTTGTACAATTCTCGTTCAACCTTGAGTTATATTCATTAATAATTGAAATGTTATGTTTACATTGTTCATCGAAGGCTTTCATTAAATAATTCTCTTGAGATTCTTTCTGTCGTTCTTTTCTCTTTTTATCGAGAGAGTTTTGCAATTCTTTGATTTTTCTTCGGAGAGTCTCAATTTCATCTTCCATGCTTGGCAGTTTGTTGGATTTAATTTCATTAATTCTGGACTTTACATTTTCAATTTCTCGTATTAATTGTTCCTTCTTTTTTCGTTCTTCTTCAAGCGCTTGCTGAACCTTCACTCCACTCCTAAAGTTGGGATATTCAAAATTTCATGAACCTTGAACGATGAAATTTTGTGATCACAACTTACAGTTTCAAATTCTTTTTTACAATTTCAACCTTTGCAGGATGATAAACAAAGCGAATCAGGAATTTCCATATCGGAATCATATTTCCTCTACAGACTTCCCGAATATTAAAAAGTTGTGGGATATCTTTATCATTGAAACGTAATTCTCTACGGCACCATTCTTCAATATCTTGTGCTAATTTTCCTGGCTGTGTAATATTGGCAGAGGTCATTCTGCAATCGGGAATGAACGTCCGTTGGTGATGCATTTTTTTAAATGTGAAAAAGGCGCCAAAAATTTTTTGGTACTTTTTTTATTGGTGACGCATGCATACTAGGCAGTGGTCGACATGGATGTTGTGTCTGAATGGTTGTTGTTGGTGATGTTGGTGGTGTTGTTGGAGTCGGTTGTGATGCTGCTAGTAGTAGTAATGACAGGCATCATTGTTTCCAAATTCTCAGTCAACACGACAGAGCACAAAGGATGACCGGAAGTGATCGAAACAGGTAGTTCGTGCTCCACACGTCTAATTTCCTGGATGAGCAAATCATGAATTGAATTTCTTGTGTCAAGAATTGTGTAGTTTTTGAGGGTTGGAATTGGGGTGAATCTTCTTTCATAGCGTGGAACTGTTGCCTTAAATCCTCCTGGAACAAAGGTGCTTGCATGCTTGAAAAACTTAGATCCGTTAAATAAATTATTGATATATTCCTTGGCTGCAGAATCTGGATATTCGGAAAGAACAGAGCTCACATAACCAGTAAAATCTAACACATAGAACTGATAAAATCTTGCAATTTCACGCAGCACTCCAGAAACATATGTGAACTCCCAACTGTTCATATCCTCAAAGCTGAGAAGCTTGCTGATCACCAATCTTGTCATTATATAAACTGTTTCTCTAATTTCTCCTATCAACATTTTAAAAGTTGTTGATTCTAAACCTGTAACTTTGTCAAGGTAATCTTCTTCAGGGGCATTAGGATCTTTTTTAAGCTTTGGTATCGTGTCACTTGTGCAAATAGAATCATTGCCATACTCATAGGCTCTTAGGGCTCTAACTATTTGAGCATCGATGCATGACTTCATAATATCCCATGAGTAGGCGAAAGAAAATAGCAATGACTTGTCAGTAAACAAGAAATTAGCAACACTTTGGGCATTCACAATGTCGTGTTGAAGAAGTAACTTCTTCATAAAAAGAATAATTCTTTGGGGAGACTTGAACCAGAACAACCATAATGATCTTATGAGGTTCACTCGTTGATAGACAGTGTCATGGTCTATCAATTGTTTGATTACTTCTTTGTATCTTGATAGAAGGTCACTAAATTCTGTTAGATTCTTTTGGCTAGAGATGAACAGTGCACAACTTAAAAACATGTCTAACAGCAATATTTTGTCGTCCTTACATTGTAAAGTTCCAAGTAAATCTAGCATTTCGTTGGTATCCTTTTTTTGGCGAATTGCTTCTAATATCTTCGAAGAGTCATCAGAGTGAGGACAATTGGAGGAAAATCTGAAATTTGCATCAGGCGCGTTTGGTAAAAACTTAGCAAATGGTACCCCAGTAAGATCTTCATCTTCATTATATCTCAAGTCTTCATCGAACTTGTCCTCTGTTAGATTTGATGATCCTTTAATTGATCTCTTAACTTTGTTCATGTATGTCACATGCAATGTTCTCTGAAGCACCAATCTAATAAACTGTTCTCTTTTCTTGTTTGAAGTTGAGTTTGGATCATTAAGAATGTATGTCCAGTTTTCCCAATCCCACTTGCAGTCGAAATGACTCAAATAATAGGACATGAGTGATGTAAATCGTTGCATACAACATTCATCATCAAACATATCTATCTTTTCAAAAACATAGTTAATGTACTTCTTAACTATCTCTCTAGAGAAATTATCTTTTGTACATTTCTGTAAGCACATTCCAATAACCACCACATTGTAAAAATGTATCTTAACGGGAGGTGATGGAAGCAAGCACATTACTCCTAGAATAACATCAATTGCCATGTGTTGAAAATATTCTCCACTTGGATCAAGGTCATTTAAAATTGCCAATTCTTTTTCTTCCAAGCTTTTTGGTTTGTTATCTTTGTTTTCATTAGTGAAGGCAGCAGTAGCAAGATCTCCAGCCCAAGCATACAATCTACTCACGCAATCTCTATGAGATCCATTAAAAAAGTACAACAAGTCTGTAATATATTCTTCTATCACGAGTCTATCAATAGGAGAAAGTAGATGCAGAGTGCTGGACATCATTTCCTCATACAATCCAAGCCTGCCTTTGAAAATGCAGCCTTTAGAAACATTCTCATGAGAACCAACATCAATTAGATGTTCGTCAAAAGAGAATTCAATCTTGTGCATTCTAGCATCTGCCAAATCGCTCTCTGGGAATAATAAATGTGGCTTAAGTAAACTTTTGATTTCCTTAGTTTCAGTTTGATCAGAAAGGAAGAATTTGAACTGTTCCCACATGACCATGAGGCAATCTTTTTGGCCCTTGAAAACTTTGTACAGAGTAAAATCAAATTGACTGTAAACATCAAAATATTTGGTAAGCTTCGTGGTCAATTCCGATGTGAAAACGCTGTTCTCCTTAAATATCTCAATTCCCCAAGGAAGCGAGCCTAAAATCGTGTACATGTAGTTCATGCCCATTATGTCATTGGAATATTTAAGCGCCAGGTCTACGAATTTATCGAATACATAATATGCATCGTTTTCAGAAACAAGCTTTAGGCGCATCAATTCAAAAATAAATCTGAAAAGCGCCTTGAGACGAATCCAGTCATAGTGGTTATGGCTTTGAATAATATGCTCGACCGTCAATTGGATAATGCATTCTCCAAATTTTGGTATTTTCTTGTTCACCAATGCTACTAATGTGCAGTATATTGCGGTTTTGACAGGAAAATCGGTAATACTGTTAAAGTGTTAATGCTACTTGAGTCAATGTATATTATAACATACCATTGCATGACAATATCGGATATCGTAGGGATATGAGTTTGATAGTCATCCTGCAGATCATTGCAAATAAGTCCTGCTACCTCTTTCAGCTTAGATACTATAGCTTCATCTGTTCGATCTTCCTCGCACATTAAAATGATTGCGCGATAAGTAGAATATGATTCAATCTCATCGTCCCATTCGTCTCTTTCAATTTTTTTCTTTTTGAGGGAGGATTGAAAATCGGCACTCGATGGAGAAGGAGGCTTTTCCTCGGAATCACTTCGTTTTCGTTTCTGATAATTACTGCTATCGAAAGATGATTGATTGTATTTGTTGCCATATTGTGGACCATAAGAAGAATGAATTGGTGAAGATTGATTCTTCGAAGAAGGATGTTGTTGTTGGCCCGATCTGACTGGTGAAGGTCTGTGATTACTCTTAGCCATCGGGCTTTCCTCCTCATCGCTCAACTTTTCTCGTCTTCTCCGTTTAATATAGTCATCATCATCCGATTCATCAGACTCATCCGAAAGATTCCTGTGGTGATGGTTATATCGTGATGGTGCTTGTTGTTGGTCAAGGCTTGAACGCATTTTTTTTATTCAACCCGAACCAACACAGAACGAAGGAATGTTTCGAGAGGCTGTTCCAGTTGATGATGTTTGTGCTCAGGTATACTCAAATCATTTCACCAAAAGATGTTATGGTCTTTCAATGATAGGATTTTCAAATGATATTAAACCATTGTCTTTGAAAAATTTTTGGATGTTACTTCCAAGTTTGGGTCACGATGAAAAAATCCATTTCAATAAATTTTTTAAATAAAATTTTTTGAAAAACAAAAACAAAAAATGAAAACAACGATAGTAACCGCAGTCCTCATGATGGCAGTGATCGCCATTATTGTTGTAGAGGCAACCACTGTTCCAGCATTAGTGTGGAGTGGAAAGAAACAACTTGGTTTATCTAAATTTTCATCACTGAGAAGCGTGTTATCTGAATCATCAACTGTGGCCGTTTTTTTGCATCATCAGGTAAGTATTGTTCATCATCGCCCACCAACAACAATGAAATTATCCAACAAATTGTTACGGAACACAATACCGTAATAACATCAACAACATCCATACGTTAGTTACGTTCTGATGAATTTTTGGAAAACTCCGGAGCCTTTATGAAGAACCCTGATGAAGCCAATGCTTTCCCATTCTTGAAGAGAGCCATGTCCAATGACGCTAGCGCTTCTTTCCCAAATGTAAACGAGGATGAATTGAAATCAATTTTACCATCTGAGTTCACTTATACAATCACTGACAATAACAACATGTCTTCCGAAAAAGTCATCTCATTGAAGGATTTCTTATCTTCTCCAAATCAATACTTGAGAAAAGGCGGAAAGTATCTTTTTGTGTTCTCTGATGTCCATCGTAGTGATGCAAAAGCTAGAGATTTGTTGGCTGAATATGATTCTATTGTTCAAAACGTTGCTTCTTCATTGAACCAATTGACAAATGGAGATTTTGTTTGTCTCTTCTCTGCTCAACAAGCTACTCCTCTTTCAAATCCTTTTGCTCGTCAAATTCTCTCTACCAAAAATTCAGAGAGCGAATATGAAGTTTATAGAACATTGTCTTCAAGCACTAACAATCCATACTCGCCATACACCAACGGTACTACCAACAATTTGATGATTGATGGAGAAATTGCAGCAGGAACTCTTGTTGGATTATTCCTTTTGTTCTTCCTTGTTATTGCTATTGTTTTCCTTATGAATTTGAAGACATCTCCACACATTACTGACCTTTCTATCAATGAGGAAAAGAAGAATAACTAAAATTTTAAATTAATTTAACACCAGACTATGAATTAAACATACCAAATAACTTTTATTAATGCTGCTAATTGGTTAAAAGCTAAAATTTTCAAAACTACAGAAAAGATTTTTGTTTTATTACTTGCTCTCTCCATCTTCTGGACAAATTATTTGCGAGTTTGAATTGCACAGAAGCCGTTTGAACACTGCTTGCTGCGTTGTCTGTGGTGACTTCATCGCTGAAACAAACTGTTTTAGGTTGAGTGACCTTCTTCATAATGAGAGGCGAGATTGAGCAGTTCATTTGGTTGTAATGATTTTCCACACAGCCTTGCACAAACATTTTTGCAAAACCAGGGATGGTGCTTTCTGTGTCACGGAACAGTTGTTTTAAATCTTCGATTTGCTTGAGTTTTTTGTCCAAGTCTTGTGTAGTGCTGGCAACATGTCCCGACAAGCTAGCCTCAATGATGTTCATGTAAATGTTCTTATTGAGAGTATTTTCTTTGTGCTGCATTGTGGCTTGTTTGTCTTTTTCCAACCTGTCCTCCTTTATGTTAATGGTCATGGGAGTCAAACTTTCTGGTGTAGCCGTGTTTGAGGCATCTTCAGTGTTCTCACTATTCGATGAAGGAAGTGGAGCAGCATGGGTTGGTTCTGTAGACTTTCGAATGAACTCCACTTGAGATAAAGGGTTGGTTTCTCTGGGAGAAATAATTTTTAGGGTACGATATTCGTTGTCGCTGCTTGAAGGGCTGCTAATCTCATCATTATGATCTACTGGGCTCCCATCACTTGCATCGTTAATGTAGTCGTTCGTTTTCTCAAGACCAGTCATGCTTGACGAGTCAAGACAGTCTTTTGAGAAATCTATTTGAATATTTGTTAAAGTATTGACAGAATTCTTCTTTTTTCGTCTGACTGTACTTTTGAAATCCCAATAACTATTACTTTCACTCTCATCCTCATTAGATGATGTATATGAATCTGAGCCACTTGTCGAGAATGAACTATTTGCATCTTTTTTAGTACTTTCATATAGATGTTTCTTTTCAATCAAATCAATAAGAATGCGGGTTTTTTTTGCAGTCTTAATAAATTTGTGCTTGAGCAATTCTTTAGCGGACAGCCGTTCTGTTGGATCTTTTTTCAAGCAAAGAGACACAAACTCTTTGAATGGTTTTGAAAACTGGCCCTCTAATGTTGGCGGTTCGTTCTTGGGTATTAAAAAGAGAGACTTCATTGGATCATCACCATAATAAGGCGGGAATCCTTTAGCCATTTCAATAGCCGTAATTCCTAGTGACCAAATATCTGCTTTTTCAGTATATCCAGCTTGTTTAATGACCTCAGGAGCCACTAAATAAAAATCAATAAACATAATTATGTGCTTAAACAACTACCTACTCCAAAATGGGGTTCCAACAAAAGAATGACGTTTGTTGACGGTGCTTGACAGCTGACCAGCAACTCCAAGGTCAGCCAACTTCACCGCTCCTTCATCGCTTATTAAAACATTGGCTGCTTTGATATCTCTATGGATAAGGCCAATTCCATGAAGATACTCAAGACCATACAATATCTCCCTCACTATCGTTGCAATGTATTTTTCTTCAAACTTTCCACCATTGGCTTTCATTAAATCCAATACTGATCCACCGCTTAAATATTCCATTACAATTAATAATTTGGTATCTTGAACAATGCTTCCATAGACAGAAACTACATGAGGTGATGAGCATTGTAGCAAAACATGAATTTCTTTTTGAATGACCTCAATGTCATCTTCCGATTTTTCTAAATCTATCGACTTGATTGCAACTATGACATCAGTCCTCTTATTCCTCCTATTCAATTAATGAATTTAAAATCATGAAATCCTTGTCATTAATACCTACGCTTTAAAAACCTCACCAAACGATCCCTTTCCGATTTTTGCGAGTTTTTGATAATCACAATAATTCGGAGAGAAGGGTTCCCGTGATGAGCTTGAGAGGTAACCGATACTTCCTGAGGGCGATGGTACTGACGATGCTTGATAACTTAATGATGAGGTGATTGATAATTTAGAGATGGGTGGTGGAGTTGAGGAAGGAGAGAAAACAACTTGCTCATGAGAGGCCGATCTTTGAGGTATTGGAATACCAACCGACGTTGATGAGCTGCTTTCTGTTGTTGGGCCCGACACGTTACTCGACAAAGATTGGTTGCTCGGTGGCATGAAGGTAATTACGATCAGAATGGGTAGATAATGAGGAACTGTTGTTTGTTCTTCTTTGAGATATAAATATTTCTTCGTTCAAATGGGCTATAGAATTATTTGGAATGATGACAATCAATAGATCCAGATGGAGCCTTTGCTTGACAATGGTGATTGTAATTCCAATGCCAATCAGCTCGATCTACAATTTTTTGTATTTTTTGGTCTTTCTTAAATCTGAATTCAGGTCAGAAGGCAAATGAAAGAGATATTGGGAGAGTCAATAATAACAACACATTCTGCAAGAGAGAGATAGAATCAATAAGCTCTGCGTTGATGCATTATTATTTGTATTGAAAGAACATTTCATCTTTCTATGCTTGCTCGCAACCACAATATTTCGTAATAAAGGGATGTTGCAGCACTTGATCCAAAGTAATTCGCTCCGATGGCTCTTTGACAAGTAATTTCTTCACCAAATCCTTTGCCTCTTCACTAATATAGTCTGGGAATGTATATCGCACGGCCACAATGTTCCTCATCGTGGATTTATCATCGTTGGCATAGAAAGGAGGATTGCCTGTTAAGAATTCATAACAAAGAACACCAATACACCACAAGTCTACCGTTGCATTATGAGCCTTCTTTTCAATCATCTCAGGAGGAAGATAGTCCAATGTTCCACACAAAGTCCTTCTTCTACTGGATGGAGCATGAACAGCCCAACCAAAATCAGCAATTTTGATTTCACCATTGGCATCAAGAAGTAAGTTTTCTGGCTTAATATCACGATGGATCACATGCTTGGAAGCACAATATTTAAGAGCACGTGCCATTTGGTACATAAACTTGGAGGTTTGTTCTTCAGAAAATCTTCGACACTTTTGGAGGTAGTTATACATTTCTCCACCAGGAGCATACTCGAGAATTAGATAGACTCTGTCCTTATCGTGGAAGAAGCCAAATAATCGAAGAATGTTCTTGTGTCTGAGATGAGATTGAATTTCAATTTCTCTTCGGAGTTGGTGAGCCACCTTTTCCTTCTCTAATTGCTTCTTATCTAACAATTTGAGAGCTACAATATATTTGGATTTCTTCTCACGTGCCAAATAGACACGACCGAACTTTCCATTACCAAGAGGCTTACCAATTTCAAAATCATCAATCGTCCAATCATTACGGGGCTGATCAGGGTAACAAATATCATCTTCTGATGATGAAGAAGTAGTGGTAGTAGTAGTAGTTGTTGTTGGACGAGTTGGGAGTTGTTTGGAACGTTGAGAGGATGCAGAGAGTGGTCGAGGAACGGATTGTGAAGGCATCGCTGCTGAGGAGTTGTTCTTTTTGAGAGCATGTTGTGATTGTGGGACCGCAAATCCGGAAGCAGCAACGTTTGGATGCACTCTTCCTGGATTTTCCTTGTTCAATTCTGTGTTTTGTTGTTGTGGCTGTTTGGAATGAAGAGCATTCATCATTTGTTTTTTTGATTATTTTTTGGAAAAATATTTTAACGGCTAGTTTTGGCGTCATTCAAAGTTCTCGTATCCCTGCCATATGTCAGAGACCTTCTAAAGTTGAGCGCTATTCTTATTTCGTTTCAGCTCTCAAACCATCGATTGAGGTCTACGATCAATATGGATCTTCTCATCAAATTGGCAAAGTCTTCATATCATCATTTTAAAAATGTCTCAAAATCATTTAAGGTTCACTCTGAGTGGTGGAGAGAGTAGTATGGTTGAGCCACATCAACAACCACTTCATCCCCAACCCCACTACCAACAATCCACAACCACCTCACCGTCCTTCCACAACAACAACAACTCTCGGAATTATGGAAACAATCCATCATCATCGTTGGTACAAAATGGAACTGAAACATCTCGCAATTATCATCTTCTCTCCGCTGGATCACCTCATCGGGATCCTTCATCATCATCTCCATCACGAAATAATAATACGACGACGACGACATCTTCTCTTTCATTGTTGTCTTCCATACTACAACAACAACATCAAAATCATCAACAACAACAACATCATTCAACTACTAATCACCATCCCGTAAATGTCACTCCGAGAGGCCAAAATAACCATCCATCCAACAATAACAACAACAACAATGGTCAATTATTAACCTCCTCATTCACTTCATCATCTCCTATAACATCACCCACCACCACAACAACAAGACAACGAAAAAACAGTTTTTCTAAATTATTTACAAAATCTTTTCCTTCGGATGATGCGATGAGTAGTGATGGTGCTTCGGAAGAGTCTCAAATGATGGATCATTCTCCTATCGCTCATTGTTTTCTACCAAATGGTGGTGGTGGAGGAATTCCACATCATCATGATCATACCGTCGAGGATGATACAATCATTGGATTCGAACATCATCACAATATACATGAAATGAATTCAAAATTATATGAAATTATATTCGAATTGGAAAATTCAAGAAGAAGAAGACGTTTGTCACAATCTTCTTCTTCTCCATTGGATGTCATTTCTTTTGGAACGAGTCCTCCACCTAATTCTCCAAATTCTTTCACAGCAACTTCAAACTCTCAATTATCCATCTCCATGCCCCATTACTCTTTGTCACCTTCACAACGAGGAATAAGTTCATTATCAACTTCTCCACAACCAATGCACTACATGTCCAATAGTAATGAATCAAAAAGTGGAAGACTAAAAAACACATTTCGAAAATTATGGCCCAAATCAGGTTCAACAACAACTCTGAGCACTGCTGCTGCATCCACAACAACGACATCTTCTCGACCTGTGGTACCACCACTATTTTCAAAATCAGGATTTTCACATCCTGAAACAAATTCTGTAATGACATTTTCCAGTACTTTCATGAATGACCTTAATGATTCTAAGGCAAGAGAGGAGAGAAAGTTATTGGAACGATATGGTAGACGTCCACAAATGATGGCAGCTGGAGGTTCTCTGACGCCACGTACTCCTCGAACACCGAGAACTCCTAGAAATAATTCTAAAAATCCGACAGAAATTGTAGAAGATGGAACTGAAGTTTCACTCTTGGTGTCACCAAGAGGTGCAATTTCACCAAGTCGAACCATCTCTTCGATTGCACTACCCAATACACCGAGAAGTGTGAGTGGTGAAGAACCAAGCGTTTCAGATTATCCCATCGATGATATAACATTTTTGGAACATCCAACACCAGAGAACATTGTAAAATTACTCGAGTTTCGATACAATAAGAAGGATTTTAACAAGAGAATGCCTTTATTTTATACCTATCTAGGAGACATGTTAAGTAGGTATTTTCTATACGTTTGCGGATTGCTTAAAGATTGAATAATTACCATCAACTTGCAGTTTCTGTCAATCCCTATGACATCAAAGAGACAGTTTCCAATTACAAAAATTCAGTCATACATTTTTATCACAAACAAACACCATTTGCTAGAGCACCACACTTGTACTCTATTGCTGAAAACGCTTTTAGGAATATGAAAGAGACCCATCAACCACAAACAATAATTGGTATGTTATTCTCAATTTTTCATGTGGATTGGACGACGAATGACTAACAACTTACCTCTCATAGTGAATGGAGAAAGCGGATCAGGTAAGTATCATTTGTAGAACTTTTTCGAATAATTTCTAAACTTGAAACAGGAAAAACCGAGAGTAGTAAGCTCATACTAGGTTATTTAACAGCAATATCACTGAATGGATCATCCTCTTTAGATGTTAAACATACTTTAATAGATTCTAATCAAACACTAGAGGCATTTGGAAATGCGAAAACAAAACATTGTGACAATTCATCACGTTTTGGAAAACATACCACCATTTACTTTGGATTTAAGGGTAGAATTGAAGGTGGAAAAATATCTACCATTTTACTGGAAAAAAGTCATGTCACTCACCAGAGAAAGAAGGAACGAAATTTTCATATTTTCTACCAACTCTGTCGAGGAGCTGATAAATCCATACGAGAAAAGTTTAATCTTCATGATCCCTCTTATTTTTCCTATCTGAACACAACAGAGACCACCATTCATGGCGTCGATGACAGTAAGGAATATAAAAGCACTATTCACAGCATGGATTCTGTAGGAATTACTCACAAAGAACGAAAAGAAGTATTTCGATTAGTTGCTGGAATTTTACATTTAGGAAACATCCAAATCATTGAGAGTTCGTCTGAACATAAGGAAAGAGCAGATATTTTGGACAACGATGAGGCTCTGAAGTGGGCATCATTTTGTTTCCGAATTGAACCAAAAGCTCTCAAAAAATCACTTCTCTCACGTACTCTTAATGCAGGTGAGCGTTATGTTCGAAAAGATCAAACTGTGAACGAAGCCATTTACAACAGAGATGCACTCGCTAAAGGTGTCTATGAACGACTCTTTTTGTGGATCATTAAGAAAATTAACAAAGCCATCAAACCAAAATCAAAAGAGAACACCACGAGTATCAGTATTTTGGATTTATATGGATTTGAAATTTATCCAACAGACAACTCATTGGAGCAACTCAATATCAATTATGTGAATGAAAAGTTGCAACAACAAATTTTGAAAGAATTACAACAAGAAAAAGAGGACTATGTCATGGAAGGAATCACTTCTTTTGATCCATTTACTGAGAGTAATATCACTGGTGGTCAGACCTCTCAAGCACTTCTCTCAAAGTTGAAAAATGGTTTATTGAATATAACTTTGACGAGAGATGTTAAAAAAGATGTAACATCGTCGTCACCACTCGATCACTCTCCATTTCAACTGGATTATATCAGCATTAATGATTGCATTAGTACCATTGAAGATCATCCAATAGGAATTTATTCACTTCTCGATGAAGAAGACTTTTTGATTGGATCAGGAAGTGATGAACGCTATCTCTTTAAATTACTCACCAATCTAAAAGGAAAATCTAAAAGTTTTGAACCTTCCAGATTCAAAGGATTAACATTTAGTTTGAAACACTTTGCTGCTAAAGTAGAGTACAATGTGACCGATTGGGTTCAAAAGAACAAGGATACTCTTTTCAAAGATTTGATCGAGGTCATGAGCTCAAGCACATCCTTTCTATTGAGAGAAATTTTTCCTGAAGATGAACTCACCAACAAAGAATCAGAATTTCGAAGACTACAAGAAACCATTGTGAAACAATTTAAGAGAGATGTCAACACATTGATGAATAAGAAGCTCAAAGGCAAACATCATTATATTTACTGTATCAAGCCAAATGATGAGCAAAAACCATTCAAATTTGATCGCGATCTCGTTCTTCATCAAGTGAAATATTTAGGCCTCAGCTCCATTTCTCATATCAAGCAACATGGATTCTTCTTCAAAATGAAATATGACAAATTTATACACAAATACAAGTGTCTGAGTCCAGTGACATGGCCTCTCTGGAGCAATTCAGACATCAAAAAAGGATGTCATATCATATTAAGTGAGCTCAATATTGATCTTAACAATTGTGCATTTGGAAGGACACAAATATTTCTAAAGACACCTCTCGAAATGTCCATTCTCAACGACAAGCTTGAACAAATTCATGAAGCAGTTGCTATTCTTCTACAGAGAAGATATCGAGAAATTGTTTACAAAAAAAAACGAAGAAAAGAAGAAATTATCAAATCACAACTGAGAGGACTCAATCACTCGATTGACAAATCTATTGGATCGATGGTCTTTTTTGAACATCATGTGAATCAAATTATTAATGGCACTCGTCAAAGCAGATTACTCGTCCTATCGGCTTCTCATTTGTGTTTTCTCGATGCAGACGAGTATGAAATGAAATTTAGTTTTCCCATTTCGTGCATTTATCGATTGTGTATGAGTCGATACAATGATGGAATTCTCATTATTTGTATGAAATATTTTGGAGACATCATTTTGGATGTGGAAAATAAGCAAAAAGTGTATCAAGAAATTTATTCAACATTTACATCATTAATGGCAAGATCCATTGATGTGTTTATTGACTCTTCTTTCACCTTGGAACCTTCTATATTCTTATTAGAGTCGAATGAGTTGATTCAAAAGGAAGAATATCAACGAATAATGAAGGAATTTAATTCTTCGATGGATCTCGTTCATTTGAATCATCAACTATCGAGCACAACAACATTTCAACGAAAACCCTTCACAGTTCAATTTTTAAAAGATTTTACCATTTCCACCATAAAAATTGAACGAGTGAATCAGGGAATGATTGTCTATGTGAAACCTAATGAAGATATATTTGGAGGTAAAAAACAAAGACGACATGGAAGTTTTTATAGACAATTTGTGGGTGATTCTTTACTCATGAAACATACAGATTTTATGAAAGATAAGATTGAACATGGAGAGGATAGAGATGTCCTATTTTCTGATGAAGTCAGCAAGTATGACAAGACTTTTAAGAAGAGAAATCGTTTAATGATCATTACAGAGAGATCTGTCTATTTAATGCACACAAATTTCTTTGCTCAAAGCTATGGAAACTATTTTTCGAAAACGAGAAGAATTCCACTCAGAAGAATTTACAAAATTTCTGTGTCGCCATTTTCAGATAATTTTTTCTTTGTTCATGTGAGAGGTGAAAGTGATGTGGCCTTGGAGAGTGTGAAAAAGACGGAGATTATCAGTACTCTGAGTTCCATATCCAAGTCTACACTTTCGAGAACTTTTGAAGTTGAAGTAACCTCTAAAATCTATCAGACCACAAAGAATCCCAGTATCACTCGATTGATTACCATTGAACAAGTCCAATCTCCACCCACAAGAAGAATTGAATACAAAAAACCTGATGTGAAAATTTTCATCCATCAAGAGGAAGTTTTTGAAGAATATTCAAAGAGCATCATGGACGTGTATTGTGGAAAGAAATCTCGCAGAGTCATGTCACTAGATCTCAAAGATGAACCAACAGAAGATCAAGGCGATTTATTAATTGTCAATGAAATTATTTCCAAAGATGACACGCCAAACTTTCTTACAGAGGTGGAATTGATAAACCCTTTCTCACTATCCTCTTCCAAGAAAAAGATGGCCATTACTTCGTCCACGATTTACTTGTTTGGAAAGAAGAATATTGATCAAGACAATCTGTCAATTTCTATTCAAGATATTGAAGCGATATACTGTAGCTGCTTCTGTGACGACATATTTGTGGTGTATTGCCGTAATCGATCCAATCAAGGAGACATGAATCATTCAGTAATTGCATACATATTTAATTCTGATCATAAGACAAAGATTATCCAAGTATTGAAGGAGCAAGCGAATCCTGCGATTGAATTGATCATCCACTCGAAAATTGTCATTCCCTATCGATACATATTTGCAAGATCAGACGCTTTCAAGTCATCTCAAAGCGACGATATGTTTGAACAAGCCCTCTCTCAGACACCGTCCATTGAGAGTTTAGATACTTCCGAAAATTCCAACACTGCTACCAGTATGACTGCCATGATGGAATGTGCCTCTCCTGAGACTCCAAATAATATCTTGAATCATAGAATTATTGAGGAAACTCTACTTCCGAGAAAGGATGGAAATGGTACCTTAACCATCACTTTTGAAATTGACAGAACTCTCTCTGTGGTATGTTATATCATGCTATTTCATGATGAATAATTTACAGTAATTATTGTGTATAATAACAATATTGTTGTGGTAAATTCAGCCCACCGTTACCTGCATTGATGAAGGTTTGAATGGAATTATGGTCATTTGTATCAATGACCAAGAGCCAATGTTTCCCTTATATCCACTTTTCAAAAACAGTAGATCTCGAATATCCTTCAAGACCTCAGCATGATGATGGGGTTCACCTTCATCGATCTCTACTCATGGGAAGGAAATTTGTATCGTACAAGATTACTCAAGATGTCTTCCTTACTGAGATGCTTGTAAATCGTATCGGCACTGCTTGCTATTTTCATTCCATGCGACCACGAGCTTGCCCGTACTCGAGTTGCTGCTAATGTTACTGCTGTACTAGTCAAATATCCCTTTGACTTGCTATACGAATGATTGGAGGTAGAACGTGTCCGTGTTGAGTAGGAATCTCTTCGTATGCCACAGACATCATTCTCAAGATAGGAGGGTCTTCGGGTCAATACATTGGAAGCATACTCAGCAAGTTCAGGGGTAATAGTGGCGGTTACAAGTTGAGAGAGCTGAGTGGATGAGGATGATGCAGATGAAAGGGTCGGTGATGCTCCCTCAATACAAAGTAAGTATTGATCATCACCATCATTACTCGTTCGAGATAATAAATCTTTGGTGGTTGGTGAGGCTTGTGTCTGGAATTGTTGTTCTTTGAAATCTTGGTCTTGTTGTTGATGAATCTGAATAAGGCTGATCTTGTTGTTTGTCTTGTTGTTTACGATTGTGTCTGAAGTAGTTGTTGTTGTTGTTGTTGTTCTTGATTTGGAGTGTTGTGAAAGCAAGATGGTCCACAGCCCCAAGCAAAGTGAACAAAAGAGGGCCACCCAACCCCATCCCATTGACTCGTACATCCTGACTGTTCAGTTTCGTGGTGTACAGTTTTTTTCAGTGTGTTAATTTCGGTTAGTTCTGTTGATTTTTGACAATTAAGGGCAAAACGAGAATCTTTTGGATCCGCATGCACATCTATGGCTCTGAGTATTTCCTTTTTGTCAGAAAACTCATTGCCTTCCGCTCTCATCACCTCTTTATATGTTCGTTATGTTGTAGTGCATATACAAATAATAAATATATATTTGGACATACAACAAACCTTTCGTTCGCTGTACAGAGAGTACCGAAAATCAAGGGATCCCCATCAGACGCAGCGAACAGCCATTCAGCCAGGATGGTCCTCGCTGCCAAAGTTGCTAACAGTAGCGCTGAGAAAGAATTTGAAAAACGCAATTATTTCAAAAAGATGTTTCCGATCATTCATTTGATATCCAACCAGGCAAAGGTTTTTTGTTATTCCTGATCCTCTTCGTCCACTGTTTGATTTGCTTAATGGTCATTGCCATTCTTAGAATACTCCAAATCGTTATTTCTGTAGTAATTTAATATCAAACGTCTTAAAAGAAATGAAAATCCAAGGTCGAACAATATCCCAATGCAGCAGTTACTTTAGGTCTAATCCAAATTGATGAGAACAAACTGTCCACGTTTGGTGGATTAGTGGGAACATTTAACATTTTGGTTGATCTTTGTTTTTCTCGCTCGACTTCTTGGTTTCTCAACTCAATGTAATACATCATTTGTTGACCCCTATCGTATGGAATCAATACGCATGGAATTCTTATTAAATTACCTGCATCTGTTCCATCATCACTCATCAAATGCATCTCTCCATTCTCGCTATTCACTACAATCAATCCAGCTGCCCCTGCTTGCTCGACGTACAGAGCTTTTTGAATAAATGTACATTGTCCTCTGGTTACAAGTACAAGTTTGTCTTTGTAATGATTCTCACTGTTTGGATCATCTAAATAGGTAGAATGATTTTGAAGAGGCGAACACGCATCAATTGGATATGCCAACACAACCTCTTTCGGAATTTTACAATTTGTATTTACATAAAAGGTTCCAAATTGTGCCATACGAAATGTTGTTGGTTGAGCCGATAAATAATGTGGAGAAAATATTTGAAATCCGAGCACCAAATAATTATTACTTGATGGTAATATCACCATCCCGATCCAAATAAACGCAAAAAAAGAAAGAGAAAAGACTTTTATCATTTTTTTTAAGGTGGAAATGTTATTCAATTTCTTTCAAGTCGTGTTGTTACACTTTTTCGCTGGAGTGAGCTGAGATTCACTTCGACAAGGGACAAGAATTAGTCAAGCGAAAGTCCTTTTCCCCAGAGGAACTGGCTTGGCGTCATCCAAAAACTGCGTTGCGCATGCATAAGAGAATGGTGTAGACACTAATTCAAATCTGTCACTGGAGTGTCTCCTCCCATTGACATTCTTGAAGCTATTCCTTTACAATTAAAGAGTGGATACGAAATCCAACTTGGGCTCCAACTTGGAGTTGACCACCCTCCATTCTTCTACAATTTCGCGAATACGAGGATTTGATCGTTTCAATCTCGTATAAACATCCAACAAATCGACCAGGGCCATGACTTTCAAATCATCAAACAAGGACGGATGTAAATTGTCCTTCTCCGTGGTATGAATTTTGAAGAGAATCTCCTCTCTTAGGGCTTCAATTCTGGGTAAATTCAACTGGTAAGGGCTACCCTCCGTGATGTATCAATGGACAATATAGAGAGCTTTCTGCTTTCGTTTCTTGTTTCGTGTTTTCTTGTACTGTTCAATCTCCTTATAGACGAGAATTCCTTCCGTACAAAAGCTTCGACGTGCAAAGTCCAACAACAGTTCAAACGCTTCCTTATTGTTGAGAATCATCTCCAACTCCGATTCAAAAACATCATTATTCGAGGGAGTTTTTGTGTCCTTGAGGACGGCATAAACCACTGGACAAAAGACGGAGACGAACAACTCTAACAAAGAACATGTAATTATGACCAAACCCTGAGGCACCACATGTTCCAACACATTCTTCAAGTAGGGAACTAGGTTAATCACCACATAAATGGCAATGAAAAACAATTGACTGGCCATCAAGAGCAGTGTTTCTCCTCGAATGAACCAAGTATCATGATCCGTTCGAAACAACAAGATAAGGCACACAATCTCCACGAGAAAATAACCTGCATAGAATATGACTGAAATGATTGCTGGAATAGTGCTACTGAAACAACCTCTTAGCGAGAGCATACTCTGATCCAACATTAAAAACCTTTGTTGAGCAAAGAAGTTATCCTCGATGACAGCCAAAACAAACCACTGAAGGATATGAAACGCAAACAATCCAAAGAGTAAGGAAATGAGAAAGAGATGGCTCGAGAGGAGCGAATGAGCTTTAAAGAAGACTTTTTCCGACCTGGAATGAAGTTTGTAAGTCGAAAAGTAGTCCCAAACGCCCGTATTGTTTTCCGTCATACCTTGTGTGGTTGCTGAGGACACACCATGAGTGGGATAAGGCATGTCCACAGAGCTCGGTGAGGAAGGTATCGATTCCTTCTCCATCATCAGTTCGTGTTCTTTTCTTCAAAAAAAGAAGAAGAGATTTAAGAGAATCCTTGATAATAACAGTAAAATCATTGAAAAATGTTCAGTCAATCCCCATTTGTTTTATATTGATCTCACAACAAGATGACAAATCACATAAAGAAAAAAAGTCCAAACACCACTCTGAGCAGGTTCAATCACTGATACCATTCTCACTCTTTAGCAAGTTTATTGATTTTTACCGCCAAACCGCTTTCAATAGAATACGATTAACCTTTTATTAAATTATTTGAAAAAATTGCCTCATTCAGTTTATGATGCCTCATGCTAATCCAATCGACTCAACACCGTTGGTGGGTTGGCCATCTTCAACAACTGATGTTGCCAGTACTCCTCCAAAGGAAATAATTGCAAATGAACAGACAGAAGGACTATTGGATCTTATGAAAGCACATGAAAGAGGCTGCACTAATGTATTGTGATTATAAGTATGAGAAAAAGGAGCTGCATTCATACTCTTTTCATAGCCAAGAGGAAGAAAGAAAGAGTTTATTGGAACAGATTAAGGATGTATTTCAGGCTATTACTAAGAAACTTGATGAAATAAATTGAGTTCTGTTTCAAAAGTGATGAACAAAAGTTTACAATTTCACTTTTAAAAAATGACCACCTTCAAAGACAAGGTTTGCGATGCTTTGAAAACCAAAAATCAAGATCTTTTGGTTGAGTTGCTCAAATCGGCATCCAGTAACAATTTTGATTTGACTAAAGAAATTTATCCAGACACACTCCGATTAATTCCTCATGAAGCTGCTGGATTTGGATTACTCAAAGCTGTTAAATATATGATTTCCGATATGAAATTTCCTGTTAATTTCCAACAGCCAACCACATTGTTGACATTGTTGCACATGGCCTGTAGGGAGGGTCATCTCTCTGTTGTAAATTATTTAATTGATTCTGGAGCTGATGTAAATATTACGGATCGTGAAAAATATACTGCTCTTCATTATGCTGTAGGAGGAAATTACACTGAAATTGCTACAAGTCTTATTAGTGTCACTGGAATCAAGGTGAACGAAAAAGATTTTTTATTTAGAACTCCACTCATGAGAGCTGTTGAAGCTTGCAATTTCGATATTATAAAGGCATTGATAGAAAAAGCAAATGCCAATGTCAATATAGTAAACGATTCAAATGGATGGACGGCATTGCACTATGCTTCGTATGCTGGGTTTCAAGGTAAGTGGAGTGAACATGCAAAGGATTCATAATGTTTTCGAAATATTGTTCAGAAATTTGTAAATATTTATTGAAACACGGAGCTGACAGCACTATTAAGGATAAAGACAAGAGATCTGCATTGTATTATGGATATGGTCAATTCGATGATTAATATATGTAAGATCCAAACTCGATAAGTAAAAGGCAAGGCTCATTCAAAATTATTTTAATTAGAGAGATCTTTGTACATGAATGTGCTCCTTAATGTACCTCAGCTTTGGAACGCTATCACCTAATTGCTTTCGCTCTTGCTCAGTATATCCATCACATGCCGGATTACTACATGTAAAGACACAAACACAACCAAATTGCATGCCCTCTGCAACATCACTTTTCACATGCTTATCACATTGCAGTTGATAAATTACGGTAGGCAAAATTTCAAGTTCAAAAACTCTTGGCGCTCCACACTTGTCACACTTTGGTGCATAATCGGAAGGATTTGGCTCCAGCTCGTTATAATTCTGTTCCTCGTCATCCTCCTCATCGTCACTGTCGTGCTTTGAACCTTTCAATGCTTCATTCTCTTTCTTCTTTTCCAATAACTTTTTCTTGAGTTGCATGTATTTTGGAGGCATATCTGAGGCATCATCTGACACCCACAAAGGCTTACCACCAAATTGCCATCTAATGGATTGGTGTGGACATGTGGCCAACACTGTTTGGAAATGCACAAAAGCAAGACTCACTTTGTCTGATTCAGGAACAGCTGACTCTTGTACTTGCTCTTCTTCATCATTGTCTTCCAGAGTCTCGTTAGTTTGCTCCTCTGTAGCATGATCAACAGAGGATGATGCACCTGCTTCCTTAGAACTGTCTTCAATCTTGTCTTCTTTAAAGGTCACACCTTTAATCTTTTCACTCATAAACTTCTTTGCAAATACCTCTGCTTCTTTCGAATCAAAAGCATTTTCTTCATTCTTTTCCTTTGCTTCTTCGGAGGCGGCTTGGAATTGCTTTAATAATTTCATTTCATGAGAGTCTTCAGTAAACTCTTCTTCCATCTCTGGTTCTTCATAAATATCTAACGCAAAACAAGGTAAATTTCCCTCTGAAACAACTTTTGAGATCTTCTTCTTTTGTTTCTTTTTCGCATCCTTTTCTTGTTGCATCTTTTTGAGTTGAGCTTCTTGACCTGAGAGTAAATCTGACAATTCTTTATCATCAACGCTTTGTGTCCAATCATTGGTTGATTTTGTTTGGGATGTTGTTTGAGAAGAAGATCCTGTTGTTGTTGCTTCGGTGGTTGATTTTGTTTGAGATGTTGTTCCCGAAGATGAAGGCTCACTCTTTGGTTTGTTTTTCTGTTCCTCTACTTTCTTTGAGTCTACCTTGAATTGAACACGTAAACAAGTCCAAGCATTGCTCTTCTCACTACATGCACCATTATTGCACCCGAACACGTACAAAAATCGATCATAAGGACCCAGTGGAACATAACATTGAGCAACAAGAGATAATTTTCCTGAGCAATTTCCACATTTCAATTTCGGGATTTGTGGTAAGAGGCTAGACAAGTCTTTACATTGTGCGTTGGGAGGTAGTTGCATAATTTGTAATTCACTCTCGGTAATCCAAGCTGGATTTCCTCCTAATTTATTAAAATAGGGATCTTTATCATCCAATGAATTTTCTTCAACTCTCTTCTCAGGTTCTCCAATCCAAGGATATTCCACAAAATAATCCGATTGAAGTCCAAGTTCTTTCAAATCGGACTCATCCTGTGATGACGATGAAATCATTTTTTTTTGAGCTTCAATTTTCTTCAACAATTTGGTGGACCTTTGAAAGGCACAGCACAGCAAGAGTGGAATGGTTTGAAATCCATTATTTTCCTCACCCTCGAAGCATGGTTGTCAATCATTGTCATTAGTATCAAGTCCTTTCAAGTGATACTTGGCCACAACCATTTTGACACACCACCTTCAAAAAAACTCTTTTCAAAATAGTCCTCTCGCCGCCGCGTTCTAGTTTTCACTCTCTAAAAAAAATGTCTTCCACCAATTCCCGTGTCGTCGACTCGTCTTGCAATAAGAATCTTCCATCTCATCATCGGGCGAACCATCGGAAATCGTCCAAAACCATTCTCACCTGTCAGATAATGTTCTTTCTTGTGTTTGTTTCGTTGTCAGTGCTGGTTCAATCCAAGTCCATGATTAGTGGTGGAACTCAGGCACAACCACATCAATTTCCCTTCTACGGAGGAATGGCATTACCGGGTATTGATAAAATTGTTTGCAGTGGATTTTTCTATCGAGAAGATATTTTCATTTCTCTCGCAAATTGTCAAGGAAATAATTATAAGGTGACTGATTTGTTAATTTATGCAGGTTCTAACGATCGAAGATGTTGGGATAACCAAGTTCATTGTGCTGTATTTAATGTAGTTTCGACTGTGACACATCCTGGATATAGTGCCAAAACACTGGCCAATGATATTGGAATTTATGTATTGAAAGAATCAATTTTTTCTGTTGTGAAAAATCGAAGTGATGTAGTTGTTTCCACATTGGATATTACTAATGAATTACCAAAATTTAATTCGACTTTTTATGACTTGATGGGATGGGGAAGATTGAACATTAGTGCATCAAGTGGACCTTACATGCTTCAAACCATTCCTCAAACCATTGTTGAAGATACACTCTGTCTTAATGCTGATACGAATAGAAAATATAATTCAGAATTGATGAAATGTGTGAATGGAGGAGGACATGGTGGATGTTTAGGAGATGGTGGAAGTCCATTAGTCTTTAAAAACAATACTCGTTATGAAGCTGCAGCCATGTTCAGTTTTTCATTGGGAAATACGGAAAATATTTGTGAGGAAGGAACTTATCATGCCTATCTCGCTCTTCCAAAATATAAGAAATGGATTGATGAAACCATTGTTTCTCTTAAAAGCGATGCAGTGACAAGGTTCTCATTCTTTTCACACATGAGTGTCTTGTTTTTGATGCTTCTTGTTGGGTTAATGATTTTAATTTAGAAATAATATTTCTTATGTTTGTCTTGTTGTTGATGTCTTTGATTTTTTCTTTTTAAGGTCATCGGAATATGCTTCAACAACGCCGTTCGGAAACAAATTGAATTCTTGAGCTTATTTTTGGAAAACATAAAAAAAAAATACAACCACCTGTCGCTCATTGTTTTCATCCTCATCACGATTCGAATATCTTTAACACACGTTTTTGCTTTTTAAGAGAGATTTGAATCTATTTTGTTTGAATCTATTGGAATACTTTTGAATCACCTGAGAATCAATTAACATCCTCACACCACCATTGTATTTTTGAATCGATTTCATCATGACCCCTCCTCCATTGTATATTTGCCATGGCTGCAGTGCACAGATGCACGCAATTAAGAATAGCGAAGGAAATTTATCGTGTTCCGTATGTGGATCTGAATTTGTAGAGGAAATTGAACAACAGCCAACCCAAAGACCAACAATTCCATCAACCCATCATCATCATCAACATGACCAACACTCTACGCATCATCGTCATCCCCCATCGCATCAAATAATATTTGAAGATTTAGATGCTATGAATGTCGATGATGATATTTTCTCTAGAGCTTTTAACCATGTGATTAATCAACCATCATCATCACCTCCAACAAACAATCATTCCACACAAGCTACAGCCACAACTACTAGAACTCGTTCATCATCGAGTGGATCAGCACCTCGTAGAACACAAACAATTTCAATTACTTTCGGAGGAGGAGATGGAAATACAAGAACAATTACTAGAACAACGAACGGAGATGAACCTTTACCTAATATTATGGAACTGTTCAACAGTTTGAACGGAATGGGTGCATTAAGTCAACAACCAAATCAATCACAACAACCACAGCAAGGAGCTCAACAACAACAACAACAAGGAGATAATCAACCTCAACCAAACGTGCCTCCTCAAATGCAACAAGATCCTATTTTCCAAATATTCGACATGTTAAATAATGCACATCAAAGACAACATAACAACATGCCAAACAATTTCTTCAGAATTGGTTTTGGAAATCGAGGCATGTTCGACTTTTCACACTTTATGCAACACATTGGACAACCATTCAATGGAATGACCTGGGGTGATTATGTCTTTTCCGACAATTTGGATGACATTATCACCAGAATGATGAATGCTATGCAAGGACAAGGTGGTACTCCTCCAGCCTCAGAAACGGTAATTTCTCGTTTAAAGACAAGAAAAGCGACTGCTTCCGATTGCAAAGATTGTGCTGTTTGTCAAGATCAAATCAAGGAAGAAGAAGATGTCACAGAGCTTCCTTGTGGCCACATTTATCACAAAGATTGTGTCGTACCATGGCTACAACGTCATGCCAATTGTCCCATTTGTAGATCAGAAATTGGAAGTAATGGTGAAGCTCTTCCTCCTCACTCGTATGAAAATCAGCAGTAATTTCACACATCGAGACCTACCCGCCAATCAAATTTCAAATTCAAAAATAAAACCGTTACACCAACAAAAAACTGCAACAATCAAATTTATTATAAGAATATTGACACTCCAACTTTTCATCACCGACATCATGGTCATTCAGAGATTGAAACACCCCTCGGGAAAGAAATTTAAGCCACCACTGAAAAGTCTCGATCCCACTGATGATGAAGAGGGAATCAGTAAAAGTTCTGTTTCAAAGAAACCATCAAACAGCAATAACATCAAAACTTCAACAACTCCAAACTCAACAACTCATTCCACATCAACAACAAATCGTTCCATAGCAACTTGTACAACTACCATCAAGAATCAACCATCACAGAGTGGATTGAAGCAACAAACACTCGATCATTCCTTTGCCAAGACAACCACCACCTCTTCTTCCACAAAGAAAGCTCCTTTCCGAACTCCATTCAAAACACCTTTCAAGACTCCTTTCAAAGAAGAAGGAACAACTTTACCAAAGAATAACCTAAAGTCTTTAGAAACTTTCAAGAAGAGTCGTAGTAGTAGCATCAAAGGCTCTTCATCCACCAAAGCTTCTTCTTTGAAAAGGCAGCAAAAAACAGCATCCGAGAATGATGATGAGGAAGAAGATTCCATCATTGAATCAGCAATCACCTCCTGTTCGGAAGATGATGACAACGACCTTGAATCAACCTCGAGCAATGATACCTCCATGAGCAGTGAAGAAGATTCCCCATTGAAATCAAAGAGTAATAAGGCATCATCATCGTCCAGTACAATTACTCTCTCAACAACCACAACAACTGCAACAAGAATGAAGCCCTCACAAACGAAAACGCAAATACCCTCTTCTTCTTCTTCGTATGGCGTTCCTTCCACCACTACCTCAAAGACATTCCCGAAAGAGAATGAACAAAAACCTTGTACGGAAAAGGAAAACAACAACAACAGCACCATGATGTTAATAACTTTACCATCAACCTCTACGGAACAACAAACAACTTCTCTCAAATCAAGCCATTCCTCAACCACCATTTCTCTTTCGTTACAAGAGAAACATGACGATAATGAGGTGAAAATCAATGCTCTCTCAAATTCATCACCACAACAACAACAACCTCAACCACAGAAACCAGAGATTGTCATTGTTGAAATTTCTTCGTCTTCGTCTTCATCTTCACCTTCACCACCACTTTCGAAGGTGATGAGCTCTGAAACTTGGACAAGACGTACGAGTTTTTCCAAAGTTAAAATTCCTGAATTTGTGTTTGACGACGAACAACATGATACAAAGTCTGTTGTCAACCATACAGTGAAACGAACAACAGCAGATTCTCTCAAAAAGAAGAGATACTCTTTCAAATCATTGGACTCACCACCAGAAAAACTGTCTGATGACATTTTGGCCATTGATTTATTTCCTTCACGTCCGCCTCAACAACAGCGTCAGCCACCACCACCACCTCAACAACAACAACAATCACTTTCCTCACATCAGCAATTGTTACAACAACCATCATCTGCAACTGCTGCAACTTCTTCTACAACACCACGAGAGGCAACAACAACTGCTCTCTCCTCATCCTCTCTCCAATCTTCAAGTTTGGGCATCAAGTGGCAAACCAAACTACGGAAAACAGAAAAACTAAAACGTCCTCATGGCACACAATCGAAAATTTCCAAATACTTTTCCAAAAACAAAAGCAGTAGTCATCACTCTCAGGGTAGTACAACTACTAGCAGTGGTGCATGTTCTGGAGGATCCTCCTCTTCTGAGAATAGTCAAGAGGAATTTAACAGAAGAAAACGAAAACAGAAACCAAGTCCTGCATCGTCACATTGGCAACAACAACCTTCTACTACTCATGACAAGAACGATGACACTTCTTCGGTCGTGAGTCCTTCTTGTGAAAAGACCACGAGTGTAACGGCGCCTCTTCTCACTTGTTCGCCCTCAATCATGTCTCCAGAAATGAAAAAAGTGAAACACATTCCATCCTGCCTAATAACACTTGAAAAAACTCCAGAAATTCATATTGGTAGAGGCCTTAAGGAATGTGAAGCTGAAATCACACCATCATCAAAACTGAACAATGATGAGAGTTTGCATCACATGGATTTGAAACTTTTCCTTAATTCCAATTCGAATACTCCTCTTTCAAGTCAGAAAGAAGCATCTCGTCCACTCCAACTCTTATCTTGTATAATGGAAGAATCTCCTGTAGCCAAATGTGTGCCTGTAAGCAAAAATTCCTCAACTGTGACTCACAACAAAGGAATTGTATTACCTGATTCATTAATAGATGATGATGGCGACGAAGAAGAAACAAATAGTCGTGAATCGTTACTGAGCTGGTCACAAACATCTTGTCACGATGAAAGTCAAATGATGGTATTTTCTCCTCCTCATTCTGAAACTGGAGTGCATCAAGATGACAAGACAACCCGACTTTGCAGCAGAAATGTACCAAACCATAGTATGGATGAATCTCCATTGCATGTTCTTCTTCCTCCCAATAATGTAAAATCCAGCTTGTCACTTTCCCCTCTCATCGACATACTCATCGACAAGACTTCTTATTTGAACAAGAGGGACCACACCACGACTCCAATTATTATCGATGTCGATGAAACTCAAATACCAGAAAATGACCTTTCACTCCCAATGAATGACCCATCTACTTTAAATCCCACTTCACCATTGACAGGTCTTGGAACAATATGCATGAATAAGAGTAATAGCAGCAGACTGATCTACAATCAAAATCGTAACAACATTGGCAATGTGAAACAAGAGTTCGATGAAGAAAGTACTTCTTTAGATTTTGCTGAAAAAGTTTCACTCACGCCACCACTTCAAAAGAGTCCTCAAACTTCAAGTATCAAAAACACAACAACTACAACTGGATTTCTCAATTATCCATACAGTATTGATCTTGGGATGACCCCACAGCTGGATACCTCTCTTTTCACAAACGCGACAGACATGAACGATAAGAACACTGCCATCACGAATGAGGATTTGAGAGTCCATCATGAGAATTGTGGAGATGTGTCATACTCCACATCTACAGCAGCAAGACCGTTCTCAAAGGTAGCTAAAACACCCATTGTTAAGGCAAAGGCTTTTGGAAGAAGACCATTCCGGCCACCGAATCATTATTCTTCTGTCCTGCAGAAGAACAACCATCCACCTTCAAATTGTGATCCAAAAGAAGACTATCCAAAGGAACAAGTCAAGATCAAAGAAGAAACAGTTTTCAATGTCATTGCCTCTAATTTATTTATGGAATCAGCTGCAACATCGTCCGATGCACGAGAAGTGTCTTCGACTTCACCAAAAAACCAGCATGCATCAGACAGCATTGCTCTTTCCTTGATTCCTCTGAATGGAGAAAACTTGAGGTCACCTCTATCCTTTAGTTCTTCCTCTTCTGAGAATTCTCTTTGAGTAACATATTTAGAGGTATTGGATGTAAGGGATTGTTTTTCACAGCGAGTAAGATTATTTCTTTGTCATCACAAACTTCTTCATGTTTCACAAATTGAAGAGCTGCTCCAGAAGAATGTCGGTCATAACCAAAACTTTCCACAGAGTTGCTCTTTTTTGTTTTCTAATTGAACCTTCACCTTCATGAAATGTTCTTAATTAATTCTATGACCAAAAGCATGACGACTGAAAACAAAGCAACATCCACATATAAATCCAGCCAAGAACACTATGAAATGATTTACGATACCATCCTTCACCCCGTCATTCATTGCCAATGAATAAATACGTTTAGGCTTTGAAGTCATTGGTTGGTAACATTGATAAATCTTCTTTTCGCAATTGACATATTTGGCACCTTTGCATGTCGTCCCAAGAGTACACTCGAAACCATGCAAGTGTTAATCTTGATCACATCCAATCGATACATGGAGGAATCGTCTCATGTTGCATTCTCAAACGTTTGAATGTACAATTCATCCTTCTTGAAGAAGGTTATGGTTGGAAATTCAATTGGATATGATTGGTGATAGGACATGTTATAACGATCCGCCATGACTTTGGAACAAGCGTCTGAGAGAGAGCACTTGTCATTGGTCTTTAGAGTGGTGATCCAAAAAGGAGGTTTGCTATTACATGTGGTTCCTTGATAGTAGTTTGTTGTTCGATATTGTTGTTGGTAAGTGAAGGAAATGAAAAAGGTGCTTGAGAGAATGATCGCAACACACAATAATAGGGAAATCATGGCGTTGTGGTGTTTTTTTGTTACTCGCGTTCGACAATATTAAAGATCGGTTATCTGTTTTGTACTATCAAATAATTTGATGTGAGTTTACAATGAAGAAAATGTTTTGATTGGAGTTCAGAATTCTTAACTCGTCAACAACTTTTGACATCCTTCCTTAAATTTGCATAAGAAGTGATTGGATAATTTGACTTTTCAATTGATGTTTCAGTTTGAGAAGAGAATTGACAGCAAGCAAATACTGATTTGCTTTTGCATAAATCTTTTTTGTGACAATAATTGATCGTTGGAATGAGATGATTAAATCCAGCATGAACACGCTCGACGAATAACCAACAGTTGAAAAGTTCATTTTCGGGAACTTTGACATCCTCATTTAGAATCAAAGCCGCAATCCACCAACAGATCTTGCATTTAAATTCAAACAACAATGGCAAAAATTTGTCACGGAAGGGTGTGCAAGAATCGAAGGGTAGAATTGAATCTCTTCCGAAAACCATTTTTTCAACGTCCCAGCCTGCTAATTTGTAGTGTACATGTAACTTTTTGTTTATTAAGTTGGTCTAAAGATGATGAAAATAATCTGATTTAAAATTACTGGAAAGATAGTAAAATCAATAAAATCCTTTGTAACATAACGCAGAGGTCACTTCCCCTTAAAAATAGCACCACAATCTTTTTTGACAACAAGCTCTTTCATCACATTCATAATTTCAGTAAATATTGGTTCTAATTCAGGAGGTCAAATCAGAGTCAGCATAAAGAGGAAACACCACAACATTATGATCAAAATGAAATCGAAACATTCCAATGTGCTCTTCTCTCAAATCCAATTGATTGACTATCCACACAACTCAAAATGCAAAAGAATCATCGGGTTGATAGCGCTTCCAACAATCCAATAGTTCTATATTTCTTACAAAACCATTAAACTTTTCGCACTTTTTTAAATGTATTCGCTATCGGGTTCATCTCCTCGAATAATCAGGAGCTTTTTTAATTTTGCTGTTGATGAATAAACAGATCTTTCGTTTGAGAAATCCGATGAAATGGAGTTGTTGTTACTAATTGTAAAGCCATTTTTTTTAAAAAAAACCACGTCCCAGCTATTGTAAGGAATTAGCCTGAAATCCAAGTACTGTTAGCCCTTTTCGTTGGCAAATGCCACAAATACTATTGACAAGATTGAAGATTAAGGACCTTGGGTCCTTAGTTAGAATCCCAATTGGATTCGGTGTACATATACCCCAATAAATTTTTTTATTAAAAACAAATACACAAAAGTACAGAAATGAGTCACCCCCGCCAAAAAAATTTATTTAGAAAAAATTCAAAACATGGGTTTTACAGCTCCTATTAATCATCCGTTGAAGCAGCACGGGAATGAAGGACATCAACCTGTTGCTTCAAACATGAAACGACATCCGATAATTCAAGGATTGATTGCCTTCTTGCAAAGTCCATTCTGGATTAATCCGATTCAAAGTTTCATTGATGAAAATTGTTTGTATTTTGATGGAGAGGAGGAGAATTGTTTGGAATTGACTCAGGTTCATGAGAGGTTCCGAGAATTGATTGAGAACTTGCTTGAGTTTTTACTGGGAGAGATGCATGTTTCTCATGAAGAGGTTTGTAGCAGTGTCATTTCGAATCGCTCTCTTCATCATCTTGCTGAAAAGTTCATCAAAGTATTAATGGCTGAAACCAATGATGAAACCTTAGGACAAGCATTGGAACATATCATGGCCATGGATGATTACTTGAGTTTTAGAAAAATTATGGAAAGAAGAAATCTACAATTAGAATGTGAGGCATTAGAGTACGTAGTGCTATGTTCATCAACTCTCATTGTTAACATTAGTTCAGTACTCTCAAAAAGAAGGCCGATCTCCAAGAAGATGACGACGAGGAATTGCGAAAAGCTTTGGAAATTTCCAAAAGAGAGCATGACGAGCTCATGAAACAAAAGAAAACAGTTGAAGAAAAAGAGGAATACGATGTAGGTAATCTTTCACATGTGTAAATTGCATTTTCATGCAAAAATTATCAGCTGGTCATTGGTGCTTCCTTATCTGAACATGAAAGAGAACTGGCTGAAAGACAACGACAATTGGAGCAAGCAGAACTTGAGATGGCCATCGCCATTTCTTTATCTTTGCAGGAAGAACAAAAAAGAGTATGTTTATGTTCCCATTTTTCAATCATTATAACACATGATTTATCATTCATATCGAATTCAGAGAGAACTTGAGGAAGAGGAAAAACGAAACGAAGAAGTGTTAAAGAAACAATTGCAGGAAGAGGAATCCATAAGGAAAATGGAAGAAGAAAAAGAACGTCGAGCACTTGAAGAAAAGCTAAAACAACTTCAGCTCTTGAAAGAAGAAGAGCGCCGTTTGCATCTGGAAAAAGAAAGGCAGGCTCTTCTTTTGAAGGAAGCAGAGGAAAAGCGAAAGAGAGAGGAAGAGGAAAGGCTAAAACTTCAACAGCAACAAGCAGAACAGCAAATGATTCAAATTGAAAAACCTCAATCAAAACAGGAAGATACGTTTAAGTTCAACTTTACCAGTTCAAGATCAGAGGAATCCATAAAGGAAGAAATGCTTCGAATTCAGAAAGAACGCGAATTGCTTCAAAAATTAATGGTTGAAAGAGAAAAACAAAAGGAAGAGGAGATTAAGAATGCAAAATCTACAACTGAAACCGTACAAAACGAAGAAAGGTATGTTAATTTTTTCACACCTTAGTTGAAGGAGCCAAACCGATACATGTCACAACAACAGAAAAAAGAAGAAGGAAGAGCTCAAAGAGGCCAAAGAAAAACTTGTGGAAAAGAAAAAACAAGAAAGAGAAGAAAAATTGAAAGATTTTAAATCAAAGCTGGCACTCAAGAAGCAAGGTTCTTCTGAGAGTATTAGCTCAACCACATCATCCTTGTCTTCTATTTCCAACTCATCTACTTCAAGTCCCAAGAATTCATCAGATGAAGAGGATGCAGAAACACGTAGAAGATTAATGAGGGAAGCTCTTTCGAGAAGAGTCAAAGAAGATCTGTTAAGACAATCTCAACCACAAAGTCATGAAATTCCCAATAACAAACCACAACCCAAACAAGTACTGGACACCGATGCTTCCAGTCACCTGCGTTCTCTTTTACAGAATGTGGTTCGTAATTTGAAGAATGAGGGCGACGATGACTTTGTTTTCAGCGAAACCAAATAAAAAAGAATGCTGAAATTTAGATCAAAAGTGTGACACAACAAATAAAATATCAGCAAACAGTATTTTGTTGAGATTTTCATCCAATTATTGATGTCGAAATGCTCTTTATTTACGAGAGCCATACACAATCGAAACTATTAGAAGTGTCACCAATATTGTGGTTAGAAGCATGTTGAAAAACAGGGTTAGTAAAAATCCAATAAAAGCGAACCGTCCTGTTTTGTTAATTCTTGCGTCTTCGCTGTTTCGATATTTCAATAAGGGATAAAAAGGCATGCACGATAAAAATCCAAGGCCTGTCAAATAAAATACAATACACACAATGATTGAGATTAAAAAGTTGCTTTCTGCATCTTTTCGTGCTTGCTGCTTTTTAACTGCTTGTTGAAAATCGCTCTCAAGGGCTTGATTTTTTAGTTCATTTTCTCCAGAGGGAGACCATATTGGCTTTTCATCAACTGTTGTAAGTCTTGGATTGTCAATCTGCAAAGTCGAAGGAAGAGAAAACCTTCTTTTAATTCTTGATGTGGCATAACCATCCATCACGTAAGCATTTGAAGGCCGTGCTCCATAATTTGATGTTGTCGTTAACCTAAATTGCAAATTGGAATGATCCATTCGAGGATGTAGCGGAGTTGTGGTGGTGTCGACCATTGATGAACTCGTTGATGAATTGAAATGAAAGTTATTTCTCTGCTCTCTTAAAAACATTGGTTCATAGTAGATACTGTTTGGAATTTGCTTGGATGAAAGAGCCTCATTGGTATGATTAGGATCCAAATCGTGATGTTGAAGGTTGCTGTGGTTCTTCGGGAAACCCGACGATTCATAGAACGATGGATGTTGTGTTGCGTTTTGATTCTCACAGCTACTAAGCTGCAGATGATTCACCGATTGAAGTTCAAAACTCGTCTGCTGTTCTTGGGGTTGCATCATATTTTGTTTGAGAGAGTATATTGTTTAAGCAACAAAATAAGAGAAGCAATAGATGTGTTCAATCATCCTGAAACAACAATATGGGAGATGATTCCAAATGATCGGCCTTCTTCAATAAGGAAAAACCCATCCTTCAGGTAAGAATGAAGAAAAGCTTCGGAACAGGTTCTCATCAATTTTCAACCCAATACCACAGAGAGGAATTAATCGGGTAGGATTCCAAACTTGTATTTTGGGAGAGCCCCTAAGCACTAGAGGTGTTATGAATTTTCCTGTCTTAAGCGAGTTCAAAACTTTCAAATTCACAGGATCATGGTATCTGATCATCTGAAAGGGCTCAAGGATGTTCGTTTTGCAGATTGCATGTTGTGCGATCCATTTTTGTTTTTTAGTTTGAAAAAAATGTCTCAAAGCAAACCTTCACACTTGTTGTTGGTGGACACGACTCGGGAGCGATCAAATTCTGAAATTTCCAATGATGATGAAGAAGAGGACGAGGAAGAGGAGGAATTGGTTGTGGATCATCATGGATTGAAACAAGAAGATGATGATTTGAAATCGGAGTTAAAGTCTTTGGTTTCCGAAGTGATCGAGCATTCAAAAGAAGATCCAAACCATTTGGAGGCGCCTCTTGAAATTGATTCGGCTTCTCATGACGCTACCATTAGACACAAATTAACTGTGTTTTCAAATTGTCTCGTGAATGACTACATTACCATATTTAAAGATAATTCCGAACAAAGAGAATTGGTGTATGACTCTTTGTTTTATCCTCATCATATCAGATCTGTAGTGTTGCAAGAAAAGAGAAAGAAGAAATCATCCTCATCAAATCCATTAAGCTCCCCAACTGGAATGCCAGGTCTCATTGACTTGGATAGCCCAGACAACGATATGACCATACTTCATTTATATTACTTGATTGCAATTCTGAAAGAACGTCAAAGATATCAAATCAAACAATATTTAAATAACAAAGGAGTGCGAATAGTTCTATCATCTCAAGCTGAAGAGTGTCCCATTTTCACTGAAGACTCCATTCAGTTTCATTACAATGATTTTGGCGTCGCTATTGATACGTTATGCTATTGTCTGGAAAGTAATAGATATATAGAACTTTCTGAAGAAGGACAGGTGATTAAGAAGTTGACAAGCTCATTTTTGAAACCAATTGTTATTACAAAGAAGAAGCTTGTTGCATTTTTGAGTCTTTATCCTGATTTGCTTGAAATCACCAAACCTCGAAAACAACTGGACTTGATTTCACTGAAGTTTATATGCTTTTCATTGACTGATAATCATGAGCTCGTTGACAGATTACGTTTAGAATTGTCAGGAAATGTTCTGAATCTAATGAGATGTGATACTAGTGAAGTCGAATATTCAACACAATTCCGTAATCTTCCCGAGAAAAAGATTTTAGATATCAACAATGAAGAACATATCAAATTGATTTTAAGGATATTATCAGAGGACTTTCCAAAAAATAGAACTGCATTCAAGCTCTCTGTGTTGAGAAAAGTCATCTTCAACAAGTACGACTACAAGCCCTTCAACCTCGTTTCTTTCCTTTGCTGCTTTCCTCAACATTTCCAAATTAATCCAAAATCGAACAAGAAAGTGAAGAGAATTTTGCCAACAGTGGATGACTACAAGCCACGAATTGAAAATCTCATGTTTGGTACAGCAGCTGAGTGTAAAAAGTCACAATCGTCAACTAGTTCATTGACCAAACCATTATTTGACCTTCCACCAAGTGACCAGTACACAGTGATATTTGCTACGAATCCATCCGACGTTGATGATTGGATAGAGAAAAATATTTATCACCCACTGGAAGTTGGAGGAGAACAAACTGTCGTTGTTGGAATGGATACTGAATTCGATTTGTTTAAACTCAATAAGAATTATCAACTAAATCCAGTACTTCACGAAAAATTGTGGAAACTATTCAAGAAACAGAAACAATTTTCAAGTGCAACTGGAATATCCATTTATAATAATGCAGAATCAGAGTATCTCAAAACACAATATTTCAAAGAGTTTGAACAGACTGTATTTCCTGACCTTATTCAATTATCAACTGGTAATTCTTGTTTGCTCTATGGAGGTTGTGAAGGCATTCATGCACCATCACCACTTTTTGTTCAACTTATGTACGATCAAAGAGTACTGAAAACTTGGTGTTCATATGGTGAGGACGTTAAGCTGATCAAATTATGGATTCAACATTACCATATGGCTCCACAAGGAAAGGACTTTGAGAGTTTGATCGAATTAGATGCTTCTCAAAAGGGAGCATCTTATCTGTGTGAACAATTACTTGGAATGAAAATGGCCAAAGAACGTTCTGTCCAAGTTTCTAGATGGTCAAGATTGAACTTGTCGGCCATACAGAGAAAATACGCAGCCCAAGATAGTTATTTGAATTGGTTACTTTTCTCGAAAATTGAATCGGAAAGAAAGGACTATTCTACTGTCGAGGACAAGGAAGACATTTCCTTCTCTTTGTTCGATCCCACGACACAACTTTAAATGATTAAGATTGTACAATACGAATAAAAGCATCACCAATAAATTAACAATGTTTAGTTAATATGTCACAACTCTTACAAATGAATTCTATTTCATTTTCATTTTCTTTCGCATTTCACGTTCTTTTCTTCTCTGCTTTTCTAATCGTTCTTCTCTCTCATCTTCTAATCGAGCAATTCTTTCAGCTTCTTCTTCCTCTTCTTCAATATCGTCATATCCTGCTTCCTCAATGTCATCATCATCGTCATAGTCTCCATAATTTTGGTAACATCTTTGATTTGGGCGCAAGAAAAGTCGAGCAATGGAACCAGGTCTATAATCATCGTTTCCTCGTAATCGATCAAATGCATATGGATCATATGGATTTGGAGGTGGGACATATCTGTCGTGAGAAAGCTCCTCCTCATCGTCACTATATTCATATTCATCTTCTTCTTCCTCTTCTTCGTCCAATATTTCTGCCTTTCGTTTCGATAGAGGTGGTTTTGCAGTTGAGGTAGAGCTTGCTTTTGGACGATTTGTTATTGGCTGTTTGGACCCACCAGGTATTCTTGCATGATTGACAGTGTTGGAAGTGCGTGTGGCTGCAGTGGGTTTCATTTTAGACGTAGCAGAAGATTGAATGGTTGAGGATGATGTTGATGCGCGTGACACTGCAGAGCTCGATGGTGGTTTTTGGACTACTGTCTTTTGTTGAGATCTTTGAGGAGGTGGTGCTTGTGAAACTTTTGAAGTTGTTTTGGAAGAGGATGGCGTAGAACTGACAATACTCGTTGCTCCACTTTTTTTGGGAATTTTGAAGGAAGTACTTGATGATGAAGGTCTTTCCTCCAGTGAAGAGTTGCTACTACCAGCATTCTTTTTTTTGATTGATGGAAGGTCAAAAGATCGTGTGTCAAGCATGTTGTTTGTATGATTTACAGCGTTGTGGGTTTTCTTATTTACATTTTGATTTCGTATGGCTGAATGATCGTTTCCTGATGATTTCTTTTTAGATTGCTGTGAGGAAGTAGGTGTGGTAGATGATTTTTTGGAGCTGCCATTATTTGACGATGATTTTTGTTGTTGTTGACTTGCTCCCTTCTCTTCGGTGGCTTGTTTTCTTTTTTCCTCTAATTTTAATCTTTTTTGTTGCTCAATGTAGGATGCTTGTAATTCAGGAGGAATTACAATTTCATCATAAATCATGTGTTTAGCAAGAGCTTGTAAATCAAACTTCTTCGGAGGCTCCTCCTTTCTTTTTTGAGAGGGTTTTTTAGTTGTTGGATTTTCTTTTTTCATTCTCATATCCAAATAATCAGCACTTGTAATTTTCGGAATATCTTGTTTGTTTTTCTCTTCCAACTCCTTCAAATATTCAAAAGTTTTTTTAAACTCCCCGTCCAAATCACGAGGTGTGGAGGTATTATGTGTTCCACGAGAACTTGTTGATGATGAGGATCCCTGATTCCTCACCACGGTTGTATTATTTCGGAATCCCTCATTTCCATTCGCCGAGGAGGATGCACGAATGGCTGTTTGCATTTTTTTATTTTAGAATTTCATCAATTCCCAAGTGTTGAATGGATTCTATCAACTGCTTCTGCCATCTCATTTGCATGATCATTGCTGAATTTGTTGATCCTAAATTTCAAAGAGAGAAGTCCAACTTCTTCACCGTTCATCATAGTGTCTAAAATTATTTTTCATTTTTCCTTAAAAAGGGACAATTAACAATTTCCACTCCCGCTCTCGATTGGTTGGGCCGCCATTTCGATCGAAAACCAGAAAATGTAACCTCCCACCACCACCTCAAAAAAATGAGATCAATCAAGATACTCGACGGTCTCGTGTTCTGCATGTCTGGAACACTCTCAAAAGGAAGAAGTGAGATTGAAAAGATCATTAAATCTCATGGCGGAAAAGTATCATCATCCATTACAAAGGCAACGACTCATTTGATTACCACTCAGAATGAATTTGAAAGTCCAACTGGGAAAGTTTCAAAAGCGTTGGAAGATCCCGATCGTGTTTCTATCGTGAAAGAAGACTTTTTGTGGGACTGTATCGAACAAAAAACAATTGTTCCCGTAAAGAAGTATTTGTTTGGAAATGATGATGGTGATGAAGATGATGAGGAAGATGACGGAGAAGAAGATAACGAACAAGATGACGAAAAATTTGAACCTCAACAAAAGAAGAGAAAGCTCAATACTTTGGCTGTTTCTGAACCATTGGTAAAGTTTGAGACATTTTCTCTTTTGAATGATGACCTGTTGTTTGATATTTTCGAGTTTTTGAATGTGGAAGAGCTCATTACATTGTGTTATGTCAATTCCAAGTTTTATTCATTGATTTCTGATGAGAGCAATGAAGAAACAGTGACATTTCTAATCAATGTGAAAAATAACTATATCAAATCTCGTGTCGCATCATTCTCCAAACCATCCGCATTTTTTGCAAGAATCCACAATAAGGAATATGATGTGGAGGATGAAAATAGACGTCTCAGATACATGACTCCAGAAGAGGCTGAAAAGGAAGCAAAGAAAGAGAAACCAATTGTTGAAAGCTTGGTCAAGTCACAAGGTAGAATGGCGTCTTTCTTGGAAAAGTGGAAAACCTGGAAGAGCAAGCATGTCAAGGCCATTAAGGCCTATCAGACCTTACACAAGAATGCAAAGAGAAGTGACTACAAGTACAGTTTGTTCGATTCTATCAAGTTCAGAAGATTTATGGACAGATTCTTCGATGGTGATTTCATTTATGCAAGAGTATCAGATGGTGGCGATGATATGGATAACGACGAACCAGTCGATGGACAGGAAGAGAGAAAGAACACTTTCAAAGGAGGTATCAAAAGCCAACTCAGAAAAACCCTTAACCACATTGAAAAGTTTGAAGAAATTAGCTTTGGTCGTCACGAGGAAGAAATGTATGACAATTATCCAAAAATTTATTATAATTGGATTAAGACAAATGCTGCCAAGTTGCAAACAATTAAGAGCATTTACATGATGGAGGTAAGTCATTATGATAATCTATATGCTCATTCCCACGATGATTTATTTGTGATATGAACATGTGGTACGTTTAGGTCCCTCAAAGTGATTGTGAAGTTTCATGGATTCACCACAATGATATTACAGAGGTTTTGAACAGCTTACCCAAGTTGAGTATTTGGCAATCAAAAGGCTCTATTGATTTGCAACTTCAACCAAACATTTCTCATGTTTCTCTAAGATCTATCATTTTGGTTTCGACTGGTTTGTCTGCTCCATTTTTGGCAAATTTATTTAAGGCCTATTTGCCAAATCTTAATCATTTAGAACTGTTTTTAGGAACGAGTGACCAAGGTGGTGACTTTGATCCTGGTATGTTTAAGATCTCTTTCGACTTTTGTGTGTTTATTATCGTTTTAGCATTGCTTGAGATAACATTGTTGAAGAAAGAGGAAACTGGCATTTTCCCATCCTTGACCTATCTGGGCCTCAGAAACTACGAACACATCAACAAGATCACTAAAGCCATCTTTGAGAGCGCCATTGCCAAGCGTGTAAGCACCATTGACATTTCATTGGGTAATCTCTATGATCGAGGTGTCAAACCGTTTATTGAAATTTTGGAGAAGGGTATTAACTCGGACTTTATGTGCCTCGAAGTGCTGGACCTCCAACACAACTACATAACCAAACAAATGAGACAGCGTTTGCTCGAGTTGCCAATTGTTGTAAATTGTGCTCCATCCGAAGATTTGTTTGGCTCAAACAATAATGACGACAATGAAGAGGGCAACAATGAAGACGAAGATGATTATGGTGACAGGTATATTGCCCTTAGTGAGTAGGTTTCAAACAGAAATGAAAAATTTGTAAATGCATAATGAAGTATATATCCATTTTTATTCCTCGTAAATATACTGTTATCGTCTCGAGTTTGAAGTGTTCGGACAAATGTGATTATATCTTTGTGCATGCCCTCTATTGTGTGTCATTGTGCGACATTCCATTCCATACCAACAATTTGGTCGAGATGTCACAGACTGTGGCAACTCAGAATTTGGTATCTCTGCCCGATATGCATAAATCAAGTCTGAAAAAAACCTTAATGGCACAAAGCTTGCATACTCGGGTTTCCGTTGTGACCGCTGTGTAGGTTGGATTCGTAAAGGTACCATTCTCCAAATTGGTCATGCATGTGTTGTAGACGTCTTGTGGCGATATGGACTTGCTTTGAATGTAGTTAATTAAAATTTCACGCTCATATTGATTATTATTGAGACATGTCGGAGGAATGGCAATGATGGATGTATGCTCTTTAAGCTTGTGAATACCATTCATGTAGCAAAGATCTGTAGTATTAGTCGTTTGTTTGTACAAGTTACAATGAACGGCGTTGCACAATTCACACGTGAGTCTTCGATCTTGTGAAAGAGTTGTATCCCGAACTCGATGTGGCAATGCACAATGGCAATATGAGCACAAGCAGTGCAGAGCGTTGGCAGGGCATTGAAATCCATCAATAGCGCTCGGTTGCAAACATTCTGGACATCGAGGAGCAACGGTAGCTGGTTGAGAGTCATCATCTGAGGAAGATTCGTCAGAAGCTTCTTGCTCGTCGTCATTGTCGCTATCAGAGTCATCATCGTGACTACTACTTGAACCATTTCGTTTGTACAACACCAAATCTGTCTTTCCCAAGAAACGGTCTTTTGAGTCCATGGATTCTTTCTCTTCTTTTGATCTATCTTTTTTAGGATGATTCTTGAGGTATGATTCTGTTAAATTGTTCAGTTGAGGATTTTTTCTTACTTCATGAACATCTGCTCTACAGGTCGGACAATTAATGGTCTGTCCCCAAAATAAATTTCTACTAGGGTCTACCCAAGCCGACAGACACGAAGAACAAAAATTATGGAGACATGGAATCACACAGACTGGCTTGTAAAACACGGCTGAGCATATTGGGCATGTTAATTCTCTCAACATGTCACTCTCTTCTTCCTGACTATCTTCCATATCACTGTCAGTCGCTCCCATAAGGGCTAATATTTGTTTTTCCTTTTCAGTCAGTGACTTTTTCTGCTTTTTGGTTTCACTTTTTGGTTCCAAATTTTCTTGTTGAGGCTGATCTTGTTCATAATTCTCACGATTTCTCTTCTTTTCATTGTCATCTGCATTTGAGGATGATGCAGAATTGTTTGCACTGATATTAAGGTCATCCTTAGCATGTGTATCTGTAGTAGCAATGGTTGCCATATTAGCAACATCTTCTTCGACCGCAAGCTCTTGAGTGTGTTGAGATGTTGTACTAGTATGGTGATTTTCCAGCTCTACACGATAAATTGGAAGATCAGAGCTCAACTTGTGATTTATAGATGGCACAACAAGTCCAATCACATCTCCATGATTCAAAGTTACTGCATTATTCTTTCCCAACTTCTTTCCATTCACAAAACATCCATTGGTACTCGTGTCTGTACATTTCAATGAAAATTTCAAAGATGTTGCGTCATCCATATGAAAATCTTCAACACTCAACACACAATGAGTCGTAGAAATTCTTCCATCGTTCACAATACATTCGGAACGAAACTCTGGCTTTCGTCCAAACTCTACCGTCTTGTCTGTAGAATAAATTTCAACAAGACCATATTTTGATGATGATACTGCAGGAACCAACTTGGCGATAACAATCTTGTTGGTTTTATTCATGTTTTCCTCTTCCTGAACGATAATTTCTTCTGCTGTAACATCGAGAGTCGAAGAGGTGGGTTGTGTTTGAGTGGACATTTTTTTTCAAGTTTTTTCTTCTTTTGAAATTCCATTATTGAGAGGATTTATTATATATAAAGGAAATTGTAATAATTGTAAAACTAGATGATCGCATTCCCTTTTCATGGTGATGGTAAAGCATCATTAATTTCTTGTATTTTTAAAAATCATCCATTTTCATAAAGGATGATGATGATGGAAATGGAACGTTGGTGTTCATGTTCATGATGGAGGACTTTTGAACAATTCCATCAATCATTTCTAAAAAAATCTTGTTGTTGATCATCTCTACCGAAGGATCAATCAACTTCTTCTTTGTTCATTCCGATCCAAATTCAAATCATCATCATCATCATTACCACACAACTACTGATCATGTCACAACAACCCTCTCATCTCTCCGATTTTCAAAAATCTCAAATTAAAACCAAATGGAATGAAGCCTTTTCAATGGCTTGCTACATGACGAGTTCAGAAGCATTACAAGATGATCATCATACGTTTACCTATCACGGAACCAAGGAAGAAATTGATATTTATTATAAAAAGACAGACACAACGACCATCATTCGAGGAGATACGATTTGTGAACAAATTCAACCCGATGCGTTTTTAGAAGCCTTTGTTTCATTGGATTTGAAAGTGAAACATGAATTGGATAGTAATTCAAAGAGAATTGAGGTGATTGAGAAATGGGAGGATGAAGATGGAGTTTGGAAACTCATGTATTATGTCATTAGTGCAGGAGGTGAGTGTGTTTGATGATTGTTAAAAGAGTTTGGAAATATTCCAAACGAATTGACACTAATTATGATTTCACAACATTTAATGACTTACCAATAATATCCTTGTTCGACTGAAATTCATGATTTCACATGACCATATCTTGAAAATAGCATTTGTTTCTGATAGAGACTTTATTTACGTGACAAAAACATTTAAAAAAGATAATGTTACTTACTTTGCCTCTACGAGTTGTCATGATCTTGTGGAATTGCCTTCACACATGACACCTCAAAAAGGTGCAGTGAGAGCGACCAATGTTTTCGTGTGTATGAGAATGGAAGAGTTAGAAAATGGTGATTTGTATGTGACTTATGCCACTCAGGCTGATCCAAATGGATGGATTCCACATAGTATTGTGAATGCAGTGATTTATTCGGTGCCATTAACACTTGCCAAGAATGCAAAATTCCAGAAAAGGAAACTTCGAAGAGTTCCAAATTCACCTTCTCATCATTAGAGAGTCTTTGCCATCACACTACACTTATCCCTGGGCACAGGCATATAAAGCTGGTCCTAAGTGTCGCCAGTTTGCGGCCGATCGCACCAGCGTGACAAAAATTAGTGAGAAGAGAGTGGTGCTTGAGTTTGGGAGGATAAGCATAGTGTGATCTTAACCAAAATTCATATTAAATATATTGAACATGTATGAAATTAAATGTTGCAAACAAGTTGTTCGAGTATCCAATTCCTTCAAGGACCTTCACTCCTGAAGTTACGTCTTGGCAAACTATGAGATGGAAGCATTTATCATCTCGAAGCATTTTGTAAAAAGAATACACCTTCTACAAAGCATGTCTTGGAGAAATCACTGAAATAAAACTTTTGCCACTGTCAGTGGAATACAGAGAAAGTAAGAACGTTTCGTCCAATCATCCAACTTGCTGTAAGTTGATCGTCGATTGAACAAATATACTTTGATGTTGTTGTTGGTTGAGCAAAAGTTGTTACGAAAACTTGGATTCAAACGATACTGAACATAAGTTCATGTCCTCGAATGAAAACTCGTTTGATCGAAGAAACCCACTTGTTGATCGATTCAAATCAGTTAGATGTTTTAGTTGATCGTGTAATTTTCAAATATTTTTTAGCTTGAAAGCTGGTGGCCGGAGCGGAAATTGGGTCTCGGAGCAACGACGTGAAAGGACCTTCCACACACAAAAAAATAACAAATCATGAACACAACAAGTTCAACGACATCAGCATCCATCGCCTCTGCTTCATTGGATCGTTTACTAGAATCGGACTTTGGTGATGACTTGGAAGATATTCAAGGATGGATGAGATTAGAAATTATTTATACGCTCTACATTGAAAGGACATTTGAAGAGGAAATTGAACGACGAAACCGAAATCCGATCGAATCAGAAAGCCACAAATGCAATCCCTACAGGAGCAATGCTGTTTTTTCAATTTCTGATGAGTGGTTGCAAAATATAAATATTGATGATTTACGTCGCCAACCCGATTTGTACAATGTGATTCTTCCCATCATCAATAGCGGAATCATGCGATCGTGCGCAAATCCTGTAATCATTGCTCAAAAATTATTTACAGAGGGAAAAGAAGGTATTCATAAATTTGTTGCCAAGGAACTGGTTCGAGAATTTCCGGCCATGAAAACGTTGTACAAAAAACTGAAAGAAAAACCACCTAAAAATAGTATTCTGTATGAATTACCTTTAGATATTGGAAAGAGTCACTTTGATATGGAATCATGGGGATTAATGTTTGCATTGCTTGATCAAGTGTTTTCGGAAGTCATCAGTGAAAAGAGCACATTTTTAATTTGGCAAACAGTTGTGAATGATGAAAGGATGAAGAATCACAAACTCTTCTACAAGCTGGAAACCTTTTTGGATTTATTTAAGGTCAAACCATTTTCAAATGGCTATCATTCATATCGTCATCCTTTTTCACAGTATGCCATTGATAGTAGCTCACTGAAAAAGAGAATGAGAGAGGATCAATCATTTTCAGAATTGTCAACTACAGGTAGTACCGTGTCTTTGGAGAGAGCTCTTTTACATCAAACCGTTGACGGAAGCGAAATAGTTCATTCACTCGGATGTACAGCAGGAAAAGTTTTTCTATTTCTCTTGTATTTTACGGAACCTCATAGTGACAGTGAGATTAAAACGGTAGCTGAAAGATATTTCGATGAGTTGACCCGATACATGGAAGATATCGACATGTTACTCTTCCTGTTCTACGCCTTACATTATGCATTTGGCCTATTCAGACATAATCATAATGCTCTTGAATTTATTGTAAATAAGCTTTCTCTTGGAATTGCTAAAAACATTTATGAAATGAAGTAATTCAAGCAAGTATTATTGATTATTTTACTTTGAAATCTTACATGTCGATAGTGGGAGGTGACAGAAATTACACTTTTTCGCCATCCTCCCTCTATTGCGTTCCATGAAGCAAAATGCTTAACGACCATTACCATTACACGCTCACAAAAATCTCAAGACCCCCTTGTTCTGTAATTAGTGGCTCCTCCCATTGGTGTTCCATCATCATCATGAATAATTGTGAAAATTTGCCCAACAATAACGAAAAAATGTCTCACCCACCTAATCCGTTCCTCACCACAGGGTTTATGATTGCTTCGACTCTTCTCGGACATTATTGTGTGAAACAACAGCACCCTAAGAAGAAAATACCATCTGAACGGAGGTAGGTTTAAAGAAGAATTCAAATTTTGGCCAAGGATAATCATTTATGAATGAAATGACACAAATTGTGAACCATGATCATTCCGAAATATTTCGTTATCATCATCACCATGGAATGTTCTTGAATCGATTCAAACAAATTTTAATGAATCCACTCTCAGAACTATTGTCTCTGCTCCAGGAAAAGTATTAATTACAGGAGGATATCTCGTTTTAGATCCAAATTACTCGGGATTAGTTTTGTCTACTTCCTCTCGATTTTACACCACCATCTCCGAGTTCTCTTCAACAACAACAACCAAAAACGACCATTCCTCTACAGAGAAAACTCCACTCGTAATCGAACTCAATTCTCCACAATTTCATTTCAGCACTCGATACGAATTTGTGAAACACTCTGTGGATGGTTCATTTGAATTAAAATCAAACAGCGAAAAGAGAAATCCTTATATTGAAAATTCGATTTTATATGCTTTGTGTGTGGCAGAACGAGCAAGAGGAGCTAAAACTGAAAATAGAAGAATTTCAATTAAGCTTGAAGCAGATAATGATTTTTATTCACAACGCCAAAATGTAAGGTTATTCAAATTTTTACAACCATTCTTTTGTGAATTTAATGTTTGACTCTGTTTGAAATCAAAGTTAATTGACTTGGGGCGAGAGGTCAACCTAGAAAACTTGGAAGCATTAGAGAAATGCTATGTTTGTCCAGATGCATCAAAACCAATTCACAAGACTGGACTTGGAAGTAGTGCGGCAATGGTGACCTCATTAACATCTGCTCTTATTCTTCACTTTACAAATCTAGATTCTTCAAATGAACATGTTAGAGAATTAATTCACAGAGTAGCTCAATTTTGTCATTGTTTGGCTCAAGGTAAAATTGGAAGTGGTTTTGATGTGTCAGCTGCCACATTTGGCTCACAAAGATATAAGAGATTTGACACAAGTATTTTGGAACCCATCATGAAAAAAGTAGATCATTCTGTTATGATTTGCTCGAATAGCGTTGTTGACGATATCGTTCAAGTTGTGGACCCACATGTGGAAAATAGTGTGAAATGGGACAATGAGCATTCTAGTTTCGAATTACCACCAAATTTCCATCTCTTTGTTGCAGATGTAGAACAAGGTTCCAATACGCCAAGTATGGTGCGATGTGTGTTGAAATGGAAATCTGAAAATCCAACAGAGTCAACTGAACTATGGAATTCCATTCGAGATTTAAATAGTCAAGTGGAAGAACATTTCAAAGTCATCTCAAAACAAGCAAAAGAAAATACTCTCCAATACGAACAAACTCTCGAGCAACTCTATCAAAAATCAGCAACTGAATGGAAGAATTTATGTTCTGAATCAAATGCTGTTAACAATTCAATCATAGAGTCCATGATTGCCATCCGAACAGCTTTTTATGAAATTCGTTCAAAACTCAAGTACATGGGAGAACAAGCAGAAAATGTTCCAATTGAACCAGATCAACAATCAAAGCTTCTCAATGAGACCATGAACGCCAATGGATGTCTAATTGCAGGTGTTCCTGGTGCAGGTGGTTACGATGCCGTTTTTTCCATCTTGTTTGCTCCCAATAATGGAGAAGCATTGAAAGCAGTGAAGAAGAATGTGGAACAAGTTTGGAAATTTTTCAAACCTTCGAATGATGAGAGCGTTCAGTGCCGTGTGACACCTCTCATTTTGAACGAATCCAAAACAAAAGGAATTGATGTGGTATTTCAACAATAGTAAGAGGGAATCAGATTCTGGGAGTCAAGTTACTCAAGATCCAAGTAAAAAGGGGTAGTAACTGTACTGATCCTCTGTTACATGTTTTTTTCAGTGTGGTGTGGTGTTACCAATGAACATGGGCTTAATTTTACATTTTGACCACCTTGAGGCATTACAGGTAACTGTTGTTCAAAAAATTATATAATACCCATTATTTTTCAGAACCACATTTTGCATTCATTTTCCAATCCCAACACTTTAATATTCCTCACAGACAACCTCTCTTCTCAAGCTGGGTTCGGTTTGGGGTCGAACTGTCATGGTACTCTGCCACAGCGATAAGCAAGGGAATGGCTCTTTGGACTCATTCCATCACTAACAATAAGGTGACGATGTTCTGTCCGTACCAACAGCGGTGTGGCCAATCTGGCTCTACAGGAATGGAGAGCCAGTTGGGTCCTAATTAGTGGGGAACCGGTTGAGGCAGGATGACTGAGCAAATCATACTCGCAGCACTGTAGGATGGACGGATGGCAGAACTGAGCATGAGTACGTGGTGGGTGAAATCCAAGGGCTGGACTTGAGTTTTTGTTGGTTTATTTTGTATTATATTTAGTATTATTTAATAATTTGTTTTAATTATATTTTATTTAGTAATTTGTTTGATTAGTTATTGAAATATTATTTTTATGTTGTTGTTGTGAATGATTGATTGAATTTTGAATTATTAATTGTGAAAATTAAAAAAATGCAAACAGAGAATGTAGACTCTTCCGGACAGGTTGATGATGAATTCATTTCTTCTTCTTCTTTGATATCACTCGAGTTTATAGTCCCAAAAATTGAATATTCAAACAACAAGGAACGTGCCATGTCGGAAATATGTACTCAAATTTATGAGCAGGTTCAGAGGGAATATCATTTGTATTTGACTTCGGAATTGCATGATATTCGTCATTTGTCGAACAAGCAAGATGACACAAAGTCTCGTCCTAATGAAGATTGGAATTCATTCCATCAAAATAAGGACATTTCAAGACAATATGAAGAATTTACTCTTTCAGTGAGTTTTTGCAGAATGATTTTCGTGTTGATCATCATGTGTTGCATTCAAATGAATGTGTTTGAAATTTATTTTTAAATAATAATAATAATAACAATTTAATAACATGGACTTTTGAAATTATAACAAACAGCACCGGGATACATTTAATTGGAATCAAATTAAGCAAGCTCTTAAACATGATAACCTCAATTTATCCCACTTTCAGACCATTGAGGAAGCAAACATTTTCAACCCTCCTTCAGAAGAAGATGAAACACTCTCACAAAGCTTACCTCTGACGGCAGAGTATTGGAGAAGAAGACAACAAGAGTTAAGTGGTTCGTCCACAACAAACAATACATTTTATGAAATTCCTAAATTAAGAATTCAGCACAGAATTCATGCACCAAGAGTTGTTAAAAGAAAATAGTTGTGCTGAATGCGTAACAAGAATTAGTATACACGTTAAAATTGTTATTTTGGTGCAGTGGTGACAATTAGATAACATCAGTTGAGGCTGGTTGACTAGTACCCACAGAACAACGTTTAAAGTCAGGGAATCCACAGCCTAGCCAAATACCAATGAATGCAATGACTGCAAGAACTCCAATTAATATGAGGAATATTTTGATATTGTTCCAAATCATGACGTTTTTCAACTTTTTCGCTTGCTTTTGGAAATGATCAGAATTATCTACCAATAGAGAAGTTCTATCGATTAATGAGTCCATTCTTTCATGATTTTGAAGAATTTTGTCAATGTTGTCAATCATTTTAGATTTGTTCTTGGAGATTTCATATCCCAAATGTGTCAATTTGTCTTTCTGTTCATCAGACATGTATCAGAATGCGTGTGACATGGTAAAAACAACTCAATGAATTCAATAATGAAATACATACGTTTGGATCATTCCATTCTGTCATTTTCTGTTGAATAAATGATCTTAACATGGAATTCTTTTGATTTCGATTTCCTTTGGTGTACTTTTGACGAACTTCTTTTTGAATATCCTTGAAAAATCCACTCTATTGTGAAAATATCATTTGAAAATAATAATCGCAATAACAATAATAATAATAATAGGTGTCACTCCACATTTTCATCCACATTCAAATAAAATCATGACCTACCTTCAATCCAAAAACAACACGATAGGGTGTCATTTCATCTGTGACTGAGATCACTGTAAAATAGCGATGCGTTGGCTCCTTTTCATCTTCATCCGAACATTCATAGTGTACACGAAGCGATTTACTATTTGTGGAATAATAACATTGTTGATTTCGACATGTCGAAATTTGATAAATTCGTTGGTGACGTAATAACAATCATAATAACAATAATAATAATAGATTTTCAAAATGTAATTAACGTTAATCATGATCAAATGATAGATATTGACACATAAAAACATTCAATAATTATAAATGCCGACCGTTTGATGAATTTTTGCAAGTCTTACCTCTCATAATTCAGTGATTTCTTGTGCTCACGGTTAGGAATGTATTCCAACAAATTGTTGATGAGTTGCATCATATCCTATGATATAAATGTCATATATTGTTGTTTGGCATGATGAATGGAACGAGGATGAGTTGTGATTGATTTTACAATGTAAGAAGAGAAATTCTCGTGATGATGAAGCAATTCATACCTTCTTACCGGTCGGATACTCTGCAATGATCTTCCTGTCCATCACCACGCAAGTGTACAATATAACCATTTTTTTTAATGAAGAATGACTTTTGACAAGAGTTGATAAATTACTTTTTTATGAATCACTGATGGTGGGTTTTTCGAAATACATTTGTAAATACAGTGCATCATTCATAGCTTTTTGATGATTGATAAACATTTGAGGAGAGATGATTGTTGTGGTGTCTTCTCATTGTACGGATATCCAAGATCACTATATCTTCAAATTGACCATTCATAGAGACCTCTATTGGCTATTGGCCATTAAATATTCGCCGAATGGCTTGGCTGCTTCCTTGATCTTGGCTACAACAGCAGAATCCTTAATGAATCTGGACTTTTTCTTTGACAACCATTCTTCTAAAACCTCCTTGGTCAATAATTCTGCTCTATAGAATTGGAGTAATATCACAGATGTTTGGGTGACAAGATTAATATCTTTTACGCCCACTAATTCTTCAGTATATCCCAAAATAAGTTTTTGACCACTTGAGGAAATGAATGGCTTGAAGAGAGGAGCTCTCTTTGGAATATCAGTCAAGATATTCTCAGGGGTAAATAGAGCTTCGTAAAGTAAACACACACAATCCTTATCAGTCAAATTATAATCATTCTTCAATTTTCTGGTAGCTTGATAGATTTGAACAGGAGTTGCATTAGGTTTAACCTCTAAGAATTGTTTCAAAATTGATACAGGTGATACTTCTTGTTCCTCTTCTTCTTCATCCTCATCCTCAACTCCTTTTGTCAATTCTCTAAATCTTTCTGAGAGACCTTCCATTTCACGTCTCTTCTTGATAGCTTCTTGTGAAATATCTAGAGACCATGTACCATCATCGATTGCAGCCTTTTCAGTTGTTGCTCCAGCTTGTGATTTTGTTGATTTAGAAGGCTTTTGAGTTGCTTCAGGAGCCTCCTTTTCACCCTTGAATCCTCCTTTTGATTTGGGTGGATGTTTAATCATTGTTGTATAAAGTCTTTCGGTAGAATCAATTTGTCCATGATTACCACAGGCTCTACATGTTGTTTGAATTGCGTCCTTGTTGCTCTTGATTGTAAAATCCAATTCAGGAAGATGGCACTTGGAACACAACAAGAATTTGGCGATAAAGTTCTCAAGAACCTCTTCTACTTGTGCAAAATCGTATTTACCATTGATGACGGCTTTATCGTTCTTAGTACTACCGAGTGCTCCCAATTCAAGTCCGAAGTATTTGATTGGCCCTGTTTGAGTAATGTTGGTAATATTATAATATCAGAGGTACGATGATGATGATGATGATAATATTCCATCATGATTTGTTCATATTAAATTGAATAAAAGCCAAATCATTTGATGATGATGATAATAATACCAAAATATTTCATCATGATGATGTTGATGATGGAGAAAATTGGTCATATATTCAACAATGATGATGATGTTGTTGTTCGAACAACAATAACACACATAAAGTATTAACAAACAACAAACATTCCGTAACTCTTACTTACATTCCATTGGTACGTTCAACGAATCTGATACCTCCTTCATATTGGGAATCACGGTTTTAATACCGTTTCCTTTACCTTCAATCTTCAACTCCACAGTTTGTCTCTTGTATCTGTAGTGTTGGTCTTGTTTGCTCTTTGGAATGTTTACTATCGACATATTTTTTTTCAAAGAAGACTTTTTCTTTACAATCGTTTTTCTTTCATGTTGTGTTTGATGAGACTATTAATAAAGAGAAAGGTGTGGTATAAGGAAAGGAGATCACACAAGCCACTTGTCTGTCTGTTTTGGAATTTCACTTGGATTCAACCAAATTTTGTAAGGTCTCTTTATTTTTGGACAGCAAAGCATTTTGGGATTGAATTATTTTCTTCGCTCATGACCAAGTAAGCATGGAACATGCCCTCACCAATTTTCGTTTTTGTTTTCTCTCCATTAAGAGTGAACAAGTTTCAAAACACTACATCGTATGCTGAGGTCTTACTTTCCCTACGAGATAGATGAAACAGTTTGTTTGGCCTTAATATGAAAAGTTTTACAATTTTTCTGCTTCAAAAAATGAATCGAAACAACAATAACTTTCCGAGGCGACCAAACCACCAAGTTCGTGCACAAGCTGGACAACCACAACACTCCACAAGAAATGTCCGAGAGAACCCTTCCGAAGAATATTCAAAGATGCCATCACGAGGTAGTGGTGGTGGGATGAAGAGAAAATTGGAATCGGAACAACCTTCGTCTTCCTCTCTGAATAAAAATCATGATGGTGCAGCGGAGAATGATGATGATGAAATTATTCTTCATCCAGTGGTGGAGTTTCTAGATCAATGGAAGAATGATAAAGAAAATTGGACATTTGATGGTACTAAACAACGAGCATTGATTCATCAGTGTCTCAATGCTCAAATTATTGACAGCAGAAGGTTCAAATATTTTCTTGAATATATTGCTCCCATGGTGGGATTTGATCGTGTGAAACTGTATGAAACTTGTGCAGAGTATGTAAAGACACAGAGACGTAATGCTCAAAAGAGTGCTCTTCATGAATTATCATCAAAAGAGAGAAAATCAATTTTGACAGATCCACAAATTAGAACGAAATGCGTGAAAGCCATGAAGGACATTTTGAGTGACAATAAGAGATATAAGAGAGCAAAAACAATCATGCTTGTATTGAAGGCAACCGATAAAGACAGTGGATCAAGGTATAATTTGGAGGATCAACCAGAACTTATAGACACTGATTATGATGAAAATTCGGAATCTGTCTCAGAAGAAAAGAATGTCGATAGTACCAGTATCGAACAAACTAATGCCAACAACAAGACGGTAAATTCGGCTTCACAGCAGAAACCACCCTCTGTGCAAAGTAGTAAAAAGAAGTTTGATGAAAGCGATAGTAGTAGTGACAGCAGCAGTAGTGACAGTAGTAGCGATGATGATGAATAAAAGCCACACTACTTTCATCGAGAGTTAAGGGTTATGAAGAGAGTTGTGAAAAATAATTAAGTTGATATTCATTTAATCAAAATCAATTTCGAGTTCGTTGACATGCCAGTCCTCATAGGATTTATCGGGTAAATATCTTCTAATGATCATTGGAATCTTCTTTTGTTGGAGTTCTTTTCTTGCAATTGCAAGCGGATCTGTCTCTCCTTGCAGTTCCACAGTGACAGGAGCATTCATTGAAATTTGCAGAGCTCTTGTACCTAATACTCTAGCCTTTTCGAATTTAGTCATCTTTCTAGTTGTTTTTCTCTCTTCCTTTGGAACTTTATGTTTATCAACAGGAATATATGGAGCGTTAGCATCTTCAGTTTCTTCTAAAACTGCATCATCTTCGTGAAGAATTTCGGATTCTTCTTCTTGTGGTTGGTAATCTTCTTCTCCAATGTCGTCTGCTTCAAATTGCTCAAGACTGAATTGTTATTTGAAAAAAGTATCAAAAGGATTGTAAAATTAATTGGTTGCAAAGATTGTCGATAGCACCATCATCGGAATTTCAATAAAATTATAATAAATTCATCCAACAATCCGATCATCCAAATTTATGCCATTTGTCATACATGTTATCAAGTAACGAGTTCATTCCGTAATCATCAAGAAGAATGGTAAGATGATCACATTCTCACATCATCATCACAGAAATAAAAATACCTACACATTCTCGTCTTCCATTTTTTTTATGAACGTTACAAATTGAATTTTGTGAAGTTTTTTCAATTCCGAGGCAACAACATTTGGTGAATGCCATTCAATATTTTGGAGTTCCCATTCATCAAATTTTGTTATCATCTTTTGAGAGTATTCTCTTCTGTCCTATTGTATCTTTAAATATTGTATTCCAATATAGCTCTTTCAAATTCCAACATTAAAAAATGGGAGCAACCTTCTGGAAGGTATTCGCATTGTGTTCGGCAGCTGTTGTGGGAGGACTTTTCGGAATGAAACATCAGTACGAATTGGAAGAAGAATGGGCCAAAAAGTTCTCTCATCGGGTGAGGCTGGAATTGGAGAAGGAGATTGAGGAGGAAGGAATTGTGGAAAAGATGTTGGAGATGGAAAAAGAGAATAGTTTAGCTAAAACCATGAATAATAATAATGGTTCGGATCATGATGATAATAGTGCCAAAACAAAATAAGACAGTTAGTTCATTTTCTCATCATTGTTAACAATTGGAATTAATCACTGGGAGAGTTTCAACAATTTGTCGTGGTCACCATGCGATTGTGAACAATTTCGGACCTTCAAAATTGATCAGTTTTATTATTCGGAACCACCACCAGTAAACATGGAACTGAGAAGGATGAGACCTGCTGGAACTAAAAGATACCACTAATATTTCAAGATGAAATTGTCAACCATCATTCAACAAGTAAAATCAAGATTGTGTCGAGTTTTTAACATGTTAATGCAACCAAGTTGTCATCATTCATGGTCAACTAGAAATAATATGAATTGAATATATACTTACGTATTTCCTGAAGAAACCTGGTTCATTAGCTTGCTCCAATTCCCTTCTCTTTTCCTCAGGTGTTTTAATTCCAGCAAAGCTTACTTTTTCTGACGTTTTTGGAGCATTATGAGTCACAACTCTAACAGTTTCTCTGACACCATTTTGGAGAAGACCATTCTTTAACTTTTGCAGTGAAGAAATGACTTCATCGGAACAAGTTCTTGCGTGATATGGAATTGAAGGAACATTTTCGGCATGGAGAGAAACAGAAATAAGATGTTCTTTCACGTCGTATTGTAAATGCCAAACCTCTTTAAATTTTGAGCTTATCAATGCACACTAAGGTGGCCAGAATTGTATCAAATATTAAGTAGAATGTCAACATTGACATGACCGTATAAATTATTTTCATCCAAATGTTAGTAAATCCAATAAGTTTTTAAATTCAATATTAGTGATATGCCATTTCAAATAAAACCAACCATAGAAATAGAATTCATTGCAAGAATTTCTCCATTCGTGGGTGAACGAAAACGTAATTGATACATTAAATTCTCAGGTTTCTTACTCAAAATTCGATCGGAAATAATTTGAATTAAATCCTTTGGCCATTTGGCATCGGAGGTGAGCGATGAACGGAATTGCAAACGATTTAATCGACTACTAGGATCTTGTACAATCATTCCGCGTGATTTCCATGTTTTTCCTCCATCAACAGAAAATTCAACATTATATTTATCCTCCAATTGTTGTTGTGCCTGACATTCCGATGCAGTGAAGCACATCATTCCAATAATAAATAGAATCATCATAAAGCAGACAATGTTGAAAACTCTCATCTTTGATCGTCCTCTCAAAGTGAAGCATACATCAGCATGATGATGATTTGAAATTTTCATTTTTTTATTCATCTTCTTCGTCTTCTTCTGTCTCGACAATGAAACATTCAGAGTCTTGAGGAATAATCTCTTCTAAAGTATTCTTGTAGTGAAGGAATGCATCAGGTGCAAATGATTGAGGAGAAGGAATGAATACTTTGATATTCTTTGCTTGTTCTGAGAGGGTTTGTTCTGTTTTGGTTTTCTTAGTGTTTGGTTGGGCTGAGTTTGACGATATTTCACTCGTGTCAGATTGGCTGTCATCCATATGTTTTCGTTTCTTTGAAGATGGTGAATCTGTAGAGTCAGCATCTACAGCCATCTTGTTTTCTACGGGCTCTTCAGTATCATTAGAAATGGTAGAGGTATTTGTTGTTGTGTCTGTTAATGATGGGGCAGCAGGCGCTTCTTCATCCTTCATGGCATTGTCACTTGTCGCTGCAGAGGCTTCCGTTGAGGAGGAGAACTTGGAAACAACAGAACACCTTAATTCGACTTGTTTAAATATTTCTTCCTTGTTTTTTTGGAGACTATTCAGAAGTTTCTTTTCACGGAATCCACCTGAATCAAGCACAGCAATTAACTTTTCAATTTCCTTCTTGGATGAATAATATCCCCATGGGCGAGTGTCAACAGGATCTTCAGCAGAGCTATTAGAAAAGTCTCTGAAAGGAGAACATGGTTCCACAAAAAGCACTCCTGTGAAGGATGGGAAGAACCAATATCTGTTGAAGAACCGATCAAAACCTAGGTGTTTTGCTCGTATGACATGCTGATTGACCAATGTTTGATAGTTTTTCTCTCGTTCCACTTTTCGTGTTCTGACCTCTTCGCTTGTAAATCGCCGATTATTATTATTGGATGATTCATCAGCCTCTTGTTTAGATGCTTCTTCTTTTTGTTTCTCAATATCTTCATTGTTTTCAATATTTCGTTGTCGTTTGAGTAGTCTCATGCGTTCAATACCCTCATCAATGTATTCTCGAATTGTTGCACTTTGGATACATTGTTCAGTAAGCTTACTCAGAATATAGACTTTAGCATTAGATTCCAAGTGTGTGAAAAAGTTAATCTCACTCTCATTATGGTAATTGTCATCCTTGATAAATTTCATAACAGTGACTATCAAGTTTGGAGGTTTTGCAACAGGCTTTTGTTCATCTGTTGTTTCTTGTTTGATATTGGTGGCGTCGTCTGTTTTCTCCTCTTTAACATTTGTATGGTTATTTTCGTGAATATGATTCGATGGAGTACTCTCAGGAAGGTTAGTAGTTGGATTAGAGGTGATTGTTGATGCCGGTGTTGTCGACTCGACCGTAGCAGCAGAATCTATCTGTTGTTCAGAAGGGTGTGGTTCTTGGTTGGATTCTTCAACTTTGTTGGTTGGGATGTGAGCGCTTTCATTTTGAGTGTTGGTTTCTGATTGTTTGATACCTTCTTCGATTGGAGTTGTTTGATTGATTGTGGTAGAGTCTTCAACGGATGCTTCTGTTGTGCCATTGCTTTCCTTGGTTGCAGTATTAGTCATGAATTCCTCCTCAGGAATGTCAATCATTTCGTGAGACATAAATGCTCTCCAATACTCTCGTAACAAAATTATGGGCATTACTTGAGAAATATAGACAGTTGCCTCTCGATTAATCACTTGTTTTCTTGAAGGAAGATTAATGATTCTTTGATCCTTTGTTCTAACTTGATTGTACAACTTTTTCATCTTGTAAATTGAACGATTAACATCCTGTTTGTTGGCGCCTTTGTCGAAAAATAAGAATAAAAGCATTGCACTCAGTATTGATCGAAGAAGAGGATTATTCTCGGATTTGCATTCAAGAGAATGTTGAAATTCGTCAAAGGTAAACGGTAAAATTTTCAATGGAGCTCTAAAAACGTTCAAAAAGTTAAAAACATTTAAAGCTTCTGGAATAGATTCCACATGTGTTAAAACATAGTCATAATGAGGTTTAGGAAAGTTACTATCTGATTTTGTTTTGCTCCTAGATGTAATGTATTCGTCCAATATTGTACCATCTAGTAGTAATGTCAGAGAATGTTTGTGAATCATAGACACTTATTTACATACCTTCTTTTGGCAATAATAATGGATTAACTGCGGGTTGAACATTCTTTGGTTCAGTTCCATTCATTCCTATATGTACATGATTCTTTTGAGAAACATTATTGGATTGACTAGGTTCAAAACTAGATGAGGAAGTTGCTCTAAGCGACTGTTCAATTTCCTTGATATCTGTCATGACTTTTCCAAACTTGTCGACATGGTGATACTTCAGATCGTTCACAGATCGAACAAGTCCTTTTTTGAATTTAGTAATGTCTTCCATTTCCTCCTCCAAATTCTTTTGAAATGTTGGAATTTTATCTGTTCTAGATTGATGTGGCTCTAATTTGAAATAATCCACAAACTCCTGTTTCAATCGAATGCAACCCGATGATTCATCGTAAAAAGTGTTCTCCATTATCCATTGTGTAAGCTTTTCAGGTGATTCGACTAAAGAGATTTGTTTTCTCAGGAGCACTGAATAATACACAACAATTACTCGATTTTCAAATGGAGAGTTGTTGGATAAAATTTCCACTTCATAAAGTTTTCCTTGAGTTCCGAACCCTATATTTGATGGATCATAATCATAGTAATGTTCTTGTGCTTTTGTTTGATGGAATACTTCAATTTGATGTTGTTCGGCGTCCGTTATATACAAGGGAGTAGAGAATGGAGGAAAATTTGGATCTTCCACATAATATTTGGCTTTTTTCAAGAGAATTCTTCTCAACACAACAGAAATACTTTTGTAAATTCATGACGATAAGGCAATTGTTGGGATGAACGTGAACATCACAGGTGACGCAAAGTGACAAAACTTACGTTGTATCCAATTCGCAAAAAAGTTCTTCTCCTTCAACAAAGTTGTATTCGAAAAATTTAGATATCCGTTGCACCAAGTCTTGCACTGTTTCTCCTCTTTTGCAGTGGTGAATCATGTAGCATATATGACGGAGTATGTATCTTGGATAGAATTTGAAAAGGTGCTTGATTTTTTGTTCTTTTTCACATTCAAGAGCTTGCTCATAGGTCATGTTGTCTTTTCCACTGTATTGACAACTCCAAATTTGTAGTTTATACATGATTGCTCTATTAACATATTCTCTATTTGATGATGAAGAAAGAATGAGTATAATTTTGAGCAGCCATCATCGGATGATGACACAATATATTATTAAATTTTCGTAAACTTAATGTTGAGTATGCAATACTACTACTTACTCATAATCATCAAATACTTCGTTAGTGATGGCTAAATGGTATATTGGCTTGTTCCCTGGCCACCCTTTCTCGAGGGCTTGTCCAAAACCTCGTTTTTGAAGAGGCTTTTTTGGTGTTCCAAACAATGGCATCTGATGTGTTGTTAATGTTGTGTAAGGATAAAGGTAGGAATACTATCGGTAATGCTAATGATGGTACAACTGTATGATGTCCGATACTTTGATTAATTCAACAATAAATAGAGTTGGTAGTGTTTGATTCGGGACAGCACACGATCGGTCTGTCCTCAATAAATTACTCAATCAAGGAATGGATTAATGAATCCTACTATTAGAAAATGTCCTCAATCTACTGATGATGTTTCGTCTCCAATGATGATGATAGGAATCCCCACAACTCTCGGCACTACTCTCGCGAGTTGATGATGAGAGAAAATGACGACGACGACGAATGAACACAAAAAACTCTGAGACTGTTTACAACGCTAGGCAGCAGCAGCACTAATTCGGGTTGCGCTGTGTTTGTATTTTTTCGAAACGGCAATTTGGCTGACGTTCGATGTTTGTGCTCACAAAGCTCTCTCAAAAAATTCCACGAGATGCTGCCTCTCAAAGTGGTTGTTGTTGTTGTTGATGTTGTTGCACTCAAGGTTGGTTGACTGTTGCGAGCGACAAGAAGTGCTGAATTTTTTTTTGTAATTAAGATTGAAATTTGATTGGAGGTTCAATAGGAACAAACAATTGGACCATGATGGAAAGGTAATAATTGCCTGATCACAGAACTTGAAGAGTTGGGGTTATTAAGGTAGTCGATCGAGTCAACTGTCTGTCCATACTTAATGGGGAGTTCTTGACGAGACAGATCGAGTGAATTCTTTGATGACTAAAGGTTGGTTGCAGTCATTTGACAAGTGGTCGAGAATGTATACCTTTTTAAAGTGCAAAGAGTTAAAATTGGACATTGCACGAATACATCAATGCCAGATGGCATGCAATCCAAAGGGAAATGAGAGAACCAACAAAGAATGAGCGTTCCATTAGTGAAGATTTGTTGGAGAAGCGTCATGCGAATCCAAGTATTACGTTGTAAATGAGTTTTTTGGAACATCAACTTTCTACTACCGCCTAACATGGAAAAGAACAATCATGATTGTGAAAATATCTTTACAGTCAAATTTCATTCCGTTTGGCCAAACTCCTTGTTTCCTTCTCGCAATTCCACACTTGGAGATCTTCTAACTCGGTGTTTGTTTAATATCAAGACTTAAAAGGCCACGACCACAACAAAATTCCACTCAGTTCAACCTCCGACCATGTTCCATCTCTCTACGCTGCCGAAATAACACAAGTCGGTTCTCTCAAACACGATTATAACCATTCGGAGATCCTGATTGATTTTTTGCATGACTGTCAGGATAATAATAGCTTCCGACACATTTCCAACAATCTGGGGAATGCAAAGATTGTTTTTTGATCTTGAAGAAGAAAACAAAAACATCCACAAATTGTCTTTTTAGTTCACGCTTCTTCCTCAAGACCCAACAACAACATTAAGTAAATCAAAATGTCCACTTCCAACTCTCAAGAAGAAGAGGAAGTCAAAAATAATTTGGAAGACTTTTCACCGACGAATATAAGCAATTATTCATTCACGACAAATTCAAATTCCAATACGACCACTTCTTCAAAGGATGATGATTCACATGAAATGACGACCTCAGCAGGTCTGGTCAATCATTCATCGCCTTTGATGCCCACAACAACATCAATAACACCAACAACCACCAACGCAATTTGTTCAACCATCAATAAGAAGAGAAGGCCGCATTCAAAAAAAGGTAATTAATTCATTCATATGTCATTGACTCAACAACGAGGTGAATAATTATTCCTTCTTGAAATTTATAACTCTAATGATGAACGAACACAACGACGACCTCTTTCTACAGCTGCATGTACCAATTGTCATAAAGCACATGCTCGATGCGATATAGGAAGACCATGTTCTCGATGTATTCGATTAGGCTTACCATGTATTGAACCCATGAAACGAAAAACCACTCGAGAAGAACGTGCACAATTATTGGAGGAACATCGAAGAATGGCCACGAGTATGAAATTGTTGCCACGACCTTCCTCATCTGGCAGTAGCAGCACTAGCACCAACAATACCACTAGCACCAACATCAACAACAACGCTCATACCTCTCCATCCTTATCGCTTCCTTCTTCAACGAGCTCGTCGTTGTTGTCGTCTTCAATACCTTCTTCTTCTGCTGCTGCTTCTGTTGTTGTGGTGAATTGTTGTCATCCTTCGATGCATGCGACTTCGTCATCATCTTGCCCTTCAACAACACCATATGCATCATCGACCTATATACCCAATGGTCATGATAAGGATGCAAATTCCGTCGGAGTTTCGTCATCATTAGTACACAACAACTTGGGGGTTTTGGATGCATCATCACCTTCTTCTGGTCTCACTTCCAGCAACAGAGGTCGGACCGAAAGAACGCATTCCACATCATCCATGACCAATTTGATGAATGATCTATTGTCCTTTGCTTCTCCTGGATCGTCAAACACTATACCGTTAAGTGGTCCTCCTGGAAGTTGTGTGTCCAATCCAAATATTCCACATTCATCATCAATGATGATGACGAATCATGGCATTCATCAGCGAGACTTTTCACAAAGAACAGCTATTCCTGGCAATAGTAGTAAGCAAGGGAATCTTCCTCTTCTTAATACGCCATGCAACAATTTTGCTCCTTATTCCTTATTTCCTTTCTTGTCCAATGGCTGTTCCAACCATGATGATCTCCATCAATCCAACATGGCATTGGTTTCTCTCTTGCAAACAACAACATCCTCCTCCTCTCCTTCTTCCTCAATGATGATGATGAATCGACAACTACAACAACCACAGCTTCCTCCATGCATAAACCCTTCTTTAGGAAATTCCAATGCAACCACAACAACACTCTCACAGCTCTTATTTCAACTACTTTCTCAGCACCACCACCAACAACAACATCCATTTCAGACTGTAAATGGTGTTCAAATACCACAACAACTGTCATCACCACCACAACAAGTTCAGAACCAATCCTCTCTCCCTGTTGAACCATTGAACACATCACTACTCTCTCTGCTATTAGAAAACTCAGAAATGAACCCTTCTTCTTCAACAACCTTAGCGAATGGTTCTTCTTCTCAAATGCACTTGGTTCCTTTCATTCAAGAAGATTCATCACCTTCCTCCTCTCCACCAACCCAAAACGAAACCAACCTCAATAAAAACTCGACACATCAAGATGTGGAATAAGAAGAAAACAAACCGAACGAACGATGTTTGCTTGTTACAGTCCAAATATTCATGACTCCAATGAATGTTTTCAAAAACACCTTCAAAATGATGCGTTTTCTGATTTGAACCTTTGAATTGTCTTTTAAAAGCTGGAAAAGTTCAAAAGCGCAAGAAGAAGAAAAAAAATGTTCAAAGGCTATTCGAGTATTCAGAACCACTACATGAAGGGAGTGGTGGATTTTCAATTTGAACCTAATTTCTCTCGGGAAGTTGAGTGGGTGGTTACCGAGAAGGTTCATGGTAGTAATTTTAGGTGAGTATTTGGTGGTCGGTAATGATCAGGAGGTCTGTGAGATGAATCATTTGCAAATCGTGATGATGATGATGGGTGGTATATCTCTATAAATTTTCGGAATGGATGATTGTTCTTGGATGAAATTAATTGTACTGACGTATAGTTATGTTGTTTCAGTGAGAGAGAACGCAGAGTTGGATATTCAAGTTGCAAAACGAACTGAAATTCTTGTTGCCGGTGATCCATCATATTATCCAATTGCTGTTCAAAAAGTGAGAGAAATTTATGACAAGAAAATGCCAATTCTCTTCAAACGTGTGTCAGAGATTGTCGATGAAAATTTCAAAATAACTGTGAATAGGGTGAATGTTTTTGGAGAGTTATTTGGTGGTCACTATCCTCACAAGGAAGTGCAAAATGTGAATGGACGAGTTCCTATTCAACGACATGTGTATTATCATACAGAATTCGATTTTTACATATTTGACATTTATTTCTCAGGTGTTGAAAAGGAAACCCTGAAGGAAAAACAATTCTTTCTTCCTTATGACTTATTTGTGAAAGCTCTTTCAGAGTGTGAATTCAATTGCTACGCAAAAGAAATTTTTAGAGGAACGTTTGAAGAATGTTTGAAATTTGACTGTGTTTTTGACTCAATAATTCCTTCATATTATGGACTTCCTGGGTTGCCTCATCACACAAACATCTGTGAAGGTTAGTGATTAACAGCATTATTGTGAATCATTTGACATGAACATAATTTGGCATGACTCAAAAACCCTTAAATAGGAATTATTATTAAACCTGCCAAGGACATGTACACCCAGAAACGAGAAAGAATGATTATCAAAAAGAAGAATGACGCATTTAATGAAAAGATCGGACAAGCTAAGAAAACAAAACAAAAGGATCACACCAAAACTAGCAGTGACGAAAGCAGATTTACACACGAAAAGGGAGAACAAGTTTTCGAAGATGTCACTAACTATATCAACGAAAATAGATTGGAAGCAACCATTTCCAAGTTGGGCGATATTTTCAAATTCCACAAATTAAGGGAGCAAGCAATCTATCTCTTGGCACAAGATGCACTTAAGGATTACAAGGATGAAAATTCAGAGCTGTGGAACGAACTCCCAAAGGAAGACCAAAAGACCATTTCAAGGGCCCTTCCTAAAATTTCACAAAGATTTGTGGACACGTATGTGAAAGAAAGAATGGAAGAGAATGAAAACAAGGAAAATTAAGAAAATTTTTTTCACAAGTGGAACAATCTTCATTGAGAGTGAACGTCCAGCGTTCATATGACACACTACTCGGTGTTGTGTACATTCTTTTTAATGTTTTTCTTTGAATTCTTTTTAATTTCATCATTTCCCTTCTCCCATTTGTAAACAATAATCTTAAATTGAGGCATGTCACTAAACAGTTCAACAATGATGGGTTGTACCTTCTCCCATTCCAATCGATCAAGTCCACATCCGAGCAATGGTATTGCCAGTTCATTCACATCATGTTGTAACATGTGTTTCTTCATGGCCTCAAGACTTGAGTGAATCATAGGTCGGGACACGAAAATATCGTTCCTTTGTGACTAAATAACTGTATTAAAACCGCACATTTTTGGAAAGATGTGATCGATCGGCATGAGCATTCCCATTGAAATAGGGACAATTAAATCATGAATACTATCAGCACACGATGAACGAATACTCACTAAATACACATATTTTCCTCTTGCAAATAAAGAGTCGCCACTTGTCCAATTTGTGCTTTCTGATCTTTCAATTCTTGAACTCGACCAAAACGTTGTTTGAAGAGAGTGGCAATTCCTGCTCCCATATTCAAATTCACACTCACACAATGACACATACTACTCACAGTAGGAGAATGTGTGGATGAATTCAAATAAGAGAATAAATCTCCTCCTTCAATCACTTGCATTTCACACATTTTTATTCTCAAGTTCGTTTTCCATTTTGATTTTTCGAAAACGTTCGTTTTGGAATTGAATGAAATGCAAAGGTCATCTTGTTCGCGAAATTTTTATGGATGAAAAACACACCTTAAGAGTCTCTTGTTCTAAGGAAAGCTTGTTGATTTATTTGGAATTTTCTGACACCTTCGAATTAGCTTTCCTTTTAACATCAACCTCAGATCTTGTGGTTCCCTCTTTTGAATCTATTTTTCAATTAGAACAAACTCCTTCACTGTTGATACATAACCATTTAGCCTAGACCAAACATAGAGTTCTCATTCTTTGTTTCAAGCATGACTTGTGACATGTGGCAGTTAGAGGAAAAACTTGACATTTCCCTTCTCTAAAAAAATTACAATTACTCATACAAGAAGGGCTGAGTAACACGAATCTGAGTAACATCCCTCCTTCTCTCTCGGAGCTAGAAATTTGTTGTTGTTGTCACTTCCCATCATTGACCATTTCATCATCATGTTGATGAATACCTTTTCATGTACGACTGCCAGCAGTCATCGTTGTAGTACTTTTCGACCATCACGATCGAATCATTCTCATCAACAACAACACCACTCGATCATGACCTTTTTAATCATCTTCATCTCCGCTTTGGTGATCATCACACAATTCTCTAGTCAAGTCCTTTCACAACAATTGACGGTCAACTCTCCTAGAACTTCCATGCCCAGCAATCAAGATGCCACTGATCCTGGAAAATGGATTGAATATGGAATTTATTTGATTATTATATTTGTGGTGATTCTTGTGTTGGGTTTGATTGGATATGTGATTGTGATTGGATTCTTTTGTTGTCGATTGTGTGGATGTTGTGGAGGATGTAAACCAAAGGTAAGTGGAATTGTTATGTTTTCCCATCTGTGTGTGTGTTGTGACCGTTTGTTGTTCTTATTATTAACCATATTCTTATGATTGTTGGATTCGTGTGTGTGTCTGGGTTTGTGGTTGTGTCCACGTTGTGGTATTTGTGTACAAATTTGGAAATTTCATGTCTTGATGACAATAACAACAACAATGGATGAATTTGAACGAATTCTAATTTCTACTACTGTGAAATGTCAACAACAAATGAAAAATACAATGATATAATACAATTAACATGATAATGACTTTGCTTTTGATTCACAATGTTGTTGAAAACACAACATAGAAAAAAGGTGCCACTCATCCCTACAAAAAGAAAGACCTCCTTGTTCCATCCATTCTTGCCATTATTGGTTACATTTCATTGCTCATTGTGTGTATCTTGGGTCTCATTTTCAGTGGTCTCTTTTCACAAAATATTCGAGTCATGGTGAAGGAAACGAGAAGTCTAATCGGCAATGTGAATGGTACAGTGTCAGGTGTTGGAACCATTGGTAATGCTGCCAGTGACAAAATTCCAGTTCTTGTGAATGGTTTTACTCCATTGGTTGATGGTGCATTTAAATTGTTATCTCCTGTGGATAACATGGCTCAAACTGTTCAAAATTCAATTAATACCTTGTATCAGGTCAATAATACGGATGCTCCTGTGATTTATCAACACATTGATAATGTGAGAGCAGATTTGAAAACATTGAAAAATCGAACAGAATTGCAAAATGTTCCAGATCCAAATACAGCCATTCCTGATGTTCGTAGCACTGTCACGAGTGGAATTAATACTGGTATTTCTGCTCTTCAACAAGGTGAGAAAATCATTGTTGATGCTAGGGCCAGTCTTAACAATACCATTTACTCCACCAAAAATACGATTAATTCAACAGTTTACAACACAATTAACACGACATTGGTGAGCTCCTTGTCATCATTTACTTCTCAAATTTCAAATGTAATGGAAATGGTCAATACTTATTTACCAGAGAGTCGTGTCGATGATGTCACTTACTATGTTTATGCCGCTGAAAATGCAAGAATTTCATTGGTGACTATTTTCTTTGTTTGGTGTGGATTTTTGTACCTTTTCACACTTTTGGGAATTGTATTCAAAGTACCAATTTTGGTAGAAGTCACCAGCTGTTGCACATGTGGAACTGCATGGCTATTTTTCCTTGTGGCTGCCTTTCAAATTCCAATTTACATTCTCGTCAATGATTTGTGTACCACAGCTCCAAGCACTGTGAAATATTTGGGTGACAGTTATGGAAATCCACTCATTCATGGAGCTACTGGAAATTTTGTAACTCTACCAAACGTTTCTGTTCTTATTGATCGAGTAGCAACTTGCACTCCTGGACAAAGTTATTTAAATGCTGCTTTGGGAGCTGATTTCTTAGGTGCATTAGGTATTGATAACATGATTGGTTCTGCTACTGGCAGCATTGCTGGAGCTCTTGATTCATTCAATGTCACATCATTGGTTGACTCTGCAAAGAGTTATATTGTGTCTGCGAATTTGACATCCATCAAGACGGATTACACCTCTGATGTCATATCTGCTCAAAACCAGCTTAACACTTCCTTTAGTCAACTTCAAGATATTCAAAATTTCAATGGATTTAGTTATGCCAATTACACAAAAGCCATCGATGATGTGAACGCTGCTGTGAGTCCTTATGGTCTCTATTATACTTATCAAAATATTACACTCTTGGATTGTAATGCTCCTCCTATTAATCAAGATTCACAAGCTCAACAAAAATGTAACACGACCAAAGCAAATGCTCTCGATCAACTCACACTTTACAATACTACCTTGACTGAAGTGTTGAAACTGAATGCAACAGCCAATCATTTAAGAGCAGGATTGCAAACTCTTGTGAATGATTTTAACAGTCTTTCTAATACTTTTGCTCCAATTAAGAGTTTACCAAATACTTTGGTCACTCAATTGGATACTCTTGCTTTGAACATTTCGAATTATGTGACTGATTTGAAAAGTAGACTAAATTCAACCATCAAATCAGCACTCACGGATTATATTAATAATGTGACAGCAACGTCATTGGATTGTGGATATGTGGGATCTTATGTGTCAACCACTGAGAAAACAGTGTGTTATGGAATGACTAACGAAACCTTAATTACTGGAATTCTCTCACTCATTATTGGTGTCATTATGATTATTATGTTTGTTGTGTTGTTAATTTTAGGAAAGCGATTGAGATATCAAACGTCGAAGGGACTGGTAGATCCACCGATGGGAGCAGAAATGGTGGAACCATCCATGCAACAAGGTCTCCCACCCATGGATTTACATCATTAGACTTTTTAATGATCGAATCGACCAATTTTTGAAGGATGTAGGTGATTGATTAGACGTGCATTAAAATATTGAATTTAATAATCATTCCAAGTTACAGTAAATTATTACATCTATTGTTGTTGTTTTGGATATCTCCTATGAAGTGAAAGTGAGTGTAATGAACAACAACACCAGGGAGAGAACTAAATCGTCTGTCAGGTCCTCCAATAGATGATGAACACACCACCATGTAGTTTTTGAAACGAATTGAAAAGAGAGATCGTTCGACCACTACAAATTTTTGGCGCCCAATATTTGCGCCTTTCAAATCGTTTCAAAGTATGAAAAAAAATGCCTTCATCATCATCGACGCCTCAGAGAAAGCATTTGTCGGATCATATCAGCGTCCTCTATAAGGAGGGAATTGTTCATGCCAATCGGCACGATATTCATTACATTGATATTGTAAATTCAACGTTTCATAATCTAACCAAGTTATTTTTGAGTCAAAATAAGATTAAAAACTTGCATGGTCTCTGTCAGTTTAAGGAATTGAAAACGCTCAGCTTGAGCTATAACCTCATCGAAGATTTTAAAGAATTAAAATACATTCCTCATAGTGTCGATTGTTTGAGCTTGGAGGGAAATCCGATTGCAGGGCACCCGAATTATAGGTTAATGGTCATTGAACAATTTCCTAATTTGCGAACACTCGACAACAAGCCAGTCCAAGATTCGGAGAGAAGAGACATTATCGAAGCAAACCAATTGGCTGAATTCTATCCCAAGTTGTTGTTTGCCATCGATCGACTGACATCAAGGACCTATAAAGATATCCTTCGAATCGGTGTGCAAGTTGAAATGTATAACAGAGTGAATAATGGAGCAGCCACTACCATACCGGTCGTGGAGGAACCAGATGACACATCAAATCCAGATTACAAGCGATGTGTCAAGAAAATTCCACCACTCTCAGATTTGAAAGACACAAAAATTACCATTGAGGGTATTCGAAATTTGGCCAGAAACATGTTTGACGAAACAATTGTGCAGTCGATCCTCGATGAATCACAGAATTTAGGTGGTGAAATGGATCGATTTAGAATGGATCTAAAAGTGTTGATTGTTAGACAATACCGAGAAACCAAACGCTATTCCCACGCAGTGTCCTGTCTTGAGAAAGAATCCAAGTTTTCCATATATGCTGGAGACCAGACACTGTTGTATATCCTTATCAAAACCATGGTCGAATTTGCCAAACGATTATGTAAGTAATTGTCCTTAGTTTGTCTCTTTATCGTGTGACCTTCTTTTTGTTGACTAGTTGAGCGCGAGAACGAACGAGAACGTTTTCTGGCGTGTCTAAAACATCTCGAAGAACAATTCCCAAAACCTCCTCCTAAGATTGAAACCCCTAAATCATCGTCACAACAAAATTCTAATCCCGTATCAACCCAATCATCAAATAAGGAACCTAAGTCTAGCGAGAATAACGTGAAGAAAAGTGTTCAACTCAATAGTACGCCTTCCAGATATGCCAATGATTCTTCGAAAAGTTCAATCGAAGACGAAGACACTGTAATTTTCTCCGAAGATCAACTCACATCACCGGACAAAGACGATTTGTCAAGAATTCGAGCGTCCTTGCAAGAATCAAAAAATTCTCTTTACGATTTGGAAGAAAGTTCTTTTTTCCTGACCAAATCGACTGCCACCCATTACAAGAAGTGGAATAAGTTATTTTCAAAATCTAAGGACGGTCTTAGTTGCTCCGTACAGCAAGAGGATGAATTGTCGAAGGAGCAACGTGTGGAAGAATTCAGAAAAGAGCAACTCAAGAAAAAAGTATTATCAGCTTTGCGAACCTATGCCGAAAGAAGGAAAGAAGCTCGTTTAAATTATGAAAAAAAGCGCAAACTGAAAAATATCAAAGCTAGGTCATTCTATGTCAAGTCGTTGCAATCTAAAGCATTCTCTGCATTGATCAAAAACACCGAAAGGAGAAGGAATTTCAAACAAGCTGTTCGGATATTACGAAATGTTCGATATGATATTATTAAGAGAACCTTTTTTGATGCTTGGAGATCTCTGCTATTAAGGTGTAGTGATATTCGACCTCTCTCTGCAGTTCCAAAGTCTAGAAATTATGATAGTGACAAAGAGAATAGACGACCCTCGACAGTCAATATGGTTGAATACAATCCTTCTCAATCACGGGGAAAGCATTACAGAAAAGCAAGACCTCAATCTGCCGGTCACGCTCTCAGTAGGAATACCGAAAAACTGCCGTACAACAAGGAAGAAACAACATGTCCTTCTTCAAAGTATTCCTCCCATCGTCGACCTCAAACAGCAACCAGTCCTAGGACTCGAACAAGAGAAGTTGAGGACTATGAGGACAAATCCACCAAGCAACAGCAGCATTCCAACAAGTATTCTCCTGAAAATGTGACAAGAGAAAAGGATGGACCTAAATTCAAAAACCCTAAAGAAAAAAAGGAGAAAACTGTATTACTCTTGTCAGCTCAAAAGTTAGATAAGGACTTTGTCTTGACTCCCGATATTATTAAGGGAGTCCAACGAGGAATCCGAGATGCCGAAGAATTACTGAAACGATGTGAAGCCATGTCCAAAAAAAAAGCGTTAATCTATTCTTGCATGACTTGATCCTCATCTTGTTGTTGCATGTAAACATCTTCACCGGCTGAAGATGATGCTCCACCTCGTTGTTGATCACCTCCTTTTTTCTTTTCCGGTTTTTGAGCAGCGAGTGGATGCTTGGCCAATTCATCAGGTACCATATTCTTGGTGTCTTCCAACATTTTCTTCAGAGGATACATGATTTCAGTATCTTCATTGGTAAGAAATGAAATGGCTTTACCAGTTCGACCTGCACGACCTGTTCTACCAATTCTGTGAGTGTAGGTATCAATCGTTTTTGGTAGTGAGTAATTGATGACAAGTGTTACTCCACTAATGTGAATACCTCTTCCCAACACATCGGTGGCAATCATGATATCAAATTTACCTGATTTGAAGGCCTCCAGAGATTTGTTACGTTGATCTTGAGTTTTGCTACCATGCAATGTGGTAACTTTGAATCCAACATTGGCAATAAATGAAGCAAGAGCATCAACTTCCTTCTTGAGATTGCAAAATATAATGATTGGAGGTTCAGCCTCAGAGAGAATTTCAACAAGGAGATTTCTTTTAGAATGGTCGCTCTTTGCCCAAACAACTTCTTGCTCAATACGTTCAACTGCCTGACCAACCTCACCAATGGCAACTGTCACTCGTCTCTTCAGATACTTTGTTGCAATGTTTTCTACTTGAGGTGGCATGGTCGCACTGAAAAGTAATGTTTGTCTGCTAATATTTGGTGGAATGGTGTCCAATATGGTATTTACATCTTTTTCAAAATTCATTTCAATCATTTTGTCAGCTTCATCCAGCACTACGTGATGACACTGATTCAAAACAATAATACTATTGTTGAGACAGTCAATGAGACGACCGGGTGTAGCAACTAGAATTTCACAACCCTCTCTCATTAATCTACTTTGTTTTTCAATACTGACACCACCAATTATCGCTCGTACTCTGAAATCAAATTGTCTGGCAAATTTGTTTGCCTCTTTTTCAATTTGTTCTGCCAATTCACGTGCTGGAACAAGAATGAGGCCATAAGGTCCATCCTTACTTCGAACATCATCTAATCTTGGATATTTTGCGATTTGACACAGTAATGGAATGATATAAGCTGCGGTTTTACCTGAACCAGTTTGGGCTAAACCAACAAGATCAAGGCCTGCCATGGCAATAGGAATACATTGCATTTGTACAGGAGTTGGCTCCGAAAATTTAAGATCTGTCAATGCATTCAAAATTTCAAGTGGCAACAGCGTTGTCTCTTCCCAGCTACGAATTGGATTTGGTACTTTTCCTCCTTTTACCACAATATCAAAATCTTCTCTGAAAATTCTCCAATCTCTGTCAGTCATCTCGTGAATCTTCTTTTCTCTCCAATTTCGTTCATCCTCCTCCTTGGTCTTCTTTGGTGTTGGCTTTTTGGATGCATTAGCTGAAGATGAAATTGTGTTGATAATACTTGTCTTGTCAGTAGTGTCATCTTTTTCATCCCATTCAAAAGATATTTTAGTTTTTTCATTGGTTCGTTGTTTTCTTCTCCTAGCTGCTTTTTTCTCCATATATTCCGATTTAATGTCTTCAATTTCTTTTTTATCGATTAATTCCAATGGATCTACAATATTAATAGTTGCTAAATTTTTGAAAGATTGAGCATGATCGTCTTCCGATGAGTCCTGATTGGGTTTTTCATTTTGCATTCTCAAAGTGATATCCATTTTCCGTTCCTTCTTTGGAACAAACACAGGTTTTTCTTCTTCTTCAATATCCTTATTCTTCTTTCTTTGCAATTTCTTCCATGGATGGAGGGAGAGATCGTTTTTTCCGAGATGAATCATCGTGCTGTTGACGTTCCGATGTTATTGGAGAAGAACAGGTCGTGCCATCAAGTTTTCCATTCGAATGATTAGATGCACCATTTTCCGAAGGTGTTATTGTTGTTGAATTTCCATTCAAATTATTATTACTCTCAGAGGAAGTAGGACTCTTCAATGTGGTTGAAGTGTTGGATGTTGTTGTCGTTATTGAACCCGACATGAGTTTCTGCAAAAGCAACCGATTCATTTTTTTTTGTGTGGATTTTGATGATAGAACCAGACATGAGGACACATCGTGAGTGCTTTTCAGTCTTCACGAATGAATATAGAAATCTTGATCCTATCGTCTTTTGAAACATTTGGAATTTTGGAACACAAAAAACTCGAAATAGAACTTTGAAAAAATACATCAACAGGACCTATTATTCATCACACGTGTGTCTCGGGATTTGTGATGAAAAAATTCGTTGGGATACAACAATAGCAGCAACAAGAGTAACAACTACAACAACGAATTCATTCATCCATCCATTCATTCATATTAAAAGTTAATAGGAATCAAATTGTAGGAGGGTGATTGTGTTGAATTTTCAAGAAAACAAGAGACGATCCGGAAATGACGAAACGAGCAAGACTTCTCGTTTTGTTAATGATGGCCTTGTTTGCCGTCTATATTGTTTATAATATTTATATATACTCGTATTTAGTGAGCATTGAAGATGGGGAAGATGTGGTTGTAAACCCGAAAGGAAATACACCAACGGATTCGGGATCTAAGACTCAACAACCTTCTGACAAAACCAAAGTATTGAAAAAGGGAGATACGGGAAAAGATCAGATATCTTCCATAAGTGAATATCATCCCATGTACGAACAATTTGTAAAGAATGCAATATTACCTGAATATCATCCAAGCTCTTTCATGATTGCCATTGTCGCAACAAAGAGACCATATTATTTGGAGGCAACACTTCGTTCACTCCAACAAGTTCTTTATTATAACAAAAAGAACACTTTTATTTATCAATATGGTGATGATAAATATATTAATCAAATTGGACGAAAGTATGACATCAAAATGATTCACAATCCAACACTAACGTCCTATGAAGGAAGACCTCTGGCTGAAGGTGCTGAACATATTTCTCTGCATTACAAATTTATTATTGGTCACATGTTTAATACACACCCAGAGATTAAGCACTTTATAATTGTGGAGGATGACATGCTTTTTGCTCCTGACTTTTTACTCTTTTTTGCACAAACAGCCAAATATTTACATGAAGATAGTACTTTGTATGCCATTAGCGCCTATAACGACAATGGTATGAAAGGAAAGGTTAGATATGATAATATGGTCTATAGAACTGATTTCATGATTGGACTTGGATGGCTCGTATCGCGAACAATATGGGAAAAAGAATGGAAGGCAAAATGGCCTCGTGCTCACTGGGATCACTTTTTAAGAGCTGATAATAATAGATTGGGCAGACAAATAGTCTTCCCTGAAATACCTAGAATTTACCACTCAGGTTATACAGGAACTCACTCTACAGTTGCTCTTTATGAAAGATATTTCCGTAACCATTTGTTGAATCCTAATGGTTTTGCTCCTCTTGGAATTTCTGAAGAAGCTTACAAGAATGGAAAATATGTTCTAACCGGATTGGATCGAACAAAAGACAAGTACACTCTAGAGTATTTGAGAAAACCTAATTATGATAGATTCATCAGGTACTTACTCGTTGAGGATCCAAATATTGTGTATGTGAGTGATCCAGACACTATCGTTAATTATAAGGACAAAAATATTGTCATTGCTTACTCGACGAATAATCCTCATGTCAATAGCGAGTGGGTGACAATATCACAATATTTTGAGTTGTGGCATTCTGTTCAGGCCATCAGAGATGAATATAATGGAGTTATCATTTTCAGATGGGCTGGTAATTTAGTGTTAATTGTTGGAAGCTATTCACCCTTCTACTCAGAAACTTGTGCAAAGGCTGGAGGACATTGTCCTGTGAACATCCAGAACTTTGCAAAGGACTCCAATTGGTCACCTCCAAAGAAAGAAAAGCATCATCACATTTGCAATCGCTGACAAAGGACAATCCTGTGCAACCCATTGTTCCAAACTCAAAATGACATGTCATAGATTCTCTTTCGAGGAAATGAATACTTGTAAATTCCTTCGAAGATACATACCAAACCACTGCAAAACATGTTCCCCTAATTCAGGACATGACCAACCTGCCATTGATGTTGAAAGCAATGAGTGTTTGTTTAATGGAGGAGATACTGGCAAGCACATGTCGACATGTGAAGCGTATCATCCAAAAACTAGGAGAATTTGTCCTTGCTTTGATGAAGCAAGAACATCCATTCTGAGAGATGAATGGGAAGATATTATTGCCCAATCTCAAGCAGCTGCAATTAATATTGAGCCCGTAAATTTTGATGTGTAATTCAATCAAATAACGTGCCACCTTAATAAGGTGGAGATGAAAATACTTTTAAAAAATTCTATAGTTTATCTGTTGTTTATATTTACGATCATATGTCATCAAGATCCACTACTTTCGTTGTAATTTACAATTCACATTTTAACACATTGTATTGTTTGTCATAATTCACAACAATGTACACATTAGATAATTATTCCATCAATGATTCTACACATTTTCTCACTCTTTTCTTGTATTCTTTTGGATCATTGACAAATAATTTAGCAGCCTCTGTAAATGCAAGAAAATAAATTATGAGTAAATTAGAAACATTTTGTTGAAAATATCGAAAGAATGTTTTTTTGTTGACAATCCAAATATTAACATACCTGGATTGGCAGGTGAGTCCGGATTGGGATCTTCAAGTAGTGACAAAATACTTGTTAAAATAGAATCTACAGTATAGATGGGTGACCACTTGTCTACAACCCAATATGAAATAAAAGTAAGCATGGTTGTCATCATTGAGCCAAATCAATGATTCCCCATAACGGAAATATTAAAATAGCACATCCAGAGTTTGTGAGCTGAATATACGTACCTTGAACAATATCTAAACAAATAGAACCATCTTTATAAACGTTAGGATGAAAAATCTTGCTCGTAAACTTGACTTTTGGAGGCTTTGTAGGATAGTCTTCCGGAAAAGTCAACCGAAGGAAGAAAATACCACCCTCCCAAATAGAATCCATTGGTCTGAATGATGATATCATCAGAATGCCACAGGTGAAGAGTCAATGATCCAACCAGTAACACAATATATTATTGCGAATAATATAATTATTATAAACAAAAAACAACATCCGAGGTAGCGGCGATGATGACCACCAATTTTGACTCCAAACACCAATATACCTACCCAGTGATCGTTGCATTCCACACATACAAATCATTCTCACTCTCTGGACTTGCTGTTATTCCTTCGGGTGGATCCTTCTGTAATTGTTGCAAATCGGAAAGAAGTCTTAGTTTACTACTGCTGCTCATTTTTTTATTGTTTTGATTGTTGTTCAACATCTTCACTTTTTCAATTTATTATTATTGTTTGAAGAATTTGACAACTCAAATAAGGAATTGGCAGGAAGATCAAGCACACTTTTTGATGATCCATTCAATGCAAGTTCTTGAGAGAGTGTAATGCAAGATCGTTCAGGTATGGCAAAATTGAAGGAATTACCATTTTTAGAGTTGGTGTTTGAGGTTGTCGTACCGAGTTGTCCTTTCATAGTGGATGTTTCATGCTTTTTCCTTAATCGAAGCTTTACCTGATGAAGATATTGAAGTTTTTTCCAAGTTTCTGTTCGTATGGCTGTGAAGAACTCAAGTGGTTTTCTGTGTTGAACAATGTCTGCAAAAGGTAAAACACATTCTTGTTGCTTCCAAATGGTTTGGTCATCATCAAAAATCACTGTTTCAAAAGCGTCAATGTTAAACTTCTTCAAATCCTTCATTCCTAAAGGTTTTGGAATGCCTTCATGAGGAGTCATATCTTCTCGTGATTTTAACATGGTCTTGAGAGAATTAATGTCATCAACATTGATGTGTGCAAGTAAATGTTGTCTTTGTGGGTCCAGTATCTTGCAAATTTCTCTCGCATATTCGAAAATTGAGTTGGTAAAAATGTAAACTTGAAACACAGTACAACACCATGAGAGTAGTTGTTGAGTGCCGGGTCTTACACAACAACAATATCGTTGATTTTGAACTGTAAATTCAAATTCGAAAGGATTGTTCTGAACTGTTTCACCTGGATTCAAAGCTCTTGTTCTAATTAAAGTTTCATCTAAATCGAGAGCCATTACAAATTTTGGGACAATGACACAACTTAATTTTGTATCAAATTCAAAGTCATCAAGCAAATAACCTTCAAGACTGCATGGAGTAGTTGAATATGACTTGTCATTGGTATGATCAAAAACTAGAATTTGATGAGTATGACCAGGAATGGGTACTACTGCAATTTCATTCTTTCTAACCAACATTCCTTTCAAATAACACAAAATATACCTAGATTGTTCATCCTTTCCTGATACTTCAAATTGTGGAATGTAATCAAAAAATTGATTGGCTTTCAAATCCTTGTAAAGAGAGAGGCTTTCGTCAGAAGCAAAGTCCTTAATTTCAAGATAAATGTCATTATTATTGAGCTTGACATTTTCTGAATTCTTCAAAATTGGATTATTGATAATATTTACAATTTGCTCTTCCATCTTTGAGCTTATGGAGCTACCATTGTTCTTTAGAACGAATGAAACATTGGCATAAAGACCTTTGGTTGCTTTAAAATTACAATCAAAACTTCGAAGTCTTCGAGGAGAGGTGGTGGAATTTCTCTTAGAGTTTGAGGATTTAGGGGATTGGTTGATGGTGGTGGTGGATGTTGGCAAGGGGCTTCCATGATCATTGTTTGCTGTTTGTTTAATCTTTTTCAAATCTCTAGGTGGTGTATTCCCTTGATCAAAATAAATCAAGGGGCTCTGTGTTGGAGTGATTGGCGAAGTGGAGTCTTCATCCACTAAAATACATTCATCAATGAGAGTGGGGTCATCTGTAAATCCTCCAGTGAAGAGAGTGGCACAATAGGTAGTAGTACCATTCCCGAAACTTGTTTCATCAAGTTTTCGTTTAATTCCAACGTTTGTCATCGTGATGATCTAGTTGTTTGTTCTCTCCGATAGGATCAAGAAGTGGATGAAAGAAGCGAGAGAATGGATGTCCAACTATGAGAGAGAGGGAGTGGACTGTTATTAGTTTTTTTCTCGAGATGATGGAAATCGTTTCAAGAATGGCCGTTATTTTTAAAGAGGTGCAAAGTTCTTGTGAATGGAAGAATAGAGGTTCCAGTTTTAATCGGAATAAGAGAGCTCTCTTTGTTTATAGAGATTCTTTTTAAGAACGAGTTTTCTCCATGTAACATGGGAACGACAACAATGAATCAAAACATGAATCAACATCATACTCTTCAACACCTGAAAAAGAACAAACAACATTTATTGTTGTTGTTGTAAATGAACTCCTCTCAACGCCAAGAATTCCCTCATAAAATTCACTCCTGACACAGCATCCAAAACTTTCAATCCAGAAGGACGAGTCAAATCATGTTGCAAACCATCCTTTGTGAGCAAGACAATTTTATCGCCGAAGAGTTTTCTCACATGTACCACATTGACAATATCATCATAGGAATAAATCACTGTGCTTCGAAAGTAACTTGGGAAAATGAAACGTCTTGCAATGGAAATCTCGAGCGTTCTCTTCGAATCGTTGAATTTGAATTTTCTAATCTTTTCCAAACATAACAAGACAATCACCACAAAGACGTAAATGAAAACCAACACCACAAGAGCGAGAAGAATGAAGATGAGAAGAATGATGGCTCCTTCACCAGAACCTGAGGTTGAACCTCCCAATGTTGCAGCAGAACAACATTCACCACAGCCATAGCCACACGCACCAAACAGAATATAAAGCAAGGCATTCTTACGTTTCAAACTCAAGACGTAGGAATCGTCCTTCTTCTTCAAATCAGATTGAAATGTGGTCGTTGGTTGTTGTGGTACCTGTGTTGGAGCATTCTTCAAGGACTGAGGTTGCTGATTCAAGGCTGGATGATTATTAATGTATCCATACCTTGCAGGAAAGGTCGGACGTGAAGGAAGAGGTAACTTGATGAAGGGTTGTGGTTGCATGTTGAGGGAAAGATCTGGAGCATTGGGATGATTGGTGGATGGAAAACACACTTCATTGGTGGACACAGGTGGTTGTGGTTGCTGCAAGTATGGAGAGGTGGTGGCATTCATCATCACTCCTTGTTTTGCTTGTTGCTGTGGGTGGAATCCAGAGGTGGTTGCACAGGGTTGAGACATGAACGGAGAATTCTGTAAATGTTGTGTGTGTGGGGGCACGTCGATCATAGTTGTTGTGGATGGAGGAGTCGCAGTGGTCATCATAGCACCATTTGTGGTTGATGAAGGCATTGTCATCATCATTCCAGGTTGATAGGTGGGGGCTGAAGGCATTGTCATCATTGCTTCTTGTTGTTGTTGTTGTGGATATGGTTGGGAGGAATGATTGTCCATCATCATTGCTTGTTGTTGATTTGTGGGTTGTGTGGGTTGGATCACTGCTGGGTCCTGTTGGTAGTGATGTGTTTGTAGCTCAGTAGTACAAGTGGCATTCACATTCCCCACAGTGGTGGTACTGGTAGAAGGCACAGAGGGTTGAGTTTTGAGGTCATCTTGCATGGGTTGCATCATGTTGTTGTGTATTGGTAATAATATAAACGTTGTTTTTTTCTCAACGTTGACTGGATTCATGTTGTTGTTTGATTTGACACACCAGACGTCTAATTCAAAATGACATGACGAAAGAACGCTTTCCAAATATTGAAATGAGCGAAAATCAGGAATATAGCACCGCAGCTAGCAAGGGTTAAGATGGGTGAATTTGGGTGAATTTGGGTGATTGGATATGTGTGAGAAAAGGAATTCAAAGTAGAACCCGTTGGTGTTGGATTAGATGAGAGAGAAATGTTTCAAATCCAAATGAACGTTTTTTTACAGCTTTTGTGGAATACAGATTGTCAGTGTCACTTGAAGAGAGATTCACCTTATAAGAATACTCTTAGGAAAATTCTGTCAATAAAAGTTATGAAGAGAAGAGTTTGTGGAATTTACCAACAAAGAGGTCGAAGAGGGCTTGGATTCTATCTGACATTTGAAAAGATCACTCTTTGTGACCATGGAAATTAACACAGAGTCACAGGAACATTATTGTCGACCAGAAATAGTTTGTTCATTTGAGGACGGGATCTTCTGTTCTCTCTGGTTTGTTGAAAGGGGATCTTCTGTTCTCTCTCGCAAGGAATTCTGTAAAAAAATGTTTCCTCATCATCATCATGATGGTGCAAAGCTTCACATGCCACACTGTGATCTCCTTGCAGAAATATCGAGCTCGGAGGATTTCTCTGAACAACAACAACAACATTCCATATTGAAATTAATTAATTTTAATGAAAATCATGATGATTTAATGAATTTAAATTTTCATAAATTGAAAGACAAGATGAGAAGTCGGAAAAGAGTGCCAAAAGCCTTTTCTCAACAGTTTAAATGTGTTGGACTGATTGGAGAGAAAATAATCACAAGACCCTACGACGTAAAAATCAGTTACAAACTTGGATACATTATTGTTAGCGACTATGGTGCACATCTGATTCACATGTTTGATTTAATTACAAAAGAATTTAAAAGATCTCTGAAATCAGGTTATCCAATGTACTTGGAAATTGATGAATATCACGCACCGCACAGTGATGCTTTGTTAGTTGCATGTGAAATATTTCCTGCTCGATGTGTCTACAAGTATGATGTATTGACCTTAATTTCAAAACAGTCCGATGATGATTTTGTGGTAAACCCGAGTAACCAACTTGTTATTGTCAATAAGAATTATTTGTGGAAAACAAAGAATCTTGGATGGCCACAAGGAATTGCTTGCACACCAAATTATGTGTATGTGTGTGATTCATATTCTGATTTTCGATGTGTGCACAAGTTCAATCGACAAACTGGAATTGAAATTACAACCATTCACCTTAACTCACCTTGTTATGGAATTGCTGTGGCTCGACATGAGAATCAATTTTTTGTAAGCCAAGAGATTGGAGATGTTGTTTGTGTGGAAATATCAAATGACCATCAATACTTTATCACGATTTGTTCTAAAGAGCCAAATTGCAAATCACAATGTCAAGGATTAGTGTACGATCGAGCTTTAGACATTGTTTTAGGGGTCAGTCCAAGCTTTATCATTATAAAAATTGATGAGAAAATGCTCACCGAGAATCAAAGCATGTTTTTCCAAAACGCTCACGGCCTATGTCTGAACGAGTTGGAAGGAGAATTGTACATTTGTAATTTATATGATTCTGATGGTAGTAGCACCATGATTGTGAAATAGCAAAGCCATTGTGGCTTCAAGACGAACTTCACAGCGAAACTTTGCTTAATAACAACCAATGAGGTCAAATTCATTGGTTATTAACAATATAGATTCTTAAAGCTTGTTGTTCCCTTTTCCGTTCTTTCTATCACTCAATCAAAATATTGGATGTCATCGTCGAGAGAAGAGTTGATATTTGAATCGAGTTTTTTTGAAAAATTCATCAACAAAAAAATGTCTTCATCATCCAAAACTCTTTCGAGCATCTCCAGCACGCCAGCAGCATCAGCCTTCGTCGGAAAAGTATTGAAACTCGTTCGGAGTAAACAAAATTTACGAGTAGCAATTATCGGAAGAGAAAATGTAGGAAAGAGTACACTATTTAATTCACTTCTCGGAAAACAACATTCCATTGTTCATAATTCTCCCGGAGTGACTCGGGATTGTCAGGAAGCTAAAACTGTCATCCGACTGAAACAGCCCATGAACATTTCTCAAGTCGTGTTTGATAAAAAGATAAATAAGAGGATCATCAAGAAAATATCCTGCACGTTTATTGATACTCCCGGAGCTAATTATATGGATAGCATCATTCAACAAACTCAAGATACCATTGCAAGCTCTCATGTTGCACTTCTTGTAACGGATTGTAAAGATGGACTCCAAAAGTGGGATCAGCATGTAGCCAATTATTTAGAAATGAAAGGAATTCCAGCTCTACATATTTTGAATAAGTGTGATGGTCCATTGATGAGAGGAGATGGTGAAGAATTGGAGAAGGTCATCTCCGAGAATACGATTGCTTCTCTCGGAAGACCTATTCCAGTTTCAAGTGAGATGAAACTTGGAATGGATCATATCATTTCATACATTCAAGCCTTTCATTTCTTAACGGAGAGTATGAGCTCGACAGCTTTGGAAGAGACTCGACAAGAATTGTATGATTCGGTAATTGAGAAATTCAATACAACACCTTCGAGAGATTATTTGTGTGATCATGCATGTGAGGGAACTCTTTATGAGAGCGAAATGGATGCTTTGGAGCAACAACATGAAAATGCATATTTCCAACCTTTTAGAGGAGAATATGAAAAATTGCCTTATATGAGAAATTTGCATCATCATCATCACCATTATGATGGTATTGAGAGAGTGTCACCATCTTCTTATTTGGAATCTCCTCCCAAGTTGTGGAAAGATCGTGTGAAGAGCCATCATCACACAGCGGAAGAGAGTATGGAGCTATCACCTCAAAATTATAGAAATGTTTTGGAGAAAAAAGATATTGAAAAATCATTGCAAAGTTCAACACAAAAATCAGCAACAAGTGCTCAACAGAAAACAGAAGAGGCGTCAATTGCACCAAAGTCATCTCAACAACAAGTCGCCCAAGATGAAGATTTTGAAACAGATATTGAAGAGGAACCAATTGTGAACTCGAGTGGTCTCGCCGAAGACAATATTATGAGACTGGCCATTATTGGTCGACCAAATGTCGGGAAAAGCACACTCCTTAACCACATTATTGGTGAGGAGAGAACAAGAACATCAAGCACACCAGGAACAACAAGAGATACAATTGAAATTGAAGCTATCAACGAAAAGACAGGTCAGCATTATATCATTTGTGACACTGCAGGCATTCGGAAAAAGAAATATACTGAAACAGATAGAATTGAGAAAATGTCACTTCAGGACACATACCGAACGATCAAATATGCAAATGTATGCTGTCTGGTAGTGGATCCAACACATAATGTTGGAGATTCCAATTACGGACTCACTCAACAGGACTTGGATATTGCAAGAATGGTTGAAAAAGAAGGAAGAGCTCTTGTCATTGCGTGTAACAAGTGGGATCTTGTCAAACAACCCTATGTGGTGGCTCAACAAATTGAAAGCCAAATAGAGAGCTCTCTCGCTCAATTACAAGGTATTTCTGTAGTTGTTTGTTCTGCCAAGACGGGAAAGAACTTATTTTTACTTCTCAAAGAATGTGAAAAAGCATATCAAAAATGGGCCTCCAAAATACCAACAAACAAGTTGAACGCTTTTATAAGACAATATTTGGAAACAAAACCTGTTCCAGCTAGTTATCCAAAAATTAGATACCTTTCACAAGTGGCCGTTAGACCACCAACGTTTTGCATTCACACCCAAAACAAGAAATTCCCTCCAAACTTTGAAAGGCAAATTGTGAATGCCATTAGAGAAGAATTCGATTTGGGAGGAGTACCATTCCGTGTGATCCAAAAAATGGGAAGACGAAAAGAAAAAAACAAGGAAGATCAATAAATGTTTCACAAGATACTCACACAATTAGATCACCAAGATTTTTGTGACATGAGCTACTGAACCTCACAAGTTTTCTCTGCTTTTTTTTGTGTTGCAATTTTACGTTGTTGAGATGACTTGCGAGCTATAATATCTGCAAGTCTCAAGATTGCCAACTTGTAATGCCATCTCTCCAAGCCAATATTCTCCTTGGCACTTGTTTCCAAATAAGCAACCGCTCCTATTCTCTTCGAGAATTCAAGCCCTTCTTCATAGGATACCGGCTCTGAAACATTGCTGCTATCATCATTTGAGTTGGAATCAAGCAGTAATGACTTCCACATTTGTATTTTTCTCAAATCTTTCTTCAGTCCTAGCACAATAATAGTGGCGCTTGGAATGAAATAATGAACATCCCAAACCATTCGTTCTGCCAAATATTTCAAAGATTTCCAATCATCCACACTAAATGCCAACGTCACAATGTCTGAACCTGGATAGCTCAGCCTATTCATTTTTCTATATTCTGTTTGTCTTTCGGAGCTGTCCCAGTATCCAATTCCAAATGTTTTCTCACACTTTTTTTCGAATTTTTCATCAAAGAACGGAATCACAATATCATTACTGAATGCATCAACAATTGTAGGTGTCCATTCAATTGGATACAATTTATGGCCCGTTCTAAACATTAAACATGTTTTTCCAATACCAGTTTGTCCCACAATTACCCATTTCAGTTGATGACTTTCATATGGAAATTTAAAATCTTTAAGTTCATGTTGCAATGATGAGATTTGAAGTTTGATATCATCAATAGTGTGTTCTGTAATTACATATTCTCGTAATTCTCGTTGCTTATTAATTGAGAATGCAACTCTTGGCGTGTAAATGACAGAGTCATCCACTTGCCAGTTGTCATTACCTTGATGTGAGCTCAAATCAAGCTTGTTAGGCGTATGCTTGGCAGCTTCTGACTCAATTTTCTTGGAAAGAGTTTCAAAGTACTTTTTTCTTTCTTCTCTTTCTTTTGAAATTCGATTTAGTTTCTGCACACGATTCCAAATTTGCTTCAAAAATTCTCTTCGAAAGTTATTTTGTGGCATTGTTAATACAAATGTTTCATTACAACAATTTTCATTCTTGTTATTATTTGAGTGATCAACATTGTTGTTCATTGTTGTTGGGCTTAAAATATTTTCATTTATAAAATTAATTCTTTCTGTGATATAATCCTTCCATAAATAATCGTGCCAGGAAGCGAGTAAAATTTGAAATCCTAATTGGTTCTTACAAACACAGGACGCCTGTGAAGGAAATTGTGTTTGTGATGAGTGGTATAATTCGTTGGTGATGCACATCGACTCGGAATGAAAAAGCACTCCGGTTAGTATGTTCAATTCATTCATGGTGAAAAATTGCAAAATATGAATCAGAGAGTCTGTGTCAAGCATCGAGTTGTTGTTGAAAGACATTTTTTAATGTGGAATATGACGTGAACTAGGAGAAATTGAGTCATCATTATGATTGTTCATTTTGAGTTAAATCGAAGTTTTGTAATGTTTGTTATTGGCGAGTGTTGTTTGAAAGACCTCGACTAGATTGAGGTCTTTGTCTGGAAGGAGTTGCAAGTGAAAGAAGCTGTCTTGGATTCACTGGAGTATTTGGAGCAAGAACCGATGTTTTGTTTTGCTTTTGAATTGCAGAAGGAGGTGACTTGTTTTTGGAGGTTGGTGATACTTCTTTGTGGCCAAGAGTTGAAGCTCGCTTTGGCAGTCCCAATACGCTTGCTTGCTTGTCCATCACATTTTGCTCTGAGTTGGTCGTGTCACCTGTTCCTGAAGGATCCATGTTCTCATCATTACCCATTGATGATCGTGTTAGGGGTCGAGAAACACTTTCGTCAAGTAAACGTTCTGCTTGTCCTGCCAAATTTTTCCTCACCAACAGAGCTTTCTTTTCTTGGTGGGGTGATCTATTGGAACTTAAGAATGGAGTTTCAACTCTTGCTATTGTCCTTCCTTTGATGCCTTGAGATGCATTCAGGCTTGATTTCGAACCTTGTAGGAGTGGCGTCGATTGATGTTGTTGTGGAGGCCGGCTTAAGGCTTTTGGAACTAGAGACTTTGTTCTTGATATCGTTGAAATCTGAGTCATTGATGAGTCGTTGCTTGATGAATCGTTCGATTGTGGCTTTCTTGGCGTATTTGTTGTGGCCGTTTCAGTGGCTACTTCTGCATTTTCTTGATTCTCCTGTTGATGCAGAATCACCTGATTTAAACTTTCATTAAGGGCAGAGTTAGGTCGGATCGGACTCACACCAGGAATCTTGGAAGACGGTGTTGGTATGCGAATAGAGTTAGCATGAGGCATAGGCGTCCCAATACCTGTTCGATGGGGTGACATGAATGAAGACAGATTGGACGAAGTGTGTCTTGGTGTGCTAAGAACATCCTGAGCATGAAGATTCTGTGGATGGGAATAATGGAAGGACGAATGGGAGTGGTTGGAAGATAGAGTTGCTTCCATAACGTGGGGAAAAGCGAATCTGTGAGGAGTCCTTTGAGGATGCTGCGGTCGAATCAGAGAGGCTGTATTTGCTGTATTGGACAAGTGCTCTAAGGATTCTTTAAGCCTCACGTTCTCATTTCTTAGTTGGCCAATCACTTGCTCATAGTGTTGGTGTTGAAATTTCAGAACGGAATCAAGTTTTGAAAACGCATCGTTGAACAAGTTACGAAAATTGGAGCTCACATATTCGTAAATGTTTCTTGGTATAGCTTTCTTTCAAGTTCGTTTCAAAGAGGATCAAATTCAAATATTTGGAATGAGTCATGATTGCATCAGTTATTGTTATTATTTGAATTCAAAGGTCCCAAATAGCTCGCCATGATCTTTAACTTACCGAATCGGCAAGAGAAATGGCCAGACTTTGTCTTTGGCAAAAGGAGCAATAACCTCTCAATGAGGAAGGATTATGAGGTAGTTGTTCAACAAGTGCCAAATTCTGATGAGAAGTAGCCACCATGCAAGCCTCACACACAAAATGACCACACTCCAAGAAAAAGAACTCGACCGAGGCTCCTGCATCTCGCATACACGAGCAGCATTTGGGAAGAAACATTTTTTTTGTAAAGCCTTATAAAAGCCTTACAAAGCAACTATAATGGGGAAGATGTGTGTGCTGTTTGTTTCTCAATCCAATTATTCACTTTATCCTTATTATCCTGACTTACTCTGATAATGGACTTCTATCCACTCTGAGGGGTCATTCAAAAAGTGATGATGAGTGTTCATATTAGTCCGACCGGCCGAGGTTGAGGTGAACTTATTCTGATGACACAAGACCTCATCAACAGTTGATATAGTGATTGTACAAGTTTTGAATACATATGTGTTGGGTTTGATTTATTAACGTTCGGAAGAAGATGTAAAGGCACACCACGCTATGAGGAGAGTGCCATCTCGGAAAAGAGGAGTGAACAGTAAAGACAATGAAGAATATTATTACATGTTGGGATCCAATTAGTTAGACATCATAATTCGGCAGAAATCCTCTGTTGAATTTGTTTGCACATGTCATTTAGGAGAGAGATTGTGATGATACATTGAAAATGATTGATGGTTGGATTTGGATATGGTTGAAAAGTAACACATGAATAAACAACAGAAGCAATAATCGTTTCAAATTAAATTCAAATGTTGTCATAGTCACATTGTCGTCATGATGAGAAAAAAGAACAAAATGTTGTTATTATGATTGAAATCAAAATTATAACAACTGTCATCATGATGATCAACAACAACACACTTACCGTATTTAATTTGACCATCACCATTCGTATCGGCCTCTCTGATAAAGTCCTCAGCTTCATCTTCGTTAAACTTTTCACCCATGGATGTGAGAATGTGTCTCAATTCAGCAGCACTAATAATTCCGTCGTTATCTCTATCAAAAACTTTGAATGCTTCTTTAATTTCATCTTCTGAATCGTTATCGGTCATCTTCTTTTGCATGAGGACAAGGAAGTCCTTGAAATCAATAGTACCCGTATTGTTCACATCAATATCTTTGATCATTTCATCGAGTTCCGTTTGAGAAGGGTTTAAACCCAAAGCTCTCATGACGGTACCCAATTCTTTGGTCACGATGGTACCATCTGAATCAGAATCGAAGAGAGAGAAGGCCTCCTTGTATTCTTGGATTTGTTCGTCGGTGAGTCTGTCTACCATGATGATGACGTGATGATGACGATGTTAAATTATTTTTTTTGGTGGGTTAATGACAAGTGACAGAAGAAACCTCTTTTCTCTCCCCAGTGTTTTGAGATGAGCGAAATAAAAGAGATGTCCGTTGTTAGATTATTGATTTGTTGTCGACCTTAGGTAGACTTTGCTAACCTTTCTCCTTTCTTTCCTAAAACGTTCTATGAGCTTGATGATCTTTAAGGTCAAAAAAAATGTTTTCATATTCTTCCTCAAGGCGCTTGTGGGCTTGCGGCTTTTCATTATTGATTCTGTTATTGATGATGATTTCATATTCGGAGGCACATGTTATTTGGGAAGCTTTAACCACGACTACAACAACCACAACAACAACAAAACATTCGCATCATCAACCCAAAGTTACGGAAGTACATTTGCACTATGATCGGAAACTTCCATCATCGGAATCTGCATCCACACATTTATTGGCTCTCTCGTTTAGCCTCATTGCTGGATTTTCTACTTTTATTGGTGGATTTATTATAGCCTGTATTGGTAAGCCTTCGGATTCAAAAATTGGGCACATGATGGGATTTGCAAGTGGTAGGTTTGAAGATCTTTTCACGGAATTTGTGATGAACAAAAGCAAATGGATGAAATATATTCTTCACCACACACGACCTAATCGATTCGGAACTTGATGAAATTTCGAAAAATTGTTTTTGTTGTTGTTGATTATTCATTCAGGTGTCATGATGTTTGTTTCAGTATTTCACTTAATTCCTGAGAGCATTGAAGATATTGGATATATCAAAAGTGCAATTTCTTTCATTTTGGGATGTATTGTTTTCATGTTCATTAGCAAAACCTTACTTGGAGATACAGATCAAGAAGATTTTATTCTGCAACATGCCACTTCTTCATCAAATGAAATTGCAAATTCAGAGAATGATCATGACCCTAAAAAGAGTATGAAAAAGAGCAAATCTAATAGTGACGAAGAGGTTGATTCTCAATCAGAAAAGTCGGACAAACTTAAGGATCGCAGTGTCGCCACCAACCAAGGAAGAAAGGAAGATGCTCAAAAAAACACTGCAAAAACAACTGGAGATTCCATTTCTTCGACCAAACAACAACATCTCAACAAGAAAAGACTTTATCACACTGCCATCATTGTCACACTTGGGCTTTCAATTCATAATTTACCTGAAGGAATGGCTGTTTATACATCCACCTTAACTCAGTACAAACTTGGACTTATGATTGCACTTGCCATTGGTTTGCATAATGTGCCAGAAGGAATGGCCGTATCCATCGCAGTTTATGCTGCCACCAATTCCATCTACCAAGCATTGAAATACTCTTTCCTGAGTGGATTGTGTGAACCAATTGGTGCTGCACTCTTTGGTGTATTAATTTATGTTGGATTTTTACCTCATTATTTAGTGTATTATATGTTGGCTGGTTGTGGAGGAATTATGACCATGATTTGTTTCACAGAGTTGATACCGACGAGTTTGCAGTATCTTTCCATTGCTTTTTCACAGAATCGAATCTTCTCTATCTTGCATTGTTTTTTGGCACACCTTGTTGGAATGTCTGTTATTTACTTGTGTAGTTGGCTTATGGAGCAGTATGAGCACTAAAAACAGATCGATTTCTCTCTATTAGTCCTCTTGGATTGGCATGCCTTTTTATTGTAAAGAGTCAACACAAGAAGAATCTCTTCAACAGAATTTGTCCTACCTCAACCGAGCACAAACTATTTCTCCTGCAATCAAAACCATGTGGACAGTACGGACATGACAGCTCCTCGTTTTCAGAAAATATCCATTTCGAGTAAACTACAAGTACACTATAAATACTTGCATTCACGAGAATCCACCCGATTTTACAACAACCAAATCCATTAATTAAAAATGTCTCAACAACAGCCATCATCATCTTCTGATTCTTGGCTTGGATCTCTTGCTTTACTCTTTCAAAATCCATACATCAAGTACGGTGTCATTGCATCGGGACTTGCTGCTTCCTATTTTGGGGTTAAAACAGCTTCCCATGCCTACATGGATTACTCAGAGGAACGATCCAAAAAAGAAAAGAAACAAAAGATTCGCTTTCTGTTGGACAAGTTGCGTGAAAAACATTCAAACACCTCCAACAACAACAAGACCTTGATCAATGGAGAGGATGTGTTTGTCGATGAATTACTCGACACTGTGAATGCCATCTTTTATCCAACCTTTGGAATGAGTGATCAAGTACCGGATGGACTGGCCAATCATATTCCAATGGTTTTGAGTGCCTTATATCAATTGAAACAGTCAGAACATGTCAGTCAACCTCCCATTACGATGGATGTTTATTTGAAAAATGTGGAAATGGATGCACAAAGGTTGGAATTAAGCGATACTTATTTGCCACATTCGGATCAAGCTGAGATTCTCACAAATTGGGAACGTGACAAATTGCAGCCATTGCTCTCAAAAATTAATGTCAATACTCTTGGACCTGAATTGGGTGTCACAGTTTCTAAATTTATTGCCATTTCATTAAGGCAACTCTTTGACAGTATTTTCACAGGAAAGACGAGCACGAATCGACCAGATCATCTCATTTACCATCGTTTGATGCAACATTTAGTTCTTCTTCATGCCATCAAGGTCAAATGTCAAGAAAATTCTACAGACCAAACGTTAGTGATCCAGACATCGACAACAAACCCCACAGCCCCAACGCTCACTCTTTCCAAACATCTCTCTCAACAAGTCTTTGAAAGTGTTCTCTCCGATCCAATGATCATTGAATTATTATGTGGTTTGTCAGGAGGGGCTTTCCACCCTGCCATCATGTTGTCGTATGGTGTTTTGCAAAATTTTCACACTTCAACCATTCTCACAGCTTTGGGCTATTTCATGTATGCCTACCATAGTTTGGCTCCAAATGAAACTGTATTGAGAGAATATCTAACTGTGAATCAACAAGAGGAGGCGTTGGGAGAGGAAGATGAAATCATTTCTAAACGCCACAAATTCTCCACCATGAAAGAATTGTTTGGAAAGATTGAAGAATTGTATCCTGAATACTTTACGAAACGTTTCAGAACGGAGAGATTCAAGAGAGTGAACTTTCTTATTCATAATCTGATGAATAGTTTGAAAGATGGGCTTAGGCCTCGTCACTATGCAAAAGTTTGTTCCTTCTTTTACATGATCAATGAAAAGAAAAGTATCGTTCCAAGATTTTCATTGGAAGACTTTGAAAAGATGGCCCTAGAAATGTATTTGACAGGTCCTGTCAAGTTCGATATTGTCACTTTGCATTGCATTACTGGATGTTTTGCCGTGAGACTTTTATTACCTTACATTCATGATCAAAACGTTCAAGAAAAGATTCTCTATCACTTGTGGGAATCTTTTGTTTGTGTTTATTTATTGATTGGTGGATCCTCTCACATGAGAAATGATCTAAGTTTGAGTGGTGTGAAAGGAGATGCAGTGGAAGATCGTCATGTTCCCGAATGGAAGGAAATTCTTCCTCAATTGCAAGACAATTTCGACGAGCATGACATTAAACTTGTTTATACGGCCTTTGAAGAAGCCAAAATTCATCCAAAATGGGAAATTGAGTATAGAAAGAGTGCTGCAAAGAGAGTGGGATTATTGAAGGTCATTGAAAGTGATCCTGAGAGTAAACCTTAATGTGGTTGGTTGGATGGACTTGTCATGATTAAGAACATGATCATGGAGGTCACAGCAGAGAGAACTCGTATTGTAAATAAAGAATTCTTCTGGCACTAGAATGATGATGAAAACGAACAATTATCATTCCAATCAATTTGGAACAACTTCACTTTCCTGATCACGTTTTACAATGAAATCAATTTCAAAAGAATCCAATTCTGATCCTATTCCATGAAATGAATGCATTCAATCATTACTCCACCATGTAATGCCTTGCAAAAAGAAAACAACCACTCGATCACGATTCGACCACATTCATGATAATGAACAAATCTCCTCCAACAACAAGTAGGAGCAGTTCCATCTTTTCTTTTCAAGATCATCTCGATCATCATGACCAATTATGTTCCCCTTCTTTCCTTCTCCACTCGATTGGAAATGACAAGAGATCATCTCTTGTACCATTGATTGAGGAGGAAGTGGATCAAGACGAAGAATCATCCTCGTCATCATCCTCATCATTCGGGAAACCAATAAAAATGATTCAAAATGGGTCATTGAATCATCAACGACAAGCCTCTCATTCGGTTCATCATCATCACCCACAAGAACCACCTTCACCTCCGTTGTTGAAACAGGTTCATTCGCTTCCGAATGGACTTTCGGTAGGATCTTCATCGGCAATGGTTGGAAATTCATTTTCATCATCATCCGCTGGTGGTGGTGGTGGGAGTAGTAATTATCATTCCAATAATGATCATAATAATAATAACAATTTGATGATGCCCATGAATCTTCCTTCTGAACATGTTCATCATTCTCTTTCACAACCCTCTTCTTCCATCTCGCCTAAATATAATTCTCCTCCTTCATCGGGACCATTCATGAATCATGGAGGCAACAACAACATTGCAAACAGATCTTCTTCCCCCTCTGTACAAATGAATCAATACAACAACAACAGTAATAATAATAATAATGGACAGCATCATAGACGTCATGGTAGAATAGGTTCATCACCTCCGGCAATGATGTACAGTACAGGAAAATTTCCTTCGAATATGCCGCAACCATTTCAGAACAATAATAATAACAATCAACAACAACAACAGATCATGTACAACAATACCAATGGCAGCATGTTGGAAGGAAATTACCATAATAATTTTAGTAACAATCATCCAACATTCCAACAATCACATCCATACGGAAACGGTGGTACTTTGAATACTAATAATAACGGAGTATGGGGAAATTCATATCCACAACCAAGCACTCATCATCCACAGCAACCAACATCAAGAGGAAGTATTAGAGGCAATGCCATCCATAATCCTTCTCAATCATCCTATTTCACAGAATTACGAATGGAATTTCAAGCACTTTCACAACAAGCTCAAAAATTGAAAGATCAGAGGGTATGTATGCTTTCGGATCGACATCAATTTTATCAATTTAATATGAATTCACAAATGTTAGACTCAATTGAGAAATGAATTGGGACATTTAGAAGAGATTATATTCAAATGTCAGGAAAAGAAATCTCTTTTGGAAGACAAAGAAAAGAGATTAGACAAATTACAAAATAATATCAAACAAAAATGTACGTGTGGAAACTGATTGTGTTATTATAATTTTGATTTTTGAAATGTATTTCAATGATTGGCATTTCAAATAGTGAAAGCTGTACAAGAAAAGCTTTTTAAACTTGAAGATCAATCCCCAAGAGACAATATTGAGGATGTGAAATATAATTCAACCGTTCTTACAACCAACGAGCCCGCTAATAACAACCCAACATCAGCTAACGAAGAGGACAAACGAGAGTGGACCTCAACAACTCCTCCATTAGGAGATGAAGCATTAACTGATGCTTTATCTCAAACAACACAAGACAACCCTCTACCTCCTGAAAATAACAACAATAATATTATTCCTGATGGAATTTCAGAGGATGATAACGAATCTCAAAATTTGGACGATGTTCTTGAGGATGAGATGGATGATGATGCTTGGAGTTACACAAGTGCAGGAAGCGATTTAAGTATTGCTTCGAGAGTTTCACTACCAGCCAACATTTCACATCACATGAGTAAGGGAAATCAATACTACAACACATTGAATCAACAAGGAAAGCCACCATCTTTGAATAGGAACAAACACAGAGCTTATCATCATCATACTTTGGACGACGTTGTTTTTAATACTCAATTCAGAACTCGTTCAGCATCTTTTAATTTTCAACAGTCATACGGACAAATTACTCCAAGAACCTACAGAAAGAGAGTCTTAAAGGAATTAGCCAATTCAGACACACCGTTTGATTTGTCTGAATGTACTCTACGAGGTCACACCAAATCCATAACTGCCATTCATCTCATTGGATCAAGATTTGTAATTTCGGGCTCTGCAGATTGTACTGTTAGAGTTTGGGACTTGCATTCGAGATCATTAATTCAAACTCTAACTGGCCATACTGGTTGGGTTCGATCTGTCACTTCAGACTTTTCTGACGTTTCAGAATCAGACGAATATGAAAGACTGATAGACGACTTGAAATTTGTTGTCAGTGGTTCAGGAGACGGTACCATTCGGCTATGGGATGTGAGCAATCCTGACGTTGAGGAGAAGTGCGTTAAAGTTCTTAAGGGCCATGAAGGGGGTGTGACCTGTGTGAAGAGTGATATCAATGGAGTTATTGTGAGTAGCAGTGTGGACAAGACAGTGAAAGTTTGGGACCGCAATCAAAGTGAGTGCGTTCAAACCTTGATTGGTCATGAACGATACGTGAAAACACTTCAATTTAAATCTCATGCTCTTATCACAGGAGGAGGTGACAAGTGCATTCGCTTGTGGGATTTGCGCTCAGGAAAATGCACCAAACGAATCAATGCACATGACACCATCAACGTGTTACAATTCACAGATGATCGCATCATTGTTGGCTGCCAAAGTGGACAAATATTGGACTATGATCTCAAAGCAGGAAAACTTTTGGATAATCTTGCAAGTCACGGTGGTCCAATATCTGGATTGAAGTTCATTGGTTCTAGGCTCATCTTCTCCTCTACAGTACCAATTACTTCTGCTTTCCACAGGCATCACATGATTTCTAACAACAACAACAGCAACGACGGTCTTACATCACCAAGAGTTGCATGTAAAATGAATGGACGTTCTTTCCTTTGCCTAAATCCAATAGAGTACAATTTGGAAACGAAAAAAACAACACGAGAATTCTTTGGACATGTTGGATCTGTAAATAGTTTAGATTTTAGTTCAACAAAATTAGTGACCGGATCGACCGATCATACCATCAAATCATGGGTCCTGTAGTAGTTCGTGGTTGCACATTGAAAGAAGATAATGGAGAGGAAACACTACATGCACAACAGAACACCTTAAGGTTATTTTGAAGTGTGTTCTAAGGGGAAAAGAAGACAATATTAAAAAAATTTACTCAATTTTGTGTGTCTGTTGTGAATGTTCTCAAGTGCGATGAATCACTTGTGTCAACAGGATGGATCACTCTTTTGTTGCAACAACATATTTATAAACAAGTGGGACGACTACAATCCAACCAAGATTGGCCAAACAAACATATTACAGAGTAAGGAAATGGACACACTCAACATCAAAGCAGTGATCCAACTTGACTTATTTACATGGACAGTGATTGCATTGCTAGTGTCATTGTTCTTTCTCAAGTTTTCGAGATCCTCTTCATTGTTGTATTGCTCCACTTTTGCATTTTGAAGAATCCAATCCTTAAAGTATGGAACTGAAGTGTAAACACCCACTCGATTTGGAACTCGTGTGTTTGAGCATGAAATGCCTTTGAAAAAAAGAGAGTGTTGTCATTTCAAAAATTATTCACCATGAACAACCTACCATAAGAAACGAGGCCAACAATGGAATAACAATAAAAATTAGAAGTTGATGAACATGAACCCAATGATTGCAATAAAGGACTTCCACTGTCACCACTGCACCGAGTCAATACCATTTGAGGTATTAAGACATGCCAGGCAGGATGTCGTATTTGAATCATTTCAAAATACATATTGAAACAAGATCAAAACCCCACACCATTCAAACTTGAAGTCACAACACTCTAACACTTACCTGCATGCATCACCAGTATCACTTCCTGCACACACTTGTCCTTTTCTTGTACTCATTCTCAATCCAATTCCTGTACAAGCATCTTCACTCATCAATGGAAAAGAAACTTGCTCCAATAGCACTCTCTTGGTGGTGTCATTAGGAACCTGTCCCCAACCGACCAATGTCAACTCAGTTCCTTCTTGTGGAACATTATTTGGAATTTGAATAGGTCGAATACTGGTTGAGAATTCAATATCTTCTGCCAACTCAATTAATGCAATGTCATTCACCACAACTTTGGAATCATACAATGGATGAGTAATGAATCGTTTCACTGCCCTACGGACACATCCATAACGAGGTCGTCTGGAATTTGCCACTTTCGCACTCGGACATTTTGACAAATTGGAATTCCCAATGACGATGGACAAATTTTCTGGATCCAAGAAGGATCCACTCTCATCAAAGAAGCAATGAGAAGCTGACACCAACCATCTCTTATCTATCAATGAAGCTCCACATAAATGATAACTTTTTTCATTGACCACAAGTTGGAGAGATGCCATATGAGGATAATCATGTTCATCCGAAACTACTCGACCACCCATAATTCGAGTTTCGTGAACGGTTTTGATAGTGTCATCCGTTGTTGGAATGGTGGAAGTTGTAGTTTTGGAACTTGAAGATACGGTCAAGTGACGACGACCAGTTGTAATCTTATGGATGGTGGATGATGTGAATGGATCGTTATGGCCTTTCTGAACATGAACCTTGTGATCAATGTGGTTGAGACCCCTAACAAGAATGTTCTTGAAAACAGCTCCACCACGACCACCTTTAGAGGACAAGAGTTGGACACGAGTGGTTGTTGAGAAGGCAGAGACGAATGAGTTTGATGCATCTTGTTGTTGATCAAGATGGATATAAAAACACACACATATCAAAAAGATAAGGATGCATGAACATGAATAGTGTGATGTGGTTCCACGAAGACGACGTGAAGAAGATGATGGAGTGCTCATGGTGTGAGGATGAAAGGGTTTAATGGTAGTCACAATTGTTTTTAAAGAATCAGGTGGGTGAATGGTTCGAGTGTATGAATTCTGAGCAGAGGCGTAAAGACAACGAAGGATGCTGTTATCTTTGCTCGTTTGTCTGGATTAGGAAAAATGGTTGAAAAGGAAATTGTTACTGGATGACATTGTTGGTTCTGTAAAGTTTCAAGATTTGGAGTTCATACTTGCCTTTCCATTCACAACGGCACATGATTCGGCGCACATTTTCATCACTTAGGACGACTCTGCATTCATCCGTTCTGAGTTGTTGTTGTTGATTCCTTAGAATGATTATTATGAATTTATTCCAATCTTGTCTAATACTGAGAGTCAATTATTAAATACATCATCAACATGGTTAAATAATTTGTCCTTCCTCTACAACATTCTGAGTTCGTAACTTGTGATTATCTGATTGTAATAAGAAAGAAAAAGTGATGTTCATACATTTAAGCCTTATTTTCCTCAACAATTGTTGGGGGAGCAGTATTTGTTGCTTCGTTCGACTCTTCCTCCGATAATACACTATCTTCCTTTGGTGGTTTTTCAACAGCTGTTTCTGTTGCTGTTGTCGTAGTGGTTGTTGTTGGTGCTGCTGTTGTTGTTTGTAAAGCTTGTTGAGCAGCCTTTCTTTCTTCAGCTCTCTTCTCATAGGAAACGAAAGAGTTCTCTAAGAATTCCTTTGGCTTATAGAAGGCTTGAACAAAGATCTTTGGATATAAAGCTGCAGAAACGAAAGCAGATGCCAAAACAAAGTTTCTCACGAAAATTCTTGGATTACGGTTAATGAAGAGGACGAGAGCAGACACGGCTGGAATGACCAAAGCAGGGTTTGAATCCTTCCATTTGAGTGATTCATGAATAGTTGCTAGTGTTGTTGTTGTTGTTATTATTATTATTTGTAAGGAGAATTGGACAATAAAAAGAATCAAACAGAATGATGATTTTCCATGGTGGTTTGATGGTGATAATGGTATGGATGATGAAATCATTTAAATCCGAATTATTATGCATATTCATTCCGTATCAATGATGATCACAATATTGTATGAATATATATTTAAATAATTCCTCTCTCATCTACACCAATTTTCTCGTCATCACCAGAGAAAAAAACTTACATTCCGTAGTCTTTACGAGGGATGTCTTTGTTTCACAGAGTGCTTTAGCAGTACTATCCACAGTATCCATTGAAGTCTTTATAATCTTGTCTTTCAAAACCAAGACATGATGGAAATATCGTCTGACTGGAGCCCATTCCCCTTCCCAGACCACCACGCGTTCAATTCGGGTTTGTTGTTGTGTCTCGTTGTTTTGGCTCATTTTTTGTGTGACTTGAATTTGCATAGAAACAATTTATTTCATGTCAGCCAGAATGTTATTGATACGAGACATTTATCTGCCAATGGCATTTACTCGTCAGTGGAGACAATGTAATTTATAACGTATTGATGTTTCATCTTATCGACGTGAATGACCTTCTTAATGGAGGTTTGAGAGAGTTTCATTACAGCTTTGGATTGTTGTGAAAGGAAGGACTCAATTTCTGATTGTCTTTCACTCGAATTGTCGATTTGCAAAAGTGAAATGGGTAACTGGATCTCATCCTTTCTCTTTCCATTCACTTGAATCACACAAAGTTGAGTCTTCTTTTCGAGTTGAATATTACTGGGTGAAACATTAGGGAAAGCTGTTTCATGGACACTTGTGACTTGTTTAAGAGGATGTGTCGAGGGTAAGTGAGCGGTCACAATTTTGAAAGCCTTCTCGGCAAATCGAGGTGTGAAGGGTGCCATCACAGAGGGGAGCAAGAGCATGGCATCCTCGTATGATTTAGTGTTGCCAATCTTTTCTTCATATTCTTGCAGAGCGATTCCATACTTGTGGAGGTTTGACACACAAACATTGAATGTGAAACGGGAGGTAATGCCTTCTCTTATCTGTTCGATCAATGTGTAAATTTCTTTAAGGAATTTGAATTCTTCATCGGATGAAGATGTCTCTTCACTCTTCTGAGCATTCTGTTTTAGAATGGCAAAATTATTGACCAAGTTCTCCATTCTTGCCAAAAATCTCTCTTGACCCAAAATTTGATTTTGCTCCCACATTAATTCCTTATCGTAAGGAGCTTTGAAAAGAATGTAGAGACGTACAGTGTCCGATCCAAATTCTTTGGTGACAGCTTCTGGATCCACACCGTTATATTTTGATTTTGACATCTTTTCCCAAACGCTCGTTAAGGGTTTTTTGGTTATTTTGTCGACCATTATTCCATCCTCGTTGCGTTCCATTTCTTCTTGCTTGTAATACTTGTTGGTCTCCAAATCCTTAAATGTTTCTCCTTGGACCATGCCTTGTGTCAGGAGTGTATTAAATGGCTCTCGATCTTTCATGAAGCCTTCTCGATGAAGGAATTTGTGAATAAATCTAGAGTACAGCAAGTGAAGGATTGCATGTTCAATACCACCAATATAAATATCAACATTCATTTCCTTATTGGCCTTTTCCACATTGAAAGCCTCCTTGTCGTTTCTTGCATCAGTATACCTGTGAAAATACCAGGAAGAGTCCACAAATGTGTCCATTGTGTCGGTATCTCTTGTACAATCCACTCCTTTTCCACATGGACATTTCACATTCATCCACTCTGTTGCTTTTGCTAAAGGAGACGGGCCTTTGCCAGTAAATTCAATATTTGTCGGTAAAGCAACTGGTAAGTCTTTCTCTGGAACTGGCACAGGCTATTAATGATGAATGCCATGATGTGTTCGAAAAGCCATTTTCACCAATAGTGTTCATGGATTTGGCCATAATTATCGTTGTAAATGACGAGCTACAGCGAATTGCAATAACACTTACACCACATTGAGGACAGTGAATAATTGGGATTGGAGCGCCCCAGTAACGTTGTCTCGACACAAGCCAGTCTCTCAATCTGTATTGTACGGATGGCTTACCGAAACCCTCTTTCTCTGCATCCTGAATAATTTTTGGTGTGGCCTCTTCAATTTTCATTCCATTGAATTTGTCAGAATTAATTAAAATACCATTCTTGTCAGAATAACAAGAATTATTGTCATCCACATCATCAAGATTGTCTTGTGGCTTAATTACGTGTTTGATTGGAATTGAGTGCTTTTGGGCAAATTCAAAATCTCGTGAATCATGTGCAGGCACTCCCATCACACATCCTTCAGCAAAATCAGAAATAACATAATCCGCAACATAGATTGGAATAGCCTCTTTGGTAATGGGGTGTATGGCATCAACTCCAATATAGCATCCCTCTTTAGAATCGGCAGCTGTTTCGTTTCTTTTAACGCTCGTCAAAGATGAGAGTCTTTTAATGAATGCATCCACCTCTGACTTTCGAGATTCAGGTACCATACTCGAAATTAGTTGGTCATTCTCAGGAGCCACTGCAATATATGTCACTCCATAAATTGTGTCTGGTCGTGTGGTAAAAACTGTCAATGAATTTCCACATGTAGTTTTGAAAGTAAATTCTGCTCCCTCAGATTTTCCAATCCATTGCTTTTGCATGGTTCTGACATTGAGGGGCCAATTTTCTAGTGTGTCTGCATCCGTTAATAATTCCTAATATTGACATTGTTTTTCATGCATGCATTTTTCCAATTTCAGTCATCATCATGAGGTTCATAAAAAGGAAAATAATGTGGAAAAGTATGAATAAAATTGAGATTAACCAGTAATTGCATAATAAAGTATTCCCAGTATTAATACACACTATTGTAACGGATACAAAATTAAAGATGTCGGTCAATAACATACATGTGCAAATTCACGAATTTTGAAAAACCATTGTCTCAATTTCTTTCGTTCCACCAATGCTCCAGACCGCCAGGATCGACCTTGGCTATCAACTTGCTCATTGGCAAGCACAGTCTGATCAATAGGATCCCAATTTACTAAAGCCTCTTGTTGATAGGCTAACCCTTTCGAGTATAATTGCAGGAATAACCATTGCGTCCACTTGTAATATTCGGGATTGCACGTAATGACTTCTCTATCCCAATCAAAATCAAAATCCAATGCTTTAATTTGTTCCTTCATATGGGCAATATTCTTGTAGGTCCAATCAGCAGGAGAAATACCTCTTTCAATAGCAGCGTTCTCTGCAGGCAATCCGAAAGCATCAAACCCGAACGGATGAATGACATTATAGCCCAACATTTTATGAGTACGTGCCAGTAGATCCGAAATGGTGTACACTCTCACATGTCCCATATGAAGATTTCCGGAAGGATAGGGAAACATGGAGAGAATGTACTTTTTCTGATGGACGCTCTTCCTCAAGAATTGGTACATCGTCATTTTTTTTTCATTCGTTTATTATTGTCCGTGTGGATCATCATGAATGAATAACATAACAATAATGTTCGTCTTCTCGATGTCTTGAAATAGGTTTCCAAAACAAAGAATTAAATTGAAAGTGAAGAATTTGATTGATCTCTTAAAGAGTGATTTGAAATGATTCCTACTTTGAAAACCATGATCCAATAGCAATTCCAAACAGCAGAAAACAAACACTGTTATTACAAAACTATAATAATTATTTGGAAACAACTTGCAACAACCTCATGACAATGTATTCTTAAACATGATATAAGTATAGAAAAACTCTTTGTACTCATGGGGGCCTTAGGCTCATCCATCGTCATTGGATCCTTAATAATTAATTCTTGTCATGCTGACACTAATCTCCAAAACTGTAAAAGAAGCATCAGCACAACTCAGTTGCTAAAATTGGTAAGAATGGCTAAGCTTCCCAAATTGAAAAATCAAGCGAAAATATTTTCACCTCAAAAAACGCGAAATCTCTCCAAAAGTAATTTCTCGAATTTTAAAAAAAAAACAAAAAATTGAGCTCGCGCTTTTTGCATTTTGCGAACAAGACCACCGTGTTTCCGAACGATAACGCGAAAAACTTTGCCCTCAAACACACGGAGAATTCAAAATGAAACGTCTTTCATCTCAAGTTGTTGAGAGAGCCTACAAGTCCATCATTAAACGTGGTTCCGAAAGAGGAAAATTCACGAAGGAGATGATTTTAGGATTACCATCGACTCCCATTATGAGTCCATCCTATCCGAGAGGTGAGTGTCGTTTCTGAATGTATATTATTAATATATGGCCTGAATGATGAATAAATGACATCATGGTTATGACTGCCATCATCGGTTCAAATAGGTCCATACTTTTTCAAAAACAGAGAATACTTTATCATTACTTATGAGTCCGATAGGGATGCCATCCGAGAATTGGTTCCAGAACCTCTTGTTCCAAACGAAAAGAATCAAGTATTGTATGAATGGATCAATATGCCAGACTCTTCTGGTTTTGGAAGCTATTCGGAAAGTGGTATTGTGATTCCCTGTTACTACAATGGTCAACAAGTCAATTTGACTTTACAAATGTAAGTATTTTCATACGTGTGAAAAGAATGATGCATTCATCATGATGCAAACCATTTTGTGAAACTTTAAGGTATCTGGACATTGAACCTCCAATTGCAGCTGGAAGAGAGATTTGGGGTTTTCCAAAGAAACATGCTCATCCTGAAATGAAAGCTATTCAAGACACCGTGGTGGGAGTCATGAATTACAAAGGAGAGACGGTAGCAACAGGAACTATGGCCTACAAGCACACAGAGATGGATCCAGAACCAGTTCTTGCCTCTCTTGGAAAAACTAATGTGAATTTGAAAGTTATTCCCGATGTTGATTTTAAACCCAAAATTAGTCAGATCGTTTCATATAACTTGCAAGTCAAAAAATTACATTTTGCATACGAAGGTCCTGCTCGATTGCACTTGATTGAAAACGTGAATGCGCCAGTAGCAGATTTGCCTGTTAAAAAGATTGTGCAGGGCAAGCATATCATGGCAGGTATGTAATTGGACAAATTTCTATATGGTTAAAGAAGCAAATGTCAAACTATATTCAACACAATTTTCACGGAACGTTCACAGACATTCTTTTACCTTATGGAAATGTATTGCATGACTATTTGAATCCCACTCCTGAAAATAAGATGTGGTCAGAAAAGTTTGAAGAACAATATTGTCAACCAGGTCAAAAAAGATCACTCTTTACTGAACAGCGTATTAGGGAAGAGTGTTTAGCAATGCCTGTCACATGTCCTTCATATAAGCCCGCTGCTTCCAAACTTCAGAACAGAGAGTATTTTGTGATCAAATATCAAACTGATAGAGAGAAGTTACTTGAGAAAATTCCTGATCAACTGATTCCAAATGATGACGACATTGTGGTCTTGCAATTTGTCAAAACACACGGAACTGGTATTGGAAGCTATGACAAGGTCGATGTTATTATTCCATGTACAGACATGTATGGAAATGGTGTACATTTCAATGCCATGAGCTTCCTTAATTCCTCTTCTCCCATTACATACGGTAGAGAGACATTAGGATTCCCTCAGAAATTCTCAGACTCTGTATCGTTTGCGGCACACCATGACACTATTAAGGGTACTCTCAACTACAATGGAATTCGTGTGGCTACAGGAACAATGTCATACAAGCACGAACATATGCCAATAGAGGATGTTGTTAGTTTCATCTCAACACCTCAATATTATTTGAAATTTATTCCTGATGTTCGTGGTTTGCCCACTGTTGCACAATTAGTTCGAATGGAGCATGCTAATGTGAAGGTTTCAAGCGCTTGGAGAGGACAAGCCAAACTCAACTTGTGTGATCACGTGAATGCACCAATCAATGATCTTCCAGTGAAAAATGTTGTAGGAGGTTTCAACTTTATTTGTGACATGATCATGCCAGCAGGACATGTTGTTCACGACTACCTCTCGCATTAAACAAAGTATAGATTTAATTCACATATCATCATGAATAACTTGATACCCACTTTCTTCAGCTTTCTGTAATTATATCAATGTTGAGAGATCATGATAAGAAGAAGATGAACTTTCCAATACTTTTCCCAATCTCGCCACCAAGATCACATTTGTAATTTCATCTGAATGCATTTCAAGTGCCAAATCGGTCGATCCAAGCTCCATGTATGAGAGAAAAATCGGTTTTGTCTACAGTTAGTACTAGATTTTGAAACATCGACAAACAGATGCCATGAAATAGTCGAATTTTCTTTTCTGACCATGTCATAAATTGTCACCTGTCCTTCTTTTTTTTTCCAAACATCAGAAATGGTTTTGGATTTTTAGAGCTTTTTAATCCAATGCTCTCAAACTCCTCATTGGGTGTGATTGCTGAAATTCAACCGTTCATTATTGAAACTATTGGTCAAAGAAACACTATCATTCCATACCAATCATTTAAATACACACATGGTTTTCCATCCTCTCGAAAATCATCAGAAAAAACAACACATCAACAATTACCAAGACGAAATGAAAACCCTTCTTTTCGCTCTCGTCCTGACCTTAATGGCTGCGGCCGTGGTCATGGCTAATCCAAAGCCAGTCGATTCCTATGGTGAACATGCAAAACATTGTTTCAAGAAATGTACACATTTCAAAACCTTCCAAGGCAAGTGTGTCGATTTTGAATGGGTAGGAACCAGAAAGGAATGTTGTGCTTGGAAGACCATTGGTAAAGGAAAATGTGATCTCTACAAGAAGATTGGAAAGTGTGTGAAATACAGCAAGAAGAGACATGTTTGTTTGGGTCACGCTTACAAGCAATTCTGTAACAAGGTCACCAAACACAAGATTTGTACTAAATGGGCATGGAAGGAAGCATGTAAGAAGAAGGGTACCAACAAAGCTTGTGATCAATATGCTTATCACTTCATTTGTACCAAATATGACACTGCTTCACGATGTGCTGTCAAGACCTTCGTTCCAAAGATTACCTTCTTCTTTAAGAAGAGATGTGCCAGATATGCCGTTCATCAATACTGTTCTAAATACAAGACTCTTAAGAGAACCATTCAAAAGTGGGTTCCTGTCAAGGCAAAACACTACAAGGGTTGGATCGACAAGTACTATGTTCAAGTTTTGGAAAAGAAGTTCAGAAAGATTTGCGTTGAATTCTCCAAGAAAAAGACTTGTGTCAAGCATCAACATGTTAAATTCTCCAAGAAGATTGGATACACCAAGAAGTGTGTCAAGGTCGTCACCAAGAAGTTCTGTGTTGCAAAGAAGAAGATTAGATTCTGTACCAGATTCACTCCAAGTCACTTCTGTGCTAAGAGAGTTAAGGTTAGAGTTTGTCAAAATCATGCTTTCCAAAAGTTCTGTTGCAACTACAAGGCCAAACCATATTGTACTCAATTCAAGACATTGAAGCCAAGATGTATCAAGAAGAAGTTCAAGCAAATTTGTGCTCATCGCTCACCAGGTCAAAAGATTTGCGTCAAGTTCAACTTTGTTGGTGGAAAGAAGATTTGTCGTAAATTTGCTCAAGTCTCCAAATGTGCTAAATGGAAGAGAATTTGTAACAAGATTGATTTTTACAAACCATCCAAGAAGGTATTAAAGAAGAAGAAGAAGTATTAAGAGAGAGAAAGAGAACGACGTTGCAACTGAATTGCAATTTTGAGAAGAAACAATTTTTGAAATTTTTTCACACAATTTTGTAGAAATATCGAAATATTAAGAAGAATAAATAGTGAGACACTCATCATGCAAATAATGTAAAATATGGTTAGACAACATTAGTAATGATATTTTCGAAAAGCGATTCATTTCAAAAAGACACACAATTTGGGATGATTCGGATTTCACAAAAGCCCGACATGCACTATCCACTACTCAATTTTCACATGTTGTGAATCATGGTGATGAAATTTATCAACAATTTCGTCTCTTTAGATATGCACTGTCCTGCTTGAACTTTTTTGATATCCACTGTACAACGTCAATCCATCACATGCCAACATCAAAACTTTTAAAAAAAAATTTAAAGGTCACAGTTGCCACCACAGTTCAAATTCGATTGTCGATCACAAGATGAGAATTTTCATCAGACTACTCGGTGCAAACATTGTCGATTCTCTCAAATTCGACGATGTTGAAAACTCTACCACCATTGCTGACATTAAAAAACTTGTCCATCAAGAAACCAATTTAACACCAACCGATAAAGTCATTTGTTATTTCAACAATGTCGAATTAACATCCAATGATATCACTTTGTGGGATTTGTCGGTGAGAAATAATCAAACCATAACGATGGTGATTGAACGTGATACACATGCAGAAAAGTTTAAAGTGTTGAAACCAAAAGAATTGGGTGTGTTCAAGTAAGTATGTCGTGTGGTGCTGTTTATGTTGTTGTTTGAATAAGATGATGATTTACATTAATGACAATATGATGATGATTTATTGATGGACTTGATGATCATCACAATTGGTCATTTTCATCAAAATTCTAAAAATGTCAATCCATCATGGTGTGATAATGTGTCGACACATTATGTGTTCATCATGATAATCACCTAATCGAATCATAACCACCACCTCATTCTCATCACGATGATCTCCTTTTGAACCCATGTTCACAGACACTTTGTGAATGAAAAAGGAGAACATCAAAACATTCTCCTCGCAAACATCTTCTCCTTCCTCACTGCCAAAGACATTGCTCTCTCCGTTGAACTTGTTTGTCGTCGTTTCCGTATTGCCACCATTGCTCATCACGACATTGCTTGGGAACCTTCTGTGAGACAACTCTATGGACGACACGATGCTGCTTCCTCTCCAGCCACTCTTGCCTTATTGAGTAAAGCCACAAGTGTGAGTGGTAGTTCATCCTCTGCATCCTCTGAAGATACCATGGACATTTCCGATGAAAAGGAATCCAAAGTGGTTCTCCATTTTAAGGGAATGGGAATTGATTGTAGAAAACTCTACAAACAAACCATTGTGATTGAAAAAGTTTGGGAACATATCAAAATGTTAACTCCCAATCAACAAGAACAACTTTCTGTCTTTTCCATTGAGAAACAAAAAGATTTATTGAATACTCAAATTGCTCCAAATGTGAGACAAGTGAAAATTAAGAGAAAACCAAAAGAGTTGACTGCTGAAGATGAAGAATTCCTCAAACAACACGATTTGAAAAAACTCAAACTCGATGTACGTTCTCGAGCTAAAAAGAGTAAAGAAGAAAGAGAGGCTGATTTGGAGAGATACTCTCGATTCAAACGATTATCCAAGAGGAAAGAAGAAATGGAACATGGAACTTGGCAAGTCGTTCCAGAACATTTACTCACATTGAGTTATGAAGAATTGATGAAACACAGTTTTTCATTCCATGACTCGTCTCGAAATGTATTTGGTTTCTACAATGACAGAGGTCAATATTTCATTATGAAAAATCAAGAAGAATTGCTCTATGTTGGAGAATTGGAAGTGGTTGGAGACAAGTTTAAAATTGCACACATTCTTTGTAATGCTTCAAATCATTCTCAGCAACAGATGAGTGACAAACAAATTGCTCAAGAATTCTTCCATTACATGTCCCAATGCACGACCAGTCACATTGAAGAAAAGAAACTCATTCATTTGGCAGTGAATCCAAAAGGTGTTCAAGGTCTCTTTGCAGATGCCATTCTTGACGTTTTGATTACTTTACGTAAATTTGAACAAGGTCAAACAGCTGCTTGTGAACGACCACGTATTGAAGTCAAAGAACCTGAGAAATCATTGGAAAAGAAATCACAACAAATGGGTCATCAGAAAGGTCCTCTCCAACACTCAGTTTCAACCATTGAATTGACCGATGAAGAGAAGAATGATCCAGAATTTGATCGTTTCACATTTAATGCCACAGTGATGGCCTTTAAGGAAGATGAAGGCATTGATGCCTCTATGGAAGGTCTCGTTGAGACCTATGTTGCTGCTTTCATTCAAGCTTTGAAACACGACAGTGTAGGAACTCTAGGTCTTCCTTTGTGTGAACAATTATTCTTTAGAAAATTGAAGAAGGAAGAAGAATTTAAAAACAAGTATGGACTTGCATTGGCTCGAGCTGTCACCAAGTATTTACAAGAGACTGAAAAGACTCGTGCTGGTTCTTCAGCAGCAGCAGCAGAAGAGGAAGAACTTTCTGTGGAGGAATCATTGAGAGCTTCATCCAAGAAGAAGAAGAAGGTCTTTAGAAAGATGGTGTTGGTTGTTGAGAATGAAGAGGATCGACAATGTGTAATTTCTAATATTGCTTCCTTTTATGAATCTCATTAAGGTTTCTCTCTGAGAGAGAATGAATACTTCATTCAGTAATAACCATCATCATGGGTATAGGATGACAATGATGAAAGGAATCACATAGAAGAAGAATTCCTATTTCGTTTTTGTTTGTTGTTTATTTAATATTATAAAATTCAATTTTCTCGATCGAGTTCGAATAAGGCTTTCTGTCTTGGGAACTTGGAACAAAAATAAACAAAAAATATCATCATTAGACCGATCGATAACATGATCAGTAGCAGCAGTAACAACAATTCCTCATCATCATCGTCTTCTTCATCCTCCTCCTCCTCCTCATCGGAAAAAGTATCTGTTACATTCAATATTTTAAGCAAGAAAACAAAATGTACATTAGAATTGGATGGGAATACTACTATTGGAAGAATTAAACAAGAATTACAATCTGATTTTCAAATACCTGCATCAAGAACCAAAATTATAAATTCGGGAAAGATTTTGGCTGATGATGTTGTATTATCATCTCTCAAAAGAAAGAATATTGTATTCTTGGTGATGGGTAGTAAGCCTTCTTCCGAGTTATCACAATTGGTCGTGGAGGATTGTATTGCTGCGTCGTTGGGGTTTCTTACATTGGAGGAGATCCAAAATTGTAGATTAGTATCACGATCATGGAATGTTATGTGTCTCAAGGGAAGTGTAAAGAATAGAGATCGGTATACCTTTTTGTCAGACGGGAAAACATGTTTTGATTTGCTGCAAAATAAGACGGCATATGTGTTGAGTGAGCCAATTCAATCCATTTATGAAATGACTTCTATACACTCATCATACATCCATGATTATTTTAATGTATATACGGTATCGGGAGCTGTTAAAAAGAGAGTCTACACAGGAACCGAAATGGTGTTTATTGTAAATATGAATGGTATTGGTGGAACAAGTGATGTATTTCAAGCTATTGATGTTCCAACAGGATCTGCTATTTTACGTTTCAGTGAGCATACGTTTAGTGACATTAAGCCTATTGGTGTAAAGATGAAGCAGGAGAGAGCATTTGCAACATTCCGTCGAGAACTATTATTGAAAAAAGACAAAGAAAGAAGAGACAAGCTGAGACATGATTTCAATGAGCAAATGAAACTTCAAAAAACGGCTGTCAACTCTATGGAATGGCAACAAAAACTCATCCTTTTACAAAATGAAGCTAATGATACCAGGAAATTTGAGGAGTCACCTGAATTCCAGCATCTTGTTGAAGTGGAGAAGAAAAAGTTTTTCGCAGACACTCTAATTTTTGCATTTTATGATCACTCAACGAAGAATATTATTTTAGAATTTGGCAATTATATTGTCAGCATAGATCCTAAAACAGGAAATTGCAAGAATCATGTTACATTGCTATCCACGACACAAAAAGAAGAAATTATTGAAGAAGCAGTGACACCGATCCTTCCATTAGAGAAATACTACATTTTAAAAACACAAAGCAACAATGTCATGCTACTTGATAGACAAACCCTTAAAATAGTATTCGTTCTGAAGGATATGACCGATATTGCAAATTTCATTTGTCCCATCAAAACTGAAGAAGATTTATATATTTTAGCAGAGAGTTCAAATGGCTCGTATTCGCTGTGGACGACTACAGGTCAAAATGTGATCAATTTTCCAAATGAATCGCTTCACGTGACACATCACAACATATTTGCCGGCTCCTCTGTATTTGATATCGATGAATTGAAGACTACCTTCTCAGGATTTGACAGAGATAAGAATTACCTCGCTAACGGCACTCCCCTAGTGATTTTCGAAGATAAGGAATTTTCTCTTGGAGGATTTATACACTTGTCAAAGTTTGGAAAAATCGAGAAGCAATATTCCTTTGGGGCAGTGGAAGAAATAACGCGTTGTGCGTGTTTTAAATCGGTGGCTGTAAATGTGGAATATGAACGTCACTTTAGAGCTCGAGAAAAAGTGGTGGAAGCAAAACTTTTACCATCCATCCAATGGTCTGTACCGATTGCTATACCGTATTCTCTTCTTTCTTCCATGCCCAGATCATTTTACTTGTATGGAGATTATTTGTATTTTGTTTGTGCCATTCCATCTAGTAAGCGAAAAGCTTCCATAAGGGAAGAGAGAAATGATAATGACGAGGAAGAAGATTCTGAAAACGATGTCACTGAACAAGACGAAGAAGAGGAAGAATTGGAAACTTCCCCTCCCAGTAGCAGCTCAGAAAAATTCCTCATCTATTGCGTAGATATAAAGGCAGGTACCATGGTTTGGAAAGATGAAAGATTCTCAGCTGCCAATTCCAAAACAACCTCCATTGAGGTTTTCCCAAGAGCTAATTCTCTCTTTACCTTCTTCCATACCACCTCAGGTACTGTTTTAATGGTTCACATTCTAAATACTGGAACCCTAACATTCAAGACAATTCAATCTTCGAACGATGATCGAATGTCTCTTGATCACAAACAATTGATATTGTCTTAATACAGAATTGATTCAATACATTTGCAAATATTAATATCCACAAAGTGAATGTATTTCCTCTGAAAATTAAAATTGTCAATTTTTAAATAATTATTTAAATGATTAAATTTCTCTTTCATGAACTGTTCAAAGTTTCGTTTAACAGTTTTTCATCGTTTCATATTTTCATCAAGTTATAAACATGACATGATTGGGTAGTAATAACAATGATCAACACGTCTAATCATCGCCGGCATCATCGTCATCATCACTGCCTGTATTCTCAATAGAGCGAGGGACAGGCTTGTTTTGATATCCGCTCGACCAGAGCCTCACCTCATAATCAAGTAATACTTCGTCCATATCCTTTTCCCGTTTTTCTCGGAATAGTTCATTCACAGTTTTGCGGTGAACTTTTTGTGTTGAACGTGCAAGAAGTGGTGAATCATTAATTGTTTAAGAGGAAAAAATTAATTATTTAAATAAATTAAAATTATTATTAAAAATTGCATTGCCGATTCATAGTTATTCACTCCCGTAGATAAATAAAACCACTCACCTTCACATTTCTTTTTCGTTGTTTCATCAATATCTTCGAACTTTACTGAAAGTTTACTCTTCATCACCAAAGTGGTCGCCATCATACACACAAACAAGGTCGGAACAAAAATTGATAATTGTCTCGTGGGTAACCAACCCTTTGCACTCTTGTCCGCGTATAACATCCGAGCCAGCCAACCTTGTTTGGGAGGAGGAGAAGAAGAGGCTGCTTTTTGATGTTGTTCCCTTATCACTTCTTGAAGGGAGTGTCGAGGCATTTTTTGTAATTTTTCAAAACAACAACCCCAATTTGGAATTAATAGAACCTACTACTTCAATGTATCTAAAAAATTCATTAACTGTTTAGGCGTTTCATCCTTTTCGTTGTAATGTTGATCCCTTTTCAATCAGTTCATTTGTGAATGATCGTGCTGGTTTATTTGTGACTGAATTGACGAATTTGCATTTTGAGTGCCTCCTTTTTCATTTTAGCTAATTGTTTGGGGTCAGAAAGGTCAACGCCTCCAAAAATCGTACTGGATGACTGAGTTGAAGCGACATTTCCTTGCACCTTCATTGATGAAATTGCATTCTTTGGATTAGTAATTGGCTTTTTGATTTTTGGGGAGTCCTCAAAGTGATAGGCACTGGTCTGGTTCTTTACAAAAAGGAGATCGTTGTTTCTCATCACGTAATTGGGTGGAAGAGGACTGTTTCGTCTGTCATTTAACATGCTATTTGGAGGAGGTCGTCTTGTCTGAGGAGCAGGCTTAATTGGGCGAAGCTTTTTGTTCTTTTCAGCCTGATGGAGAATGGAAATGTACCTGTTGTTTTTTGGAGGTGCTGACGATGGTCTGTTTTCTTGTTTTGATTCTTTCTGGGTTTGGTTGGGGGCTTGTTGTACATGATGATGTCGGGGAGAAAGCTCTTCCATGATTAAGGAGCTCGAAACACTTGCGCTATCTGAAGGCTGATATTGTTGAGGAGATGTTCTTCGAGGTGAGATTGGTGGCGATGCATTGTTCAATGAAAGAGTGTCATTTGTCTTATTTTGAACATTGCTGACAAATTCCCGAGTTTTCGCAATTTTCTGCAGAAGCACATCCGTCTGATTCCTTCCCGCATGGCTTTCCTCTACAAGTTGCTTTTCGGTTGTAAAGAACGGTGCATATAATCTTTTGATATACGAGCTTAATGTTAAAAAGCTGTTTCCGTTTTTTACAAGAGCTTCTCCGTTGGGGCCAAGCTTGACAACAATTTTACGATCGCAAAAATACTCTCCAGGTCCAATTCGCTCAATTTCAATAGGAACAGGGCATTTGAGGTTATTCAAAGCGTTCACAACGGCAATGTCAATCTCATCATTTGGATCTGAAGAGTTATACTGTAGCTCACCATACTGACCATCCTCGAGTTCATTCAGCTCTTCATTGAACGCAGTAATGTCACTTTCGTTGAGCTCTAAATGTTGGTCATCTTCTGAACCTAAACATTGCAATACCAGTTGCTTAATCTTTGACATTTCTTCGTTTAGCACAACCTTTCTATTCAGTACTTCGCTTTGCAATTGCTCCACCATGTTGTTCAATAAGGTATTCTCTTTTCTAATCAAAGTTTCAATAATTAAAGTTAGTTGTTCTGACTGCTTTACATATTTGCTATCTCTTTCATTTTTGAGTTTTTCGATGGTTCCCTGTTGAAATTCAATATGTTCGCCCAATGAATCAGCAATAACGTTGAACTTTTTCCTGAGATGGATATCATTAAGGATTCAACTCTTAGTGTTAGAGTTACTTACTCTTTTTCTCGTAAGGCATTCAACTCTTGAAGTAGATCATCACGCCCCTTTTTGAAATCCTCTACGGCGTTGCGCAATAACTCCTTCTCTTTTTCAGACTCAACAAGTTTTTGAGAGAGAGCTTCAAGTTGTTGAGCGAGGTTTTCAACCTGTTGTTTGTACAACAAAGTGTCATCGATGGATCTTTCATTGTTAACACACCCGTCCTCAATATGAGCGTTTTGAGTGGATTCGTTTGGATTAATAGTCCTTGGATGATAGAATGGAGAAGAAACGGGTTTTTCTCTATGCACATCTGAAACAGTTGTGCTATTTGGAGAATCAGATCCAAATCCCTGAGTGAACAGTTGAAGCTGTTTAAGCAAATGATTAACATCTTGTTCTTCAATAAGTTGTTGTTGTTCCTCAGTTAAAGAAAAGCTGTTTTCTTCAATTTCTGTGTCATTATGAATGCTAGGAGAGATGGAGACATTTGATTCTGGAGATTGAAATGACGCCTTACTGCTTACATTCACACTGCTTTTGAGAACCTCTTTTTGAAGCTCCTTGCAAAATTCTGGCGTTACAGGGAATGTTTCTTCTTTCTTATTTGATGGTTGTATATTCCTCTCCTCTTTGTCAACTTGCGGGGTCTTGATAGACGTGTCCTCCTCTCCCTCGTATTCTGACGAAAGAGGCCCCGCTAAATACTTTTCTAACTCATCAAACGAAACAAATTTGTAATCATTTTCATTAATGGGTCCTTCAAGAGTTTCCTTCAATTCCTCCAATTCTGCCGACGTCTCTGTCTTGTCTTTTTTCTTGGGCTCTTCCTTCTCTGCCATGGTGTTTGGTTGTGTGGGCTCATTAGCAGAGGTTAACTCGTCCATCATCAAAGGTCGCGTCAAATGTGTGGGCACAATAAAACCCAATTGTTCTGCCAGATCGGTAACATCTGCCGGAAGTACGGAGTCTGTTTTAATGGCTTTCTTATATTCAATCTCAATATTTTCAATCTTTTCCAATAACATCTCACTCTGTTCCAATGCAAGCCTTAACTCCGAGATCAACTCTTCCGAATTTACGTCCTTCTCTAAGGACACTTCATCAAGAGCGTCTTTCAAATCAATTACATTCTTCTCAATACTTTGCATCATATCCTTAATGTTATCGATGGTAAGCTCCTTTGGATGATCCTGTTCGCCATTTTCTTCCTCAGCGAGCAGCAAATGATTCCCTTGCTCCAATTTACGCATTTTTTTGAAACTTTACCAACCATTAAAGCGCCAATTTTATCGATTTCGAAACGTTCTTTCATGGTCTGATCTTATCTTCACCACTTTTCCAGATCTATCTGTTTACGTTTATGTTGCAGTGAATATGGATGCAATATTCAATAAATTAATTCGAAAAAAATGTGATTAATAATTAATCATATGAAACGAGATGATTTACAAGCTGTCATGGGTGCCAAAGTTTTCATATTATACGACAACAAGCGCTGCATCGCATGCGCTTTTTCTCTAACTCAGTCCTGTTCTCAACAATTATTCTTGAATGGAAGAAAGGATTATCCAGCAGGTTTGTGGCATTGTATCGTATGTGATGATAAAAAGTTCTTGAAAAAATAAATTTTGATTTATGATTATATTTTTTGTGAACTGTTTTCACGTCCGCCATGAAAGAGGAGTTCACTAAAAAGTGCTTTGAGTAAATAATTGAGTGTGCTTTCAGATAAAGCATGGTCTTCAAACTTCAAGGTGCTTGTTGATACCACTCAATCCCTCCTAAAGATATTACAACTCTGACATATGAATTGTGCAGACTAATCTCCTCGATCTCACCATTTCCGTTCGCATTTTGTGAAGAACTCGAGAACCAAACTTGAACGAATACCTAACTGATGAATCAGTGCCGCAGTGCTGACAGACAATCGGCCAAAAAAGTTTCACGCAACATCTACAACCTCCGTAACCACCAACCACCACACAGTCTCAGTCCTCACTACATGTCGCTCGCTTCAGAGGCAAGAGCAGCCACTCTCTGTGCAGAACGTAAAAACTCCACCCCTCATGTGCCTGCGGTAGCCTCGTCCTCCATGCTTTCCTTAGACTCTCAAGTTCATCAGCAATTGCAGCAACCACAAGTTGCTGCGGAAAGATCAGAAACCCATGTTAGCTATCAAAGGGATGCTTCTTTGACCTCCTCGGATACCTTACACACTTCATCATCATCCTCATCATTCAACTCTCCATTCAAAATTGTCGTAGGCAAAGTCCTTAATATTTACCTCGAGCTGAAAACGAATGAAATCATGTATGAGGCAGTGCAGAAAATACTATATACATTTATCTTTTTGTATTACATGTATTTGAATTTAATTGTACCCATCCTTTGTTCCTTCTCTTCCTACGACCGTAATATGTTTATCAACAATAAGAATACATCTCCCTTCGGATTATACGGAGATTTTATCATGCGTATTCTAAGTTATGGAATTACCTTTTCATTGGACGCCATCAATTCCTTGGAGATTTATGTGGCCCTTTGCTGTGTGGCCACTGCCGTTATTGCTCTATATCTCATCACCTTAGCCATTCAATACAAGAGCACCAAGGGAAACTTCCATCACAAAATTCAAACACTGAACATGTTTTTCGGTGTAGTGATTTTACTGATTGCCCCAGTATCCATCTTCCTTATGACTACTTTTGTGGATTCCAATCCGAGAGAACTCTTGTACTCGGAGAAGTATGGCGTTCAACCTTCTCTCACCCGACTGCCCTTAATGACCTATCTCGGTGAACAGACCTTGCCATTCTTTATACTCTCTTTTTTTAGTATGATCTTTGTGTTGTGTGGATGGTTTGTGGCTACCATGTTCATGCCATTGAATAACCCCAAGTCACGTCTTCTCTTTGTCAACTCCGATAATTTGATCATTGCCATTCCATTTGTTTCTATTGGTTTGGAAGTGATGATCAAATTTCTCATACCTCCCACGTTGTTGTATGTTCGAGCAGTCGTGCAGTTGATGGGAGCACTGTTTCAACTGATTCTCTTTTTCATACACATGCCTTTCTTTAGACGATGGGAAAACTCACTCTTTGTGTCCGCATTGAGTGGGAGAGTTTCATCAAGTATAGGTATGCTGATCAGTGGAGCTGTTTTTAATTCCTTATCGTCGACATCCTCCATAAGCACTGAATTAGGTCTGGGAATGATGGCTTTAACCCTTGGACTATGTCTTTTTGGAAGTATAACAGGAGGTGTTGTGTGTGAAACTTATGCTCGAAGTTTGTGCAATTCATTACAAAGGAAATTACTAACCGTGGAAGCACAAAATGAAAACGAGAACGTCAATATCTATGCCCTTGAAGGTGAAAACAACCGACGATTGAGCCTATTTCTTCGATTCTCCTTGTTTCGATCTGAAGAGTACCTCAATTTGGCTTGCTCTTTTGTTAAAAGCGCATTTCATCAGAGGTTATTGAAAGACTGCAACGTTTTCATCGCCGCAAGCTATGTGGTGACCTATACAGAAAACACAGAAAATAATAATTGTGTCATTGCTAATGCATTACTCAAAAAGGCGCAAAGTTTGTGCGACAATGTATGGGTTCTTACGAGGATTCAAGAGCAATTAAGGGACGTTGAACTGGAAAATTCTTCAACATCAGCAAGCGGTAGACATGGTATTGAGTTGAAAACTATTATAACGAAGCTGGAAAATAAGCAAGAGGATCTTTTGACTGCTCAAAAAACATTTTGGAAAGAATTTCTTTCTGAAACCCCAAATGCTGACAAAATCGAATTGATTAATAGAAGAGTCAATGAGCTAGCTCAATACTGTGACAAAATGTACCGCCATTTAATGTCAAATTTCAGGCACAACAAACGAGTATTGCGTCTTTATGCAAGCTACATTGAACAATTCAAATTTGACAAGGAGTATGCAAACTTTTTGTACGACGAGGCAAATCAACTCGAAGAAGAAGAATCCAAGTCGAAGCATTTCCCAAAGGTCCCAAAAAACAAAGTCATACCCATGATTACGGTAAAAGCATTAAGCACTTCCAGCATTAATACAATACCAGTGGTTATCCAAAGCAATGAGAATGATATTCTCGAAAAAGAAACCTTTGAAGGTATTGAAAACCAACAAGTGGATAAGAAACAAGTGTTTTTTAGAAGCACCTTAAGTGTTCCATACCGTTCAACATTTAGAAACGCCTCCTTTATCTCTGTATCAAGCATTTCAATGGCCATACTTGTCGTTTCTCTTGCCTTATGTTTGAGTTTAGGTCGAGTAGAATTTGACATTCCTCTTGCTCTTGAAAGTTGCTTACCTGGTGTGGCTCCATCATCTCTCATCAGAGAAGTGAGAATGAGACAAATTATGATCGAGCTTTTCAAAAATCAAAAAAGAAATTTACCTCAAAATAATTTAACAGCCGAAGGTGTTCAAGTTCTCAAATATCAACAATCTTACATGCAGAGATTTAAGAATTGTAGGGATTATTTGGAACAACTGATCACAAATTCAGTGTCCAATAAGTACAATACCAAAATATATACAGATTACACAGTTCCAGAAAATTTACTCAACATTCCAGTGGCTACTGAAGGGACTGTTATTGAATATACAAACAGTTTCAAACAAAACAATTCACTGAGCGAAATTACTCAGGAGCTTATTCACTTTACTGATCTATTCCTAAGTTGGAGAGATGAAGATTTTAACAAAACTACAACTTCCTATCCATTCATGTATCTATATCTCAACCGACGAACAGCTGCCGACGCTTACGCATTATTTTGTTCCAAGTTCCAAACTGCTCGTGAGAGAAAATCAAAATATTGAAAACATCTTAAGGTTGTACCTCTTTATTTCAAATGGAATATTTATACTCATTTATGGAGGACTAATTATAATAGCTCGTCTTGACATGCACAATATTAACAAGATCATTAATCTCTATAAAAGAATAGGAAAAGATATCATTGGTGGTATTTACCAAGAGTTGCAGAAAAAAAACTCGCAAGATTTAAAGCATCGTAGAAGAGCCATCTCTCCAAAGAATAAGATCATTATTTACAGCCTTATTGTGATTCTAATGGTTACTCTATGTATTGGACTCATGTATTATGACATGTATTCGGTCATTATCACCACTTCGGAGACCATGTTACAAATTGATATCTCCACAGCCATCATGAGATCTGCTGTCAGAATTTCAGTTCGTTTGAGCGAATTCTTTGCATTCAATGGAATTCAGTCTGGAAAATTTATCAACAACCCTGCTGTCGGAAGTGCATCGCAATTAGCAACATTTAGAAGCGATGTTCGACAATATTCACTTGACATTCAAAACATGTACAATGAACTATTTTATGGAGGCTCTCGTTCATCACCCTTAATTGGTAAATATCCCCGTATTGATGAAATTATTATGGGTCTGTACAAGTGTGAAAACAAAACGGCGTGTGAAACATTACAGTCCGTTCTTTCCAAATTTACTGTGTACTCTCTCAAGTGGGGAGATGATTTGTGGAATTTAAACTTTGCCAAACAACCACAAGTGTTTTTCCAATACCTTGAATTATATAATCTCACCGACGAGGTATTGGCGAAAATGTTAGACCTATTGAAACATCTCGTGAATTATACACAGTCGTTTTCTAAAGCCTTGACTGCATGCTGTTTTACAGTTGGTTTAATCACCTTACTCATTTTCAGCTACTTGATCTGGACCGAATTTCGAAAGCACGACATGGAAATTACCAATCTAAGATTTTTCCTAAATTTCATTCCCATAGATCATCTCGAAAATAATGAAAATTTGAAGAACTTTATATTACATCATACTCTCTCCACTACGAACAGATCTAAACAGGCCACGAGTGAAGATTCCATTACTAATTTGTTATCCTCCATGGTGGATGGTGCCGTTTTGGCCAATGAAAAAGGAGAAATTACTTTATTCAATGAGGCTGCTCAAAAAATGTTTGGAAAATCACTGTCAGATGTTATAGGGTTGCCTTTTTATTCTTTATTTGATCCCAATAAGGCAGAGTTTTTGAAGAAGGTGTGTCAACAATTTAAAAATCAATCAGATGCTGTTGATAAGAAACATGGTGACAGTTTTGAACTCGAATGCATTCGAAAGAATATGAGCACATTCCCTTCGATGGTGAATTTATTTGTCACCAAAACAGGAACAGGAACCAAGATTATTTCATGTTTTGTGAAAGATATTGCCATGGAAAAGAAACAAAATAGTTTATTGGCAGAGGAAAAAAAGAATTCAGACATGCTATTAAGAAATATTCTGCCGGAATCTGTGGCAATGAGACTCAAATCCGGAGAAACTTTTATCGCAGAGAAGTTTAATGATATAACATGCTTTTTTAGTGACATGTAAGTGGCGTTTCACTTTTGAGATTTTAATACGATGTACAAATGGACATGATTTATTCACAGGGTTGGATTTACAACGATAAGTAGTGATATGAATCCTAGTGAATTGGTGTCGATGCTTAATTTAATTGTGAATGGGTATGATGCCCTCACTGATAGATATCAGTTAGAGAAAATCAAGACCATTGGAGACGCTTATTTTTGTGTGGTAAGTAGTGCTGAATGTGCATTGCATTTATTTCACACATTTACATTAGGGAGGGTAAGTTTAAAACCAAAATGAGGGCCTATGTATTTGATTTAATGTAATTACAACCTTACTTTTGCAATATTGATTCACCACAGCATTGGAAACACTCAATCGGATCACCCTGAAAGAACCTTAAAGTTTGCAATCAACATTTTTGATGTCGTACGAGCATGCAATGTTGAAAATCGACAAAAGTATGGCCATCAAATCAATATCCGAGTTGGCATCAATACGGGAGGGGCCGTGGCAGGTGTGATCGGCAAGAAAAAGTTTGCCTATGATTTGTGGGGAGATACCATTAATACTGCCTCACGAATGGAATCTACTTCACTTGCAGGAAGAGTTCAACTCTCACGATCCACCTATGAGAGAGTCTATGATTTAGGTTTTGAATTTGAAGAGAGAATTGTTGAAGTGAAAGGTAAAGGAACTTGTAAAACTTACTTGTTGAAACCTCACCATCATGTCAGTGCGTTGAGCGAAGAGGGTGTTGTCGAACTGCTTGTTGGAGAAGGATCATCATTGGGCGCAGCAAATGCAACCTTACATCAACAAGCCGTTTCTAGTGTTGCCCTTTCTCCGTCACCAGAAAAAATTATACTTGCAACTGGAAAAGAGACTTCAAAAGAATAAAAGTGCAGTCTAGAATTTTGTTGGCTTTCTTAGTTCACATATTTTAATTTAGAAGAATATTATTGTTACAAAGTGGGAAGATGACAACGTCCTACTTCTACTATTTTAGAATTGATTATTCTTGAGTGGAAACTGTGAGTCCTCCTAGTGGTTTCTGATCTTCATTTGAATTCTGCAGAACGATGGATTGTGTTGTGTCAGACCTCAAAGTTTCACCATCGTGACGGCCATCACCTCGTTGAGAATCCACGATTGTCGTGGTGTCGATTTGATCCAATACTATTGGAGAGTTTTGTCGTTGTTCTGAATTGTTGTCTTTAAATGCATTCACACCCACAGCACTGTTAGGTTGCATCGTCATGACATTTGAATCCATGATCATCTTTTCATTGGCGTTTTTGAAAATATCCTTCACATATTTTCTTAAACTACTCAATGGACCAAATAACAAACACAATCCAGCAATATAAATCCATGTAGCCAAAGCCTTTCCAATCAAAGAAATGACAGCGAAATACACGGATGAATTTGACAACTCTGATGTGGTGAAAAATTTTGAATTTTTCGTTTGCTATTAAACACTTACCTCCAATTAATGCAATTAATTCCATCAAACACATAAATGCAGCAATAACAGAGACAAGTGTCACAATAGTGATGACCTTTCGAATGGCTGTTCGTGTCGTTTGTTGTAATTGCAATCCAGCTCCCATACTTGCAGCTTTCAAATGTTTCACTAATTGAACCGTTGTCCAAATCACATAACTCAATGCCACAATGACTGATCCAATGAAAATGATGGTAGAGATGGAATAAAAGAAGAGGAGAGCTGGTCGTACATTGGCTGCTGTTCCATCCGCTTGTTGAGGTTTTGTGACTTGATCTGTCATGACTGCAGTAATATATCCTAAAACAGAAGTTGACAAAATGACTGGAGTGACAACCATAGAAATTACAAGGAGTTTGTACACTCGTTGTGAAATGTACTTGAGTTTTCTTGAAGTTTGCAAGCTGATATTTTCACGTCACATGTCAAAGAGTATTATTACAAACAACTTGTAGTGACACTACTTACAACATGTATGAAATAAATAAAAACTGCACCACCAACATTAAATCATTCAAAGCCCATCCACAAAACACCAATCCATTCAACACTCTCACATGCAATGGTTTCAACTCGACCAAAAAAGTATCCACAGGAAACGCAGTCATTGTCAAGATACGAACACCAAACAACAGAACCAAAATAATGACACTTGGCAGCATGAGTGAAAAGAGAATAACCCTATTTTTGGAGACCTTTCTTCTTCTTGTTGGAGGTGACCACATCGAAGAAGAAGGATGAACGAAAGGAGTTGAAGTATTCGGAGAAGTAGGAGTTGGAGACACGACAGACTTTCCTTCACATTCTGAAAGGGTAGTTGTGGACAGAGAATCATCTCCACCACTTGTAGTAGTGGTACTGGAAGTTGGAAATTGATGCCGTTGTTGAGCGACTCTCTGATGATGAGATTTTCTCAATAAATCATCATGTTTGTGATGCAATTGTGATTGTTTGGTGTCAAAATGATCATGTGGTTGAGATTTGACGTCGTGAGGATGATTCGTTGTGTTGGTGGTGGCGGCGGATTCTCGTGTGAAACAGGTCAACAAGATCAACACGAAAGGAAGCAACACAATGAAGGAAATCCATTGTAGAGCAGCAATCGAAACTTCTCCAACGAATTGACCCATTGGAACAACAGTCGAATTGGAAGATGAATTGGTGGCCAAAGTGGTGGTCGTCGCTAAAAGTTCAAAAGAAGAAGAAATCGATTCCATCAAGAAAGGAAGACCTTGTTGATGATGAAAGAGTGTTGAGAAGGGAAGAAGAGATGCTGATTCATGGATACACTTTGTCATTTCTCAACTGCGATTGTTGTTGTTGTTGTTGGTTTCTGAATGTTTAAATTTTTCAAAGAAAATGAAATTCACGAGTAGTTGTCAATTAGTGTTGATTACAACTCTTTGTCTAACGTGGGAATACCGAAGATTGAAAAAAGAAAATGAAAACTAAATTTGTTCGATTAGAGAGAGAAAATCCTAACAATTATCTCAACACAAAGAACGTTGTGAGGTTGTCTCTGTTCTTGAAAAGAAGAGAGATATTCTGTTGGTGATCTTGAAGAGAAGTGGGGTGAGTTTTTTTGTGATAGGGTTTGCAAGATGAGAGAGAACTGTGATTTGGATCAAGAGCTCGCTTTGAATCTTTTTCCGAAGTATTCACCTTTTTTGGACGAGACAGTTGGCATTTTTTTTAAATAAGGCATGCAAGAGTTTTTGAAGAGCGCAATGACTTTCTAAAAGTATGAGGAGTTTTGGTTTGCAGTCATGAATATTCATTCACACACGCACACACACGACTAGAATACAAGAAATTCCACATTGTCGTGTTCTACCTATTGACCTCTTATGATTCTTCATACTTTTACTAATTGCCCATCTTTGTTCCTACCACTAGGAATGGAGTATTTGCAGACGTTGAGACTTGATTCCTAAAACAAAGTCTTGATGTTTTCCGCTAAATACTCAACAGATTCATGATCGAACTTGAATTCGAGATTCCCACTCAAACAAGTGGACTCTTATTCCAACCATGCCATTACATGTTCTTCTTTTTTCAAATAGGAAAATCAAATGTCCAACAACGGAAAATTATCAAACGGAATGAATTCTCCCACAAGATGAAGTGAAATGTTTGCATAAGAGTCACAGATGAATAATCCATCGTCGATCATCATCGCCTTACAAAAAAAATGGGAAATTCTCAACTCGTGGTTCGTGATGATGATCCTTCTCATGATGATGATCCTGAGGAGGATGAGAAAGAATGGAAGGATAGAGAGATAGCTCATCCTACTCGTAAGAGTACCATTTTGGTGAAAAGAATGGTGGGTCGGGTTCTTCCGGATCGTTTCTTGCGTTCCAGTTCAGTGGTTTTTCAAGAGGGATCAGAACGGAAGAAGAGTGATGATACTCTCGAGATCTCGGATCATTCTGGTGGAATTACAAATTCCTTGATGATGATGGGATCTTCTTCGTTTGAAAATGGTGGTCTTGTTGAACTATGTACTGAATTTATTTCCTATCGGAGAAGTTTTTATGAACGACATGAGGAATATACCATTCAATTTGAACAACGTAATGCGAGTTGTAAATTATTGAACACGAGAGAGGGATTGATTACGGTAGATATTATTGAGATGATTAAAAGTTATTTGCCATTGGAAGATTGTTGTAGTTTGGCACTGACATGTAAATTGGCATGGTTTTACTGGTTTGGAGATCAACAGTTTTGGTGGAACCGTTTGAAAGGAACACAAATAATGACACACTTTGTTAAATATCGTCCGTTTTTATGGAGTCATATTAAGGTGAGAGATTGGAAGGAATTGTGTCTTCATATCAAATATTCATGTCAATGGAAACAAATATGTCGGGAGTGTACTGTTGATTTCTCGAATTCTGAGTCAACTAGTGTGCCAATTTACGACTTTTATTATGCTTGCAAAGTCGATAAGGAGCATGAAGAAATTCAACAATTAACAGAAACAGCAACATCTCAGACTTTGGTGACCTTGAATGGTATGCGTTACAAATCGAGGTTTGGAACGCTCGCACAGGATGATAATTTAAGGAATACCACAGGAGCAACTTGTGTACTTTTTATCAATGTTGGTTATAATGGGAATGGTACAAACGCTTTTAAAATCAAGTCAATGTTTTCCACATATTGCGACCGAGTTAGGTTTTTGATTTTGGTGTATAATTTCACAAAAGCTGAGAATCACGAGGAAGTTGGTAAAAGCTTTTCTCATTCTGTCAACATGAGAGAGATTCAATTTTGGAGAGAACAGTCCTTTCTATTTAATACTCCATATTTGGAGGTATTGGAAGACCAGAGATTCTCAATCAATCGCACCCAGTTGATTGCCATGATCAAGAAAATGCACATGTGGAACGTGCTGACCCATGTTGGAAGACCAAAAAGCACAGAAGCCTCAAAAATGTTAGAATCGTTTTTACTGTCTTTTCGACAAGATTTAAAGTATAGTTAAACTTTACAAAAGGTTATTTGTAGTGTAAGGGCAAATATCTATTTTGATTCAAAATTTGTGTGAGGAAGTGGAATGGAAGTAAAACTAAAATTTTGAAGAGAATATACAGATGACACCATATATGGTTTATTTGAGGAAGCTCAGTTGATCAGCAAACTTGGCAGGGAAAAATCTCTTAGGTATTTCTAGAGAGTTCAATTTACCGTGACCATCAACTAGATCAAACATGAAAACATTTCCATGATGAGGACTCTTGGTTGAAATGTCTGTATAGGTTTGGAAATCAATGACAGGAACAGACAACACAGCATCACGGTTTGGAATCCTCTTGCCTGTAATTTCCTCAATGTCACGTTGAGAGAAGGAAGAGGTCGAGTACTCGTCTGCCTTATAAACTGAATAAATGAAAGCTATTTGTTGAACAGTTAACTCTGGACAAACCATTCTTCTTGTGTCCTCATCTTGCAATAAAACAGTTTGAGCAATGACACAAATATCTGCAGCTTGTCTAGATAGCGTAAAGTAGACTTGCAACTTCTCTTCCTCAAGTTCTTCGTCGTCAGCAAAGTTCTTTCTCAATGTTTGGACAATTCCCTTTGCAGTAAACCAATTTTCCAAGAATGCAACGCTCATTTTCACTTGCAAACCTTTCGATGCTGAAGTATTATCTCTCACAAATTGGTTAAATATCAACGAGTCCAAGCAACATGCCAAGTTTTCAAAGAGGTGATTTGTAACTCGCTTGTCGAGCTTCTGTTGTTCAAAGCGTTGGTAAACGTCGTTCAGAATGGAACAGCAAATTCTCATGTCTGGCCCTCCATCAGTGGATTTCGATGATGCTTGTTTTGGATTGAAAATTGCCTTCAAAAGTCTCTCCTTCAATTGCTGGACAATTCGAGTACACAAGTTGAGATATGCAATGGAGAGTTGTTCACAAATAGCATCCGTGAACTCTTGCATATCAGACACAAGTATTTCGTCACCTTCGCTTGAGGAGAATTCTGGTGGTTCGACATAGGTGGTCGTTTCAGTGTTTTGACTTGAAAGTGCTGCATTCACATTGACAGGTTCCATCTTCTCCAATGAGTGATGCACTTGACTTTCATTTCCACTGTTTTGTATCAAATTGAGAAGTCTATACATGCAATTTACCCAATAAATCATCATTTCCTCATCTCTAGCATATCTATGTACAATATATGACAACGCTTTGATAACATTTGTACAGAAATACTTGTGTGTTTCAGGAGAGAATTTTAGCACTGACAGGAAGAGTATCTTGGCTGGGCAAGGTACTTTGCTACTTCCCAAGAAATCACCTGCTTGGCTGTGAATAATGGCTGATTCTACAAGGAATCTTTCACATTCTAGCGTTTGCAAGTTAGAAAGTTGTTCCTTGATCTTCTTCACATCTTGATCGTTAACTGACTTTGACTGTTGTTAATTAAAAATGTCATATTGAATATAAAAGTTAGTATGTTGTAAGTTCAATAATAATAAAAAAAGTGAAATTAGTTATGTTGAAGTTAGTTTGAAAGTTAGATGTGTAAGTGTGTGTGTGAAAGTTAGCGTTGATATTTGCCTTTTGACTTTCCTCTAATTGCTTGTTGAATTTGGAAGCTTGGGTCTCCAACTCTTCTATCCTCTCTTCCAAATCCGCAATAGTGTTTTTACTCTTCTTTAACTTACTCTCAAGCTCAGCGTTTCTTTCATCCATATGTTCAATCTTTTGATTCAACTCCTCATTTTCCTCTTTCAACTTGTCAAGGTCTGTCTCCAATTCCTTTCTTTCCTGCTTAACCTGAGCGAGTTCAATCTATTGTGTATGGAACGATAAAGTAATTACAATGTGTTTCATTAAAAGTATATCAAAATATAAAAAGTTAGTAGAAAGTGAGCACAATGAAAATTAAAAAAACATATGTGAGTTGTGAGTGAGTGTGTCAGTGTGAAATGTGTTGATATTTGCCTTTTGTTGTTCAAGTTCTTGCAATTTTTCTTCCAATTCTTCAATAATTCTATCTTTCTCTCTGATCTTATCTTCATCATGCTTGCTCTTGTCACTGTTCTTCTTCAAGCTCTTAATCTCCTTTTCCTTGGCCATCAATTCTTCTTCAATCTCTGAGCATGACTTTTCTGCCTTGTGCAACTTTTCCTCGAGTTCAGAAAGCTCTTGCTCGAGCTGCTCAATTCTGCTATCCTTCTCGGCGTTATCATCTTGAAGAATTTGTATGTGCTTCTCTAATTTCTTAACCTCGAGCAATTGTGACTTGGCTTCTTCCCGAGATGTCTCAAGCTCCTTCTGGAGGGCACTCAATTCTCCATTCTTTTCCTCCAAGGATTGATTGAGGGCACTAATTTGCTTTTCATTCTCTTTCAAATGATTTTCAGCATCAGCTAACTTCTTTTCGAGAGCAACTTTTTGCTTCTTTACCAAGTCATCCATTGAGGCAGAGTTCTTTGAGAGTTGAGTAATTTCCTCAGACTTTTCGTTGAGCAAATGTTCCTTCTCCTTTAATTTGCTTTCAAGCATCTCATTGTTGTTTTTCAATTCTGTAATTTGAACATCCAAGTTCGTTCTCTCTTGTCTCAATGTCTCAATTAACTTGTTCAAGTCAATTTCCACATTCTATACAGATGTAAAAATATTTAAATTACATGTATATATAAAATGTTAGTATGTATGTTCAATAAATTTTAAATGTGAAAAGTGTAATCAAAAGAGTTAGTACAGTTAGTTAGAGAGCAATCAGCAACTTTAGCCTGTGGCTATTGTGGCGGATCGCTCTCAAGTTAGAAATAGTATTAGTCAGTTAGAGATTTGATGTCGTTGAAAAACGAACTGCATTCTCTGCAGAACTGGAGTGTGTAGTGTATGATATGTACCTTTAGTTTTTGCGCTTCGTTTCTCAATTCCAATGATGAAATCTTCTCATGTTGAAGTCTTTCAGAAGTTGCTGATGCTGATTTCGAATCATGAACACTGTTTAACTTTGTGGCCATATCTCTAAGGCTGTTGAGCTCCTCTTTGAGTGATTCTTCAGCCTTCTCTCTCAAATTTAGTTGCTCCTGATATTTTTGATTGAGAGTTGAGAGTTGTTGTTCCAAATCTCTAATGGCAGAGTCCTTTTGCTGTTCCAATTTAGCAATTCGATCATGCTTGCTTTGGATTTCCTCTAACTCTGTTGTGAGACTGGCAATATGTGTTTGAAGAGATGAAATGGTTTTCTCTTGGGATTCAACTTTGAGAGTGATCTCTATGTTTTGTTTTTCAGCAAACTGTAACTTGTCTCTTGAATCAGACAATTTAGAAGACAAGTCTAAAATTGCTTCGCTTTCGTTGGACGATTGTTGTTTTTTTGTTTCGTCGAGTTGATTCTTGAGACTGACAATTTGTTGGCTCAGAGTACGTTCGAGAAGATCCTTATTTTGTTGAAGGGAAGTCATCTCTGTACTAAGACTTTCACATTCCTTCTTCAAATCATTCCTCTCTTTCTGAATAGCAAGAAGAGACTCCTGAAGCTTGTGTATCTCGTTTTGTGTTGAGCTTTTACCACTCAATAAGTGTTCTTTCTCTGATTGCAGGTTTAAAAGTTCTTCCTCTAGGGTAGCTAACCTCTTCATATAAGAGTCAATCTCTTCCTTATGTAATTGTCTTTCATTAGTGAGCGATTGAAGTAGTTCATTCTGTTGGTTAGTGACCTCCTTCAATGATTCTTGGAGAGCAGAGATTTCTTTCGTGTGATCGTCCTTTTCCTGTTTTGAAATACGAAGCGACTCCTGTAATGAATCATTCTGTTCTCTAATAATGGAGTTTTGGTTCTCCAGTTGGGCTAGTCTCGTTACAAGTACATCTGATATGGCTGAAATCTCCTCTCTCACTTCGTTTTCTAATTGAAGTTTTGCCTTTTGGATGCTTTCTTCATTACCATTTTTCATAATTTCTAAGATCTCACTGAAAGAGTCTGAATGCATGAGAACGGTAGCAATCTCGTCGCTATTTCCGAGAGCAGAGGCTGTGTTCACGAGAGTGTTTTGCACCTTTGATTTTAGAGATTTGAATTCTGTGAGACATGATAAGAGAAGCTCGCGCTGCTTAGATGCCAATGTAATTTCTTTGCCCTGTTGTGTGACAAGTTCGGCCAGATTCTTTCTTTCCTCTTTCAATCTTGCAATATCTTGTTTCAGGCTGTTTGTCTCAGTTTTTCTCTCATCTTTCTCTTTCAAGAGTTCTTGTTTTAGGTTATCAATTTCTTTCTGATACCTTGTCTCCTTGGAGGTGAGTTCGCTTTCATAATTAACCTTTAATTAATAGTTAGGAATCTTAAGATCTCAAACATATTAAAATCAACTTAACAAGTGATTTGGGCTTGGGATGATACAGTCAGAGTTGCGTTAGTAGTAGTGGTGTGAATGTGTAAAGTGTAGGTGTAGGTGTGGTGTGTGTTTCGATTACGTTACCTTTTGTGCCTTCAATTCTTCCTGCATTCTCTCATTATCTTTCTTCAACTTTTCAATTTGTTTCTTATCTTCGGTGATATTTTCTTGATATTCTCTTGTCTTCTCCCTTAATGTGGAAATTTCGTCTTCTAAATTTTGAATCTTTTCATCATACTCAAATGAAAGAGCTTGTTTTTGTTTGGAGGAGGAAGAACGACCAGACTCATTCTCTTCTTCGAGCTAATAGAATTTTCAATATTGTGATTTGTTGTAGCACGTTAACATTTCAGAAAATGTGAATATTTGTTAACAACATACCTGCTTGATTCTGTCTTTAAGCTTTTTGATTTCAGCCTCGTTCTTTTGGCTTTGCTTTTGCTTGAGCGAAAGTTCAAACAGTTTGCCATCAACTTCTTGTTGTGCTTCTTGAGCCTTGTCACGTTGTATTTTGAGCTCTTCATTTTCCTTTTGAATTGCTTTGAGTTTTTCCAATAGCGAGTCTCTTTCTCTTTGAGTTTTTTTGAGCTGTTTGTTAAATGGGAATTGTCAATTCATTTCTTTACCGTATATATTATCCTTCAAAATACCTACCAAGTTAGTTTTATCATTCGCTTTCAACTCTTTGATTTGTCTCAAAAGCAATTTCATCTTTTTCTTTTGGTTGGAGAGTTGTTTTTCAAGCTCGGCAATTTCTTGATTTGTGACCTCGGAAGTGTTTGCATGAGCGGACTCGTCCGTTCTTTCCTCGGTATGATTGGTTTCGCTGTGATTTTCTTCAGGTTCCTCTTCATCATCAACACCTCCTACTTCCTCCTCAATCTTTTTAAGTTCTTCATCTACGTTGGCAACTGGCTCGTCATCGTGTTCATCTTTTTCATCACCAAGGTTATAATCCTCATGTTCCTCAATGTCCTCATGCTTATTGTGATCTTCTTCATCGTCAAAGTGATGATCATGGTAATCATGTTCCTCGATATCTTCATCTTTGTCAACATCCTTAGTTAATGATAAAAAGTCCGCAAATAAAGATTTTTTGTGGTTGTGATAAATGATGTTGAAACAGGGTTTTAGGATGACAATTATTGTCGTGTAAAATTCAATAACAATTAGAAGATCTTTCAATTAAACTGGATACATACATTGTTGGTTCCTTCATCATCTGCAGCTTCTTCACCAGGTCCTGTATAGGTACTGACTGCTGTAAAATCATCGTCGCTGTTCACAGAGAATGTTATTATGATGTCATGATGGTTTGGCCACTCAAAAACTTCTCAAAGCAAGTACTTACTTTGGATTTTGATCCTTGAGGCATTTAGAGTTGATGACCAACTTGAGTTTGGCCTTGCTGTCCTTAGTGACAAGTTCCACATCTTTGGTATGTGTTTGTTCCGAATCTTCATCGACGAAAAGAGCCAAATCTAATGTCTCCTTTGCAAGGGTGGAAGTTTTGTTGTTCTTCCCCTTTTCTTCAAGAGCAATTTGAAGGTCTTTCTTTTGAAATTTGCCCTTCTTAAAGTAAAGGGTTCCGTTAAATTTGAATGATGTATTCCATACGACACGAGTACCCTCTGCTTTGTGGAAATCGGTTTCACCCTTTCTCTTCTTTCCTCTTTTCCATGAAATCTTGAATGATGAGAAGGGAGAAGGAAACCAATAATCATTGCGCATCATCATAAATGTCCAATTTATCGGTTATGTGTTCAAAAGGGTTTCATTCATTGTGTGATGATTTTGAATGATTATAATTTTGGAAGGAATCATGATCAGCCGAATGATACAACAAACAATGGCCATCATATTTATGAAAATGTCATGATGAGAGGATATCGGAGTTGGTTATTTGTTGTTGTTTGTTGTAAATGATGATTATAACAGTTTGATGGGAATACCTACAGCATAAGTGCATTCATCTTTCTTCTTTTCTTTCAGGTCGCTCAAGTAATCAATAGAGAGGTTAAACTGAAATTTAAAAGCCTCTCTATTGGTTACTTGTTGGGCAACTTTGTTTTGTAATTTCTTGAACATGATTATCGGCAAATGTTCCTCTTCTCTCTTCACTAAACAATTATATCGTGGTGGTGAAGATTATTTGTGATCCAAAATGATTAATAGTGGATAATGATGGCAAATTTCAAAAAAAACGTTTGATTCGGACCTAAGAAGAATTTTTTTGTGTGTGAGAATATGAAAATTAAATTAATTTTCTAAAATTTTAATTAGGAATTGTTGACGTTTGACTGGGCTAGCCGTTAAACAACAGTCTACTCTGCATTTGTAAATGTGTCCTTAATGACAAGATCCTCACAAGAATGCACATGAGATTCGCACTGTTGTTCAGATTTCATCATGGTTTTTCCTTTTGCTAATTGTTTTGGGATGATGTATGAGTAATAGAGCCATTTTTCAACAAACGATGGTTTCTTGTGTTTGTATTTCGTAATGAAAGGATGAGAGAGAAGTGAGGCAGCTGAAGGTCGTTCTTTCCTGTGGAACCGCAAAGTTGAATAAACAAAATCCTTAAAATCTTGTGAGGCTCCTTCAAGAGGGAATGGAGCTTCATTGGTCTTCTCCAAATGGTTGATCATGTCCCATATGGTAGAGCTTGAGCTCAAAATGAAAGGGAAAAATCCCAAAAACATCTCTGCTACGGTAAGACCAAAGGCCCTGTTTGAGAGTGCAATTTGTGCGTTCGATTAATATTGGTCATCATGATGTTACAATTTGTGTCATTAACATCTCGTTGTTATAACTGAACGACATGATAGTGTGACTTACCAAATATCGCTGTCATACGAATGAGGTTGTCCCTTAATCCTTTCTGGACTCATATAGACATATGTGCCGCAGAATGTTTCCCATTTAGCTGTTTGTTGAATGGCCTGAACGTACTTTTGAGACTTGGCCATTCCAGACATTCCAAAGTCAGCGATACAGACTCTACCGCTGCTGTGAACTGTTATTATTGATCAAGAGATGTAGTAATTTGCATGCATTGGCAAATCATGTCCAATAATAAACATGAATATTTAACGCGAAAATTAATACTCACCAAGAACGTTCGCAGGTTTCTGAAAATAAATGGAACATATATCCACCAGGAGTGGTAACGATGATCATAGATATTTAAGACAAGAGTTAGGCCACTCACATAACATAAAGCAATACTTACAATATCACGATGAACTATCTTTTTAACAGAATGGAGGTAATTGAGTCCTATCAGCATTTGTTCGCACATACGTGAAAGTATTACCTCTGGAATTTTTCCAACAGTCTTTAAAATGTCTTCCAAAGATCCACAATCTAGAACGTATTAGCCAATAATAATGTCACACTTATTACATGTACCAAGTTGTACATTTTACGTACCCATAAATTCTAGAATCATAAAAATACATCCTTGTCTATAATAAGCATCGTAGAGCGTCATAACATAGGGACATTCACAATTATACAGAGCCTTAAATTCTGACACGATTAGTTTGGGTTTTTGATCCTGTAGATCAACATTAATTCTCTTCATAGCATAGACTTGATTGGTCTTCTTATTTACAACCTTGGAAACTGTGGCAGAAGCGCCTCTTCCTAATTTACAAATTTCTTGCAGATCCTCATATTGCATGTGTTGATCTGGGTTTAAATAAAAAGTGGATGCTGTACTAGGTGAATTTACAGTAGACAGGGAGGAATTATCTGGAACATCTAAGGAGCTCATGGATTCTGTTTCAAAATTTTCTGGCGTCATCATGGAATAAATTCCATCTTGACCAATTTCAATTTGGTCTCCGAATCGAAAACGGCCATCATTTCTGTGGCACCAATGTTGCCCATGTAAATGACAACAATACGAAAATATATGGCGAAAATAAGCCATTAATGCATCATTGAATTGCGTCATCATTGAATAAGATCAATAAGAAAGAACTTGGAACTCGTATGGTTGCCAACCAAAAATAAATTCAGATACAAACATTTTCACAGCCTCATCGACATAGGTCTCTTCGGCCTTCTTAATAATTTCAATCGAAATTTCTGTACTTTGGCGTTGCTCCTCCATTGTTGGTGTCAATATTAAATTTGTTGGTTTGTTTTTCTTGGGTTTTTTCGATCTTGGCGTGCTCACTGGACTTGCAACCGTTTGCTGTTGTCCCGATTCCTGCATGATGATACCGATACGAGAGAAAATCAATGGAATTGAGTAAATTTCAGAGATCAGTACTCGATGAATATATTGGGAGCTAAACCAGCGAATCGTAATATTACCAATCCTCTATGTTGTTGTTGCGATTGAACAAGTCTTTGATACGAAAAATTTCGGAATGTGTTTTCTCCCAACGAAGATCAACCGAAAATTTTTTCAATGTTCATTTCCATAAAACTATGGCATTCGCCGTCGACCAAAAATTCAGGAGCTGAACAAGAATTTTACACAAGGCAGAACAGGGGTTCAGGGTGCAAGAGAGTATAAAAAGGTGGTATTATGTATGCCTCCCCTCGTAGAGGTTTTAAATCTTTTTATTCTCTTGCCTTTACATTAATAAACGATTTGTAAATCAATCAACTAATCTGTTGTGGGCTTCGCGTGCTCTTGTTCCATCAAAAAATGGCTGAAAAAATTTTCATTGTAAAATATTAATAGTGATTTTTTAAAAATTCGTTTGAAAAAAAATAGCCAAAACTCATCACCACAATGGTCTCTGTCAATAAATCCGTCTCAAGCAAGAGAAGCAAGGCCAGAAAGGCTCACTTCACAGCTCCATCTTCTGTTCGTAGAGTCATCATGAGCGCACCTCTCACCAAGAAGTTGAGAGATGAACACAATGTTCGTGCTGTTCCAATCAGAAAGGGTGACGAAGTCAAGATCTTGAAGGGTAAATTCAAGGGAGTCGTCGGTAAAGTAAAGAAGGTTGTCAGATTGAAGTGGTCTGTCTACGTTGAAGGTGTCCAAGGAGAAAAACTCGGTGGAAAGACTTTTGATGTCGCAGTTAAACCAAGCACTGTACAAATTACAAAGCTCCACCTCGATAAGGATAGAAAGAACTTGTTGAAGAGAAAGGCTGAAGCCAGAGCCCAAACAACCCAAGCTAACAAGGGTAAATTTACTGAAGAAACTGTCAAACAACAATAAATCTATCCCCAACCATAAAATTATATATATTTCAAAACGGTTGTGTTGGTCTTCTTGAAGAGCTTTCCATTCAAGAATTTGCGAAGAAAAAATGAAAAGAATCGTCTCCTCTTCGGTTGTTTGCAAATGTGTTGCTTTGGCTAATGCTCCTCGCGGTCGCTCTTCGGCTTCTGCTGCTATTGCCATGATGAATTCTACAACAACAACAACCTCTTCAACCACCACCTCTTCTCATCGTTTATTTCATCATCAATCCCGTGCGATGGAAGAAGTAAAACAAAGTGCAAATATTGATTTTAGTAACAAGAGTGTTTCTGATTTTATTAACGAGTTGAATGCGATGAAAGTTGAGCCAATGGAAAAGAGAACAGCCGATAAAACTAGAGAACAATTGTACTATCTCTATTCCGTTGAAAATCACATTCAAAAGGAAATCGAAACCTTTCAACAACAAATTGATGGAATTTTGAATGAATCTACCACGCAAGCCTCCTTCAATGAAGATGCCTTGGTTTCTCTTAAATCACGCTTCTCTCTTCTCTTAAAGTGGGTCCTTGCCATTCAGCAACTCACCCTCGACAATGGCCTTTACAGATTGGTTCAGCCTTTACTCATCGGAGAGAAAGCAGACAAATTCTTACAAGTCTTGTTGGAGGAGCCTCATGTCGGAAAGTCTCACTTTCCAATTTATTACTCTCTTACTGTGCTAAAGGCCAAAGTTAGAGCAAGTATTGCATTGGGAGATTATGAAACTGCCCGAGTTGCATGTGAACAATTGCTGACAAAGATTTCTCAAGTGAGAACATTCTATGCAAAGAGACGTCAGGAAGTTGAAAAAGAAGAAAGAGAAGCAGAAACAATTGGTATCACTGTAGAGCAATATAGAAAAAATCAAAGACAATTAAAGGCAAAAGATTCTGTGGAGGAGGTTGTGAATAAGATTTATGAGTTGCAACAAGAACAAGATATTACGTTCCCTTCCTCTCAAAAAGCTCCAGATTTTGATATATATTTTGGTATTGAACCTATCACTGCAAACATTGAATCCCAATTGGAAAGAATGGAGGTTGAAACTCAAATTACTAATGTTCAAGTACTTTTTTATATTGCCATGAAGAATGAAGGATCTGCAAATTCTATTCTTGCCTGGTTGGACAGCAAGCTTCGAGATGCTAAATTGTTGGGTACATTCTCAAACGTAATTTTCAAAGTTTCAAAAGCATCGATTTTAGCTATTCAAGGAGATCAGAAGGAGGAAGCAATCAAGATCTTTGCTGAGGCACTCCAACAAATGACCAAGTCATATGCTGACATTTCAAAAGATCTTCAACAATTATCTACCGTAGCACTCAATTTATTGCTCTACTCAACTAAGAAGCGTAATCCAGCTGTAGATATCCATGCCTACATGAAGATGACCAAAGCAGATAACACAGAAACAAGTCCTCAAGTTAAAGACTTTGTTCGTCTTGTCTTGATTGATCTCTTTACTTCAAGAGGTCAACTTGAGGCTGCTTTAAATTATATCTCACAAGCCAAAGAGATACACTTCAATAATGGATACTTCTCTCCTGTATATGCCTCCTTGCTGAGAAGAGAAGCTGAAGTGTTAATTTTGAGTGAACAGGCTGCACCCAATGAAATTATTTCTCTATTGGAAAATGCTATTGATTTACGTGTGGAACAATATGGACCTAATGATAGATATTTACCAATCTTTTATGACTTGTTGGTCTATTATTGTCAACAAAACAAACTTGATCATGAAAAGTTGACAGAATTCTCGTCAAAGTTGAGCAAAGTCAACATTCCAGTTTTAAAGAGAGAGGAAATTTTCTGGATGAAAGTAGATCTTGCTGAAAGAAATATTTAAATATTGATGATCGAACTGATGGTTTTGAAATGAAAAAACTTGTTATTATTTTCATGAATTAGTGTTTGTTTAATACCCACTGTTAGAGAAGAAAGTTGCAAGAATGGCAACAATTTTGTTCTCCGTCGACGTGTGCTTATTCCTTTCTGTTCACACTCGCAATAGGGTTATCGTGCAACTCAATTTCTTCGAATTTTTCTGCCTCAACTGCACTATTGTGATGTTCCTCGTCGTTTTCAGAGCTTTCGAGTCTTTTCATGGCTTCTTCCTCTTCTTTTTTCTGTTGTTCGATCTTTTTCTCCTTGTATTCTTCAATAACTGCCCGTTCTTCAGCGATCATCTTCTCTCTGACATCTTCTCTCAAGAACCACTTTTGGAAATAATTTTTGTCGAGTTTGACAAGCCAGTGATCTTTCTTCTCTAGGGCTTGTGGTGCAACAATTTGATTTTTAGCTGCCTGTTGTACTTTGGTTAACTTGAGAACAGGATATGTACCTCCACCTTTATGAAGGAAAAGGTCATGTTGTTAATCAAGAGTTGTGGTTAAAAAAATGGAAAAAAGAAGGAAAAATCAATCATTAAATGTGTTGATTCAGCACAACAATTTGAATCATTAATAATCAAATTAATCAATAATTCTTGTGAACAAGATGAAAACTCCCAAACATACCTAAGAAAAGGATTGTGAAGAATACTGTAGCAAGAGTTGTGGTAAAAATGTACTCTCCTTTACCTCCTTCAGACTTTAACGACATGGACAAGGCAAAGGCAATTGCTCCTCTCAGACCTACATTAAGGGTGACGAGTGAAAACGAGTGTGTGAGACACACGAAAAATAATTGGTAATAGTAATGATAGTGTCATGTTATCATTACAAACACACGTTCGCACACGAAACAACAATAAACCTAATCAACATACCTGAAAACCACATGATAAATTGATATTTCATACCAATCTTATGCTCTCTGTACATGTTGAGAATTCCGGAGAGAGGAACAATGTTGAGAAATCGTCCAAGAAGGCAAAGCAAAATGGTAAATACAATGAAACGAACATCCCACTGGTTGTTTTCAAAGGCAAACAATGCGAATCCAATGTAAAGGAATGTAAATGTTTCACATATCATGGCAAGTGCATTTGAAGCCGTGAGAAGTGCAGTCGCTGTCTGTTCAGAAAGATTTGGCTTTGAGTATTGGTTCATTAAAATACCAACGACAAGGATAGTCATGATACCACTGAGGTAAGGGAGTGAAACTAAATAGGACGTGTACGCCAATACGAAGAAAATACCTAATTCTAATTTTGGATTATGTCTCAAAGCTCCGTATTTGAAAATTAAACTGGAAAGAACACCAAAAATCAGGGCCACGAGTACTGATCCAATGGATACGTATAAAAATTGCCCAATACTCTTGAAGGTGACAAGCGCCAAATCATCCTTACCAGCTTCCCTAAACTTTTCAAATGTTTCATATAATACGATAGCAATGGCATCATTGACAATGGATTCTCCAAAAACAAGGTAGTGCAAAGTTGATGGTACTTCCAAAGCACAGAAAATAGCCAAAGTAGCAACTGGATCCGTAGCTGAAATGAGAGAGCCAAACATGAGGCATTCAACTAATCCAAGTTCGATACTTAGACCATAATACCCAAGAATGTAAAGTCCACACCCGACCACGAGTGATGAAATAAATGTTCCAACCAATGCATACAAAATAATTCCTGTTAAAGTTATAATGGTTGAATGCGACAATGATGAAAGCAAAATATTATTAAAAGTATTTAAATGCAACGAAAACAGCAGTGGTGAATATATTGTTCCATCGATGAATAAAGTTTCATAAATAATAACAATTGAATGACAATAAAATATAAATGTGTTCAACAATTATTCCACAAAAAACTTAATACAAACCTCCAATGTTTCCAAAGAAACCAGTTCTATCTAAAGTGAAACCGGCGTCGAAAATAATTGCTGGCAAGAAGAAGGAGAAGAAAATTCCAGGGTCGAGTTGTGTGAAAACCTCAACTTGAACCCATGATGAAGGAATGGCATATCTTGCAATGATACCAACAATAACTCCCAAGAACAAAACTCCAATACTTTCTGGAAACCATGCTGCGTGGAATCTGTGCAAAATATACATAATAACCAGAGATGCAGCCAAACACAACCACAACAAAACCAATTGAATAGATGACTCTTTGATATTATCTACACATAGAGGATTGTTTGGTCTCTTTGATCCTGATTCTTCGGATCCAGAAGACATGACTGAATAATCTGGACCATTGGCTGATGAGGTTGATTCGGGAACGTACAATGTAACATTACGAGTGATCATACCACGTAAACCAACAAAGTACTGAATTTTGGATGATGTTTTGTAGCGAGGTGAAGGAGTAGCGAGGGTTCCCTCAGGTGTCATCTTTTCACGATGATGATTCTTTGGCTCAGTAGCTGGTGATGATGATGAGGAAACGGAAACCACATGAGTAATATCATCTCTTTGAAGGGAGGATGATGAACCGTTTGTTGCAAAAACCAATGTATAAACAACAAGCAATACAAATACCAAAATGGCCACACGTCTTGTATATTTAAAACAAGGCTTGCTCATAGGAAAATTAATGATTACTGTTACCGATGAGGAAAATTAATAACAATGAGAGATTCTCTAGGTGATGATAAATAGGGTTGAGGATGATGAAAAACAGTACAGAAAGTTGTTGTACAATCTTTTGATGATGTATCAATAAGAATTAAAAATCATAAATTGTTTTCCATAGAATCAAGAGAGGGAAACCGCGTGGCGTTCAACAAATCAATTTTTTTTAAATTTTTTCTCAAATTCTTTTTGGAATTTCGGTTTTGGAAATTGGAAACCAACTCATTCCTATTCCAGATCTAAATGATGATTCTAATTTCCAGATGTTCTCTCTGACCATTTGAGTGTAAAGTAAATTCCAAAATGATCACTGCAATACAAATAGTCCTTGGCAAGAATGAGATAATTTTTTGATTCTTCCTCTGTGAATAAAAGTTTGTTTCGAAGGAGTTTCTTCACTGAATTTGTGGCAAAGAGTTTGATGGAGTTGCACTGCAGCATTGATTCATTGGCATTCCATTGAATGACTCGATCGAGACGAAGTTGTTTTGCCGTATCGCCAGGATTCATTTTCTCAATCATGGGATTGAGAGTAGCATCCATGGTAAATCCTTTTTCTCCATCCTTTTCAATGTCGTAATGTTTTAGCCATAGATCAGTAAATTCCTTATTGTGTGAAATGAAGTGAGTTTCGAAAGGCATGTTCAAATTCCAATCCCCTAAATAAATTAATTCTCTGCAAAAATTCTTCTCTGTCAAGTATTTAGAAACTGTATACAGTTCTTGGCATTGTTTCTTTCGAATATCAAAGCATTCCTTTTTTGCCTTTAAATGTACAGATCCAAAACAAATAGTAATTTCATGTCCAGAGGTTGTTTTAAGTGTAGCAATGGAAAGAACTGCTCTTCTTGAGAATGTACTTGGATTGGAAAATTTGTGTCTATAAATTCCAAAAATTCGAAAACACATTTAACATTTGCTACAAGGTCACTTCACGAAATTTCAACCTACTTTAAAAATTTGACATTATTAAATTTGTGCTTGGATAACATGAGCAAATTTCCATAAGGCAAAATGGTGGAATGGCCAGTTTCTTTCTTTTCTCCAGTTTCAGTTTCGGAAATGTAATAATTGTCTTGAACCCACTTCTCATTCATGAGTTTCAGGAGATAGGGTGGTGTCATTTCATTCAAAGACAGCACATCAAGTTGTAATTTCTCAAGCATTCGTATTTGAACCGCATATCGAATATCACTTTGGACAATATTATTTTGATAAATGTCAAATAAAACATTGAATGTGGCACACTTTAATTCTTGACTTTCATTCCAGTAAACGTGTTGAGCTGAAGAGTCTGTGTCTGCTGATACATCTCCCCATTGTTTACTTTCGGAACACCATGAATATGCAGGCATAAATCGAAGATCTAAATCTCCAAAGGGTTGGTTTGATGATGGTGTCGTTGCCAGTGCCATTCTGTACGGATGATGAGCTTGCAATTAATGGAATGTATGAGTGTGGTAAGAAGTTCTGATTATTTTTTCAGTTCTTGTTTTTCGTTGCGATGAACAAAAGATGATGAAATTCAAATTTAGGTTAAAATTGGGATTTGAAGGGTGTTTTTGAATGATGATGATGGTGATGATATGATTTGTTGTTCATGTAGAATTATTAATTCAACTCTTCTCTACAACTCTTCTCTATCTGTAATCCCGAAGGTACAATCCCGTTTTAAAAGTACGTTTCTCCTCTCTCTTCCTATTTAAATAATCTTTGATTGAAATGAATGTCAAGAACGCTCCCAAAGCTAGTGTCCATCGTATCACTCGGTTATGAGTCCGTACAGACTCTGCGTTGAAGGGAAAAAAGCCCATTTTTTGTTTTGTTTGAGAGTATACAATTTCACACGGGTGGCCAACTCCTTCAGTAAAAATTCAGGGATGGGTTTATTCGATGATAAACGTTGTTCGATGGTTTTATGTACATTATTTACAAGCCGAACGTAAGATACGTAGTGACTTCCTAGCAGGCACCCCGGAAGTAAAGGTGTTTAAACTGCTCACGATAACAGCAGCAACCCCTGGGATTCGAACGCTGGACCAGTTGGCTGCCACAGTTCCAGAAAAACCACTCGGCCATATGCGGGCAGCCACTCCTTCAGTAAAAATGACCAAGATGCGAGACAAGATTCTTCGCGAGCGCACTTTTATTTTTTACTCAGTTTATAACACCGACCAATTTTCAATACTTGTTTCAGAGTTGAACTGTTCGACAATTACGCAAGATGAAACCAAGATTTTCATATAGTAGATGCTTCATTCCGTCTAGTTTCATATTCTTTAGTTTGGAATTGTGAGACCTAATATACAATAAATAGCGGCCGTTAAAAAAAGGTGACACTGACTTTAGTTGAATTAAACATAAAGCCCGTGTAAAGTGCAAACAACCAACAAGAAATTCTAGAATAACAGGCCAATATACACTCAAGGATAATCTATTTGTTCTGCACTTTTGACGGGCTTGGTGTTAATTTCAAACTCTTCCAACTAATTGTTTTTGCTTTCATTCAACAGAAATTTTTTCGAAAAGAAAAATGAAACGAAGACGTTGCTGCCTTTGCTCCAAGAACGCTTTGCGAACCGTGCCAACAAATATCACCATACTCGGAACAGAAAAGTCCAATGCAACACCTTTGCTATGCAATACACATTACAACAATATCAATAATTTTAAAAACACCCACCACATCAGCAACCCTGTTACCATTGAAATTCAAAAACAACCAAAAGGAGTGAAAGATATCATTTCAATCGTTACCGATAAATTCGGTCAATGCAAACATTCCGACAACAAGTGCTGTAGTAATTGCAAAGAAGGTAATACGCGATGTAAAGGCATCTCTTTCGAAAAAGTGAGCCATTTATTAACAGTATCGGGAATCATATCACACAATGGCCACAGCTTCGGAAGTGTGAATTTCAATCATCATGGCGAATTTTGTTTTTTTAGTGTAGACTGCAATAATTGCAATCTCAACAAATATGGAGTTTGTGAAAAATGTTATGAATGCTATGAAACAAAATTACGCCATTATCAGCGAACAATTGAAAACCAAAATACCAAAACAGCTCACCTCGCTGCAAGAACACAAGAATACAAAAATGTCATCAAATCATTGAGGGCAAAAATCTCTCGACGAGATACTACAATTAAGAATTTCGAAGAATTAATTGAAGAAAAAGATCAAAAACATTATTTGGTAGAACTTCTCTCGATTGCGCTAGAGGAAGGAAAGTTACATGAAACCCAGTTCTTTTATCAATTATTAGAAAATACTTTGCAAAATTTGATTTCGTCGAAAAATGTTAACGGTTTTCGATACAAAGAGTGTATCATTCATTGGTGTTTATTACTTCGATTTTATGGTGGTTCTCGTTTGTGGAATATTTTGAAAGGAAATTCTCCCGGTGAAACTATAACATCTGAAAACGCATTAGATAAGCTTAATCTATTACTTCCATCTATCTCAACAATTAAGAGCTATCTTCCAGACTTGTCTTTTGGTAACCTTGTCGACAGTGATTTGAAAGATATTGTTAAAGCCATGGCATTGAATAATATTAGTAATAAGATCATAATTTCATATGATGAAATAGAGATTAGAGGAGGATTATGTGTGATGAAAAGTACTGGAAAAGTAACTGGATTCACAAATTGCAATGAAAAGTCTTTTGAAGATATATATAACGCAAAAAGAGAAATTACACCAGACGATATTGCTAGTCATGTGTGCCAGTTTTTTGCAACAACTATTGACGGTGAGATGTCTTTTCCTATTTGTTTTGGTGGTCACAAATCAAACCATTATGAATTTATTACAAAGAAAATGACAGAAATTAGAGATCAATTCAAACGAACTTCTTATGGAGATTATGTTTTAGAAGTGGTTGGAGGTTGTAGTGATGGATTAGCTGGTAATTATCAATATGCAACCTCTCATACTAATGAAAATTATGTTCACCTTTTTGATTGGTCTCATTTGCTCAAACGGTTGAGAAATTGTTTATTGAAAGGGGATGATTTGATTATTGAAAAGAGAGTTTTTCTATGAATACATTATTGAAGGTTAGAAATGAACCCCAACTGCGAGACTGGGTATCGGAAAATATAATTTACCCAGTCGACATTATGAAAATGGAACCTGTTTTTGCATTGATAGATTCTAATGTTATTAGTGGAATTGAACAAAGCAAGCAAATAGGATGTTGTGCATTAGCAAAATATTTAACGTTAATGCAACAAATACATCAAATTTTTGACGATGAACGATGTTCAAACTGGAATGAGAAAAAACAATTAATTGAATCTGTACTGACAACACTTAAGGAATGGAAAGATGCAAATTCTAACATCATTAGTGACGAATTGTATTCTCATATTGTGATGACTATGACTTCACTTCGTTCTCTTTTTGAAAAATATGGAAACCATACTCAAATTAAGGCTTGTGGAATTTCGACATTAATTGTTGAACATTTTTTTCCTTAATTCGAGGAAAAATACGATACCCTAATTTTCGAGATTATTGTGGGATCTATCGAGCCGTATGGATTGCTTTGAAGACGAAATTGGCAAAAAATTCTCCAATTAATGTCAATCAACAATCAACCACAAAGTGTTATGGAAATTGTAACGTAAGCTTAGACTATTCTGAATTACATCGAAAACACTATGTAAAGAAACACATTCTTCAAGAAGACGATGAGGACACTTTGTTAGAGAAAGATCAAACTATTTCTGAAGAGATGTATGAATATGTGCTCGATGTCACTCAAGATTTTCTTCCACAGAAAAATGTAATGCTGATACGAGAGTATTTATGTAAACAAGCACCAGTCGCGGATGATGGAACTATTATGAACAATATTTTTCTCAGCTGCCCTGAATGTAATCAAATAATGGTCCGACAACGATCATTCATTAAGCACTTACAATGTCACAATTATTCACCTCAGCAATGCAAAGATACACTGTACAACACAATTATTACTTCACTCAAATCTCGCCAATTTGGCCAACATGTTGAGGGTATTGTTGAGGAAATAGCAACCAAATTGGTAACCAATACCTTTAAGCAAATTCGAATTCGAACAGAACCTGAATTACCAAAAGAATCAGTTATTACATTTAATTCAGAAAAAGGATTATTTGTTCCATCTAACGAGAAGCAATCACAAGCAGAAAATATTTCAACATCAAATATCGCCACCATCGACTCTATTTCAGAAGATTCAACTCAAATGTCAGAAACTTCACCTCAAAACAAATATGTATTTTTTGATTTTGAAACGACTGGATTATGGAAGAATGATGATCCACCAAAAATTACGGAATATTGTTTTGTGGACGTTTTGACTGGAGCTGTTTTGTATGGCTTAGTTAATCCTGGAAAAGTGATTTCTAACCAAGCACAATCAATTACAGGACTTAACTTGAATAGTTTAAGATCAAAATTGCCTATTGAAGGGCATGTGAATGATATTATCCAATTTTTAAACAATAACTCTCAAGGAAAAACTTACTTAATAGCTCATAATGGAGACCGTTTGGATTTTAAAGTTTTTGCCAAAGAATTTTTCGGAAAGTTTTCTGAATTTAATCATGACAATATTGTCTTTGTTGATTCTCTCCGATTAATGAAATCAGAATCGACTTTACACAGTTGTCTTCCTCGGAAAATGACAAAGAAAGGGAAATCTAAACCAGTTTTTGCTGAGGATGTATTAATTGAACACTTTAATTTAGGAAATGTCAACAATTCACATTGTGCATTTTATGATGCTATTGGATTGCTTAATATTTTGATCAAGTTTTATGGTAATCTCGACGATGCATTGAAAGCTATCGAGTGCTTCAATACCAACCAACTTAAAAGGAAAAGAGAGAAAATTAATGACAATAATGATGATGAACACAAAGCAAAGAAGAAAGTTGGATGTAGATGTAAAAAAGGAAATTGTTTGAATTGTAATTGTGCCAAGCTTGGAAGAATATGTGATGCAACTTGTGGGTGCAATTCAGAAATTTGCAAACGGAGACAGTGCCAAGTTTGTTCCAACTACACGGAACTAATATTGTGTTCCTGTTGTTCTGATATTGTTTGTGAGCGATGTTCTTACAATGGAGAATGTCAACGATGTTCGATATTCATAGTTTATCATTGCAAATGTTGTCACAGACTAACCAATGCCGTTTCTAAATGCCTTCAATGTCAAAATTCAACATGTTGCAAATGTTACTATGACGGCCTTTGTAAGATCTGCCATCCAAACATGCCAACATTGCTGTGCAATTCATGCCACAAGCCTTGTTTATCACTAACTCCATGCAAGGATTGTGGCTTGAAAGTATGTAATGACTGTTTGAGAGAGAGATGGTGTCGATCATGTGATTGTGATGAGGGGGAATGGTTGTCTTTAACTCAGTCACAATTCCAGTCCTCCATGGACGTGACAAATTTTTAAGAAGTAGCTACCATGGCCCTTGTAATGCCAATTCAACATATTGACGCACCAATAGTGATGCGGTATTTCCTTTATGTGTCAGAAACAACCAATTGCATTGGCAGGTTTTGATGGATTGAAACCATCATAAAATCATCCTATGATCGTTGTGTTATTAAAATTCCCAGCGAAAAGTTTTCTCGTAGCTTGAGGTGTTCACGAAAATACGCTCGGGTTGTCCACCCGTGCAATTTCAATTGCGAAATTTGGGCAAGACAATAAGAAATCCACTTTGACATTATAATATGATAAATATATACATATTTTAGGTTTATTTACATAAAGCTGTCCAAATTCAAAAACTGGTCGTGAGGTTTTGTTGTGAATAATCTCCATGGAGAAGAGAATGCACACTCCATTGACTAGTATTGGACCATTCCTTTCCAGTATTTCTTTCAAGATGGTGGTTGAAGGCCTTCTTGACGTGGCTTCCAATCTTTGAGCTGGTGGTCGTTTGCATTTGTGCAAGATGCTTTGCGAGGTGTTGTGAAAATTGTGAAAATTCTTTGGGAGAAGAGTCCAACTTGGAAAGACGTTGCTCAATATTCTCCTTTGACAACAAGTCTTCCAACTCAAGTCCATTCATCATCCTCATGTGGTTCTTGTTGTTGTTGTTGTTGGTGGCCTTACTGTTTGGAAACCAATTCTCCTTAGATGAAGAAAACACAAACTCGACAAATTTCACTCTCACATTCGGATACAAGACACACAAATACATTAAGGCATAGACCAAACTTTCAAGAGGAGCTCTCTGGAGAGAGGAGGAAGACAAGGGCTTTGCAGAAGTTTCATTTCCAAATTGGTTTCGATTTGTAAATTCCTCTTCCATGAGGATGATGGATTCATTCATCTCGAAGGAAGACGACACCTGTTCTTCATAGAGATGAAGAATTCTCGTTTTTAAAATCTCGAAGAGAGCTGTCTTTTCCATGACTTGTCCCAGAATACCATCTCGATTCGAAAAAACAAGTCCCAACAATTTGGAAGCAGTTCCTTGTTCTTGTCTCAATTTTTCATGAATCTTTCCTAAAGCACGTAAACCTTGGCAAACAAAGTGAATGGATCGAACTTGCATTTGAGCAATCCATTCCTGAAGGATCATGAGGATTAAACTGGAATTGAACGAGAGGAGAGGAACGGCATGTTGAATGAAAGTCACAAAAACTTTCACCTGTTCATTGTTCTTGTCATGATTCTGAATGAGAAGGATCATCTGTTGGGCCACCTCTTTGTAGAATTGAGCATTCAGGAGAGGGGTCAGTTTCAGTTGAGAAAGGTGTCCAGAAATGGATCTCGAAAGAGTGGATTTGACATTTTGTAACGTGCCATTCGATAAGGTATCTTTCACTTGAACATTCAAGAATTGATAACTGTGTGGATCTGAAATCAAAAGGGAGAGAATCTCCATGTAGTACTTGCTTAATAGATTCAATACTTTACGAACATCGTCCGTGATGACGGCGGTTGTGCTGCTGCTGCTATTGCTACTACTACTCGAAGTCATTGAGGAAAAGGACGACCATAAGGAAGAATTCTTCTTGTCATTCTTCCATTCATCATGTTGTGAACAGAGACATTCGAAAAAGCTCCAAAATAAATGTTCCTGAACAATAAATCCACAAGTCATCTTGTCATGTTTCACGCAATTCATAATGGTCAAGACAATGAGTTGTTGGAAGAGTAACAGTTCAGGACTCTTGAAATCTTCATCCATCCATTCATTCATGAAAGAGTCGTTCCTATTCTCCCGATTGAAATGAAGTCGAATGGCACTTTCACACAACATGATTAAAAGACCTTCACTTCGAATGCTTTTCACAACTTCGGTGCGTTGTCTTGAGAAGGTCATTACAAAGTTCAATAATTTGAAACATTCCAAGAGACATGACAAGACCTCATGATTCAAGTTTTCATCACTCGTGTTGCTCCTCTCTGATGAAGATTTAAGGAAGGATAAGGTATTCTTCTCGTCATGCATGTAGGTGAACCAATAATCGGCCACAAATGTGACAAAGGCACTCATTTGTTTGGGTCTCACTTCCAACACATTGGAATTGTCATAATCTTCCAATTGTTCACTCAACGATTCGATCATGAGTTTTGTATGTTGTGAAATTTGAACTTGTTGGATGCGAGACAATTTTGTAAAATCAGGTTTCAACTGTTTCAGAGAACGTCCATGTTCAAGAATTACCACTTGTTTCATTCGTAGCCTATTGCTTTTCAAAGTCGAAGAAGGAGAAGGAACGACCATTTTGGAGGAATCACGAAAATCTAAAGCATTCATTGCTTCAACGGAATCAAACATGAAACTTGTGGCTCCTTCTTGACTTCGACATTTGTGGACACATTGAATGGCCTTTAAGGGTGAAGAGTGAGGATGATTTCCTAAACTACTTCTTCTGCTATCAATACTGTTTGAGGAGAGCCTTCTTTGAAGCAATAATTGTTGTTGTTGCAAGGGTTGTGAAATCTTCAATAATGAACTTTGGTTCAAAGGCGATTGAAGAGGACAAGATGGTACTTGTCTTCCTTCTTCACACGAAAGAGGTGACAGATAGTTCGAGAAGGCAGTCAATCCAAGACATGCCGAGTGATAGGGGAGCTCTTGTTCTGGAATGTCGCACATCATGAAGGCTCTGTGGTCCTCCGTCATCATGATCTCATGCTCTAAAAGGTTTTCTTGATGATGAGCCAATGATTGAAGAGGATTCTCGAATAGGAAATCCTTTTGTTGAGGATTCAAAGAAGTGCTTTCATTCTTCTTCTCTTCTTCTTCCTCATCATCGTTATCATCATTGTCGTTTCTTTCGTTTGTCTCTTCACAACTCTCGGAAGTGAATATATTTTCCATTCGCACTCGCTTATTCTCAAAGAGATCATGAAATTCATCCGTCACGAAATGAAGTGAAGCCAAAAGACTGATCTTTTCATCTTCTAAGTTTTTCATACTTTCCAGGACTCGTAACAGAGTAGAATCTTGGAAATAGACAAATTCTGTTCCTTTCATGATCAAAGGAGGAAAAGAAGAGTCTCTCGAATGACCATCTCCAGTCGTGGTGATCTCGATCGAGGAACGAAAGTATGCTTCAAAGTGTTGTGAAAAGTTTTCTCGAGACATCTTGTAATTGTACTTGTCATTTCCAGCGTAGAGATTTAGGAGGTGATGAAATCCAGTGGTTTTCAGAGAGGAAATACATTGATTAAACACAGCATTGGAAGTCTTCTTTTCAATCGAAAAGGTCATGCAATGAATAAAGAAGCTTTTAGTCTCCAAAGTAGGAGAAAGGAGTGAATTCATGAAATGTTGGGCCACTCGTTTCAAATACTCTTGACCCAACGTACGATCATAGTCGTTCCACAATGTCCTCTCATCATGAAAGAGACTTTTCAGAGAGTGAGCTTGTGAAATTTCATCACAAAGTGTGTGGATGCTCTCTTCACTTAATGGTCGCAATCGATGCATCCATTCCATTTCACTCCATGAATGTTCGATGGGAATGGAATGAGAAAAGGAAGAAAGGATGTGATCGACCTGATAAAGTTGATCCTTATGAAGGACTTGTTCAATGAGAGACAATTCATTCAAGAGATTGGTCTCATTGGCCATTGCGTTAAATAAATCCAAGAATTGATCTGAGAGATTGTGGTTCTCTGTGGCAGCAGGAAGATCAATGATACATATTTCCTTCATTGGAGTCTTGGAGTTGCCAAAACTAGTAGTATTAACATTAATACTCTCCGAACTTCTCCACTCAGTAATGAGAGCATGAAGTCTCTCATTGATTCGATTCTCAATGAAATGCAGGACGGCTCCATACATGTAATCGAACATTAAATTTACCTTATTGGAGTTTGTGAAAATGGATTCACATTGACGTTGAGAAAGCCCTAATAATTCACTGACCACTCGCAAAGTCTCTGAATTTTCTGAAGAAGAAACACCTTCTTGACTGGAGGAAAACTCCAAATTGTAAATCCACATGCAGGCAGAAAGAATTCTGTACACTAAATCTGTTTCTTCTGAGCTAATTCCAAATTTGGAAAAGTAAGAATTCAATTTACCGAGATCCATCTTCATAAAATTCAAATCCTTATAATTGACTTTGTGTTTCTGGAAGAGTTTGTAATGATTCATATCAGCCACGACATGATGTTCCAAATCTTCTCCTCCACTAATCATTAATAAGAAGATTTGATAGAGAGGAAGATTTCTCTGTTGTGAACCATTGTCATTGGAAATGGTCGAGAGAATTCTCTCTCTCGCGATCGAATGAATTCTCATATCATTGATTCGATTCGCCTGTGAATCGCAACTCAGAACAACCTTTCTCATGTGTGTTTGTGTCAGTGCCTTTTCATACAAGTGATTCGAAAAGATCAACAATAAATTTAAGGCAGACCCAACCGTGACTCGAATCTCTTTGACGTAATCCTCTGCTGAGAGAAGAGTAGAAGAAGAAGAAGAAGGATTCAGTGGGAGTGAAAGAGGCGATTCGAGTTGTAACTCTTCCTTCTCACCACAATGTCCAACGTGAGGTAACAAATTCTTATGAAGTAACGACATAATCACTTGTTGAAGTGTCACTTGCTTTTCTTTAGAACCTTCTCCCAAAAGAACGAGATTCAAACAATGAGGAGCAGAGTGAAGTCTGAGTTGTGTTTGAGTATAATCCACAAGGTCTTGACCATTTCTTTTGATGGCCTGCGCGTGAGTCTTGTTGAGGAAGGAAAAGTCAGGATTCTTTAAGAGAATATTTCTCTCTCCCATGTGCATGGTAAATATTTGAGAAGAACGTTTCTGATCTTCATAGGACTTGTTGACCACACTGAGCCAAGTCTGAGCAATTTGTGGCAATGAATGACATCCTGGACTGATCCATAAGAGATTTTCTCGTTTTTCAAGATGATCATTCAGACTCACCAAGTCCACATGAAAGCACTTGGAGAGATCGACTTGATCGTTTTTAGTGAATTCTTGAGCATTGGAAAGACTTCTCTCATTGTAAATGACTTGAACATTCTTGATCATTCCAGTGACCTTGGCCAAGTAATACTTGTCTTTAATGTCGACCCAGATGAGATCGTCTTTCTTGAGAGGAGGTTTATAGGGTACTGTAGTGGTGGATGTGGTTGTGGTTGTTGTTTCTGTTGGAGCAGGTGAGACAGAAATGGGTGGTCGTGGTGATTGCAAAGATGGAGGTGGTGATCGAGAAGACGACGACGACTTGTTTGAGAGTAATGCAGAGTTTGAAACATTCGAATGAACGTGTTCGTGTGGTGCTTGTTCATCATGCTGAGTTTGAACACTTTCACGAGGAGTGGTCAATAGGAATGGAGGTGGCTGAGGAATGGATGGTGCCGTTTTTGTGGTGGAGGATGAGTGTGTGGGACACGTTGATGTACTTTTGGATTCCTTACAAGAGGATTCGTTCTTCATATTCTTTGGTGAGCATTCAATCCCTAACGAATGATCTTCAAGTGCACTGTTGCTTGTACATGAGGGAATTTCCTTAATTGGCAATGACGGGACCGAAGGTTGATCTGGCAGCAACAACACATGTTGAGAATCGTTTGGCGACTTCTTCTTTGTAGCGATGGTTGAGGGTGTTGCATGTGGGAGTGATTGGCTGCCAATCTTGCTTGCATGAGAATGGTGCTGCGAATTCGAATTCATTAAAGATGTCGATACTGATGAGGAGGAAGAAGAGGCAGAACGTTTCCCGTTCAATGCAATAGATGTAGTTTGGCTGTTCTGTTTCAGGCTTCCTCGAGGACCATTCACTGGTATTTTAGGTGAGGATGTTGCATGGAGTTGGGAAGATGACATGTTGCTGTGAATCCTTCTTTAAGGTCAACTGACAAAAACACTTGTTAAATTGCTAGCCGTTAATTTGTTGTTAAGGGAACAGGAATGTTGATTGAATCTGTAGCTGTTGAAAGGGAGTTTTTTCAATGCTGGCAGGTAAGGTCTTTCTTTTTGTGTTGGTTTTTCGACAGCCAGCATAGTGTTCCGAGTTGAACTGGAGCCTCTTGACCGTTACACGTTTTGATCGGAAATTGATGAATCTAAGGTAACGACTATTTAAGCTTCTCTATGACTAAATGTGTGAATTCATTCACCTCACAAATTTGGAAATTACTTGTTTCGAAGAACTATTTGAAAATTTGCATGAGGTGATCGATGAAATTAATCAGCGACCTCAACAGCAGTCCGAAATCCATTTGATTGAAAATGGAAGTAAGTTAAATGTGGTGTTGGAAGAGACAGTCATGCTGAGCTGGTGATGATAATAATTAAATGTTGAACGTGTTCACGGTGTTTAATAATAAATGTTTTGAAATGGTTTTCTCTATTTGTATTCGGAACATGAAATTCCTCTCGGCTTAAACATAAACACCAGTCCACAATAATGTGAAAAACAGACCTAACCCTAAAATGACTGACGAAAAAGAAGCTAGAGTGAGTTCTTTGAAGAGATTTCGGTGTTGTTTGGTTGTGGTAGCCTCATAACTAAATGATATTTAGTAGTTCAATGCGTTTGTATGTGTATTCCGAGATGATCGTATCAGGAACACGAAATATGGACAATTCGGTACCCAATAATCATGATCGTCCAACACATTCGAATAATCAATTTCAATGAAATATTCAATTTTGATTATTAATCGTCGTCATCATGATAATAATGGTTAAGCCAAATTATAAAATTCCATATTAATAAATATATTTTGATTATTTCCATGATGATGATCATCATCATTATTTTATCATCATCACCATCATCACGCGTGGAAAGTTCCGGACTTCGTTTTCACTACTCAAAACTAGCACAAAAGCACTTACACCAAAAACAAAGCCATAAACATCAATCCAATCGATGTAAGCACCACAGCAAGTGTTGGATAACTGCTTGGATCCACGGGACTATGATATTGAGTGCTGGACATTTTTTTATCTGAAAAGTGTTTCACTTTGAAAATCCTTTCCTAGTGATCAAAGAGAGGAAGAAGTAGTACTTGTTGAAACAACATTTCAAAAAAGTAGAGAAAAGTCCATTGCTGGTTTGCATTTCTCTTTCACTGATTCGCGAATCACGATTTATTTCAAAAAAACTGTTTCTTCCCAATTGAAATGAAAATTTTCAGGTCAATTTTAGAGAGCTGGCATTTGTTGAGTAATACAATGCATTCCTCCACCACCCATATTCAACACCTCTGTTGCAATTTGCACAATGTTTCGATCTGGATACACCTCTTTAAATAGTTGTAATACTTGTTCATCGAGTTGTTTCACACTCTCAGGAAGACCTTCACGATAATATTTGGAAATCAATACCACTCGATTGCTCACCAGAAAATTCAAATAACTCGAAGCAATGATCATTTGAAGAGGAGTGGTTTCCTTTTTCAAATCCAAGCCATCTTCAAAGTCGAGTAATTTAAGAGTTTCAAAGACACCATCTCCTTCAGAAATCGAATGAATGATATGAGGTGCCACAGGAACTCTCAAAATTTTCACATCACTCAACTCGGGATGTTGTTTCAACAAGACATAATTCTGTTCCAATCTTTTTCGATTTTCCATAGAGAGGCTGTCTTGAGAGTCTTCAGGAACTTGAGCCAAAAGAATGGTATTTTCATTGGCAAATCGACACCACTCATCAATATGGCCACCAGTACCCATGGAAGGCAACAAACGATCATGATGTTCATTCAAATGATTTGGAAGGAAACCTCGATAGGCATGAGTATCCTCCACGAGTCCTTCAGTCTCCAGCCACACAATGCTACGAGCACTCTCTCCAAAGACTCGTTTCATTTCTCGTTCAATGTCTTGTCTGTCCTTCACATGATTGTTCTTATTGCGTTGCATTTCGACATGTTCGACCATCATGAGAATGCCACGTCCATTAAATTCTCGATTTCCACCTTCACTGATGAGATGTGAACGAATGACGGGAAGATTGAGAAGGTGAGCCACTTTTCGATCGACTGCTTCTTCAATGACGGCCTCTTCGTCGTGTTGCTTGCAGTACGACCACAAAGTAAAACCAAAATCCACAATGGCTCGAGTTCCTTGTTCTCGAATCACAACAAAGATCGGACCATTGTCTCTCATCCACATGTCCAAATGTTCAATCACATGAAATCGAATATTCTCTTCAATTAAGGTAGGATTAATGTTGTTTCTTTTTTTGAGACAATTTTTCACATAGTCTTGATCTTGTTCTTCATGAATGATCAAGTCAATGTAAAACTTGTCGTACGATGAATTCTTGGAGTCTTCTCTCAAAAGAAGATCTTCTGGATTGTTTCCAGAGAGAAGGGCCTCCATCATGGGTAGTCTTCATCAAGGATTGAATTTTGTAAATGATGATTTCATGGAATATGAAGAAGAGTCAGATTCAGATTTGAACAAAACAAGTGTTCAACAAATGTGTCAGCACTTACTGAACTTGATGGAAAGGACTATATCGGAGAGGATCCTCTTCGCATTTCTTGAATGTATATTCATAATTATTTTCACGGCTTGTTGGTCCTGTTTTGCAGGAGTGAGTGATTCGTTTTGATTTGTTTTTATGATGCATGATGATGTCCGGACGAATCATGAATGATTGAATCCAATTATTAATTAATTCATCACACCACAGATTGAGTATCGATTCGATCTTACCTAAAGCCATCCAAATACTTTCATGTTTTTCGTGTTCACCTGTGTTTTATGGTTGTCATTATCCAGAGATACACACACAACGGAAGAATTAGAATCATTCCATCCATCGATCGATCCTATAGCTGCTCACACAAAACATACCTGGGAATATCATGGTTGCAATTTTTTCGGAGTTTGGTGTGAAAAATCAGAATGGAATAAGGATTGATATTAAATTCACAGGATGTTTATATTCCATCATCATAATTATACTCACCTAATCAAAATGCATTTCCGAATGGATCGCCTATTGTTTTCAAAAAAGATTTTAAAAAGATTGGAGCTTGTTTTATTTACATTCTCTCAATAGGATGTATAGGATATGGGCTGTAGGATGGATCTTTACAGGGAAGTAAGGGAGATTGTCGAATAATGTTAATAAGGAGAGGTGAATAAGATGAAAACGCAATGACTGGTGTGAGCAGCCAGTCATGCAGGCTTAAGTAGATTAGAGGGTGTTGGAAAGGATTTGCTGTTGCTTGAAGGCCATCAATAGAATTGCACCACTATAAATCTCCTTCTCACGAGGATTTTCGAGAGATTGTGTCTTTTTAGTGATCTCGTTGAGGTCACAGGTGACCTTCTTCTTTGTGACGTTGCCAGCAGTGGCCTTGGCGGCTCTCTGAGCCACTTGGACATACTCATCGTCTGAGACCATCTCTGGAGCTGAACTTGATTGATCGCCATCCGAGGAGTTCTCTTCTTCGTAGCTGTCCTTATAGAAAATAAACTCAGAGTTCTCTTGCTGAGGAACGTGCTGAGTGGAGGAGGTGGAGGGCTGCTTACTGTATGGCTCAGGGAGAGAAGAGGAAAGGAAGCCAGTGTGAGTGGCTTTGAGCTTTTTGGAATGACGTTCATAAGAGTTAGCGGATTTGAAATCGTATTGGTAGCTTTGGTTGGTGTCTTGAGTGACATCATCTAGAGGAGCTTGAGAAACATAATCTCCCTGAATGGAGTCTCTTCTCTTGTTGAGAGAAGTCGAGACAGATTGTCTCCTTGTCTTGGCTCTGTAGGATGACACTTCTTGTTCTGCATCGGAATTGGTTTCTTCATCGGAAGGCATGTTGGCATCTTCATCAGAAGACTCAGTAGTGTGCTTTCTCTTGCCAGAGCCACCAGTTGGTTTGTGTGGAGGATAGGGCCATTTGTCACATCCCAATTCGTGTCTCATCTCATAAAATCTGAGAGAGGGAATTAGCAATGATATGATGATTGGCATGATCGAATTCAGGTCAATCCATTATTGAATGGTGTGACAATAACATTCACAGTAACACCCAATCATGGTTGCAAATAATAACAATAATAATAACGATTATCATTCAGTGTTAAACAATAAATGTTCAATGATCTTAATACATACCTTCTTTTGAGAGTGCTCAAAGAAACGTTGAGCTTTTTTGCTGCCTCCTTTTGGTTGAGATGCAAGCATGATTTCATGGCGACAACATCAATGGACATGAAGGTCTTTCTGTGCTTGGTTTCGACGTGAGATTTCCTCTTCTTCTTGCCCTTTCCTTTGGTAGATTCGCCATCGTCATCCTCCAAGTATTCCTCTTCATCTTCGACGGAGTTATCTTCGGTGTAAGGTTCATCATCCTTCGAAGAAGTCTCATCAGAGGTGTTATTGATGTCGACGACCATATTATTATTAATCTCAATCGTGTTGTTGTTGTTGGCGCTGTCAACCACATTGCTGGTTGCCGAAGATGGACAAGTAACATCCATTGTTGGCATTTCGTCAGACGTATTTGTGGCGCTGTCAGTAGAAGTAGGTTCTGTTGTAGCTGATGCTCTGAACGCAAAACGAGTCATTTTGTCTTGTTGATGCTGGATCTATATCGTTATTGTTGTTGTTGTTGGTTTTGATGATGATGTTGTTGTGCTTCGTACAGAAACTGATTGAATGTTGCTGGTTTGGCAGGGAAAGGAACTGCTATTGTCCTGTTTTGGAATGCTTCCTATTGTTGGCAGGAGAGTAAGATTAATAATAACAATATAATGAGAACGTATTCAATGGAAGACGAGTGGTGGTGGTATGCAGGTATATGTTGTTGTTATTCTGTATGTATGGCTTGCAGCTTGGTTCGAAGATGAACACGTTCGGCTTGATGCTGGTTCGAAATGGTCCGGAAATTTTGAGCTTGGTGGTGATGAGCTGGCAATTACTTCTCTCTGTGTAGGGTGAGACACGTATTTGGTGTTAACAACTCGTGTATCAGAGATAACCCCAAAGTATAATGCTGATGAAGTATGCAGATCGATGTGTAGGATGAGAATGAACGTACTCTCGAGAGTTTGAAGGTGTTCTTCAAAATTATCGAGCTTTGGTATCGGATTCGCAAAAAAGGCTTGTGTGCTGAGCTCTCAATCTTGCAACGATGGATGGTCAGCTGATACAAAGAAAAGAACTTTGAAGTAGTAGTATATTGGTTGTTGCTGTTGCGATATGCAAAGTTCGAGAAAGATTTGGTGTTGTTGCTTGTCTTGATGGTCGTAGGTGGTGGTGGTAGTGGTGGTG